GCAGATCCCCTTCTGCCCAATACATTAAGCAGTGAAATGGTAAGCACGGCGCCTCTTACTAACGGTGATAACAGTAACGCAGCCGCCACAGCAAGTAACGGCGCCAGGGAAGTTTCAAATACAGTGGAAGGAATTAGTATTGCAGAAAGTAATCGGAAGCAAAAGAAGAAACGAAAGCGTAAAAAACCGGCATTGTCTACAACGGAGACAGCTTATTCATCACGCTCTCCTTCGACTTGTGGTCGTGATGACAACCAACGGTCAGCAGTAACTTGAGTACAGTAATTATACATGAAAGTATTAACATTAACCATGGTGAAAATACCAGTATCAGTAATAATGATGAAAGTGCCATTACCAGTAACAATGGCGAAAGTGCCATTCGCCAGCAATGTAGTACAGAGTTATAAAAGAATCGCACTACAAATAAGTAACGCAGTGCAAAGTACAAAAATAACAACACTGCTAGAGTACACAGTGTACAGCAAAGAACGAAGAACACTATAGAGTTAATTGATGGTGTAAAGTACTAAATCAATGCACTATACAGTACACACAGTGGAATTAACAAAGGATAACACCGTTACAGTACAAATAGTGGATAGTACGAAAATAATGCACTATATAGTAAGACAGTGCAAAGTGGTTACGTCGTGCTACAGCACTGATGACTATCACACGTACGATAAACGGGTACCTCAGATGAGTACATAGTACCGCAAATGCAGAAGAGTACTTACATAGTAACCTGAGTGAACACCACACCGGTAATCACTTCGCTAAGTTCGCTTCCTCCGACTACATGCACACAGGATGTTACATTAACTAGAAGTGTTGTTTGCGAACCAAAGTAACTTGGAAACCACCGGACATGGATGTTTTGAATGCAACCAATGTCCCGACAATAACTACCGCCAAATTGGATTCTACTAATAGTAACATTTTACTTTTGACGGGAAGATCGTTCCTAAAAGTAACACTGCTTACGCTATTTTGCAGTTTGCACTGCACTACACCTACGAGTATTCCCAACAGATCGCAGTATTTGTTGCCGACTTAGAATATCAAATCTTTGGATTTCCGCATTTTAAACTACGAGTACAAGCACGCATTCGTACCGTTTAACTAGTAACCTTACCACCACCGGAAGGAAGTACTTGTATCAACCATGCACACGAAGTTCACGAAATTGCAACGTCAACTGTGAGGGAAACCATCAGTAAATCCTACAGGAGCTGCCACTAATGCAACATTAACTACACCCAAAAGTCCACTGTGAGGGACCCCAGAACGCACTGCCATCCCATCCCCAGCACCAACGTGGACAACACTGACAGGAATGCCCAAGCCAGCATGGACTACAGCAGTACCGCCATCCGCACCGCTGAATTACATAACCGGAAGTGTTGAAGAAGTAACTCAATAACACGTGGGAGCAGCAACTTTCCATCTGGAGCACCAACCCTCCTTCGATTCCCCACGACTAGCACCTTACTAATAGTAGATCTAATTTCCTGTTTCCTTATTCGTTTCGTTACGTTTTCTTTGAATCTTGATAAGACACGTATATCTTATCGCCACTGTGAGGGATGTAGCCGTAGAATCATGTTCTACAGATTGTCATTGGTAACAACTCAACCGGAAACAGATGTACCGCCTATCTCAGTAGAATTGTGAATCCATGTTATCGGTTGTGAAGAATTCTGAGATGTTCTGACTTTTCTGGATGTGAAATCAGTAGACGTGCTCACGCTGCCTCGACCGGCAGACGGTTGACTTTCCCACATGTTCTTGCTCTTGCCCTTGCCCTTGCACTTGCTCTGATTCTGATTAAATTGATGATGATGTTCCTGAATTCGCGCGTTACGTAAGATTGTGATTTACTTAAGATCTGGGTAATTACCGACGAACCATCGAACCTCGTTTTATCGTGGTATGGGTGGATTAACCCAACCCACTAGGGGCAGCTTAGAAGTTGCCATTGCAATATGAGTAAGCTTTATATAAGTTGTAGCAGCAGCCGGAGTGAGTGCGGTTGTACCGTTGTAGGACTGTCGCTAGCGCGCTGCCAGGCTATCGCTAGCGCGCTGCCTGCCTGGCCTCTATGTATACTTGCCCGATTTAAACCACATTTCTACTACTTTACTCGACTCAGATGTTTTTTGAATTTCAGAAAACTAATTGCAGATTCAGAATAAACGTCAACTGTTACTAGGGCTTTCTGTCTGTGAAAAGTTTTGTAGCAATTATGGATCGTCCGGAAATCACTCCCGTACGTTTACAACTTGATGACACTTTCGGCCACTGTATTTCTTTTGTCTTTCGAGAAATGGAAATGTTAACGAGGTGTGACGGCAAAAAAAGCACTGAATTTGGCCACGTTGAGTCACATCACCAGTACCCCCTATCCACCTTGGTAGAAGCATTGGTAACTGAATGAAGAGTACACTTGCAACACGTTATCGAAATTATATTATTATATGAATACTGTATGTACATCTCTTGCAGGTTTTCGGCCTCTCCGTTCCCTGTGATGTTACCAATGATCTCAGCTTCCACCGAGCCGATTCACAGAATCCTTTCAAAACGTAAAGTAAAACAAAGCTGGTGGTGTTTTTAGTCTCACAAGGAGGATAAGCCCAGGGGTCACTCAAAGGCTTGCTGCCATGGATGCTATAGGGATATCATGCGCTTTCGCTTATCTGTCACCACGGGCAGATTAGGGTTCAACAAGAAACAGCTTTGGCTTCGCCTCTGCGTTTCTTGTGGTCCACATACCGAATGAACGATTGATTCGGTTAGTTTTAGAGTAAAACGAAAACTAGCAGCCGAGGCACAAACGAAACAAACTTAATGGCGAAAGGTCAGCATCTGAGAATAACTGGGCATCAGATACTGGCCTGATCGACCTCAACTCAAAAGATAAAGTGCAAACTGCTAACGTAATTGATAATGCCAGTAAACGTCCGCTTGTTGACTAGTCACCAAACTTAATGCAGAAACTGGAAAAATTTATGATACAAACGCAAGTTGACCGCAGAGCATTCCCCGTCACCAGGTAATCTAATAAAGTAAAGGTGATCGGTTGTCTTATAATCGTACAAAAATTAACCGTTTTCAAACAAATTCATAACTGCTACTGAATAACTACTGCTTTCTCGGATACAGTCATAACTGCTAACTATGAAATCATAAATACTGCCTCTTCGAATACACTGCACCTTTTGAATTTTAAACTAGTCGTAAGCCAATATTCATCCGTGCTCAGCTTGTTTATTGCAATTCGCATTATTCTCATTAGCATCACTTAATACGAGCGTTAGCAGCGTAGTTTATCTGTAGCTTATTTCCGCGCAGTTTGCGCGGGGTCTGCTAGTAACTCAATAAACTCACCTCACAGTCTGTCTTACACTCACAACGGTAGTCGGCCATCGAGCTATATTGTTTCTGTTATTGACTACTCATAGTCGCAGGGCCCGCGCTCAAGCTCTGACTCAGACTCTGACCACTGAAAGTCTGATTCTGACTCTGATTGTCCAAAGTCTGACTCTGACTCTGACTGTACAAAGTCTCACTCTGACCCTTCAAACTAAGACCTTCAAAGTCTGACTCTAACAGAAACAATCTGACCACTAAAACTGAGGTTTACTGTAAAACCTCTCTATAAAATACAGGCACGGTTCCATCAGTTTCGTATGTTATAACGGGGTGTATTTTATAAAGGGAAACTGCCCCCAGGGGAGCTGCTATAATTTGCGGAGGGGCGTCGCAGTATATTTATTTTATAACTGCAACATTAAGGCAGTAGCAAGAATCTGTAGCACATTACAAATTTAAATTACATACGAGTACATCAAAAAAATAAACTTTGTTCGGAGGTTATCATAAAGTACAGTATGATTAGTACTTGCAGACTGGTAAAATAAGAATATTCTGTTGAGATACTTTTGCATATAGTGAGTACCATTTATACAAACAACGTTAATGTTGCTCCATATTAGTTCAGGATGTTAAGATAACATCAGATTGCATCGGGCTGCGTGTATGCAACTGTATTTAACCGGAGCTGAGTGTTGTTCAGAGGTTCTCTGCAATGGTTAAACTACATTCGGTTCCGCGGAAAGTGTATGTAAGGCTTATAAAGAGGTGAATGTTATAAAGAGAATCCCCCCTATGTTATAACATGCGAGCCAATTCGGTTCCTTACAGGTTGAATGTTATAGAGAAGTGTATTTAATAACGAAGTGTATGTAACGAGAGGTTTTACTGTATACTGAATTTCTTAGGGTTTTTAGGTTTCTTTGGTTATTTTTAGGTTAAGGGTTAAGAATAACAAAAGAACAGAACAGAATAATCTTCGGTTTCTTATTTTTTTCTTAGGTTTCTTAGGTTATTCTTAGGTCAAGAAACCTAAGAAACCAAAGAAACCTAAGAAATCTAACAAAAAAGCTAAGAAACGTAAGAAACCTAAGAAAAAACTTAAGAAACCGAAGAAACCTAAGAAAAAACCTAAGAAACCTTCAGAATCAGAGTCAGGCTTTAAGCGGTCACAGTCAGACTTTGAGCAGTCAGAGTCAGAGTATGAGTGGTCAGAATCAGAGTCTGAGCCTGAACCCTACGAAAACCCTAAAAAACCAAAGCAACCAAAGAAACCTAAGAAAAAACCTAAGAAACCGAACAAACCTAAGAAAAAACCTAAGAAACCTTCAGAATCAGAGTCAGACTTTGAGCGGACAGAGTCAGACTTTGAACAGTCAGAGTCAGAGTTTGAGTGGTCAGAATCAGAGTTTGAGCCTGGGCCCCACTGGAATGATGCGAAACTGCGAAACTAAACTTCGAAATTCGTTTTCTCCTTGACAGCAGTTCTTGCCTTGTTCAGTACTGTAGCAATAGTACAGGTAATAGATAATCAGGTACTGTACTAATGGGCTAGCGTATACTTACTTCTCCTCATACCTTAAAGTCTTCAAAGTCTTTCTTTAAAGTTATAAGTTTCTTACCCAATGTTGCCGTTAAATTTTTAACCTTCCATGCCTTCGGAGGATTTTTCGCACACCTGCGTTTTGCTATTCTCCAATCTCGTGTATCAAAATGTTCCGATAAGACAAAATAACACGTGTCCCCACTCAACTCCAATCTCGTCGGTATAGCACACTTAAAAGCTTCTGTTTTCAGTATGCTGATTGCTAAAAAACTGGTAAAATAGATTTCAAGCCAAAACTTATCTACATACATAATAATCGAAATTTAATTGCTTAGTAAGAGCATGACTGGATGATGTTTACGGTTTACCGTACCACACAGCGCCATGAATCCGTACGGTAAATAGATCATTAAAAATTCTTCTTAAGCTCAAGGCTGCTGACAGTGGGAGATATTAAAACGACTTGGTACTTTATTTGTCCAAAAATGATCGCTGCAAAAGTTGATATCATTAGAACTTCTTCTTGTTGTTGCATAACTGTATACCGTAGACTATGTAGCGTAGGCTGCGTAGCGTAGTAACACTAGAACGTTAGAAAATACTCACTGTGTAAATTACTCACTGTTCACTCACGGGTTTTTGTGTCGCGATTGCCTGCACCATGGAAATGTGGCATGTGTGAAGTCTGCGTCCTACTACCCAGTAACCGGTTACTGGGGAGGTCCCGGAGGTCAGAGTGATGGTCATGGATACCCACCCCAGGTTGATCATTGATCACTTTGAATTAGTTCATGCTTGCTAATTTGGCCACGGTACTTACACAAAAATAAAAATACGCGTACGCGCGGATACTTAACAATTAATAATAATACAATTTGTAATAATAATTTTAAATTAGGTGTTACTTAGTTCTCAGTTCTGAGCGTTTAGACTGCTTGTTCCGAGATCGTCGTCATTTCAGGTTTTATTGCCCTGCCTCCCTCTTTCGAGGCTCCCGATCACTTCGGCCGTTTTCATTTCGGCCACGTTACATTACAGCTGACACAATTCGCTTCCACCCATTCGGCCACAAATATTGCGTTTTAATTAAAAATTTGTAAAGTGATGCAGCTTTGGAAAGCAGCTTCTCTAAAAGTCATTCTACTTACTTACCATTTATACTTTAAACGAATACAGCATATTTTTTTAAGATTAAGCTTAATGACATTCCAAGGCATGAAAAAATCGTCTTAACCTAACCGCTGAAAGTCTGACTCCGACCAACGAACTCTGAGTTTCAAAACGGTACCATTGTCAGAAGGGCAGCCTCTCTGCAGGATCGTTCGTCAAAATCTTAAAAATAAATGTAAATTCGTAGGCTCTTTCGATGGCCCATTGGTAGCCAGCAGATACTAGCCATATCGGCCTAAGATTATGGTGTCACGGATTCACCTCCTGCGATGGGCCTGCGATGGCCTAGACTCCAACTCTGACTCTGACTCTGATTCTGACCACTCAGACTCTGACTCTGACTACTCAAAGTCTGACTCTGACCGCTCAAAGTCTGACTCTGACTCTAAAGGTTTTTTAGGTTTCTTAATAGGTTTTTTAGGTTTCTTAGGTTTCTTAGGTTTCTTAGGTTTCTTAGGTTTCTTAAGTTATTCTTAGGTTATCCAGTCAGAGTCAGAGTCAGAGTTTGGACAGTCAGAGTCAGACTTTGAGTAGTCAGAGTCTGAGTCAGAGTCAGAGCTTGAGCGCGGGCCTCCTGCGGCCGGCAGATTGTTTCAAAGTTCTGTGCGAGCTTAGCCAGTCCAGGCACTATCTCAAGAAACCAAACGAACATAACTGGTCTAAGAGAAACCAAGAAACACGATGAAAACTTTAGATCTTGGCATCATCCCTTGCGTCATTTTCGGGTGTGAAACTATTAAGAAATAGATTATTAAGAAACCTAAGAAACCTTCAGAGTCAGAGTCAGACTTCGAGCGGTCAGAGTCAGACTTTGAGTAGTCCGACTCAAAGTTTAAGTGGTCAGAATCAGAGTCAGAGTCAGAGTTGGAGTCTAGGCCAAAAATGGCCTAAAAATGGCCTCTATCAGGGCTCGATAGGTAAAATTGATTAAAAACTACCGACTGAAGTCAGATAATAGTTAACAAATGACCCAACTCGCATTATTAAAGTTTCTCTTTTGGTCATTTCTTTCATGATGGATCCGAATTTTGCGCCTTTCTTCTCATTGAACAGAGCTGTTTTATTAGTACGGTTCCGAGTAAAGCGTTCAATGTTCACTATACACAGGTGTTCAATATTCGCGGTTACCCCTTCTGTTATAGTCTATGGGACGCGCCGGTTATTAGCCGGCGTTCAATTTAAAGCCATGTTCAATGTTCGCAGATGTGCATTCTCACAGATTTTACCGACCTGGAGAAGTTTCTTTGAAGCATTACGCTAACGACAAATGCGCAGTCAAAAAAATATTTGTGTGCAGTATTCCTGGACTTGGTAGAGGTTACGCTTTTTTGTGGTAAGTATTGTGAACGGTTAAACACTTAAACCATACACTACCATAGAGTACCACTAATGGAATACGGTTTGACATCATGAGTATCATTCCGAGATTCGGTAACGTGCACGAGTAGAGCAGTGGCAAAATTCTGTACAGAGCCATGACGCCATCCAACTGACACGTAATGGCACTGGAGCTTCGGCCAAGGTCAAAAAGAGGTAGGAATAAATAAAGGAAGGAAACTTTTTTGGTCAAAAAGAGGAAGGAATTTTTAAAGGAAGGAAATTTTGTGGTCAAAAAGAGGAATTTTGAAAGGAAGGAAATTTTTGGGTCAAAAAGAGGAAGGAAATTTCGATGGGCAAAAAAGGATGGTTAGAAAAAGGAAAAAAATTTGTGTGCGGTGAAAAAATAGGAAGCAGAAATCGCACAGAGTTTTTGAAATGTTCTTATGTGACAGCAAAGAACACTGTATGCGGACTGCCGGTTTACTGCATTTTGCAGAAATGCTACTGGGCAGGGCGGTCCGACTGGGCAGCCCACATTCAAAAAATTAAATTCGGCTCGACATTACCATTCCCCATTTACAATATAATATAATGGAAGTTTATTGTCCTTTGCACGGAGCACTAGCCCCCTGTAAATTACACAACAGAGAAAACGTCTGCACCGTTTTGGCGGGAGGCTTTATGATTTGATAGTATCCGAGTATGCGTTCGTGTAATGATACGTGACGTATCAGTTGATGTAAGGCGTCTGCTTTTTCTACAGAATGCAATGAAATCTCAGTGGTAGACTGGGTAAGAAAGTTTGCAAATGTTGGCCAGGGTTATTATTCCTTCACTCATCTTACCAAAGTGCAGCATCATGGTTTAGTCTTGCGTACCTTTAGCGAACTCATGGATCGTGCGTGGATTTACGGAAATTCTCGCAAAAAACCCGATAATTCATTTCACGCAAATACAGATACTAATTAGTACCCAGTATGGATTCTTCTGAGACTGTTGCTCCCGATGATGACGTTGAGTACATAGGAACGTATCCTTGTGATTACAATAAAGGGACACCGGCACCACAGTTGAGCGAAGCTAGCAAGTAAGTGATGCACCGCAACAATGCCCACAAAGTACCAATAATATGGTTCCGGCATGTACACATGCACTTTCTCATTTTTACTACACTATATGGTTTTTATTATCAAACTGAATTATTGCTTTATTGTTTCCCTTTTCTTACCATAATATGGTTACGAATTAGGTTAAGATACCGGGAATTTCAAACAAAAATTATCTAGGTTTATTAATGCCGTTATACTGTACTCAACACAATCGTTTCGTGGTGTCGTTTAATGAGTTGCTCGAATAATTTAATAGGTCAGCACCGGCATCGGCTTTAGCGGACCATGCCATTAAACAAGAGCCGCCACAGGAGTTACCCTCGTGGTTCCTGAAAACATACATCGACGGAGGATTACCATCACAAGGGTACGTGCTGAAACTGTTGTAAATACCGATCGCTACGACAGTAAACAATTACTTATCCGTTAACATACATACAAACACATGCTGTCGAGCCCTTAATAAATTTGTTGGTACAAATTGTGTCCCTCAACAATTCGTTGCGGCGGTCTTCTAAATGCTGAAATCATTATGCATTCAGTAGCGATAACGCACCCACAACGAACCTTTGCGGGTTATTTTGTATAGGCGATTTCTTTATTAATCAACAAGCAGGAGTTGTCATTCTGTATATAAATGTTGCAATAGTTTTCGACTGGTAGAAATGACACCGGCAACAACCATTTAATTAATTCGGTTTTTCTGCAAAAAACATTTTTGCTCACTGCATTTGGCGGACACATGCCGGTTTGCGTGTGGATGGTCACTTTAATTTTTGACTTTGCATTACTGACAACTTTTGCCGCGCGCAATGGAACTGTATGACGCGTTCAGCCGTTGCGACGCGCCTCCGTGTGAAATCCTGATAAAAGACTTTTTTTGACATTAGTAATGATGTCATGTGTTATTATTATGTGCGCGCCCGTGCGCGTCTGCTGTGAGAATGAAGCTGTTAACCGTTTAATGTTTTCTGTTTATTAATCGAAATGATTAATGAACATAAATTCGAAAGATAAAGTAATTAAAGCAAATTCCGCGGTGTTGTTTATATACTGTATTTACACAAGTTTAAGAGCCACAAAAAAGTCCGGGTGCGCGCAGAATATCCGACGGCTTTTTTGAACTTCAAAGAAGCCGCGCGCTATTGTTTACGGCTTCCGCCATTTTGGTGGCTCTTAAACTTGTGTAAATACAGTACTGCTGTAAGTTCAGCAGTGAGTACTACAGATAAAAGCAGACCGTTTCACTTTTGTGCTTAGAAATCGCTTTAATTTACAGATACATTCATTCATTTTTGCAGCAATTAATCTAATCGGTTGTTATTTCATGTGAAAAATTACGAGTATGTGCACTTAATCACCTACAGTGTCGTAGTCACTTTATAGCTGCTGCAAAATACGAGCACATAAGCCAGGAAGTCGTATCGCTGTTATTGTGCGTACTCTTCTACGTAGATCTCTCACCAGATCTGTGAAGGTGACTAATATCAAGGAAATAGATCTATATTCTGATCGGCCGCCCCGTGGAACTTGGCTAGAAAAAACCGCCAAGCAAATTAAAAAACCGATTTCACCATTAAACTCAGCATGTCCCAAAAGGGTCCCACATGCATTTTGTTTTCAAAAATATCTGCTCTGGACCGTCGCTCGGATGCCGGTACCGGTACAGGCATCAGTTCAAGGTGACCTTGAAAGACATTTTACATAAAACACTTGCGTGGAGCAGCTAACATTCAAATGCAGAGCATGTAGTGTAATAAAAAAAACTGTAATTTTTTCGAATACACTCCGAAAAATTTTTCAGCTTTGTCACGCTTCAACAAAATGCTCTAAAGCGAACGGGAAAGCGCTTTTGCACTGGAACTGTTTAGCTTTTCCGTGTTCTTATACATTGTTCTCTGTGCAATGTCTGCATTACAAAACACTTAAAAATTAACTTAAAAACCAAAGAAGTTGTCGGGTTCGGTGTAAAACGATCTTAGTACTCATATTACGGTATGCTCACGCGTCTACATGCAAATTTGGGATAAGATATCGAATCATAATAAGACTTTTGAATGCCACCTGAATGCATTTATTTTAAACATTTTAAAATTTTATTCTCCTTATATATCATATTCAATTTTCATATAAAGTACAAATCCTTTGGCTAGAGGGTGAAATTATGAAAGCTATGAAACTAAAAAAGCGTTTGAGGGTGCGAGAGCGAAAGTTTGCGAACGTATTGCTACTTACCTGCATAGTTCCTTTACATATTAAGTATAGAAAGCGAAATCGCACTTCGTCCACTCGGTGGTAGAAAACAGGCAATGTCTAACCATAGTTTGCGAAAACTAAAATTTGCGAGTTAAGTTTTAGACTAAAGTTTGCGAAAACTTTCGCTTTCTAAACTTAGAAAGCGAAAGTTTACTGACCGTGAGTTTTCCTATGCAGTGAAAAACTCACTGACCGGACCGGCATATGAGAACAAAGTTCTTCAGCTTTCGAATGAACAGAACCGCACAAGGGTTACAGTATCCACTAACCAGACCTACTAAGTTAAAGGAAATATACTGACCGTCGATCAGGCCTGTAGAGTGAACGGAAGCTAAAGTTTTAGGGAAGGGATATTATCTTAGTGTTAGTGGCGTAGACCAGATAAGAGCAGAACCGTTATCAGTGTTCAGCACAACGCTAATGCACCAGCTGTCAAACGGACAGAACTGTGCAGAAGCTGCCATGTCTAAATAAAGGAACGGTCGCCATTGTCCGAGATCCTCAATTTACCACCGGCCTTACCTCCCCTTACCACAAACAGTGTGACCGCGAGGGCTGGTTTTATTTTGTTGGTGGCTATTGCCAATACACAAAAAATGTTAACTACCTAGTACCGGGTAGAACGACATCCCGTGTAAATGCAATCGCCATTAGATGCTTAAAATCTCTGTCAAAAATTTTTTTTGGGAACAGTTATCCGGAAACAATCGAAATTGAGAAAGAGCCAACCCAAAGGCCATATATATCAGTGCTTAGGTATCACTAATTAGGGCTGCTGCGTAAACGGAAATTACAGGACCCTCTATTGCTGTTACTAATGTTCAGTGAGTAGGACAACGTAATCTCTGTTGCTCGTTATCACTACATACTTCTTGCTGCCGACTGAATCAAGAATAAAAAAATTATCAAAAAATCAAAAAATCACACTACTAGAGAACGAGTACTGTATCTACCGACCAAACCTACTGATTACTGAACAAAGGATATTATTGTCCTCGATCAAAATTGGTTTCCACGTACCAGTTATTAAAAAGTAGCGAAGCAGAATTATTAGAAACTTAGCACCGCTGACCGCTCTCCGATTATTAGTCGTGCTATCTAACTATTTTGTTTCACATAAAACGAACCGCTCAGCTATATAATGCTGTTTCCTGATTAAAGCCAGGTAACTGAAGCTACGAACAGCGCCTAATCATACAAAATGTAAAAATATACACACAAACCAGGCTTCAGAAATAAATGAACAAGGATTATTTTTCAAGGAATTGAATGCAGACCACAAGAGCATCTGAGGCGAAGCCGAAGATGACTCTTGTAATATCTATAATATACTGTATAATGAAATATCTGTTAATATCATCACCTGATAGCGGCAACGTTGGTGAACAGCGTGAACAGTAGGTTCCCAGTTTGATAATACGCATTAGCATTATCGGATTTGTTGAACAAATTGTAAAAGGGAGGTCACCACGATTCATGGGCAGAGCCGCATTTTTATGCAGATAAGCTTCAACTTAAATCTGGGAACAAAATGCTTATCACATACGGTATTCATACAAAAATTACATACTTTGTTGGTGGGTGACCTATAGCAATTTTTGAGGAAAATTGCCCAAACCTGGCGCGTTATGGCTGTATGTAGTATTATGTACTTATACGTTGTTTTTGTTTAATATTACAATAATTTAGGAGCGACAATGGCAAAGATCAAATTTACCATCGTTCGGCTTCCCATGCATCGAATTGCGGAAGTGAGCAACCAATACCGTTTGCGGCTATCGAAATCGATGATGGTGATGTGGAGGTGGTTATGGAAATCGACGCTGCTGATGACGAGGAGGATTTCGTTAAGACAAGGTGCGAATCACTAGCAACATTTTCCCCAAACTAAATATTGACTAATTAGGGCTAACTTTTCGGGTTTTAGAAAAGAAAAGTTAATCAGTTTTTGTATGAATGTGAAATCCGTTTCATTCGAGAAATGTCAAAACGCCGTCTGTTTCTGAGACTAGTGCCATTTCCCATTTAAATTTTTCTATACATTCTGGAAAATGAAGCTTTTGAATCAATAATGCAAATTACGGCAACCACGGTATACAGTTTCATCGATTGCAGTTTTGGTTCGCTGTGGTTTTACAAACCAAGACCGGCTCTTACATCCAAACAACGTAGAACGTTCTGTATGGACATCATCCAAAACGACTACGACGAGACGAGCTTGGTGGTACCACTACCACGCGCTCCTGTTGGATTCCAAAACCATGCAAGAGATGGGATATTTTTAATCCGATTGGGGGAAATGGATAGCCACCCCGAACTGCGAGAGAATGTCCAAGTTAGGACATTAGTGGATTGGTTCAGAACCACATGGTACCACCGTGGAACCACAAGTGAACCAAGTACACACTCACTTGCTCACACGCTGTCACACTACCGCTTTACCCCTTGAACCAGGTGAACCTATGGAACCACATGGAACCTCCGTGGAACCACAAGTGAACCAAGTACACACTCACTTGCTCACACGCTGTCACACTACCGCTCTGCCCCTTGAACGAGGTGAACCTATGGAACCACATGGAACCTCCGTGGAACCACAAGTGAACCAAGTACACACTCACTTGCTCACACGCTGTCACACTACCGCTCTGCCCCTTGAACCAGGTGAACCTATGGAACCACATGGAACCTCCGTGGAACCACAAGTGAACCAAGTACACTCTCACTTGCTCACACCCTGTCACACTGCCGCTCTGCCCCTTGAACCAGTTGAACCTATGGAACCACATGGAACCTCCGTGGAACCACAAGTGAACCAAGTACACTCTCACTTGCCCTCACGCTGTCACACTACCGCTCTGCCCCTTGAACCAGGTGAACCTATGGAACCACATGGAACCTCCGTGGAACCACAAGTGAACCAAGTACACACTCACTTGCTCACACGCTGTCATACTACCGCTCTGCCACTTGAACCAGGTGAACCTATGGAACCACATGGAACCTCCGTAGAACCACAAGTAAACCAAGTACACTTTCACCTGCTCACACGTGTCACACTACCGCTCTACCCCTTGAACCAGGTGAACCTATGGAACCACATGGAACCACCATGGAACCATAAGTGAACCAAGTACACACTCACTTGCTCACACGCTGTCATACTACCGCTCTGCCACTTGAACCAGGTGAACCCATGGAACCACATGGAACCTCCGTGGAACCACAAGTGAACCAAGTACACTCTCACTTGCTCACACGCTGTCACACTACCGCTCTACCCCTTGAACCAGGTGAACCTATGGAACCACATGGAACCTCCGTGGAACCACAAGTGAACCAAGTACACACTCACTTGCTCACACGCTGTCATACTACCGCTCTACCCCTTGAACCAGGTGAACCTATGGAACCACATGGAACCTCCGTGGAACCACAAGTGAACCAAGTACACTCTCACTTGCTCACACGCTGTCACACTACCGCTCTACCCCTGGAACCAGGTGAACCTATGGAACCACATGGAACCTCCGTGGAACCACAAGTAAACCAAGTACACTTTCACCTGCTCACACGTGTCACACTACCGCTCTACCCCTTGAACCAGGTGAACCTATGGAACCACATGGAACCACCGTGGAACCAGAAGTAAACCAAGTACACTTTCACTTGCTCACACGCTGTCACACTGCCGCTCTACCCCTTGAACCAGGTGAACCTATGGAACCACATGGAACCACCGTGGAACCACGAGTGAACGAAGTACACACTCACTTGCTCACACGCTGTCACACTACCGCTCTGCTACTTGAACCAGGTGAACCTATGGAACCACATGGAACCTCCGTGGAACCACAGGTGAACCAAGTACACTCTCACTTGCTCACACGCTGTCATACTACCGCTCTACCCCTTGAACCAGGTGAACCTATGGAACCACATGGAACCACCATGGAACCATAAGTGAACCAAGTACACTCTCACTTGCTCACACGCTGTCATACTACCGCTCTGCCACTTGAACCAGGTGAACCCATGGAACCACATGGAACCTCCGTGGAACCACAAGTGAACCAAGTACACTCTCACTTGCTCACACGCTGTCACACTACCGCTCTACCCCTTGAACCAGGTGAACCTATGGAACCACATGGAACCTCCGTAGAACCACAAGTAAACCAAGTACACTTTCACCTGCTCACACGTGTCACACTACCGCTCTACCCCTTGAACCAGGTGAACCTATGGAACCACATGGAACCACCATGGAACCATAAGTGAACCAAGTACACACTCACTTGCTCACACGCTGTCATACTACCGCTCTGCCACTTGAACCAGGTGAACCCATGGAACCACATGGAACCTCCGTGGAACCACAAGTGAACCAAGTACACTCTCACTTGCTCACACGCTGTCACACTACCGCTCTACCCCTTGAACCAGGTGAACCTATGGAACCACATGGAACCTCCGTAGAACCACAAGTAAACCAAGTACACTTTCACCTGCTCACACGTGTCACACTACCGCTCTACCCCTTGAACCAGGTGAACCTATGGAACCACATGGAACCACCGTGGAACCACGAGTGAACCAAGTACACACTCACTTGCTCACACGCTGTCACACTACCGCTCTGCCACTTGAACCAGGTGAACCTATGGAACCACATGGAACCTCCGTGGAACCACAAGTGAACCAAGTACACTCTCACTTGCTCACCGCTCTACCCCTTGAACCAGGTGAACCTATGGAACCACAAGTGAACCAAGTACACTTTCACCTGCTTTAATCACAGCTACAAACTAGCATTTCAAATACTGTAAGAAAACCTGGGAATTTTTTGGTACCTAGCAAAGAAGGTTTGATGGCAAACACAGAAAGTTCTGAACATTTGTGGTTTCTCGTAGACATAGCATAGGATCCTCTTCAACGGCTTATTGCACGAGCTTTATGCTATGTCTACGAGGAACCACAAAGGTTCAAACTTTCTTTGCTTGCCATGAAAACTTAATTGCTAGGTACCAAGATTTTATTCGATCATTTCGAATGATAGTTTGGAGGTTCGGTTGAAGTTACTTCGCACAATGCGGTTCGCACAATGCGGTCTAGATTGTCAATCTATGGTAAGGAGAAAAGCGTCTATTAAGGGAAGTGGCCCGGTACATGGTACCAAATTCGTGTACATGCACGGAAACTTTCATTCTCGCGCACTCCCAAACACATTTTTGTTTCGTTTTATGGCATTCTGTAGCCAGATGATTTGTATACACTGGTGTGAAAACCGTTTGTGCGCGCAACATCCGGTTCGGGAGTTATGGCTGTAAGAAAATTCCCAAAAGTTTAAATGCTTTCAGGTGTGCCAAAAGTCTCATTATGGACCGATCTCCTTTAAATTTTGCATGTAAATGGCCATGAAGATCGTTTTTACACCGATCCAGACTTCCACGATTTTTTTCAAATTTTAAAATGAATTTCAAATTTTTGAAATTCATTTTAAAATTTGAAAAACATGCTAGAACAGTGGATCGGGGTAAAAACGTTCTTCGTGGTTATGTGCATTTACGTGCAAAATCTGAAATAGATCGGTCCATAATGAGACTTTTGGTACAACTGAATGCATTTAAACTTTTTGGAATTTTCTAACAGCCGTAACTCGCGAACCTGATGTTGCGCGCGCAAACGGTTTTCAGGCCTGTGTATACAAATCATCTGGCTACAGAATGCCATAAAACGAAACAAAAATGTGTTTGGGAGTGCGCGAGAATGAAAGTTTCCGTGCATGTACACGAATTTGGTACCATGTACCGGGCCACTTCCCTTAATCTAAGGAACACTTGCCTCGTACAGTAGTAAAATGTCTTATTAATCCGAAACGAACATCTCGTTTCAAATCGCTCATACATGTAATTATTCCGTGGTGTGTAATAAGTTTATTTAAATTGTCTGATTAAGCGAAAATGGGCAACGTGTTCGTGAACCTTGGTGCCGGACAGGAGGGCTCACATTTCTGGCACCCAGGCGCACGTTCGTAAACCCGTGTTTCATATAGAACAGGCAAAATGCAGCTTGTGAAAATGAAAGATGTTTTTGAGTTTAGGTTTAAATAAAGGTGGTTACGCTACCGCAATGTACTCACCATTTACTGAAAAATCGTTCATATCTGTACGTATCCAAAATAATAATTACACCACAACAGTTTTTTTAAGCGTTGCGCAATGGCCACCCGTTCTCGCGGTAGTCTAACGGTCGGCGCTGCTAGTGCTAAGCTATAGAGCAACAGCTGATCGTAGAAGTTTTGTGGCATTGCACAGTGGTACCAACGTGGTGGTACTGCATTTCCGTTATTGATATTAAACACATTGCGTGTTGCCGGCGGTGGCCGTCCCCGATACCATGGTATTATTCAGAATCGGACACTCGGACATACAGTATTTTAAAAGCAAGTCTGTAAATGCTCAAGTTTACCGCGATTGGCGCTGACGAAGCACTTAACGGATAGATGTGATCCATTTTGCCCGCCAAATAACTTAACAAACCTTTGCCGGCAAAGAGGTTTGCCAAAAAGCCGTGAGCCAGTCCACCTTTCTGCCGGCTACAAGTGAGCCACATAGAATCATTTGATATAGAATGGAATGCTCAATTGCTGAAAATAGTTTTATTGCTGTTACTAAACTTGTCATGCGCCACAAAATGTTGGGATAATCCAGTATACTAAAACAGGACGACAGCGTTTGTCTTCCATAATACGTCAGTTTTGTGCAACCACAAAACGTTACAAAAAATTTTTTTTTCAAAGAACGTAAGCGGTTTACAGCTAGCAGCCTAATGTATGCAACACTTAAGAGAGAGCTGCTAATATGCTTCAAAGAATAAAAAAAAAACGGATTCTCTTCTGGAACCAAGGGACTTCGACAGGCATCATGGATTAGGTAAATGCTGAATTCGAAAGAAAACATGGCACACACAGAGTGCTTGAGAGCGGAAAACAAAAGCAAAAATGATTCACAAGCTGGGCTTCCTTCTTTATGGGCGACCAATCAACGCTCAGCAGTTTGCTTATTTGCGTGGTTTTTTGGAAGGACGAGCTTGCTTAGCACAGTATCGGCACATCCACGTATTAGAGACAGCCCCTCGCCGCGTTCCAAGAGCGATCGTTGACACACTAGCACACTGAAGATGGAAGGAGTGCAAGCAGCGCGTACATTTAATCCAGGCCTGGTTCTGCTGGGTTTCATCCAATGACTTATCGCAGGTTACCACGGCGCAGCGAAGAGCTTTTGGCTCCGCGATAGGCGATAATTTATCCCTGGTATCGCCGATGCGACGCTTCATGGTTTGGACGGTGCGTTCCACATTTGCAATACCGAAACAGTACGCTTAAATTTAGTTAGCACAATTCGTCAAAAAATTCGTCAAAAGCAAATAAAATAATTTCCGATACTGAGTATAACCCAGCAATACAATAAATTTACTTAATAGGAACCGTGTGATCAAGTGCACCGAAGGCACTAATGTAACCGAAGTCTATGATAGTCTTAAAGAAACGCGAAAACAAAACACATCATACCACTCGATGACCTAGACACACTGAAGCCATTTCCGTCGCCACTCGCTGCATCCCGCTGTTCCGCCAATTCTCGATGCATTTCGCCTTTTTGTACTGCAGAACATTTTTTGCTTATTGCGACGTAAACAAGTGCAAACAATACAAATCGGAAACAGCTGATGCCACTTTTACAATTTTCCGTTAATTTTAGTCTGTTCAAGTATAAGCGTTAGCGGCACTTTTTCTGTGGTGCACAAGAACCGACGATGCATTATCGTCCCGTAAGGTATACAGGATGCAAAAAATGATCGGCAAACACGATACCTCGAATTAACCATTATTTGGAACGGCTGCACTATGTGTATCAATATACAGAATACAGGGCCGATTAAACCGCCGCTTTAGCGGGCGGCTACTTGAACAACTGAAACGGACTGGCTGCGGCTGGAATCCCGAGATTTGACGGCGCGATCAGCATTTTTAACAGTACCTGTTTGTTCCTCCTTCATGTCTCACATTAATTTTTTCATTTTTTCTATGTACGGAAACGTATTTTTAAACACCCGGATATTTCGACGCAATTAAATTCGACGCCTTCTTTGCGCCGCGAAAACATATCGCGGGGACAATCGGACGCTAGGGCACTTCGGTTTGGGACATTTTGCTTAAAGGCAGAAAGCCTTTGCGACGTTTTAACACAAGAGACAGTTCGCCCTAAACGAATTTGACACATCCAGTTTGTACTTGTTTTTCCAGATTCATCTCATTTTTCATGATTTCTCAGAGGAAAAAAATTTTAATGAAGCAGTACGGTAGTTAAGTAATAAATCCCAGCAGGAGCTGAAGGATTTATTTTATTTAATGTAATAAAGTAGTTTATGCAGACCAACACGGTCAAATTTATGTGGTAGGTGTCCTATATGGCTCACCGACATTTCGTCGATCTGACACTACGTCGAGTCGTCGATCGACATAGTGTCGACCGCACTTCGTCGACCGTTACGAGGGCGACGACCAGAAAACCTAAGAAACCCTAAAAAAACTAAGAATCCTAAGAAAACCTAAAAAACTTAAGAAAACCTAAGAAACCAAAGAAACCTAAGAAAGCTAAAATCATTTCGGCCGAGTTAAATTTGAATCATATGCGATCAGCACCGACGCTGTTCATTCCGCTTAATAGTCACTGTGGCTAGCACTCAATACGGCCACCACTTGTTTGGCCTTCAACAATTGTGGGTCTAGTTTTCGTTACTTTCTGTTTATGATTTTCCAATGTTTTTTATATGCTCCTTATGACTTTATATGCCTTTTTGTCTTTTGTCTTTGTTTCGTCTTTTTATGTCATCGCTTTGTTATTTCATTGATAAAAACCTAAATACTGCAAAAAAATAACGTTAGGAAAGTTTTCCTGATCATAGACGGTGATTGTCTTGTACAGCTTCTCACATTCTATGGCTTTTCAGTATGTGAGCTGCCCGTGGCAAACATGCGGTTTCACGGTGGTTCCATTTGCTATAGGTTCATCTGGTTCAAAGAGTAGAGCGGTAGTGTGACAGCGTGTGAGCAAGTGAGCGTGTACTTGGTTCACTTGTGGTTCCACGGAGGTTCCATGTAGTTCCATAGGTTCACCTGGTTCAAGGGGTAGAGCGGTAGTGTGACAGCGTGTGAGCAAGTGAGAGTGTACTTGGTTCACTTGTGGTTCCACGGAGGTTCCATGTGGTTCCATAGGTTCAACTGGTTCAAGGGGCAGAGCGGCAGTGTGACAGGGTGTGAGCAAGTGAGAGTGTACTTGGTTCACTTGTGGTCCCACGGAGGTTCCATGTGGTTTCATAGGTTCACCTGGTTCAAGGGGCAGAGCGGTAGTGTGACAGCGTGAGAGCAAGTGAGAGTGTACTTGGTTCACTTGTGGTTCCACGGAGGTTCCATGTGGTTCCATAGGTTCAACTGGTTCAAGGGGCAGAGCGGCAGTGTGACAGGGTGTGAGCAAGTGAGAGTGTACTTGGTTCACTTGTGGTCCCACGGAGGTTCCATGTGGTTTCATAGGTTCACCTGGTTCAAGGGGCAGAGCGGTAGTGTGACAGCGTGAGAGCAAGTGAGAGTGTACTTGGTTCACTTGTGGTTCCACGGAGGTTCCATGTGGTTCCATAGGTTCAACTGGTTCAAGGGGCAGAGCGGCAGTGTGACAGGGTGTGAGCAAGTGAGAGTGTACTTGGTTCACTTGTGGTTCCACGGAGGTTCCATGTGGTTCCATAGGTTCACCTGGTTCAAGGGGCAGAGCGGTAGTGTGACAGCGTGTGAGCAAGTGAGTGTGTACTTGGTTCACTTGTGGTTCCACGGAGGTTCCATGTGGTTCCATAGGTTCAACTGGTTCAAGGGGCAGAGCGGCAGTGTGACAGGGTGTGAGCAAGTGAGAGTGTACTTGGTTCACTTGTGGTTCCACGGAGGTTCCATGTGGTTCCATAGGTTCAACTGGTTCAAGGGGCAGAGCGGCAGTGTGACAGGGTGTGAGCAAGTGAGAGTGTACTTGGTTCACTTGTGGTTCCACGGAGGTTCCATGTGGTTCCATAGGTTCACCTGGTTCAAGGGGCAGAGCGGTAGTGTGACAGCGTGAGAGCAAGTGAGAGTGTACTTGGTTCACTTGTGGTTCCACGGAGGTTCCATGTGGTTCCATAGGTTCAACTGGTTCAAGGGGCAGAGCGGCAGTGTGACAGGGTGTGAGCAAGTGAGAGTGTACTTGGTTCACTTGTGGTTCCACGGAGGTTCCATGTGGTTCCATAGGTTCACCTGGTTCAAGGGGCAGAGCGGTAGTGTGACAGCGTGTGAGCAAGTGAGTGTGTACTTGGTTCACTTGTGGTTCCACGAGGTTCCAAGTGGTTCGATAGGTTCACCTGGTTCAAGGGGCAGAGCGGTAGTGTGACAGCGTGTGAGCAAGTGAGAGTGTACTTGGTTCACTTTTGGTTTCACGGAGGTTCCATGTGGTTCCATAGGTTCACCTGGTTCAAGGGGTAAAGCGGTAGTGTGACAGCGTGTCGGCATGTAGGAGTATACCTGGTTCACTTGTAGTTTTACGGTGGTTCCATGTGGTGCCATAGGTTTATCTTATTCCATTGGTTCAGAACCTGGTGAACCACTAGTGTCCTAGCCTATGGGTTCATTCCTATGGAACCACTTAATGTCCTAACTTGGACATTCTATGCGAACTGCGACCTGATGGCGCTGGCGTTTGGAAATATAACGGTCGATTTGGACCTGTGAACGGCGTCAAAACACTGTACTTCTACAATGAAACATGCGAGTCGTTTAAAAAAACGCTCTACATCAATACGCAAAATCGGCTTGCCGTCGTGGATTACCGGTGGGATAAAGATTGTCAGCCAAAACCATTCATGGTTCCTGCCCACGGCAACTCCATGAATGACTTGCCGTTCAACGGCACAACAGGGCTGTCACGGAGAATCATCGAAGAAAATGTTTCCGGACAAAAGCGCTTGGCTGTGGAGGAAATCGTAGAGGTATCAACACAAGCTGCCATACAGGGAAGTTGCAACCCTTTGTCACTACCGCGTGACAAACGGCAGGTCAAGCGGGCCAAGATTACAAGCAAGAAATCGGAGATGGCAGACATCATGACAAAGCTGTGTCTTGAAGCTGACGTGTATTTCCATTGCACTATGATCCGTTGCAAGAATCGAAACGACGGAAGAAAACACCTCATTCCAGTCGTCTATTCACAGTCTCAAGCACTACTTGCGAAGACATTTGCTCTTTCGGGTAAGAGTAAGATTTTAAAGCACATAACGTTATACCCTTTTAGTGAGTGCGCCTGTTTGTTTGAAACAAATTTGACCATATTCACAAAGCCACAGCAAATGAGCAAACTACAGTGGGCTTCAAAAAGGTGGTACTTTCGGCCCAGGACATTTAATAGTCACAATCAATACTCGCCGTTCTTTTTTAACGCCAGTTTAATTCGGTTCGCCGCGGTATCTTTGCTCGTTTGTGGACAAGTGCGAATAAGTGGAAACAGCTGCGGCGTTGCGGTTTCTGAGAGAGAACAGGTCGGCAGAATGTAATTTTCGAAATGGCTGTGAGCCCCGACAAACCGGGCGCACAGAGTTCAGTTATGCGCCCGAGTGTTCCGGCGCACCGAATTTGGCCCTGCTCCCCGAATATCCTGACACAGAAATATCAACATTTTTATGTTTATCTGTTTCAGTAGATTCAGAAATGCTAATTCCGGTTAACGCAGCGGAGGAAGTTCAAAGCTGGACGACTTGGTTGACTAGAGTAGTGTCCAGCCGAGAAAAGCCATCAGGGTGTGTCGTAGAGATGTGCCCAAATTCTGTACGCCCGGACACAGCCAAATTCTGTGCTCCCGGACATCAGGGCGCATAGCCAAATCCTATGCGTCCGGTTTGTAGGGGCGCATAGCAGTCACCCTTATTTTTATAATTTACGCCCGATGACCAGCCGGAAGTGGGTGCCTGAAAACATGACGTGCCTGGCTCCGCTCGTTTTGTAGTTGTATAAAAGCGTAAAACCTCTTTGAAGGACCGTGTACAATGCAAGAGAAAGTTGATTTGCGAAACATCTGCACTGCACAGTGGCCGTGTTGTGGACAATGCAGTTAGTTATTGTACTTTATACCAGTTTCACGGATGTTAGAGGAAGTAGTTTTAATTAACGACCAAAGATATTTATAAAAAAACCACTGACTCATTTTTAGGATACAAAGGAAATAATGCCGTGTTCAGCCCCATGTATATCGACGTCGTGCATGACATTGGTGAATTCTACGTGATGACAATTGCCATTCAACATCCATATCTTCGCAGAAAAGACACAATGTGTGCCACTAAGCAGCTTTCACGCACATCTAAAATGAGAGCGGCCGGAAGAGCGGTCATTTTGATTGGTGTTGCTGTTTTAACGGGCCTTACAGCCCCAGAATTTCAAGCGGGCTTATACAGTATCCTCGAACGTTATCAGTACGTGTGTGACGAAAGCAAAACCAATTTTACCGAATGGACACCAACTATTGTTACGGATTGTGACGCCGCTCAGCGGAAAGCCATTACCACTTTGCTGCCAAAAGCCAAGTTGTTGTCGTGCTTTCTGCATATGAAGGATAATTTTAAGAGGCACATGAAGTACACTCTAAAGCTTGACGAGAGCGCTGTGAAGAAGGTCATCAGTATTTTTTTCGGGAATGCCGATATCAGTTCTGCTGAGTATTGCAAAGGACTAATCGACTCCGCGTCGGTGCAAGAGCTTGATGAAACATTCGGTTTTCTGAACGAGAAGCTGAACGAGTTGGACCCTGGAATTGCGGAATACTATCTGAAAAACAAACGAGATGAATTTGCCAAAAGAGGAATTTTGCCTGTGCGACAAGCGGCAGGATTTGGAGAAGACCACGTCACAAATAACGTCGCAGAAACTGCAAACTTTGAATTTAAGCACAAACTCCGGACAACTGCTAACGGAAAGGTGTCTTTGATCGACGTTATACAGCAAGCGAAATCGTTAGTGAGCCGGCAGGACAAATACATTGCGGAAGCAATCATAGGTATGTGCATGAGGCTATATATATCGGGTCACCGATAAAAAAGTTTATACTTAAAAAATTTTATGTTCTTACAGTACCTCATCACAAGCAAAGAAGATATGATTTAAGTTTAATTTAACGCGTACTCACTGTAGTAGTAATGATTAACCTCCTGTAAAGTCCAAGGAATGCTATACTTCACGTCATGTATCTGTAAGTGCGCACTACACAGTAGGTAAAATCACCTTACCAGTCTGGTACAAGCTTGTCCCGCAATTTCTTTTGTAAATGTACAGACAACACGTACGTCGTATTTATCGCGAAAGTTTCGCTTTGACCGACTGCCACTGCACTGCCGTCATTACTTATATAAGTACTGTACCACAATGATAAATACAGTCCTCTGAGAACTGTGCCGGGTAGACCAAATTTGGACAACTTGTCTTTCTTTAAACTTGACTAACATCAGCGCACCATGTTACGAGTGCTTAGTCCTCTCAAAATTCAAGCTAAATCATAAAAGAGAAAAGTTGTGTTAATTTATGTCGATACTTCAGCATTTAACTCGATATTTGGTTGCATCAGCCGTGTGAAATGTATCTTGAACGTAACTAATGTGATGTGGCGCGCCGGAGAAGGGAGTTTGAACTTTGCAGTAACAGGTGAATTTGTATTAATTTTGTTGCGGTGTTAATTCGATGAAAGTTATGGGAGAGTATTGTAAAGTCTACGTTATGATCGGCATCCTTGGTAAAATTTTTAAAGGAGCACCAGACTTTGGAATGCAGCAACAAAAAATTTCAACCAGCTGTAACCACCTCCACATTTAAAAGATTCTGACTGCTATTCAGTTAAAATTAGATTGGAGAATTTCCAGGCAAAGATGATGACTATTCATTTAGCTACTGAATTGCGAGTTACGAGTTCAACCTAACGAGCATACAATCATGCTTTTTGTAGGTAGCGGTGAGTTGATCTTATCAGACACAGCGCCCTTTCGTCAGTGTTCGCTTGACATCTTATACGACGACCACAAGTATCGGACAGTCTTACGTTCATTGTTTGGTGGGGACATTAAGTCAGACCCTTTGCTTGACCGTCGTACTGCGTTGGGAAATGGAAAACCTGAACCTGTTAAACTGCAAACGTCCTTCGAAGAGTCACATCTGTCGGTAGACTTTAAACAATACTGGCGCTCACCTACCGAGCTAATCAGCGGCGGAAAGGTACAGGCTGCTCCGTCAAAAATGGGAGTCAACATATTCCTGGCTGAAGACCGAAGCGGCGGGTTTCACCGTGTTAAGTGGATGGAGAATGATCGGGCAGAGTGCAGCTGCTCCACGTTCAAAGCTAAGCAATTTTGCGCGGATATAATGTCAGTTGCGCATTTGAAACAGCGAATGCCGGAATTCTTAGCTAATTTAAGAGATAGTTTGCCGGCATTTCCAAAAGTTATAGGCCCGACATTGGAAGGAAAGGGTAGAAAAGGTGGTGACAAGCGTAAAGGTGACAGAAAGTTGTCTCAAGGAGCAACAATGCGGTCCGGGCTGGTTGCTGTCGAGAATCTTCCACGGAAACCAGATCACCCTTGCTCGTCAAGTGTACGAAAATTATGTCGGCGGCATATCTGATATATGAATAACAAACCAAGTTTTTACTTACAGAGTGTTGTGGTGGATGCTGATGATGACGACAGACAAGTGCGAATGTTCAATACACGGTTGGCTGATAAACCGGTTGGTATTTTTAAAAAAATTATGTTGTTCTTACAAATGCTTCTTTTTTATCGCATACTGCTGTTTTGCTCATTAGGACAATGAAAGCGGTCAGGCGAAGCGAGTGAAACTATCCAGTGTGCGAGCTACTTCCGGATCGGTAAGCTTAGTATGACGCGCGAACTTACTTCATGGTATTTGCGCAGTTATCGTGCCGTATTTATTCTAGCGTGGTTAACCCGTAATACCAGTATACATGCGAGTAATATGCAATGAATATCAAAGCTGTTCTAACAAATTGCATGGTATTTTATTGTATACTTCTATCCAAAATAGGAAAAATAATACAGCGGCGGGGTACACTAATCGCGCTAAAATACTAACTTGCAGACTGCTTCACTTTTGAAATCTAGTAATTTAATTTAAATGTTGCAGCATCCTCAACTGCAAGAACTGGAAGCTGCTGAGCAAAAGCTTAAAAGAGAAAGGTCACCAGGTGAGCCTTTTCGCAACACGTTTAATTGTTCAATCAACCATTAGCTAAGAAACTAAATTCTGTTATTTAATTATTAGTAATAGTTGTTTAATTCAAGCTACTCAGCACCTGCCTTTCGCAACCAGAGTAACGACTATGGTATTATTCTCCAGAAATATGCGAAAAATTATAAGCGTTTCTTTATATTTTACTCTACGTTTTAATTTTAAGGACGCACCGCTAAGTTCAAATGAATATTAGTTATTATTCATTTTTCCGTTAATTTTTTCACCAATTTACCATTCTCGTAGGACCGTGTCCATGTTGCGCTGCTATTACCGGAAGAAAACTGAAGCCATGGCAAATGGGTGACCAGCCTTTCATCATAACCAGAGATAACTCCATTCACGAAAATACCGTTTGTCCTGGTTGCCGCCAGAAGTTTATCGACAATCCTCCAAAACAAAATCTGATAATTATGCGAAAAGAATTGGACTATGTCAGCGGGAGTGGCAGCAAAGCTATCATTAAGCAGCCCAAAAGTCGGAAGTACTGTTTGAAAGTTTCCTGCATTCAAAAGCGGCACCCAAAGTTTTCCCTGCCATTCGCAAATCAGCTGGACGAAACAGTGCGTTTTACACCAGAGGAACTGAAAGCTATCGTAGAGTTTCGCGGAGAGCTATTTGACAACAGTTAACTTTGTTGCTTTAGTTTGTTCAACTGCTTTGCAGCGTACATTGTGGTCATAATTAATTTCCTTGTTTCTTGTGAGGTCACTTACGTTGCCGCTTTTTCGCGTACGTTGTTTGTCACAGTTGATTTCCTTGCTTTTTGGGTTGGTAACCTACTTTGTCGCATATTAACTAGCTATGTACACTTACTTTGGCTTTCTTGTATTACAATTTCTTTTTGCTGCATAAACTTGAATACCATAACAGGTAAATCGAGGAAGACAAGTAATAACTGGTATTTCGATGTGAAAATTCTAAAAAGTTCCGGAGAACAAGTGTACGCCATAGAGAACCTTTGTTTTCAGCTTTTATCAGAAGCAGAATAACTCAAGTAAGAATGAACTGATCATATGTACGCACTTAACCTACAATACATCTGATAATTCAGTAATCGCCTTATTTCTATTATACCGTACCATTTTTTGCTGCTTGATACGCAACGCTGGAAGCATGAAAAGCAGAGAAAACCACTATATTATATATTAAGACCTTATACTGTACAGATACTGACAAAAATTGACATACTCATAATATGTACTTTCAAGAAGCGCTCAAACAATTGTTTTTACAATTTACAGTAGTATTTCTACACAAGAAGTAAACCGGCTGTCTGCATATAGTATTTTTTGCTATTCCAGAAGAAGCTTTTCAAATAACTGCGAATTTTGCTCCCTACGATGTATGAAATACTTTCGATTTTTCACCGCATAAAAAGTTTCCTTCCTCATTTTGACCACCGAAATTTCCTTCCTCTTTTTGACCAAAAAACATTCCTTCCTTTAATTATTCCTTCATCTTTTTGACCACGAAATTTCCTTCCTTTATTTATTCCTTCCTCTTTTTGACCAAAAAACATTCCTTCCTTTATTTAATCCTTCCTCTTTTTGACCAAAAAACATTCCTTCCTTTATTTATTCCTTCCTCTTTTTGACCTTGGCCGGAGCTTCCGCAGTGGACAGAAGTGAAGCGAAGCATTGGAGCTGAACTAAGAAGACCATCTGCGCTCCGGTCCAATACGAAGCGTAGCTGCTAGCTGCATGAGTTTTTGGGAAATGTGGTACTGTATTCTAAAGATTTGCAGTATCAGCAAATTTTAAACAGAAAGACTGTATTTCATGTTCCGCCTGTATTTCGTTTTCCGATAGTGTCTACTGATTTCGTGCTTCGACCAAAGCGTCTGGCTCGGAAGAATTCTTAGAACACTATCGCCGGCGCATCGTAGACGCAAGAAACTGGGTGGGCAAAATTACTTACGGCCGGCGTTTTTTGCCCCCGGACATTTTGGTCGTGCGGACATTTAGGTTGGTAAATAACCCGTTACAGCCTTACAGGCGTCTAATCGGCCCTCACAGTATAGAGTGAGATTTCTAGGGCGTTTCCAGAGAAATCGATTTAGCACATAAATTTACTGAATCGGTTGGTTCAGCTCGGTGTGTGTTAACTGCACACATGCGAGATCTTTTATACCATTCGTTCGACTTATTTTACTTCAACTTATACTGCGCACAAATTTACATTTAGGTATCCTGCCATTTCGGCTGCCTGACACTTCGGCTGCTTGAGTTTTCGGCTGCCTGACAGTCTGACTAATCTGAGACTGTCAGCAACATTTCGATAAAAATTAACCTCAAATCAAACTACAGATTATTAATTTTAATATGTTTGCGCCATCAATATGGCACTTTACATACAGCAAGTTCACCGCACAACACATTAATTAAGATTACAATACGATTACAATTAATATTTTAATTACAATACGTGTACAATGGTACAGAACTTAAATTTATATTATGCAGATCAGCACATGTGCAAACAGTGCGGTAGATTCGAAATATGCATTACGTACTGTACAGATGCGCAGCAGATTCGAAAATGAGCGGATATTACGAGTAGTATACAGTAGTATAGCAGTATCTGTGTGCTTAATGTGCATGGATTCGATTATACAATAGCAGCATCCTAAGCAAATGGAACGCACATTTGCTTGATTGCATTTTGCATTCTAAACCGTGGCAGTTGGTTGTTTCAATTTTTTTGCTGATCCAGTTCTGGTTATTGAGTTGTTCCAACTCTTCGTTAGATTATGGCCCAAGTAACCTTTTCGACTACCAATCGTAAGGGCACAGTGTTAAATTTTAACGGTTATGAGTACATCACAGCCTGGAACCGTGGAGGAGATAAAACCAAAGACTGTACGATCTGGCGTTGTCGTGAGAAGGACCGCTGCAGTGCACGACTGCATTACAGTAATGGCAAAGCGGTTGAGCGTGGCCAACATTCACATGCCCCGGACATCATTAAGGTTACGGCCAATACGGCTAGAGCGGTGGTGAAGGAGCGAGCTGCGAACACTGGAACGTCCTCGCCAGGTGATTGACGAAGTGCGGGCTGAAATTCCCATCAGTGCTGCAGTGACAATGCCATCTTACGACGCCCTTGCCCGAACCACTGGGCGCCAAAGACAGGCTGAAAATGTTCCCACAACCAAAGTAAACTGTCTGGCTGATATTGATGGAACCTATTTTTTAAAAGAGACCGCGCGAAAGGAGTCCATCTTGATTGCTGATACTGGCGCAGAAGATCCGTTCCGCATTATTGTTTTTGGGGATCCCAAGTGTTTTGAATACCTTGCGCGAACAAATGTTTGGCTCAGCGACGGCACATTCAGCGTTAGTCCGCCCATTTTTACTCAGCTGTACACGGTGCATGGCGACATTTGTGGTGCAACGGCTCCCCTTATATTCGCACTGTTGCCAAATAAGTCTGAGCTCACCTACCGCCGCCTTTTTACATTAATTCGCGATGAACTGATGCAAAAAAATCAGTCTGTGGATGTTGGGCCGGAATACATGGTGATGGATTTCGAGCAGTCCTCAATTATTGCGTTTCGCAAAGTTTTTCCCACGGCAAAACTGAGAGGTGACATTGAAATCCATTTTGTAATACTGTTATTAAGCTGGTATTAAGTCTTGAGTTTTCAAGTAATAACTTTTAAAATGTTTTGTCTTAATGTTAATGAAATAAAATTTAATTGTCCCCATTTAAACTGTTGCTATTTCGTATTATTTGTTTGTTATTTTTTGAAATATTTGAAAAAAATATTATTATAATGAAAAACATTATTGTTAACAAAAACACTGTTAATCAAATGACAATTAAACATTTATAACTGATATTAACAATAATAACTTAAGTTAAATTTATTAAATAATGATACTTTCCATTTTCATTAGCATTAATAATTATCATCAGTAATAAATTTTACTTAATAGGCTATTAAATTAAACAATTTATTATTCCAGTCCAATTTGATGCATAATTGATTAGTACACTTTCTTTCAGCATTTCATGTTTTCTTCATACTTTCGAACGTGACAGTTAATCATAATTTTGATAAGGAAATATTTTCAGGGTGCAATTTTCGTTTCGGGCAGAGTCTGTACCGGAAGCTTGTCAGCTTAGGACATGGACCCATGTATGCAACTAATTCCGAGTTCAGCATGTCATGCCGTATGGTGTTCGCTCTCGCATTTGTGCCTGTAAATGACGTCCACCGAGTGCTTGCCGAACTTCTAAATTCACCGGACTTCCCATTCAAGCAGAATGACGCTTTCATTGAATACTTATGGACGACGTATACTGGCCGAAACGTATTTGCAGGAAACAGATGCATTGCCATGAAGCCGCTGTATCCGGTCGAATTTTGGAGTTGCTCGGACAGACTTGCGAACGACATTCACCGTACAACTAATCGGTTGGAAGCATGGCATCGCACATTTGCTGACGCTGTCAATAAGGACCACCCCGGCATATATCAGTTTTTTAATTTGCTGTGCCGGGAAATTGTCCACCAGCAAACGGAAGCCGCTGCACGTATGGTTGGTGCCGAGCCGAAGCAGAAAAAGAAGTACATGGAGGTCACCAAACGGCTCAAGAAAGTAGCGTCCAGCTACGGGCAGATGGATGCAATCAGTTACCTCAGATCAGTTGCGATTAATTTGGAAATTTTGTTGTAAAATCTGGTTGAAATCAGAATAACTGAACTGTATACGTAAATGAGTACTCATTACTATTATACTAAAACACTAACAATTTGGTAACTGACATCAACATTTTTGGTCATTTTTATTTATTTTTGTTTTGGTTATTTCTTATGCTTGTGAGTTCGTTTAATTTATTTCTTTGTTAATTGCTGTTCAGCTGTTAATTAATTTAATCGTATCTAGATTCATCATTTGCCTGTTAAGTAAAACCATCCTAGCATATGTTGATAATCCGTACTAAATTTCGGAAGAGGTAGCCGCCGTTATGTTCGTACGTACCTACGGAGTTATTGATAACAAATTAATAATAAGTGTTAGAGACCAGTCAGTATAAGCGGTAGCCAAGAAGCCGGCCGGTATAAAATGCCGGCGGCCGAATTGTCAGGCGGCCGAACTGTCCTGCGGCCCAAATGTCAGGCAGCCGAAACAGCCGAAATGTCCGGCGGCCGAAATGGGGGGATACTGCTGTTGCCAAGGGATACACAGAGGACACTCCATGATAAACGGCACGCTGCTTCTCTGTACCGGAACCCCCGGGACCGGCTATTGCTTGCAGTAGGTACACTTGAGGAATTACTCTGACAAGATTTTTTTCATTGTCCAGCACTGCGTCACTTCTCAGATTCTCACATTTGGCTGCTGCCAAACTGAACATAAAATATTATAATATCTGAATGGCGCGCTCGAATCAGCCTGGCAGCTCCAGATCTTATCGGGCTAACAGCGGTATAAGCAACCATGCAATGCGAGTGTTAATGAACGAATACCAAAACTTGCAGAAGGAACCAATGGAAGGCTTTAAGGTCAAGCTGGGAAAAGATGACAATATTTGTGAATGGGAGGTCACGATTTTTGGTCCGCCAGATACGATATATGCAGGAGGCTATTTTCGAGCATTGATGAAGTTCCCACCTGAGTATCCATTTCAGCCTCCGACAGTTCGGTTTTTTAACTGCTTATGGGTATCACTGTGGTCAGCTTACGTTGTGCCGTTTTATATTTTTTTTCTGTGTAACTGACAGTGATACGTATGCGGTAATGAATCTAGCCGAGAGTCCCGATCATTTTAAATTACTTTAAATCAATTAAATGCTCATTTGCGGCATAACCAGACGCTTTATTGTGGCTAAATAGCTTACTTTTTCCAGCATCCGAACATATATAAGAATGGAACAGTGTGTATCAGCATTCTGCATCCACCGACAGACGATCCGCATTCAGGAGAGCTGCCATGTGAACGCTGGAACCCAACCCAAAACGCTCATTCTGTCCTGATGTCAGTCATATCGTTACTTAATGAGCCTAATATCAATAGCGCCGCCAATGTCGAAGCGTCTGTTACGTATCGGAGATGGAAAGAAAATGGCGACCCAGAATATGTGCACCGTGTTAAAGAGAATGTTGAATCTTCGAGGATCGAAGCAGTTAGAGATGGAGTTCGAATTCCCACAACAATAGAAGACTATTGCATGAAGAAGTCCGACAGCATTACTGAAGCTATCAGCAACAAAGGGTCAGCCGGCGATAGTGAAATTTCCTACTCGGATCTCGGAGATATAGACGAAAACAGCATTTATACTTTTAGTGACGATGAGGAGCCAACTGGTTTATAAAAAGAAGTTATGCCATCTGTTTTATAGGACTTGAAATGATTGGACTGTGAACTCAAATGAAAAAATAATAATTCTATTTAAATGTGGTTTAGGAATATTTCCAACTGTCCTTCGTTGTTACGTACTGCAGCTGCGCTATCTTGACCTGAATAGCTGCGTAGTCGTCTGCCGGTTGTCGATTTTACCTGTCTTTCTATTTTGAGATAAACCGTTGGACAGCATTAAATCGTTGTCTTCCACAGATGTTTGCTGTGAGTTTTAAGGCATGCTATTGAAAAAAACCCGTCGCTGACTTTCAGCCCGAAATTCGATTCGCGCGGATATGCTACAGTTACAGCAATTCCTGCGAGTAATATAGATACACAAGAGTCATCTTCGGCTTCGCCTCAGATGCTCTTGTGGTCTACAGTCGATTCCCTAAAAAATAGTTTTTGTATGATCGGAAGTTTGAATATTTGATGTACATATAATATATAAAAAGTAATGTTTAATATATTGTCCAAGATTTATTTATTAGAAGTTTAGAACGCAACATATAAACGAGGCGAAGAAAAATTTAAAAGAATCTTTTATTTCCGTCCATTTTTTAACAGCATGGTTTTTGTGTGCGTTTCTTTTTCGAAGATTGCGTAGCGTCGAAAGAGCTTTCGGCATTACATTACGTGCTAGGACAGCCCCAAACATATGAAGTAGTACCAGATATTATTTGAACGTGTATTATTAATTTTGATTTACTGCACTTCGAGGTCTGAAATACAGGCCGCAAAATTTCGACCAGACAAAGCTTTGTCATTTTAACAACTGTAACGTCACTGTCGAAATTCCATGGAATGGATTGCCTGCTCCAGGAAGATGACAATAGTAAAAATAATAATACTAGAACGCTATGCGATGCCGCACTGTCTCCCGTTCATACGCAATAGCAGGTCCTGTAATTTCCGTCCATTGGTATGGACTACGGGTTGAATAGCTCTGAATTTCGATCGCTTCAGAATAAATATTTCATTCTGAAACGAGAAAATGCATTTGACACAATTCGTTGACACAGATGGTTGACGGTTCTGGTCTCATCTGGTCTACGTTGCATGCTTCCCGTTTCTTGTGTAGGTTTGGTCAGTGGAAAGTGTGACCCCTTGTGTGATTCTGTGCACTTGGCACCTCAAGCACTGAGCGGTGAGCAGGGGTATCGGTTCGGTTCTCCCATAGTCTTAATTTCTGGGAACAGTTCACACCAGTTCCCGTAATTTCTGTTCATTCAGCTGACCTGATCAGTAGTCTCGTACTGCACACACACAATGGGCAAACATTCCAGGGGTAGTTTTGGTGGTCGTGCTTCGTGGTCATACACTCACTTGTCCCTTGTCAGCAATTTTAACCATATGCACCGAGAGTTTTTGATTACAGTAATTTGATCAGACAGTCGCAGTTTTCCACTCGCTTCCATCGAGCAGACGTTGCGTTTTCGTCTTCTGCTCATGCACGAAAGTGTGCCGAAAATTTCAAAATGTGCCAAAAATTTTAAAATGCTTAAAAAGAATTGAGGGGTACAAAAGTCTCATTATAGATCTAATCCAAACGATCCGATCGATCTTTTCCAAATTTTGCAAGCAAACGTATAACTATGAGTAGTAGGTAGTACGTAAATGTCGGTCGTTTTCAACGAATTGGAACGATTTCCACTATTTTGCTTTCACAATATACCTTTGTAAATTCATACGATTTAGAAATGCATAAGAACGCGCGATGTAATTATGCATAAGAACGCGCGAAAGCAAAAGTTCCCATGCGGTAAGCCCACTAAAGCCGGCCCCGGCTATGAATGTCACCGGCAGACATCTCTTTAATTTACAAAGGCTTCCGGTGTGATACAACTTCACGAAATTCGCACTTTTCAGTCCTGAAATCTATTGTTAAAAAATTCAGTTTTTATTACTTACTACACTACTCTCTCTGTATTGGAATATTAATTGCTCCACGCAACAATGTTTTAGAAGTCTTTCACGGTCACCTTGAAGGCAGTAACTAACCCCGTCACCCTTTCCCAGTGGTGGAGATTTCCGCCTAATGAACCCAGTTCTGCAGCTACTTATTTCTCGAAACTCAGTTTTTCCGTGCAACCTTTGCTGCTTCATCATGAAGATAACTTGTGTATTGCTTCAGTCATAACCACTGCTGGTCGTGTGGCTTTCGCTTCCGTTTATCGTCCACCTTCGACAAACTACAATACTTTTACCGCCCTGCTCAACACTTTGCATGACAAAACTCAAGGCTTCAAAGCTGTGGTCTGTGGAGACTTCAATGCACATCATACAATTTGGGATACGAGAGCTGACAATTATGGTGACCTTTTGGTAGAAGCTATGCTGAAGCGGAATTTGCAGCTGCGCAGTCCACCATTTGTGTCCACGTTTATAAATGCAGTAGGAGGGTATTCTGTGATCGATTTGGTTTGGACTGACAACGATCTATCAGCAACAATTGACTGCGCAGTTAAAGCCGAAGCTAACTGGCTTACAGGATCCGACCATTTACCAGTTCTCTTGTCACTTTGCGACATCGGTGTCGGCACTTCTTCACGCAAAAGACTCAACTATAGAAGAGCGGATTGGACAGGCTTTCAACTGTACACCTCGGACATGGTTGATGAATTGTTGGCAGCGGACTGTGAAACGCCGTCAGATTTGGATGCATTGACAGAGCAATTACACAATGGATTGAATTACGGCATCACGCTACACGTTCCCCTTTCTAGAAACCGTCAGGTAGCAACGCCATGGTGGAGCATTAATCTCAGCACAAAGCGACAAAAGATGTTCCGGTTCTTCAGAATTTGGAGACTTAGAAACACCCTAGAGAACTGGATTAACTACAAGCGTATCCGGGCAGAATTTAAAAATGCAGTTAAGAGCGCAAAACGTCGATATTTTCGAGAAAATCTAGGAAAAATGTCTCCTGAACAAGCATGGCAGGCCTATAACCGGCATTGCAACCCTCGGGAAAATGGAGGAATCGACGAAATTGTTACTGGCAAAGGTGCAACGCTGTCCGTTGAAAAAGAAAAACTAAACTACTTCGCTACGGATCTGCTCAAAGCGTCTCCACTCCCATCGGATATTCCGGAAGTTACAGAGACAAACGATTTTCAATCGCTACCTGACGGCACTGTTCTTATTACAGAAGCTGAACTTACACAGTCTATAACATCGGCTCCATCGCACCGTGCACCAGGACCAGATGGAATCCAGATGTCATTAATTCAGAAACTGCTGCCTATTCTTTTACCGCTACTTTTGCGAATATTTAACGCTTCCTTGACACTTGGTCACTTTCCTAAACCGTGGCGATGCGGTAATGTCTCCATTATACGTAAGCCTGGACGCCCGACTTATTCAAGCACAATGCATTACGACCAATTACACTGCTTTCGGTTTTGGGGAAACAACTGGAAAAGCTTATGATATCGCGAATACACTTCTATGGTTTGACTAACGGCTGGATACACAAACGGCAGTTTGGCTTCAGACCGGCTCATGGCACCGCGGATGCTTTGTTAAGTGCAGTTGACTTCATTAAGGAAGGATTCAGAAGAAAAGAAGCAACATCGATGGTGACGCTGGATTTACTGGGTGCGTACGATAACGTTTCACATTCTCTACTGCTGAACCGGTTAAAAGCTCTCGGGTGCCCGTTCTGGATCGTGAAGTGGATGCGAAGTTTTCTGCTACACAGAACCATCAAAGCCGTTAGTCAAAGCGGCCAAGGAGATCAGTTTTATTTAACCCGTAGTGTTCCTCAAGGTTCTCCGCTCTCCCCACTGCTGTTTATTATTTTCATTGATGACCTTTTAAAGAAGTTTAATGAATACACCGGATTCATGGGACAAGCATACGCAGACGATCTAATGGTACTAGTCCGATCGCCCTCTATAACAGATAATTGTTCCCGGATTAATGGTCTACTTGTTGAGAATGCAGAATGGTCTATTGAAGCCGAAATGCCGTTTGCATTTGACAAAACCGAACTGATGCACTTTACATGTAAAAGAAATGTTCCGACGCAGTCTCCTGTATTATTCGGTCAACATACAGTTCATCCTGTGGATAAGCTGAAATACCTGGGAATAGTGTTCGATCCCCAGCTAACTTGGACACATCAGGTTGCTCGCGCAACCCAGAACGCGTATGGCCGGCTCAGTAAACTTCGACCCATTTGCAAGAAATACTGGGGTGTCAACTACCACATCATGCGCCGGTATTACATTGGTGCTGTCCGTCCTGTTCTCACTTATGCTGCAGTCGCTTGGTGTGGAATTGGGAAGTCACTATCTGCCAAAATCAACAAAGTTCAACGGCTGGCTGCAGTGCTTATTACCGGAGCCCAAAACACATCTCCTACTGTCGCATTAGACGTCGAAGCCCAGTTAACTCCAATGAACTTACATCTTCTTGAAGTGGCTGCGATGTCCCTCTATCGCTTACAAACACTGAAAGATATGAACATAGCACATGCTTTGGTACAATACCCTGAACAACAACACTTGCACAAATCTCCATCGTCGTACATTGTGCAGCGCCTGGATGCGATGGGGTTGAAGTTTCCTACCAATGTTGTTTTTAGTGTACAGCAAGTTCTTCCCTACGTCTACGCGTCTTTGCGCTCCAGGGTCATCATTTCAGCACTGCAAGCATCAGCCGTGAATCACCATATAGCTGCCAAGCGTCTCCTCTCTACAGGACATATGTTAATTTATACCGATGGATCAAAACAAGGCGATAATGTTGGAGCTGCTGTTGTTGTTTTTACTGGCCAAGCAGTGTACCGGAAAGAATACCGACTACCGGCTCACGCAACTGTTGCGCAAGCGGAATTGTATGCAGTCCATCAAGCTTTGCTGTACATGGGGCAGTCGGAAGTGCGTCGTGCTTTTCTATATTCTGACTCGAAAGCTGTATTGGATGGTATCAGTGCCACTATTTATGGTTCGCCTAACAAAGACATCAAAGAAGTACAGGACTGTCTGCTGTGGTTGCTTTCGCGCGGTGTTGAAGTAACCCTTCAGTGGATCCCAGCTCATATTGGTATTTATGGAAATGAAATGGCAGATTTGGCGGCAAAACAAGGAGCGCATTTACCGGAAAACGGAGGTTTGCAACTGCCGTTGTCAAAAGCGTCGTTTAGACAACTATTAAGCACTACAATTTCTGCCGAATGGCAGAAAAATTGGTCAGCATCTCAAAAAGGGAGAGCTCTCTACAATGTCCAACCGAATGTGTCTTACTCGATATGGAGAAAGCCAGTACCGGTCACACGAAAAATGCAGGGACTTCTGACCCAACTTCGAATGGACCATTCTAGACTTAACGCGTCCCGACCTTCTCAGATATATGGGAATCCATCTTTGTGCTCTTGTGGTTTTGCACCGGAAACAACATACCACTTTTTCTATCATTGTTCTATCTATAAGCATCCCTCGTTTACTGTTTTGCGAAGTTTCCTGGAACATGCTGGCTTTACAGGACTGAGTTTCCTTAACATAAAGTGGCTGTTGCCGCTGCTTTCTAAAGTTTTGGAGTTCTCAAACAGATTTCGGTGATCCAATGATAAGCGACTAGTTTTTACTGTCTATGCTTACTCTGTTCCCTTGGCAATTCTGATAATTTTATATTTGTTGGAGCAATGGTCCTCGAAAGGACTACGCTGTATGTTTATGCAACAACAACAACAACAACAATCTATTAGAATTATCAACAATGTTGAGAACATTTATTAAAAAAAAAAGGGTTAGACTTCACAACCTGAGAAACATAACAAATGTGAAATTATAATAACATAATACAGATTCGGTAGTCAATTTTTTCAAAAGCCTCTTTGGAAATGCATATGTTAAGTGCAGCAACTAACTGGGACAATTTATTGCGAGCTGGTCCTTGTCTGGTCAGCAAGGTTCAGCATGGAATCCTTTGGGATTATTTATTTCGAAATGTAAGTGTTTTACATTTGTATTATAAAATTTCAACGGTAACGCTCGGGAAGATCCAACTCAACTTCCATGCCTGCAGAATATTTTCGTAGATTCAAGCAAATTGGCGACAAGCAACCCCGCTGCCGAGTTTGCGCATTTCGCCTTCCACGTTTTCAAATCTCTCAAAGCGCATTCTATTTTAATAGTTACAATAATATTCACTGATAATGCATTTTTAGGATGTGCAACTTAAGTACCAACTAAACGAGAGTTCTGAGTTCCAAAGTCCGATAATTCACAATGTTGTCGGCAGTGGTCACGATTTAAGTGACCTTTTTGATATTGTCAGAAAGAATTCTGTGCAGTTCCTCACACATCTGACACTACCACCAGAGCCTCCGATTTTCGACCCAATAGCCGAATCAGTTGTCCGAAGAGCGGAGGTGATTTCCCGTAAGCTGGAGCACCATTTCCAGCAAAATTCCCGATTTTTTCAAGAACTGGCAGAAGGAGTTGCGTTATGTGTGCATCGTTCGTACGATAGCGTTACCAACCGTGCCATTGACGACCTTGTCAACGCTTCCGCCCAAATGGTTAAACAGCAATTAGCTCTTCCATTAATATCCAAAAATGCCAGTACCGATTACGCAAATGATCTTAAGGACCTGTTTCGGAAAGATGCAGTGATGAAAATCGACGACGCGCGTGCTTCAGCTTTAGGCGATAATTATACGAAATACCTTAAGTGGAGTGGTCAATGGAGAAAATGTCGCCCGGTTGGTCACATTAATCGCAGAAGCTCCGTTCTTTTTTCGGTTATCGTGGACAAATTGCTAAATCATACTTCGGAATGGAATCCAGGTTTGCGCACAATGCAGCCTGCTCTCAACCCAATTTTGACAAACATTGCGGTCGTTGGAACACCCAAAGCGGGAAAAACACAGTTGGCTCGAATTCTGGCCCAACGGTACGGACTTCATCTTATTAGCCTAAGTTATTTGTACCGCTATATGGACGAAATACTGAATAATTCCGTTGCAGTCTCGCGATACGCCTGTTTTCTGGATTTTTTGCCTTATAAAAACGTTATACACCAAGCCAGCACCGATCATGTTTTTTTGGACGATACCCTGACTAATCTGTTATTGGTGCGTTTCATGCTCTTCTACCAAAACGATGTGCGCGGCTTTGTTGTTGACGAATTTCCGTTGACTCAGCGCCAAATCTGCGCACTGCGTGACGGATTAAATGGTTATGACTATGAAAAATTGTCAGGACTGCATAAACAAGAAAAGTCCTTGCTGACTGGCGAAGTTAATCCTCACAATCCGCCCGACGAGCCAAAACATCCATTCAACCTGATTGCAGTATTAACAACTGATGCGGCTACAGCATTTCGTCGACTACGAGAAAGTTACTTCGTAGAGCGCGTGCAAGAAAAGCCGTTGATACCTAGTGTAGAGGATGTTCCTATGAGCCCGGATGAATACAGTGCAGTGCAAAAGAGAATCTTGCAATTGTAGGGCGATTTGGTAATTGCGTTTAACCCTTCAACTAACTGCTTTCAAATGTGCTGATAACTATTATACATTTACAGCACGTCGGAAATGCAGTCTGGTCTGCTGGATCGTCAGAAAACGTTAGCTTCACATATCGTGCAGCTGGATGAAAGCTTTTCTCTTGTTGAAAGTGTTAAAACGATTGAGGAGCGTTTAGCCCGGGATCTCGAGAACAAGTTGGAGAGTATTGTGACCCATCCGGTGGTGGATGTCCTCAAGGGTCTTCGACCTGCACCGGATGAGTTAATAACGAACATAGGGGTAACCAGTGCCGGCCACCACGCAACTCCGCCTGCTTCGACAAAATTAGATATCAGTTTTATCGATATTAGCTTGGGGAATGACGCCACCCATTACAGCATCCAAAAGTGTGTCGAAGTGTTGGAACAAGATTTGCGCTATTCGCTAAAAAAAGAAGAGAGTGACGTTATTTCGGGCCTTTACACTTACGCGGATTCCGTTCCGAATAGAGACTTTGACAACTCGGAAACTGAATCTCGTCGCTCTGCGCTGCGCACGTTTATTTATGGCTCCTCCGGTCCGGATGCGTTTCTTGCGCCTAAAGTAGCCGAAGAGAACAAAAAAGATTTAAAAAAGGGAGCCGATGGAAAAAAGCAAGATCCGAACAAGATAAAAGCGGACGCCGCGAAGTCCACTAAAGGTCAGCCAAGCGCTTCCCAGAAACGTACAGCACGAGAAGCTAAAGAAGCAGAAATAAGTGATGACGACGAGCTTAACCGGCTTAAGATACCGAGGCCCCCACGCAAATCAGATTTAGGCAACCCGAAAGTTCGAGATTACTTGCATGTGTTCGCAAAAGACGAAAAGAAAACGTTTGGGATACCGCAATTGCCTTATCAATCCAGCGAAGACGACCTAAGTGACTATGACGATGCGGAATGGAACTCGGGCGAAAATTCTAGCTTGTGCCCCGCATTGCAAAAGGAATCTTTGGCTAAACTTCCAACACTGACGGAGAACCAGCTCCAAAATCTTCTAAAAAACCAGCTACGAAGTATCAGTACAAGGCTAAAAATGCAATGGGATATGTTCGAGCAACGTATAGAACAACTTTATTTAAAGGTCAGTACGGGAAAGCTATGATTATTACAGTAGTCAATTGGACACTTATTTGAGAGCAACGTTTCACTTTGCTTAGACTACCCTTGGCGGAATCTACCCAAACGGATACTTGGTACTTCGCTTGCAAAACGCATTGATAACAATGTCACTTCAAAATATGGAAACGGGTCTTTTGAATTCACTCAACTCGAAGCTAACAGACTTCAGCAAGCCTGCATTTTCATCGGACATAAAGGATTTGGAATATAGGGATTGTGAGTACCGAACAGTAGTTGGACAGGGACCTAGCAAACCTTCGGTACAGAAACCGACAAAACTGCTCCACGATATTTCAATAGATGTCTCTAAAACGGCCGCTCCTCACCATGATTCTAAGCGGGCGCAAGATCTCTACCCATCATTACTTTCGTTTCCGCTTGCGGAAGAGCAAACGGTTCAACAAAAAAATCGTCGCTTCCAGCAATCCAGTTTGTTTCTCGTATATCAGTTTCTGGCGGAATGTTGGCGTTCTGTAGAACTGACCCACTTTACTACGGCCAACCTCATTTTCGATTCCATCAGCAATATAAAAAGAACGATTCTTCAGCAACTCACTGAATGCAAGCAGTTGTACTGGGGCATATCTGTATCCCACGATCTTCAGTTTCAAAATACCCTTTTCCGTTGGCAGAATACTTTTTGCTCCCTTGATGCAGCAATTCGGTGCAGACCGCAGTTTAAGGAACTCTTGCATTCTCAAGTTGTTGATTTCCATAAATCGTTAGTTGACGACATCGGTGCAAACCGGACGAAGAATATTTTCGTTCAAGAAGAAATTATGAAAAATGGATGGGTCGAAGACAGAATGGCCGTTATGGCTGATAACTACATTTCGCTGATTCAGGTTAGTGCTGTCCAGTTCGCAACTCATTCTATTGCTATGCCTGTATGTTCTACATTTGTTGCGCCTTGCAGTTAGAGGTGGACACATACATTGACAGTCTTAATGTCATGCGTGATTATATCTTTGCAACACAAGCAAAATTCTTGGGAGCACAGAGTGGCATTATAGTCAGCATCCCTTACATCGACATAAACAATCTTTCGGTCGATACAAGACGCCCGCCACCCACGCTAACTCCAACCTTTGCCGATTCGAAAAAGCCTAAAGACCCCAAGGCACCGGAGCCGGAGAAACCGACCGCCAGTATGAACTCTACACTACTGCGACCGCTAAATCGAGATCCTCTGCTCCCAACCTACATTGCCCGAAAGATCAACGCGCCTGAGCCTCCCTCTATGCAGCTGCCAACGGCCGAACCTCCACCGTCACAGAACAAAAAACTGGGAGGCGCCAAAGTGGATCGCAAGTCGCAACCGGATGCCGTAAGAAAGCATAGCAAAACGCAGGTGAGCAACACTGCGCTTAATTTGGTCGATAGAACTAACACATGTTTGATTTTCTGCCATAGGCGCTTGTTGTGGGGCCTCCGCCACCAAGAGATAACGTCGAGGAAGTTATGTTGCGGGAGATTTTTGATAAGGTAAAGGAAGCAGTGCGAAAAATCGAAGATTCCGAACAAGAAACCAGGAAAGCTCTGACTTTGGCACTACAAAAACCCGAGGATCCTAGAAAGACACCGGGCTTGCATGCTAAAGGTCACGATAAGAGTCGGCCAGCAAGTCCGGTCGCCGAAGCTGCGCCGCCGCAAAGATCCACCCACGAAAAGGCAATCGAGGACGAAAGTGCATTCCTTCTGGCTCGTTTGGAGACCATATTAAACTGTGCCGTAGGCACCGTCAGCGAATTGAAGAAGATGATCAAAACAGTGGATACTGGGGTAACGGCAAAAATCGATGAAGTGTACAAACGAGAACTTGTTAGCGCTGCTCTGCTAGCCGAATTCATTCATGCTCAAATCGAGAACGAGCTTCCCATTGATCACGCACTGGCCTATCAGAAGAACCATTTTATTTTAGCTGAGGACGAACATTTTCATATGGAATCCGACCCGGAGTTATTCAGTAATCCTGCCAATAGCCATATGTCGCTTTATGAGGAATTTCTGAAAATATGCAATACATCGGATAAGCTTGTTTGCGAAGATTTACAGAAAGCATTTATTTACGGTGCGGAACGAAGTTATGGTAAAGGACTAGTCAGTCGAAGGTGGAACTCTCTTGATTCAGATGAACTTAATTCGGCTGCCACACACCAGATAGCATGTCGTACACACAGCAAAGTACCAGATGGAGTGAACATCCAAAGTGCGGAAATGCAGTGGCATGACGTTTCCAGGCTGATGTGTGCTAGTGAATAGCGGATAACGGTTTCCTTTTTAAGTCTGCTGTGTAATTATTTTGGCACTTGCTTCATTTTGCCGTATATGGTATTGCATGCCAAGTACGCAAATAACGTTCGACGGTGGTAATTCATATTTTTCTGCTGTTAATAGTGCATTTCGGGCAAAAACCGTTCTATGTACCGGTATGTTACAGGCAGAAAGTGTCAACTTTGGTTGCCTAATCCTGCATTCACCGGCTATTTCTTCGGCGAAGTTAAGAATGAACTTTTCATCCGGTCCAAATAATCCACATAGCCGCGATCAAAAGAATACTTATCGTATGACAGAGTGTAGCTGTTTTTTCATAAAATACAGATACGATACACTGAACACAGATCAAAAACAGTTAATCACAGTAACAAAATCTGATTTAACGCTATCGCTCCCTCCATTGTTCCGAGTACGGAAGCGACGTTACCTCGCTTAATCTCCAGCGACAGCCGTTGGTTGTATCTGTGGACTGTGGTAGTTGTGGTTCTACCGTAGCAACAACGTAGGAAACTGCAATTCTAAGGTAACACGCCGACATTATTGCGACGAATTACGTCAGCAGATCAATTTTCGGCTAAATTTAAGATTATGCCAGTCATACTGTTCCGTTCGTAAAATGAATTTCGCGTCCACTAAGTCGGTGTTAAATGTTTTTGCGCTAATCTTAACTGGGATTATCATCAAAATTAATGCTGCCGTCAATCTTAATGTTGGACTAATTCTGAAATCGCTATCCTTTTCAAACATCACTCTGCCCGCAGACCTCATAGATGGAGCGTTATTTTCATCTTGTGAGTTTACAGACCGTACACCAATTCGCCAATTCGCCTATTGTACACCAATTCGCCTGTTCAATAATCTTTATTTTTGACGTCTGCAACAACATTATTTGGTTTTAGTTGCATTGACTGCTGATCTGAAGCGGAGCGAAGGGAAAGTAAACATCAGTATTACTGTCGCCGACATCCTTCAGCGGAATAATTCAGAATCGAATTCAGTGTGCAATCCAAGCGGAGCACTAAAGGCGTTCAGTTAGTACTGTTTATGCTGTTATTCACGCTAATTAGCAGATTGCCAAACAGAAGTTGTACTACAGGTAATTTGGCAAACCAAAATGTGGACGCAGTTGTGGGGCCATCATGTTTGTAAGTTATTTAAAATTAATGACGGCGAATTTCATGGAGCAGTGAATTTTAAAGATAGCTAAACGATTACAAAAGCACTTCTGAAAGTAACACTGCTGATACAACTGTTCTAGCGAAGAGATGGAGGTCATTGCGCAGGCAGCCAAATCGTATGGCAGTGCTCCCCCCATAATCGCGCCGGCTGCTGGATTTCTCACTCAAAATGGCTCAACCATTTGGCGCAGTCTGCAGCCAAAACCAGAAAGAATTTGGCCCATTTTTGTGCACTTCACGCAAGTATGAGACTGACGAACTTGCAGAAACGAAATTGGCAGTTTCTTAGGTCAGTCAATTTCGATTTTCAGGCACAAAAGTGGCGAACACTTTGTGTCATAGCGGATAATGGTGACCGTGGCTTTCGGAAGTTATCCAGTCTTTTCACTACGAAAATTCGGGAGGATGCGGCAAACTTTGACTCAGCAGAAGAATTTTCCTTTGATAGCACGAAAGATTACCCAAGCGATATCAACAGAATTATTTTGTTATTGCCGTACAGATGCAGAAGTAAACAATTCTAGACGATAAAATCGCAATCAATGCACATACAGTTATTAATGGTGTTTTATGTCGCATTTTCAGCGATGATAATTATTGCCGATATGCCCCTGTTCCTGACCTTTATGTAAGTTCCTTCCCTCCTGTCTTATAGTATCGTAGCTCTTCAACAAAATTAATATACTCGACAAATTTCACCATTCATTGAACAACGGTTACAATTTGTCTATGACAGGAAACTGGCTGACGATAATGGCTTCATCAATAGCCGCTATGCCTTTATGCATTTCGATGGGCATCGGTTTTCAATGCCTGATACGCTGACAAACATGGCAGCGAACGGTTAGCTCCAACGCTACTCATAAAATGTCGTTGTCGGTGAATTAATTGACAATATTATCTTGCAGCGTTTGAATCTCGCATGGATGCTGCAAGAATTCTGCAAAATGTGGCATTTTTCACACTTTATCCCGAACTACAAAGTGATGTCTGGCGCAATCTTGCCAGCAGTATCTACAACAAAGCGACAGCCTTAAGCGTGGATAAATATGGGGACACTTTAGAGGAACTCCAGGTTGGCTTTCAGATTTCAGTTATGAAACGAGGCATTTTGCTAACCGGCGTACTGCTTACAGAACAACGTTTTAGTCTTGGCGTATTCCCAAGCGGTCGATCTGCTGGTCCAGGCAACGGCGTCACCTCCCGACCTAAATAAGCTGTATGATATAGGGCGTTAGTGGACCATAATACGAGTAATATACTTTAAGTGACGTGCTTATTCCAGAAAAAGCGCTACAGTCAATACAAAAGCCGCTGGAAAACTAACTTTAGACGATGCCGGCAACAAAGTTCCGGACGGCGCTATAATGCACATTAAACCGCCCGAGCATGCAGACAGCGATTTGGAACTGCTTGTTGTTACGGCGTACGATGGCAACTCTGGACAGTTTTCCGACGTTCACGCATTTGAGTGGATTGGAGGCTCGGCACCCAGCGACACGCCACCATGTGGTTTCTTTGACCCAAAATGCTGTAAGTTACATAACAGAAAGGATTGTTTTTATTCTTTTCCTCCAAAAATAGCTGATTGGAATTACAGCTCGGACTATTGCTCTTGCCATAATTTTCCCACTGTTGGCACTTTTGATCCTGTTCCTGTTGTACAAAATCTATGTTTACCGGCGACACCATGTCAGTAAAGTCCACGTGGCCGCCGATTCGCCGGCTCCCTCCCATCATCATTTCTTCTTCGAAAAGTTTATTCATAAACCGCACCAAGACGGCTCATCGACCCATCGCTTTCATATTGGCGGAACCCACGGACCGACGCATCACAGCGCAGACAATACGCTTGTGGGTCCAAACCGGAAACTGGATGATAATGACGTGAGTGTCTGGGCAATGGGCAAACGACCAGCTGGAAAATGTGTTGAGCCAACTACTTTTCGTTTCCTTAGAGCCGGCTTCTACGGTGGGACCAGATTACTTTACAGCCCGATTTGCACCGGCGATCAGTGGGGCATTGGGGTGACCTTTACGAGAAAACTAGTAGGGTGTGTGATCAGCGATTCGTGTATAATTTAACATTGTTTAGCAAACCTGCAACGGGTATTTGCTATAGACTGCTGTAATGGGTAAAGATCCGAAAAGGTCAGCCGCCAGTATGCAACGTCTTTCAACAACCAACTACAATTTTGGAGAACAAGCGCGACTGGGGGTTTACAAAGTAATCACTGACATTTCAATGATTTTCATGATAGTTTCTCATACTTTTAAATGTCACCATTTTCAGAATTATCCGGTTTGCTTATATTACGTCAAGAACCATGGCCCGGAACTGGATGATAGTGAACGGTTGGAAATACTCCTGGTAAACCAAATTTAAGTCTAACCATCTGTGCTCATAGTACTACTACACTATATAATATTTTGACGTTGTTGTAGACAGCCGGACTATTTCATGCAAATGTTGCACAATTTTTTGGACTGGCTTTTGATGAATCAATGGCTGCTTTGGTGTATGAGTGCCCAGTTCGTGGGACGCTATACGGATTGCTCCAAAATATGTCGTAAGCGCTGTACTTAAAAGCTCAAATGTGGATCCATTTTGGAATGTAATTTCAGCCTAACAGAGTCGAACCGCATTGTAGCCAATGATCGCAGAACTGTATCACTGGCACTGCACTCGGCAGTGACTTAACATGTGGTATTGACATCTTTTCAGGCTACGACTTGACCTTCCGTTGAAGTACTGTTTCATCCAAGACGTTTTAAGTGTAGGTTGCTTTTAGCCTTTAGGTAGTAACTTTCGAAACCTAATCGTATGTATTGCTAACTGATCGCCACAGGGCTTGGTATATCTCCATGACTCAAAAGTTCGCGTCCATGGGTGTCTCTCCACACACACTTGTTTTATCGATGAATTTCTACGGGTTCGTCTAACTGATTATGGCCTGCATTCGTTCCACCGTATGGATGATCCCCTCGTCAGTCCCGACGTCACCCCAATACGTATGTGTTTTACAGTAAAACCAGGCTCGTCTAATTTTATCTGTTTCGGTAGGATATCTGTGGATCGCACCGGAAGTGTTACGTCAGAAGACCAACCAAGCAAAAACCCAGGAGGGCGATATGTACAGTCTAGGAATGGTGATCTATCACATACTAGCCCGAAAACTTCCGTACACTGGGACCACAAGTGACATTCTGAGTAAGCAAGGAATTGCCGTTGTGCCGTTTCTCTGGGAATGTTGAATGTATATGCCTTTCATCAACAGGTCTGATAACTGCTCTGGAAACCGGAACAGCAGTTTCTCGGCCTGAAATCGACCAAGCTTTCGATAATGTCGATCAGGGCTTAGTCAAAGCCATGCAGGAATGCTGGAGCGATGAACCCCGGCAAAGACCGAAATCATCGGCCTTGCTGCAAAATTTGGCTGTGTTAAAGTAAGATCCCCGTACGGGTTGCTTGTACTGTAATTGATTGCCGATGAATTTATATTATAATTGCGTGCAGGAAACAATCCAGTGTAATGGCATCGGAAGATGTGGCTTTACGGTTACGCAATTATTCCGATCAGCTAGAGCGGCTGGTGAATGAGCGAACACACGGTTACTACCGTGAGAAAGACAAGGCAGACGAAATGCTCTTCCATGTTCTACCGCCTTCTATCGCTACGAAAATCAAAGCCGGGGGATCGTTTCAAGCACAAATTTATCCTGACGCCTCTGTTCTTATGTCGAGTGTGGTGGATTTCCCGAACATTGTGATAAAGTACAAACCCGAAGAGGTAAGCTATTCAGTTAAACTGAAAATCTGAATACATCCGTGGCACTGTTTTTCTCATAAAGGTCGTGTCGTTCCTCAATGAGGTATATACGCTTTTCGATGGATGCATAAAGGAAGTCGGTATTACTAACATTGAATCGATTGGAGATACTCGTAAGCACACTGTAATATGCATACGTGAACCGTCAGCCGAGATGATTATTAAAGCCGGTCTTAACAGGGATCGCAGCCTCCGGTCTGCCGGACCCGAATCCGGAACGGCATGCAGTAGATATGGCGACGTTTAGTCTGAACCTTATAGCGAAGGCAACTACACTGACCAACCTGCCCGTTAACGAGGAGCTCAAATTTCGAATCGGTATCAGCTCAGGCCCGGTCTCCAGTGGCCTGATCAACCTGGCCCTTCCCAAATTCTGCATCTTTGGAGAGACGATTAACAGTTCAGCCAAAATGCAGGCGCTATCAGCACCAAACCGTATACATATTGCTAGTACAACCAAAAGCGCCCTGGACAGGTTTAAGATGTTTGATGTGGAGATGCGACGTGACAGGAAGATTTCTATTGCGCCGGGATTTAAAGGTGCCGCGGAGACGTACTGGTTGAACGGGTTTAAGGTGGTCAGTCATTCGGAATCCGAAGAAATCGACGCCCTGTCGGAAGCCAACTCTCAAGCCCCCGTAATAACCGTTGACCCTTTCGCCAATGTTTAACACTGGTAGTTCTATTTTTACAAGATTTTAATTTTAATGCGACTGTTTCCATTTACACGAGAGACCTATTTCAACTGTAATCGCAAGTCTGCAGCCTGGTTTTATTTTTTTAACCGCGAATATCGTTCTTTAACATTCTTTTTTAACGTTCTTTATCGCGCTTTGTGTATCTCAATAAAAAACGGGCACCGTGGTGTTACAATACGTTAGAGTGGAATAAAATAATAAGTAACATCACATCTTACTGGCGTATATATTATTGGTTTTGTCACTGAACAGTCGCTCTCTAGTTTTAACAGCATTTTCCACCTCCATCTTAAATGCATTGAACTTGGAAGCAACAACTTTCTGCACAGCCAGCATGACTTCCTCTTCCATTACGACGTCGGTCGCATGCAACTCGGGTAGTTTGTTGCTAGGTAGCTCTTGTTGTGGCTCGCTATCTTTGGCAGATGTGTGCGCTGTCTCCTGTTCCACGGGCGGTACATCTCCCGCGGAAGCCGGTAATCCATGACCAACGGAGGTTTCGACAGTCGCTGCTCTTTTCATTTTCTTTGGGATGGCTTCAGCCAATGGTAATGGAGTAGTCTTTGACGACAGTTGCTCGCTTGGCAAGTCCACTGTAAGCTGTGAAGAACAAAGGAGTTAAGTATAGACACACTTCTTACTGTAGTTCCAGTAAAAGTATGCTTATACGAGCGCATCATAAAGGGTCTTTCAACGGCCTAGTCAAATAATTCTTGCCAACATCCCGCTTCGGCTTGGAGTATGAAGTTGCGGCGGGACATGCAGTGCGATGAATGGCTTAAAAAACCCGGCCAACAGAAAAATCAACAGAAAAATTGATAAAAAAGAAGCAAACATTAACAGCACGTACATAATAGCAGACGGTAAACTAGTTGTAGAAGGTCAATCACTCTAAGAAAATCATATTTTTGGAAGGTAAGCAATAATCACCAAAATATTCACTTCAGATTTGTAGAAAGCGGTTTGCCTCTTATTAGGCGAATTTTTTCCAAAACCAAACAGTGCTATCGCCGGAAGTTCGTTCACACATTAAGCGTACTGCAATAACAAAAGGCTAAGGCGGCATCCATAAATTACGTCACGCAAGTTGGGGGAGGGGGGAGGTCCTGAAAGCGTTACTGTTGTTACAAAGGGGGAGGGGGGTATTCAAAATTTTGTTACGATTCTGACGTCATCGTGCTATATCTATGGAGGGGTTCTTAATTTGTTACGTAGCGCTCAGGGGAGGGGATCTGAGTTTGTTAGCACGGGTGACATAGGGGGAGGGGGGTATCAAAATGTCGAATTTTTGCGTTACGTAATTTATGGATGCCGCCTAATGCTATTGGGCAGATTAATCATACACTGGATGTACCTGAGCAGTGATGAAAAAAGGCTGGCTTTCAAAGGTGAGTGCGTGCCGAATGAGACGGTGCTGATAAACAAACCTAGAAATTAATCGAAAAATCCGCATATTACTGAAAACCTGGAAGCGAACAAATAATAAAATATGACGATCATCACAAAATATGACGAACCTACGTCTCTTTAAAATTGTCCATCACTTGCATAATCTGTTGAATTGTCAGAACCTGCTTAGGGTGCAATAACGCATGGAAAAATTCCCCCATCAGAACAACGATACCGTGTCCCAGTTCCGGCTCTAAAAGGCAGCAAGGACAACGCATAAGCGGGATAAATCCAAAATATCACAAAACACTTTTCAATCCACAGAAAAAAGTCAAAAGAAAACTTTTTTGGCGCAGATTAAATCGATTTTTATCAAAATTATACGCAGAAGAATACTTCCTTCACATTAAGCGTTAAATCGTAAAACCAACACAACCAATTCTGTTCTTCGAATTTTTTTCTGTCAAATACTTTTCTGTTAATTATTCATTGTAAACTGTTTCTGTAAGTACCAAATCATGCTGATTCCATAACCACTGCATGCACAAAAAAGTAAATTTTTCTACCCGCATACTGCCATACAAAGGTTTGATACATACAATACTTCACCAGATAGAATACCTTTGAGCTTTTCCAAAAGTGACAGCAATAAATTGACGAGTATCTGCATGGTGTCCTCATCCTGAACAATTTCGCGCAGCTCATAAACTGCACGAACATGCAAGTGATCCAGCATCACGTTTTTGTAATTGTTTCCGGTATTTTGGTACTGGAAGATCTTTGCACATACGCTATAAAAACGTATGGCTTACAACAAATGCATTATCATTCTAGCGTAAATACTTCTACGAAAGCCTTTCGTTTACTTACACTGTGGAGGCTTACTTCGACAGCTCTGGTAATGGACACCCTAGCAGTTCACTGTAGTCATCAAATGTCAGACCGAATTCATTTGGGGTAGTACGCAAGACTCTCAACCGCTCCTGCAACCGAACACACAAAGGTCATGCTGCAGAACCACACCCACAGAACAGATGCAGTCTCGGCCAGACCTTTGCGACACTGTCATCTTCGATTCGTTGTTTGTCCGTGGTTGGCTTTGTACGCGGGAACTTCCCGGATGGAGGCGGAGTTACAGATTGCGAGGATCCAGGTTTGCTTTTCCCTTGCTCGGACACTTTGCCTCCGTTCGAAACCGGGGACGTTTTGGACTGCGGTGGCATTTTATAGGCCCGACCGATTGTTTTTTGTTCACTAATTTGTAGTCACCGGAAGAAGTTTATGAAGCGAGTTAAATATTAACACCAGTATCATCATCGGCTTTAGAACCACGTGCACATAAGCTTTGAATTAAATAAAAGGTCATACATCAGTAAATCTAATACAAAATACTGTACTACATTTGTATAATATGTATGTACACTGTACAGTACTTTGATTTAATGCGCTTTGATTTTTGAACGTTGATGGCCTTGCTGGGCATTTTTCCGACGATTAATTCTTCACTTCGATTGTTGGCTTCCAAGACAGTGATGTATTTTGAGCAGAAACCCAATATAAACGACGTCCATAAATCGCATTACAGAGGGTGAGCCACCCACATTGGCACACTTTTGGTAGGAAATTATTTGTGACTTTTGGACTCAAGTCCTGCTAAATCCGCTGATGCAGTTTTTTCCCTTAGCTCTCTGTGAACGGAAAAAAACTAATTTTCCATGAAGATTTTGCGCACACGTGCCATAAAGTGACCACAAGTGTCCGCGACCGGCGAAAAAAACGCAGACAAAACGTTTCACTTTGTATTTTTGTTTTTAAATGATTATTAAATGAAGCAAGCATTTTTTTGGTCACATTCAGTTCCTAATTTTAGAAGATTTTAAGGGCTATATGAAAAAGTATAATGTTGTGTGAAAACCTTTTTCAGGATCCCGAGGGAAAAAAACAAAAGTATTAAAAAATTGGGGATTTACACTTTCAATGAAGCGGCTGGCCTTTGCAGTGGGAAACTCGTGACAAAAAAACCGCCGATGCCGATTTCGCTTTGATATAAACAAATATTTATTTAGACAGGCTTGTAGAAGATATTCTATGAAATTCAGGACGAATGGACAATTTGTTAGAGAATGGCAGATGTTTTCTGGACTTCCGGTCAGTTTTGGGAGCCGACGTCCAGAAAAACTCAAACATGGCTTTGATCAAAACCGAATTACACTTGTCTTGAAGAGCATTGATTCTTTAACACTTTAATGCATTTCGTATGTACTGATCGGTAAAGGGGGATTTTTAGGAATTTGTTTTGCGAAAGGCATTCTAGTTTTGAAACGCACTGTTTTACTACCTCGCTCCAGGTTTTTCTTCCTGGATTTTGAAAGGCATCCTTTACTAAGCTCAGATTAATTTATCAAGTACAAAATACCTCAGGCTATCGGGTAATGTTTTTGAAAAAGTTGTTGTAGACGAAAGGAAGTTTTAAAAAATCAGTTTGTGCAGTGTGCCAATGTGGGTGGCTCACCCTCTGTACAGTACTAAATTTTGAAGGCTTTATTAGGCTATTACGTTTTCTAAATTTTGATAAATGCAGAAATGGTTGAACTTAGGAATAAATATTTTTACATAAGTGTTAATGAAATACTGTACCTTACAGTTGTTTTACAGTATCAGACAAGTTCGCAATGGTAAAGACCGAATTTAACTGCGGTTTTAATTATTTCCGATTTTCCGCACTGCTGAATTCAAAGTGACCCATAAATTAAATACCACGCCTAAACTCAAACAACATGAAATGCATGACGAAATAAAATCTAAAACAACCTCCTCCATATGTACAAATTAAAACAATAAAAGCAAAGCCACCGGCTTCCCAGATTCATTTTTGAATTATAAAAGTCTGTTTAATAACATTAACAAATCTGTCGCGCATCTGCTGGAGAAACTTGGCATACCATCTGATGATTTTATGCCGCTGATGCAGCAGTTCTTCCTCGGACAAGGACGCCAGATACTCCAGCGTGGTCTCCAGCTCATCCCAGTCGGCCACAAAATAGGCAGGCACATTGAACTCCTTGAGAAGGCGATAGGGAGAATCACACATACCCGGAGATTTTTGGTCCTCAACGATCGGCAGCGCCCCCACCGACAGGGCTTCGTAGATGCGGTAGCATTCCGCGTTCATCCCCAGGGGTGACAGCACCGACTCCGATGTCTCCAGGGTTTTCAGGTAATCCGATGCGCTGTCCTCTGTTTCACTTTCCGGCCACTCGTAGCGCGTCTGGTAATCAGAAACCGTGGTGTTACGCAAATTACATTTACGGTGCGTGTTAGCCGTATTTTCCGCTCCAGCACGCAGTGCGCTGTGCCCAATTCATTAGAGATCACACAGGAACGCACCACGCATATTTTTCATCCCTTCTCGCTTTTTGCCACCAATTTAGCTCTAATTTAATCGCCAAACGTTCAGGATTTTGCATGCAGCCTGTAGGCAATCAAGCCGATTACTTACTAACTCGAGCATGCAGTCTAAAGGTACGGCAGGTAGGGAATTCAGCTGACACACATTTTAATGACTGACTGACTAACTGCACGATGAAAATATACAGCAGTATGTGCAGAGAAACCAAAGAAAAATCCGACTACTATACGATCTGGACAAAAACATGAAAATTTCATGTATATGATCGATAATTATAATTAATGAAAGCGGTTCTTTCATTTTCCACTTAACCAAAACAAACTATAATCAGATTCAGATTTACCCTCAGTTTTAAAACTAATGGCAAAGGCCAAAGAGTACAATTTTAAATAATGTTGTTAATACCTTTGTACTCGTATTAGCATGATTCATGAAACAGTATTACATATCTATATCTATACTCCTAAACTTATCGTTAGTACGTAGTACTTCATGCTTTAGTGCAATTCCATCGTAATACCAGATGATACCACATAAATGCATGCTCTATTACTGTACTTCCGATCCTTATGTACAAACATTTGTATAGTAAAGCATAGGTTTTCCCTGGTTTGGCTCAGGAATTTTTTAATCAAAATGAAGCGCTAACGAAAAGAATTAACCCTAATAAAGAACTCATGGGTTCCCAATAAAAAATTCATTTTGGGTATCTGTAACCAAACCACCATTTTCTTGCATACCACGTATAATTTTCTTCAAACGATCGTTCAATGAAAATATCACCTAAAGCAAGAAACGCATCCCGAAATTGTCTGCGCTAAGACTACAAATCTTGCCTAGATAATCCGACTCGAAAGTGTAACAACGCTGCCCGTGAGGACTGAAATCAATCATCCCGGTATAACTTAATCGATCGGCTGTGGCCGTTTTCAGTTTTCAGGGAATGCTTTTTCTGTAAAGAGGCCTGGAATGGGATAGTTGTGCAGTGAGTCGTTATGGGTCAATGGGGTGAGATGAACGGCAACGATAGCTGTGAATGGACAAATCAATCCCCAGCCGACGAACACCGCTCTTATCGAACACTGGATGCGTTGGACGGGGAAAATTTGGCAATTGAACTTTAAAAGACATTAAATTTACAGTTGCCTATTAAAAGACACTGGCGCCGAATATAAATGGACATTAGGCGGTCGGCGAAAATTAAAAGTTAGATGGATCAATTGGAGCGGTATGAGCAGCGTCATTACAGTGCAGACGAAGAGCAAAATAGAATAAGAAACAATTCTCAACATGGCACACTAAAATAAATTTTTAATTTTGTTCTGCAAGTGTTCAAACAACCTTTTTCAAAGCATTATTGGACCAATTGTTATACTATTTTCTAGCACTCTAAAAAATCTGCAATTACAAAAAACATGAACAATTTCGGAATAACTGCAAAATTAAAGTGATTGTCTAAGCTAATAATATTCATAATCCACATAGATTATCATAATTTCTCAAGCAGATTAAGTACCTTTTATTAGAATCAATTTTTTAATTCTGGTGTTCTGGCAGTTATTGTTCAGAATTCGATAAATTTTTGTTTTGGCTTTAAAACTACAACATCAGTTTAAAAAGTTCAAATTATCAGCAAAAGCATGACTGTAGAATTTTTCAGAATCCAGATAGTTACCGAAAAATCATTTCGGATTCAATTCTTTGACGAACAGTTTTCCCAGATGCCGTATCAATGCCATTATACGAGTACTGTACCAATATAGACGTAATATTATGTTTGCCGTTCCGGCACATTCGGTTGACAGCGTAATCTATATTTAAACACGGCCACTGTTTACCAACTCACCTTAATATAACATTTCTCTGTAAACTTTGAGCCTTCCAGGGCCTTCACCAGCTGCATCCTGGAATTATTCCTGTACACTGTCCCCATGAAATGGCACAAATAGCGCCGCTGCCCGACAATATCCCCCGTCTGCAGTTCCAGCAGCGGAAATCCTCTAAAATTATCAGGATACTATTTCACATGTTCCGTTTATGCACAACGGAAATACATTACAAATTTGCAAAAGAAAAGATACGAGAATCTCAACTGGTACCGACATTCAAAAGCATTCAATCAGAATTTGTAACAAAAATTTCTGCTAATGAAAAAAACAGGTGATCAGCAAATTTTATGCGATTTGCTTGTCAAAGCAAGAGGTATTTGCAATACTTCTGTAAAACAAAAGATTACTGATATAAAATCAAATCACGTTCACGCTTCTTGTAATTACTGTACTCGCAGATAAATCAAAATTTAAAAAACTGAACGTTAAAAAATTGCGTTTTAACCATAATACGTGCGGCACAATGTCGTCAAATACAAACAGAAAATTCATAAAGGTAACCACAGTCGACAAACTGCAATAAAATATTACGAAATACCAAAGGCTGTCGATGAGCGCAAACCGAACAAAAATTATTAATGGGTTTCCAATGCCTGATTAATAGCTGTAAGAATTAACAGCACTGCAATGCTACAATTTGGAACCGTAATGCTGAAATAAATAAAAGTTTATTGTAAAAACAATTCGCAGTGCAAAATGAAAACTGAAAAGCACGCAGTCAAAAACATGTCTCCACAGTCCATACCTGTACGTGGCCACACCGAGCGGCCACTGAAAGACTCTCTTCCCATCCACCAGCGTACTGTCGTAGACGATGAACACCACGCGGATCTTATACTTGGAGCTCTCCAGATACCACAGCAGCCATTCATTATTGCACTGCTCGTTGCCCAGCAGCACCAGCCCCACATTCTCCACCAGGGGCGAGCGCGCCGTCACTTCCAGCCACTGCCGCGCCCGCAGCACTTTCCCCTCCGTCCGCCCGTTCACCACCAGCACCACGTGCGGCTCGGTGATGGTCTCGGTGGCGGCCAGCGCCGGGCCGGTGCGGAAGCGAAAACTCAGCCCGTCCACCTTGTGGAAGCCGTACAACAGGCTGCCCCCCAGTTTACTGGTGGTGCTGGCTTTGAAGATGTGCTGCCACAGATAGATCCCGATGGCCGCGTCCGAATAGATGTCCACGGTGAAATCGGGATGGGGGTCGGCGGGGACGGCCGGTTCCTGGTGGGGATAGGGCTCCGGGTCGTCGTGGTCGTGGGCGATCTCCGGGGCGGGGAGGATGAAGGGGGGCGGAATGGCGGCCGCATCGGAGACGGTTCTACTGGGTGGGGGGAAGGGAGTCGGGGTGGGAAGAGGATCCATCCGATGGGGAATACGCCGATGAGGACGATGACCAGGATGATAGCGAAACCCAGACAGAAGAGTGTTAAGCAGCGTTTGCTACGGCGCCCCCATTTCGAAGGGGGTCTCATGCTGTCACAGCCTCAGACGAAAACGCACGGACGGTCGGCATCGAAATGCTCGTGCGAGATGATGGAATCCTGTAAAATATAGCTCACTGCGCTAAGATAAACAATTAACACCCTATTCTTATTGGAATGCCTTTTCATAAATCAACAATAAAACTGGAGCTACGGTACGACTGCCGACTGATATAAAATTAATGGGATGTTGATCTCATAATGTTAAGTTTATCGTAACAACTCAAACTCAATCCAACACAAAATTTAATGAATACGAGTTGCAGTTTACATAATTATTAACGATAAATACTCGTATAACCGCATTATAAGAGTACAGGGAACCTTCGACCGATAAGGGGGCGCATACTGTAGCATACAATCATAAGTTCATAATTAACCATAAAACAGTAGCCGGTATTTACAAGATAACGTTACTGTATTGTACTCGTACTTAACTGAACTTAAATGCATCCATCTCACTGAAACCTAAAACATTTTCTACTGAAAATATATAGTTTTATCTATATATATTCGTAATTAAGTTTTTTTTGTGCTAGACAGTCACAGTTTGACCAGACGTGCGCAGCGTACTGCCGTACGTATGTGGACAGTTTTAATAAGTTTAATTAAATGAATCACGTTATAAATTGCTATGTTGTCCGTTGCGAATAGTCCTCCATTAAACTGTTGTAGTTTATTAAAATTTTGGTACAGAGTTTATTGTTAACATTCCATTCCACAGTGTTAACATGTACCTGGTACGCACATAAAGAGAGGTTGCCGGTAAGAGACTTGTGCAAAATTAATAATTTGCATTGAAGGCTTGCTGCATGGCCTGTACTAAAAGTTCTATGGGCAATAAAAACTGATACTGTATTTAAATAAATAGACTCGATGTTTTTCCTAAGCTTAAAATCTAGAATACAAAGTCCGGAGGAAATGATAGAACGAATACCGTAATTATTATGCATACTTTTCCTATTGTACTCGTACTTACATTTAACGAAAACCCGTACCTTCATGCGAGTCTCATAATATATCACTGGAGATTGCGATAAACCGGGTTGATTTAATCACAGTTGTAGTTAAAAAGCTGATAAGTTAAATCAAACTCGCAACAGCACGACAGAACTCTGTTACATTGCTGCAACTGAGACTAACTTGTAAAGTAAGCGGCAAAGTTTGTGCAGTTCTCTTAAAATTAATACGCCCGCACAATACTGTCGTGTATAAGCGTTCACGCCGTTTAAGGCTCCATGAACAATCTTTACTCTTCCACGCCTGTAATGCTCAATCGGTAGGCACTCGTACTCTCAAACTGTAACAGAAGAACTATGGTGGAAATAAGACGAACGATTCAGGAACACAAGTCAGGAATCCCTCAGGAACACACTAACCACAACTTCCGGTCGTAAGTCCTGTGAGGATCGGCAAGAGCTAGGACGATTGTGTCACGAGCAAACCTGTATTCTATGCAATAATCCGGGATCGATCATGTACATCAGAAGGAACAAGTATTGCTGTCTCTTTATCCAATTCACATCACAGTTCACAACGCTAGGAAATCGTAATTAGAAGCAGTCTCAGAAGTAAATCTCAGACTACTGATTCCGATATTAGGCATCACAAGAACTTATATAGACTTCGCGTTATGACATCATTTACATCGCTAGTAAAAGAGAACAGCAAATCACAGAAGAGATTGACTAGATTATCCGTTATGTTGCAGGTGGAAGGCGGACAGTCAGCATCCAGTATGTACATCCGGCGTATGATCCTACTCCCATACGTCAATACATGTATACACTGGGCGCTACTTATTTAACACTCATCCTGATTAAGGAGGACATCTCACAGATATGTGCGGATCGCTGATTTTTGGATTATGATGTAGCCCACTAAATAGGACAAAGTGGATCAAATGAAGCGTGTAAAACATCGCGCTGCATTTGGCCAACGCAAAAGCACAGTGCCGAGTGAGTACAGCGGCGATTTTAGCGTTGCAAGGCGGAATGCAACAGCGGAAATCGATAAGGATGAACTCTTCGTTCGTGTATTTTATAATTGTACGTTTACTCAACCATATTCTGCACGGGAATTCTTATTCGGGTTGTGCGTGCGGTGCACATATATGGCCGACACATAATATTCCTGGAGTTCTGCGCATGCATGTGCGTATCTGCACGAGTATGTAATTATAAGTATGTCCAGTAAATACATGCAGAAATACACAGATAACAAACATCATAGTACACAGTGCATCCCATCAATATAAATTATTAGTGACCCATGTTATCCGTAAAGCCGGCTGCTTGAGGTCAGAATTCTGTTTAACAGAAGAGCCTGCAAGATTGTATTCATACAGCCCTGCCGGGCCAAGTTGGGGCAGTTTTTTTTAAAAATTCCCGTGAGTTATCCGTCACCAAATAAAAACTTATCAAATCTTTTCATGATACCTGTGTATGTCCTGCATCTTTTGCATATAAGGTTTCCATGCTCAAAGCTTGTTTTAGAATTACAGCGGGATAAAAATTAGAGCAGACTAGCTGGAAAAAGTGGTTTGACCCATCATACTTGTTAGGCACCGTCCTATTTAAAATTCATTTAAAAATTCAGTATATGTTACAGTCTGAAATCTGTAACTTTAAACTATTTCCCATTTAGTGCTCTTGCGAATTATTCTATATACCAGCCCATTTCAACCAGGCGTGCGTGACCTTTGCAGTCCGAATGTTGGCCCAGAGAACTGGAAGATGGCCTCCTCTGTATGCTCGCCGTATAGTCGCAGGGTGCCGGACGCAAATGTTTTTAGTACAATCTTGTTCAGGAAGTTCTGGGGGTTAGTATAAGTCTCTCTATCCTCACGATAGGCACGGGGTATTCCGTTCAAGAGTGTTCAAACAGCGACTGCATCTTTTTTTATCCATAGCTTTCTCGGCTTTTTATTCTACTTATTCGGCGCAGCCATATCCCTGTCTGTGCAGCAGATGTCAATCCAACCATCAAATTTGTTTGGTGTTATCCATGTGTCTTCCATAGAAAATAGCAGTTCGAGACGTGACCGACCAACTCGTCGCATAAAATCTCGTCGCGGGACACTTGGTCGGCCATTTTTCGTCGCGGGACAGTTCGTTTAACGACTTATCGTCGCTAGACTTTTCGTCTCGAGATATCTGGTAATCAGACATTTGGGCACACGGACAACTCGAGTTCAGACATTTCGTCGTGAGGACAATTGGATTCGCAAGTTTTTTAATTGAAAATGTTTAATTTTAGCTTGAATATGCCGCCGTTTCACTCAAAATTTTTCTCATTTAGACAAGCCCAACATATGGAATAATTCCTTATATTTAAAAATTTCGAAAACGTTATATTTCGATTATTAATAGATATTAAACAGACTTACCCAGTTATTCAATTAGGTACTTGCATGTAACAAGTACATGCAGGAAAATCTAAAAACTGCTCTGTGTTTTGCAGAAACACTATTACGAATACTGTATATTAATATTCAATATTTATGTGGTTTCTGCAGTTAAAATATTAGAAAATTGTGCATTATGGCTAACCGGCAACTTGAGTGACTAATTATATTATAATAATTGTCTGTATTTGAAGTTTATGTACGATTAACAGAGTGAAAGGCAAGAGAGCCTTGATTGCCATTATTAATTTAGGTTGAAATTTTAGCAAGGAACAGGCTTCTCTGCGCACACTGTACAGTCTATCAATTAATCATACGTGTGCACAGCAGACATCGTAATGCAGAATCACTTTCTCATTGCAAGACAGCGATAAAAGGTGTCCCAGTTTCCGTCACGCAGTCCATTTTGACCACTACAGAAACTTTATAAATAAAATAGTTTCTGGGCTACACTGTATAACGCGGGGCCGTATGGGCGCCACGCGTATCCTCGACAGACGACCCGGAAACATCGACTTTATCGGCGATGTTGCCGCCACACCACCAAACCACCAACTGGTGAAATCGGAATCTGCAGTCAGTGCAACTGTACTGCAGATCCGTCTAAACAGCAGGAAAGTGAATGGGGTGGAAATCCCCAGAAACAGCGAATCAGCTACTCAGGAAGGCGGAGCGTCCCGCCGTTACAACTGACACAGATCGCACTTAAGTGTCAGTGATATTCAATTATCTCCGTGTTTGAAGGATGACAATACCTTTCCCTTCTGCCTTCTGGTTGTAATGCCAGAGAAGTGCTGATCTATTCCAAAAATCTATTTTTCAGTGGCAAAACCAAAGTTTCAGAAACAGTCGCTCGTAAACAAATATTTCCTCAACTTTTCAGCTTGAGGTCACAATTCCAGTTTGACCGCTTTGCCAACATCGTCAGGGACTATAACAACCATGACAAGGTCGGATTCTTGCGAAACATTGCGGCAAACCTGGAATTGATTGTGTGAGCGGTCAGTTACGCATGTTTTCATTAGCATAAGCAAGATGTTTTTGTTTGCTAATCCTTTAATGTGTCGAACTATGGTGTGGTTAATTAAACTTTTGCATGCCTCAGTCTTTGTAATTTTGAGCAATAACGATCGCGGTTGGTTAAACTCATTTCACGATTTTTTACTAACTGTTTCCTCTTCGGTTTTATTATTTTTATATTTTATTAATACTTTCTTCTTGGCGACTCTGATTTGTCATTAAATTCGGCTTGAATATAAAAAATTTCACACAACGAAAAGTCCATCCAACGAAAAGTCCGTGCGCCGAAATGTCCTAGCCTGGCAACGAGGAGTTTGCTACCAATTGTCGCGTTAACCGAACATCCGAAAACGAAATGTCCGTAAAACGGAACGTCCAAATACGAGTTGTCTCACGAGCAGAAGTCCTTTAAACGAACTGTCGCCGACGAAATGTCCCGCGACGAACTGTCTCGCGACGACTTGTCACGTAGCCGTTCGAGATTAGCACACCAGGGGCGCTAGGCAACCCTCTCCTCGCCAAGGTGCGTTATAACATACGAGTCTATGGGAACGACACCTTATTTTGTGCGGTCAGCGAGCACGCTTTGAGCAAGATTCTTCTCCCAACTTATAATGGACACCTTTTGGGTCTCTCAATAGTTTATAAAAACTTTCACTAAAAAATATCTCCAGCTGACTTTTTTAGAAGCGCAATTATAAGCGTTCTAAAACAGACCACCACCCCACCCCCTAAATCACGGATCGGCTCGCTACAGGCATATCCGTAAGTACCGATTTTAACAGTGCTGGATTCGCAATAAAAAGTTGAACTAATTATGTTAAAAGATAAAAGCAATACGATTAATACAAGTATTTTAGAATTTATTTTGTACAACTGCCCCAACTTGGCCCGGCAGGGCTGTATTATCTAACGTCTTGGTGGCTTTGAATTTGAACAGGAAGCCAGACAAATTTTCCCAACACATAATATTATTAATTTATTACAATAAAATAGCTAGCACGAAAAAACAGGCACTGTTTGAAGTTTCAAGGATCGCATTTTTAGACGCATAGCACAAGTAACAACAAATAGCAACCAGGGCAAGCAAAATTGATCACAGTAAAACTATATTTTTATTTGTCGCTTTTTTTTACTTAACCCTCCAGCGGGCGCTACCCGAAGGAATGCGAGTTTCCTTTTGAAAATTGGGATTTCCCGATGAAAAAAATCAATTAAGAATGGGAATTTTTTGTAAGCTTGTGCTGACCATAGGTCAGCCGTGATGACTAGGGTGTTTGCCAACGCCAATGCCCATGGACGGTTTACAGCATAAAAACGTTTAATTTTGTGATAATTAGACGAACGGAAATTAAATAAAAGTAATAATTCCATTAAATAGTACAAAAAAAGGACTTCCAAACAAGAGCATAGCAGTGGTCAACAAGTTGACCACTGGTCAGCAAAAATTAAAAACTACCATATCCCGTTGCCATGTATTTTGACCACTATTTACAGATGGAATACAGAAAATAAACGATGCTAACGATATTTCTCTCCTATAACTTTCATTATACTCTCATACGAGACTGCACGAAGCATAATTTTTGAAGTTTAACATTGCATTTCTTGAATGTCTGGCACGCCTAGCCGCCTTTATACTGCCCGCACTGTGCGCGTTTGCATTTTTCCTTGGTATGGCCGCAAGTGCCACTGTCCAAAAAGGCGGCGCGGATAGTCCAGCTGCAGTGGTTATTAGCGCAAAATGAGATATTAGACACCGGTCACTAGCACCTTCTGGAACGCGTTAGCGACCGGAAGAAACTAGTTAGGCTGCCGCAAAGGTCAAGATCCCCAATGTGCACGCGTACAGTGAGCACTAGCAGTTACTGTAGTTTTTAACCGCCCGAGACTGATGGAACAAAATTCATGTTTCTGAAAAGCTATGCAGCTCTCGCCTAGCTTGCCCAAGCAATGCATTAATATGTAGAAACGGGCCGCCGTGGTGTTGTGCCGCCATTCACAGTGTTACTGCAACGACGGTATAGAATTACAATTAGGACTATCATATTCGGTTCCTCTAAGCGTTCCGTTTTCCGGAAGCCGAAAATTTAGAGACGATGTTGTCTTTTTGCCGACCGCCCGGGGTGTTGATACGCAAAAGCGTTTTTTGCCAGTTTCCGACCAACAGAACCGCGTGGCGCATGTTTTGCGTACGAACTGACAGTAACTTGATCTGATTATGTGATAAAGAGAAATAGTCGAAATTGCACCCGCCCGTGTATTCGAGACCCTTCATGGGCAATGGTGTTGGCACGCAACACAAATTTTCGACGGACTGTGGTCTTCTACGGTTCAACTTACGAGACCCGTGTTAATTGATTTTGAATAGAACGTTGTTAGTTGTACTTTGTTGATTTATCTCTGGTTTAATTATTCATCCACTAATTAGTTAATTAGCAAGATCTACGAGAGCTAAAAGTCCGAAATTATCCATTTTCGGGCAACGGTCATTTGTAAATAACTTGAGATATAAGTTTGAATTATGTTTTTACTGCTGCTTTAAAGTCTCTTATTGCTAATTATGCTAATTGATATTCATTAACTGTTCCCAATCATTGGGAAAAAAATTCAGAAGACCATGTTGCGTCCTGACGCCAATGCCCGTCAACGGGTTAAACTACTTCCCTTTTCTTTCCACCTATCCCAAGCAGTACACAGCAATCAAGAGCATAATTCTGACGCTCTGTGGTTTTACTCCACACATCTGCCATGCTGCACATTTCTATCAGCATATCCGCAAACTGCGGGAAGTCAGCACATCCAATGATGCATTTAATCGCTTCGGCGCTACCACACAGCACAGTGCGAAAAGTGTACACAATCCAGACGTTCAGCTGCAGCGTTTGCCGGTGCATCGCATCAGTAAGGAGTCCACGCGGGATTTGGCGCAGTTGACCTATGAGTACCTTCATGCCTCCCTCCGCAGCCCAGACCCGACAATTAACCTGGTTTCCGTGGCACAGTATGGACACAGCGGAGATAAGTTCCAGCCGCAATTGAAACGTTGTTTTGGAATCGGTCAGGTAGCGAATCAAACTCGGAAATGTTTCCTGGCATTTCTGAATTAATTCAAAATCATTCGCGTAATATGTAACAAAACACAGCCGTCGAAGGGCGCTGATCTGAGTGGAGACGTCAAACAGTGACCTTTCGTGGAACTTTGAATTGACATCGTTTATCGCTTCCAGAATTTTTCGCTTATGAGGATCCATCCACTGCTTTTCTAAATCAGTCATTTCCACTTCGCCAGCGTTATCGGCGACGGTTTTTTCGTCTTTGCTCTGTAACTGTCCCATTACGAGTGTGGAGCGCAGCGAAGGATGTTCCGAAATGTATCCTGTATCAGAATTGTAAAAAAACTTCGAAAAACGTGATTATTCATTTGTTCATATAATTACGGGAAGGTTCAACAGACACATCGATAACAATTTTTATCAGCGCTCCATTGGAAACCTTGCCTTCTGTAGTGTCTTACATTCACTAAATGCACTGTTCCTATGGTGACCTTGAGCAAGGTTATAGTAGAAAGGCTCCGAGAGTGTCGTCCCAGGTAGAACTGTGAAAAAAACAAGCTGGACCCCTAAAAGTTGTATGGACATTTGCAAGAACTAAGATGACCACTCAAGAAGATTTCTTGATGTTGCATCGAAGAGATGCTTGCTTTTCGTGTCTGCCGTATAACAGCAACATTATTTCACCGAGCCTTCTTCTTATTGATTGCTGATTTTTTAGCTGGTCCGCGGTGGTTTTTCATTAATTTTTTCACTGCTATCGTTGATTGCATTTTTGCTTCCAACCATGATTACAGTCTTTACAATTTCGCCGATCCGAAAACTTTTGCTGCGGCCCTTGGTAAGAAATCGTACCATTTCTCTGAATCTAATTGCATCCCAGGTGTTGCTTGTGTTTTGGTAGGTTTCTGTTTCTGTTGGTGGATGGCCCATTATCTTTGTTCGAAACAGATGTGGTATAATGGTGTTCTTATTGAACTCTTCTTCTTGATTCAGTTGCTGGGACAGTTGAGTAATTTTGCCTTTACAACCAGCAATCAGGTTTATCCCATTCTTACGGCGCTTATCATCTATCTTCTTGTTGGCTGTTACCGTCACTACATCGCACAACTCCGTCTGCAGGATCCCGAGCAGACACTTTATCGGCTCTCACAACTACGCAAACCGTTTGTTCCTCGACGCGCGCTTCAGTTGATCCAAGTGACCCCGCTTTTGTACAGTATTCTCCATTTTACCAGGGACCAGTTTGACGACGCGACGTACTTCCGCGTGAAATACTCACTGGGAATGGCTGACGCATTGGTATTTGTGGGGATTAATTTGGATTTTGGGCTGGCTTTCCTAACACGCGTCATGGGAACCTTGCGCCACCTGCGAAACCATTACTCCTGGAGAAATCTGGGCTATTTTTGCCGGTTCAACATAACCGGCTCCTACCACATCCAGATCCGTGATATCGGCTGGATGGCCGTTCCTGGCGACCAGATGCAGCTGGCGTGGATTTTATATTGGGTTTTTAAAGTCTTAATCATCAGCTTCCTGTGGACGGAGACGCCCGCGCAGTATTATTTTCATTTTCTGTTCAAGGAGCTTTTGGGCAATTTCGTTTCAGCGACAGCGACGATATACCTCTTATGCATCGCCGTTGGATTTATATTAGCGTCGGTTGCCGCTGTTTTCACGCTAACGGCCGATGTGATGGCTTGCAGTTCCGTATGTCTCAGCAGCTACGACACTGTACAACACATTCGCTGGATCTCCTTCACGACGTTGTTATGCCCACACAGTCGCCACAATATCATGTATTACATTCTGTATGCCTTTTTACCGTTGTGCGGCCACATGATCCAGAACATCGGTGAAGCCGTACGACAACGTTGTTGTTGCCGATCGCAGTCCTGGTTGAGCGCTTGTGGGGGGATCATAGCTAGTAGCATCTACGTACTGTTCTCCGTTGCTGTCTACCTTCTTATCACTCTGTTTCCTCCGCATGTGGCCAACTGCTATGCGTATCTCTTGGAAAGCACCACTGCGGTGTGGATTGGATATAACGGATTTATGGCGTTCGTTGAGCTGGTGACAATTGTCGTTTACCAGGGCTTGGCGGACGAGGTGTCGAAGGATAATCTCAGTGTCGGAGTGAAGATCTTCCGCAACTGCATGGCTGGTTTAATGGTCGTCATCCTTAGTGGCATCAATATTGTATCGTTGGCCGAAGCGCATATGTCCGTGGGAAGCTATGCTCCATGTGGATACCGGATTGTAGTGCATAATATAATGCAGATAATCGCCCGGCTGATTTTTTTCTATGTGACGGTGACGCATAGGAGAGACTGTGGTTCTACGCTGGGAGAATGCAATACGGATTCCGTTGTTATACAACAGTCATGGGGATCGGAAGGAATGGGGACAGATTATTCTTCGTGCGGGTTGTGTTATGATAGTCGCAGCAAGGGAGATTACTGGGAACTGCAGTGTGGGCACTTGTACCATAAGGAATGCTTTGATACATGGAGGAACTGTGGCAGTCGGTGTCCAGTTTGTAGAATGGTTTTCCGGCGAGCTGAGGTTCAGCCGGTTTTTGGCATTGAAAACGATGAATCAGTTTTGGAGACTTAAGATTTTTGAATTCATAGTATCACAGCAATTGCTGGATGACCTTTGCAAGCTAAGTAGAGACCATGAACGTGTCCGCTATATTGGAAAACACTGGAAGGGGTTTTTATGTGAGAGATCCAAGGTCGTTGGTTGTTGGGTCAAGATAATCTATTTCTTGATGTGATTTTCCTCACAGTATGTTAACATCTGCCTTTAAGTTCAAATACTCTATTCCTCCATGAGTGTGATAGATTTATTCCATTATGAGTGAAGAACATCTAGTGAATATGCAAGTGAAGAACATCTAGTGAAATATATCTACTAGCATTCACCGCTACAGCGCTATTAGTAGCTTTCTTCAAGCTTAAAAATGGGTGACTGCGCGCGCAAAGCGAGAACTTACGGATACTGGTATGTAATCACCGTCCGAATCCGGAACGTCTGCATTCAATATAATCTATTACGATATTACACTTTTGGACATTTGTGTTACGATATTTAATACTTCACGGGCATCGTTTTTGTCTTAAGGAAGTTAACAGGAAGAATTATCACTGACGACTTCTTCAGCAGTTTTTAAAACGCAAGGGATTCACAGGCTCACACCTAAGTTAAACAATTCTGCTTTATCAAACAGCGTTCCATCATCCGTGACAGTTTCCTATTTAATTTTAATGTACTCTGCTTGTTACTACTGATCTTTATTGATCTCATGAAGCTAACCTAAGATAAGAAGCTCAAAATTGTCTAAAGCAGTTCTAATTGTTGCTCGAACTGCTCCTGTATTAATAGCGATTTGCGGTCCTTAGCAAATATCGATGCTGATCTGTGGTGCACTGGCATAAATCCCAACGTACGCTCCTTGGCACTGCGCTTCTTTAGGCTCGGGTTTATGAGTGAACTAGGCAGTTGAATGCTGGACGGACGGGTACGTTCCAGATTCTGTCCACAAAAGCAAGTTAAGTTGTGAAAAAAGCAAATCTTTGAAAACAAACTTACAATAGGTACACAATGCATATGGCGCGATGGTCGTCAGATATACCATGAATATCATTCATGTCGATTTCGGACAAGATTACGAAACTGTTACTATGGGAAATACCTTAAGTATCTTCACTTTTGCTTTCCAGAATTTGAGTTCATTTTGAAGTGCCAGTGTTTCTTGTTCAATAATCATGTAGCTTTGTTCGGAGGGGTAAATCATTTTAGTCATTCCGGTTAGTAAATCTGAATTCTGCTGTGCCAGGTGCCGGCTTTCTTGGTCAAAGACGATGCGCTGCTCTTTCATCTCGTCACAGTCAACATCACTTTGTTGGATTTTATTTTCCATAGAGAGAAGGCCTTTCTGAATTTTCGTCAGGTCTGCCTATTAAAGATGGCGCTAGTAACCCAATGCTGTTCAGTTTATTCATGGAAACCGAAAATCACAACCCGTTTATTTCATCATGTTGCTTGTGGCAATCTGACCTTTCCACTGCAGCTTCGAACTAACTTGCCTGCAACAGTGTTCGTTGTCTAGATATTTTGCTCCAGGTGCGTTCCATATTTTTTAAATGGTCTGTCGCATCGATTATGCCATCGGCAGCTTGCTTGCACTGAACTTCCAAAGCCAAAAAATCTACCTGCAACCGTCTAAAACTAAACCAACTATATGACATCACGTGCACACACACACACACACTGTTAAAAAGCTGATTGAACGCGTTGGGTCATTTCGCATCAGAAATTAATTTATTTTTTTATTCAGGGCGTACCATAGTCATATTTTCAATGGGATTTTTCAGTTTGATTTCAGTTTCCGTCGACTGATCAGTTTCTTTTTTTCTTGCCATTTTGGCAGCTTGGATTTTATTGTCCAGCTTGGTGACAATGTTCTACAATATGGCGTTAAAAAGTGCGACTGGCTTGCTCCGTGGGAATTTTAGACCGTAATCCATAAACTTACGCGCATCCAGAGCATAAGACTTTCTTTGCTAACGGATCCAGATGTATCCAACAACTTTCGACGGAAATCAGAGTCTTGTTCAGTAATGAATTCCAGGAATTCTTGTACTTCTTCCGTCTTTCCCTATCAAAAACATTCGGGGACGTTAACAGCCGATTTCTCTTCGCTATCTCACCCTTTGGTCTTTAGCAGCGACTACTAGCAAGAGCTAAGACTCGACCTTTCGTCACCCCTTTAACGAGTTGACGGGGTACGATGCTACAACAGTGTGTCTATTGCACCTGTGATCTGTCTTGCAAATTCAGCATCTCCAGTTCGACCTTTTTAACATGCTTCTGGCAGTGTCGCAGCTCTTGTTCCAAGATCAATAACTTCTGGGTTTCTGATAACGGTGGCTTAATCTGCACACTTGATACTATTCAGCGTTGTACCAAAACCATGAACAGTCTGATATGAAACTACATCGATATTCGATACTCACTTTGAACTAGTTACATCAAACTTCTGTAAACGATCTTCGTTCAGTTTCAAGTGGCGTTTGGTAATATCGCTGGCTAACTTGCTAACTGCTTCAACTCCCCCAACAATTCTGCCAGATTCAACTTTCTTTAAAAGGGAATTCTTTTGGCTAAACATGCGAAGCAGATACGTGCTGAGCAGCATTATTTCCTCTTTTAGCATATGCGAGCGCGCTCTGAAAAGCAATCGGTTTCGTTAAAGAGTTACCGGGAGAAACATTGCATGTATTTTCTAACTCGTGAATAACTCAAACATTTTAAGCTATGAGCAAGTGTAAGTGCATAACAAAGAATATTTGCTATCTGATCGATTATAAAGGACAGTTAAAGTTAATTCCACGTAAATTCCACAAGACTGTCGGCATTAGGAGTCAGCTGCTGTAACATCAATTTAGCAGAACGCATATAACACATACCCTCGAGCACTTGAACTACCAAACTACTTTTTTGGTATAGTTTCAGGAACACGAAACTTTGGTTGTAACTGCAGCCAGACCTTAACTGCGCAGCACCGTGCAGAATTTCACGTTCGTTTCGCGTTTCCACTTTCGGCTTAAATTCTTGGCTGGTAGCGGCAATATTAAGAGACGACATTGCGGTTTAACCGATTATCTCCGCTCAGCGGTAACCTTTGCCAATTGTATCAGCTAGCCGCTGATCACCGTAACCTTTACTATACGGTCAACGCAATAAAATCAGGGTAGTCAGGAATCTGGTATTTATTCCTTACAGTAACGCACTGCAGCTGCAGGTCCACGGTAAACATACTATTACTCATTTCTGTAAATAAATATTAACGCACTCACTGTACGATAATTAGGCACTAATCACTAATGTTCATATTTGTGGTGCCTTGCTTGCACAATATGGATTTGAGTGCTTACTGTACTAAGTCTTGTACAAGAACATCATGTAAACTTGAGAGTCCTTTCGTGTGCTTACCCAGACGACGATCAGATGAATACGATCACCCATACAACTGAACCACACTGAAAGAAGGAAAGGAATAGGTAACATCGCTAGTTGCCAAGCAATAAGTTTCAGAAAAATAGCAAAACTTAAGTACTTCCTATTAAACTGCAAACAAAGCAAAAATAAAAATATAATAATCAAGTGTTCCTACTGTATTGTGCCTACTAGCAGGCATACATGATTAAAAGTTAAGACTACAGTACAATCTCTACTGCAACCAGTGAAACCATAAAACGCTTGCTAAGTCACGGTAATTTCTGCTTAATGCAATACCATCGCGTTATTCGTTGCAGTGGTGGTGGACGTTTGGGCTTCCGCTCTACTGGACGAACTGGAAATTGATTGGCAGTCCAGTTCAATAAACTCATCTAAGTGATGGATCCTCAGAGCGGTTTATGCGCTCCTGTCTCTCCGGAAGGTCATACGTCGCATGAAAAGGAAAAACACCATCACAAAACCGGTGACCCCTTGCAGAGTGCTAACGCGAACTATGTGTGGTGGTGTGTAGCACATCATGGGCAAGACCTGTCACCGTCTGATCCAAATGTCTATGAAAAAATCGCATCTTTACTGTTGGTCATGGCTGGGGTAAAAGTTCCAGCCTTCGTGGTGGAGCTGCTTAGGTTTCATCATCAAATGGCCTCCAACAAAGCCGATTGCAGCGCTTTTCATGAATTGCTTAGTCTGGATATACTGCGCAAATTGGAAATCATGCGACGCAAGTCGGCTAGTGGATCGCAAAGGGAATTTGCTGTTTTGTTAGGCGAAATCATGACCACCATTTATCGGAATTTCTACGAAACATTAAAGCAGATTCCTGACGAAATAGTTCTACAAAGCATGAGCAATTTATTGACTGGTTACTGGAGTAAACATCACACGCCGAGGGACACCATTTCGCATCCCAGCATCATGACGATGGATCTGGAAAACCAGCCTTCCACTACCGAAGCAAAAACGACAAATACAACTGAAAACGTTGTGCAACCATCGCATCTTCAGCTGCCCATACAATCTGCGCAGTATCAATCAACCTTGATGCCGCAGAGTCAAGAGACGTTAAAGATTCAATCCTATTTACTGCGGCATCCAATGGAAGAGAATGTTATTGAAGTGCAGTTTACACTGAACGGATTAGCCAACGGTCGCGATGCACAGCATTCGTTGCACCCCGTTATGTCAGGTACATCCATCGTGCAGGAACCCACAGTCGATACCGGAGAGCATCATCACAGATCGAGAGGTATACGCCATGCTGGGTGGAAACGTTTACGGCGTCTGGGACGGTTGGTGCACGAAGCCATGGGGCCACGCAATACAACGCCAACCGTTCCTGTGGAGTCTGCCGATTTTCGCTACGGTTTTACGGAAAGTGCCATTACACATGCTTCCCGAGTGAGCAAATAGAGCTGGTGGAGGCTTGTGGAATGAAATCGCCTAATCACCCGAAGGACGGTTTAAAGCATAGACCGGGTGATAGAAATTCGATAGGAAGCAATTAATTCGTAAGTAAATGATATTCTACGTAGGACTTGAAACTCCCATCGCTACAGCCTTCTTGTGACTCTTTTGTGATTTACAGCCAGCAACTTCTGGAAAGCCGCTCAGCATGCGCTCGTGTGCGTTAACGAAACTGTGTGAAACGAAAGGTTTGTCCCAAAGACATCCAACGAGACAACGGGGAATCCAATACGGCATCTCGACCACTGCAAAAACGCCGCTGTTAGTCGGTAACGACTAACGACGATACGGCAGGTGTATAAACAACTGCTGGAATCCCGTAGAGTGAACACCGAAAACGTTTTGCACCCGAACCAAGTCTTGCCTGCCGTTCGAGAAAGCATCTTATCGTGATCTGGCACGAATTCTATTGCATGGTTTAATGTTGATTTAAATTGTTAGCCAATGGCTAATCATGGAAGATATTTCTGCCGTGTTATTGCTGCCTTTGCCACTTTTAGTGATATTTGGTGTTTATAATATTAAAATTATCAGTTTTGCATTGATCACCGAAACGTTGATCGCTTTATGATATACTGTAAATAAACTCATTCGACATTATCCTGTAAGCACAATAATGCTGTTGCATAACAAATGTTGCTACATAAAAATCGCCAATGTGCTGGTTTTAAAGCATTTTTCATGCCTTTGCTTCACATTGTCGGGATCGATAATTTGTTTGGTTATTGAAAGTGTTTGAAACATTTCAGTATTCAAACTACTATCCAAATCTTCTTTTAACCTGGCGGCCTTGGCTAATCTATAGCGGATAGAATGGCGGAGAAAATAAGGAGCCTGATAGTTGTCGGAAGTGTGCAGATATTCTTTGCCTTCTGCTTGTTTGTTTGCGATTGTATTTGTAAGTTTTAATCACGTACGTGAAATTGACGTAATCAGACAACGTAGAAATACAGTAACAAAATTCTTGAAACTTGTCTTTTGAGGTAGGAACGTTTGCTTTATGATATTTTTGTGGCATTTGGCACATGTTTGCGTTTTTTTTCCAGATATAGAATCTTCGTTCCTTTTGTTTGGAGGAATGGCCTTCTGGGTTAGCATTTATGGAATGGTGGCCGGGTCGTTCGGGATCAAAGCAGGCCTTAACCAATACGATCGCATGTGCCAATTAGCAACGGCACTCAACATGAGCTTTGTGCTAGTTGCTATATCTCTGGGTGGGATGGGCGGTACTTTATTTGTATTTTCAGCTGCCGGTGGAGGTTCATCTTCTACGCGATCAGGTGGTGGTGGGAGAGGTGGCGCTGACGCAGTACTGGCAATATTCATGGCAAAAGCCGTCCTTTTTGTTTTTCTGTTTTTGACATCATTGGTTCAGTTGATAATTACAAGCATTTATGCCTGTTGCCGACGGGACCAGGGAGGTGCCCCAGCAGCACCTGTCGTACCACAACCCTCGCCAAGCGCTTCTTCCGATGCCAGTCTGGATCAGAAGGGAACTACTGCTACTGTCACTGACGCATAAGGTTTTGTAGCAGTAAAACTATTCTCGTGATCTTAGTTAGTCTTTCCTGTTGTTTCCATCTTTTATTTTAGTGTACCGCAGGTTCATTTGCTTTTGCTTCACATCGACCTCAAATGGGTTGATGAGTCGATAACGTGTCAGATCAATCGATATTTCGGTAGCCGTACGGAATCGGAATATAAAATTTGGCAAAGAAACTTAGGGCCGATTCGGCAACAAAGACAGTGTGGCCAAACAGACTAATACAAAAGTGAATGCAAATACAGTAAAAAAGTGCGTGAGACCTTTGCACAGTCACATAAAATTCGAAGATCTTCGTTCTCTGAAGTATTTGTAACAATTATCTATATTATCTCGTATGTATTCAAAATCATTTCATAATTATGACTAATTATGACGTCTTCGAAAATTCCAATCGTGTTACTGTTCGAAATCGAGGCATCAGTTTTGATCAAGGACGAGGACTGAGATACGAGGACTCAATCAAGGTCACTCTGGTCACTCTTGAGAGCGGGTTCGTTAAGTCAGCATCATGTTCCGCGAAGGCGGGTAAGCGTCAACTTAGTCCTTCATTGTGTACTATGTAAAACTGTAATACAGCCTTTGAAATAAATGGCACCAGCCCCCGTACAGCTTCATGTGTACGATATATTCTGGACTAATAACTACACGCATGGTTTAGGATTGGGATTTTATCACTCGGGAGTTGAAGTATTCGGAAACGAATACGGCTATGGCGGTCATCCGTTCGAGTTTAGTGGGTTATTGCAAAAGATTCCAAAAGATGAAAGTGAATTAGGAGAGAAATTTCACTACAAAGAAACGGTATTTCTCGGCTACACTACCATGGACAGCCGCGAGGTGGACGGATTGCTGAAGCACTTGTCAAAAGAATGGCTCGGATGCCAGTACAATCTGGTGTCGCGCAATTGTAATCACTTCTCCAGCCATTTGGCTTACATGTTGTGTGGCCGTCGAATTCCGAACTGGGTAAACAGGCTGGCCGAAGCGACACGAAGAATCCCTATGTTAGAGCGGATGCTGCCGAAACAATGGTTGCGACCTTTCTCATCTGGTTTTACTATCGAAGACATTCTGGGTGAAAATGTAGACACACAACGATTGCATGATATCGTATTCTGCAACAGAATACCGTCAAGTTGTATAATAAACCGTCGAAATTCCCGATGAAGTCGTTGAAGGACTTATTAATTTTCTATAATAATTGTACAAGAGAACATAAATTGTAAATAACGTAAGCTGACGTAGTTAAAGGCTCAAGCCTCGAGTTTGTTCCGTTACGCCATAGCACAAGTGAACTGGGCGACAGATCCATCATGCTAGAAAACTGCAGAATCATCCAAACATGACTTGACTTTTAAGTACAGTACTTACAAGCTGTTCTGAATCCTGTGATGACAATTCGTACTCGTGTAATGCGTTTGATGCAATTTAGAAGGTAATTCCTTAGAACGCTTTCTGCATCCTCAGATTGTAAAAAATGATCGATGTTTCACATTGCCAGCTATTATTTTTTCTACTATTAAGCTCATCAAGATGCTGCTACTCGTTATACTTTTTGCTACCTGAAGGGGAAAACAAATGTTTTGTAGAGGAGCTTCCAGATGAAACAACTGTGGTCGGTATGTCACTCTTATATGGTCTATTAATACTGTCGTCCTTTGATAGGTTTAATGTAATTTTTAGGAGAATACAAAATTGACCATATTGACAGTAAATCCAACAATCCAGCCCAACTGCACGGAAATTCAAAACAGGGCGTAGGTTTAGCTGTCAACGTGAAGGACCCAGATGGCAGTACCATGATGGCTAGGTCCTACGGAACAGAAGGCAAATTCAGTTTCACGTCTAATAAACCTGGCGACCATACTGTCTGTTTGTGGACAAACAATACTGGGCGTTGGTTCAGTGGGAATGTTGTTCTCGTAAGTAGCCCAACTGAATGCTTTGAAATGCATGGCAGGACATACGGTTAGGTATACCGTATGTACATATCTTTGCAGCGAGTGCATTTCAATCTGTCCGTGGGAGAGCAGGCGAATGATTATGAAGCAATCGCTAAATCTGAAAAACTGAACGAGCTTCAAATTCGCATCCGGCAGTTGATGGACCAAGTCAGCCAAATTATGAAGGAGCAGCAGTACCAAAGGGTAAAATTTTTTCTTAAACTGTGGCGATTAGAAGATACGGTACTACAGGTCGATCGCACCAAGTGTGGGCAGTTGAGTAAAATAATTTGAAAAATAATTGTGTAAACAATTTTGTTGTTTACTTTCACCTTAATTAGTGCAACTTTTTATTGCAAATCCAGCGATGTCGAAATTGAAATCCGTTGATGCGCCCGGAACGAGTAGGGCGGGGCTTAATAGGAGAGGGTAGGGGTCAGTTTTTTAATGTTTATAACCGCCCCTCTCAAAAATTCAGTATTTGATATTTTTCTGTGAACCTTTTTGTAAGCCATTGGGTGGCCTTAAAGGCATTCGTTAAGGGTTAGCAAAAGATTCTTGTGCAATTAGTGCCAGTAGTGAGCTCAAAACAAGAACTAGCTCCCATAGACTTGTATGTTAAAAGGTACCATCCGGAGGATGTGGTTGCCTAGAGCAGGGATTGCGTTTGGCCAGGCGTTTGTGATTTAAAGGACGTTAGAGAAGGACCGTTAGAAAACCGTATTATTGTTTGGTAGTTCTCACGTGTCCAGAATTTTTAAAAAATTATAGACTGAGCATAGATATTTCTTAATAAGCAGTGCGTTTTTTTGGAAATAATGAAATTAACAATTCGGCTACCGTTCCCTGCATATTAACTTCTACCGCAGAAATACGACTAAAAAAGTTGCTATAGACCATGAACCATCATAAAAAAATAACAAAAAGATTTTCGGGTTCAATGGTAGCAAACGGAAATTTTTTCTAACTGCCCACACTTGGTGCGATCGACCTGTATAATGACTGCTAAAATTCAGCAGTCGTAATTTCCACTTCTTTCAAAGCCGTATGCAATAAGATTCGCAGTGAGAAAACCGATTACAGATAATTTAAATTAAGTATATCTGATTCTGATGTGCCCTTTTATTGCGAAATAAAATAATTTAATAAATCCGGTTCGCATAATTTTATTTTGCTAGGTCCGAGAAGAGCGCTTTCGATCAATAAGCGAAGAAATCAATTCCCGTGTAATATTGTGGGCTATTTTCCAAAGCGGGATTTTGTTGGCCATCGGATTCTGGCAAATGAGCCATTTAAAGGGATTCTTCGAAGCCAAAAAGGTCGTTTAGAAAAGCGGGGTACTTGAATTTCCAATAGGGCCAATGTTGTCGTGTGTCCTGTGGCACTGTTTTTGTTTCACTGGTACGAGCAGTTGTTGTTGCTCGCTTTGTTTGCTTGTATTTACAAGGAGTAAGGACAAAAGTTTTAGACTTAGGTGAGCGCGTCTGTATGTGTGCGTAAACAGCATGTAGTACTGTACGCTACAATTGTACATCGACAATTGTTGTTTGTCACTTGGATGTAGCTTGTGTACAGATAGTAGGTGGTGCGTGCCTACGTGCGTTTGTCTATCGGTTTGTCTAGGCACGTGACCTTTAGTAGTTACTGTGAAACCAATAATAAAAATACTTAAATGCGCAGTAATAACTATACGAAATTGTGGCAAACTTTTGTAGTGATTATAGTGACATACAGTGACATTCAGATTAAGGCTGGGCCGGCTGGCGATCCTATAATTATCATTAATTTATAATGCTCACTTTAAATATGTAATATTGCAGATCTTGTTGATAAATAACCTAAGTATCATTTTGTCTCATGATCAACATTAATCATAATATTGTATATTGTATACAACGATATAAGACCGTAGTTGTCGTCCTAATTAATCTCACAGTGACGGATTATTATTAGTTCGTTAATCAGAAAATATGCCTTTAAAGACTCGTAATCAACCGTAGAAAGCATTACTGAATGTGCGTAAAACATTACTCGTGATATATCCTTGATGGAGAAGCGGTGTATACTTGTACATAATTACAATTCGGTGCCGGACCTACGTTGAACGAGTCGGCAATATTGCTATAAAAAGTGTACTAGTTTACACTGAAGAACTGAGAGAAGTTGTATTTCTTATGTTCAGCACTTATACGTTTATAATTAACAAAAAAAAAACAGAATTGCTTCAGTATTGAAAAGGTGTAACAACCACAATAAGCCGATGTAACAACCACTGCAACCACAATACATTGTGGTTTATAAGACAATAGACCACAATGTGCGAAATGTGGAATTATGTGTTTGGGTTCGAGACATAATTCCACATTTCGCACACGGTCTAAGGACAAACATAACAGTGTTAAGGTGTCACAGAGGAAAGCGTCGGATTCTTATGTTTGGTTCCTGCTCGTGATGCGTCACTACATGCTAAAAAGGTTACTTCCTTTGTTATGCCAAAATTACCTGCTCTACAAAAGCGTTTCTCGCAGTAATATTGTATGTGCGTGTCCAGTATGGGATGCACTATATTACATCCCATCGGAAATTTTTTGTATCGTAGGAGATTGTGTTAGCCTAATAATTGCGCAAGTAGTAACGTTGGCACAACTTTGTAACTAACTGTGAACTTGAAAACTGTCATACCAAACAATTACAGGTTAGCTTAATGCCAGTTCGCGGATTTGCCTTATTTGATAAATTATCGTAGCTGGCGCTACATCACCAGCTTTATCTAAGCACACACCGCTCTGTTTAAAGGTAATCTACACAGAAGGGTTAGTGCGGCAAAACTTTTACAATAAAAAAGGGTAAAAAGTGGCTAAACATTCTGTAATTAAACAGGTAATATAAGAGATCAGTCATAAGAAGAGAGTCAATAAAGATTAGTAAACAATACGCAGTGCTTGCAATCAAAATCTATCAGACAGAAAGAAGAAGCAAAAACTCAACTATCCTTTGATGATATATGCTATGGTATAATACGGCGGCAAATTATTGTGTGGTTGTCCAGCTCCCTGGTTGGTGGTAAAACGGACAGTGTCATCTCGAATAAGAGCCTGAATTCCGCTGTTAAGGTCAGTGCGGGACACCTTCCAACCAAATTCCGGGAAAGCATGGTTATGGGTGGGCATTTCGGCTATGGTCAACGTGTGCTCCATTTCACCTCCGATATCACTGACCTGGCGACTATAAGAGCTACCGATTCCCACCAGAAACCGGCCGCCCAAATCCGGTGTGGTGGTCTGAGGGTATAAAAGTGCCGACAGTCGAGGATACTTTACTGGATCCACTACAGAACCGTTGCACCACAGCCAGCCTACGAGATAGTTAGTCGAAGTAATCAGAAGTTAGGACTGCCTATCGCTATCGGAATGAAAACATTTACTTCTGGAGTTATCGCTATCCAGTCTTACCATCCGGAAGGTAAAGGCTGCTCAAGTATGCGACTATTGTTCCAGACGGTGTAATCATATCTGATACACTATTAACGCTCCCAAGAGTTCTCTCCATTTCATAGTCGTCCACAACGCTGACTTTGGCCGTGAGATTTACTAAACATCTGGTGACCCATATTTCTACGCCTTCGATATCGTCGTCGCTCCGTAGAGCGGTCAAATTTACGCTGCTAAGCTTCAGCGCTTTTGGTTCGTATATAGTGCCGTTCCATCGTACTACATCCTTTGATTTTTGAATTTTAGCAGTAATATTTATGGCGTCAGCAATCTCCGATGACGATAGATTAAATTCAGGGTTATTAACATCCGTAGACGGATCAACGGCGGCTGCTTTCAGATAATCTTGGACATTGCGAGCAGTTCTTTGTATCATTGTATTGATATTATTGGCTTGTTGATCGGGTCGCATAGCCTCGTCTCTCCAGTAGGCCAAGTTCCACTGGTCAGCCGAAAACGAGACTGTAGATATGGGCACAATTCCCAGTGCGCGACCGAGCGTTTTCTGCATTCCATACGACTGTGTTTGTGTAACGTACTGACTGTCACTCATGTCGGATTCCGAGACACTGGAAACTATTTCCTTTAACAACTCTAGCACGTCTGTATATTGCATGTAAACCGTCGAAACTCCGTCTGCGTATTTTTGATCCAGTGCTTGGTACATATCAGCGGACTGAATGCGTGAAGCTTTCAGCGTTACAGGTGCTTTAATTTTTTCGTGGTTCTGCAGGGAGTAAACGACTTCCAGCGATGCGGCGAAATTTTTCGTATCTGCTAACATGGCAACCAAAATTGTATTGGCACCATCCAATTCGGTTGTGCATTCAAAACGCGGCTTAATCTGTGCAGGCTGTCCCACGTACGAAATCCACTTCACAGGAATGCGGCAGTTGGGAAACCGTTCCGTCGCGTCGATACGAATATCCGCAATGGGTAGTATCCGCAGCATACTCCGGGTAGAATTAGGAACCTTTTCGGTTAAGGCCTGTCTAATAAATCCCTCATAATTGGCATCCCACATCTGTATGGTAAACTGCACCGTGTAAAGCCGCGATGTGTTGTGATACATCTTTATAGCCTCACGCTCACGCGGTACGAGTATCAAGGCCGGAGTGTAGAAGTAGGATATGTTCTCCGGTGTCGTTCCGGGTAACCGATAAACAGCCACTTGAAACGTACTACGGTAAGGAATCGTCATAAAAGGACGCCGTGTCATTTGGGCTGCTAAGTCGTCTTCACCAGGTAGGAACGTACCGCTTGGAATGGCAAAGGACTGGTTTGCTGTAAACGCAAGAATACAAATACTTACTGTAATCGGATTGGTACCCACGATATTGCGCTTAATAGTTATACCAGTGGACTTAAAATTAGTGCTTATTGCCTGCCACAAGAATATCATGCAACGAAGTCTTCACTAATAAAACTTTTTTTACCACTGCGATTCGTGAGAACTTGAATGAATCAAAAACGGGCTGGCACGGTGGCGCCATTTACATTGCACCAATGCTAGGTGAAGAAATGTGCAATGCAATTTGCACTTACGTGTCCCATTGGAACCTGTGAATCTGGAATCCATCATGGGATTACTATTTGGAATTGCGGGACTCGAAGCAGGAGGTACTGAGCCCGGATCAGGAGATGTTTCTGTGGGATCCTGCAGTTTTACGGATTGCACCGTCCACAGCACAAGCAGAGCGACAAAGCGTGATTTGGCAACTACAGCCATGTCACCAGTATTTCTAGTTCAGTTGTAAAGTAGCAGTTGCACGTGAATATAACTTCCTATTCTCTCTTCACGCACAACGGTCGCGTCAAACACGCATAACTGTTATGTATCCCGATTCCCGGAACTCAGTAGAATTATGACAGTGCACTGTAAAATCTGGTTGGGATCAGTCTAATAAAACTCGCAAAAACGCTAACTGACAACTGCAGTGTTAATGCACGATAACATGGCAAGGAGCTAGTATACAAAACGCAGAACATACTGTACGCTACGACACCACTTAACTGTCCTCATTAGAGTTAACTGCAAACAAATTCAAACTCATAATTATTATGATTTAACCCAAAAACAAAACACTTTGCAGAGTTTCACACCAATGAAAAGTATGTACAAGTCGTTGTTGATCATTAAATTTACCAGGTAAACTGATGTGAAGAAATTACTGTACTTCGAAGTACTGTAATTAATATGCCACTGTCTCTGGTTCAGTTGCCAAGATACACAACTTTTCACTTCCGATCAGCAGAAACGGTTCTGAAACCTGTGTTTGAGAAATAGCCAAAACTTATCATTAATTCACGGAACGAACTTTACTTAAAGGCGATTAGATTATTAGACCAAACTTTCTTCACATGCTTCTTTACACGTACCAAAATGGCACTTTGCCATACTATATTGCGTTAACCGCTTTATTAAGGGCTTTTGCCTTTTTATTACCGTTCGAAACCGCACAGATCCAGTAACATCCATTTGCTTTCGACTAAAACCCAGGCCGTCTACGTATACGTTTAAAGTGTTTTTTTACAGAAAATCATGAAAAATTCAGTCCTCCGAATGAACGTTCAGCAAGGTCAGCAACAAACCGCAAAACTCGTAACCATGTTTACAAGTCTACGTTTGGCCACAGAATGTCACAAGCCCCGTGCATAGTTTTCACGAATTAACTTGTAAGGTGCTGCATTAAGCACCGTCGCACCGGCATACTTCCGGACCCCGTATTTAAGCGTTGCGACATTTTATCATTTTTATGGTTCTCAATGCTCACTGCTCGGTCTGTCCGACCTGGAATGCGTTGAGTGACGACACATTCTACACAGTGCCCCGCAGCGGTCGCACTGGATTGGATTGCAGATATTCTACCTAGTATGAATTTTCCAAAATATCCACAATGTCCTGCTACCATTATGATTGACGATTAAATGGAAATTCTGAAATTAAATCACGGATCCTGTAACGCATAATATCAACAGGCTATGACAATCACAATCAGTTTAAAGGTGCTAACGCTATGTAATTCAATAAAGCGCTGAAATTGAAAAAAAGGTGCTAACCAGTAAGGTTGTACAAGTACGAGTACTGGGTAGGGCGGCATCCATAAATTACGTCACGCAATTTGGGGGAAGGGGGAGGTCCTGAAAGCGTTACTGTTGTTACAAAGGGGGAGGGGAGTATTAAAAACTTGTAACGATTTTGACGTCACCATGCTATGTCTATGGAGGGATTCTAAATTTGTTACGTAGCGCTCAGGGGGAGGGGATCTGAGTTTGTTAGCACTGGTGACACAGGGGGAGGGGGTATCAAAATGTCGAATTTTTGCGTTACGTAATTTATGGATGCCGCCTAGTAACTTTATTACATCTGTACAGTGTACAGTATACGATTGCGCTGCTAGGGCCTGTGTATCCGCGAGCGCCTCGAAAGCGCACACTCGCACGCTGCTTGCTTGAGTTTTCGCCTTTTGTCACAGTTTTGTGATTACAAACAGCAAACCTGACGCTGCTGTGCATTTCGGAGAACTATTACAGTAATAGTGTAATACTGCTTTCTTTTAGTATTAATTTTGCTAGTTTATCAGCAGTTCGACGCTGCGTATCAATTCTGGCGTCTCTTTAATTTTTCCTGGATCTATTTCGTTTTATCATGTCCGCGGACGGATCCGGGAAATGTGGACTGCCTGGTCCACACTGACATCTTTTTGGGCATCTGCGCTGCTCGGCCACGGGTAGCCTTTGCGTCCTAAGCCCATGCGGATTACAGGCTTGAATGATTGACTTGCAACTTGCCAGTAATCATGTCTGTGTCGAAAGCCTTGAGGCAGCACAAGCAGGCCCGCAAGGAGATATTTTCCGAATGGCGTAAGCGCATGTTCGAGTTGGACACAGTGGTGCAGCAGCATTTGGATGCGAGATACTCGGATAATGCTTATCGCCGTGAGTTTCGATTTTGCAATGGTAAGTTTTAAGAAAAGGCTGCCAGTGATTGAGGCTTTGCAGTTTGCTAAGTACGAATTTTGCAGAATGGTCGATACGAGTATACGAGTACTGATAGATGTTTCGCATTTACGACGACCAGCTTGTTGGCATGCTCTACAGTCTACAGTAATGAGTAATTCGTTCTGGATCTGTTTTAGGAGCTGACGTTATCGCGATTTCCAAGGGTGTTTACTACGAAGCTTCCGTAAGTTCACCAGTTTTTTTAAATCGTCCTTGATTGATTTAGTCAACGAAGGAGGTAATGCTACAATGAGATTACTGCAGTCTCCATCCAGTACGATATTTATGATTTATCATAAACTTTATGGCATCTGATTTGTATTTTTGGCATTTAAAAATAAATGCATTGTGCTCTTGATGCTTAGATTGTTCATGTTTATCGTGCTCGACCTTTCCCGAACGTTTCTGCCCCGCTGACCAAGGCGGATGTGGCCAATGCGACTGTTCCAACGTATATCATCCATTACCGTGGCTGGTCCGACAGTGAGTGACTATACAGTATCATCGGGCGTTTTCTTACCTATAAAAATTACTAATAATTTAAATACTGGCTATTTACCTTTTGTCTGTTAACTAGAGAATAGTTGTTGCTGCGACAGTGCCGCCACTTCGGCCGATTTTGTTTTAATGATCAAGTAATTACTGCTGCAGAGCACATAATTATTGTATGTACTGTATTACTAACGTGTTGCGCACTGAGTTGTCACAAATGCTCGTTGTAGATCACAACGATGAACACGCCGAGAACGATCTCCTCAGTCGACGTGTGGATTCGGCGGAATCTGTTCACTCAATGCTGTTTGCACATGAGTGGAACACGCTCTTCCGGTACTCGTATATTTCTCTGCTTAAAGCTCCTTTCTCTTCGTCTGTTAGTAGTTTGTGACAATCAAGTAGAGCGTTTTTGTGTTGACAGCACGGAGAAATCCTTGGAAGAAACGGAAGTCGGTCTGGGTTCTTGGTTTCTGCCCGATGAAAGCTATGCGAATCTGGAGCGGACATGGCAGTCTTTGACGGAAACTACGATGTCCTTCGCTGAATACAGCGGGCGGGCCAAAGCGGAGAAGGCGTTGTTGGAACTGGGCGATGTTTACTGAACTTGAAGCACATCGAATCAAGGAGCACCATTCTCCGGATTACTTGATACTGGGCAAGATCTGCTAAGGATGGACCAAAAACTTCGTTTACTGTGCGATCACGTTGAAAATTACGTTAATGCAGAGTTTTCGTTTTTTTTTGTTTGTTGTTTAACCTTACTGTTAAGTATTCCGTTCATTAACCGGTAATTAGAGTTGATATCGATCTCAGTAAATTCGGCAGCACTTTGGTTTCCGAAATCGATAAAGTATTCTAGAAATTTTGGTTGTTTTTCGCCCTGAATTTTTTATCTTGCTTTTTGGGATCAACAAGCAATTAAATTTATAGAGAGTTTTGGTACAACTGAAATAAAAACAGTGTCACAGAAACCGGGATTTTTAGTCCAGATATTCGATGGGCTTTTTGAGTAAAATATCTTTCTATGCTGCCGATCGCCAGTTTCATCGCTTCTTTATCCGACAGCTGCACGATGGGCGGCCTAGATTGTGAAGTATTATGAGCAACGTGGTAGCTGCCGTTTCGGCTGATATAAACATTACTCGGATCAAGAATGCACTGGTTCGTACTCTTCGACCTTTTGCGCCCAAAATCACAGACACACAACGGTTTCTGTCCCCCCAGCCGGTTGACGCAAACCTCGTTATTTTTGTTGCATGGGTTCTGTTGCACGCATTCATCGATATCCATGCATGTTGCCAGCAGTGAATTCCACTCCTTTCCCTCATCTTTCTTACAACCGCAAGATAAATTGACACGATTTTGAATAAGGTCATAAAAGTTGTTGTTCTTCCTCACATCAAAATCGCATTCATCCGTTTCTCCTCCATCACGACACGGGAAATCCGGATGTGGGTTGCGGCATTTGTCAATGTCCAATGGGTCGTCGATGGGATTCTTAAACGCGCCGCAGCAGGGATCGGGACAAAACGCCATTAACGCACAAGAAAAATCCCCGAAAACAAAATCAGATTGCCACGTGCGTCCTGCGCGACCACCTACTGAAATCTTGCACGGTCCAGCTTTGTTGCACTCAAAACCGTCCACACTGGCCAGTGTGAATAACAGGTATCGCGAGTCGTACAGTATCAGTTTCGAGCGGGGAATGCTTTCTCCGTGATTGTACACACATTCCGCAAGCTGTTCATCCACTAGGTCTTTTCTAAAAACGACAGCAAAAATCTGTCTGTCCAAATAATGGTACACGTAAATTTAGACTGACAAAGTAAAGGTCATGTCGCGTACTGACGAAAGCGCTGTACATTGTGATAGTTTGATCCGCGAAAATTTCTCCAATATGCACTGTATTCATTCCTTTCTTTCAGTGTATAGTTGCACAGGAAGTAGCTTGCCGTAGCGCGAAATTCGAATAAATCTTGGTGGCTAAGAAACGGCTCGTAATGCTGCACGGGTGACCACGTCCACCCCAAATCATCTGCGAAAAGCTTGGGCTGTTAGAATCAGCTAGATTAGTGGCCTGCAAATCACTGGTAATATATTTTTGAAATAAGTTGTTTGGCAAGCTGCCAGATACAAATTTTACGCAGAATCTTTAGGTTGTGAAGCTTACCAAATCTGTTGCAGAATTCTCCTTTGGCTAGCTTCAGTGCCTTTTTCCGCAGACGGACATTTTGATTCCTAGATTTGTCCTGATACTGGTGGAGATATTTTAAAAAGTAGTCTTTATCCAGATTCAAATGCCTGTGAAACCGTTGAGCATGGGCGTAGGCATTCTCGTGCACGAACTTTAAACAATGCAACAAGCTTTTTCTGCATTCGTCTTCGACCAACGGATGTAGCTGTTTCAGAACGGGAATAGGAAACTGCCGGTAATTAACCCGCTGATAAAATCGATCCTCTTTGGTGGCGGCGAACTTTCTAAACATTCGGGTATCGGTTTCCAGATATTTGTATTCCAGCATCCAGGTCATCACCTGGCGTACAATTCTTCGCCATTCCTGTGGAGTAGAGCCAGAATATGCCTTAAAATACGAAATATGCTCACGTTCATCGAGAAACACGTCGTCAAAAGGGAACTTTTTTGTAAGGAAGTAGTTCTGCAGTGTCTTTTCCTCTTCGTTTTTGGGATTCAAAAGTATTTGTGCCGTTCTGGTGGGAAGAGCTGAGCTGAAATCCGTGCTCAAGGCGAAACCCGAGCCAATTTCGGTGCGGTCGGAGGTGTACCATACTTTCACCGGACGTGACAGGATTTTGCAGCTTTTGAAATGGAATGCGTCGTTTCCAAGTTTCGGATGGTAAGCGGTAATTTCCTTTGCTGTCCATAATAATCCTGAGCAGAGTAACAGGATCCTGATGTGATTCAAAGTTCGAGCGAGCATTTTGATTTGAAGTGTTAACCTTGCGTGTAGCGAAATTTAACCGAGAAAATGATTTTAAGAAAGTATTATTTAATTACATTAAGCAGCCAAAAAAATGAAGAGTGCATTATCTAATGAAGAGTGCATTCTACAAAATACACACCCTAAAACCAATGTTATACTTAAGTATTTCACCTGCATTTTGTACATATGCCTTATGCCATAATATTTAATTGTAGCATATTTCATTTAGAATTTGTCAGTGCAGGCACACAGCTAAGTATTTGTAACGTACTGATTATAGAGTTGTGTGTAGATATTTAGCCGATTATGAATTAAATCTATAATTATGGCTGACCATGCTGTGTGCTGTGTAAGTAAGGTAAGAAACCCCAAACGCCGTGTAACCCGATGTCGTTGCATAAACACAAAATTATTTTACTCTAGTCGCAACTCTTGTAGCTTCAGCTGTGTGATCTCGTTTTATTATAAGCTACTTATTTGGTGTAAATTAACTGTTAAGGCTCCGTATTTGTATCAATACAGTGCAATATAGAAAACACATTATTGAACGGCAGATACCGGTACCCAGGAAAGGTGAAGGGGAATAATATAGCGCACCAAACAGAATGCACAGCCAGTTACAGCACTTATTAATTTTATGTTCACCGTCTTCTACAAAGATTATAGTTGAGGCAGTTTTGATTTTTATCTCAACATACCCTATCTTTTAACCTTTGTCCTTAAATTCGGTGCCGGTGGGGTTTTTCCCATGGTTCTACCAACCACATGCTATGTGCATTCCGGGTATGGTAGTATTTATCTGGCATCACCACCATCGTCTAGTTAACAAAACAGAACAAATTTCATATTAAAGTAAAAACCTGCAACACTTTCACTGTAAATTAATGTTCAGTAATACAGTGAGCGTTACGCACTCGAAATACGACTACGGGTTTTTCTTCCGCATTCGACAGCTCACATTGTGGCAATTTCTGCGGCCTTGCAGCAGGATCTTCGAAGATGAAAATTATTTTAGCATTTTTCATTCTCTCAGGTAAACAGAATTCTCCTAGATTTGCCGTATTTAATAAAATAAACCGCTCTAAATTTGAAATAAACCAGTCATTCACACGTTTAAAGCGTAACCAGTGCTGAGGAGTAGTCTTATCTTTCAGAGCAAAAACCTTAGGTGGAAATTGACTGTTATTGCATCTCTATCAAGAGCGGTGAAATATTTTGTGCGCTTATTATGTTTTTTAGTTTGTTTGATTTTTGTATAGCAGTGAGTATTGCATTTGTTGCTATCTGATATTATAACGAATGTTTCGATTAGCCGTGGCGTTGGTGCAAACAGCACCGTCCGTTGCTCCAGGTCAGCAACAGCATGGGCAGCCGAGCAGCGAAGGACATCAAGGCGGGAAGCTTGGACAAGAAGGTCAGTCAAGACAAGATCAACCAGCCCATAATGACCAACTTCCGGAAAAGCTGCATCAGCCAGACTCCGGTCACCAGGGCGGGCGTCTCGGTCAAGACGGTCAGGGACCAAGGGCGAATGAAGCGGCAACTGGGGCAACTACAGCTGCCCATTGAAATGTCAAAATACTGCCTAAACCTTAGAATGTCGCCTGGAACGAACGTGAATTGTAAAAAGGGCATTTTTAAAGAAATTCTAATTCTGTACAGTGTATATTTTACGCATTAACGTGTACGTAGAATTATGAAAAGCACGTTTGCATATTTTACTGTTTTGCGGCTTTTGCCCATATTGTTATCTTTTCCGGTGTTTTTAATTAATGTAAAATGTTACTGTAATAAACTGATAATGCTGTACAAATAAGAACCGAAAGTACCGGTATCAAGTTTTAAACTTATCACAATCATCACCTCGAGCCGTAACATTCGGTGTACCCGGTAAAAGTTTTGACCGTTGCTAAGAAACACAACGTAAACAAGGTGATGACAGAGAAATTGGCTTGTGCAATGTAATACTTAAGACGTATAGCGCTCTTTCTTCCTCCGTGCGATGCCGAATACTGGATATCTATCATGCTAACATTATCACATCAATCTTTCCTTTCGTCATTTTCTGCTTTTGAGAGTATCGAATGATGACGGACTCTTTTTGGAGAATGTCGGTTCTACTGGATGGCTCACTTTTCCTGTTTAAATTTGACATCGATGGGGGATTATAGAGTATTGTGTATCTTTTCAAAAGGGTTTCGGGAACTGCGAGACAGAGTTGATCTTTCCTGAAGGCGTCGTGATCTCGTGTAGAAAATGAGCACGCCGAATCCACCCGACGGAGCATTTAAATCGTTTGGTGTGCCGCCTCCGTTGGTGACCTATCTTCCCACGCCCGGTGTAGCTGAGCCCAAGCATATAACCCCACGAAAATTAACACAAAAATTCCCATTTTCTCAGAGCATCAAACCGCTTAAGAAACCCCTATGGACTACGCTACGGCCCGTCGTCGAAGATCTTAACGAGTACCTACGGCCGAAAAACAATGTCGCGCGTCCTATGGCTATTCTTGAGAATAACCAGTCGCCAGCAGTGCAAGTGCGAGAGAATTTACAAGCATTGCCTGCTTGGGATGTAAAAAAGTTCCAGAGGCGATCATCCTCCAGTAAGCGTGATGGTGCACAATCGACAACCGACGCTAAGCAGAGCGGACAATCCGATCCGGTAAAGGAGCGCATCCGGCAGAGAATTCTGTACGTGGTGGGAACGGAACCGACGACCATGCACGACAAGCTAACAGCGATGAAGCTCTATGACCGTGATGAGCTGTTTCTGCAGCAGGAGGCCAGCGAAGGCCAGGCAAATCAAGCTAACATTATTCAACAACATAAGCTGTCGAAGGCACTTAAAGAGCGATTTGAACTTCTGGGTCGCGAATCAGTGGATGGGCTGAGAGTCCAAGTACCGCAGCGGCTAATCGACAAACAGCTGAACTTAAACTATCTACGGAAGCAGTATTTCGTCATCAACGGAATCGAGACGACCACGTCGATGGAAATTCCGGATTCCTGGTTGGACAACATTCTTAACCAATTAGACTTCAGTTTGATCAAAACTTATCCCGATACAGTTAAGAAATTAGCGCAGGATGCCCGTTATGAGTTCCTGAAAGGCGTCAAGAGGTGGGTAAGTTGCACATAAACCCCACACCGCTGCTTTGTATTTCTTTTCCTCTGTACTGTAACTACCCGAATCAAGATATCGCATATTTACATTTTTGTGTAGTTGTGTCCGCAGAGTCTACTAAGAAGAACTTTCGTTCGATTTACGTCTGTGTTTTTGTAACTGCAGCCATGTCTTTTATCAAGTGACCTTTTGTTTGCAGTGCTATTGCCCAATTCGTGTTTCGGAGTAGTGAGTTACAAGTAACCCTTTCCCGCACAATGTTGTTGCCCAGTCTCGATGTGATCCGAAGAATCATGTTTTTTCGCTCTCTGCAAATCTTTCACGCACGAAAAGCCATGCGTGACGTTTTCCAACAAGGTCACCCGATAACTCGCGCCATCATAACGCTGTGGTACCAAAACAAGCAGGGTTTTGCGAAAGAAACCGCGGATTCTAAGCTACGGCCGAGTTACGACGACCTCCGTGTTGTACAAACGCAAAGCTTCTGTCGCCCGATCTGGACCGATCCGTTTGATGTCCAGGACTTTCAGACCAAAATCTTGGCCCACGTGGATTACTGCAAAGACAAAATCACCAGGAAATGGCTGGAGCAAGCGAAAGACCTAATTTTATTGGGTCAAGTGAATGGTTGGGTAATCTAATGCAGAAACTGTCCTTGCAAACATGCCGCTATACAACGTATATTTGGCATTGCAGTTGCCTACCAAAGAAAGTGAACGCCCAAAGTTGGCGGCATTCGTCAAGTCAGCATCGGCGCTTGTTACACGGCAGATCCAAACCACTCTTATCCGATCAATAGAAGATCTGTACAAGATGATGTTTCCTGACCAGAATGCCTTATTTTATCAGCCATTTCCCGGGTTTCTTGTGCGCATCGTACTGGATGGAAACGAACTGCGGTTTGAGCCGGAATTTGGCCACATACAGAAACTAGTCTTGAATGTCTTCACACTAACTGCCGACATCATGAAGGCATTCCCTTCTCTGGATGGACTGGTTGCGCAAGCCACAATCGGAAAGAAATCCCTGGATGAAACCAAAAAGCTGCCGGTTGTCGGAGGGATTATTCTTCCAGAGAAGCTCAACGTGATATTGGCCGATGTGCAGAAATTGCTGCAGACGGAATTCGAAAAGCCAAAACAGTTCATGGCCAAATTTGCGGTGTTTAACGAGATTATCCGATCCGATTGCACTCGAAGAATGGAAGCGTTTATTGCCGAGCCGCGAACCTACGAGCAGTATCTGGAAGAGCTGGAATACTTCTTGAAAATCTTTGCTGACGTGTTTGCTTCTGCTCCCAAGTTCACCTATCTAGGATTATTCAGTGTGAACTGCGAGGACTTGTTTACTGGATTAACCAAGCGGATCGAAAGCGTTCTAGATGGTTACACTAACAAAATGTTGGAGCTGCTTGAAGCCGACTTAACACATATCTACGAAGATCAAGGCGCTATCACCAAGCGTCTATTGTCTGCTCCCGCCAATATCGAAGAACTCATTGCTCTGCAGAAGTACGTCACGAAGTTTGTGGAGGTCGACCTAAAAGAGTACACCAAACGTCTGCAGGCAGCCAGCATAGAAATGCAGACCATCGGGAAATTCAGTCCCCGCCCCTTGCCTACTGCTAGTCGATTGATTCTGGATCTTTTAAGCTGGCATTTGGGTTGCGATAAGATGGTTGCCGCATGCAGAAGAATAATGGATGCGAAAACTGAAGAGTTCACCAATAATCTGCATTCCAGACGGGAGAAGGTCACGGAAGATCTCGAAACTCTGGATCGTTTGGTGAACGAGTTGGCAAATAATACCGAACCCTCCGAAGTCACCAAATACAAGCGGAGAGCCAACAATCTCGAAGCGAGACTAGAAGACGTGTTTAATCGTATTATGCAGTTGAACAAGGAGGAAGAACTGTTCAAATGGGACGTCACCGATTATCCATTACGGGGACAGATTTCTAGCCGATTGGCGCCATACGTGAAACTTTATGACACTGCTAGCGATTTCGGTGAAAAGGCCCAGCAATGGCTGGCATCGCCCGTTGATCAAGTAAATCCAGAAACGGTGACCGCCGACGTGGAAGCGATGTACATGAGCATGTACAAATTGGAGAAATTCTTCAACGGCGTTCCAGGACCGTTGAATATCGCCACAAAGGTCAAAGGGAAAATCGATCAGTTCAAGGACTTCTTGCCGTTGGTCAACACTCTCTGCAACCCGGGATTACGATCACGTCACTGGGAGCAGATTTCAAATGTTGTCGGCTATACACTAAAGCCAAGTCAGGACCTGACTTTATCGAAGATTGTCCACCTCAAACTGGGACCGTACATTGGGCAATTCGAAACCATTAGCGAGCAGGCTAGTAAGGAGCACAGTATTGAGAAAGCTCTGGAAAAGATGCGTGGTGACTGGAAGGAACTGGAGTTCGGTGTCATACCGTACCGAGAAACCGGAACAAATATCCTTACGGCTGTTGATGAAATCCAGTTGTTGTTGGACGATCATTTACTGAAGACCCAGACCGTTCGAGGATCGCCGTTTATTAAGGCTTTCGAAGGTTCAGCCAAAGAATGGGAAGAAACGCTGCGCTCCATGCAAGACATTTTGGATGTTTGGTTGAAAGTTCAGGCTACTTGGTTATACCTGGAGCCGATTTTTAGCTCACCGGATATTATCGCGCAGATGCCAGAAGAAGGCAAACGGTTCCAACAAGTTGACAAAACCTGGAGAGAACTGATGAAGCCAGTTTCTGCAGATCCCAGAGCGCTATCGGTTGTAAAAATCGATAAGATGTTTGAGAAATTGACGAAAGCGCACGAATCCTTGGAGTTCATCTTAAAGGTGAAGGTCACAATAACCGCTAAATAAGTATTCTTATTCTTCAGTGGTGTATTTCTCATACAGGGTCTGAACGACTACCTGGAAAAGAAGCGTCTGTTCTTCCCGCGCTTTTTCTTCTTGTCAAATGATGAACTGCTGGAAATTTTGTCCGAAACCAAGGACCCAACCCGTGTGCAACCACATCTAAAGAAATGTTTTGAAGGTATCGCCAGTTTGGAGTTTACGCCAAAACTGGATGTTACTCACATGAAGAGTGCCGAGCAAGAGTCCGTGCAGTTAATTCGCACCGTATCGACATCGAAGGCTAAAGGTCAGGTGGAGAAGTGGTTGGGCGAACTCGAGGGTGTAATGATCAGTTCCGTACGTGATGTCATTGCGAAAGCGCTTCAAGACTACGCTGTTGTGCCGCGTAGTAAGTGGGTAATGAAGTGGCCTGGGCAGTCCGTCTTGTGCGTGTCCCAGACGTACTGGACATCGGAGGTGCATCAAGCGATTGCCAATGGCCCGGCAGCACTGGCCGCCTACCTCCAACAGAACACCGACCAAATTACGGAGATTGTGGAGATCGTACGCGGAAAGATTTCCAAACAGAATCGAACCACTTTAGGTACGCAACCGTCACAATATCTAATGCCAACATTATAAACTCGATAACAGAAAGGTCACGGTAGGGGCACTGGTGGTCATCGATGTCCATGCTCGTGACGTCGTTCAAGAACTAGTCAACGGCAAAGTAACCGAAGAAACAGACTTCCTCTGGCTAAGTCAGCTGCGCTATTACTGGGAAGACATGGAGAAAGACGGAACGTATAACATGGCAACACGAATGATCAACTCCATGCTGAAATACGGTTACGAATATCTGGGCAACAGTGGCCGTCTGGTCATAACACCGTTGACGGACAGATGTTATCGCACTCTGTATGGAGCCTTGCAGCTGCACTTAGGTGGTGCTCCCGAAGGCCCGGCCGGCACGGGTAAGACCGAGACGACAAAGGATTTAGCGAAAGCCGTTGCCAAACAGTGCGTGGTGTTCAACTGTTCCGACGGATTGGATTACATCGCCCTGGGAAAGTTCTTCAAAGGGCTGGCTTCTTGTGGAGCATGGTCGTGCTTCGATGAGTTTAACCGTATCAATCTGGAAGTACTTTCCGTCGTCGGTAAGACTGAAATCATGCCTTATACCATACATTTTTATACAAGCGCTTTCACGCTTGTAGCACAACAAATCCTGACAATTCAACGAGGGATTAATTCCGGAGCATCAAAGCTTGTTTTCGAAGGGACGGAAATCAAGCTTGATCCGACTTGCTCCGTGTTCATTACGATGAACCCCGGCTATGCTGGCCGGTCGGAGTTACCCGATAACTTGAAAGCCTTGTTCCGATCAGTGGCTATGATGGTGCCTGATTACGCTATGATTGCCGAAATTCGTTTATACTCGTTCGGGTACAAGATCGCCCGGCCTCTGGCCGTCAAAATTGTGGCGACGTATCGATTGTGTTCGGAACAGCTGTCCAGTCAAAGCCATTATGATTACGGTAGAACGTCGCACTAGTTTTGAGCTGTCGTTTACATTTACACGAATGGTGTTTCGTAGGAATGCGTGCCGTAAACTCCGTATTGGTTGCTGCCGGTAATCTTAAACAGAAATACCCGAAAGAGGACGAGAATATTATTATCTTACGATCCATCAAAGATGTTAACTTGCCAAAGTTTTTGGCGCATGATATCCCACTGTTCAATGGTATCACTGCGGATTTATTTCCTGGCACCGTTTTGCCCACTCCGGATTACGAATTGTTCAATCTTTCGGTTCAGGAAAACTGTGTTAAGATGAATCTGCAATGTACACCGGTGTTTCTGGAAAAGATCCAACAGATCTACGAAATGATGATTGTGCGACACGGCTTCATGCTTACCGGCGAACCGTTTGGTAATTTCAAATTCAGGAGATGCTTGTTATTTAATCACTCATTAAGTCACTTTCATTTATAAATACAGGGGGTAAAACAAGTGCATACAAAGTTCTCGCAGCAGCATTGGGTGACCTTAACGAGAAAGGTTTAATGGAAGAAAATAAGGTGCAGATTACGGTCATCAATCCCAAGTCCATCACCATGGGGCAGTTGTATGGCCAATTCGATCCTGTTTCACATGAGTGGTCAGATGGCATTGTAAGTGAATTATGCATCGCTCATAAGAAACGGTACGAGTACTAAAAACTTCTTGTGCTTTAGTTTATTGTTATTATAAAATGTTATTATAAAAACAAAACATAAAAATATATTTCTGTTGCAGCTTGCCGTCAGTTACCGCGCTTTTGCTTCCTCTCAGACACCAGACCGGAAGTGGCTGATTTTTGACGGTCCCGTCGACGCTGTTTGGATCGAAAACATGAACACCGTACTCGACGACAACAAAAAGGTTATTGTTTGTTGAAGACTATGTACTGTTATACAAATCGAGTAGTAATTATTTTGCAGCTTTGCTTGATGAGCGGTGAGATCATTCAGCTAGCTCCGACAACTAATCTGATTTTCGAGCCAATGGACCTGGAGGTTGGTATAACTAGGAAAGTGCACCACTGTTGGCTAGCACATTAAGACCGAAGCGAAGTGGGAAACGAAATTAAGTAAACACTTTATGAGGTTTATCTTTTCTTGAATTTCCAGTTTTCATTAATTATTTTTTGTGCTCATTAAATATACTTATCACCTTTATTCCCCTCTTATGAATTTTATTTAAAATATGAAGGCGTGACCGACGTGACCGATGTGACCGACAAAAGTCCCGTTTTCTTGGACATAGAGAACCTTCGCTTCGCTTCGGTCGATAATCCTGCATGAGCTTTACGTCACGATTGCTAACTTGCAAAGCAAGTTGTTTTGACAGGCTGCTTCCCCAGCTACAGTGTCCCGTTGCGGTATGATCTACATGGAACCCACAGCTCTTGGCTGGCAACCTCTGGTGAAGTCTTACATAACCGACCTTCCGCAGTCGGTTGGACCAAAGCAAAGGGCTTTGCTGGAAAAGCTGTTTGCCACTTATGTACAGCCGTGTCTGGACTTTGTCCGCAGGAATAATTTGAAAGAGCATTCGCCGACGTCTAACGCCAATCTTGTGCGCAGCCTGACCAACCTGATCGATTGTCAGTTGGATGAGTTTCTAAATGAGAAAGTCATCGCTGCAGCCACGGAGGACGCTAAGACTGGCTGGACTGAGGGAACATTCTTTTTTGCGTTAATTTGGTGTGTGCATACTTAGCTAGCAACAAATTCCGGTTTGTAATGTAATTGCAATTGCTTCTAGGTCAATCGGCGCAACGATTAACGATGAAGGGCGCACGAAGTTCGATAAAATGTTCCGCGACATGCTTAAATGGGGATTTGATGAGGCGGGCATCGTTAAGTACAATCTTGAGAAGCTGGTTCCGAAATTCGAGAATTCACTGTGCCCCATACCTCCTGATGGCCGAATCTTTGATTACCGGTTTGAGAGGGATGCCTATGGAAAGTGGGTTAACTGGATGGAAGACAAATCGTTGCAGCAGACTATCCCCAAGGATGCTACCTTCAGCGAAATTATCGTCCCGACGGCGGATACTGTACGGTATACCTATCTGATGGATCTCTTCGTGCGGCACGAAAAGCACAGTCTATTCGTTGGACCAACGGGCACGGGAAAGTCGGTGTATATCAATGATTTCTTATACAACAAAGTCGACAAGGAAACGGTTAAGGCAGTGCCGGTGATATTCTCCGCGCAAACAACGGCGAACCAAACACAAAATGTAATCCAGTTTGCGTGATTCTTAAGAGTGTGCAAATGCAAGACTTTTTTGCGTCTGTTAATTAACTTCCTTTTCGGGGTAGATGATTATGGCACGTCTGGATAAGCGAAGAAAGGGAGTTTTCGGTCCACCCGTGAATAAGAAGCTGGTCATTTTTGTTGACGATTTAAACATGCCAATGAAGGAGACCTATGGTGCCCAGCCACCGATCGAACTGTTGCGACAGTGGATAGATCATGGAAATTGGTACGACTTGAAAGATACCAGCATGATCAAACTAGTCGATCTGCAGTTGATGTCAGCCATGGGACCGGCGGGTGGTGGACGCAATTCCATTACTCCGCGCTTCTTGCGCCATTTGAATACAATCGCTATGAACGAATTCGACGGTCTCATCATGGCGCATATATTCAAGAAAATTGTCGGGTGGCACTTTGACAGCAAAGGATTCACTCAGGAATTCAAGATCCTCGGCGAGCAGCTCATCACTGCCACCATGGAGATTTACGCGTCGGCGATGAAGGAGCTTTTGCCGACTCCAACTAAATCTCATTACCTGTTCAACTTACGAGGTAAGTGCTGTTTTTCACAGCTTTATTGTACAGCTTTCTTAGTGAATCGGTTCGAATCTACTGTTCATTTATTATTCACAGTACGATACTATGTTGAGTGTTAAGTAAAGTGTTATGCGCTTTAGTTAAGCTGGCAAATTTTCTCGCTTCAGACTTTGCTCGTGTGATCCAAGGCATCTGTCTGTCCGACACCCAGAACTTCACAGAACCGAAGATGGTGAAACGGTTATGGATCCATGAAGTTTTCCGAGTATATTACGATCGCTTGGTTGACGACAATGATAGACGCTGGTTTTTCGCAGCCACTAAACGCACGGTGGAGAACTCATTCCGAGATAACATTGACAACGTTCTGGCCAGGCCGGATAAAGAAAAGGCCGTTATTGAAGAGGGGGATCTGCGTAAACTGATATTTTGTCATTTTGCCAAAGGGGAAGATTCTCAGGGCTACAGTGAAGTGGAGAATCCTGATAATCTTCGGAAGAATGTCGAACAACTGTTGGAAGATTTTAATGGCATTTCTAAGCAGCCCATGAATTTGGTCATTTTCGGCTTTGCTCTGGAGCACATCTGCAAAATTTCGCGCATAATCCGTATTCCCAGAAGTCATGCCCTGTTGGTCGGAGTGGGTGGTTCCGGGCGGCGCAGTCTAACCAAATTGGCGGCATATATTGCTGATTATGAAGTGTTTCAAGTGGAAATCACGAAACAATACGGAATGAACGAATGGCGAGATGATCTGAAGAGAATTTGTCGGAGAACAGCCGAAGGGGAAAATCACGCCGTCTTCATCTTCTCCGATACACAGATCAAAAACGAATCCTTTTTGGAAGACGTCAATAACCTTCTCAATTCCGGCGAAGTGCCGAATCTTTTTGCCGCAGACGAGAAGATTGAAATATCCGAAAAGATGCGACTAATTGATCGTCAGCGCGACAAATTAAAGCAGACCGATGGATCTCCACAGGCCCTCTATAACTTTTTCGTCGCACGGGTTCGCAACCAGCTGCACGTGGTGCTGTGTATGAGCCCCATTGGAGAAGCCTTCCGAACGCGATTAAGAAAGTTTCCCTCGATTGTCAACTGCTGTACCATCGACTGGTTCCAAAGCTGGCCGGAGGATGCATTAAGCGCCGTCGCCAAGAAATTTTTGGACGATGTCGATATTCCACCCGAACAGAAAGAAGGTTGCACGCAGCTATGCAAGGATTTCCACACTACGGCCATTAATCTATCAGGCCGATTCCGATCGCAACTGCAGCGTTATAATTACGTTACGCCCACTTCGTACCTGGAATTAATCAAAACATATAAGATGCTGCTATCCAAAAAGCGCGGTGAAGTGATGCGTGCGAAAAAGCGTTATGAAGGCGGTCTGGACCGATTGGCACATGCTGCCTCACAAGTAGCAATAATGCAGCGTGACCTCACAGCACTACAGCCGAAATTAAAAGAAGCCAGTAAGCAAGTCGAAGAGCTCCTTATCGTTATCGAACAGGAATCTCAGGAAGCTAAAGCCGTTGAGGATAAGGTCAAGAAAGAAGAAGAAACGGCCAATGATTCGGCTACAGCCGCTAAGAAAATCAAAGACGAATGCGACGCTGATTTAGGCGCGGCATTACCGATTTTGGAAGAAGCTCTAGCTGCACTGCAGACGCTGAAGGAAGAGGATATTACTTTCATCAAGTCCATGAAGAATCCACCAGGGCAGATTAAATTGGTCATGGAGGCTGTATGTGTCATCAAGGGTGTAAAAGCCGACAAGGTCAAAGATGCGTCTGGTAACAATGTTGAGGATTTCTGGGGCCCATCGAAGCGAATATTGGGTGATTTGAAATTCTTGGACTCACTGCGGAATTTCGATAAAGACAACATTCCACCAAAGATCATGAAGGTCATCCGTGATAAGTACATTTCCGATCCCGCATTCGATCCAAAGGAGGTAAAAAAGGCTTCCGTTGCTGCGGAAGGGTTATGTAAATGGATCATCGCTATGGACAAGTATGACAAAGTTGCAAAGGTAACTCGTTTTGTTCAGTTATTTTAAAATGAGTGTACTCAGTGTACCATTGTACCGTTCCATTTATAGATCGTAGCCCCAAAGAAAGAAGCGCTCGCTCGCGCTGAAAAAGACCTTGGTGTGGCGATGGCCGCTTTGAACAAAGCTCGTGCTGCGTTGAAGGAGGTTCAAGATCGTCTTGCTGAGCTCCAAAGGAAGCTGGATGCCAACAAGCTGCAAAAGTCCAACCTCGAGCAGGAAGTTATTAACGTCTCTAAGAAGTTGGTCCGAGCAGAAGAATTAATTAGCAAACTAGGAGGCGAAAAGGATCGTTGGAGCGCAGCAGCTGCTGAACTGGGCGTACGCTACATTAACTTGACAGGTGACGTACTGATTTCGTCCGGTGTGGTCGCATACCTGGGAGCCTTCACATCTGGGTTCCGGAACCATCAGGTTAAAGACTGGATGAACAAATGCGCCGCTTTAAAGATACCGTGTTCGGAAGGGTACAGTCTTAGCGCAACACTGGGCGAACCGGTTCAGATTCGAGAATGGAATATTAACGGTCTGCCCACGGATATGTTCTCAGTAGAGAACGGTATCATTCTAAGTAATGCTCGTCGCTGGCCACTACTGATCGATCCACAAGGGCAAGCGAACAAGTGGATTCGTCTACAGGAAAAGAAGAACAACCTGAAAGTTATTAAACAAACAGACGGGGACTTTGTTCGTACTTTGGAAAATAGTATTCAGTTTGGAAACCCGGTGCTCTTGGAAAATGTCGGTGAAGATCTTGACCCCGCTCTGGAACCACTGTTGCTTAAGCAGACATTTAAACAAGGCGGCATCGTCTGCATTAAACTTGGTGATAATATTCTGGAGTATCAAGAAAGCTTCCGTTTCTACATCACTACGAAGTTGCCCAATCCACACTATTTGCCAGAAACAGCCGTAAAGGTCACCATTGTCAACTTCATGATTACACCCGATGGGTTGGAGGACCAGCTGCTCGGCATTGTTGTGGCCAAAGAGCGACCGGAACTTGAAGACGAAAAGAACGCCTTAATCGTGCAAAGTGCAGAGAACAAGAAAGCTCTCAAAGATATTGAGGACAGAATCCTTCAAGTATTGTCTGAAGCGCAGGGGAACATCCTCGAAGACGAAACGGGTATCAATGTACTATCTTCGTCGAAGGAGTTGTCCAATAAGATTCAAGCCAAACAAGTCAAAGCTGAGGAGACAGAGAAGAATATCGACCGGATGCGTATGCAGTACAAACCCGTGGCCACGCATTCGTCCGTTCTGTTCTTCACCATCACCGACTTGGCCAATGTGGAGCCGATGTATCAGTACTCCTTATCGTGGTATATAACGTTATTTATTATGGGCATCGATAGTGCAACCAAATCGGAAGACTTCGATCAACGTTTACAGAACTTAAAGAACTACTTCACTTATTCGTTGTACTGCAACATTTGCCGGTCGTTGTTCGAGAAGGATAAACTGCTGTTCACATTGTTATTGTGCATCAATTTGATGAAAGCCAAGAAGGCAGTTTTGGAAGACGAATGGAGATTCTTCTTAACTGGAGGCGTCGGCTTGGACAACCCGCATCCACCACCAGGTTTGTTTACACTTACAATCTTGCACGAAAGATTCTTCCACTGATATTATTTGTACCGTAGGAAACTGGATTCAGAAGCAGAGCTGGGACGAACTTTGCCGGTTGGATGCTATGGAAGGATTTGTCGGTTTACGCGAGAGTTTCTACTCACAAGGAAAAGCTTGGAAGGTGATTATGGAAGCTGTCAAGCCCCAGGATGAAACGTATCCCGCACCTTGGGACGCATTATCCAGCTTTCGTCGGATCCTGATTCTCCGATGCATTCGCTCCGATAAAGTCATTCCAGCTGTCTTGGAGTTCGTTTCACAGAACCTTGGCAAAGATTTTGCTGAGCCACCGCCTTTTGATCTGAGCAAAGCCTTCACGGATACAAATTGCTGCACTCCACTGATTTTCGTCCTCTCCCCGGGATCTGATCCAACGGGAGCGCTGTTGAAATTTGCAGACGACAAAGGGTTCGGGAAACATAAACTGAATTCCCTTTCCCTCGGTCAAGGTCAAGGTCCAATTGCTATTAAGATGCTTGAACGCGCATCAAAAGAAGGCACTTGGGTTGTACTGCAGAATTGTCACTTGGCCACATCCTGGATGCCGACACTGGAAAAGATTTGCGATGAATTCACCATGGACACCATTCACCCAGATTTCCGTTTGTGGTTAACTAGTTATCCGTCAAAAGATTTCCCGGTGTCCGTATTGCAGAACAGTGTCAAGTTAACGAATGAACCACCGAAAGGTCTACGAGCCAACGTCATTCGATCCTACCTTAGCGATCCCATCAACGACGATAACTTCTTCGACAAGAGCAGCAAACAACCGAAAGCCTTCCACAAGATGCTGTATGGATTATGCTTTTTCCATGCCCTTATCCAAGAACGCAAAAACTTTGGCCCATTAGGCTGGAACGCAATGTACGAGTTCAATGAAACCGACCTGCGAATTAGTGTACAGCAGTTGCACATGTTCTTAAATGACTATAAAGAAGTACCTTTTGACGCGTTGAAATACATGACCGGAGAATGCAATTACGGAGGTCGTGTGACGGACGACAAAGATCGGCGTACTTTGAATACCCTACTCAAGCGCTTCTACTGCCCACAGATCCTAGATGAAGATCCTATATACAACTTTGACCCCAGTGGTATTTATTTTGTCCCACCCGACGGCAATCGGGAATCGTACATGGCCTATACCCGTAGCCTGCCCACGATCACCAGCCCGGAAGTCTATGGGCTGCACAGCAACGCCGACATTACCAAAGAACAGCAAGAAACCCAGCTACTGTTTGACAGTGCCCTGAGGGCAACCGGTGGAGGCGGTGGAGGAGGAGGAGCCACCGTATCTGACGCCACGATCTTAGACATCGCCACTGGCATCTTATCAAAGCTGCCACCGAATTTCGATATTGCAGCCGCCAATAATAAATACCCAACTGAATACAAGCAGAGCATGAACACGGTGTTGGTACAAGAAATGGGACGCTTTAACCGGCTGCTATCCACCATTCGGACCAGTCTGATCGACATCCAAAAAGCCATGAAAGGTCTTGTTGTGTTGTCCTCTGAACTGGAAGACGTGCTGAACAGCATTCTAACTGGCAAGATTCCAAATGCCTGGAAACGCTGGTCGTACCCGTCGCTAAAGCCGTTAGGATCGTACATTAACGATTTTGTGCTGCGACTGAAGTTTCTGCAGGACTGGTATGAGCACGGACCGCCGCCTGTATTTTGGGTGTCGGGATTTTATTTCACGCAAGCGTTCTTAACCGGCGCTCAGCAAAACTTTGCAAGGAAATACACAATTCCCATTGATCTGTTGACCTTTGATGTTCAAGTGTTAAACCATGAAGAGTATACTACGCCACCGGAAGATGGCGTCTACATCAACGGACTGTTCCTTGAGGGAGCTCGTTGGGACATCAAGAACAACAGTTTGACTGAATCGCATCCAAAGGTTCTCTATGATACTATGCCAGTTATCTGGATGATTCCGGTAGAAAGGTCCAAAGCCCGGAAAGCCGCTTTTTACATGTGCCCGGTGTATAAAACATCAGAGCGCAAAGGAACATTGTCCACTACGGGTCATTCTACTAACTTTGTCATTTCCATGAAACTGCTTACAGTGAATGGAGAGGATCACTGGGTAGCACGAGGTGTAGCCATGTTATGCCAACTAAACACGTAATGTAAGGGGTGTCGGTTCCATGGCAGAAAGCAGTTTGCTATGATTTTATTTTTTAGTTCTTGTAATGTTAGTTTTTGGTGTCAGTGAAAAGTCCTTTGCTGGAAGTTATTTATCAGCGTTTGCAGCAACAGCAATGTTCAGATCGAAATTCATGGTTTTACTGGATTTTTTGTGAGATCGAGGCCGATGAAAGTTGCCTCGTTGAAATGATTGTTCAAAATAAAACAAAAACGGTCACGCCGTTTTAAGCAGCAACTGCACATTTAAAATGATAAAACAAATTAGCTTTTTAGACGCGAAAAGAATGCTTTCGGCCGCGGGTTCTGGACTGATAATCAGTCGCGGCGACCGTTTCGGTGCTGGAATTGGCACTGCTCCGATCTCCTGCTGCCTCTCTTTTGTAGTGCACCGTTGCGGCGTAATTTTTGGCATGTTGAAAAGTGTATTCCGTTGCTGGAAGACCCAGTTTTAAGGACATGTACCGCTCCACATTAGCTGTGTACAAATCCGGATTGAGCTTTTCATCTTGCGAGGGACAATAAACACCTGCAATTACAATGGCTAGTGCGTTTAATGGTGAATCAAACCACTCAAAAGTATTCAACGGTTTACCTAGGGCTGTTACAATTGCCGTAATGTTCGGTTGGAGTAGGATGCAGACGAGCGACTTCCAAACAGGGAGATTAGTGTCCCACGTCATTGTCACAGGTTGAAAGGAGCGCATGCACGTTTTATATGACAGTCCAATGAGCTGCACCGGCTGACCTGGGATGAAAGCTCCGGACTTGAATTTGAAAAAGCTCTTGCCGTTTGATGTTGTGCCTTCGGGGAATATGAACACAGGCGGCCAGTTCCAACGATTTAACGTGATATCTTTGCGACAACGTTCTCGCAGTGCTTCAACGGTGCTAATCCGACTGCAAAAACAAAATGCAACAGATAAAGCATAAGCGATAAATTAAACTTAAAATTACTGACCTTTGCATATCTTCTCGGTCAACGTACAACGGCTGCATTAGTGAAATAGCAGGCCCGAAGAACGGTAAACTCTTCAAGCTCGACCGCGAAACTACACAGCAGTCCATTATGACGCACAGGAACGCATCCATGTATGAGATGTGCGGCGCCACTACTAGCACGGGAGCCTGAACTTCTTGACCTTTTCGTCGCTTTAGCAGTTCTTCCACGCGTCCTTCCCATCGAATCCAGTGTAGGCCACACAGAAAGAACATCCAACGACCGATGTGGCGTAGGATAATCTGGCATTTACGGCGCCATCCTGTTAATGGAGCGGCAGTTAAAAGATCGTTCGTTTTGTTAATGTTGAACAATGCCACCTGTAACGTAAGTCTCGTCAAGTTCCAACCGTGGCTAACGTTCATCGATTAAAGCTGTACTTTCGCAATAAGCCAGCCTGATATCATCAAAAACAGGAGTCCTGCGACACGAAGAGGAACAATCGGAACCATGAGCGCCATAATACAGTAGTCCGTCGCAGATATTCGACAGTGATATCGATACGGTAACTGCAATGGACTTCCTAGTGTCGCCAGAGTGGGTGTACTGACGCTGGTTTTTGGAGAATTTTCCGTAGCCATGCGTAGGTTAGACCCCGGTTTTACAGCCTGACTGTCTAGGTCCACATTGATAAGTTCGCTGGTTTTCTCCTTGGCGCATCCGTTAACCGAGCGATGCCTTTCGTCATCACCGTAACAAAAACCATTGCTGTGTAAACTAGCTGCACTTTTGGTTGTCCTGCTGTCTCGGATGCTGGAAACGCTTGGCGGCCAGTGTCGTGCATCTACTTGGTGCCCGTTCTTAAAACTGCTGCATTCAGCAACGCTGTTCTGTTTCTGGCAGTTGGTATTAACCGGCGTGAAGAAACTGCTGAAGGTTTCATCGGGTGGTGTGTTAGGTTCTGCTTGGTATGCGGAGGCCGAAAACGAAGGCACTGTCAAAACGGACTGCTGAGCATATGGATGGACGTTGATGTCAGCTGGGTGGCCGAACATATAGCACTTAAATCATGCCAGATTGCAAACTGGTTTTACCACCGGTAAATCCTCATAAGCACTAATTTATTAAATTAAAAGCGGAAATTAGGCACATGTATGTAAACTGCTAGTCGTCCCGCAAAAGTCAAGCACGAAGAAATATTCCTGAAAAAGCGTATATGTATTAAAATCTAGATTTTATTTGTATGTATCGCAAAGATTATTATAAACATTCGAAAGTACTACCAGTTCAAAACTCTGTGGGGCGTGCTGGCACTGATATCTTTTTGTGAACAACGGTATCAGAGCCTATCAGAACATCTGGAATATAAAGTACTGCCAAGCAACATTCTTTTAATCAACTTGAGTTTTAGGTTTTTAAAAATATTCAATCCACGAAAAATCTTATTTGGTGAGTATGTAAGTGGGGATTCGATTATACTTTAAGAGGTCTAGTTTCGTTTGAAATCAAGTGCACGGCGATTGATGCTAATTTGTTGCGAATTTTAAAACGTACCCAAGAAAAATGAGTCTGCGCTAGTACAAGCCCATAATAATTCAAGAGCTCAAGATCGAACTTACATAATAATCAATATTATTGATGTGATCTGTTTTAATTAGTCATTAGTCACACTTTATTGATTGACACGAAAACAATCACCTTTAGCTTTAATGTTTGGCTTTGGTCCAAAACTTTGGTTACGCAGTACGTAGTACGGCCTGCAGATTTAGGGATATGCAAAGTTCCCATAGCGGCGTGCGGGAGGCATGCACGTTATAACTAACTTAAGCTATAAATAAGCTATACTGAACAGAGTAGAGTAGGCTGGTAGTTTTAAGACGTCGAATTATTCTGTAGTATTTCAAAGCTCGACGTACATTCAGCGCAAATGGCCAACTCAGACGCTACTATTTTTAAGTGTCTTTGTCCACTGTAGACATAAGAACACCAGTTCAGCGTGATGAAAATTGTCAATGTTGCTGCGAGAAAAGAGAAGCGAAAACTGAAAGGAGAAAGTCATCGAGTGACAGGTCGGGAATGGGTCGAATCATTGACCGAGGACCTTTTCAAAGTACGGAAGCTATCCCCTAAGAAAGCTCACGGTGATGCTAATGCTGTCCCAGTGGATCCTGCTGCCGAATTTCCATCAGTGAAAACAGTGGAAAAGGTCGCGAGATGCGTTCATCAAGTATTAATTCATCATCCAGCTCGGAATGCCCAGTACGAACTCCCACAAAACAAGCGCAGTTCCTTAACCCTACACTTGTCTCAGGAACCCCGGAAGGGTGTACAGCTTTCATTGGCGGATAAGATCAGGTTGATGATTTTAAAGCGGAGGATAGTAGCTATCAGAAAGAATTCTTCCGTCGCTGAAATAAGGCATAATCCATATGGCATTCCAGATTTCGAGGAGCTTTACCACGCTACTGACCAACACGTGGCGTTCCAGAGGCGGAAGCTGTTTGATCCTTTATTAGGTGTGACATGATAAGACTGTGACCTGTGCACTAAGAATACGCTATTATTTTTAAAATTTGTAGACCCTGCTAAACGGCGCTACGCCTTTGATTCCATACTGAACGATTATGACATTCTGTGCCCCATCAAGCCAAGTCCACACCTTAAACAGATGAGTCGGCAACGTGATCGGTACAGACTCTGTCTGATTGGCCGATCCGCTAGAGGATGCCCTTTCGAAGCATCAGACTTCATGGCCCGGTGGGTGTATCGAAGAAGCCTACAATCTATGGAGCTGAATGGGATGCAGCTCACAATGATCAAGGAAGACGGCGTTGATTGTGATCCTCTGGATCTATCTAGAGCTGGATCGTATCAGTACGGAAAGTGCTTAGCTTCCAAGCTGGTTGCTGCCAGGAAATCAGCACGACATACTCTGCGCGAGTCGAACAGTGAGCCACCTGGTGAGAACATGCCGGATATAAAAGCGGTCGACAGTGATCTGCATAGTTTTCTGTCTGGAATGTCGCATTTGAAGTCATTTGATACGTCTAGCAACCTTACTTTTCCTACCTGTGATAGATCGGAGTCTGCGGAAATCGTTTAAAGGAATTTGTTTCGGGTTTTTTGTTCGTACCTTAACTGTTACACAGCAGTGTTTAAAATTGCGTACGATGTGTAGTTCCCTATTAGAGTTTGCATTTCATGAAATTGAAAGAAAAGTTAAAATGTGTAACGACCGTAGGCATTGGTCAGCAAACATTACTTGCATCTGTTGATCAACCAATATTGACTGACACAATAACTGAAACGATAACTGACTGCACTATTTTTATAAACTCAACGTTCCACTACGTACCCACTCAGGCAATAACCTTATTAAATGCTTATTAGAGTCAATAACTTGAAAACTTCGTAATGTGTTGACTCATTGAATGAACTTGCATAGACCAAAATAATGTTTTATAGCCAAGAGGAAAGCACAAAACCAAGTAAAATTTCGCAATAACGTACAAGTAATTTTGCTTTTTTAATAAGTAAGTACATTTGTAATAACAACTAAGTAATAATAATGAGCAAGCTTTCTGAATAAATAAGCCCATCGTAATCAGTATATCTTGCCCAATTTTGGCAAACTGCCAACACCAGTACATAAACATCAATCAACAGTAGCACACTGACCTCTCTATTGATCATGTATTCAGTAGTTTAGTTTACAACTTTACGAGTATCTACAATACGAGCGCATAACTTGTGTGACTCAGTATAACGAAAACGTTTGTTTTAGAAAGTCCCTCAAACAAAACAGTATCTAAGCAACCAGACTAAAAGATTAAGTCGAATGTTTATAGTCAATGACAAAGTAAGCTGTAAGGTGCAAGCACCTATAAACAAACGAATTGCAAACGAAAATTTGACGTGGTTGGGCTTCCTGGTTGGGGAGAGTTACTGCGTAATATTGCGCGGGGAAATAACTGTGCCGTTGCAAATCAGTTGGTCGTTGAATTGGCTGGAATCACCTGACCGTAACAGTACTTGTAAACCCTTTTAACAGTAAAATCTCATACTGGTGCAAAATTGAGGTGCTCAAAGTTTCTTGTGCTTCGATTGATATTCCCGCTAGACATCGTTACCCCACCTTCCGAATGCTATACGGATCGTTCGGTGATTGATTATAAAACGCTTTGGGACCAAATCCATGATCTCAAATCTATCCTGATAACTCATGTACTTTGCTATTCCTCTTTGAACACTGGTAGTGGTGCCCACTGGGGAAGTTTTGGTCTTTAAAATACTTCCGCAACGAATACAACAACTGACATGGGCTCTGCGCCTTCCAAGCAAATGCGCGGCCCACAAGATCGTAAGGATGACGTTTACGAGCTTGCCTGAATTACTTACGAAATAATAATTTTCCTGCCCTTAATAGTCGCCGAAATCGAGGAGCGCCGAATGGAAGCGAAACAGATTTCGCGTCGATTAGACGAAGGTGGGAGTCTGTAATTTACGGTTATTTGCCAGTATTTGGCAAACCTTGGCTCGGTACATTAGCTAAGTATCGCCCCTGTTTGAAATCTCACGTTCCTGTTTTTTTGCAGCCTACATGCGTATGCGAAAAACTGACGATATGTTTGAGCTACTGGTTAGTGAGAAGAACAAAGCGTTGTCATAATTAATTCAATGCGAATACCTGACTGGTTGGAATTTCAAGTTTTTCAGTAAATAATAATATTATAATATTTTAGGTATGCAAGCACGGCGATCTCAAACATGGAGAGTGCGTACGTCCGATCGTTTTATTAGCAATTTTCAAGCTGTTTATTGATTTCAATCTCGCAGGATTCGCGAGCTCACCATAGAGAATGCCAAGCTTCTTCTGATAAGAGATGCAGACCAGTATTTTATTGTCGGAAACAAGTGCAGCCACTACAATGCGCCACTTCGCAAAGGTAAAGAGAACTACTTCGAACTAAAGTGTCGGCCACTTGGCTACGACTATGCAATGGAAACGAATTTTATGCTACGCGTTTGTGATTTTAATTTCTGCTTTGAAGGATCGTACTTTAACGGACGATTACGATGTCCATGGCACGGAGCCTGCTTTAACCTGGTAACTGGTGAGATCGAAGAATATCCGGGAATCGATGGAATACCCGCATTTCCGGTGAATTTAATTTAAGTCTATGTTTAACAGTGTCCAGTGCAGTTCTAATTGTTTGCAATCGTACAGAACTGTCCATATTATAGGACCCCACATTAGACATGTTCACTGCTTTTAGGTGAAAGTTGTAAAAGGGAATGTAATAGTCGATGTTGATCGGCGACTCCTGGGAAAGGCCAAGGTTATTCCCGCTATGGCACGGGCCGATAAAGCGAACGAAACCATTTTTGTCATTGTCGGGGGAGGTAATCTCGCCGTTGTTTACTGTACTGCTTTGAGAGCACAGTTATTTCAAGACTCAGTACGTATATATTTAGGTCCAGCTGCCCTAGTCGCGGCGGAAACTCTACGTCGCAAGAATTTTCGGGGACGTGTGGTCATTTTTGCGAAAGAACAGCTTCCGCCTTACGACAGGCCTAAGCTCAGTAAAGTAACCTACCAATCATATGTAACCTTCCGAAACACGGTTGTAAAATTTAACAGCTTTTTACTTTTACAGATGTTAGACGTAGATGCTGACCTTTTACTCCTTCGTGATCACGCTCATTTTAAAAAATATGACATCGAATTGATGCTCGATCAGGAGGTAGGTAGAGTCATTAGCGAATTTTAGATTTCACAAAACAAGTTCCGTGCAGTTCGCCTTGCGGGTAGAAGTTGGCGTTACGCGTCGATTTACGTCCGTTCGCGACGTAAGGCGCCGTAACCTAACGTCGTTGGCTGACGCGTAAAAACTATCTGCCTTGCGTGGATCTGTGCAACGGCTCAGCCGTATGGCTGAACGACAAGACAGCGTATGCTGCCTGTGGATCTTTTTATGTGCTCTAACCGCCTCCCCGAGAGCAGGTTGGTCACGCTCTCGGCACTCTCGACTCGATTTATTTTTCAGCTGTACGTCACTGCAAGTATGTATGCATCCGTACAAGCATTTTAAGCGCTGTTCAATCTGGTAACGTACTGTTTATGTGACGCAGTAGTTTCTAGTGGACGGAGCCTGAACCATGTGAAATCTAAAATTCCCTATTTTAAATCAGCTCTTACATAATAGACTGTTGCAGTTGGTTAGCATCTGTCTCTTCACGTAGATTGTGAATGTGGACACTAATGATAGAACCGTAACAGCGAAAACCAAGCTGATGTTGCGATATGACAAGCTCCTTATCTGTACAGGAGCCAGGTTAGTGCCGATGATTTGCGTTAATATACGGAAGAGGAATGACATGCATTTTGCAATTGCTTAAGTAGCCCAAAGCGGTTAGATGTGCCAGGAAACAACCTGAAAAACATTTGTTTCCTACGCACACCAGAAGAAGCAAACCATATTTGTGCGACTGGCAAAGATAAAAATTTGGTCATCGTCGGCGCATCGTTTTTAGGTAATAGGTTGTAGTAAACGCCGCTGTGTGTGTATCTTAAAGGCCATTCTGTGTTGTTACGATATAGCACTAGAAGTTGCGGCATTTATGGGCTATAAAGCTAGATCAGTTACGATAATCTGCCGTCGGATGTATCCGTTTGAGAACCTACTGGGGCGTCATATTGGAAAGCTTTTGCGTCAGGTCAGTTCAGTGAAGAGTGCACGGAAGGAATGCATTGTAATGTTATCAGTATCAAATTTAATCGAGAAGTAAAATTTTTAATCCACAACATTGTTATAGCTGGTCTCTTAATTTCATGCAGTCTCTCCGAATAAAGCTCAGACGTTATCAACTAAACATGATAACAACAACTTTTAGATGTTGGTGGATCGAGGGGTAACCTTCCATGAAGCAAGCAACGTGGAGGGTTTCGAAGGCACCGATGCAGTCCATTCAGTCTCACTACGCAACTACAAGAAAAGTGAAGCGCTCTCTGTCCCGGCTGATCTAGTATTAGTCGCTATTGGTTAGTCGACCCATTTTATTTTTTTCGGCACTCTCTTAAGTAAGGACGTCAAACTGCGAATGCCGGTAAGGTACCATTCTACCATCGAAAATGTATTTTGTCGGAGTGATACAATCAATGCATCTTATGTTACTTAAAGCTTTTCTTATCTAGGTACGGTCCCGAATACCAAATGCCTCGTGCATTCTGGAATTGAGTTGGACGATGAAGGGTTCATCAATGTTGATCAAGTACGGCATCCCATGTTCCGTCTTATAAAACATTAAATTTTGTTAGAGTTTGTGCAATATATCTAAAGGGAACTGGATATGATGGCTACGTATGCGCTGTCACCATTTTTACACCATCTAAACTTTTGTACGGGAGTAACAGACTTATTCACCGTTTTCGTTCCTTATTTAGTTTATGCGTACAAGCGTCGAGCGTGTATTCGCTGCCGGTGATTGCTCCACTTTTCCTTTATCTGATTCCGGATTAAGAGCAAAAGTACAGCACTGGGCTATGGCGCATTCACAAGGTAAGGCTGCCTTTAACTGCTGATGTCCCTGCTTTAGTTAAATTTGAGGCTTTGATGACGAAACAGAGTTCGCATTTACTTTAAGAAAAGTGGCATTAACTTTATGAGCTGCGATCGGCTAAAATGTAGCAGTAATGCAAGATCTGTGACGTTGACTTGATCAGGAACGTTTGTAACACACGTACTCATTGCGGAAGTTTCTGGCAGCCGATACATAAGTGAGTTCACGTTAAACTTATGCAAAAAATCTGATTTTCAGGGCGAATAGCAGCGCTTAACATGATGAGTTCTGGACATTTAGAACCGCTGCGATCGGTACCGTACTTTTGGACTACCATCTTTGGAAAGAGCATTCGTTATGCTGGTAAAATAAATAAAGGCTTACAGTTTTTAGCCCCCTTTTGAGTGGTACGGTTATCTTGAAAAATTTTCTAAATGTTACTTGGCACACCATACAGGATACTGCGATAACTTTGACGACGTGATGATCAGTGGCGATATCGAGAACGGGCGCTGGGTAGCATTTTATTTAAAGTATGGGCCATAATAAATTTAATAACTGTGTGTAATTACTAGTGTGTAATTAACAATGAATAACTGTGTGTAATTACTGTGTGTAGTACATAAATAATTTTGTGATCCGAATCGTAGGAAAGATGACGTCAAAGCAGTGGCGACGATGAACTATGACGGTGTGACCTCACAGTTTGCGGATTTACAGATGGCTGGCAAATTTACTACGCGCGCCGATCTTTTGTATGATATTACTAAAATTTTAGCACTCTACAACAACATAGCATTGGTGGAGGTCAATTACATTTGGGTAACTGTTGCGCGTTGTAATGCGTAAAAAATTAGCCGTTAGCAGGTCCAATCGTGTCGATCTGTGCAGGAGAGTTACGAGTTACTCGTAGTTTGGGTAATGGTTGCGCTTCGACGTCGAAGCGCAACGCTTACGCGGACAAGTAAGCTGAAAACCCATCCCAGATTTTGTGACTGCGAATCAGAATGTTTGCTTGGTTACGCGCTGTTACGTCACATTTTTTACGCGTTTTCCCGTTACCCGACGCGCAACGCTTACCCAAATGTAATTGACCTCCACCATTATTTCAAGGAAAACGTTATGCGGGTATTTAGGCGGAATCCAAATTACCTTATTCCAAACCGACAGATGATACGCAACTCTGCAGCTTTGCTAGGCTAATATGATCGGCAGTGGGACGGGCTCTGAAAGCAGGCGGATCGAAACAACAGAAGCGAAGCCGCTGCGAGGCTTCCAGGTCATGGTATTTTTTTGGTACGAGTCGTAGTCGTTATTCTCAGTTTTGGTTCTTTCGTTGTTGTATCCAGAATGGGTATCCTGTTTTCGATGAACTAACATACTTAGTTGTTTACATTTTCCTTTGTCCTAGTTATTGCTTGCTGTTGAGTACTTTAACAATGAAAAGGTGTCAACTGAACGTAAATATGATCGAGTAGTAATGCGACCGCTAAGTTTCTGTACATCAGGGTCCAGAGTCCAGACTAAAGTGCGTAAATTCGGGTAGTGCGTAAAAATACCAACATGGTAAGACGGCAAACGCCTGGTACATGGTAGCAAATACGCCGTGAAAAGCCCACTGCCCAAAAGAACCAGTTCACATCACCGTGCAAGCCGCGCTAGGATTAACACAGCAACATGACAATGAAACCGAGAACGTGCAAAATTTGTTTTTCACAACTAAATCACATATAAAAAGGTGAAACAACACCAGTTGTGCGCAAAGCAAACGGGTTTCGATAAGAACAAAAAAGAAGCAAAAATACTTATTCGGGTGCCGAGCAAGGTGGCATCCCCTCTGCCCGATTCTGTCGCTCGATCTGATCGCACATGAGCTTGTGCGCTTTCTGGGACACCATCGCCCTGCCGGCTTTAAACTGCGGGCGATGATCATGTGCCAGTGGAGCGTGACCTTCTTTCGGCAACGTCTCTCCGTAGATATTGTCCACCGGTGTGTCGCAGGGGTCTGGCTCCGCCCAGTACCCTTCGCGGTTAACTCGACAGGGAGGAATCTGCAGATCCGGTGGTGACATGCCCCTCTCCACGAGATCTTTCATCCACTTCGCTTTGGCCATGCGCGCTCGTAGAGGACCCATGTCGAAGAGTTCAGGTATCAGATTCTTACAATCCAACATTTCGTGTGGCGTACAGTGAATAAAGCGCACGTTATCCAATAAACGCTCAGCATACTGCCTGCGTTGGTCGGGGCGAAACTGTATCCATGTCACCATGGCTTCGACAATGTCTAACTCAGACTGCAAAACATTACTCAGTCACAGTTAATTAAAAGCAAACATTTCAAGGAGAATTTACATTAAGGCGGAGATTATCGTTGCTGAATAGGGCCTCCACAGTTTCTATTGGCCAAGCTAGGAAGGCCGGTTGCGCCGTAATCTGATAGAAATCAACTGGGCCGCTTCCCATTGCTCTGCGCAGAAAATGTCAAAATTAATGTAACTGAACTCAAGGAGACGGTAGGCTTTGCAGGACGAGCTAGAACATACAGTGCTTCTTCTCGGCGTTTTGCATCTTCTGGGCTTGGGCAGATACGGTTATCCATATTACAAGGCGGCATATCGTCGTCAGACTTTTTGCTGGCTAATTTCTTCGGTTTAACATCTTCGTTCGGCCGTGGTCTGGACAGTTCTCCGATAATCGCTTCGCACTTATCTTTCGGTGGCTTGAATAGTAAATCAGAATACTGCAGGGACTTCAGTTTATCTTTGCACATTTGCGCCAGCCCAAATATTTTTAATGCCTGAGCAACGTTAAGGATATCCTATGCGACAAAAAAAACGAAGGTCACAAAATAAATGTGATCGCGGCAACTTCAGAAAATACCTACTGCAGCGTTATAATGGTGAATCTCTGTAGTCCCTTTGTACATGAACTCAATGCACCGTAGAAGGGCCCTCGTCTGCAGTTGGGAAACGTCAATACATATTTCAGGCATTAGTAATTTATCAGGACGCTCTTTCATGAACTGCTGATTAAGACGAGGACTAAAAGCCGCAAGGACAAGCTTGTGGGCTTTGATTTTATTGTCGCCAACATATACAATAACGTCGGTATGTTCCCGGCTGCGGAAAAGATTTGCGAAATACCGCGCTGTCCTTTCGGCTACAAAGAAAACAGTGAAAGTATCAAAATTTTAGAATTTTACAGTAATATAATCTAACAGTAAATTTACAGTTTTCATAAATCTGTTAAAACAATGAACATGGGCACGCATTAGTCAACGTCTATGAGAACAGTAAGACATACGAGCACATACTGAGATAATTTTCAAAATTCGTGTGCGTTTCAGAACAACAAATATTCGCGGTAAATCAAAGGACAATATGTAGCAAAAAAATGGAAACGATGTCTAAAAAGCTTCTTAAAAGCTTCTTAAAAGCCAGTTGCAACAGCAGAGTGGTACTTTATTCAGTTTATTGTTAATCATAAGCTCCTGGACTTACCGTGCCGTTCTACCGATTCACCAACAACCCAATGTAAACACCTTAATTCCTTATCGTTCAACTGCTTCGTTGTATCCCGTAAAGGGATCTCTTTCATAAGTTTGTTTCCTACAAGATAAGGCCTGGTCTGATCCAGCTTGACATTGATTTCTGTTAGCAAAAGATTGTCTGGTCGCAGGAACGTATTGACGCTGTCTTCGTCCATTCCCGGACAACGTAGGCGGTTGTCTATTGGCTCCGTGCGACATGGCAGACCAGGATACTGATTGGGCCATATGTCCGGCTCTTTCTTCAGTTCGCGTCGTTGGCAGTCGTCTCTGTCGTCGTCCACCCCGCCCCCCTTTTTGGCACTGGCTGGTCGCAAATTCTTGCTGCTGGAGCTCGCTACAACCGGTTTCTTGTCCTTTTTCAGCTTGCCCACCAGACTTAAGCGGTTCAGTGCAGTGGTAATGGGCGTCATTCGCTGATTTACATAGAACACTGAATATGTGTGTTAGATTAGATCAATACAGAGCGGCATTGTACGGCAGTTAATTATCCGTTCGTTTTAAACGATCCCCACCAAAAGCTGAGCCCTGGAAGCTGGTTTCCAAGTAACACAATGAAAATCTGAGATTTTCCGCTACATTCTCCACTTTTAATGGGTGCCCAAAACTTGCATATCTTAACACTTTATCGGATCGTGTCCAGGAAAGTCAGTAAGAATCAGTGCCCTTTGATAGGAAAATGCGGAATACATCTTCGAACAAAACGTTTCCCAAACGTTCAAAATGAATGCGAAGACTACCGTCTTCGCATTCATTTTGAACGTTTGGGAAACGTTTTCAGTACGTGGCCGTTTCACATGGCAACATTGAATACAACGTCCATTGAAAGATACTGTGCCAGGTTAATATAAACGGTCAGACTAGGCGTCCTCGCCACGCACTTTAAATACGTTCTATAAAATAAAGTGGCGGAGGTTCTGTAAAACTTTAAAAAACGGAAATTCTGAGATATGAGTGCCTGGATTCGTCAACATTTTATCATGGGAGGATTTACATAACATCGCCAAGTTCGATAACGAAAAAATGGTCGTTTATTATAATTGACAAGCAAAAAAGACAGACCGATTTGCGGGTGTTTATTACTTAATTTTGCAAAATAACCCCAACTTATGGGCATCGAAAACTATAAGCTGTATAATTACGGTACAATGTGCAAGTGTGCAGCAATACCAAACAATTAATAATAATTAATAACAAACTAATTTAATCTCAAAATACGAGTACACTATCATAGCAAAGAAACCGTTCAATGTTCCGCTTTTTCGAGCAATAATAATTCATTTCTTTTGTGGCCATTAAAACGCATAAACCGTTTTTTCAGTTTGTACGCTGTGGGCATTTGTTATACGTACGGTACCATAGTCTGGCGTTTAAAATTTCTTTAAAAGAATCGTCAATCAAACTGTATAAAGGCTGACCTGAGAGTCGCTGACCAACTTAAAATACTGCATGTAATTACCGAAGAATGTATTGACCACGGCAAAATTCTGTGTTTGTTTTCCAAACCCATGGAATAGAGTTCAGAGACGAAATATTAATACGTGCAGCATTGCAAAATTTAATATCGGACATAAAACCGTAAAGACAAAAGCTTTTTCCACAAAATATTTTTACGAATGTTGGATGTCACGCCCCTTTTGTAAACAAAATTCTTTTGTTTACAAAAGGGAAATGTTGATCGCGTGCGCAGGTTTTCAGCACCCATATTTTTATTAAGCTGCATGGCAGAATATTTATTCCCCCTGTTAATAACATTTATATGGAAAGACAGTTTCATATGTTTCGGATGAGTGGCTCACAGATAACCGCATATGATTCACAGGAGTGCATGTCGGTTCATGCAAACCGCTTACAGCGCTGACTGATAACGCCTAGGCAGTCATAACTTTATCTCGTTCGTAACGAGTAGCGTCGTGGTTCGGCAAATTTTGTTCGAAAATACTAAACCTAACTTCAGCTGCCAACTGCCAAGCAGCTGTCGGCATCTGGTTAAAACACATAAATCAGCATTTTTACTGGCCAAAGCTTTTACTGGCCTAAGGTTTTGACACTTTATATAATATTGTTATGTTCTACACTAAATATTTTTTTCTTCATTCTAATCAGTGAAAAACGAAAATGCTGAAGTTGATACGCGCTCATGCATCGTCATCGTGAAAAACTGTGAAAATATGGTGATCAGCCGGTGCACTTTCCGGTCTCCCCATTGTGCGCGTTCGATTGCGCAAGTACGTACGGTAATTACAATGCGTTGCGGGGCTTCCGAGTTCCGACCGTATTACGAGAATCCTACTCTATTAAATAGTATATGGATAAGCCAATGTAAAACACTACGCAGAAAACCTCTATAAATCTTGATGTACCTTAAAAGTTAAAAGATAGATTCTTCTTCGTTTTTTTGGTTATTAATAATTAGTCATGAAACCTGCCTCTAACCAGTAATTATGCATAAGGCGCAGTATGCACCATTATGCATCTGCATATACGTATACTACATAATTTTATGTATATAGATATATGTTGGTAGCACTTCATAAATATTACATTAATCACCACAGATCTAGAGAGCGATCTGTGTAGACTACGTACAGAGAATACGCACAATAACCGAGGTATGACTTTCGAACTACTGTATTTTGGAAGCAGCTAAAAAATGAGTAGATACCGTAAATGAAAGTCGGCATGTGTAATTTTTCACACGCGCTATGAAATACTAACCGATTACGTTAATTACTTGAAAAACTTAATGGCCTGTATCTGTAAATTAAACCGATTTCTAATCATGGTAAGTACAAAACCGAAACGGTCCGCTTTTATCTACAGTAAATACTGCTAAATTCTAAAACAACTGCATGTTTATAATTTGTGATAAGTGCAAAACTGAATTATTCCAAAAGCCTAAATACCTGGTATACCGGCGGCAAAGTCAAACTCGTTTAACTAAATACAGCTCGATATATTGATACTTAACATATGTACCTATATTAGTATTAATAGTATATGGCTATATGTGTACTATATATAGTATGTATGTACACACTAACAGTGCACTTGCAGCATATAAAAAAACCGCCGAAGTACTGTAATACTTTGTTTATTTCCATTTTTCCTATTTTTATTCATTAATTATATGATTAATTCACAGAAGACATTAAACAGTTAATGGCTGACCTCCCACAGCAGACGCGCACGGTCGCGTACATGATAATATTACTGTTATCAAAAAAGTCTCTTATCAGGATTTCACACGGGGTCGCGTCGCAACGGCTGACTGCGCCATACAGTTCAATTGCGCGCGGCAAAATTGTCAGTGTGATGAAAACTCAAAACTTGATATTTCACTCGATCGCAAGCTTCATACCGCACTGCACCACTAAATCTTGATTTCACTTGTTTTTACGTTTCCAAATAAATAATTATCGGCGGCAGCTCACATGGAACTATTTAATTTATTGGGATAACAACCGGGAGCATCAGGCTGTGTCATTGCGTCTTTAGGCAAAGATTTTGAAATCGTCTGAATAGTGCAGCCGCATTTTATTACGAACTGATGCCTGCCTACGATGCTCGTATTTCTTTTCTTTGGTGAATTGTTGCACGGTTATTGTGCGTATTGCACTGTTATGAATCCCTGATTGCTTCTCAATCAAGCCGCACGTTAAAATTTTAATGCTAATCAAGCCAGAATTGGAGTGGATGGTTTGTACAAACCATCCACGCAGAAAACTCGGCAGCTGTCTGCACAATGCAGTGAGCAAAAAGTTCTTTTCCAGGAAAGGATGAATGCCATTTTGCCCAAACTGTGATTAATTAACTGTTCGATGCCAGTGTCATTTCTGTATCAGCCGAAAACTGTTGCCACATATATACATACACCACAACAACCGAATCCAGATCGCCCTGCTGAATAATTAAGAAAAGCGCCGAAACAAATGAATCCGCACAAGCGCATTAAGATTGCTAGTATCGTACTACAGAATACATATAACGGATAACATAATATTTAGAATACAACCGCAATTAATTCATAAACGATTGGGGGCAGGGAGGGCACAATTTGTACCGACAAAATTATTACGTTATGTCGGATTACGACAAAAACTTCCAGGACAAATTTTGTCTTTTTCTAGACAAAAAAACACTGATTTAAGGGTGATTGTGATTCATACGTTTCCCGTCTGAGTTAACGTCTAAATACATGTACCGATATTACTATGATTCATATTTTTATTATTGATGGGGTCCCGAGCGATTAGGGCCGAGAAATCGGCATTTCATATTTCGATTTCAAGGATTTTTTGCTAATTGAGACAGCACGCACACGTGCAAGAATGTAATAAACGCGTCTACAATGCCAGGGCGGCAGTCCCCAGTGCTGCGCAGATAGATACCCAGTATTTGGACAGAATTGGACTTAGCCACATCGGGGTTTTTCTACAAATATTTAATATATCGGGGTATATGCTTGTATTCAATCTGGCCATATCACGTAGGAAGCATGGGAATTACGAAGACCGTATCTTTTCGTACGTTGGTGTAAATGGAAGTGCAAATGAAAAAGTTGATTACATATTTCATAAAACCAAGCACTTCAGTTTCTTAAAACCTAAAGATGGAAAAGTTTTTATCACCCTGTAGTTGTAATAAGCCGCAAATGCCGTCTGTACGCGTTGCCAATATTCTTTGCTGACAACTGAATAAGTCGGTAGGGCATGTATGCCACTGTAAAAGACTCTTCTAATTCGCTGACGGATTTATTGCCTACAGTACTTACATGCATAAAATAGTTATGTAGGCTAGCAACGATTTGAAAAGTAGACTAAAAATAAGGATTTTGCACCGAACTTGCCAACGGTACCTACTGTATGTAAATCAGGACCATCGTTCTAGTGCTCTTGATTATAACCAAAAAACGACTGTTTCCCCAAATAAAGTGCCGCGGATATAAAAAATTTGAGCAATGGACGAGAATCCAAAGCATACTCACAATGCAGCAGTTCATCATAAAACGGATGACGCCATAAAAAGGTCATCTGTGGCAGACGATCTGAAGCCAACGAGTAGTGACGGCGATGACTTCCATGGTATGCCACTTGGAGCTCGAATCTCGTATCATGCTGGTTTGAATCTGGACGAACGCGAAGCTTTTAAACTGTGTTTTCCTTCGTACGCTCAGTCAATGAAACCAGCCGATCCATCCACCGCTGGTTCCGGGGATAACATATCCATGATGATCAAGAAAATGCGCAGTACAATGGGCAGCATGGATCCCAATGCGGAAGCCGCTTCCAGCCAAAGCGAGGATGAAGGGAACGAGCGCACTGTGCCAGTGCATTACACCGAAAGCAGTACTGATCTGGTGTCGGGCATGGACGTCCCTGACACGACCGACTCCACCGGAAAGCACGATCTGGTCAACCGGTTCATTATGGAAGAGACGCCGCACAGCGTGGGCGATTACGGGGCTGGAAGGCGTAGCAGCGCATTGCCCGGAAAGAACCCAACAGGGAACGATTGCCACGTGTTCAGTGAAGGTCCTGCCACTGCCGGTCGAACTGATCAGCGTCAACGCCACCACAATCTTCCCTCACATCACCAGTAGATCTTGCTTCGTAGCCCATATATATAATTTTGAAGTAACATTCACCGCTTGCGCTGACCGCAACAAGAACGGTACTCAAGCTGCTCTGTGACTTGTTGTAATTATATGATTATTTGAGATGTATAAAAATCCCGGAGCATGCTTAAACATATTGCAATATCGCTGCTTTCATTCACAGTGATCTTCTTTAGAAAGTCGTCTACTCTGCAGTTGAAAATTATCAAATTTGAAGACTTTAACGGGATGCTAATTTTATTTTTGATTTAATGCTAATCCACTTTAACTGTTTTTATGCCGGAAATAAAGCATACAGATCTGGGCAGACATGGGCGACTATCTGTGGTTTATCATTGTGCTGGAACTGACCACAAGGCAAAATAATAAGCGCGTGCCCGCTGTTCTCACAAGTATTGTCATACAAAGTTAAAAAATTAAAGTTCGCCAAATTCAACATTACTTATTCAAAAATTAATAAAATGAAATACATACCGTATTATTATTACTTACGTGCTTGAATACATAATCTGCATGTGGGTGCCGTTACGTTCCCTGCCACTGTAGAATTCCAGAGCAGCAATTACGAATTTGAATTTGTTGTTGTTGTTGATTTTAAGTACAGTAAGTTTATCAAAGTTCCTTAGCAACAGAAAGATTAAGGATGTCTTTTTTCGTGTGTCCATACTGTTCTTACTTTATTAATTTTCGTCCTTAACAATGGTACTGTTATTAGATACATACCACACTAAGTCTAACGGTTTTACAACTTTTACTTTTAACAACTGAAAATCTACCTCTCGCTGATGAGCAATTATAAACATGAAGTATTCCAAAAGTATTATTTACTCGGTTGGCTTTCCCGTTTTTTACCTCTTTCTCTGATCTGACCATGCGTTGAAGCATGGCACTGCCTAGCCGTAACAATTACGATGGATATTCCTTTCTTGTCGTTCTCTATCGTTTATCGTGCCGCTTTATCCCCAAATAGCAATATGCAAACTGCCACCTGAACTGCGTATTTCAGATTGGTGGATTTTTATCTGTTGTCAAATCAGCCGTCTGCAGTTAGTATTGTCTGAGGGTTGCGAATACGTCTCTTCGTTAACGTATCGTTTTCCGGAAGATGTCGGCCGTTACCCGGGGATCGGTCCGTTCCAGTGCCGCCTCGAGTGGCAACTCCACGGGCGCCAGCGGCAGATCTTCCGCCACAGCCACTGGAAGATCATCTGCCGCAAATAGTGGCAAACCTTCCGCTGCAACCAGTGGAAAATCTTCCGCTGCAACCAGTGGGCAAACTAGCGGTCAAGGATCTTTAAATTCCGGCAGCGCAAGGCGATCTACGAGCACCGGTCGCACAGCCGTTAACGGTAGCATTCACGAAGGCACAATAATTTCAACTGCAGATTATTTGTCAGATCCAGGATTGTCTGCAAATTGCAGGGTCTATCATCAGCCAGCAGAGCACGATGTCTCCTGCATCGGAAATTAAACGCTCATCGGTGGCCTCCATACCATCGCCGTTGCAGGATGCCGATCACAAAACTTCAGGGAAGTCATCTGGGCGGAGTTCCTCTATCAGCCGACGGCCGTCAGGACCGGAGTCGCTCTACACGCCAACACCGGAGTCGGAAGAGTTACGCGCCACTTTGCTGATGGATCAAGTTCGCAGCTCACTGGATCGAGCGGCGCGAACCAGCGGCAACACAGGTGGCTCAGCCCGGTCATCGCGTTCGGGACGCAAGAGTTCCAGCGGAATAGCGCCCGGTGGATCTTTCATAACAGCCGTTCAAGACGAAAGATCAAGTCTGAGAACATTTCAAGGACCTGGATCTGTTAGCGGAAGAACGTCTACCGGCATGACGTCAGACACATCAACAAACGTTTCTAGTTTTTCTGGTAAAGTGATGATTTTAATGAGCCGCAGCGGTCACTTAATAACAATCATAAGAATTTGTAAAGTTCTGGGATGGTTGCAGGCTCTGGAAGTCTTCCTGGTTTCACATCTCAGTATGACCCTTCGGGGGCGACAGTCATTAGTGGATCGGGCGGTACATCGTTCTCATCCGGAGACCCTTCCGGAGTAACCGCACAGTCAGTATACTCAGCATCGCAGAGAGGCTCCACTTTAGGCGGCACGGGAGCCACCTCGTACGGTACCTCCGGCTACAGCCAACCCATATCGATACTTCGCAATTCAGGGCAATCTTCGGGGTACCAATCAAATCACACCCGGGGATCTCAAGGTCAAACATAAACTAAACTTTTATAAACCATTAAATAGCTGCCATAATAATTGCAGGTGTCTCTTTTCAATTACCGGAAAACAGTTTTGCTACCCAGCAAAGTTCGTTTTCGAGAGGCGGAAGTGCTTCCGGTCCATCAGGGCCAAGCGCATATTCGGGATCCATCCCTTCTACCGGCTACAGCGGTTCATTTGCTACTGGAACTGGAGGTAGTGTTTCGGGACCAAGCGTACAGGTACCTGGATCGATTCCATCTGGCAGCGGAGGATCCTTCTCCACCGGACCAAGTGGTGGCAGTATTTCAGGTTATCCAAACAGTGGCATTCAAATGTCGGGATCAATGCCACCAAGTGGTTCGGACCAATCGTACATGACTGGGACCGGTGGTAGGATGTCAGGACGTTCTGGCAGCATGCCGATATCAGGACCCTACCCACCAAGCGGCACTGGTGGATCGTTCGCCACTGAAACTGGCGGAATATCTGGACGTTCGGGTAGTACACAAATGACAGGGATGATGCCGTTTAGTGGAACTGACGGCTCATATGTTACTGGAACTGGAGCAAGCTCGGGTCGCTCGGGCAGCATGGCGATATCAGGGGCTTTTCCACCTAGCGGCACTGGAGGATCGTTCAGTACGGGAACGGGTGGTAGCATGTCAGGGCGCTCTGGTAGCATGCCGATATCGGGACCCTATCCACCCAGCGGCACTGGAGGATCATTCGGCACTGGAACGGGTGGAAACTTGTCAGGACGCTCAGGTAGCACACAAATGCCAGGCATGCTGCCACTAAGTGGAATGGACGGCTCATATGTTACTGGATCTGGAGCTAGTCTATCAGGACAATCGGGCAGCATGTCAATGCCAGGGTCACTTCCTGTAACCGGAGCCACAGGCTCCTACGGTACCGGAACCGGTGGAAGCATCTCAGGTCCAACAATGATTAGCACATATTACTCCGGATCCGGATCGATCCCATCTGGTGGCACAGTGGGTTCGTTTGCGGTACCGAGTGGTGGAAGCATATCAGCAGTTCCCGCCCGCTATACTACGCAATCGTATCGTAGCAGCCAACAGACCTCGTTCTCCCGTGGCTCTACTTCTCCAACTGGCCTCACTGGATCATTCTCGGTGCCTCTGGGAAGCATGCCACCAGGCAGCATGACAACGTCGGGGCCAACTTTTCCAGGTGGTTCATTTGCAGCTAGCAACATGGGAGGAAGTATGTCCGGGCCATCTGGAGGCACCTTTCAAATGCCTTCATTTGGAGAGCGTGGTAGTGTACAACAAGATTTTCGAGCATCGCTTGGCACAGGACCCAGAGGCTCCATGCAGTCGGAAGGAATGCGAAGTTCGGCAGCAGGATCCGGCATGTTGCTAGTGCGACCGGCGTATTTTGTTGTTATGCTTAGTTACAGCCAGTTCTTTTTCTAGGTCCCCGGAAGCTTTTCTCAGCCTGGCGGAAGTATCTCAGGTGGCACAGGCGGAACGGGGAGAACTAGTATGGCTCCAAGCATCGTCTCCCGGCAGTCAACTGTACAGCTTTTTGGCGTCAAGTTGATATTCCTGGATAATTTAATCGTTTCTTGTACAAGGTTGCAAGAAAATCGACTACGTCGCGACCAACTACGCTGCGATTCTCGGAGTCGACTACTTCCCAGCCCGGCAGTCAGCGCCGCTCAACAACCTCGAAATCGTCTACAAGGCGCAGCACTTCCAGTAGCCGCCGCAGCAGTAGTCGTGGTCAGGACGAGAAAACTGAAGCGATCATCGAGGAAGTTTCCGAAGCTACAGAGACAGAACCAGATAGACCATCTTCAGCTGTGGAGGAACAAGTACGCAGCACGCTGACAGGGTTGCAGCTCGCCGAAGACTCTCTCATAGACGACCCATGGGTACAAGTGAGTATTGACTTGAACTAATAGGACTGGAATTAAAAGAACTTTAACGCTTTGGCTATTCGTGATATGTTCTTGCTTAAAGGGCATTCCCTCCGTATCGGTGGCTCGTCCCAGTTTACGAGGAAGCCGTGCCTCTTTAGGGACACCATCAACGGCCCAACCGGAAACAGGTCGACCATCTGGAAGTGGTGGCTCCCTTTCTGTGGCCCCGGAAGTTGTGAGGCAGTCTACTGTTGCCGAAGCTCGTCTTTCTAGCATCCCTGAAAACTTGACCACTTCTGAGAGGCGTTCAACTGCTCCATCGCTAACAGCGACCTCTATCTCTGCTCCTTCGGGAACAACCAATGCTCAGCGGCTATCCAGTGTATCGGCAGGTACGGCTCGTCCGTCCAGCCTCGGCGAAGCCCGTCCAACAATGACATCACATTTAACGGCGCCCAGCGAACGGCGCTCTACCGCTCCTTCGGCTAATACAAATATTCGGACCAGCAGTATTTCGGAAGCGCAGGTAACAAATACTTCGTCGATGACTTACTGATCGTCGCTGTGTTAACATTTACTGCTGCCTTTTAGCGCAGCACATTGGAATCCAATGCAACTTGTCCGATGCCTGAAACCCCACCGGCAGACGAACGCGGCTCGGCCACCGGCCGGCCTATCAACATGACCCATCGGGCGTTTTGTCGTCCAGGCCTGTCGCCTTGTGCTGTGGTACCACGAAAGAAATCATCGGTGAAAAAGTCTTCGGTTCACGGTGAAATGCGTGGTTCGCTTCCCCGGGACTCACTGGCACTTAAACGCACCACAACTCTAAAGCACACAACAATCACATCTGGCGCCGAAATTATTGATACAGTTGAGGAAGAGGACGAAGAGGTAACCGAGGAAGTCGCACCGGTATGTTCGACATCATGGTAAGCTCTAATGGCGAATAGTTTTGATCCATCAGTGAGCCATGCATCCCGTTTACACCACTCTAGGAATATTTTCCCGAAAAGATTTATCGCGGTGTGATGATATTCGCGTTTGGTGGGTACGATGGAATCAGTTTCAACCAGGAAACCTGTCGACAAGTGTTACGGTATGACCTGGCGTCGGAAACGTGGGATGTTGTAGGAGAAATGCCGTGCGTACGGATATACCCCGCTGTTGTCACTTATGGAGACCATATTTACATCATCGGTACTCACGACACGGAAGCACAATAATTTACTAGTAACAGTAAATTTATGGTTAACAATCAGTCACAGTGTCGAATATAAATAATATTTTCAGGAGGTGCCAATGCTGATTGTTCCAGTAGTATGATGTCGCCCGACCGCGGTCCATCCAACCAAATGTTCCGATACACGCCGTCATCTAATTCCTGGTTGGAGTGCCCGCCCATGAATTATAAACGCATGCATTTAGCTGCCGCCGCCGCGTTTGGGATGATCTTGGTTTTCGGTGGGCAAGACGAATGGGAAAAGTACCAACTGAAATTCGTCGAATCACATTACCCTTAAGTTGTTTCTTGACGCATTTGCTTATTGTAGCACACTGAACAGCGTGGAGATCTTTGACATTGATGCAAATACATGGAAAACAGGGGCCTCAATGAGAATCCCGGTTTACGGTGCATCCGCAGCGCTTGTAGGATCGACCATTCATCTTTCAGGCGGAATAACGTGCCCTGATATTGTGAATGGAAAATACAATATCGTGACGCGCGTTCACGCTTATGATCCTTATGCAAACGAGTAGGTTATGGCAGCAATGACAAAGCGTTAAAAATAGCGGCAAACAAACATGTATTGTACTTTGTAATTTGAACAACATCGATCTGTTTACAGATGGACTGTGCAACATGCAATGCCGGTGCGGCGAGCGTTCCACGGCGGTATCGGCGTCGACGGGCAGCCCCATGTGGTGGCTGGCGCCGCACCGGGTGTGAATTACATCTTAACACGCAGTGATCCGCCGCATTTCCTGGCTCATAAAGATATATTTGCCTACTGCGGCAGTATTGATAAGTGGAAGCGGATGGCTTATCTCAAGGCTCCGAGATTTAGTTACGGGATAGCAGCTGTTGGTATGTTGAAAAACTGCCATAACATAAAAGGTCACTGCAGTATATCATTGTTTTACCGGCTTTTTTTCATTATAGGCTCTACAATAATTGTGGCCGGAGGTTACGGTGAAAAAATTGATGAAATGTTAGATTCAACGGAGCACTACGATATTTATACACAAATGGTAATTTCCAATTTAGATATGCGAATTTAGTTTGGCTTTGCGATATCTCACGATAATATCTCATATTCAGGTTCGTCCGGGCGGAAAAATGCTGCTGCAACGAGTTGCTTTTCAAATGGTGGCGTTCCATTTCTATGAGATAGTGCCCAGTCAGACCTGCCCGGTGGTGTGCCCTACTGTGTGCTTTGATCCTGAATTGGGAACGTGTTTGCAGCGCACTGCGGATGGATATGTTCCGTTATAAATTTTTAATGTCAATCCTTTTATCTGTTATGTCCAGCTCGCTTGATGTCAGATGTTTTAAAGTTTTATTGTGTACAGCATTGTAATTAAATGAAACGCCCTCCTAGCTCAGGACGTGTAATTTGCATTCGTTTGTCATTAATTGCGCAACCTATGATCTATTTATTATCACTGTAATTTAAGTCAGACCTCATTCGCCGAAGAAGACAAAAGTAATAAGAGCGCAGTCAGTCAACAGTTATTTAGCAGTCTGTGGCAATTTTGCGTTATAGTCCGGTAAAACATAGTAAAAACTTTAATTCACTTAACAATTGACACATTGTCGTCCAACTGTGAAATACCCCGGGATCGGCCCTTTAATGCTAACTTGACAGTTCCCACGAAAAAGAGATGATGCTTAGAAGTTGACAAGCAGGATATACATTTTTTGCGAGTATTTAAATAACTTGATCAATGCTGCGTCTGCAATAGTGCGATCAATGCGATGCACAGAAGGGATTATAGTCTTACTGAATACCGTAAATGTGCTCGATGCCGTGTTTCACAAAAATTACTTATTATGAATTCCGACATTTTTTTACATACAGTCCGCTCAAGAAACTAAGTAAATTTTCAAAACTTGGTACAAGTTCTGAAAATACTCAAATATGAGTATTTTCAAACATTATGAGGAATCTCATAGAAACTCAAATTGTTTTTAAAAATAATAAAGTTTTTCTGAGATCAGTAATAAAAGGACACTTCAAAATTCCTTCAAAATTATTTGCGTAATAAATACTGCACTAGTACTATAATTTTTAATTTTATTGACTCCACTTTTCCGGCTTATGATTATGCATTTTTTTCCCGGTATTAACAGCTTTAGTACACGCGAATTACGGCAGTACCCAAAAACTTCCAATTTTTTGTAACAAGATAGAAGTGAACGGTAATGACTTTACTTTTTATTCAGAACGCATGACTGACTCGAAGAATACGCAGCTAAGACATGGATCATATTTCCATGAAAGCACAGAAACGTTAGTGTTAACAAATAACAAGCAAACACATATAATATATTTCTACATAAAAAAATTCGATCAGCAATACACAGTATATGTACACTGCAGATAAGAATACAACGCAAAATACGAGTATTTACTTTTAGTCAAAGTAATCAAAGAAACTGCAACCCACAAATGCGACACTAAAATAATAATTTTCTTAACAGGACTGATCATGCAAATTTACGCAATATTTCCCCTTTTCCGTTGGCTTAAATCTGCCTTGCCGCAGTACGTAGGGCGAAATTCGATTAAACCTTCTTCGCGGAAAAAAGCGAGCGGTTCACCATGAGAAATTCTTCCTTGAACGGAAGTACCGTTAACCGATAGTTAAGAATCCGGCAGGGTTCCACTCAAATTCATCCCAGTTTCTTCAGTTTGCGCTGATTATAGCCAATTCTCACTTGCCGCTGCATTAGCCCTTCCCGTCGTCTGGCCTCCAGTTCCATTTTTTCCTGCAGCACACTGAGCGGTGCCATAATCGACAGGCTCAAATCAACCGGCACCGGTGACCGTTTGGGCATGCGGCCGCGCAGCCCAATGGGCACGGCAATGGGATGCGGCAGAAAACGCTGAATATTATAGCTGGGACGTTTAACCGGCTCCCAGCAACTGGCTACCAATGGATTCTCGCCGTCCTTGCACACGCGACCAGAAATTCGGTGACCATGCGGATCAAAGGCCGTTGGCGGCTGCACATAGAGAAATCCAAATGGCATTGAACTGAAAAACCGTTTAACCGTGGGCGCTTTCTCCCCGTATGACAGCTGCATAAAACATACAAAGAAGACGACAGCTACGATATCGTAACGCGGGCGTTCCATTACTGCAGTCTGCTAAACTAAATAAATTGAAAAGTAGAAACGAAGGGAATGCAAATCTTGTCACACTAGGCACGAGAAGAAAGGTAATAATATTATCACAGTGCCCTTTATATTCGCCAATTACCCACGTGTGTCAACAGTGAGCCGGCTGCCGGATCGAGTGGATCTTTCCGGATATCAACATTAATTTGCTTGATGCGTTCTTTAAGGTTGTGCGTTTTTGCCAGCCATAGACACGTACAATTGAAAATCAATTTGTACACAGGAAGATTATCAAGCTCATATACAATAATGACGTTCGATGCTCCTTCAATTTACATTCATAAATTCAATCTACTCGCTGACCGATACGCACACACATAGACAGATTTACAGTAATCCTCATTGGAAACTTGCAGGTAGGGTCCCTTTTATCGCACCTTTTATGGTGTTGGCACGAGGTGAATGCTTAATTATGCTGCGTCCAAAAATAGAACAGCTTCGAACCAATTACTGGTCAGCGAAATGTCACGTAAATTTCATCTATAATGTCTGAATACGGTTAACATACAAAACGGCCAATGTCACGTTCACAATTTAATTACCTTGTAAGTTGCTTCATACATCCTCATCATGGGGACACTGCAAAGTAATTACTGACTTTTTCCTTTCCTACGGCTTAGTTTTCTAGCCGAACTTTCTTGGATGTTTATCATTTCCGGTTGGTTGCCGGCTCACATGACAGAAAGGTCAGGTGTTGCGCATGTCTGTTAGCCAAGAGATCTAATTAATTATCTCTAGAGGTACACCAGGTAAAAATGCACGTTGATGTGGATGTTGAGTAGCTTTTGTCCAGATAAAACATTTAGCGTTGTGTATCTGTAGCCACCAGCAAGCATACTGCAAACTCATACATTTCTTCGATCGCTTGTACTGTAACAAAACCAGAAATCTTTCGATTTACCGTTTTCTAAACGTAAAAGTTGTTCGCAACACCGAATGGTAGCCGAGATACTGTAACTTGTTACACCTGTTTATCAGTTCTTGTTTGCCCTCTGGTGCGTTTAAAGCCTTGAGTTTCTTGAAATGTTAAACGGTGTTTTCCAAAAAAGTAACATGCCATCAGGCTTAGCACCAGTAAGGGCGACTATTAGTTCCCTACCTAGTAGATGTCGCGCACCTGTATTCCTAAAATGACCCAGTGCCGCTCTACAATAGTGCAGACTAGTGACGTAGTCTGGACTATTATAAAGCGGAGCTGAATGACCACTCCGTTCACAAAGTATTTAAAGCATCCGTAAATATTAAAGTATATAAACTGTGCGGACCAGTAATAATTCACAAACTCCAGTAATAATTTGCTTGTTTTTAACGCGGCAAGAAGCTTACAATTCGACGTGTATACTCAGATCGTTTTATGATTGTTGCTAGATTACAACTGAACACAAATTTGACTTCGGATTTGCAGTTAACGATGGCAGAAAACGAGGCCTAAGCGCAAAATCTTGGTTTAAAAATTAATAAGCATTATCGTACTCTCTACATACCGCGAAATGGTTTCGTTATGAAACGGTTACCTTGAAATTTTCATCTTGATTCTGACGTCATACTTTCTCATCTAACAAATTACATTGATTTCGGATGTATGTCAGGCTGTGCTTAGCGCTAAAAAACAAAACTATGCACGGCAAACGACAGATTCAATGGTTTGATCCAAAACTGTTGATATCTGTGATTGTGATACTTTTAAGCATACTGGAACTTCGATGCATTGCCGGTGTTTCCACCCCATCTGTAAATGATTGTCCAACTCCTGTCTTGCAGACTCAACAACCCCCGCCAGACTGGGGTGCTGGCATGAACTGCTCTTATTATCCCGTCGATGCTCGCGAAGAAGATCGGGCACCGATTCCTTCAGGCTTCTACGTCCCTTATACCAAACCATTTTATCGGTACACTTCTGTGGACGAATTCTGTAGCTATAATTTCAATGGCGGAGAGGTGCAAAATTATTTCATCAACATGTTGGACTGTTGTAAGCGGTGGAATTCCAGTGGCTGTCTAATAACTACCACCCAATGCCCCAAAGCGCTAAAATTCTTGAAGCCAAATGATTACACGAAAAATCAAATACCGTACATCAAAGCCATCCAAAGACCGGATTTCACGGATTATGTGGCTATCCGTAGGCGGAACACCTTCTGGAAAACCTGTTACTTTTTCATTTTTCGCTACCCTTCATACGCGCTTAATGCATCTTGTGACTACGAAAGACAGAGTATAGCTGACTTAAGTATTATGCTGAGGCAGGAGTATGACCTGGGGTACTCGTTGTACAATTGTTGTTTGCTGTACAAAAACTTGGGATGCATTGCTTGAGCGCACTGGAACTGAGCAGCCGTATGTGAATATTTGTTCGATGTCAAATCATTACGCACTCTTGATGCGTTTGCAATGCTCCCATGCATTTAAGTGATCTTTTGAAGTTATTTTTTCCTACAACTAATACTTATGATACTATGGTCCTTAATTAATTATAAAAGGTATGCCATGCTCTTTGGCACTCGAAACGTTTGTTTGCACAGGAAATATTTCATGAATTCTGATCATCTGCGCTGGGATTTTGGACCCTCTTCGCTGACCCCAAAACTTCCTTCCTTACTCCACTAATTTTGTTGCTGTAAAGTACCACACAACGCTGTCATTGCAGGGAGCGCTTCTAGGCAGTTGACCTTTTGCTATCTTGATTCTGTATCCGTTAATTTCAGTTGTTGTGGTTGGTTATTGTTGGACCAATGTACGAAGTCGCTTAGTCTTTACAAGGACCATTGCTCCAACAAATTAAAAATATCGCCTGGTGAAAAGGGCGTGACAGTAACAAGTCCCACATTAGGCTTACGCGCGCATCCGGACAACTTGGACTGGGACATTTCGCCGCATTCGAATTCGATTCGCGACTTTTTACTGCAAAGACATCTGGACGCTGGGACACTTCAGTTTGGGACATATTGCATTGATACATCTGACCTTTGCGACATTTTTACGCAAGACATGTGGTCGCGCACAGTTCGCCGCTGGGTTTCCACACGCGTTTCTTGTGGTCCAAGGCCGCACGACCGGTCTACTCGAATGATTTCATGAGTTCATATTTTCAAAACGTTGTTTATTGTTTTTGTTTGCAATCGGACGCATTCATTTTCGCTTTTAGACTTCGAAGGTGATTTTTGTTTAAATTTTCGAGAGCAACTTTACCCAAAATCTGTCTTCCAGGTACCACGCTACAAACTCACAGAACTTTTGCACTGGACAGCAGTGACAGTTTGGTAACTTATTGGACAGTTTGTGTTATTACAGTCACTCACTGACTTAGGGGCAATTTTAACTGGACAGTAGTGTTTATTGGATAACTCACTGACCTGGGGGGCTCTGTAACTGGACAGTATGTGGCAGCTCGGTCTCATAATTACCTATCGGTCTTCTGGCGTTTTGTAATGGTTATCAAAATCCTTCGTTTGCTAAAGCGTTGATTACACGGTGCTGATAGGGCGCCGTCATTGTTGAAGTATTTTAAGGTTGCTTTTAGCAGTGTTATTAAAGTACAGTATTTTTATCCTGCCGCTCTTTTTGCTGACACTGAATACTTGTTCCGGTTAACAGTAAATAATACGCTTACAGAGTAGGTATTTAGCGTCTGAAGTCGTAACGCGACCGCTTCCAAATCGCTCGCCTTGGTCAGAACCAAACTTCTGAGGCGAAGCCGAAGCTGTTTGCCAAGTTGTCACCAAAACTTTAAAAATTTTTAAAAATTCTGATATGTTTTCCCGCTCAAAATCGGATGCCCGTTTTTTGTTCAGAATTAAATTCTGCGCTTATTGAAATTAGTATCTGAGCGTTAGTTCCAGAGATGACGCCATAAACAACCCCCGAAGTGTAAACACTGGGGGTTGCTCTCCCATCGGTACACTTGGCATACCAAAAAATCAGTGAAAGACTTTCTGCGCCTGAAATTTATTTCAGTATGTAAAAAAATCTCTGTTTGTTCACTGGAAATGAAAACTAAAGGGATGAGGTGTTAATTAAACTCGGAGAAAAACGATTTTTTTCCAAAATATCCCGGTTTTTAAATATCCCACCCCCATCCGAAAACTCCTGGCAAGTTTGCTTAAACTCAGTCTTTCCAACCCAATACTGCTTAAAAGTAAACTAAGAACTCTTAGGAGCGTGATGCGCAACATAGTCTACCAAGATCGTCACTGGAAGACAACAGCGAACTATCGGCATCCGGTCTTCCAGGAAAACCGGAAAGCGAAGTGGCACTAGCGAGAAAACATTTTTCGTAGGCGCCCTGGACCACTTAAAGGTCGAATGATCTTTAAAAAAGATAAGGCACGGATGACCCTAAAAGATTTTAACGTGAGGAGGGATATCCATAGTCCCTTTGATTTATTGTCAATCCCCGACGACGGGAAGAAAAAACCAACAAAGCGATTTTTAAAAAATGTGATGTGCCCCACGGAGATGGGCTGGACTGGAGTGAGCCGCATTTATCTGCTAGACGGTATAGCAAAAATGGATGCCACATATTTCGGCAATCATATTTTGCCAAGGATGGTAAATTAGGATCATTCACACTCTGATGGGACCCGCGCAAAGGATGTACTCCTCTATGTTGACAGTGCCAAATCCCAAGGCGCCGTTGTAACCTTTCAGTGGCTGAAACAGGACCAGGCAAAATACGCTCCTGAAGACCAATGGATGTGCAATTCTGCAAACTTGTCGCCGATGGACGACGGAACCAACTCGATTTTTAAAAAAAATGTAGGTGCACGGAAGGCAACAACGGTTTATGGGTCAGATAGTATTTCGAAGCAGGTGGCCTCCGAATTTCCTGTTACAACGTGTCGAAGAACGTTTCTTTGTTGTCAAGCTCGTATTCAAACAATGCAGGATAAAAATGGTGATGACGTAATACTGTATATAAATAAAAATTCTACAGTCACTTGAAATTTTTAACAAATCATTAAAATTTTGGTGACAACTTGGCGTGGCCGACCTGTATAATCGAAATTGGTGCGCGTAGTTTCAACAGCAGCATGTTCATATGCCTTTCGTTGCTATGAGGTGGAAACTACGTAATAACCAGTCGCCACCACGTATGGGTTCACGGTTGCCTTCCGTGCACCTAAATTTTTTTTGAAAATCGAGTTGGATCGTTTTCGAAGAGAGTTCGGTGATTTAGAACGTGTCTATTCATTTTGTCCACCGTTCATTTTGTCCACCATTCATTTTGTCCACCATTCATTTCGTCCACCATCCGCTTACAACGTGTCTTACAGTTTAATTGACTGCTTGTACCACACAAAACTGTATTGAACGATTAGGCTGTATTGATCTGTTCTTCTTTCTTCTAAGAATTTTTAAGCTTAATGATGTTTTCTTATGGTTTTCTTATGCTTTCCAGCTTGTGGTTTCTTAGGTTTCTTGAGTCTGATATTCTCCTTTTCTTATGTTTCCCTACGTTTTTTTATATCTTCGCACGTCTTTTTGTTTTTTCTTAGGTTTTTTGTTTTCTTATGTTTCCTTACTGGTTGTAAGAAGCCAGTTTGACTTAAGACACTAGTGTAATTTGCAGTTGCAGTTCAGTGTGCGCTGTGGGCCGCATAAATCGAACTCGTTGACGCGACTTATCACGTCAAGGAATTCGATTTGCACTGCAATACGCTTTATAGTGTATACAAAACGTACGGTGGACAAAATGAATGGTGGACAACATGAATGGTGGACGAAACAATAGGAAGCCATTTAGAATAATCGACCAGTTGTCACTGTTATATGCTTACTTTGTTACCATGACGATTCTGATGGTTTACATTTGCTGGAGCAATGGTCCTTCTAAGGACTACGCTGTATACTTATGCAACAACAACAACCACGTAGACAAGCGATAATACATAAGCTTTGAATAGGAAGATTTTCAGTTTTAATTTTGGTTGGTGTATTGTACTTACGCATGCTGAATGATGGAAAACAATAACCGATATAATTTATTTATTATAAATAGAGAACCGCACGCTTTTCGGTATAATATTATATCCATGTGGAAGCGTTCAGTATCTGTGTAGTAAACAAAGCCATTTTGTTGATATCTACAATTATCAATGTTATAAGCCAGTTTTCGTTTCAAAATAACCTTTGTGCCGAACTTTGCTTCGGAGTGTTGGGAAAATTACATCACACAAGTTAAAGAAACGAATAGTTTCATACTTGCGTACTTCAAATTATAATAGCTGCTGATGAACTATGGTCGTTCATCTCGAAAGCTTTACTTGCTAGTTTTATCGATACTATAAGTTTGCGTTCGTTAGCATATAATAACAAAACGTCAACATATGAAGAAGCTACAAGTTGATGCGTCTTGTTTTGCTTATCGGTCTGTGTCTGCTGAATGTGCTGTTCGTCAGTTGTCAAGATCAACAATTATCGGATCCGTTCCGCAAACCATATGAACCATTTGACCCTTACTCTTATGCGACTGACGATAATCCCGACAGCTGGTTTTCGCCGGATAAAATTGGAAAATACTACAGCGGAGGTTATGGGTTCACGGTGGATTTTGTGGACGCTTATGACTCCGATTCAGAATCAAATTTTAATTTGAAAGTATTGGCAAGTCAGGATGGTAAAAGCCCGAGTAAGCGGTAATTAAAATTTCAGAACTTTCCGTAAAAATTACGAAAACATATTGTTCGAAGAAAGGATTTTGTCTATAACCAAATGCGTTTATTTGGTACTAGATTGGCGCATCGTAACGAATATGGGAAATAATAACGAATACGTCAACTGCAAAGTGGAAGATGACAAATGGTTTGCGCAAGGTCAAAACTTTTACGACGGTGACGCTGTATGCAACTGCCATATGCTCTACACCATCGAAGCAAACACTTACCCTCCAGATTCAGGTAGCATATACAGAGTACAAGTGACTATAACTGTTCAAGTTTTATTACGTTAAACTACCTCTTTGCATTTTAGTATCTCTTTTGTCTGCGTCTTTATCTAAGCAGTTGTTTAAAAAAGAAAAAGCCCAACAGATCAACTTTTCCTGTCTTAGGGGAAATGACCCGGAATCAAATATACAGCACCAAATTCGGGTACACGGACGAGAACTTTCGCTTTTTAATTTTGCGCACACCCAAATAATTTTTTTATTGTTTTATGACATTCTGTAGTCGAGTGATTTGCCCACGTTCGCTTGAAATCTGTTTGCATGCAAAAATCCGGTTGGGGAGTTATGGATGAAATAAAATTCCAAAAGGTTTAAATGAACTGAGATGTACCAAAAGTCTCATTGTTGACCGATTACTGCTCAACCGGATGTGGCGTGTACAAATCGTTTACACGCCAGTGTGTACAAATCATTTGGCTACAAAATACCACAAAAACAACGACGAAAGTTTAGGAGTGCAAGAAAGCGAAAGTTTGCGTGCAAGTACGGTATGTACACGCGTTTGGTCCTATGCAATATCCGGGGCACTTCCTTTAAACCCCAGTACGTGTCTCGGTGTCTGTACGATTTCTTCGTTCAAAAAAATGTTTGCTGAATATTTTCATATTTTTCAACAACAGTTCCTGCTATTACACATTTTAAACAACTGGTCACGTGCTCCCTTTGTTTTCTAATACTCACTCTCATGATAAGCTGCGCAACCGGATATACCGCAAAAGCGGCAGGTGTAAAATCAAATTTGGCTTCTTTGAGTTCCTTCCATTGAACACGTTACTGTAAATGTGGCTAGCAGTTTATCTCATAACATACCATGTAGGGGCTGGTGCCCGGTTGTTCAGAATGTGGAACAAAGTAAAAGCTATTGAGAAATACTGAATAACCAGAAGCGCAAATCAGGAGTGTTACAGTAACTGGAGTGTTAAGGGAAGTGGCCCGGTACATGGTACCAAATTCGTGTACATGCACGAAATCTTTCACTTTCGCGCACTCCCAAACCCTTTTTTCTCTTGTTTTATGACATTCTGTAGTCAAATGATTTGTATGCACAGGCCTGAAAACCGTTTGCGCGCGCAACATCCGGTTCGGGAGTTATGGCTGTAAGAAAATTCCCCAAAGTTTAAATGCTTTCAGGTGTACGAAAAGTCTCATTATGGACCGATCTCCTTCAAATTTTGCATGTAAATGCACATGGCCATGAAGATCGTTTTTACACCGATCCAGACTTCCATTGATGTTTTTCAAATTTTAAAATGAATTTTAAAATTTTTGAAATTCATTTTAAAATTTGAAAAACATGCTAGAACAGTGGATCGGTGTAAAAACGCTCTTCGTGGTTATGTGCATTTACGTGCAAAATCTGAAAGAGATCGGTCCATAATGAGACTTTTGGTACACCTGAATGCATTTAAACTTTTTGGAATTTTCTAACAGCCATAACTCGCGAACCGGATGTTGCGCGCGCAAACGGTTTTCAGGCCTGTGTATACAAATCATTTGACTACAGATTGTCATAAAACAAGAGAAAAAAGGGTTTGGGAGTGCGCGAAAGCGAAAGATTTCGTGCATGTACACGAATTTGGTACGATGTACCGGGCCACTTCCCTTAAGCTGCTGGCTTATACCTGAAGTATACCTGAAGTATACGTAAAATACTTACCAAACGCGATGCTCATTACTTGCAGATGTTCCAGTACCATCTGGGTTTTATTATGTCACAAAACGACAGTTCGTAGCGACTGCAGATAAAAAACAAAAAAACTTCATTTATCATGTTCGGGCATACCTTTGTGACCTTAAGTACTGCTGCGATAACCCTTCGCCAACCACTACTACGATCGATCCGCCTTCGACTATACCGATTGTTAGTTCCGAAGCGACAACAGAATACACAACCACTGCCTTGATATCAACCACGGCATCGACCTCCACTATGCCGACAACGGTGACTACCGAAGCTGTGACAACGTCAGCGCGGGCTACACCGACAACCACAACGGCGAGCACGACAACAACACCGCTAATGACAACAACCATACCGGCCACAGTACAGGTTACGACTAGAGCAACGTCATCATCGGCAACTCGGATCACGACAGGAATAAGTGGGAACATGCAAGACCAGACAATGAATGTCACAACAGTGAACCTCATGGATAATATTACTGCGGCCGAAACAATGGAAACATTGCCTGATGTAGCTGTAAAAGGCAGGGAAGTTGACGAATCCAAATCGACTACCGGGAGAACCAAAAACGCTACCCTAATGTCTAATACCACAGAAGGTAAGGCTACTCGAATACCTGATTAATTTAGCAGGCTGAATAAAAACGTTGCAGTAGGTACACTATTGGCTGGTTACTGCTGCATGTAATCCAAAAGTGCGATGCGCAAGAACCTAAGAAGAACTGGGTACTTGAAGGCATTCAGTTTCCGATAGCAATTTTAGAAACATAAACGGCCAATATGCCTATATCGCGTCCGATCACTTCGGCGGCGTTACATTTCGGCCGCATGCGTCCATTTCGGCCAACGTTCATTTCAGCCGGGGCTCAGTTCGGCCAGCACTCATTTCGGCCACAGCTTATTTCGGCATCATCACATTTAGCCATCTCCAAGTTTCAAGTTTTCCTGGTTTTTGTTGCGTTTTTAGGTTTTCTTATGTGTCTTAGGTTTTCTTAGGTTATTCTTAGTATTGGTAGGTTATCTTCTGTTCCAGGGCCTTCTTAGTTTTCTTAGGGTTTCTTAGGGTTTTGATCTTCTGGTTTAAGCCTTCGCCCTCTACCCCACCGTACGTAATTTACGCACTACGTCCCTAACATGTGCTTACAAGTAGCATTTTAGCACGCTGCGCATTGTCATGATATTGGTTTTTTTCACTTCGCGAACGCATCAAAATGTAGGGCCGGTATATTTCTTTTATAATCTAATGATGGCGTACTAGGTGTTGAATGTAAAAGTTTCGTGAAATGTTCGCCAAACACTAGCTTCTAGTTAACTACAACGCCTCAGATTTTATGATATTGGGTTGGTTTGGCTTAAGCCACGTTTACCCGGTAAATTGCCGCACTTTAGCCACGCCCCAGCCTTTAGCCACGCCCCAGCGCGTTAAACCAGAAAAACGGACCGTTTTTCTTAGTACTGTTCAATTTTTAATCTTTTCAGGATTTGATGTCAGTCGAAGGTCATTTTCTTAGGTTTGCTTGGACTTCAAATTTTCAGTTACTGTCGAAGTTAGATCGAAATTAGCGTTTTCGTGCACAAATTAAACCAAAATGAGAGTCTGCCGAAATGTACTGTGGCCGAAGTGATCGGCGGCCGAAGTGAACGGCGGCCGAAAAACTTTGGCCGAAATGAACGCGGCCGAAATGAAAACGGCCGAAGTGATAGGTAGCCAAAATATATGGGATGTGTGACAGCCTTCAAATCATTTACTGCGATCATCACAAGCGGTATAGTGGTGTTATAGCATCGGCAGTTAATTTGTGTTAGTTGTGGAGCCTACTAATTTGGCTGTTGCCTGCAGCCAAGGAAAAGCAATCAAGCAAATCATTATCTGTACGTAAAAGAAAATTTCCAAATTTTGACGTACTTGGAAAATTAATTGAAATAACCATTGGTTTCACATTCCCAACCATTAATTAGCGGGATTTGTGCTTTGTGCGACTGTAGCATCCGAAGTTCACTCAAAAATCACCGTACTTGATAAAATAGTAATTGTCTTAAAATTGTCAGCTGTGATTATGTCCTGTCATGAGCGAAACAAATTCAAGTTGCGTTGGTCCGAAAAGTGGTGAACAGAGTGAAAGATACTTTTAAGATAGCGCGGGGAAAAGTTGTGTACGGAATAAAGGCGACGGCACGGCAGTTCACCAAGTAAAAGGCGCTGCTGCAGATTGTGAGCCGACTGAAGGGTTGTGAACGGGTTGTGAACGGATTGATCACCTAAAAAAAAGAAAAATGTTAAGCAAAATACTACTATTCTACAGTACTCTAGAGTTTTGAAAACAAATTTAGCTGTTTCAAAATCTTGATAGACTTTCCAGATAGTATGTTCGGCCATAGACAGCATGTTCTACGTATTCGACCGGAGTATGCTATTCGGGATATGCGACTCCCAGAGAACGCTTTGCTTCGGCATATCACTACTCTATAAATATTCATGCAGGTACTAGAAAGTTAATACAGTTAAGCCAAACGTTGTGCGAAAATAATGCAAGACTTCCGTGCGACCAGCAGGTTATCCGGTCGGGCGACATGGAGCTGCTACAGTGCGCATTGCTGGTTTGCGTTTTCGCTCTGATGGAAGCGTATTCGCACTGATTTTTTGTATTATTATTAATTATTTTATTATTTTGAAAAATTTCACAGTAAAGCCATGCACGAACATATGGTGGTACATTATTTAGCAACTGGTACGGACCGACGGCCATATGTAATTCGTACATTCATGCAGAATACAGATATACACAGGTCACAGCATGATTTTTGCTTTCTGGAAAGAGAAATTATAAAATTTCACGGTACAGCACGACTAATAATATCTATATGTAAGCAGTAGAAGCAGTGTGTAGGTGTTAGTTAGAACTTAAAAGAAGCAGCATATGTAAGCAGTGTGTAAGGTGTTAGTAAGAACTTAAAAGTAAATTGCACGCTTGTTGACGGTGACATCGGCGTGCAAACGAATGCATATTAATTTTGTGCACGTACTATAATATTCCTGATAAGCCTTGTTTTGTTGTGACTCATACGGTGGTACTCGTTTGCTTATGTACAGCGTTTGCTTATGTTTGTCCAGTATTATTATTCTGTTGCATTGTATATTTGAAAAACTCTACCCTAGCAATGCGGATGTTGTATATTGATATAATTATTGCAGAAGGTCTATCCATGTGGGCTATCGTCGGAACTGCGGCCGGTGTTGGGGTAAGAATGCATATTAACTTTCAGTGAGTCCACAAGCACGATACTTTCGCGATATTGTAACCACAGATTTTTTTGCTTTCGTACAAATTTCCGTTAAGTTTATGTTACCGAACAATGGCACTCGAATAGTTGTACTGGCTTAACAGGTTCTGGTCTTAGTAGCAGTCGGAGCCCTATACCGCTGTGTGAAGCATCGTATGCAAAACGATGCAGAGAGCATATCCTCTGCTTCAATGAGCCAGTCGACTGTTGCAAAATCCCATGCGTTGCCGATCCGTCGTAAAGAGACCTACTACGCTAAGGTCACGGTGCGACGTTTGAGGCACGAAGCGTAATAAACACGAAAAAGGCCAAGTGGTGTCACGCTGCTCTAAACAGTGAGTTCAGCCCATGTGATTCGTAACTGGCGGTTGCTTAAGCGATAAAAACTACAGGCCAAGAACATACTTTTATGACTGTTTTGATTTTAGATTATTACTCATTACTTAACTTAACCATAGTGTCACTAACAATAGTGTTTTGTTACAGATACTTGGATTCCAAGCATTTCTTCTTGGCAATATTCCATCGTTTTGACGGCCGCTGCAATTACGCTTTTTATTGCTGGAACGATATGGATCGCAGTAACTAAGTGTTTCCTGGGAAGAGAGCAGTAGACATATGATTGGTAGTGGTGCCCGGAAAATTGAAAATTGTTGGAAATGGCAGGTTACTCGGGATGATATCGAGTAATGGGGTTCATCCGTTCGACATAGAAAATGGGCGTGCTGGAGCGCCAGATTAAGGGTTTAGTAACTGTAATTCTGTTAATTCGGGTTATTTTTGACTTTGTCTTTTTATAATAGCCTTTTATCCTGTCACAATATCGTTTCTGCGTTATCGTTTCTTCTTACAATTTTCTTGCTTTATTATTATTTTTTGTGAATTCTTAATTTTTTTATAATACTGTATTGCGGTAAATCGAATGTGCTTCCACTTTACTAGTAGAAATCTACAGTATGTATCGATAAACGAAAATTAAGTACTGTAGAAGTATGCATTTTAGCTGTTTCAGTCGAGGCTATATTTTGCCAGCGGGTTAGATGTTAATCTCTGTATCAATGGTTAGACAAGGATTACGTAACAGCGAAAGGGTGGTATACCTCTTAAAGCGCTATATAGTACTGTACTGCAGTACTCGCAACTTGCAAGGAATCAGGTACAGTAGAAAGCATTTTTTTAGACGGCATTTATCCTAACCATTTATGGCAAGCAAATATTCCGTAGCAACATCATACTAATGACTCTTGTTTAACTGCTAGAAATAATGCGAAATCACAATCAGAACCGCTCCGTTCTGCTAAAAAATCTGCATGGTGAATGGTTAATAATGTGGTACTACTCAATTGGTGTAGCGCTGAATGGCGGTATTTTCTGTCAAATAAGCGTTTTGTTGTTGGTATTGTGCAGTCAGATCTTTGTGATCAAAGGCCAAGCCACCAGCACAACGGCAAAAAGTACGACAACGGGAATAACGACAACTCGTTCGTACACGGGTCCAAATGCAACTAATCCTTGTCCAAACATGGTCTACGGTTTTAATCAACAGGATCCGGCCACAAAAGCCATAATTGGTAAAAACCGCCAATGGTACAACTGGGACTGCACTACATACATAGCCCATACTCAGCATTTGACTCTGGCACAGTTCTGCTTGTATTACGGAGAGTGGGGCTATGGAAGAGATGTTTATCCCAACGTGCCGCGTTGCTGCGATAGTTGGGAAAAAAACGGTTGCTTTCGTATGCCGCAAACTTGTCCTAGAGCTATCGGGAAGGAAACTGCACCGCGGTACGAGTCTTGGCGAACCGTGGGCTACTGGTATGGGTGCCTTTATTATCCTAATACGTATCCAAGTGCCCAAGCCTTTTGCGCGTCGAAGAAAATATTCGGTTGGGATTTAATGAATTGTTGTACTCACTGGACTAGTATTAAATGCTTTTAAATCCAAATAGATGGCTTGAAGCTCAAAAGCTTGCGCTCAGAAAGCTTTTGCGCAGAAAAACAACGCAGAATCACTTTTTTCGGTGTAAATATTGTACGACAAAGTAAGCCCATTAATAAACTGCTCTGTTGGAAAAATGCGAGTTGATAGTACCCGCGTACAAAAAAAACTGGATCGCGATGTGAAAACTATCTGTTCACTGAGCAGCATAATTTGCATGTACTGCGGCATTTACTTAGAAAAAAAAATTTGCATGTACTGCGGCATAAAAAGCAGGCAAACCAAAACCGTATTAGAAAACAATAAAAGTGTACAAATTCAGTTGAGCCATGTTTTCACAATAAAATAATTATTACGCTGCGTATTTCTGCTGGAAGCTGAATACAATCGTGAGTGAAACCTAATGGCTGTTCTCTCTGAAGGATTTTTTGTAAATAAGTATCTCATTTGCTTGATTCGTTGTATCTGTATTTCCTATCCTTTTCGCTACACTGATTCTTCCGCTTCCTGCAAGCTTGTGCTAGAAAAGCGTTGAGAGCAACCCAAAACCGATTTAGGTGGTTATTATGTACATCAGAATAATAAGGAACCATGTTCAAAAAGCATTGAACTAACACAGAAATGGTTAAAACATACTCGTACCGCAGCGAAATCGCCGGAATACAAAGGAATTGATCGAGTCTTGACTGTCTCGTTGTAAGCTCATTCATGGTTTTCTTTACGACAATATTTGCATACAATTTTGTTCAAGCGAAACAAAGACCATCAAAATAGGCTTGGAATAAACATCGTTTGTTAACGGTCATGATTAAGTTAACTTATGACATGCTTAATAAGTTAAGTGCGACTGGCTGGTACTAACGAAAGACTTGAATTCGAACAACTTTTCGTATTCAATTCGTTTTTGGTCGCCTGATTCGCGAAAAGACAGGAGAAAACAGATCTACCGCTTTCTTAAAACAGCGCATTAGTCTTGCGATAATGAAGGGAAACGCTGCCGCAGTTTTAGGCACTTTGCCGGGCAGAAGTAAAATTGCGGAAGGGAGTGATTTTGGTTGTTTTTGGAACTTGTAACCGTAGTATGTAATCATTGTTGTTAAACACGAAGGAAACCAGTTAAACATTACATTAACTTTTCGTATTGTTATTAAATAACCCAGAATTTAAAAACACGAATACATTTCCTTAAAGAGCATTCATTTCCACGATATGATCACAAAACTCAGAAGTTGTTACATGTCCGCCATCTTTATTACCTACTGAGCGACGAAACCAAGACCGACGTCAGGAGCGTTGGTGTTCAAGGTTGATAAGTTGACATTATGTGCATAAAAATTTTTAAATATACTACTGTAAACAATGCGTACCATAATACCGTTTTCTTCCATGGAAACTACCGGTGTTTTCTAGTCCAAACGAAAAACCAACATGGCAAAGAGGCAGCAGCCGATGTACTGCTGCAGAACAATATCGTTAACTCTAAAGTTATAGAATGCGTATGGTGAAATTTGGATTTGTTGAACTACTTGTTGTAATTGCTGCCCAGATCTCCATCAACGATGGACTCCCTCATAACATGGGCTTGGAGGGAACGCTGGTCGGAGATGTGTTTGCCCGCAGCGCCAAAAATCGCGAACTGCGAGCCGCGCGTATGGATGCCGATACAGCATTTCAGGACGACGACTACGAATCACAGATGGTTGTCTTAGATGATGACGACTACAGTGTGGCTAAAGAAAGCAAAAGTAAACAGGAACTCTTTGATGACTACGAAGAAGACCTTAAGAGTAGAAAGGTCATATTCGACGATGACGATTACAAGATGGACGACGATGATTACGAAGAGAAAAGCGCCAGAAAAGTCAAAACCGAATTCCAGGACGACGACTACGCCAGTGACAAAAAAGACGTGACTGAGGCGAAGAAATCGAAAAAGGAAATGGACGAGGATTACATGGCTAGCATTGCTGAAGACAAAGTTAAATTCGATGACGACGATTATGATAAAAACGAAAAAGTAGAGAAAAAGAAAGACACTAAGAAGACGGAACTGGACACGAAGAAGGCTTATGTTTCCAAATGGGATCGACGGCCCGAAGGCAGGGCATACTTTGAACAAAAGGAAGAATCGAAAGAGGAGTCGAATGAAGAATCGCTAGACGAAGAGGATGATGACGATGACGACACAGCGAAAGGCAACAAAGGCATCATGGCCAAACGAACAGCAGCTTACGACGCAAGTTGGGGATTGGACGACGACGATTACAGTGACAGCTCCAACAAAGCAGCTGATTCGGTAGGTTTGTTGTATTAGGCAATGTCTACGTCACTACGCGCACAACCTTATGGCTGTGACACGGCAGCGAGTTTCCAGCATATTACGGACATCGTCTCAGTTGTCCTGTGCTGCCGTCTGTAATTTGCGACGTGCGAACCACCTACTGAAAAGATGAGAAAACAAACAAAACCTCGTATAACGATTACTAAACACTGATTATTCTAAAACCATCTCAACGAACCAACTATTTGTTTTAGAATTACAGTTAAAAACTCGGAAGATTCACTATAATTGTATGGCTTAGCTTGAAGGCCGCTCTGGCGCCTTTGGAGTCCGTAATTTGTGTATTACACACTGCATCAGCTCGTGTGACATGCTGTTTGGGCAAAACCTCCAGTTGGTTGGCTGGTTTTGGGAAACTTTTTAAAGTGGAACGCTGTTTAAAATTAATTTTCCTTGCAGGCTGACAAACAAGATTCTGTACAAAACGACGCCGATGACTTTGAACTGGCTCATGAAACAACTTCTGACTTCCTGGAGGAAACCAACGCCGATTTCGTGGCAGAAAAGCAGATGGATGCAGAAGATGATGATGAAGATGAGAGCAAACGGCGTGATACCGAAAACGAAAATGCACAAGCAGCTGGCAAACTAAATGCGCAGTCCCGAAAGGAGAAGACCAAGCTGTCGAAGAAGAACAAGATTAAAGAGACTGTTAAGACTGAGGCCAAGTCTGCCAGAAAGAAAGATAAAGCGAAGGCAGAATTCGACGATGATTACAACGAGAACGAACAAGCGGCATCTGTAAAGAATGAGGACAGAGCATATAAACAAAAAATCAACCGAAAAACAGGGCAAGAACAGCGGCAAGCTGCCAAACTTGAGCTGGACAGAACACAAAACCCGGTGCGACTGCAGCCGTACAGGGCTGAAGCTTCCGGTCAAGAGCAAGAGAAACAGTCCAGTGGTGAAAAAAGGCAAAAAGAGCTCGACACTAGCGAGACTGCGTATCGAACGGAAATGAAATCTCGAAAACGTATGCGCCGAAACAGAGATAAAAGGGCTGCGAAACGACACAGAACCGAACATGATATCGAGGAGAACGATGAAACAGATAACAAACAGTCGGTAGCGGCTAAAACAGATTCGGCGAAGCTCTCTATGAAAGTTTCTCAGAACAAAGCTAAGCAGTCTGCCGACATGAAGATGGATGACGACGATGACGAACCAGTTGCGTCTGAAGCCGAGGTCAAGAGCCAATTTGACACAGAAGAATCCGCATCAGAAATGCAATTTCAGCCCGGTCCACCAGGCTTTCAAAGAGGAAGAGGACCACCGCCTGGAATGGGGCCGCCGCCCGGCAGGGGACCACCTCCAGGCAGGGGGCCTCCACCGGGACGCGGATTTCCAGGACAAGGGCCACCGCCAGGAATGGGTCCACCACCAGGGCGGGGACCGCCACCACGAGGACCACCGCAATTTCGTGGCCCTCCACCCAGACAGCCTGGGCCAGGAGGACCCCCGCAACGCCCTGGCCCACCAGGGCGACCACAGCCTGGCGCACCCCGTGGTCCGCCGGGAAGACCTCCGCCAGGCGGCCCCGGTCAGAGAGGGCCCCCTGGCCCGCGTGGACCGCCACCCCGAGGGCCACCACCAGGGCGTGGCGCTCCGCCTGGCGGCAGACCTCCTCCTCCCCGAGGGCCACCCCCAAGAGGACAGCCCCTAAGAGGTCCACCGCCAAGAGGTCCACCACCACCGTTAAGAGGGCCCCCGCTGCCACCAAGAGGCCCGGCTGCCCGGCCTCGAGGGCCTGGTCCAGTGCCAAGAAACATGCCTCCGCCTCCTAGAGGACCGCCGCCACCTAGGGGAATGCCCCCACCTCCAAGAGGGCCTCCTCCACCACCACCCCGTGCACCACCACCTCCAAGCGGAAGGCCGCCTCCGCCGAAAATATCCGCTCCTGTGAACAGACCGAGCCCGAAAACGCAAAACAAAATGCCACCACCAGGAAAACTCCCACCATCGGTTCTCAAGTCTCCAGCACTTCCTCCAAAGCAACCAGCAGCTCCGGCTCCTCGCGTACCCGCACGTGACATTAAAAGCTTGCCGCCTTCGGAGATCAAGAGACTAAAATCGACGCCATGGTGGGATCGTATGTTTGACGAATACCATTTGTACAGAGCCCTGGGAATACTGGAATTACCTTAGTGAAGTTCTGTTTTTAATTTTTTAAAATTGATCTGTTTTTGTCATACGCTTTTTTTGAACACATGACTATAAACTTCGTTAATATTATAATCCTAAGAAGTCAAAGATTTTATTTACGCCTTTTCGTTCATCTCCGTCCGTAAGGTAAAATAAAAGCCGACCGGTCGCCTGCTCTATTGGTTAGTTCTGCCTTTTTCGATGACCTGCACAGGAACACTGAAATACTGTAGTAAAGAAACTACAAACTGTACGAGCCAGTTCAAGTCTGGAGTCAAAATTAGAACTACAAACTACTCATATAGATCTATCTTATGCGTTAGAACTTAGAAGTACGCTAACTGGAGACTAAACAACAAAATTTTATTAATTCAGAACCATCCTTCGGTCGGACAATCAGTGACCATATTAATTAACACAGAAACCAAAGTGAACGGAATAAATAGTGTAGCATTAATACAGTAGCTGTGGCCGCCGTTTCCCGAACAAATTTACAGCTCGTTGCAGACTCTCAAACTTCTTTGTAAGTACAACATGCACCAAAACCAAAAAACCGGACAATCAGTTCTCTGCATGATCTTGTTTTCCGGTAGCATCCGAGTGGGACTGCGAATTTTCCACCTGGTGACCTGAACTTTCATTGAGACTTAGTAGAGGATTGTTGCGATTGGTTTGAGCAGAACTGAAACCAATCAAATCCTCATCCGGCTGGAACGGTGCATTGACCGACAACAGCATTTGCAGTGGCTCCTCATCGGCTTTGATTTCACTTTGTTCAATATGTAGAGGGAGGGCATCGTCGGAAGTGGTAAACGCTGCATCAGCGTTCTCTTGGTCTTGCTGCGCCGAAGACCAGCTCGTAGATTCATGGTGGGAAATGCCGACACGAACTGGAGGAATCAGTCCGTACGTAGCTGCAATTATTAATCTCAATAAGCACTTCCGTACTAATGTAAAAAGGCCTGTCTCGCCATTACAAAAATTATAAACATTGAAACACCTTGTTGAGTGACCTTACCAATATCACTGTGAATACTTGGCAAATCAGCATACACAGATATGGCACGGCTACTACTGCTAGCTAGTAGAACGTGTTCCGTGTCTTGTTTCGGATCTGCTGCTGTTCCCTCAGCAAGGTCACGACTGTAATCTTCCATTTTCTCTGGACGAATTTCAAGTAGCCCGTCGTTTCTTATCTTTTCAACAACCAGCTGCTGGTCGTCAGTTCGCGCTTTTATATTCGTGGCTCTTTCAACAGGTTGCTCACTTTTGACCGTATAAGGTCGATCTGGAATATTTTCCAGTTGGTTTGCTGCAGAATTCATGTTTATCGCGCCAAACAACGATCCGTACGGTGGAGAGTGCAAGACATCAATCCTCATTGGCCAACGCACTTCACCTTCGGAATATACTGCTGATTCTTGAAAAAGTGACGGACACGGTACCAAATCCGAGGTTCGAGTTTCAATGGCAGATTCCCCGTCACATGGGATCAAATATGCTTGATTTGTGGTAGCACTGAATTCGGTAAATCTTGTTAAATCGTGACCAGGGTCATGCTCACCCTGAATTTGAGCTACAAAACAAATGCGGTACAGTACTAATACTCACTACTCGCTTTATCATACATATTGCAGCGACAGTAATGAAACTCTCCGTAAACTTACTACCATGATGTATCCCGACGAGCACATCCGCGGGAGAGACACCTCTTTCTGTAGCCGTAACTTGTTCCACCTCATCATAAGTACTAAATGGAATTCGAGAAACGGGCTGTACTTTCACAGACTCAACTTCTAGAGGATCATGTTTAGCTTTCTTCCGGTGCTTCTTTTGCGAAGGGTGATCTAGTATCTGGGCCTTTAGAACATGGGGTGGGGGCATTTTCATTGCCGCTGCTTTTCGTTTTTTCAGCCCTCGAATAACTGCTGCCGAATCCAGTACTGCTGGTTCACCACGATGCGCATAGTGATGGCTGTCGGGTTTGCATACGGCAACGCCATGGCAATCAGTAATAATGCCGAGTTCCGAACCATACGCGATGTGCTCGTCGCTGTCAATGTCCAGCTCGTCTTTGCCGTACAGAATATCGTCCAATAGATATTGTTGATCATAAACATTCGAGCCAATCAACCAGAATGTTTTCTTGTCGTAACCTCGCACGGTCCGGCTGGATTCGACGACTTTATATTTCACGTAAACTTTTGCCACTAAGAAAATATATCTATGTAAATAGCGCTTGCCAGTATTACGTCGTTCATGCAAGTATTTATGTCAGACTTACGCTGCCGTAATTTGTCATTGAAATCTTCGGATATCAGGACGCGATACGGTTCGGATGTCCGCTCGATATTAAAGGCAATCTTCATCAGTTCTCCAAATAGAACATAATGGGCCGCAGCGTAGTCCACACATCCCGCTGCTACCGACCCCGAATGGATGCCCATTCGAATTTTCAATGCCGGTTGCGACGGTGCTCGAGAGTTGTTAGCCCAGACAAGGTAATCCAAAGCGGTCTGTGCGATGCTGTGCACGGGATCCAATTCCAAACCGAAAGGCGCACCACCTACGGCCACTACCGCCGCTCCATCTTGATACATGCGATATATCCGACCGTTCTTTTCTACTAATTCTTCAAACACGCGCTGCAGAAGATTAATAGTGTCCATTGCAATCTGTGGATCGCTTGTCGCAATGATGGCATCGTAATTTGCTAGCGAACACCGGAGTACTACGGCGTCCTCGTAGCGGTTCAAAGGAGGCCGCATATGTCCTAAAATTACACAAATTGGGCATGCTGTCTTACCCAACGTGTCCACAGTTGTTACCCAAATAAATTCTTCGCCATATGGGAAAGGGCACCAGTGTCCGGCTGTACTTGTGGAAACTTTTCGAAACCATCTCGTAACGATGTTCCATCCTCTTTGCCTTTTTTTTCAGCTTGTCGGCGAGCAGCTGACTTTCGATTACCACAAGATCCGAAATTGGTTTTCGGGGTGACACAACTAGTCGAAGTACTCTTGTGATGCTGCGGAAATGTGGCCTGTCACGCGGTGCAAAAGCCCAGCAGAAATTCATCAAGCGCGTCATGGACGTCGGCACTTCGTTTCCAGTTGACAAGCGGGGTCGTAAGTTACCACTTAATATCTTTGTTATGATTTCCGTGGGGGTGAAGTTGTATGGACCGTCTTGATATCGTTGAAATGCGGCTTCCTCACCAAAAATTTCACCCAGTATTATCCCAAAACTAAAGCAAAACCTTTGTTTAGCGTTCGGTTTGCCAAGTACTGCAACGGTTCAGTAGCACGTAAATTGTTATTGTTAAAATCAATGCTTTTCGTATCGATACGAGTGAATCAACGGTACGCTGTGTTATGGCCTATAATGCTGAATGCTGGGGAAGGTTAAGCACGGGGAAAAATGCTCACTGCTTAATTGTTACAAGTAGCAAGTAACACATAGTACGCTACCATACGCTATTTCGAACGGAACCTGTACACATCTTGTGCTTTTGTTAGCACAACAGCAGTGCCGAGCATCCCACACTGTAGCACTTCAGGGGCGGTCCAGTATAGCCACGGATAGAAAGCCGTCTGCTCAAATAAGGTCAAAGTTTGCGCCAGTCGAATTTCTTGAGGAAAATATGTTCCTTGCAAGCGGTGCAGTGTATTGTATTCCCTGAAGTGCACATACTTACACGTTTCAAACAAGTTCACGAAAAGCATTCAGTTACTAGTTTACCAATCTCCAACTTTTGCACTGAAGTTAGCTTCGATATAAATGGCGCAGCTGCGCAAATTTCCATGAAGGATTCCATTATAATGGAGAAACTCCATGCCATCGGCGATATCTCCCGCCAGAGAATACTTCATATTTAACGAAAACGTGTACTCTTTAGCAATAATAATTGACCGAAGATCTCCGTATGGACCTGGAAAAATAATGCAAATAACACTAAAGTATCACATGAAGGACACCTGTAGTAGCATTTATTCCATGGCTTAGTCTGTTGCCATTCAGCATACAAAAATTAGAGACAAAGTACCGGCCGTTTTTCACTTCGGTCAGTCCATAAAAGGTTGCGATCCTTTGGTGACCGGAGAGCTCCATAATTTCGACAAGCTTCTAAAAATCAAAAAATCTGATCAGGGTTAAGGTATCACGAAATAAGGTCTGGCTAGAGAGGACTGAGCTCACTCTTTTTACTGCTTGGCTTAGGCGATGGATATTCATACTACACGGCCGCAGCATAACTTGATAAGCTTTCCATCGTCCAAAATACATAGTATGCACATAAGACTTCGGGGTGTAATAATCGACTACCCTTCTGGATGCGACCACTCCTTTAAACCGATCCGTCAACGTATGTTGTCTGCTCACGAGGAAAATAGCTGCGCTCGGCACCTTATACACGCCATCTCGAACGCGTTGAAGGATGCTTACAAATCTGGCAAACCTCCAAATACTGTACGCCACTAAAATCAGACTTGGTATGGACAAGAGCGATAACAGAGCTTCGGTGAGGGTGTCCACTTGAGAAGCTAAATCATTTTGGATTTGATCTTTTAACAACATCCAGACGATGTTATTGGTGTTGCCGCAGCGTATGCGCTTCATCTGATTGCGTACAGCGGCGTACGCTGTTCCTGGGACGAACACCGCTCCCAGACGAGCCGCACTGGATCGCGCTTCTTCACTGCTGTAGAAAAAACGGATGAATCGTAGGAGATTAACCGCTTGGTCACAATCTGTTGGTTTGTCCATGAATTTCGAGCCGCGTCTGATCAGCATGTAATACATGTAGACAAGTGGATAGGAATCGTTGCCATTCTGGTCAATGTACATGGAGTAGTTGACCTTTTGGTACGATGAGATGTTCACGCTGCTGAAATGCCCAGTAGTCACGCTTTCTATCTGCAGGTTTCAAAAAAAAAACTGTTGAATTGCACTGACTCGAAAGTTTAGTAATTTTGGTTCCAGTGCGTACAGCCTCTTACCGAGTGCGACGACAGTCCAACATAGTATCCCGCACTGTTCCTTAGGCTTACAGTGGTGACCACCGTAGAGAGGACATCAGAGTACTGCCCAATGCACAAGCTGTATTGCACCTGTAAGCACGATCCCATTGTTTCCACCGTCGATCGGGATTCTATGATATTGGACTGTGGAAATGCATTTTTCCATCCATAACCAAACGACGAGTTCTCCCCAAGTAAATACGAACTCAGTACGAGGTTGGCGACAGATGCATACCCTGGAACAACTGAAAACCCAACATTTTTGCTAAAACCAACAAATAATTAATGTATCCAGGATTAATGGAATAGTGGTTTTGCGTACTGGGTGAATGGGGCTATAGAGTGCTAAAGTTTTGACCAATTTCGTTAAAGGTTCGTACAGATTTGTATAGGCGAGTCTCCGTTTAGCAGGGTTTCATTGGCACACCAGAATTCGTTTTCGGGAGAACACAACCTCTGGTCAGTCCAGTAAGTAATAGTTCCATTTAAGATGCCCTCCAGTTGTTCTTTAGTGAGACACAGTGGTGTAGAACTGTTAATTTGCGGAAGATAATAGGCAACGAAAACTCCGGAAGCCATTAACGGCAGATGCAGCAGCATATCGTTGTCGCCGAAAATTTGTGGTGAAATCAGATAATCCAGAAAAGAGTTTCTTTCGCCGGTAAACCGTTTGGCAAAATCATTGTTAACAGGAGTACCGTTGGAATATTGCCCGGTCAAAGCTTCTGAAGCATTTGGAATTTGTGCTAACTGCAGGTTACCCAAGTAGACACTACCATTTGTGTCCACTGCGATGTACGGTTCTCGGTACGCTGCGTATTCCATTATCCATTTGTATACTAATGGCCGCATCTCTTCTACACCATTACCAATAATCGAAACGTTTGAATTTTCATTGGATGTGACCGTCACATCGGGAGGATGGGCCAGATATGTTGGATGGGACCAAAAGGTCTCCACGGCCGACAGAGTGTCCTCGTATTCGTCGGGCGTCAGAATCATCTCTCCAGTATCAAAACTGGGCACTGGGGCAAACACAGAACGTACCATCATGATCAGTACTGCAAACGTGTAGAACGTGCACAATGGCATTCTGCTACTAACTTCGCAGACTTTTGCATATCTTTAAGAAATATGAATCCGTGAAACGTCATTAAGTCCAGTAATGAAAACGAATATTAATGATAAATGACGATTTCCGATGAACTACGCAAAATCGATGGCCTATGAATTCCAGAATACTGTTGTAGTGAATCTGGTGATTATTAGGACGCTCATTTTTGTAAAAGTGTAATTAATGCACTGGTCATTTAAATGTTCAAATCCTTGTTAAAGTTAAATTAAAACTGAAATCAAAATGTTCGGGTTTGCACCGCTATGTTATTCATTTAGAAGCATATACATGATACAAGTACTAATATAATGTACCGTATGATTAATTGTAGAATTCCCGTTATGAGCAGATGCCTCGAACGATACTGGAAGCCCATTTTTGTTACTAAGCGAAAGCACAAAAAGTATATGCTTGTAAAAATGTACTTTCTATGGCGAGGTAGGGTTCCTGGCGTGGTTGTCGCTGTCGGTTCGAGCTGTCGTTGACTTGACGTGTGACGTGTCAAATCAGCAATATTTATTTAAGCATTACAACAAACTTTCGAAACACTGAAACTATGTGTCTGCTGTTTAAAAATAGCCGTGGTGAATGTAAAATGTGTGGTGTTAACAAAGAGTTTTTCGGCGAACCAAAATGAATTTTTTTGCACGTTACCATCTCTGCGTGCTGATGCGCTGAAGGAGATACCCTAAATTCATAACCATAATTATAATCTGAATAAACGTTTTTGGTACTCGCAGTATGTACGTACGGATTGCTATCAGCGGTGCCACTTTGCACCGGCAATGCAAAACACTTTTTGGTAGCGATAAGCACAGCGGACCACCACTTGACTCACTACTAGCAAATACCAGAATCAGTATTCCAAAATTTTTTGTGTATGAAAAACTTATCGCTTTGCTGCACGAAATGCGGTTGCTGTTGAAAAGAGCAACCTTCTAATGAAAACAATCGGTACAAGTTTAACGTAAATAATCAGGTACGTTACTGACTGAGGCAAGCGAGCAGAGGAAACAAATGTAATAAACCCATAATTATTAATTATTCCAGAACATTTTTTATTTAATTCGAAGCGAAAGAAAGTTATAATATTATTTAGTAGTTGGTCAGAGGCAGGTACTGCTGTCCCGTCAGTTGTCCGGGGAAAGGCGCCTCCACCGTCAAGATACCGTCTTTCGACAGCGACGATTTAATCAGTTCCGGGTTGGTACCGATAGGCAAGGAGAACTCCTTATTGAACTCCCGGTACGAGGATTTGTTTTCGGTTTTCTCCTCATGTTTGGCATGGATGCGCAGCTTCCCGTCCACCATCTTAACGCTGACCTCATCCGGTCGGTACTGACTGACATCGAATCGCAGCTTCAAGCACTTGCCATCCTGTCCCGAGATATCCTGATGATTGGAGATAAGAGGACTGTTGAGATTGCTCAGCCATGACTGCAGTTCCTGGTTGTTCTGCTGATCAAACTGCACCATTTGGCCGGTGTTCTGGTTCTGCTGCTGGTGATGCTGCTGCTGGCCGGTGTGGCTGGTTGTCGTGCTGCTATGAAAAGAGCGTGTTTCTTGAGCGTTGGACTGCTGGCTACCGGCTGGAGCGCCCCACTGGATGGGTTGCGGCTGGGTTTGGAATTGCTGCTGGCCACCGGTGTGGGAGGTGCTTGTCGTGGTGTGATGGGAGCGGCTCTCCTGCACATTGCTGCCGGCTGGCGATGCCCATTGCACGGCCTGTGGTTGTGGCGGCTGGTTGACATTCTGCAGCAGATTCTGGCCACTGCCTGAATGGGTTACCGTCTTGTGAGTGGTCACAGTGCGACGAGATTCAATAACGTTAGCGCCTGAAAGTATGGAGCAAAATTAATTATACGGGGGGAATTTAACTGATTACGTACTTAGAATATAGAATGAACCGCTCCGATTAAAAATTATTAAAAAAGTATGTCACTTAATGTTAACCGCTTATATTACTCCAGTAAGTACGAGTAAGTACTGTACTTATACATTTTTACTGTTTCGAGTACACATTGCTTGCCGGGATTGCATCTAAGAAAGATCTTCGAAAGCTGTTTCGTGAATAAAGTAATTTCAAAAAGTTTGAACGAGTACAGTACTTCGAAAAGTTTCAAAGTATTTTTACCAAACTCTGGCTGCAATGATGTACGAACGTTGGCCAACAAGCCTATAACGGATGCAGATGAGTTTTGTGATTCTTTAATGGATTGCGATTACACTGGAGCAAACGGACACAGGAAATAAAACGGTCTGCTTCGACCGGGTAGTTTCTCTCCAAGGCGCCAATTACTAACGCAGCCAGTAAAGGGAAATAGTTCTGATGCTTTAAAGCCGATCAATGAACTGGCAGTTGTTTGCCGCCTGCTAATTAATAGATGATATTTTTGGCAACCCGTCTAAACCATTCCAGATGGAAATGGATACCAGCTGCTGGAAGCTCTCGGATAAATAAATTTATCCGTAGACTATACACTGAAAATCATCTGCCTTGTAATAAAGTTTTTACCATTTCCGCCGCGACATTGTGTCAGCTCCAAGGACATGACGTCAAACGGCGGCCGCGGTGGCAGTGAACGCCATGATCAGAGCCGGGCGAAAAAATTATTATAAGTAGCTGCATTTTACCACCACTATTCCTGATATCAAACTGTTCCATTTGTTGACGTTCTTAATCATTGAAATTTATGCTACAAAACTATTTGTACAATGCAGCTACATGCTCTTATGCTGTGTAACAGTGTAATTATTCGACAAGCGCGAACAAAAATTTTATGCAAGGCAGCAGTAGTAACTGTAGTCTTGTAGAGGACTATACTTTTACAATTTTCGACGGAAAATATGCTTCTATTCAACTATATATAAAAATCTTTCTTGCGAATTAACGCATAAATTGTAAATGAAAAGTTGCCAAAAACTGAATACGTGGAAAACGGACGTGGTGCTGACATGTGAAGCGCTTTATAAATATCAAATATATGTGAAGAAGTATTTTACTTCGTGTTTTACCTTGTGTATTGAAATCCTGCGGCTGGTCAAATTGCGTACCACCAGAGGTGAAAGTCTGATGCGTTTGACTGGTGTGCGACTGAACATTGCCGCCCTGTTGCTGAATTGGCTGCGGTTGGATGGCGAACTGTTGGTTCTGGTTATCGAAGCCGGTACCGCTGCTGGTCCGGGTAGTGGTGGTCTTGGTGGTCTGGATGACGCGCGAGGCAATGCGCTTGTTCCCTTCGGAAATTTCGCCGGTCAACTTCTGCATTTCCGCTTCCATCTTGCGCATCTCATCGTCAAACTGGCTGCGCTGTCCATACTGGTCAATCACGCTTTCACCGCGCTGCAGAATAGGAATGCGTACTTCCACGGTTCCGTAGTTAGACATTTTGGAAAAGGCTTTCTCGAAGATAAAATTAATACTATTCACACAGAGAAGAACGTTGGAGCGAATGATATAATTACAAGTTCAAGTCAAATATTTATTTTGGACTGGTGCAAAGCGAAACGGGTATACGGACTAACGGCATACGGACTGTTCAGTGTCAGTAAATATATATTATGTTTCTCCGGCTGATTTTATATTCAGCGGGGCCGTCTAGAGCTTAGTGGATGATTCATCCGCAAAAAGTTCACTAGAAATTTCTGAAGACGAGTAAAAACATGGTGAGCAATTGCGGTCGGCTTGTTTGTAATGCGGCTGATTACAGAGACTACATATTTTGTTGTCACAGTAAGTAGCGGAAGTCGGTGGTGGCTGCGATGCACGTCGGAACGAACACAATTATTCGCAATAGAAATCTCAGCGCATGTAAATTGCTTGACGCAGACATGCTGACGCTTACCCAATTTTTTAAACTTGGCGTTCGCGTTACAATGTAATCATAATTTCTAATATGTAGTCCGAAGCCGAGTTTTTTTCTGCACTACGGAGTATCAAAATTTTACCAAACGTCTTATTCAACCCCCGGTTAAAATTAATAAATAAGCGCGTTACATAGCAAAATGCGCGTTATTTTCTAATCGAAATCATAAAGAAGTGCGCATGCAGGATTACTCCCTCAAAATTTTACTATAATACCAAATAATTTAAGCCCTAGTAGACGTACTTTAATTGAGGTTTAGTACCCCAAATTAGGCTAGTATCCAGTATATTTGTTATACTAATTATATTTAAGTTGCAATATTTTTGCGGATGCATTAGCTAGGGGGCAAGGTCAGGCACGTTCGCACATTATTGCTCTTATGGATTTTACTGCGTCATATTTACAGAACAACAAATTTGGGCATTGTTATTGAACAGGTCAACGCCGTTTACAGCGACGGGTTTTTCTTTTCATTCGTTTTGTCAGGTACTGTACTTGAAACGCGTATTGTACAGCTATCTATACAGTGGGATGGCCCGACCTTCGGAGGATGACTTTTTTAAATGACTCATGCGTAAAGCAATCTACACTCCGCCACGCCGTATTTTTGCGGTTTGTACGATGGACTTATAAGGAAAGCGCCAACAGCGGCAGCTGTTTGGCTGATTACTTTGGTACAAAATTACAGCACCATAATCATCGTCTGGCTGAATCGTAAAAGCTGGTTAATATCAAGCAGATGGTGGCAAGTAGGATATGAAGAAGATGAAACCTAACAAATGTTTCTAGGCCCATCATAACCAAAATATTACTAAAAACTCATTTATTTACAGAATAATTTAATGTCGTTGATTTTTTCTTGAACATTGAAATAGTATTGTTATCGTGCTGTTTTACTCGTATTTACACAGTCTTTTTTGCCCAGCACGTATACGATTTCTTGCTAACTGCCGAACGATAACAATTTATACATATTGCTGTATATCTGTATACTAGGATACAGATGCAAACAACATTTTTTATAATTTCCACTGTCTCAAACGCCTCTGAGTTAAAAGTCTATTATGTAATTATGCAGCACTGAAATACGTTTAGATTTGTGTCCGTGTTCGGAATAATTTGTCACAAAAGCAAGCTTAATTAAGTGTATTCATTATTAATTAAGGGTATCTACATCTCCAAATTATTTACGATGCAGGATGAAATTTTCTTTAACGAAGAAGGAAGTCTTTGTGGCAGCGCACTAAAAAATTCACGTTGTACAAGTATTTATTCATAATCGACGTAATATTATTACTTGTGCTCTATAAGTGTGCTCAACATAGGCAAAATACTTGCACCTATGTAACGTGAGGTTATGCTCCATTTGTCTCATTTTGTTTTAAAGCGCTTTGTGTAGTCTTAGATTTCAAAATATGCAAAAAACAAAAATTCAGACCCTTTGAAAAAACTGTATTAGAGGTCTTTCGGAAAATAAAAATCAAAAATCTTTTGCACAGTGTATGTATGTACAGCAGCCAAACCTATAAGCAGCCAGCGGCGCAGCCACTTTCATGGCTCTTTCGTTTCCGGTCGAATATTTTTATTAATCTTTTTTTGCAGAATTTTGTAGCAAATATCACATTAAAACCGTCCATAGCTCTGCGTAAGGCAACCTTGTCTTAATACAAAGTACTTATATTAAACGTGTTACTGACCTTGCGATTGGTCTTGCATGGCTTTGGTTACAAAAAAATACATAAATACCTAAATTTACCGAAACTTATCTCACAATCAGTTTGATTTGTTGTATTGTGCATATTATTATATTTGGCTGCCGCTTTGAAAAGTATGCGGTATTGGTATGTCGTTTTTCACAACTCATTGTGACATAAAAATAAGAACAAATGGGATAAAGGAATATACATACTCACATGTTTATACCAGATTGTATGGGATACTGCCCGTAACATGTAAAAATCACTGCAGCTCCGTTAAAATCGATTATGTACATGTATATTCGTTGCTTTTACAGAGGCAGAGTGCCCATTGCAGCAACTCTGCAGTGCGTTTTATGCTCGCATATTATTATTTTTATATGCAACAGATCATGACTCTTTTGGATGCGAATTTAATTTCACAAATGTTTCATCAGCGGTACTGGTGTACTAACATTTGTCGTATTTAGCACAGCTTCTAATAAAGCGGAAGTGTTTGCAGATGTTTCGACGAGGGCCCTGACGTCTTGCTGATCCAAAAATTCGCGAACCAGTACGGCGTAGGTAAACAGTAGTGTAAAGGTCTGTACAGAAAAAAGTCGGGTCTTGAAAATCTTTTCGTGCATGTGGAAGGAATGTTATTATTGGACTTCTGCTTTTTATACATAGGGAATTGCATAGAGCACTTGTTCAGAGATTACTTACCGCTACCAAGAAATTTCGATCGATGTAGAACAGATTGCCAGCGCTAAAGTTTATCGGAAAAGCCGACGCCAGGGTTCGAAATTTAGTTAGGACTTTCCGTAAGGCTTTTCCCTGTATTTTAGCCCAGTCTATTAATGTGTTAATTTAGCTAACGATAAATCTATTAAGGCCATGGGATAGCCACGTATCGATGTTTAATCCATACCTGCGGTGTTTTCAGCAGGTCATTCGCTTTCATGATCGTCTGGTACAGGATTGACGCAGTCGACAAAGCCTTCAAATATATAAATTTAACGATCGCAGACGTATACTGGTAAGCGTCATGGCCACGAAATGTGACACTGACCTTTTCACTTGCAATGACCATCGGAACAAATACGAGTATGGCGTAACTGACAAATACAGCTGTTCCCACCACTTTTGCTGGCAAGGAATATGGCGTGTGTTCTTCATTTGTGATCACCACTGCCAGCATGCCGGCAGAGACGACAAGATCAACGAGATAAGAAATCAAAAGAAACACACCCAGTTTGTGGTTGGTACGGTCCACAAAATGAAACTGTGCCGCGCGGACCTGCATTAGTGTCTCCGCTACAGATGTCGAGCGCTCTATCCCGTACACGGGATTGTCTAAGTATCCTGGAAAAGGTTAAGCGCGTAATGACCATAATTAAAACTGCCGAGTCAACAATAATAATGCGTTTGTTTTTCCTGTGTAATTATACTGACCTGAACAACGGTTCCGTGTTGGTAGATCGCTGGGCTGCGTCATCATCTCCACAATCTCCCCGTCCAAGCCCTCCAAATTACCGTTAACACTAACCACACAGTCAATTAGCACAAAGGCGCTGGCCGTAATTGTAATCAACACCAACTGGGATAGCACGTATGGAATCCTGGAAAATACGACATCCATGACAATAATTACCCATAACGGGATGCGCAGGCTCAATGGCGCCAACTTCACACTGCCATCCTCTGAGCCGTGGGTGAGGCTCAGGGAGTTGTGGAGGTCATTGAGGATAACCGTTGTCCAGAATGCCGCTATACAGTATACTAGTAATAAAGCATTCGTTCTACGCCATTTTTTTAGAAGATGCACGTACATCTCCCGTGAATTAACCGAAATAACCGCGACCTTTTCAATCTCTTCAGCTAAACTACCGAGATCCACGTGACCAAAAGTCAGGCACATAAGGACATAAATTCCTCGTGCCGGGATGGCCACCATAGGGATGGTCGCCAGTGATCGAATAAGGGGACGTTCATGGGGCGCGAAATACTCCTGAGGGCCTATATAGGAAAAGGTCCTAATTAGCCAGTATATGGTGCTGATCATTGCCGGTAGAACAACGGCTAAGGTCACCGTACGACGTAGAAATGTCCACTTTGCAAAACGTTTACTGGCACTTGGTACTGTGGACCATAGGCCCATGGCGCTAAGTATTCTAGCTTGGAATCCAAAGATATGATTAAAGTATATTAAGGGATACGTCTGCCCAGAAGGCCTAATTAAGTCGGTGATTTCGGGCGCTTTTCTTGTCGAGCGATGATTGCGTGGGTCTTTTACTGCGTTCATGTTATGCGTAGCTCGGTATACTTCTTAAGTGTTTCATTCACTATTATAACAAACTTCGTATTTAAATCTAAAAAAGGGGAAAACGGTTTTCTGTGGACAATAGCCTTATAACGAATGCCGGCCTTTAACTCGAATGTGTTTGATTTACTTTAATTACCTTTCAGTTGTGCACCAGCTTATTCCATCAATTATAGCAGAAATAGACTTGCAACGCAATTTGTGTGTACACTGCACAGCAGTTCGAAAGGAAAACAAACACAAGAGATAGCGTTTCGGTATTTTTCTTACAGCTGCAAGAGAAAGGTAGATTTGAAAGCCTAGAAAATACAAAGCGGAAGGAATGTGGGTTTTAACTCCCACTAATATACACAGGGGCATGTGAGGCAGATTCATATATTTGATATAAAATTATATTAACGAAACCATTTCCGCAAATTTTCTGTGTTAAACAAAGCGATTACAATCAAATCGGAAAGGATAAAGTAGGCCTACCACGAGTTCTCCGTATTGTTCTACTGAATAACCACATATTTACCTAAAATTTCACACCATCTTAAAATGCTGCACGTGGTAAATTTGATGAAAGCAGGAGATAATATGCTGTTGTAAGTTTATGTGACTAGCTGGCAACAGAGTAATTTCATTTAACAACCATTCTCCTTAACCAAAACTTGAATCGAGCCAAAGATTTTTACTAATCTAGTAAAATCCAAATTACTAGCCAAACGCGACAAATATGGTATCCTAAGCGCCAGTGCATTAAGGAAGGTCTGTGGTAATCATAAGAGGCACAGTTCTGCGATGCGGCATAGTTTTGTCACCAGAGACAGCATATATGGGTGTTACTCCGACTGATAGCTCCACAATATTTGTTCCCATATTATTAATCGTTCCATGCCCATATTAAACCAACAATAGCGATTTTATCACTGACGTCAACTGAGGCTTTACTTAAATTTTGGACTACATTACCACAGCCGATTAAGCTGGTAATTGTAGACCTTACCCTCCTGATGAATATGATTTACTTGTAATCAACGTACTGCGCATATTTACCGGCTTGCCGTGACGGCGATTGCTAAGGTTTGTCTGTGATTTTAACCGTCATCCAAATGTCCACTCCGGTATAAAGATATCAGACTAACTTGAAACCTAACGGCTGTCAAAATATTTTGTCAATTTTCAATCAGCCAGAACAGTCTGCCGAAGATCTAGAGTTCTGTATCTTATTCCAAGATGCACCGCTTTGTCGGTTTGACCTTTCACTTCTTCTGCACGATTAATATTGTTCTTGCTCAGACTCTGTCCAGAATGGAGAGCCCTTGGATACCTTATGTCTATCAGACTGATTCAACCAAAGATCAGAAGAACTACTACACCGTTAACACGGAGCCACCCAGCAGGGAATGGGAGGTCATCAACAAGGAGGATCAGTCACAACCTGCCATCAGTGCCAGACCGTTTTTCCTGAACCGAGCTTTTGGATTACAAAGTATTCCATTCAAAAGGTCAGCGTTGCCAATGCAGATGATTGAAGAAGCTGGAGAACTGACGCAACCACTTCCGTTCAGGCCAAGCCGAAAAGGAAAGAATAATGCCAATGTGCTATTTAAAATGCGTCTTTTTGGATGAAGATGACACGGTCAATCCAAAGAATTGTTTACCCGGCCTCGGTTTGTTGTTGCCCATCCGTTTGCGGAAAGAAGGTTCTTGTGTAGCTGCGCTCAGACTTTCTTGTCCGATCCGTAACGGTTGTGTTATCGGGCCGGTATGTTTATTTGCTTTTTCATGTACATTATAACTTGATACCTGTATAGAATAGAAATGTGTGCAAAGTGTGCTGTATCCGTTCCTTTTCTAAAGTGTCAAAACAGCTTTAATACTGCAAGTCTAATTCTGTTTTCGAATGAAGCCAAAGGATTTCATATTATTATGCAAGATGCGCCAGATTAGTAATTTTACGAGTAAATATCGCAACTTAATAAAGCTTGATGCAAATGGACTACGCGGAATTCGATGTCAAAATGGTTTGTTTGCCAGTACTATGAAAAAACCTTCCTCAGTTTCGTGCAATAATGAAGTGCATAACTGCATTCTACGAGTGTCACAAGTACCATACAGTGTATAGCAGTCATATTGGTGTAAATTTATGGAAAACGGTACATTTAACAACAACATTAGAAAAAAATTAAATAAACAAAGTAGCAGTGCAAAAGACAGACAGACGTGCCGATGTGCTTATCCTTGCGACTACCATTTATCGTGCACTTGACCACTTGACACAGAACAAGACTTTCCAACACCAAGTCTGCTTGCTCACAACATCGAATCAGGAAATTAACTTGTTTTTGGGGCTCTGTATATGTCAAGCAAGAGTATGCGGAAATGATAACTTGCAGACTGACTTAGTTTATATTCTTCTCCCTCATCAACAGCATTAAAAGGCAACAATAAGGAATTGCAGGAACAGGAACACTCAGGAATTACTAGACGTCAATTGAATAAACAGGCTGTTTTTCTAAGCGGAAGCAAAAGCGCCTTTATTTCCTGCAGTTTTTCTAACAAAAACATGATTATTAGCCGGCGTCACGAAGTCTTCTTTTTTAAACTGGACCGGTTGAACCCAGCCGTCGTTGCACGTGCAGTGATGCGCTAAAGTGCAGTCGTTCGACACACTTTCGAAGAATCCCAGAGGGGCGGTCAATTTGCCGAAGAGGATTTCATACATCCAGCAGATGGATGGATGTACGGTTGGACTGCGTGGATCACAGCGGAAGATGTTGGCATTGCCCATGGATTCGTTGACGAGCGGCCCTACAATTATCAGACTAATTACACACTGGCACTTCTTTTACAAAACTGATCTGCTTTCCATAAGGTAGAAAAATGATAGATTTTCCAGCTGGCGATCGCCACTAAAGGATACCGGTATTGTATAGCATACCGGTATATATTCGAAAGATACCGGCATTCTCTAATTAGCATAAATAATATGGATAATTTAAAGTCGCTATCAGTACTGACCACAGTTGCCGTACTGCGGGCAGATATCATTGCCAGCCACAATTACGTCACATGTCTGCTGGGCTGGAGGTGGTTTGCACGTAGAATAGCAAAAATACACTCCCTGAAAGCATTGGCATTCCACGGAACCACACTGATCGGATGGGCTGGGAGAGATCCCAATCACCTGATCATCCGTCGTGCAGTTTCGAGAACTGATGAACATATCTTGACCGGGTGCTACAAAATGAATAGAAACCACTATTAAAAATAGTGCACATATTATACGATTGGCTAAAAATGGCTTTTAAACCATTTTATAAGACATTAAGCAGTAATTTAAATTTTAAAATACTTTAGTCAAGCTGCTATATATGTACAAGCAAAATAATTATACTTATCCAACTTGAAAATGTGGAATTGCGCAGTGTAACTTACTAAATGCGGACGTGGTTGCAAACACTGTCGGTGCGGTGGTGGCCGTTGTTGTTGTCGTCGTACTGGTGGTTGTTGTGCTCGCTGTTGTGGAGGATACAACATTACTACCGGCCGTCGGTGATTGCGTCGCACTGGTGGCCGATGTATCCACATTTCCGCCGTTTCCGCCGAAATTATTATTGGGCCAAAATGACGGAAACTGTGTGCCGAACTGTTTTTGGAAGTTGTTAAATGTATCGGCAAAGTTGTTGAAACCGCTGTTGTCAAATCCAAAGCCATTGTTGCCGAATCCACCGAAACTGCCGAAACCCGACCCCCTTGACCGTTACTGGACGTGCCGGGGTTGTTATTATCAGATGTACTGCCACTGTTGCCGGATCCTCGTCGAGATCCGCTTCGTCCGCTATTGCCGCCAAATCCGCCGCTTCCAAAACCCCCGAAATTATTACCATTTCCGAAGGAACCGAATCCTTTGCCGAATCCTTGTGGGGCATTCCGTATCTTGGACCAATCAAAAGGGTCATTAAAAGGATTCCATGTGTTGTCGCACAATACTGCTGTTATCGAAAGACCGAGAGTAACAATTAATACTTGCAATACAGCCGTCATTTTGATAAAATCCCAGAGCATACAGATCGCCCACACAACGGCAACAAATATTTATCAGAGAAAGGTTACTTATTGTTATTAATATAGTAAAGCCGGGTATCCCTTGCAGTTGAACATACACGAGCAAGTTCCGAATAACTGGCTTATAATAACCCACTGAAATAAGGAAGTGTTTTATTTTATGTACCGTACATGTATAATGGCTGCCTGCGGCTGTTTTCGCACCTTTAATTTACCAGGGAAATGCCGTAGACCGTGAAGCTGAGTGTGCTAACGTTTACCGGAAGCCGGTTTCGATGATTTTTGCGATACAGAGAAATCAGAAAAAATTAGGCAGCGGATTCAATAGAATGCCTGCTGTTATTAGCTGGATTGACTCGTCATTAGACGCGCTCTGTGATTTGGCAAATTTGCGAGATCATTAATCTTTAAAAAAAATTTCTTGTTTATTACTCAGTCCAAATTAGCTTTTTATTATTTTTTAGATTGATACGCTGTAAATAAACTAAGTAGTGTGCTGACGATCTGTGTACGTACTTCTACTGTGTACGTACTGTCCCGTAAAAGTGAAGCCAGCTCAAATATTCTGTTGTACTCGTATATGCGTTGCGCTGTCGATCTGTTCACTTTTGAGAAAATTTTGTACTTTTTTTTTAATTTTTTTTTGTAAATTTTGTACTTTTAATTTTGTACGTATCTTTTTACATGCTCGAAATCCTAAGACATTATTCATCCGTGTGGGCTTGTAAAATATATGTAAGTTGTAATGATGACAGTAGAAGCGTAACATCATTATTGTCCCTCGCACCTATGCGTTCTTCTTCTTCTACTCCTTCCGGTTATAATGGCATGCAGCTTTACTGTAGATTTATGTATATATGGTATTTTCACTATTTTGCATAATTTTACATTAAGTAGGATGATGATACATATAAGTATTGTTATCAATTTGGCGTCACATTTATTGTGGTCAGAACTCATTTCCTTTTGGCCACTTCGACATCCTGCAGTGTTAACTGAATAACCAGCGCCAGAAGTACAAGCACAAGTGTTGTACTACAGATCTATTCTATATATTCTCTGGATGTACATGATGCTAATAAATTTACATATCTTGGAAATATAAATATATCTCTCAACGTTTATTGAGTCCCGATAGCTGTTATGCGGCAAAAAAAGCCATGGTTGACATTCATGGTGTCTCCCATTTTGGTAAATGTGTACAGTTCTGAGATGCCACGAATGCACGCTGGTGGCAGCTGGTCAAATTGATCTTCATTGGGTTTTCAAGGGAACTGCCAAGGGATTGACCATTCTGCATACGATCAATCGCAAACATGATGTAACCGCAAATGTAAACTAGAAGCTGAAATAAATCAGAAATTTTGCCATTAGTGAAATCAAAGCTAAAATTTAGCTTATCGATTGTATATAAGTACGTAATACAATAAAACAACACTCACCATAGATACAACCTTCTCATTAATATCTACCAGGAACGCAATGGAAAACCCCCTTGACCTTTTGGAATCATTTAAGATTTCCAGTACTTTTAAAGTCTCTTGTTGTCTGTACTCCGAGGGAGCCTAATTATCATAAGATATACACGGAATATCAAAAGACGTGATCAGAAGCATATCTGTACTAACAATATCTTTATTTGTGCGAATGCACTTGCCTTTGTTTTCCTGAGAAATTCAATTTTTTTGAAGACCTCCAAGATTTTATTGTGCTGTAAATACGAGGCAGTTACAACATACACAACTAATAATCAATAATCATTAACCTGCCGCGCAAGTAATATGAAAATTTGTATCTTACTGTTAGTGGCACCTAAAACTGGTAAAGCTTACATATCGACTGGTTTGAGCGGCGGCGTAAAGTAGCATACAGAACTGCAGCAAAATTGTCACGATAGTCCACGCCCCGTTCAAAATACGTCGTAAAATTCCCAAGGTAATTGCAACATTGCTGGACAAAGCAAACATTGCAAGCCAGGAAACAGCTGACATGAACTCTAATATTGCACCGGTAACTTGAATCAATAAGACTGTGCGGAAGAGGTCCCGTTTTAGACGCAATCGTACAGCAAAATCGAAATACGTCCGGCAAAGTATCCAGATATCCATCGGTATTTGAGTGCTGCCGGGATCTTCTCTGCAACACTCGGTTATGGAAAGGGCATTTTGTTCCACTACCTTTGCTTGATTGAGGGTTAGTTCCGAAAAGAATGCAAACCATGCGTCGATACCGCAGACCACTGAACTGCCAACCAACCGAAAAACGGCATAATAGGAACGCACAAAACGAGAATCTAATACAAAAACCGCAAACTGGGAGGTATCTGTGGGGTCGTACAGCATTACGATGATTTCCATCAGAAAACGTAGTCCGCATAAGAATACGAGTGCTGCAAGAAACAGCAGTGTTCTTTGTCGGCATTTCGCAATGACGGCAGGCGTCGAGTGTTCATTAGCCAGGCTTTTTGTGAACAAAGTGTGAAAACATTCAAACCGGATGACCAAGATAACCGACAAAAATGACAACCGAAAGCCTATCAATTGAGTCTGGAGAAAAGCCATTACTCGAACAAAGGAGTTCGCGCCGGCAAAACCGGCATTGCTGAATGATCCAATATCAATAATATCGAATATGAAAATTGTACACATAATAGTACTAATAACGGCCAGTATAAAACGTATTTTGAAAAACCGTATCGGAGCTGCGGTCATTCCTTGTTGCCGACTAATGAGACGATTGCGTTGGACTGCGCGTCGTAGTAAAGCTCCGTTCCAAGACATATGTTATAAGATCAGCTGCTACAGCTAGCTGCGATTGCACATGGGCCGTGGCTGTCCACTTCGTTAACAATCAAAAAGTAAAGCCGAAAAATAGTTCAGCCGAAAAATATTCCACATTAGCCGAAAAATATTTTATATCCATTAAGTTTTAAAAGGTTCAGCGACAACTGGTTTGATATTGGTTAGACACGTGGGAGTAATTTGTTGTGACAAATGACGCCCTTTCTATTGATATAGAGCAAGGGCATCATTCTGATCTCTGTGGGATACATGCCCAGTCGCAATCGGACTCTTCCATATTTGGTTTAGCGACCGCGTAAAAGGATGTATTTGTTATAGGAGCTTATATTTACGGATTCTGCTGCCGCTGCATAAGTATTTTATACCGGCATCCTAGGTAATGCAAATAAAGAAAGCGTAATTTGTCCGCATTCTGAACAACATCGGTGCTACGGCACATATTACATATTGACCAAGCATACGTCATTAAGGATAACTCAAGGGAACTAGTGTCAGTTTCCGTTTTCCTCCGTTGACGCAAAAGGTTTTCTTTTAAAGAGTCGTAAACGATGGAGATTATATAGATATACATATTAGGATAGCACTGCATTCTTTCGTGCTAATACAATACAACGAGCAAGCGGTTCATTGCCTATAAACACCAATTACACCACAACATCTGAAGTGTAAAATTCCAAAAACATCAGCAATATAATCGTACAGTCATGCGCTTATGCATAAGTTATGCATAAGCGCTACATTACAAATGCTATTTGTACGGATAAGTATATCGCTGTTGCCCAAAATGCTTGATATTAAATTTTTTTAAAAGTGGTACATTACCGGTATAATATTTTATGCACGTAGGCGTATGTACGTCATAGCGTAGAACGCTAGCGCATTGTCTCGTAATGTGCGTGGAAGTTTGATGTGGAAACGCTACGAAGCGTAACTTGCCTGACTTCTGCACAAACAGCAGTTAACTGCTGTTTAACGTTACTTACGTAATATCAAAGTAAAGCAAGTACTTACTTACACTTAGTACAGTACGTACTTGCCGTATCAAGGTTTCCCGACTTTGAGACGAGGTCAGTCGATTTTATTATTTTGTGATTAATGCCGCCTGGCAACTGTGATCAGGAAAACCAGGAATAGGTCGTCCTTTCCATTTCATTCTGGCGGTCAGAAATATAACTTCTAAAATAAATTTTTTAGCCATTAAAACTTCTTACTCCTTACACATACAACTATCTGTTCGACACCATAATCGCTATATTAATCCACAGCTAACATGGTAAGTGCTCCCGCGTCCCTGTAGTGCGTCTTGTGTCCTTCCAGTTCCGTTTTTTTTAAATATGCACGATTTCAGCCAGCCGATATTGCTGCAATTAAGAAGGCTAACCTGCCCATCATTTTCTTGATGGGAGGTCCTGGAGCCGGCAAGCACACTCAGGCGGCGAAGATCAAGGCCAAGTATGGCTACACCCACCTTTCCATGGGCCAGCTGCTGCGCGATGAAGTCAAGAACAACACAGAACGCGGCAAGAAGGTTAAGGAAATCTTGGACAAAGGAGAACTCGTGCCATCGGTAAGGATGAACCATTGTTTTTTTTTGTACAACGGAATTCCCCCAAACTTGTGCCCTTCGTTAGGACGTGACCTTTGAGCTCCTGAAAGAGCAGATGGCAAAAGCCGTCGGAATCAACAAGCCATACTTGCTGCACGGGTTCCCTCGCAACAAGGAACAACTGGCTCAACTGGAAAAAGAGGTGTGTTATTTTGCGTAAACAGTGCGGACAAAGCTTTAGTAAGTTATCAACAAAAATGGAGATCTGCTATCGGAATTGTCTTGTTGCAGCTTGGACCAGCCAAGGCCGTCATCGTATTGGATGTTCCCGAAGCCAAGATGACCGAGCGCCTGACTGCTCGCGCCAAGACCGGAGCTCGCGCTGATGACAAACCGGAAGTTGTTAAGAAACGCATCGAGGTCTACAACAAAGACACTAAACCGTTGGTCGATGAACTGATCAACAACAAAAAGGCCGTTAAGGTACATATCATTATTAGAAAACCCCGCACTCGGTGTCAAACATTATTCTGTGATTTTCCTTCAGATCGCCGCTGACGGTGACGTCGAGAAGATCTTCACTGAAATCTGCAAGGTTCTGGACACCGTCAAGTAAACCCGAGATCCCGACCACGAGACGAGTCAAACAGATCACCAATGAAGTATTCATAACTTGGACCATCCATCGCATTTTCTTCTAAATTCGTATACATATACTAGCAAAATATTGCATTAATAATCTTCGAGCAAAATGCAACAACCCGGTGATCATCTTTCAATATAATTATGCGAGTTGTTTAAATGTGACTAACTGCCAAAAACTGAAAATAAAGGACTAAACTAGTACACGCACAAGCAATAAAATGTGTGAAATGTTAGAACATTCAGCGGCTCGCCGAAAGATTTTACCGATATATGCAATGAGGCAGTAACTTTGTGCCATAATTTTGTGCTACACAATTATTTAAATAATGGTAGTAAAGGCAGTACTTTTTATCGGCGGTTTTATTCCACCAGCAGCTGCGCCCCGGTCTAGTGTGGTATATGTAATGCGTTTTTTGTAATTTCATGGTTACTATTGTTTGCTTTTGTACATGTTGTCGTACATGGCTCTACGAATAGCCAATGGATGAACAGGGTTCCACAGATTGTTAGAAGTTGACAGCCAGTTACCAACTTGCTACAATTTCCTCGAAAGCGGTTGCACCGCTTTTGCGCGCAATGTGGTAAAAAAGGTGCCACAGCTATCGAGAAAACACAATAAATGCCTAATGATTTCAAGTATCTGTTTCCCGTGCAGCTCCTGAGAGGTTACTTACTGAAATGAATTATTATTGTCGTTCACAAGTCAAAAACGAGACATTTGCAGTGCACGCAAGCATGAAACCTGAAAACGGTTACAGTACTAACTTTAACGAGGACTTTGGTTCTACTGGTTTTACCAATAGATAAAAAAACGAATAATACATCAAACACAACGTACGCTGCGGTCGATTAATAAATGAAATAATATTATGATATAAAATATATATACAATGTACGACAAAAAGAGGTTGAACCGATCAGTCGGTCCGCGGTTCAAAATAACCTCGCAACGACACGCCACCACTAAAACTTGGACGCTTACTCACTACTTTCGTGCGCTCGCGCTCCGTGAATATCAAAGTGCAGCTATACTAGTTGCATATCAAAAGGTGTAGAAAAAAATTTTAAACTTTTTGATACTAAACCTGTGGCTGTTTATGGCGAAAAACACAAATTCTAGCCATTTTGCTTTTCCATAGACTTAAGCATTGATTGCAAGCCAAACGGTTATGCGCACAGATCCTATGCTGTGCCTACGAGAAAGCAAAATGGCTAGAATTTGTGTTTTTCGCCATAAACAGCCACAGGTTTAGTATCAAAAAGTTTAAAATTTTTTTCTACACCTTTTGATATGCAACTAGTATAGCTGCACTTTGATATTCACGGAGCGCGAGCGCACGAAAGTAGTGAGTAAGCGTCCAAGTTTTAGTGGTGGCGTGTCGTTGCGAGGTTATTTTGAACCGCGGACCGACTGATCGGTTCAACCTCTTTTTGTCGTACATTGTATATGTGTATATATAATACGAATATGAAATATTCGAAAGGTTAATAAACTGGTTCACTGCCACGTCGCAGTACAGTTGACCGCATCAATAACCAAACTGCGGGTGCTGGGAACGAAGCTTTCGATCTGGTTGACCACGAAGCAGAAAAATCCAAAAACGAAAAATGTGGCCTTAACAACAGAAACAGAGTTATTAATTCGGTCGCGTCACAAGCAACAGGAGCTCAGATGACCTACATACCGTCAGAACCGAGCCATAGTCCAATTCCAAGAGATCTCCAGCGTGAAAGGTCAAGCTGCTGGTCTTCAATCGATGCAGAAACTCGTAACAAACTTCTCGCTCTTCAGAGCTGACGCTGGCTACGCCCAGCATTACCTGCAGGATATTATAAACATGTACAAGTACATACACATGCATCAAACAAATCGATACATCAAAACTCAATAACATTAATTTTATAATTTACTTATGTTAGAAATTTGTTTTACCAAAGAAAGTTAACTGCTATTCGTGCGCCTGCTTACAACCTGCTCAAATGAGCAACCATGTTTATCTGAGCACACATTTTTTGCGCTTTCTGCTTCTTTGATTAGGTACCTTCTCCACATTTTCAATCGGCACACAAACTGGAGCGTCCTTTCGAATTTGACAGTGTCGCATGCAAATAAAGTCTTCCACTAAAAGTGCCAATTTCCCCGGCTGGAAAAAATTAAATAACCAAATTAGCTCTTAAATACGCTGGTATATTGCACATGACGGCTATTTTGGTGAATGCTGGCGGATTCTGCAGACCTTTCGTCCACAAAAGTTCAGGTGATTTTCAGACTTACCATTGCACTTTGCTGAAGCGGCTTCCCGCCCAGCATCCACAAGTTCCCCAACGCTACCAGTGTCACACCAAATTTGCCCGGACAGTCGTATACACTATTTCCTTCCGGCACGACAAACCATATCAACAGCCATGCTGTAAACACCAAGATCTCAAAAACATTGGTGACGATGTCTGCCAAAAGTTTTACTGTGAAAATGCTCTGAACTTCCTGAGTCATTTCCAGCAGAGATTCATACTGTTCGCGCATGCGCTTTAATTTAACGGTCAGCACACTGGATTCAACGTTGACCTCTTCGATTTCCTGCAGAATCGCTGTGAACTGTTGTTCAATGCTTTGTGCGCATGCATGTAAAATAGATGTCAGATATGCGAATAAGATTATCATAGGAGGGGCAAATAAAATGCTACCGATGGACACTGGCACGTGCAGCACAAAAAAGATGACACCGTAAGGAGCGCTCATGAAACCGTAACGTTCCAGACGCCAGAAGTTTTCATAAGCGGAAGGCTTTGTCAACTTTCCCGCTAAATTTGCCAAAGTCCCGATAAGAGAGATGATAAAAAGAGCATGTGCTAACATCATGTACCTACAGTATACAGAATACGGGTGATATAATGCATATGTAAAAACAACGGAGGCAATGTTATTGCCGTATACGCAATTGCCGCTTTTATAAATTTCGCAACGTATTATGAGGTTGTTACTTATATCAAAATGCAGTATACAGACTGTTACAGAGTTAATGATGATTATCATGCGCCAAAGTTTTCGTTTAACTGTAATTGTGCGTGTAACGTCACGCAATTTTAGTCAACTGTCTGCTACAATATACCGTATTTGTCACTATTTGCTAATATTTTAGATCAGATTTTATTTTAACCAGTTTCAAAACCTTTGCCTAATAATCTTCAAACAGATTTCTTACCGTTTTAAAACATTTCCTGGAATACTGAATCCCACTGCTGTTTTGCCGATAACAAAATTTAAGCAGGCAATAATTTGTTTTCCTCGCAGGAGCACGAACAGCAGGATAACGCAAATGCGAAACAGTACAATCTGCGTGTCGGCATAAGCGATCATGGAAATGATATTTCGCACTTTCCCATATGATGGCTCGTTGGAAGGACCGTCGCCAAACAGATCTAGCAGGTCCATGACCAGCGAAGCCATGAAGCAGGTCAAAATGCACGCAATGATAATCTTCGTGCTGGTCCATCCCGCAGTCCAACGCCAGTGATGATTTTCCGATCTGTTGGCTTTTACGCTGTTACGATATTCTACCTTTCCGCTGAGCAAAAACCGAAGAATTATCGGTGTATAGCAGGAAAAAATGTTCTTGTGGGAAGCTGGTATGTTCAGCAATTTGTTGTTGTTGACTGCGGATTGTTTTTCCTCCATGTTACTGCTGCTAAGCGGCAACGCGCTTTTTCGTTCCGAACGTCAGTCTTTATATATAGATAATGACCTTTCCAAAACAAAGCCAATACTATCCAGTACTTAAGTGCCGAGCGCGGATGCGCGAGGCTACCTTGTAACTGTAAAATGTTACACTTATGGTTATGCAGCAGCTATTGAATGAACAACAGTAATATTTCATAAGCAATTATTTTAGCAGTGTTATAAAGTGCTAGCAGTGTATCGATAAAGCAGCTATTCCTGCGATCAAATGGAAGAGATATTTGCATATATACAGGCTCGAAATATTTGCCGACTGCCGCAGGTGTAGTAGACAACAAACCGACAAGTGACAATGACGTGGAGTGTTTTTATTCTCTCAGGAATATTTTGGCTCCCAAACCGATAGTCAATACTGGTGGAAAGTTTGCCCTCAAACAAGTGTGGCGGCAGCTTAAACTAATTTTGGAATAAAAATATAATAAAAACTTTTTGCAGTTTGATTTTTATTCTGTAGCAGTTCATTATTAAGTCTAGTTTATGTTGATAACGTTGAAATCGGTACATTTGCAAATGCATCAAATTAAAGAGTACTAGCAAACATGGACTTGTAAAATATGATTTATATATACGAGCTTCATCGGATGAACTATGGACTAACAAAAGAGAACCGCCATATAAATATGGCAATGAATTAATTAACTATACCGCACTAAATTAGAAATGACTGTACATTTTCTTCATGTCCACGTACTTATTGCGCTATCTATAATACATACACCGTATTGTGTGTGACTCCACTTCCTGGCAACCTTCATACGAACTGGTAGCTGCACGTGTTTCGCTTCATTCAGCAATCCTTGACGGAAATTTGCATAAGCTTCTAACGCTACAAAAACTTCACGAAAACCAGTAGTATTCCTCTTCCTCTTACTCTCACAAGCAATCGCAGCTTTTTTTCAATATTAAAATGAATTGGATATATCCTGTAGAGGCGTACAATAAAATAAATTTAGTTTACGGCAATTTAACGTGTTTATCCCGTCCGCATTATATGCTGATTTTTGGTAAGTCTTGCAGAAAGTAAGAGCTATTTCATCGATTGTTTACGCAACTAGAATTCAAAATTCTGTATCAAACACTGACGAATTACAAAATTTATTTTTCGCTTAAAAAACAACTTGTTTCAGCAGAACGCTGCAAAAGTCAATGCGGGGTTTGTTAAAATCAGATGAAAACATCTGTTTGTCACGAGCAAAGATAAGAGCTTCGACATGCTTTAAGATTTTGATGCTTTTCGTTAGTCAATTATGTGCATTTACTGAGGTTTAATTCCAGATATTAGACCGGAGGATGAGTACGATAGCGGACATGTACCAACGGCCAAAAGACTTGCAAAGGCAACATACTGAGACTTTATGGGTTGAAAAACCAATAGGTATATAAATGTACGTGTACAATATTTTTCTTTTATCTTCAGACGAAAGCAAAAGGATGGCACACACTCGACGGGCTTGATGACCTTTCATATAAGCAAACAATTTTGCTGTATGACATGAAATCAAATTCATCTTCTGCTACCGGTTAGTTGCCGCCGTCGCCAGACGGTACTATCGTGGTAAGGCCAGATGATTTTAAAGTATATATAATAGGGATAATTGTTACAAAAGGGAAATACTATATCCGACATGCAACCTATTTAATAAACAAGCACCTTGGTTTCGTTGAATTGAGTGCTATATATATCAGGAAAACCGAGATCTAGAAGCTAGCTGACCTAGCTTCTTAACGCTGTAATAGCGTCTCCGGAATTAAACATGATATTTACTATAGTACTGGACAACATGTGCACAGGTTTAAATCTAATACAGTTCTTCAGATACCCTAATCGATGCAGCGAACGATATATGGGCTCGTCTGCATGGAAGCCAAAATCAAAATACGGTCTGCTTGTTAAATGGAGGATTCGAAAAATTCACGGAATTTTACCCAAACTGCAAATCATATCAGAGCACAAACACACGAGCGGTACTTACCAATTACCATTCGAAAAAATTCTATCCTCAAAAAGTGCATCATTATTGCAGGAATTAAGCAGAATTCAAGTGCTCCCTTTGCATATTCCTATCGATAGAAATGATTTGGGTCGGCTGTGCTTCTGCGCTTCTGACACATTTGTATCCGACAGATCCATGCATATTATGGCGGATATCGATGCTCACGTTAGCTGTTCCGTCATTCGCGACAAAACGTACGGATGTGAACTGCTCTGTGATGGGCACTGGAGTGCAGTGCAGTCACCTTTAATTTGATTATGGACAGTTCGTATAATTGATATAAAAGAAATGTTCGACAGGTTCGGATTCAGTGCACACGAAGACGAGCGTGTCTATTATTGTGTGTTGGAGAATGCATCGGATAATGACTGCAGCGCTATGGGGTGCAATTTAAGAGAACTGCATAATGTGTGTTTGTTCGCCGGTAAAGTCCGCACTGACTACAATTATACCAGATTCAATTAATGTTGTGGTAAAGAATGTTTTTGTGTTGCATTACAATTGATTATGCTGCATTCTACAAAAAAGTTATCACTGCAGTACAAGAAGTCAGAAGACAGCTGATCTTGTATATTTTTCAGAGTCTCATTTGAAGGAACAAAGGAACGTCCTAATATATGGCGAACCTGAGAGCTGTGTGGCCGCAGCAGTTATTGTTGCGCTTTTGTTGAAATTGACAAACATGGGCGTAGAGGTTAACAATTCAGTAATCCTATAGTAAAAACATAAACCAAAAGTGAAACAAAAATGAGTACCAAAACATAAACATTAACTCAACCCAATACTGCCAATTTTCTATAGGCTGCCTACAGTCACCTTTGCCGCTGTTGTCCATCAGTCGCGCTGGACTGCGCTTCGGAAAAGGTCTTAACGGGATTTCAGCACAATTGGATCAATAATCCTGAATTTCAATCAAACGTACCATTTATGCCCGGTATTAACTGATCATGATTAAATACGGACTATAAACCTTTTAATCGTCACTTGTCCTGTTCTTTGACATATATATCGCACGTTTTTAGAAGTCAGCCGTGCTCAATCGATCCTAACGCCTAATGTCGATTCGTCGTCAAATTTCACCACAGGACACGACGCATCGGTTGTGGCTTCGAAAATGAACTCGACTGGTTCAAACAAACACTCGGCGGCAGGAAACGGAAAGTCGACTGAAAGCAACGTTGTCGAGAGCACAACGAAACGTCTAAGTGGAAACGAATGCAAAGCCAACGAAAGAAACGGCGACGATTGTAAATTACGAGTGTCAAGGGAAGAAATAAGGTTGCTGGAAGAAGAGATTCAATGGAAAATTTTTCATGAGCAGCGAAATTCCCCAGTTTTCAATACCTTTACTGTGCTGGAAAAGGGATGCCTGGAGCAAATTCATGATAAAATCAAGCGTCTCTCATCGCTAAAAGCGCCGATCGTGTTTGAACGCAAAGTCCTGCCAAAAGCGGATACCCGCGTGACCTCTATGGGAATGTCACAAGCGCAGCAACGTTCCGCTGACAGCCTCAACGATGTTGATGTGGAGATCCATGCAGCTGCTTCTGACTAATCAGCAGTCAGCTAAATGCGCTGAACACGTACCACTGTGTTCAAAATTCAATTGACTGCATAATTATGCGTGTTTCATGTCAAAAAGGTGTAACAAAACATTGATATTTGAGGTGCATTTTGAATTTTTTCTTTCGATTATCGGTTTGTGGGCTGCCGGGAAAGGTAGGGACGGCGTAATGAAACTGAAATGTTAACAGTTACAAACAGCCATCAGCTGCAATTACAGTACAAATATGACATTGTAGTGTCAAATACTCAAAACCGATACGCAACCTTGTCCTTCAATCCAGCTGAGCCAAATACGAACAACCGGTTGTGCCAAATAAGTAATGACAAAAAAAAAATTAAACAATTACGTTATCACATATTGTAATGTGACTGCAAACTTTGAATACAAAATTCACCCGAAAGACTATAGCACATATTAAATCAGGTAAGAGATATTATTTGGATGGTTTTCCATCGTTAGTATGGCTGGGTTGACACTTCCAGTATCGCTGCTCCGCATTTCGCTTTGCTGCATGCGGTCAGTTGCGAAAACCACGTAGCCAAATATACATAGCAAAAACTGCAAAGTGTATTTGAATATCATGACGGAAATTTTAAAGTGCAAATGCAAGCTGAACACACAAACTTTTGGAAGAACACGATGAATGCCGCAAGCGTCAGATACAGCTATTACCCAGTTGGGGATTACCTTTGACACGACAGTTTTAGTAAGATTGGTGAAACCACCCATAGAATATCCAAGCGGACGCTCCGAATCCGTGAGCGCTTTTAGCACGGCCAAGTCTGCAGCATCAACTAGTCGTGTCTGAAAATTATATAACCAAAAGTCAAGCGATCCGTTTTTTTTCGTCGAAAAACGGTTTTATAAAACGAAAATACAGATAGTAGAGACATATGTATAGTAAATCAAAAACAATTTGTCCAAACGGTACTGATATTATAGAAAAAAAGTAAACGCACGGTACGACACTCACCCGATGCATAGAGATTATTCTTTTAATGTCGCCAAAATTCTTTGGTTCTACTCGACAGAAAAATCCAAGGTTTACTTCAATACATACAGCTGTTTATCATGCTATTATTGCTTTACAAACAATCGTAATCTTGGACGTTGGTCAAATTACTACGTATAGCTAATCAAGACACAAACCTTAATTCCATATTTGTTTTAATGACATATGGTAACTGGTCAAGGCTTACGCATGTGTTAACATCAACAGCGGCATTAAAGACCATGTAAAACTGAGCAAAAATTATGGTAACTGTCCACGCCGCTTTGGACACTCCCCAGATAGCCCCAGTCTCTTGACACGTCCCGGTCTTAAATCCACACATTACAAACGTCGAAACAGCAGACATAAACTCCAACGTTGATCCGGACAGTTGTAGGAATAATATTCCTCGAAAGGTATCGCGTTGTAATCGCAGTCTTTGATGAAAAACTGCATATCCTCGACACAGACCACGTACACCGGGAACCTGAATTCTGCCTTGAACGCGCCATAATTTTGAATCCGTGAGATCGTATTCGGTTCTAATTTTGAGTGCGTCACTTAAAATACTCTTGATTCTAACAAGTGTTACTCGAGCACAAAATATGAACAATGCATCCACGCCGTAAATCAGCGTACCGCCAAGAAATCGAATGGAAGCAAAATAAATTCGGATGACCCGATCCTGCACGGCAATGCCTCCATAGTGAACAATATAATCAGTATGATAAAAAGTAATAGTTACTTCGGTGACACATCGCAATGCACACAGCAGCATCAACGCCACAAAGGACCGTACCGTACCATTTCTGCAGTTACGAATTACCGTAACAGCTTCGGCGTTCAAACTGTTTGCTATCAAGAACTGAATACGACTATATTGAATCATAAAAATTATAGAAAGGACAAATAACCGAAAAGCAATTGTCTGTGTTTGGATATATGCTACCATTTTAACAAAGCGGTTGGCGTCGGAAAATCCAACAGAAGTACCGGAACTTGCAAATGAGGCAACATCGAAAACATCGAATATAAAAATTATGCCGGAAACAATGCTGACAACAATTAACAGAAGCCGTACGCCGCGGTGCTCCATTTAACATTTATGGCTCCGCTGCTACATTTGGATCTTCGCGAAATAATATTAGACGCGGAATGTAAAGATGTCCCCCAAAAACACTGGTTAACGGAAATATAGAGTGCCGCAAAAGCAGTTTCTAGTACGTTTTTGGACAAGCAATTTAAGTCCGATAAAATACCGGCACCAGTAGTTTCCTCGCAGACACGCATTTAATTTTTTTTATTATGAATCTTAATTAATTTTATGCCAGTGCGTCTGTTAAAACTTGAGCATAGCAAATGCAGGCACATTTGGTTGCTGCTGTTGAGAATATGTTGCATGCAAAACGTAGTTGATGTGACATTTTTCTTCTACTGTTTACTTTAGTTGGTTGTTGCAGCTGCATTTGTGTCATTGTTAGTCGCCTGGTTTTTGGATAAACATCAGAAAGGCACTTCAAAGTGGAGGGTTGTTCTTGTTAACTGGGAATATAGTCGCAAGTACACTTGTATTCGAGGTTCTGTCTATCTGCTGCATGCAAACTGTCGCTTCCGGTCAGCTGCCATAGTTTGTACAACAGTGCAAGTACTCACCCAATACGTATGAATTTTTATTATGGCCGATATTTAGAACAATTAAGGATGCTGGCAGGAAAAGGTGCATGCAACACACAAACTAGTTTGTGTACTCACCCAATATAGTACGAGGATGCGCGCAGTCGAACCGACAGTAAATTTTTTCAGCGAGACCAACCGACAACCACGCTCACAAGTGGATTATTTTTTCACATAACAGCCACCCGTGGAAGGGAGGTATCGTTTGCACTGTATGCGTGGTACAGGTGATAGCCATCCGTGGATGGTTGGCAGTCGCTTGCACTATGCCATGTGCACGGTTGTCGGTTGGTCTCGCTGAAAAAATTTACTGTCGGTTTGACTGCGTGCATCCTCGTACTCACCCAGCTAGTACTAGCTAAATTGCACGCGGAGCGCGCGTCTCCTGCTTCTGATAGACGTCCAATTGTACTGCGCTAAAAGAAGGATCCAGGAAGCCGTTTCACATCATGCCGACAACTCACTGCGATAATTCGGAAGCAAATATTTATCTGCACTTATAGAGAGTCTGTTACTGAGACTCTTTTACAACTATGGAACATGCACCCAAAATTGTTCAGTGGAAACAAAAAACGAAATGTGGGGCTGTAGTTGGATTAAATGTGAAAAATTGACTGCGCTTTTGAGACAGCGAGTCAGCAATAACTTTCTGAAACAATTGTCAACAATTTGCCGGTTAACGTCGTACGAGACAACTGCCTTAGAAATAATTGCTGTTGTGGTGTTCAAAAGAGCAGAACCACGTAAATCCGTTCATGTTAAAGTAACAAATATGATCATGACGCATTTGACAGATTTTCCAGCTTAATTAAGGCTGGACAAACAATTCTGATATCTGCCCGTTTCTCGTTTTGCTCCATGCGATCAATCGCGAATACCAGATAGCCAAACATGCACAGCAAAAACTGCAAAGCGAAAAACTTTCAAACCCATAGATTGTTCCCATACTTCTTTAATATTAGATGAACAAAAGCAAAACGTCTTTTGTTGTTATTGGCTGGTCAGAGCGACCAGCAAGTGTGGAAAGCGCTTAAATGACGTTAAGTTCAAATTTATGCGCCATTGTGTTTACCTTTAGCACAACGGTTTTAGTAATGTCTGTAAATCCTGCCGTTGAATACCCGCGAGGGCGCTCCGAATCCGTTTTGTTTTCAGAATGGCAATGCCTGTAGCGTCAACTGGACATGCCTAAAAAATTTTACTTGCAGGTTTAGCCGGAACTGGCTTGCACAAATTTTTCATGAAGTAATTAGCCGCTTACCCGGCACAGATAGGCAGTCGTTTTGAAGGCCGCCAAAATTCTTTGATTCTACTTAACAGAAACCAAGTTCACGGCACACTAGATACAGCCGTATCAAGAACTAGCTGTATAATTAAACAGACTGTATGTTACAAGCAGCCCTTTCCGTATACCTACGCAGGATACAACAAACCAAAAACACTGGTAACGCTGCCAACGCAAAAAAATCTAGAAACTATAATATTATTACATGCATTTTGTTTTAAAAAAGACGCACGCCGAAACCGTTTTACGAAATCCGGTAGAACCGGAAGCTGAATTTTTGAAATATACACCAACGTACATAATAATATTTTTTAAAGCTATTCATGTATTGTACAGTGTACACTTATTCATTCATGTACACAGCTCTGGACTCGCGATTGGACAGGACAGCATATCACTCCGCCAGCTGCAGATTAAAAAAATATCAAAAAGTTTCAAACTTCTTTTCACCTTCACCTTTTTATTTTTTCATTGATATCAGTTAAAACTTCAAAAGAAACAAAAAAAGATACGTACTGTAATTGCAACCATAACGATAATTTATCCAGACTTACATGTGAATTAACATAAACAGCGGCGCCAAAAACCACATAAAACTGAGCAGAAATTATTAAGACGGTCCACGCCGCTTTGGTTATTCCCCAACGAATACCTTGGCAGGTCTCAGTCAGGAATCCACATATTACGAAAGAGGAAGCAACCCCCATTAATTCCACAGTAGATCCTACTAACTGAATGGACAGAATTCCTCGGAAGGTATCGCGTTGGAACCGCAGTGTTTTTTGTAGAACTGTGTACGATTGGCCTAGGCGAATTAAGTTCCGACTCTGACATTTATCTTTATAATCGGATTTGGTACAAACGTGATACGAGCGGCATTTAGTCACAACCTGGAGCGCTTCGGCCAGTATGCTGTCGACTCTAACAAGAACTACTCGGGCATAGAATACAAAAAACGCGTCGACGCCGTAAATCAGGATGCCGCCAAAAAATCGAATTAATGAGCGTTATCGAAGATAAAGCGGTTAATTAGAAGCGAGCGGCCTCCTCCTTTCATCATCCTCACCGGCACCAGCTTATCGCACCGCGTCAGATTTATTGGCCAGCGCCCAGCTGCAAGATTCTCCCTCGGACATGTTAATTACCTTGTTGTTTTCCATGCGTGTGGCTGTGCCTATATAAGTAAATGCTGCGGGTAACGCAGTGTAAGAATTTTGTCCAGTTGCAGTGTTCGTGAATTTGCTTCAAAGATTTTTGCAGTAGAAGTTGACGTGACCTTTTGGTGTTTTCGATTTATGCGTGTTAAGTTCTTAGCGTTCTTCACTTTCATTTTATTCTGTACGTTAATAAATAGTTACGCACAGATAAGGTTTTCATTTCATCGAGGACTAGATTTGTTATCGGTTTCATCAGTTATTTGCATTTTGCTGTGCACTCAAATCGTCATTATGCCACCTAAGAAGCCTATCGTCGGCGGTGTTGCCAAGAAAGCTCCTACGCGGCGCAACGCTGTTTTAAAAATCACCTCTTCGGTTGATTCCCGTGCTGATGCGCTGGCGGAGCTAATTGTTAAGCACAAGCAGCTATCTGAGGAAATTGCCAAGTTGACGAAAGATCCCGTTTCCCGTTTATCATCGGCTTCTCCGGTTCACAATGTCACAAACACCGGTACGCAGCCTTCTGCAGGTAATGGCAGTGTAGTTTACGTTCCAACTGGGAATAGTAGTGCACAATTCTTTGACCGTTCGGGTCTCAAGTTTTCATCTCAGCATGCTATCCCGTCTGCCGACATCAGTGATTTACCTTCGGTGTCAGACAAGTTGGTTCCTTTGTTGTTTGACCACTCTGTCTTTATCGATTTTCTCGAGCTGATGCCTGTTACGCATGCGACTGATTTTTCATCGCCAAAAATACGCCGAGATGACTTGGGTCATGTGTCTATCGTAAGCTCTGCAAGCCGACGGGCTTCATCCATGACCTTTGCGCAGTGGGTCCGCGCTTATCATATTTTCTTCCGTTATCGGACCTATAACCGTCCTGAGTTGGTTGCTCCCATGATGAAGTATTTGGATTTAATTGCCAGTTTTGTGGATCCTAATAAGTCAACGCAGTGGCTTGATTATGACATCCGTTTCCGCATGTTTGCCCGTATGAACCCTACAGTGCCGTCTATTTGGTCCATCACTCATAATGATATCTACCGCGAATGTTTTTTGCAAAATTTTGGGAACTATCGCCAACCCGCTCAAGTTGCTCCACCTGCCGGGCGTTTCCCACCTGCTGGCTATTGTTGCTACAAATGCAATGTTCCCGGTCATTGGATCCGGAACTGTCCGTTACGTTGTCCTGAATCATCATCCTCCGTGGGACAAGATCAGCAGCTTTTTCGAGGGCGCGGCGAGAGGGATGACCCTCTCTGTTCTCAGTGGCAGCGGGGATTTTGCTCACCACCGTGTCAGTACGGCAAACTGCACCGTTGTTCCGCCTGCGATTCGGGGGCCCATGGTTTGCGCACATGCACAAAGCAACTCAACGTTGGTGAAGCCGCTACCAACCGGATCGACACCTCTTAGACCTGAGGCATTCCAACGTCTTTTGGTTAATCATCCTGATCGGCGCTTTGTAAGTGGTATTGTTGACATGTTATCTAATGGTGCTGATTTAGGCTACTTTGGGCCTAAGTGTTCTCGTTTTACGCCTAATGCTAAATCTGCTTGTGAAAATCAACCGCTTATTGAGAAATCAGTACAAAAAGAAATAACTCTTGGCCACACGGTTGGTCCTTTTTCCAGTCCACCTTTCCGCGTTTTTTCGGTTAGTCCCCTTTCCGTTATCCCAAAAAAACCCGCAGGCCATCGCATTATTCTGAATCTGTCCAGTCCTGATGGTCATAGCGTAAATGACTATATTGATGGCAACGCTTATACAGTTTCGTATTGCGCGATTGACGATGCAGTTGAAATGTTAATCAATACCGGTGTTGGTGCAGTTATGGCTAAGCAAGATATCATACATGCATTTAGATTAATCCCTGTCAGACGTGATGACTGGCATTTGCTTGGTTTTAAAGTTGGTCCTAATTATTTTTACGATATTGTGTTGCCTTTTGGCTGTCGGTCATCTCCTCGCTTATTTTGTCTTATATCGGAAGCGATTCATTGGATCGTCGCTAATCGCTCGAATCTAAGTACGTTTTTGCATTATGTTGATGATTTTTTATTCATTGCCCGGACTTTGGCTCGCTGTGCGGCTTTAGTCGATATTATGATTTCTGTGTGTAATGAGTTGGGTGTGCCCTTATCACCAGATAAAGCCGAAAATCCGTGTACATCCCTCCCATTTTTGGGTATCCTGTTGAATTCTGTTGAACAAACTTTGTCCCTTCCAGATGGTAAATTACAAGAAATCATGTCGTTGGTTAAGCAGTGGCTAAATAAATCGTGTTGCACTAAACGCGAATTACAAAGTTTAATCGGATCGTTACAGTTCGCCGCTAAGTGCGTGCCGGCTGGTCGTTTGTTTACCCGCCGTTTAATTCACACTTTGTCATGTAATATTGGAACTGATATCTTATTACACAACAATGTCCGTGATGATTTACTGTGGTGGAATGATTTTTTGCCGCAGTGGAACGGCACTGCATTGTTTTTGGCAATTAAGTGGTCGTTGCCTGATGTTATCCATCTATTTACCGATGCTGCAGCCGGTACGGGCTGTGCAGCCTATTACGACGGACAATGGTTTGCTTTACAATGGCCGTCCCAGCAGTTTATGGAGCAATGTATAGCATTTTTGGAAATAATTCCAATTCATCTGGCATGCATCGCGTGGCGTGATCGTTTTCGTGGTCGGAGAATCATGTTTCATTGTGATAATTTAGCGGTTGTTAATTGCTGGTCTTCGTTAAATTCTAAGAATCACTTGATTTTGCACGTTATGCGCAAAATTTTAATGACTGCCGCTTTGTCTAATTTCACTGTTACTATCAAGCACATCCCTGGAATCGATAATTCTATAGCCGATTCTCTTTCTCGCATGCAGTTTGAACGATTTCGTAAATTGGCACCGTCGGCTTCTGTTACTCCGGTTTGCATTCCTAATTGTTGGCATGACCTTTTGCAGATGCAACCGCTTGGCAGTTAATACATCACCACATCTCAATGTCTACGCGCCGCACCTATGAGTCGGCTTTGAAGCAGTTTGCGCGTTTTATTGGCTCTCCATTGGATCGAATTGTCATTTCAGAAGTGGTCGTGTTGAATTTTATTGCACATCTTTTTCGTCGGGGTTTAAAGTTTGCCTCTGTTAAAACTTATTTAGCCGCCATTTCAAATTTTACGATTGAGCGCAGCGGTATCGATCCAACATCATCAGTACGTATATCTCATGCTTTAAAAGGTTATCAGCGGTTAATTCCAGTGGCAGTGGACAGCAGACGGCCGGTATCTCTGGACATTATGCGCATTCTCAAATGCCGGTTACGTTCATCCACGTTATCGCATTATGATCAAATCTTATTATGGTGCGCCTTTTGTTTTGCATATTTTGGGTTTTTACGTGTCTCTGAATTCGCTATTTCGTCTGTTTATTACAGTCATTTTATCCAGTTGCGCCATGTGTTGCATGATGGTGATCAAGTTATGCTTAATATTCCCAGCTCGAAGACCGATCAGTTTGGCAGTGGTTACACTATCTCTCTGAAATCTACTGGACGATCCGTATGCCCTGTGCGGGCGTATTTAGAATTTATCTCAGTTCGTGTTTTCAGTACGCCGATATCGGCATTCTTTATTTTTTCTGACGGTACCGCTTTATCGCGTGTATATCTGGAGCAATCGCTCCGAAAGTTTTGCCCGATTATCCTTCCGTGCATACACACAGTTTTCGCATTGGAGCTGCGTCCTCTGCTATGGCCAACAATGTTCCGTATCATGAAGTCCAAGCCGCTGGCCGTTGGAAATCATCTGCGTTGGATCGCTACGTTCGGAGCAATATCGTTATACCACCAGTATCCTTTTATTGATGGCTGTTTGGGGGTTGTTTGGGGCGTTTGTTCTGGTTGTTTTCAGTCTGTCGGCATATGTTTCAGTTTCTCTGTTCCCCATTTTTAACCCGCAAAGCAATAAAATCCTGATGTGTCCTGCAGTGCAGTTTCAGTGAGCGCCACGAATTAATGAGCGTTATCGAAGATAAAGCGGTTAATTAGAAGCGAGCGGCCTCCTCCTTTCATCATCCTCACCGGCACCAGCTTATCGCACCGCGTCAGATTTATTGGCCAGCGCCCAGCTGCAAGATTCTCCCTCGGACATGTTAATTACCTTGTTGTTTTCCATGCGTGTGGCTGTGCCTATATAAGTAAATGCTGCGGGTAACGCAGTGTAAGAATTTTGTCCAGTTGCAGTGTTCGTGAATTTGCTTCAAAGATTTTCCCCTCCCGCCCTCTCCTCTTCTTTTTTTTTAGAGGGGGCGTTTGTTCTGGTTGTTTTCAGTCTGTCGGCATATGTTTCAGTTTCTCTGTTCCCCATTTTTAACCCGCAAAGCAATAAAATCCTGATGTGTCCTGCAGTGCAGTTTCAGTGAGCGCCACGAATTAACGCAAAATAAATTCGAATGACCCGATTGTGCACCGGAAGGGTCGCATACACCGCGATATAGTCCGCATCATACCAACTGATAGCAATTTCCGTCACAGCGCGCAATGCACACACCAGTATCAACGCTGCAAGGGGCGTATCGCACCATTCCTGCAGTTACGAATTACCGCGATCGTTTCGTCTTTTAAGCCGTTAGTAAGCAAAATACGAATGCGGTCATATCGAAATATAAAAATAAGCGAAAGCCCAAATAGTCGGAAAGCAATCGTCTGGGTTTGAATATAAGCTACCATTTTGACAAAGCGGTTGGCCTCAAAATGCCCAAAAGAACTACGCGGACTTGTAAATGAATTAAGGTCAAAAACATCCAGCGCGAAAACTGTCCCAAAACCAGCAACGGCCACAAGCAGTATCAGTCGCACGTGGCGGTCGCCCATTTGATCTTAACAGCTGTCAAATTGGTTCAACGAATAAAACAGAAAACCCAGCAGACTTTACTGAAGGCCAACGCCGACCCTCAATGTAAAGCGCTTCTTCGAAAACAGTATTAATTTACTAATTCGGGCACTATGATAACGTACTCAAACGGTACACGAACGGTTGCCGATCGTGTGCTGCGTTTTTCTAATGTAAAAGTGCATGTCGACAAAATGCCGGTACAGTCGTGTCCCAGCAGACGTTCCTAATATTGGAAATACGGATTTTGTTACGTGCAGGACACTACTCTTCTAATTTAATTAAATGTAGACACAACCATAAGTTTTACATTGGAGCGCAGCAAATGCAAGTGCCAGTACGCGTACGAGAAATGGTTGCAGGAAACGTCAGCCTTAATGGCAGTTATATTAAGTAGTACCGTATTATGAACTTATGGCCATTAATGATGCTTTTTACTTGTTACGATGCTATGCAGTGCTTACATACTCCTTTGGAATGTTCTTGGATTATACAGATAGACCATATGACTGACTGCGTCGAATTTACTATGACGACCTTCCGATCTAGTTATTCCTTCACGATTTTTGTAAAAGTCTAGGGGAATTCAAAATTTTCTGGATAGCGCTAATGCGGTACCACGGTTATGTTAAAATATAGTTGCTACAAGTAGAACAAAGATACGCACACAAAATTATAACTTCCATTATATGGAGCGGCGCCTTATAGGCAACGCAAGTGCTTCTTTATGCGTTGCTGTAACAACGCGATTTGGTCTATCCCTAAGGTCGCTGAGGTTCTTGGTCCTGGGCGGAACCATTCATAGCTGCAGTACTAAGTATCTGCGTCATCTAAAAAAGATAAAATATTATGATTTCATTTTCACTAATCTTTTGGTCGCTCCCTGTCGCACCGTCAATTTCGTTTCCTCTGAAATTTAGTTAGCTGGGCTGCTTCATGCAAACAAATTATACTTTCCTAGCGCTAGTTGCTCGGCTAGAACATGTTAATCAAGAAGGATAAACAAATTTTTTACGAAACTCGTGGAGTAAAAAGTGTAAACGACAAGGCGGCAAAAGCCAAAGAAACCCATCAACGAATCGTTCCAGGCTTTACGACACAGAGCCGGCAGAAAAATGTTAAGGTCAGTAACTAAGTACTACATATATCCGTTCCAGATACACCCTTTTTGATTAAATCAGATTTACATACGAACTCAGTGCACTAAAGCCTTTCGTCCATAGCAAAATGTAATATCGGAAGTCGGAACGATTTTTTGCCCAGGTAGCTCTCCCCAAAATAACCGGTATCTTCAAGCCGCGCCCAATTGGAAAAACTCTTTTTTACAAATTCTATGAGCGGGGAGATTTCCCTATTGGACTGGAACATGGGGCCCGAGGGAACCGAATTGCATGGAAGGTATGATCGTCCATGTCACCATCAACTATGGTATGCGCCTTAACGCTTATTTCTTATTTTGAATCCGGCTTTCTGATACTAGATTCCATTGGATAAAATAGATTACCATCATTATCTTCCATTGTTCTTCGAAGGACTGAGGGAAACCACCCACCCCTACGAATTTTTTGCGCGACAAGGCACTCACGACCTCCTGGAACATGGTGGACCCCTGGTGCTTCCGGTCGTGCCCCAGCTGATAATGCCACTGAAACGTACGCAATATAAACAGAACAAACGCTCACAATAGTGATTATTACTTATTTGTCATTTCGACTGCTAGCGTAACGGAGATTCTTTCTATTGTGATATTAAATGTTTAGGTGCCCTGAACACACACAACCCACAAGTAATGTGCACAACACTCAAGGTTCTCCAGCACTTGATTCTGTGCTGTGACCTTTGCGGAGAGGCATTAGTACCTTACTACCGTCAACTTCTTCCGTCTTTCAATATCTTCAAATTCAAAAATGGTAAGCTTGAAACAAAAACTTTATTTTTGTATAAGTGTAAAGGTGATCCCTTTTACCAACGGTAATAATTATAATCTGTTGCATAAGTAAATTGTATGCAGCACCTTATTACAGCAAATGATAATTGAAAATTTGAAACACATGTAACTTACGTAAGTACCTACGGTAATACTTTTGTGCTTTCTTGCAAAATCGTGGAGTTGCTGCGCAAATATCATCCCACTAAATGTTTGCTTTCCTTTCGTAGCCAACCTTGGAGATGGAATTGAGTATAGTCAACAGACCCGCGATAATCTGGGCGATCTGGTAAAGACCGAAAAATGACCTTTTGTTTAGATACTGCGATTATCGATGAATAAGCAACAGCGCTGTCACAGTTTAATATCGTGCTAATACGCTGCTTGCTTTATTTTGGTTTAAAGATCAACGAAACTCTGGAACTGATGGAAAGGCACGGTGGAGAAGATGCATTCATCAATATCAAATACATGATTCCCACTTACGAATCTGCTGTGCTAAATTGATCGCCAATACGAGCGGAAGTCCCGAAAGAATTGAATGGGAGTTAACGTTGACATCAACCAATCATTAGAGAATTAAGGAAGGTTATTGTACACGAAATGTAGCTTGTCAAAGTTTGACTTCGGACTGTTCTTATTTGGTTTTTGCGTCACTGAATGATACATGGTACAGTTTTTGAAGGCTTAGAAAAATATTTTGTGAATCTTACTTTGCTTGGAGAGAAGTTGCATTAAGACTATTAGCGAGATCTCTACATCTGGCAGATGTAATACTATATTGGTTTCTAGTAGTTTTGCTTATTTGATTACGAGACACAAATATTGCATCGCTTCCAGAATGAGTACCGTATGCACAGGCCTGCAGGTGTTCGTGAGGCGTTCTGAAAAACCCATACGTACCTACTACAGAAGTTGTTTTAGTAAAACAAAAGGACATTAATTAATCGGTCAAAACCGGTCGATTAACAAAAGTAATGACATGCGCTTGCCCAGTTTCTTCATTTTTGTTGCATTGCGAAAAGAGATCTTACTGTATATCTAGATTTACCTAACGAAAAAGAAAAATGGCGTTCCACATATTTCATCTTGGTGCTCTTGAAAGTACGAATGCGAAAATGCCGGTGCAGCTGAATTTACTGCTGTGTGCGCAACCGAAATCCCTTGAGCCTTATCATCGTTTTCGACCATGGAAGCCGGTACGTGCACCAGGAAAAACGCAAGGCGATTGCTTTGGGATAAAGGTATAGATAGATCATAGATCCACTAGTACTATAGATCTCGGTTTGCCACTACAGATCTAGACAGATCCACCTTGCCAGTACATGTATGAGTACATCTTGCAGTTAATGGACGTCGATTTGTGGAAAACCAATTTCGCCGAATTCGTACATATATCGCACTCACTAACCAGCAACTATTTGACCACAGGCAATTTTGTATCTGGCAACAACCGATAGGAAGGAGAATAACACACTCACGTTATTTTATAGCGCTTTAATTTGTCTGACTTGCTTTTTTCACTAAGAAATTATATTAATTATGGGCTCATGGCAGGAGCAAATGGTCTTTTGAGTTAAGCAGTGAAACGGTTGTGATCATGCTGCGGTGCAGCAAAGTCGGCTGGTTACTGCTGACTATCAATGTCCTTCTGTGCGTTGTCTTGATGATTGAGCTCACTGATACCGGCTCGTTCCCAGCCGTGGGCTTTTCGGAGGGTAATCCTTTTGTGAAATTTGCCGCCTACCTTCAGACTCAAATTTTGGCTGCTCGACTGTTTATTCTGTCGCTTATTCTGACCTTTCGTTGGGAGCAATTTTGCACGCTGTTCACGGCAACTCTTCCCAAGGAGAATTCCATCACAGTCTTAGCCAGCTGCAAAGAAGCAACACTGCGCTGGCTGGTGCCACTAATTGCTCTCATCGGATCACGATTTATAACAGAAATTGTCACCGGATATAACACTCCGGCGGCGACTGCTTACTTCTCAGCGTTTAAAGTGTATCCGCGTTTTGCAGTGTTCTATTATGCTAGTTTTCGACTTCTTGGTTGTCTGGTCCTGCTCGGTGGTAATGCCGCATTCGCATATGTTGCCCAAACGAAACGTGCCGCCGGGAGGAAAATTCTGGACACCGCTAAAAGCGTCATACAGCGGTGTCACACTGATAAGAGTGCCGATCAACAGCGCACTGACATTTGGATGTTATGCCGGTCGTATGTCGTCTTCACTCGGCAGTTGATGGGGAAGCGCAATCTGTTTTCGGTAGTCCTGCTTATCGAAGTTGTGGGGATTATCCTTGAGTTCATGTCGGCAGCGTCGTGGTTGGCCATGTTGGCCTTTTCTGACTCCCATGCAAATATGCAAGTTATACATCGCATTGCCACCGCATCATGGACCATTGTCATAATTCCCGTGCAGCTAAGCATGATCTTTTACGCTGCCATCGACATCTGTGATCAAGTAATACTCTTGTTCACGACCAAATCTGCTCAGTGGTAGTGCATTTTGTTGTTGCTGTAATACATTCTTGCATTGTTAATTCTTGACTGTTGCAGAGCTCCGAAACTTTGGACGCTTTCGAAAAGATCACTTTCTTGTGCAAATGCAGTGCTGTAGGTACAGATGTAAGTTGGCGGAACGCAATCACTTACGCGAATTACTACACATGTAATGCTGTATATAGGGGAAAGGACGCAAAGCCGGTCGACAACCATAGTTATATAATTAACAGGAACAGCTTGTTGTATTTTTTGTTAAAACATGTTGGTGTTAGGCATGTTCGGATCACATCCATCAAAGGACCCTCAGAATTTTAGAGATGTATAATGAATCGAAACGATTACACGGTTTTTCCATTGGAGGATTCATAGAAATCAACAAGAAGGTTCTTTCCATGGTGGGTATGCTCGCGATCCTGCAGTTTACTAAGCATGTACCCTTTATAATTTATTGTTTAATTAAACTGCGATACCTTCTGCATCGATAAAAGTAGTTATTTGTTTACTGTTCTCTTATGCTGTTTTGTGTATTTAGCGTGTAACGTGTATGGTCGAGTAGATTACTAAATTGCCGAAGTTGTCGAGTAGATTACTAGATTGCCGACACTGGCCATAAGATAACTAATATTTGTAGCCTAATACGTACGAGTGTAACCGCCACGAACACTACTATCGTTTATTGCAGATTTTGGTATACATTTCTGGATACGCAACCTTTGCGATTGATCGGATGCAAAATGGAAGTTCGGCTAATTTACCGATGAAAATTCAAGCCGCCAGTTGCCGACAAGCAGCAGCTATGCGTTTAAATGCTTCGCATCCGCTGTGATAAGTAAACACAAACTTGCTGCGAAATGCTACCGCATTTCTTGTCTTTAAAAAATCTTTAGCAGAAGTACAGGTAGTTTAATATGGTCTCTGTATTATGACTACGAGTATCTGTACCTTCAAGCTGCGGAAGGATACCTCACAATCAGGAGTTAAGCATGAATGTTAAAAGCTTCGACAGAAATCGTGTTTACGTATACTGTACTGTAATGTCATCCTGCATGAAACAGAGAAACACTCTGGATTTTCAGTACGTGGATTGACTGACAAACTGCCTATGCCTACGAATCTATGTGCTAACTGCCAGAACTTGCTTGCTGTTCGCACCAGATGTTGAAATCTTTACTAATGGTAAAGAAGCAATACATATCCAGCCAAAATTTTTAGACACAAGTAAGTACTTTAAAAAGCTTCTCCAGCAACCAGTAACAGCAGCACCATACTTTGGACATTAACCAAAAGGCCAAAAAAGGTCAGTCATTAGAAAATGTATGAATGCAGTAAACATCCAATCAGCGCTTAGTTCCACTTGAACGCACTATACACTCTACAGTCTACCGATTTTCCCATCAGCGCTTCACCGAGGCAAGTATTAACACTGACAACAAGGTCTCGCATTCCTCCAATTACACTTCCTCCAGCTGGAATGCATATTCCTGTCCGTCATCTTCTATGCTGAAAAAGGCTGCGTGTAGCAACATAATGAAGAGGGACAATGTCAGCACCGTCATGAAGGTCCCGCCAGCTCCGACCAAATAGAACATCAACAATGACAGTACTCCGATAACGCAGTACTGATGAAAAAGGGTAATCTCACGACCTGCAAAGCGAAGATCGTCAAGACCTTTAAACAGAAGTAGCAACCTCGTAACGCAAGAAAAACATTTTGTATGTAAGTATAGTGTTAATATTATGTGCATATCAGAAGCGAAATATCTTGTTATCAAATTTTCAACTGCGAAAGACTAATTATTGTTGTATCCAGAAACAAGTGTACTAACCTGCAATCGCTATTTTTCTGACAGAATTTTTGGCGCTGGCATAGTAGAATAATCCACCGGAGGCAAACAGCGCAATCAGCAGTAAAGGCGATGTCAATCTAAAATCGCAAGGCTAGTGTTTATTTAAACACGCTGACAAATGACAATCCACAGGTATTTTTCCGTTCTGGATTAAATTAATCATGCTGTATAAAAATATTACTTACACGCAGTAAATGAATAAGATGAGGAAAATACAGATGTAGTTCACATGGAAATGTTGGATATTCCGGAATAACCGTCCGGTGTAGTATTCTTTGGAGAGGAGCTTGTTGACAGTCGGTTTACGGAATCGTTTATAATTGCCGAATTCAAACCACGATCGCATATTCTGGCGACCTGTTGACGTGGTCTGCTTGATTAAAGGTATTTCGCGAACGCTCTGCAGTCCGCTCCATAACCTGTGCAGAGTACAGCGTGGAATTTCGGTACTTACAATAAAATATAAAAATTCACATCCAGAACACAACCGTAGTCTACGCAATCAATCAACAATTCCTCATCTTACGAGATCGTTCAGATCAGCACTGCGATGTTTACTGGACCGCTGATACTCACTTTCTGACGATCACGTTGTTAGCAAAGCCCGCCGCGGCAAAGGCCGGATGACTCCCAATAGGATCAGCAGCGGGAGCTGGCGCAGATCCCGGGATCATTCCCGACGCTGCTCCCATACCGCCAGTGCTCTTCGGGATTTCCATATTCCCACTGATATCGATAGTTGTAGAATCCATGGTCACAAAGGATGAACAATATTAGCTGAGTTAAGCTGTAACACATTTTCCGTATATTAGCCCAAAACTATAGTCTGCTCTGTACCAGTTATACTTATACCACACTGCATGATGCATGATACACAACTCACAAGCAATAAGTACCAATTCGTAGCCAACACTCACAATCAGCATGTCAAAAATTACCAGCAACAATTAGAGCTTTTTCGTACCAACAAACTACGATAGTCTCCAGTACCTTTCGTCTTCCGATAAATAAATCACAGAATATTAGACCACAAATCAGTCCGATGATCGGTTCCGCAAACGTCACAAGGCAAAAGAAATCTCCGAATCAAAAAACGAATCACATCCGGATCAGTAAGAATCATAAGATTATAAAAATCAAAGATTATGAGCGTTCTTCGCTGCGTCTATATTGTGCACAACGATATCTTCATCATTCATGATGTTTCTTCAAGCGCTTCCTCAGCTTCCAACTTGGAAGTTCCAAGTTGTAAACACTAAACAGTAAAGTTGTAAACGTTCGAGATGTATTCAGAATACCAGCAGAGATTAGTCAGCCACGTACTGTAATTTCTACACAAGGTGACAAGAACGTAAAACGGTGCGAAAAAATTGTCTGCTAAAGACCCAGAGACCTACTAAACTTTGAGTTTGTGTTAAAGCATCATCAATAACTATCGAGCTGACGTGGTGATATTAAAAAAACTTCAAAAAATCAAAAGATCAAAAGTTGTCACATTCAAGAGTAGCACAGGCCACGTTAAAACTCCAACAAGATTTTCCACGGCTTTGGTAACAATACCAATACCAGCGATTTCTTAAACCAGTATGCAGTAGAGTGAATAAGTGTAATGGAAATGCCAACTGTCAGGTAAGGGCTTGCCACCTGGAAGTCGCGACAAAGTTGCAGGGCAGCGCAGTATTGAAGAGTATTTTTACAGTGACGAATACATAAAATTTTAAGTGAAAGTTTATGATGTTATGTTATGAAATTTATTTTTTCCTTTTCAAAAGTATTTGTCTGTTCTTTAGTCGGTTTCGCAGTAATCTTTTCGCTTTTCTGAATCATTTTCGCTGAAGTTTTACTTTACGTACCCGTACGTTGAGTGTTCTTCGGAGTTCGGAGTATGGAGACGAGTCAGACGACAGTATTTGACTGACTACCCGTGTTTGGTAGAGATTATTATTCGCAGCTTCGCGTTTCGACGTTCATAAAATAGTTGTTGGCACAACACTGTTATTGTTGACTACGTCTCGACTTAGCATTTAACAGTATTTGACTTGTACCTTGGATCTCGCGACATCATTCCCGAAAATGGTTAGTGAAGTACAGTACACTCCTTCCGGAGTGATGACAATAATTCATAGTACACAGTACAGTATACTACCTGGATAGTGAACCTGATTATTTTTTTAATTTTGATTTCATAATATTTTCATTATTTTGCTTCAAAGTCGTACTTTAAACGTTACCATTATTGCGTGTTTCATCTGAAGTGCCTTATCTGTAATCCAGATGCAGTTCATGCTGCTATTCAGCCGGCAAGGAAAACTCCGGCTACAGAAATGGTACGTGGCGCAACCGGAAAAGCAGAAGAAGCGGATCACCCGCGAACTTGTTAACGCCGTTCTGCAGCGGAAAGCCAAAATGTGCAGTTTTCTGGAATGGAAAGACTTGAAGGTTGTTTACAAGAGGTACAATACATTGCATAATTCCCATGCATGTGATGTGTGCGCTGTGTACAGATGAGTCAAAGCGTTGTCTGGCTAATCGATTTTTAACCATTTTCTCGGTGTTTCTTAACGAAGGTATGCCAGCTTGTATTTTTGTTGCGCGATCGATGAGACGGATAACGAACTGATGACGCTGGAAGTGATACATCGCTATGTGGAGCTCCTAGACAAGTATTTCGGATCGGTTTGCGAATTGGATATTATTTTTAACTTCGAAAAAGCCTACTTTATCCTGGACGAATTCATTATCGGTGGTGAAGTGCAGGAAACGAGTAAAAAGAACGTCTTGAAGGCCATTTCCGCCCAAGATGTGATGCAGGAGGTACGATATGCTGTACAGTGTTTTATGTGGTTCAGCAAAATGAAGTAAACTTCGTTATCGCTGGTATCTTTTATGTTTTGTGTAATGTGCTTATCGTGCAGTAAAAGTATCAGTTCTTACGAAGTGGTTACTGCCTAACCGGCGTTTTGTTGCCTCGCTGATCCCTGTTTGAGTGTCGCATCAGTATCCAGGCTGATTCGGTAATGGGTTCTTTTTGTTGTTTTTAAAGGATGAGGCAGTAACCACCGCTCTGGAAGAATTTGGCTTGGTTTGATTGGTTTGCTCCGTCCATGCGAAACTCAGTGGAATACACGTTTCGTGTACCGTGTATGCCCGCATTTCCCTCCGCGTTGCGTGTTCTGGCGTCCTTTGAAAATGTCTGCTTGGTTTGAATATTTTTTGCCTGTATACTGCGATAGCCTGTCTTTTGTTTAAGGTGCCGGTATGTTGCTTGCCGGACTGTTTTAGCTTTTTATTGCCATTGTAGGCAGCTTGCACAGTGTTCTCTTTGCCGCATTTACCCGGTGACAGTAAAGTTGTGGAATAAAATGGATATGGCGTGAGATAATACACTATGGTTTATTGTGTTGTAACTGCTAATTGCCTGGTTGCAGGATGAGACACCACAGAAAATTCTGTTGGATTACAGTCTGGGATGAATGAGTATTGTACTAATATACAGTCGCTACCAGCCTACCCGTATTAATACGTATGCGCAATATCGTCAAAAAGTACGTGCCCCTGCCCACATGTTGTTATTATGCAATGTCAAAAAAGGAACTAGTCGAACCGGAAGTGTATCCTTAACGGCCCATTTCTGGTCGTTCTGCTTTTTCTGTTTGGCTGCTGCTGAATGATCTTTTGTAATTAATTGCTTTTTTGATGTTTTCTAATTCCCCAAATTCACTGATCATGACCTGTTACTTAGCTTCTCCAATAAAGGTTGTTGAAACTGCGTACTCGGACGTTAATCAGTATCAAGTAATCTACTTATGGTTAAGCAGTACTTTGGTGATTATCTACCAATAATAAAGCTACAAATCTCAGTATTCTGAGCTACTTCTAATATGCACTTACTAGTAATAATTGAAACAATTGCTTAAAATTTTTGTTGCCAAAATCAACAAAGGGTAATCCTACTAACCTGCCTGCCTTCCGATATTCTTCTGGATCAGGGATCTATGCTCGTAGTGATTGCGTTTCTGGACGGAGCCGGAAGTTGCGAAAGTATTGTGTTCCGCTGCCACCTGTAGAGCGGTTGCAATTGACCATGGCGAGAGTGTATAGCAAACAATGGAAACAATCTGTTACAATCACAGCATTTTTTTACGGTTTACACTTTACCACTTTTCGAATTCCAGACTTGTGTTTGGTATGTGTCTTCCAGTCTTCGCACCAAAACATAATCCCGAACGGACTTATGAAGTTGAAGAACTTTGACGGTCTTAATTTCTCGAGTGTTGCGCAAGAGATGTCTTCTTTAAAACGATTGACGTTCGTAACTGGGAATCCTCGCAAGCTGGAGGAATTTAAGGCCATTCTCGGTACCGCGATACAGGAGCATTTCTCCGTGAGTTACTGTGCAATCATTATGAACATCTGACTTAAACTATTTACTGCAGCAAACTGTGACACTCAATACTGATTATTTTAATTGTTACAGGTTTAATATGAGTGCATTTCACATCGGTAATTCTGGGCTAACAAGCAAGTTAGCTTGCTTAAATGTACAGCAGCCTGCTAGAGCGTTCTTCGCCACTCTTTCTGTGTTTTGCTTTCGCAAGTCTTCAGGTTAATTCGCGATTGCACTTTACAGATTGTTTCCCAAAGTATTGACCTGCCGGAGTATCAGGGCGCCTGTCCCGAAGAGATCTCCACGAAGAAATGCGAGACGGCAGCCGCGCTGATCAAAGGACCGGTGATCTGCGAAGACACGTGCCTGTGTTTCAACGCTATGGGAGGCCTGCCCGGGCCCTACATCAAATGGTTTCTGGACAAACTCCATCCGGAGGGCCTGCACAAGATGCTGGATAGCTTCGGGGACTACTCCGCGTATGCGCTGTGCACGTTCGCGTACTGCGAAGGGGAAGGACGCGAAGTGCGTTTGTTTTCCGGACGACAGGACGGACAGATTGTGGCGCCACGAGGCCCGCGCCACTTCGGATGGGATCCCTGCTTCCAGCCGGACGGCTTCTCAGAGACGTATGCTGAAATGGACAAAGCCGTGAAGAACTCCGTTTCGCACCGCGGCAAGGCTTTGGAGAAGCTGAAAGCGTATTTGATGAGTGGTGCAGCTGTGTGATCGTTGTGTACGTGGTTGTTCCTTTTGACGCTTTCCACTTTTGTTGTTATGCGGCTGAATTTCGATTTACTCCTTCAAGGAGCTACATAGATGTGGATTAAGCTGCGATGCTATAAATGATTACGATTCGGTTTCGTTTTTTAGTCAATAAAGCACTTGAACGATGAATAATCAAAAATTGTTACGTATCTCATACAGTATTTGGCTATTTGCGATTTAAAATAAAATTTCATGTCTATGAATTTTATTTATTTCTGATTTAAGTACGATACAGAAATTTTCCATCTAGCGCACTGCACTATTCCCACTATGCTAAACCTGCCGTAGCAACCACGGTGTAATGAAAAAGCCAAAAGCTGTTACGGAATGATGGGAACAGAAATTTGCTTACTGGTTGGAGTGGTTATATATTTTTTAGAAATTTGCATTACATTAGCTCGCCAAATCAGTTTTTAGCAGTCATCCCGACCGGACAGTTGTACTATTACCCAATAATCTGAAATATCCGTTGACAGGATTCTTCGCTAAATGGAGAGATACGAAAAGCTGAAGAAGATAGGATCGGGTTCTTACGGTTATGTTTACAAATGCAGAAACAAGGAAACAGGAATGCTGGTTGCAATTAAGAAATTCTTGGAGACGGAGGAAGATCCTACAATTCAGAAGATAACCTTTCGCGAGATTCGGGTTTTACGGGTACGCTAAAGGAAAATATTCATTAATCTGTTTTCTAAAATTGCCAACGAGAGAACGGACTGAACGGGATATTTTATCCATACAGGATCTTAATCATCCTAATATTGTTAATTTGGTGGAGGTGTTTCGAAGACGCCGGAAGCTCCACTTGGTGTTCGAGTTTTGTTCCAGTAATTTGCTTGATCTCATGACCAGCTATCCGGAGGGGTAATAGAAATGGTAAATTTTCATGCACTTTGCAACACTCATGAAGTTACTTCATCGATTTTATTTAGTACTATTTACATAGTTACAGAGCGATGAACTTGTTTTGCAGTTAATTACAGCGAGCTTGACCATCCTGCGCAGTGCGTAGATATTGCAGAACGTGGTTAGCGCAAAATGAAAAAAAAATCAACTATGGATAATAAATGAGTGATGAGCTGCCATATTTTTAGGCTGCCTGGATTAGTGGCCCGAGATATCCTACACCAAACTCTGCAAGCACTGCATTACATGCACGCCAACATGTACGTCCATCGCGATGTAAAACCGGAAAACATTTTACTACAAGGGAAGATCGTCAAGCTATGTGACTTCGGATTCGCTCGCCCAATTAACAAAGCGGAGGCTACGGAATTTGAAAGTACAGCGAAATTATCTTGCAGTCTACAAAAGTTTCGCTATCGTATCTATCGTTCGTACTCGTACTTGTACTCATACATTTCTTCGGAAAAATGACTTAAAGACACATACTGCGAGTAGCGGTTATCATTTTTAATGGTTCATTTATTTGTAGTTGTGATTTATAAATATTTTAACCTTTATTGTAGAGCAAAGTATGCCGGAAATGTACACTGACTATGTGGCCACAAGGTGGTATCGCGCACCGGAGTTATTGGTTGGTGAACCGCTTTACGGGTCACCTGTGGATGTTTGGGCCAGCGGCTGCGTATTTGCCGAGTGCATGACAGGAGAACCTCTGTGGCCGGGCACAACGGACTTGGACCAGTTATCTCTTATTCGGAAGACTCTGGGAGAAGTTCCGCTTCGGTATATTGGGTTTTTCAACAAAAATCCCTTTTTTGCCGGTACAGAATTGACACCGATAACCGAACCGGTACGATGCAGATTTCCTAATTATAGATAGTGTTTTTACGTCGATTTTGGAGTTTTGTATGTTGTTATAATTATTGTCTAATGGTTGTGTATTAGGAAACTCTGGAAAGTAAAGTGGGGCACAAGATCCGGAAGGAGGCATTCGAGATGCTTACAAGCGTTTTAACCAAAGATGCGACGAAGCGTCCAACCGCGGAAATGGTCATGAAAATGCCGTATTTTAACGGGTTGCCATACATGGTCCCGTTGGAGGATATCAAGCAATCGAAGCAGAAACAGGTTGGTGTTGCTTATTCCACAGTTTGTTCGTTGGCGATCGCAGTTGTTGGACTAGCGGTCAGATTTCTCGTAATTTTTTCTAATGTGCTTACCGGTGCTTTTCTCTAGATGTACGCTGTATTTAAGGCGTTTGCGGAGCAGGAAGCGAAGTACATCATGGATGCGCCGGATATACGATTATTGTCACCTTCGATGCAAAACGTTCATCCAAGCGGAAGTACGTCCAACCCTGAAACTGTTCGAGCGGAAACCAAACAGCGAATTACGAAATTACTGAATGGCATTGCTGCGAAAGCATCACCTTCCAAGCACGCTCTGAGTGGACCGCTGCCACCTGGTATAAGGGAACTGCTTAAAATGCGTAACGGCTCCGCTGCATGAGGCGCGGTAGTTTAATTTTTAATTATGTATTATTGTATTCAGCATTAGTGCTGAATTAGTAACAGCAAACTGGTTAATTCTTCCGCTCCTGTTTTTCCTAGCGTGTGTAGCGTTCTCAAAAAGCGACGGGCAAGGCTCGAAAGTTGCATAAAGTACAGTAAATGGATGTTGTGTTAGCCCAGTTAGAGATGCAAATTTGCCGGTACAACTGTACAAGGCAGCGAAAAGTCCCTGTTCTGACCTACTGTATGTATTATGGTCCTTTATGGCATGTCACATCGCCGGATGCGTTTTCGTAGAATTCGTACCAGTAGCGTTTCTGTGTCCGTAGATACACTTGCGTTTATTTATTTCCGGTGCCGGTAGACGATGTCTCGGTTCTTATTAAACGCTGTTTTTACTGAACTTCTTACGGCTTGAAATGTTATCTCTTCTAAGCCGTTTAAATTGCAAATTCAGAGTGCGAACTGCGAAGCTGTAACGTTTTGCGTCTTTTTAATTAAACAACGGAACACAATTCGCTGTGACACCCAAAAAGACAGAAACAATTAAAATCTCGTTACACGGAATGCCGAATCCAGTCCACGCCAGCGGTGATACTCTAAGCTAAATCCGAAAACAGAAACAGTCGGTACACACAATGGAATACAAATCAGACGGTCTTGCGCTGAATCCGGAGGACAACCGATGACTTGGTGGTTCCTGGAGCCGATTCTGTGGGTTTGGTCCCAGTTTCTACAAACAAACGCCATGTAACATCGCAGTTTGCAACTATACACGTTTGCGTAAGTACTCCTTCAGCTTCAACAGGACTTTAATATTCAAGATTTAAAAAAAGAATAAGAACTCAATCATTTAACAACTTCATACAGAATGGCTGAGAATGCAGAAGATTTTGACAGTAATTTTCGAAATCATGATCCAAAACGCTTAAAAAAACGTTCTGTTAAAAGTTTCCACATAAAAACTTGCTGTTAGTAATATTTCTGCAACAAGCAAACTTCCAAAATTCTGAAGAAATCTAACGGTAAGCCGTAATACGAGTACCTCAAAACCTTGTACAAGATTGCGGCGGTTAAGGCACTTTCCAGTACACACAACGGAAAACTCATGCCGCATACAGAGAACTTATGGGCTACATGATTCTGAGAGTATGAATTTTCTACATTAACATGATTAACTAATTTCTGAACTCCAGCGTGTAAATGATACTGATTCAAGCACTTTATTCTAACAAGATAAATACTTTTTTAGCAATAATCTGGGAAAACTAAATAAGAAATTCTCAAAACAGATACCTGTTCCGTTTTCAGCCCGAGCCCACCACACAGCGCGGAACTGGATGCGGCAATCATGGACCAAGCGTTCAATTGATTCTGAAAACTGGATAACAGGAGCTTCTTCTTGCGCCGACTACTTAGAACGTTCCCTCATCTTCCTACGCTTCCTCTTCAAACGCCGCATGCGCTTTTTTTTCCACTTATCTCGCATGATGCCGAAACAAAAAATTTATTCAAAATTAATATGGCGACAGCAAACCCGCAGATTATCAACTGAACTGCAGAACTGTCGATTCCGCGAACGCGTAACCATTGATTTATAAGACAGACAAAAATGCCCAGAGAAAAGGGACACAAAACGTCTAGCTAGATTCATGCGCGCCGAACGGTTCGGTAAAATTCATCCCCTCCAATGGGTTATTCAAAACGGCGCAAATAAGCCAATGTTTTAATAGTGAGGCAGAGTCTAGAGACAAGCGGAATAAAATTTTGTAGACGGCGCTTCATGCAAATAAAAATTTTGCGCTCTTTAAGAAATACTGACATATCCACGCATTGGCAATAAATATTATTTATTATCAATATTTAAAATTAAAATGCTATTTCTACAAAGAAAAAAATGAAACTGCTATTTCTACAAAGAAAAAAATATACCGCAAAAAGATTAGAAAAGGGCAAAAAACTAATGTAACAGTCTAAGCACCACTGACCGTGTGTCCGTGAGTAGTGAGTGTAATTTTTCAACCGGGAATGTTTTTGGTGCTTTGTAAATCGCTGTCATTGCAGTTTCCGACGATTTTAGTGCAAATTTGAAAATGTGTACTAGTACCAGATTTTCATGCCATTAATGAACATCAGTATAGGATCAGTACACTTAGGCAGTATACTGTATATCGCACACCAGTCGCCGGTATGGTCAGCAGCGTCTTCGACTGAGCTCGACAAGCTAGCCGGACTGCAACGTAAAGCTCTGAAAACCGTCGCTGATTACAAGATGCCGGTAACTCCGGAACTGTATCAGAAGTTGGGTATTCTTCACATATTCGACCGATGGCGTCAGAGCGATGCGGTGTGGTTGTTCAAGTTCTGGAATAAAGATCAGTTCTCGCTTCCGGGCTACCTCCTGGACATGATTCAAGTAAAAGATAACACCATGCGCTACAATTTGCGGAAGCCGGCCCGGATCCATGCTATGCGGGTAAAGAAAGTTATCGGAGGGTGGACTATGGAAATTCGACTAAAGCGTCTTCTTGATAAAATTCTTGCTGTTAATCCTAAAATTCTCGAAGCTAGTTCTGTACCTTCTTTGAAATTCTGTACCTTCTTTGAAATTTGTGCTAATCGTCAAATCTATTAAGCTGTCCTAAATGTTTTTGTTAGCAGAAAAATGTTTTTGTTCGACCAGACTTGAAGTCCACTTGGGGTTGTCTGCTCTTGTGCCGTAATAATAATAACAATAATAATAGGATCAGTGCACTGATAAGTAACCAGTTCTGGACAATATATGTACATAATTATTAATAATACGGATATACCTGTGCTAACTCATAAGTTAATGAGGATATGAAGTTAAAATATTATTAAAAACTGGCAGTTGTCAGGGTCAACAAAGCGGCACAGCGCGAGGCTGAACACGTAAAAGTACAAAAATTGTTTAGGAGTGCACTTCACTTTTTTTCCTCCAACAGCTGTTGGAGACAATATTTCTTAAATTTCTTCTATGTCTTGCGATTTCGGCCATTTCGGCTTAGTCTGACATTTATGTCCAAAGTATTTTGATTATTCATCGAGCAATCTAGTAAATTTTTTACAGCACATTGTGTGTCGCATGTTCTTATACAGTATAGAAATTGTAGATATATATATAGTACAGCATTTGCTACATGTACAGTGGGAAATTTTTTCCCGTATTCATTGCAGTCGTATGGGTACTTATATTAGAAAGTAATCTAAACACTACGAATACGGAACCGAATACGAACACGGATTGAAATGGTGTTCGTAACCGCATCCGAGATCTGACAATAAATTCGGACCGAAACAGATGTCGAAACGGTTTGGTACCGATGATTTCGGCCATTTACACTTCGGTTACGCTTATTCGGCCACCACTCACATTCGACCACATTATGTATATTCAGGCAAAATTCCACCAGTGTTAATTATTATCAATAATTAAAAAATTTGCAAACTTGCATTTACAAAGAAGATTAAAAGAATGCGTCGATGCATTGTTGCCAACTTTTATCTGTTTCTATAAATTTGATCAATACTTACTTTATTAGGAAAGTAGGCAAGAAATAAAGCTGTTATCTAATAACCTAAGCGTATATATGGTTGCGTAATGACGCGTTGCGTTGCGTTGTGTCTACTTGATAACAGATCATTTATCAGTTCACATTCAGAAAAAGAAACAAACTTTGTTGGAACAGAACACAGATTACGCCACGTTCACCTGCAGCTTCAGCTCACCATTAGCCTCTCATAATAATATTCAAAATTAATGTAACAGAAGAAAACCAAAACGTATGATCTAAGAAACCAAAGATACCTAAAAAAAACTGAGAAAAACAAATAGTTTCTCTTTTAAAAAAACTAGAAAGTCTCAGGTCAAGCTGTGCATGTATGGTCCGTATTGTTGTGGCGACCTCGTGGACCTGGTTTTCTTGTAAATTGTAAGTAAGCAGCTTACAATTTACAACAAACACTAAGTAACAACTTGACACAAGGAAAATAAAAGCTAAAATGTCATGTAGCCAAAATAAACGTGGCCGAAAAGAGGGCGGACCGAAGTGAGCAAGGCGAATTGTATGTTGCCGAAGTCATAACAAGTGCACGAAACGTAGCGCGGCCGAAGTGGTCAGGTAAAAACCGCTTCAGACCGGAAGCGCTCAACCGCCCAAGCCGGCGACTGCCAGCTAACTAGCTGCACTCGATCCAACTGCTTTTAGAATTTTCCTATTGGTCGGTAGAGCTCGATGCATACGCCTGTACGACTCGTACAAGTTGCATTTTTAACGTAATTTCAATCGCGATACCTTATGTCAATCAAAAATTTGTTTTTAAATTGTGAAAAGAGTATTCAAAACTTTTTAGCTCATAAAAAAGAGGAATGTTTTCTCTACTTAAAATCCAAAGCAAACGGAATTCCATCAAGACAGGCAGAATCGACAGCTATCCGGAGACACGCTACGATTCAAAGCTTGAATTTCGTGCTTTACGGAAGGTTTACGAAACGAATAGGGCTATGACGTATGCAAAAGAGGCGGGGATTCGTATTCGGAACCGCATTCGTAGTCTTCAGATTGCTTTCTATTAACATGAATTTTGCTGATACGTCCTTCGAGCAGCTAACTGTAAATGTGGAAATATCTATTAGGAGCATTAACGATTAAATCGTAATGGTCTCCTGTGCCAGTACACCGTCGGAGCTTTAAAGAGAGATTCTTATTCAACCTACGAGACTGCATCAGTCTCGTACTTCCCACTTAATTACAAGTAATTACCATGCAGTGGTGTTTCTGTACTCTCCATAGAAGTATGGTTATTCGTATTAATTTTTCCTTTTTCCGCCATCCATTTCCTTTGGTTTGTTTCATAAACAAACAGTTTACGCTTTCATAGCACTTTACAACAGCGCCCTATCTGCAAACTGTACCAAGTGACATCAGCGGTACAATTTTTGATTACGTATATAACAAGCACGTATTTATCGCTAGCAAATAGCAATAATAATTATTATTAACAAACGACCTTTGCCCGCTCTGATAATAGCCGCCGTTTCCGCTCACGCACGCAAACATAGCCATGGCGCGTTTTGTGACTCCTGTCCTGGACAGGAGTCACAGAACGCGCATAGACCCATAAGGTATTGTGCTTGTAAAATTTCTGAAAATGCGCATTTTTCACGCGGTATAATAATACGAATGATTTCTGTATACTGTGCCTTTGCATCCAAAGATTCGTTTATGCAAATAGTTTTATGTAATTTATTTGTGTCCATACACGACAGCTCCCTATAATTATGAGTAGGTACAGCAAATTTTTCGCAGCTCACTGTCAGCTCACTTTTTTTCGCAGCTCATTTTTCCAGCCAGGTTTAATATAAAATCCCAGGCTAGACTGTCATCCTAGCCGGAAATGGGCTACCTGCTCTGATTCGAATTAAATTAAAATAAATGAGATCGAAACTTCGATTTGAATTTTATTCTCGCATTTATTTGTACTTCGAGTATCCAACTGCAACTGATTAAATGTTTAGGTTATCCACGGCGTGATTATCCTGACGATCCCCACGACGATCGCATATCCGATGAGCGAGATTACGGCGATCCGGATAGCAGGTCGGTGCGGAGCGATTACAGCGTGTCCCTGCACGACGACAGACGAAATGGCAACGGCAGGGATTTCGCTGTGCATATGCACCGTCGACGAGGTGCACCGGACAGGGATCGTTATGACGACGATGAAGAATCTGCAACGGGTTTCGAAATTCCCACCCGACGGGTCGACGGGGGCAGCCAGTATTCCCGGGATACGGACTATGACTTCGAAGAGGCGGATGCACTGCGGGAGCCCAACATTATCGAAGCCATGAAGAAGTTCAAAGGCCATCAGGCGCTGCAGTCCCTTGTATATAATACCAGTAAGTACGTAAGCTACTGTTATTTACGAGGTATATTATATGCATTACGAAATTAAGTCATCGATTTGGGATAAATCGTTCCATTTGCCACTTTATTTATTGTCAGTGATGAACTTGCACAGGCCGTGACTACGCAAGTATGCATTACGTGATGTAACTACTGTACGTCAAATCCAGCAAATGTAAAAATGTGTCTAATGAGATACCTGCAAAATTCTAATAATACTTATTCGATTTCTTTACTGATTTAAGCAAAACAAAATAACCGCCTGTGCGATGTCATACTATAATTAAAAATACAAGTAATGCACTATGGCACCATAGACGAGGATAACGTTTGATGTGCGCCCTATTACATGTACAAGTACATGTATATGACTGTACATGGCATGGTAAGTTAAGTATCGGCAAACGAAGGTTTTTTTCATATTAGTGAACATGCAAAGGAGGAAAGGTCAGGACAGAGTGGCTCGGTACGAAGCGGAGTCCGGTCGAGTGGAACTGGTGGCGCCATTGGAAGATGTGGATGCCGAAGGAGCCGATCCGAATGAGATTCGGATGGTAATATCATCAAAACAAATATAGGGGGAAAAATGTGTCTAGCCGAACCAATCCCTTGTACTTCTGATGTAAGCCAGCTGGTGGTTTACGTTGTGGCTTGACAGTGTTCTATGTAAAGCGCTGCTATTAAGATTAGAGGTACTGATAACAGGTGAGCAGCACTCGTACAACTGCAGGTAAATAGGCTAAAAGTGTATTATAGCCCGGACCTGCCTGGTGCAGTTAATACCACATGTACCGTCAATGCCGCACAGCCTTAATAGCAGCGCTTTACATAAAACGCTGTGCAGCCACAACGTAAACCACCAGCTGGCTTACATCAGAAGTACAAGGGATTGGCTCGGCTAGACACATTTTTCCCCCTATATAAGAATTTCTTCCACACTTCTTTTTTAGTGGTAATGCTATTAATGCAGCTATGGAATTCTGGGATATTGTTTCACTCAGTTCACAGTGAATCGTCAAGATTATTTCATACTGTAGCAAGCTGTCGAAAGACCGCTGAAAGAAACCGTCGACGACTACAAGGAAGCTGCCGGACAGAAGGCGGATGTGAAGCTTATCCAACCGGAGCAGTTTCGTGAGCTAATCCAGCCGCTGAGCGAGAAGCGCCGCGAATACAACAACATGAAAGACCAGATTGACGGGTTGGTCACGCAAACCGTGCAGGTCACCGTGGCCAAAGTCGGTCGCAATTTCTGGCGCGCGCTGGGCGATGTGGCGGATACCTTGAAACCGTTCACCGGTTTGTTGCGTTGGGTGGATAGCCACTACGGGTCCGATGTGCATTCGTATTTCTTATTTATTTTGTGGATCATCGCAACAAATTTTGCGACATTTGCGGTTACTTTCCTATTCGGCATGGCACCCTCGATATTCTGGCATGACCTTAACGATCACAAACCTCTCGCCGTTGTTGAAAAACCGGATCAGCCATTTATTCCGCAGGATATTTTTACCGGACAGGTAATACATGGTAAACGGCACGAATGTATTTAAAATATATAATTACAGTATATTTTGTGCTTCCAAGATGTTAGTCGTGTTAGTAATGCTTGTTACTATTTTTATTTGTTCTGCTTTAAGCTACAAAGTACTGTATTTCTCAATTTTCTGTCAGGGAATACTGCAAGATTCGTTTTTCCATTATGGATTTTATTTGGCCAACTTTTCGACTATTTTTGGAAACTGGCAGTTTGATCGCACAATGGGATACCTGTTTTCCCTTGGATTCTTTTACCTGTTCCAGTTTGTCGTGATAACTTACTCGTAAGTATTCCGTTGCTTTTTTCAGATGATACACTACTAATTTTCAAGGATGCACGATGGCAGATACATAGTTTGCTTATTTAATCAGCTGCATATATATCTTCATACGTGCGCTCATATTTTTCCACGTTCTTTGTATGGTAGCGTGAAAAAGTTACTAAATATTGGTGTGACAATATAGCATTCAATTTTGATTTTTAGCGGTACTACTGATTGATTGTTCATAGTTATTTTTTCTTTCGTAGGATAACGCAGTCTTATGGGAAAATTGTTTCGACATCCACAATGGGTGGCAAGCCCAAATACTGCGATACCGTCTTCTTTATGTGGGAGCACACTGTCTACGACGAAGACGCAATCAAACTGAACCGACAGGATTTACTTACAACGCTGCGCGAAAAATTAATAACAGCCAGACGCATCGAAAAGTTCCGGCGACCCATCTACATCCGGCGGTTTTTTGTCAATGCCTTCATTGTTCTTCTTACCGCCGGGCTAGGCGCTGGTCTGTGGTATTATCTGGAGTTTATTGAAATTAACTTGAAAACAAACAGGCAACCGGAAACGAATCGCATCATTTATGTGAGTTGCAATTATTTTGACGTGGTATTCGTCTGCCGGTGTATTTGAGATAAACGTATGCTGAAGCTTAAGTTCTAATTATTCTACTCGAATCCAGCATTTACGGTATGTTGCTGACAAAATAACCATACCAACCTGTAAGAAAGGTAATAAATGCCGCAGTTTAAACTGTTAACAATAACGAAACATACATGAAAATGTTACTATACTAAGATACTTCGTGTCCTTTTGCAGCCTGTCGTTGCTACAGTTCGGGTAAAGATTTCCACTGACGTTACAACGATTTGTCTGGTTTTAGGAAGATCTGGATATACATCAGAAATACGCAATCGAGCTTTCTCCGGCCATGATCATCACTCTGTTGAATTTTGTTTTTCCGGTGATATTTTCTGTACTCAGCAAATACGAAAAATATATGACCTATGAAGGGAATTACTTTCCAGTTTAGCTAAGTAAGTTCTCAGTGTGCTTGACGAACAACAAGAATACTCCAAAAATTTGTCTGATCACTTTACATACCAAATTCTTAATCGGAATTGTTTATTAGGGGTATCTGTTTAAATTTCGGTACCCTTGGTACATTATATTATTACTGGATCCTTAACGAGTCTGGCCAGACAATTGGGGCGGTGAATTTTGAGAACAAGAAAGACTGTGCGGCTGAGCGAGTAAGATGTATGGATTAATTTTAGTACTGGTTTTGCTAATTTTCTCTCTTTTCAGAAAATGTCGTGTTGGGAAACAAGTCTTTCGCAAAAATTTTATCAGCTTGCTGTGATGAATTTGGTATTTGAGCTTGGAATATCGGTGCTTGGATTATTCTTATCGCCTATTATAAAATTATTCACACGTAAACAATTAGTTTTCCGAGCTGATCTGTTGACCCAAAGAATTATCTATCTGCAAGTTATCACCTTCCTGGCTACTTATTATAGCCCAATTATGTGTGCAATCGCCATTCTCACGACCCTGCTTTTGTTTGCGCGCGATACGGTAATGATTACGTTTCGTGTAATTTCAATATTAATATGTGATACTCAAAGTTCATTTCGTACTACGATTTATCTGAATTTTTATATTACCGTACTTATATTGTTTTATCACTTTGCATACTTTTATGTAACACAAAGAAGCACACAAGCGAAAAATCTACCTGGAGTAAACTGCGCAAACGACAATACATGTCTAGAATATTTCTGTAGAATCACCAGTAAGAATCTAAACATCTGTAGCATATTAACACGAAAGCGAATACGTTTTACATTTGCAGGTGATTATAAGGTATTCGAAGATGTATAAATCAGCTCCCCTTGGAAGTGGCAACGAAGGAACGCATGCCATTTATTGCACAGCTCTCCTGCTTTCGTTTGTCTTATGCACCTTGTCCGTGGCGTTCGTAATTACATTGTAAGAGTTATTTGTAAATCAGAAAACCAGTTAAGATTTTTGTATAATATAATAGGTATAACTTCCAACATCATTAATCAACTCCTTTTAACGAAAACGTTTGCGAAAAGATTTGCAGACCGTTGCATTCTTTTTGTAAAACTTCAGCAACCGAATATCTGGTATTATAAGAATCGTGGGGATATTTTTCATAACGTCCACGGTGTTTTGGAAACTCCAGATTGCTCCCATCAAAGGACTGTGGACCGTTTCGGGATTTGTGTCCGGAGCCCGACATTATTGCGGCAGCGATAATACGTTTCAAAGATACAGTACCTTTGCTGTATGAGATTATGGATATCCTCATCATGCCTCCTGTCCTGATTTTTGTCATTGTATTTTTACTGTAAGCGTCCATGGACAAAATGCTAAACCAGTAGACGATTTTTATAGACTTGTACGGTATGAACGCTTTGCTGAGTTTTTACAACTTACATGTTATATCGTAACGGCGATAAATACTTTTACATAATTATTTTTTATACGGGTTTTGCAGAGTCCTGGTGTTTTACTTTTACAACAAAAACCGAGCTCTTGTCGAGCTGTCACCGGTACTACAAAATCATTTGGCTTTGGTAAGTTTGTCTCATAAGTATTTTTATTTATGATTTTTTCGTAAGCCAAAAGTATTTATGCATTGCAGGAAGAGAAGGACGTGATCGCTTTGTATCTGAACATTGTCAGCGCTCAAGCACAATCCGGGTCTGCACCTAAAATACAACCGGCACGCGCTAGGCATACCAGAGCAGCCGAAAGATTCGCTCAGAAAAACAGCGCTGCCAGAAGTAGATTTAACCCAGTGCAGAATTCCACACATCCGTCGGCGTCCCAGTTAGTGGCCAGGTCGCGGGTGTAGCGGAAGACGAATCTATCTTGCTTGAAACAACCACATAAAGCAAAAGAGATCCAACAATAAAGAAATAATACTTACAAAACCATACTGAAATGTAACCTCTGGATATTGCAGCTATATACCGGCACAAGAAAGTGTTGCCTATATTACTTCACTACCTATCAGTGAAGAACTATGTAACTTATCCTACTCTAGTCAGTTCTTAAACATGTCTTTCTGTTGGCTTATGATTAAGCCATGCTTTAACCTGGTGCGTATGCTGGCAAAAAAAACCTTGTTTCCTTGTAACTTGTCGCAATTACAATTTCCGCAAATGATTTTCGTCAGCTAACTCAGACCAAAGTAGGATCATTTTTCTGTAATAGCGTTTTCCTCTCTGCACTCTGTTCTAAAAACTATGATAATGCCACTGCACTCTTGTTGACGTATAGAGCAGTAATAATACCATGTAACTTAACTAACGGATATTCAAAGTAATACACTCGTAGTAACCGCTACGTATCTTGATCACCCGGCAAAACGCGCAAGGCTTTACTTCGGTTTCGCGTTGCAAACAGGTACTGCACTACTTTTTATATGTAGCGTACGCAGGTTATAGGTCATTTCGAAGATCTTAATACTGACTGCACTTAACAAATTGTATACCCAAATTTTCGACGAGTTATTCATAATTTTGGATGTTACGTGTAGCCGAAGTGTAATAACTAATAAGTAATTATCACGAGCCATCATTCAGCAGTAACTAAGCTTGCCACTGTCAGTAATTAACAAGATCGCTTCTTATCCTATCGTGTCAGGATATGCGTTGCTCAAGCTGCACCTGTTTTACTATAGGACAATGGAATTATCCCAATGGATTTATTGTCCTGCTTACGAAAGCAGTAACTGCAATTGCGAAATATCATTCTTGATCCAGATAATGAAGCACACGAACTTTACTCGGCAATTGTTTACTGACTGAAAAGACGAGCAGGAAGATAATTCTACGAACAATTATAAGGAGTAGCTGTTGTATATTTCGAAACTACTGTGTAAGAAGCCTTATCACCAAACATTCTGCAACACTGATAAGAAGCGAGCCATCGCGTTACATATCAGTTTTCTCTTTGCTATATAAATTGTCTCTGTGTAACTACCAGATTGACTGCGATACTTTTGTTAATTTCATCGCCAAACAAGCGTTAAATTATATACGGTCATATACGTGAATTGTGATTACGTGATTAAGTTACTAGTACCAGTACTATTATATGCTGCTGCAATTCGTCTGAGAACGAATAAATTTTCGTGGATTCTTCTGGAACCTGGAACAATGGTTGCGAAGCTGGAGTCAGTGCAGTCGGCACTGGAGTGTGCAGTGGAGGGCGGGATACAGCTCACTTTGATGTCAGAAAAAGTGAGATTCCACTCCTCCATGTCACTCTCTAAGTGCATGCGAATCTTGTGCGACTCGATCACAAAATCTGCCATTAAATTATTACGTGTGGAGCAACAAGAAATTTTTTATACGTTAAATTCAAAAGGTGAGCAACTTGTCTAGTAGCTTGTCTGTAAAGGTATGAAATGCGGGGTGAGGGTCTTTAGGCAGCTTAATATTAATGGTGACCTTTGTGACGCAAACTTATTGAACAGCAGTTATGCCTTTTTTCTGACTTTAAAATTTACATACATTTTAATAAATGGCCTATCTGATAATAAAGTAGTCTATCTACTTAACAATTAAATCCGGGATAACAGAAACCCAGACTTCCGTCAGCGTGGAAGAGAGAAGCTTTTCGGCGAACCAGGCAGTTGTATTAATACTATATTCAGTAGCACTCGATTATTTTCCAGAGCAAAAAAATGTTTAACAACTTGCATCCGAGTAAAATAACTTGCAAAACAAACGTTAACTTAACGTTAAGAAACGGCTAAATTGACACACATCCGTTCACCTACCAGCGGTACTTACATGTTAAACTAACGTTTTGCCTACAAGCTGTTTTACCCGGACATGTAACGTATGCGCCTTGCACCACGATAATTATGCACTATTTTATACGAGCTCACATAAGGCATTTATTTTAACACTACTACGGTAGTAGAATATGAAAAACTTGTGAGGAACCGAAACATCTCTGACAATGAAAATGACAATAGCAAAAAATGCAATTACAAGAAGAATTATTTCTAACGGCAACAAGGGAACTAAAAATAAAACGATACGGATACTAAAAGACAAACTCTTGGATAAATGTTAACGCTATATATAGCGTCAAATTGAGAACAAAGGAAAATATCAAAATTGACCGACCGAAGACTATTATAACTTAGAGTGTCCCTGGTCAGCTTAGAGTGTCCATTAAAATCCTCCAGAAACCAATAATAATCGTAAAATTTGTTAATTTGCGCATTTGTACAATAAAAAGTAGTATATAAACAATTATACGTAAAACAACGGATGCTGACGTTTCGGTTTTGAACAGAGAGAAGTCGCTCAGGGCAGAAACTACCAGCGTTTCATCATAATCATTTATGGCTTTACGGCCGGAAGCGACAATTCGCAATCTGTTCTTTCTACTACATGTATCTGGCACACAATTGCTTACGAGTATCACATTTGAGTGCGGAATTTGAATTACAATACTACTAAGTTATCACTGCTACTGACTTTATTCTGTACTTTTCCAAATGTCTTCGCCTGCATAAGTAACATCTAGATGAAAATCCGTTTTAGTTGACATAATAATTAAAAGATCAGTTCCCAACATATTCTGTGCATTATCACGTAGAATTTGATAAAGAAAACTAATACTTGAACATACTAATACTAATATTATACTAACATACTAATGTTTGAATGTACGGCAGTATCAGACCTTTTAGACAACACGAGCAACAAAATGTCAGAGCGCACTCTCGTGTAGGAGCAACTGATGATCATGAGCAAACTGTTGGCAAAAGTACACCGCTACCAATAAGAAGATTGTTATAATGGCCCTGTGCAACTGTACTTGTATTTCGTTTTATTTATTACAGTTTAAAGGCTATAGTAGTTCAAATTAATCTTGCTTGCAGAAAGCCTTACGGGGATAAACTATTAGAAACAAATAGCTCGTATTCCAGTTCAGAATTGCTGCAGGGCATCTTCTCAATAGGAATGGAACTATGCAGCGAATTCATTAATTTTTACAATGTACGCATGTTTCGGGTACTGGGCTCGGAAACCTCTGCGATAATTCTGAATTTCTGCACCACTGTATTAATTACAAGTAATTTGAACCACCATTTAGTGCAAAGGCATAATTTATTTGCTTAGCACTGAGATGTCCCGCGATTGCTGGATGCGGACGGTCTTGAATATATTCGTATAGCTTCTTAATTATTGCAGCCAATTTTCGGACTAATATTATTTTATTATGCATAGTGCGTGGGCCATGGGGCTATAATATTTCAGTAGATACTCAGTATGCCTAATTTATTAGCGCAGCTGAATTTCCTACCATATTAGAACCTGAATACTACCGTATTAGCCGGCATATTTATTGGGTAAGTACTTACTTACTTATTGGGTACTTACTGGGCCCTGTGTTTGTCGCAAATTTGACGATTTTATCGGGATTTAACACAAATTTTAAAAGACGCCATCATGGAACATCTTCGTGGACCTCTTCATAAATTTGCGCTGTCCTTGTTTGATGCCATTAAAAAGCAGAATCCTGAAGGGAATTTATTGTTTTCCCCTATGACGGCATCGGCTGCGCTGATTCTGCTAATGTCGGGTGCGGAAGGATCGACCAAAAGCGAAATGCAGCATGCACTGCATTTACAAGAAGAAAATAAATTCGCTCCGCCGGCAAGCGAGCAAGATATCCAAATGGCTTACCGGTAATTACTATATGTGTAATTATAAAAAGAATCAGACCACCTGTGTGTTGGCAATAATAATAACTTACATTATGTACAGAGTAGTAGTCGTCTAGCAGGTAATTAATACAGTTGCAGTTGGACATATATGTATCGCTTTATTTGACCGAAGTAAAGCAACGTCATCTGTGAATCTAAATTTCAATTTAGATTTTCAAAATCTAAATTTTATTGCTCATAATATCCGAGTTTAAAAGTGTGAGAGAGGTTTTGGTGGGTTTTAGGAGAGTTTTAGCCACAATATCGCGCGCTAGCAACGACGATGACGATAAACGCCGGCAGTACGAAAGCCCGGCAACCTATGAAGATTATGGAGCTTTTCAAGTATTCCGGATTAATAAATTGTTCCTACAAGAGGGAATGAGTATTGTGGAGGAGTTTCGCGAAACCGTCCAGAAACTCAAAGGCGAAATCGGTTTCGTTGACTTCGTCCAGAGTCCAGGCATGGCGCGCGAAGAAATCAATACATTCATTGAGAGAGTTATGAACGGGAAAGTGAAGGAATGTTTCCCGGTGGGATCGATTAGCAAAGGACCCAAATCGTTCTCGCAAATGGGATTTGTTTCCGAGCAAGGTAATTTGACCATCAAAATTGTAAAACTTTCAAATGAACATGAGCAAACATAAACAACAACATAAAATACTTGCTTGCAAAAAAGGTTATCATTGCAACTTCCGTTTCGTTAAATTTTTTGTTGAAATTATATTTGCTTTCCTGTTCCTGAGCGTGCGGGTCTTTCTTCAGGTGGGAATATCCGTTCGACATCGATAAAACGATACTAAAGCCATTTTATTCTGCACCAGCAAATGGCAAGACAGAGTTCATATTGAGTGAATTAAGCAATAAGCCGGTGTACACGGTCAAAGAAGTAGCCACCATGCAGGGCGCCTTTGCACTTCCTTATTGCGAAGACCCCGAACTCGATATTCATTACGTGGAGCTGCCGTATGTGTTCAATGCCGCTAGTTTCCTCGTTTTACTCCCGCGAAAGAAAAACGGCCTAAAAGATCTGCAGAAAAGTCTCACTCCGCAGGGATTCAGCCGGCTGAATCAGTGCAAGCGAATGAAGGACATTGAATTAAGCTTACCCAAATTCGAAATCCAGGTCACTCTCGACATGAAAACAGCACTGCAGAAGATCGGCATTCGTGAAGTTTTCTCGGACCAAGCTGACCTTAGTCGAATCAGTCCGGTCAATAACTGTAAATCGGTGTCCGCGCTATGTCACAGCGGATATATGAGTAAGTGCTATGTTATATACCCAAGTCACAACATATGATGCCAATTTGCTGCATTACTAAATAACTACATAATTACTATTTTGATTTTTCGTATGTAAATACATTTTTTCGTAGGTAAATTCTACGTCGATATATTTCGTAAGTAGATCAAAAAGTAACAGAAATCTCAAAACAAACAGCTGTGACTACAAAATTGTTACACGGGGAAGTGTTCAATAATGTTTACGGCACTTAGCTGTAATTTTACGAAGTTGCGGTATCATCATCACAGTCGTAACTGTCCCAAGGAAGTTACACTTTGACTTTCCTACTGTATATACAATGAAAGAGTTAACCAGAATCCAGTTTACCACGATGGTCTTCTATACGACCAACTTTTGACGTATCTAAATACAACATTCACTCAACTTGAGATGCTATTAAATTAATACTAACATGTTCCCTTCAAATTGCAGGCGTGAGTGAGAAGGGTACCGGTGCTGAACGCGCCTCGACCGCTAAGCCTGAGGGCCGGGCCGACGGTGCCGCGGGACGCCGGTTGGTGACCTCCCTTTCGGGAACCCCCATGCAGCTGGCAACTAACGTGGAGAAGACATCGAAGAGTATCCGAGTGGAAGTGGATCATCCCTTTTTATTCGCTGTTCGCCACAACAGAACGGGATTGATGATCTGTTTGGGGCGCGTGGAAACCATGGGTGATGACTGACAGAGAGAAGTTGAGTACTGTAATCGCATCTATGCGTGTGACATCCGTACAATATTATTTTGCCAGCAAAAGATACAATTAACCAACAACTCATATAAAAACCAAACCTGAGCTACTCCGTGTAGTATACGATCGATTCGGAATAGACAAGTATTGTGTACTAACTACCTATAGAGTTTCGGAACAACGATAATAGCAATCTGCCGAATACTACCTAAAAAACGGCCTTAATAAAATCCGTACGACTTTCAGTGTCGACGGGGACTTGTTTTTCTCGCGGGCACTTATAAAGCGTTGACTTTTTATCCAGTTTGAGGTTTTGAGACCCAGTGTAAGCACAAAAAGGTGATCATATACGAGTAAGCCTACAAGCGTATACTTCTGTAAAAAGCCCCAATGAACCACAAGCTCCGTTTCGAGATTCTCGCTCTTTTTCTTCGCGCTGCCTAATATTACCAAGACGGCGCATACAGCAACAGCAGAAAAACTAAAACCTGCACGAATTTTGATTACGGTAATTAAAACAGTCATCAACAGATCACAGCGTTCAGGAACGATGACTTCAATGCTGTTAGGCAGCATCATCCAGTAATTTACAAAAATACTAAGTGGACTTGAACTAATTGTAAATGCCTACACGAACAACGCAAACAACATCGATACCAGACAAAATTTATCACAGTTTGACGTTCACTGACTTTGCACGGATTTCCTTAAAATGTCAGAGACACGTTTGACCTTTATGGCTTGATTGATCACATACAATCTGGTTTCCCATAGTGTTTCTATAAGCTAAATTTCGGAAATCGTTAACTCTTTTAGTGATCACAGCGGTGAAGTGAGGCAAAACAGCTACTTAACTGCGATTTGGGATAAACTTACTATTTCATCGTCGGTGCAGTCTAATGCAACGTAACGATTCAATAACGGGCTGAACCGGAAAAATGGTATTCCTAATGATTCGCACCAGGCGCGCGAGCGATCCACAGCTCTTCCATCTGCGTCTGTGGCCTACAAGCATCCGCCAGGTAATCGTACATTTTGGACTACTATTGCAGATAATGCCATCAGTTTTTTCTAAACACACGTAGATTGGCAAGATACTGACACCCGAGTAAAAACAACTAGCAAAAAAAACGTTAACTTAACGTTAGGAAACGGCTAAAATTGACACACATCCGTTCACCTAGCGATACTTAAATGTTAAACTAACGTTTTTCCTACAAGCTGTTTTACGCGGGACATAATTTTACTTAAAACTAATTCGATGACCTGCGTTATAATCATCCGTCCTAATGTCGAAAACCCAGTCAATATCCTCGGCGCTGTTTTCAGTTCTTGAAAAGTTTCTGGACGGTACACATCAAAATACGTCACACACTCAGGCGGCGCTATCCCTGTACCTAAGGAAACTACAACACCGATTTCCGGAATTTCGGGTATCCCCTTAGAAACAAAAGAGGTTTTAGCAATCCGGGAACACATTTGCGAAATAGCGTCAAAATGATATAGACATGCCACAATACTCTGTGAATGCTGTATCCCAAATTCGTTTACCTCACTCCTTAAATGTTGATAAAACTCAAAAATTTCTGTCATTGTATCCAGTGTGGGGTTATTTGCAATAAGTCCGCCGTCCAGATAACTGGAAAAACTGCGGAAGTATGTAGGCGCCGCCCCGGTGGCTCGGCCAGCTTTCCACATTAACTGTGTGTGACAATCTGATGGATACCAGTAGATTAAAAATTTTTTATTCCGCAAAATATTCAACAAGGAGTTTCCTAAACTGTACCATCCTCGCTGCGCCGTGGACCGTGCAAGCAATGCTGAAGATTATGCACACTTCGTGTTGCGCGTGGGTGGCAGTAGTTGCGAAAGAAGTGCAGATTTAACGGTAACTGATCTGCCATGCATGCCGGAATCAGCAGTCTAAATAAGCAATCAGAACCCTATTTAAGCGCCGTATTAACTACCTTACCAAATATTTAAATTTGTACATGATTAATTAAAATTTATGGCTTGGGACAACAATGCTTCGGTTACATGTGTTAGCCTTTGCTTCTGTTTAACACAAAAGTAACATACTTCGGCTTATCGATTGCGCTCATCGGTGTTTCCGGTCCGTAGAGGTCTTTTAGCATTTCCTCCAAGGGTTCGCTTCGATACGGTCGTCTCCCACTGAACACCAGATCCTTCATGCGGAAATACAATGCCATGCATTCGCGGACGTTGTAGCCTAAAAAGCGCTATTCGTTCTGTGCAACCCACGTTCTTATGGTGGTAATGAGAGCCCAGAGTTACCTTTTGCCAGGCACAAAGCCAGTATTCCTCCTGTACTCGTTCCCGATACCCAATCAAAATACTCAATTATTGGTTTATCCAGCTGCTCCTCTATGGCCATTAACTGCTGAATGAGTATCATCCTGTAAATGGCGTTTTGTTACGAAAATGCAGCATATTAATAAAATTACGTGTGTATTCTGAAATTATTAATAAGTAAGTATTAATAAAATTGCAGTCATTATTATTATTGCAAGATAAAACAAATGAAACGTAAAAAAAGCTCGCTTTCGGCATGTGAATATGCCATCTGATACACACTCTAGTCGAAAAAAATCTTAAAAAAATAATGTTTTTAATTAAAGCATGCATTTTCGCATTTACGTGGCTGAAACCTTGTGACCTTTGTTATTAACTACACACCCACGTACTCCGCCGCCATCCAAACACAAAACATTTTCCCGCTTTCTCCGTTTGCTGGATGTTGGCGTCTGCGATGTCCCTTCCGTTTCATCTTCATCCAGTTTGCCCTGCGCTTGGCTTTCATCGCGCAACTGCTGTCGAATCTCCGATATACGCTGCGTGCGCGGTGTCGCATGCACCGAAGTTCCCGACCCGATACTCAGGATAACCATGAGCTCATCCCGCCGCTTGGAGGGCATCGATTTCTCCACGATGCCCAGCGGGGATTCACCGGCACGATTGGTGGCGGTGGTTTTAGCGCCGAACACCACCAGGCATTTTGCAATAATGGGTTTGGCGTTATAGAGAATCGCCCCATGCAACGGGGTATTATCTTTGTAATCGCGACGATCTAGCTCCGCCCCGCGGCTTAATAGACCAATAATGCATTCAAAGTTATTTCGCATGACCTGCGCGTGCAGCGGCGTCTCTCCCAGGATGTTAGTAGCGTTGACGTCACATCCTTCGGAAATTAGCTTAAGCAGCACGGTACGAGTGTTGACCGTGTGTAAAGGACTTTGGTTTTGAGAAATAATAGCGGGAATACGGCTGATCGTTTCTCGGCGCTCGTCCGATGCTTTGCGTTCGTTTTCCGCCATCATGTCAGTTTGAAAATTAACAGTTTTTCAGTCACAAAAGTGAAGTTTTTAGACATCGAACTTCGGTTCACAGTGTTGCATCCGTTACGAACTACAAAATTGATATATATTAAACTTTTTGTGGCTCAACCCCGTGCAAGTTATATAAGTAACCAAGGAACGCTTTATGAAGAAAGCGAAACACAGGGTTAGTCTAATGACAACTTGTAACAAACAGCACAGATTTTGCCCCCTTTTTCAAGTGGTGATCTTGGTAAACTTATTGGGAAAATCAAATTTACTTGTCGCATTATGAAATTCACCAGTGTTTGATAACCGGCACTCTTGTTTACTGCTTTATTTGTTGGAATCGAGCTAGGCATCATGTGAGCCGCACAATGTCTTTGCGAACAAATATTTTGATACAGCTTCAATGTTATGAATTGTAAGAGGTACAGTACAGCTAGTAATAACAGCTCTCTATACAGTAATAGCAGCCAAAATCGGCTAGCCGTAGCCTTTTGACAGCTTTTTAACAATAACTAACTTTTAACAGTCTGACAATAATCTGCAAGGCCGGCGCAAAAAAAACGCTTACGAAAAAAGATATAAAGTGCAAAGAGCAAAATTACGTAAAACCACTTTAACAGCGCACCCAGTTTAGATTTACTACAGTCAGCAAAAGCCGGACACTGCAGCAACCACTGCAGAAATGAATCTAAAGGTTAAAGTGACCGCACTAAAAATAATTTTGATGTTTCTATTAAAACTGTCTTCGAAAATATTACAGTATTTCAAAAAAATTACTTCAAAAATATAGGCACAGATGCTATAAATTATTCGATGCAGAGCAACAGGTGTTACAAACTTACATATAGCATATTGTGCAAGATGCCTTTTATTTTTAAGTTAGCAAAATGCTTAAAATCAGTAAAAACGCCAGCGAAGTGCTTGTGATGATGACCTTTCCGTATAGGATTTCACAAACGCTTGTATTTTCCAATGAAGTTTTTGCAGTTCGGACAAGTGTGCACAGCATCCTTACAAGCATCAATGCTGCAACATTGATACAAAAATTTTTATACAATAATTATAATTGTGTCGATGTGCCTGGAGCATGCAATATTTGCAGTACTACTCGTGATGAAATGAAACGTACCACGTTGGGATTAAGCAACATCCAAGCCAGCATCCTGTAATCAGTAGATGAATTTAGAAATAAAACGGCCGCAGGTCACATCCTGATTTTGACGTTACAGACCCTCATGCGCTCGGGATGAATCGATTCATCATGCATGTGTTGCCAATTTGTAAGAAAAACTCAACTAGATTTGATTCTGCATGCAGTTTTCATAAATCTGGAGTATACCGCCACTTTAACTGCTGCAATAATTAAAGCGCAGCCCAAAATACGTACAGTATCCCGGGCTGTGATTTAAGCACGGCGCAATACCGGTACTGGTGTACCATTGACCAGTGCACAAAAAATAGCCATAAAGGCGCTAACTCCGAAATTGTTGTTAGGAAATTGTTGACAGCAGTACGCTAAACACGATTCCAATATTATCAAGCGTCAATGATCTGAGACCTGCTGCTTATTATTACTCTTATTGCTAAAATCATAATCACTTTTTGTGTACAATACATACCGATCAGGAGTGAGCCTCCGACTAACAACCACGTCAACGCTCCACTCTCGTATACAACTCGGGTTTGGATTTGCTGACTGCAGTGCGGACAACTGTAGAAATTAACAATTCCAAGGGTAATTTACACTCTACCGTACAGCAAATGGTATCCAAATGCAAAATTTTTACGAAAAATTCTTCTTTTACACCCTTACATTTAAATTATGCGTAATTTTGATATCATCAAACTTGTGTGGCATAAGCTCAGGCAACATATATTCCCGCAAAACATTGGCAATAAAAGAATAAATTTGTTCAGCTAGCCATTCGAGCTGCTTACGTCATCATGACCGGTTCGGCAGACAGCATTGTTCCAGGTGCCGGTGCTTGCACATAAACGGTCTGTGGCGCGAGTGCCGGTCCAGTGGCATAAGTCGCATTAGGTTCCGGCATGGGGTAAGGTGGTGGACCGGAAGTCGTAAAACTACGAACTGCATGCTGAATGGTTATAATGACATTTTTAATGGTGACTGTTGTGTAATCGTTTGTAATCTGGTATACGCGATATATCGAGATGAACATACATGAGTGCGTGCTAGCAAAACTAAAGAATACTACTGTTTTATGTAGTAGAAAATATTCGAGATATTACCAACGGGTGTTTGGTTTAATTTTTAGCAGTGAAATGTTTAACATTACTTCTAAAGCGGCACTGCAACAGAGTTTTTTTCAAGTTTTTATTAATTTTTACACTGTCGCTGCAGAATTTTCCTGATTAACTACAATTCTATGTGCATCAAAATGTTCAGTACGTCAGTATCAAAATACTATCGCTGTTAACGTACCAATCCCGATGTGATATCAACTAGGGTAGTTCTGGATTCTCCTTTTTCTCCTAAAGAGCCGAAATTGACAGTGTAACGGGACATTAACATTTTATGCATTGATTGCTGAGTTTTAATGTCCCAGTTCAGTTGTTTGTCATATGACGCAATGAAAAATTATGGATAGCAATAAATCTAGTTTCACTGTGTGAAAAATAAACAGAATTCGGCATTGCAACTACCCTTGAAAATTTGTTTATTAAAAACAAACATTTGTTTTAAGGGGGAAAATTGATGCGTATTCAAGGGCTGATGGAGACATATTCAGACTGCAGTTGTCCGATATCATAATTAGTCAAAGATAAGACGCTGCAGTCATTCGGCATTTTCTACTTCTCTGTTTCAAAAAAGTTGCTTCAGTGGAACAGAAGAACTGTGTGGCACTGGAAGCGTACTTAAGCAATTTGATATAAAATACAGATACTGTAAGTAGATTAAGACAAACCGTTTTTGATTTAGTTTTTTTTTAGTCACCAATAGGTTGGGTTTTGGTTGACTAACTAATACGTTTACAAATAGGACACCGAATTTTGAGACAATAAAAGGCGCATTGATAATAATTAGCAAATGTATCCCGACTGCTTAATATCGATTTTGTTATGTCCCACTTTTTCAAGCTTCATGACGCGTACACAAGGAAACGATGACTTAATTAGAAGCCGTACAATGACAAATTGTAATTTTAGAATAGTACTTATGTTTTCCGGGATTCGAAACTAATATTTTAAAGCTGTATTAGGTGGTGTATCAAGATTCATGTATTTAAAATTTCGAAGACAGTGGTGTCCATTCCCAGTTTACAATAAACGAGGTTTGCAATTATCGCTTTTTTCCTTTTTCACTCTACTCTGTACTATTTAGACATAAAAAATATGCACAATGAAACTAGCGCAAATTCTGTCGCACTGGAAACTTTTATAACCAACCTTTCTTGATTGTACTCACCTTCAGTTTTTTCGGTATGTTCCATTTCACGTCAGCGTCCAGACAAATACCGGCTGCAAACAAACGAATGGTGTTAATTAATAGATATGGCTGATTAACCTGCACTGCGCATTACGGTACCAACGTACCGGTACACTTTTCAATGTAAAATTAGCTGGTTTTTACGTTAGTAGTGTCGACAATCACCAGCCATGTACTTACGGATAAGCCTCAGAAAAGTTGGATATACAAATACTTGTTGAAGTTTTGATGTATTTATTGTTACAAACGCTGAATCGTCGATGCTGCACCGTATAAATAAAATTATTATACCGACTCATGCTGCAGCACAAAGAAATTTATGTACTCTGACCTGCGACCGGCTAGCACGGTCAACAATGAGATAATAAATTTTCCGCACGTCGCGCACTGCACTACATCATCATCAGGATTTTAAATGCTTAATTTTCTGGCACTTCTGTCAAATAAAAATTTTGCATACCAAAAGGTAGACTCTTGTGCATTGTGGTCCAGTAATACATATCTGTACGTAAGGTCAGCGCAACATGAATTTTGAAATGCCATTATTATTACAATAGGATGGCTGCATGAAGGTGCATGGTATTTACATGCGTACTGGAGTGCGCCCGCGAGAAAGAATTTTTTTACAAAATCTAAAGGATTTTTTTAACAATCTGAGCTCAATGCACTTGTTGCGCTAGCAAGATGCAAGATGCAAGTTTGTATCATCTGCAGTTCAAACTTCCGTTCTGCGCAAGCGTGATCATTACTTATTGCAGCTGGGTTGGCTGTTACCTTTTGGAAATTAATATATAATAATTAACAATAATACTTAATAATTCATTAATTAATGCTTTCGTGTATCAAATATGAAATTTACTATTTTTAGATTTGTTAAGTTGTTAAATACGATCTGTAAGCAATCAGTCTGAATTTTATTTCTGCAGATGTATGTGTAAAATTTTGGGGTGGGCTAACCTGTATAAACCGTACGTATCCACACATATGCACGAAACGTCAATGAATAATTTTGTCAGCTACGAGTATGGTTTAAGAAAACCTGATAAATAAAATAAGCAGGGAAAAGTTGCAAGAAAGTTCTGATTCACGAGCGTTACACTGAATTAAGGGAAAACTAGTATGTAGCAACGGTAATGGAAAAACAGAATTCGTGGAGGTAAAAACAGAGTACAATGGTTCTATCATTGTCTCAAAACAGCAAAAAGGCACAAATCACTGCAAGAGCACGGAAAACATAAAAATAGGTATCTTCATTACAACCGTCTGTATTTTCCAAAGTAGTGTTGACAGTTTGGGCAGGAATGGACGGCGTCTTTGCATGAATCGATGCTAAACAAAACATTTACAATAAGTTATAGCACTTCTAGATCTATTTCTTGTTCACAATACTAGCTTTTAACTTTTCCTGCTTTTGGTAATTTTTTATTGCTTCATTGCTGTGAATATTTTTAGTTATGGGTAGAGACGTGTATTTTAATAAACAAACAAGAACTATCCATTCGTATACATACATACCAGAAAGGTATTAGGCAACATCCAAATATGCAACCTAAATTAAAATGCCGGCTTCGTCATATGTTTTGACACTTTTCTTTGTAGACTATGCACTTATGGTTAGAATATTTCCCGCACAAAATGTGAAGTTTTAGTACAGTGCTGTACTGTATGTTTGTAACAACTGAAATATAACCAGTTTAAAGATTGTAATAACCGGCGATGCAAAAATAAATGTGATTGTATGATTTGTATCAGACGCCAACTCACCAACAAATGCCAGGGCACCCACAAGGATCCAGGTAAGGGCACCACTTTCATATTCCACGCGTGTGGTCACAGACTGATTACATCTAGGGCAGCTAAAAAATATGTGAGGAACAACTAATAACAGTTAACGCAAGAAGAACTAAAAAATGCAATGGTGAATATAATGACATTAAACATGTGCCATGCCTGTAATACGGACACGTAAAACTGCTAATTTCTCACGAAAAAACTTATTGACAACAATCAAAATTAATACACTAATGGAATTAATGGCATTTAATTCAATGTAAACAGTTAATATTATAGTTTCGTATAATTACATTGCTGGGACCGGGAAACCGACAGCTGTCACCGGTGCTGCGTGTACCGGTACGAAAACGGTTTGCGCATACGCTGGTGGTGCCATTTGCACTGGAATCGTTCTTGGTTGGTCTAAAACTGGAATCGGGATTGTTGGGATAGATGATTCCCCAGAGCTGTACGGCGGAGGCGAAACTACGGCATTAATGATAAATTTTATGGCATATTCCCTATTACAAACGGCTGCCAACAGCGGTAAAATAAATTATAGTTTAAGAAAACGAATTCAGATCCTAACCTCATATATTTGGTCATTAAACTATCAATGTTACTGCCTGATAACAAAATTTCATAAAAACGTTAGTTCAGATTCAGCTTGATTTTTCGTTAGACTAAAGTCTTATTTGAAACAAGATAGGTCACACTTACGCTCAGATTTTTCCATTCTTGGTTTTGTGAAGGAATACCTTTTAGTATCAATCAAATCTATGACTTTGTCGTCGAATATTCACAGCAAGATTACCTATTCACAAACAGCTGATAGTGAAGTATAATATGTACGCCCTCACATACAAAAAAATACGTGTTTAATTTTACCGCAGGTCTGCAATAATATAATTACACAAAAGCACCGATTGTGTTGACAAACATTTCGCCCATGCCGGATTTTCTCTTCCGTTATAAAAATCATGATCGTAATCATGATCATGATCTTCCGTTAGCATGATCGTAAAGGACTTCCTTAGCACTAGCGCTCATATCATGCGTAAGTCTCATATCATGCGCTCATATCATGCCTGGAACTGTCTTTGCAGGTGCACTTTACCCTCGGTACAATCGAGTAAGAACCTACTCGTAAGAACCTACCCTCCAGCGGGCGGTGCCCGAAGGAGTGCGAATTTTCTTTTGAAAATCGGGATTTACGGATGAAAAAAATCAATTAAGATAGGGAATTTTTTGTGAGCTTGTGCTGACCATAGGTCAGCGGTGGTGACTAGGGTGTTTGCCAACGCCAATGCCCATGGACGGTCTACAGCATATAAATGCTTATTTTTGTAATAATTAGGCTAACAGGAATAAAGTAAAAGCACTTACTTCATTAAATAGCACAAAAAAAGTACTTTAAAACAGAAGTATAGAAGTGGTCAACAATTTGACCACTGGTCAGTAAAAAATTAAAAACTGCCAAAACCCGTTTTCTTGCATTTTGACCACTGCTACATATAAAAAACATTGGAAACAAGCGATTTTGAGACTAATCCTTCCCAAAACTTTTATCAGTCTCTCCCATCGTACTAAACGAAGCAGTCTTTGTGCAATTTAACATTGCACTTCTTCATTTCTGACACACCGAGTTACCTGCGTGCATTGTTTTGCTTTGCACGTTTCCTGGATGTGGCCGCAGTTGCCGGTATGGGGAAAGCGGCGGAAATGGTTCAGATGCAAATGCGATTGGCGCCGAACCAAATGTTAGTTGTCACTAGCACTTTTTCGAACGAAATTCATTAGTAACCGGATGTGACCTATATAAGGCTGTTCGGAAACGTTAACATCACTAATGTTATCATTACAGTTCGCAGTTGCCCGAGACTGGTCAAAACTCAAAATTTGCATGTTTTTTAAGGCTACGTGGCTTCACAGCTTTGCTTGCCCAAGCGGTGCATCGGTATTCGGTATCGAAGGTGGAACGTGGCAGAAAGCAGTGTTGTGCTGCCATTTAAATTCACAGAGCTACAATTATACACTGACGGTAGAATTAGAATCTCATCTACAATGCCGACCGCCCGGGGTGGTGTTCAGCAACCCCATGTTTTGCCAACCTCCTACAACCAAACCGCATGGCGCATGTTTGGCGTCCGAACCGATATTAAGTTATTCCGGTTACGTAGTGATAAGAATCTGTCGAAAGTGCACCCGCCCGTGTATTCACAACCCTTCATGGGCAATGGTGTTGGCACGCAACACACGTTTTTGACGGACTGCGGTCATCTATGGTTCAACTTATAGAATCTGCGTTAGACATTTTTGAATAAAGCGTTGTCATTTGTACCTTGCTGATTTATCTCCGGTTTAATTACTCATCCACTAATTAGTTAATTAGCAAGATCTGCGAGAGATCAGAAAGTCCGAAATTGGTCATTTTTGGACACCTGTAGTTTGTAATTATCTTAAGATACAAGTTTGAGTTCTGTTGTTACTGCTGCTTTAAGGTCCCTTGTTGCTAATTATGCAAAGGGATATCAATTAACTGTTCGCGATCACTTGGAAAAAAATTCTGAACACCATGTTGCGCCCTGACGCCAATGCCCGTCAACGGGTTAAACAGACCACCAAAAAAAAGCGCTCGTAATCAGCAAATCGCTGCTGCTGTGTGCTAATGCGGTTTTCCACTTTCAGATCTTGAATAATGGCAGTAAAGTCTGAACCCCAAACTGATTAATGAACTTCAGTTCGTTAAATAACTTCAAGGTTTAAGCTTTATGAAGTACCGTCTCTCGCAAGCTGTTCAACATGGAACCGAAAAAAGATCAGCCCGGCGAGATCGTAATTGACCTTTCGTATTATCTTCATGCCCTGGACAACCTTTTTCGGCACTGCGTGATGTGCGTAATCGTTAAGTGTGTTTACTGGCAGGTGTGGATCCAGAATCTAGGTCTATGTACAATATTATTAAATAAGCAGTTTCGCAGAATTATGGTGCGGGAAATAAATTGTAAGTTTTTCTCCCACCTATTCTCATGAGAGAACGTGAAAGTAAATAACGAAAAAGAAGTTAACGATACACATACACAAGATAGTGCGCTCAAAGGCAAAACACGGAGTGAAAGGTAGTGCAAAAGGTGGTGAACCGAGCGAAAGATTGTGATAGGTTGTGAACAGAGTGGTCACTGGGCACCATAATCACTACAATACTGATGGTAAGCACAGATATGTTGTAGAGATATAAGAGAACATATCAGAGATGCGATGTGAGCAAGAAGTCCCGTCTCACTGGAGAACTCCTGCCTTTGTTCCCGGCGACTTTTCTTTCGGCCTTTCCTATAGCACCACATTTCCTATAGCTTCTCAAGAGACATTCCAGCAGCTGTTATAAACATTGTGGTTTTAGAATTATAACATTCAAATATGCGCTTTGATGTTGCAACAATTAGCTTCTATATAGGTACTGTTTACGGACTGCAGTAGGAGCCGGAATTATAGTGCTCAGGGTTCCGAAGTCGGTTTTAAGTACGCATCGCGGTATACAGCATTTGCTTTCTAAAACTCCTAAATAATATAAATTTGCTTGTGGAGTGGTTAAAGGTGTCACTGATGCCCTCTGGCTAACAGTATCTTACCAAGAGTATCGCAGTTTACGGGTAATTCTCCCGAGGTCATGGCGTATGTCAGTTGATGCGGCTGATTATTTCGTAAAGTCTCGTTTTACCCCTGATTTTTATTTGCGAGAGGTCGCTTGATACGAGCAAAAAAAGAAGTACCGTACGTAGTTTTACGTAAGCGTTACATTGTTACTAGTTTCGAACATTTATTTAAAAATTAAAACACAAAACACCTGAACGTTAGTGTACAGTATACAGTTGTACCAAAGTACCTAGCTGCAGAATAGATTTTCGCCGAAGTTACGTTAAAATATCATAAATACTATATCAAGGGGTTGTGGAGTTTCGGCAGATAAGTAACATACTTTCCGGGACAGAAAACAGAAATAATAACATTATTGAATGGTGCATATGGAAGACAGAAAATAAGCACTAATAGTAATGGTAACGCCGGGTCAGAGGTCTCTTGTACACGCCGATGTACTGTTGGCAGCTTGGACAGTAGTGGTAGGCATCTTTGAGAGAATCGATACTAAAAATTAATGGTTTAAAATACACAGTTAGCAACTCGAGTCAATAATCTACCTGAATACGTGATTCAGTAAAGCACAATTGATACAGTTTTATGAAGTGCGGTGTTGTACCAATAATTATCTACAATTGCCAAATGTAAGTACCGTATTACGGTATAATCGGTCTACGATTACTTACCATGTCGGAATCAAGCAACATCCGCAAATACCTCCTGCAAACGGTGTAGAATAAAATAATAAAATGAAAATCACGCTACGTACAAATTTTGCTCAATAGATGTATACGTTCTTCGTACCTATTACGGCCAGTGGCAAGAAGCTCAATTATTTTCAGGTTTTATGGAGCTCTTCTAAGTTTTAGTTTTGAACCCAGACACCAAAATAATTAAATTGTGTATATAACAAGATGTTTTCAATTAACGCCCAAAGAAGCTTTGACGCGTGGTTTACAGGTAGCGTTGCAACGATAATTATTATGACGACAGAGTTAAATTAATGCTATTATTTCGTTATACTCGTATGTCAAACTTACCAAGGAACGCTATTATGCCCATACAAATATATGTCAGCGAGCCGCTGCGATATTCAACCACGGTGGTAACTGTCTGGTTGCAGTGAGGACATCTGCACAATGAAAACATAATATGTAATGCCACGAGGGTTTGACTAATTGCAAGTGTACTGTACGTATAGCCAAATTACAGACCAACCCGAGATTTGATGTTATAATTTTAAGAAGCTTCCCAAAAATAAAACAATCGAATGCATGAAAGAAAACAAATTCCGCTTATAGGTTTGATTGGTCTTTATACAAGTATCATTTGGTATCTACATTTAGCATACGTTGTAGTTAATGGGTCGGGATAGATCATTACTCCTGGAGCTGGAGCTTGAGCATACACCGGAAGTTGCACCATCTGCACTACGGGAGCAACCGGCACCTGCCCTGGCATGCTGGATTCGTGAGAAGAAGGAAAGGGCTCTGCGGCCAAAGCCTTTATAATGATTATTAAAACATTATCATTTGTCAGACATATTTGTAATTTTTGTTATTCAGCTTACTTGCGGATGGATCATTTGTCGAGGGTACTCCAGACGTTCGTGTCATTTCGACGTAAAAATGCAATCTCAGAATAAATTATATATCCAAACACTGCGCGGCCATTAATGTATAGATATTTTTGTACAAGTATGTATGTTCTTTATTACAGTTTGATGGATAAAATCAAGCTCTGCAGTATAGTTTTGATTAAGAAAATAAGTACAGATAGTGAGCGTAAAATGCTTAAGAATATCTCTGTTTTCAGATGATTACGAGTCTTTTAGCTCGTATATCGGTCGAAACGACTGTTTGTTAACGTAACATCACAATGACAAACGCATTGGAATTCCAAAATGATTCCAGTTTTACACGGTGAGGTCGCACGCGTTGATGACGGTAAAAAAGTTAAAACGTTGCATATGTTGCCTGTATTGTTTGTACTCGTACGGTAAGTTGTGATTTATACTACTGCAACCATAAGGTGTGACGAGTTCCACGTACACTGTCGGGCCTTTTGCAGTTGTCATTCGGCAAAAGTGGCCGAAGACGTTAATCATCGAATATTTTCGGAGGTGTTTAATACCCGAGTCTCTCTAAGACGCTCTCCGCACGCATGTGAATTACTCAGCCAGTGTATCGTCGAGTTTCAACAAGTTAGGTACTTCGAGAAGTATATGTATCATAATTATTATGATATGGTATGGTTTCAACAAATTGTTTTTTTGCGAAAACCTGCAAACCGAACCCGTCAAACGCGGGAAAACAGGTCAAAAAGCGTAATTATTTATTATGGATACCGGTGTAGGTATTGAAGCTCTTTAAATTTATACACGGTAATCGTGCATGTACTGTACGTTGCTAACTCTTTCAATACCGTAAGTCTATGAGTTTGTACAAAGAAGGAAAACCATAAACACTTATAAAAACCTCTTCAAAATCTCTTACATGCCGATCCAGTTTTTCACAACAAAAGTAATACTGCATATATACGAAAAAGGGCACATACAACACCTACCAAGAGCCTTCTAAATTCGAAGCACCTAAAATTACAGACCGCATAGTATCAGTAATTCAGTATGTAACACAGACCACTAGCCAAGAGCTAGTACCGGTATAATTATAGCCCACGTATGCAGTCGCTACGAGTAATGTGACATTAAATGTTATCTTACAGCTTTTTTTACATCAGTCAGAAAATTAGTTTTAATGTTGTGCTCTTGTAAGAATGCAATTGCAGTATCTGTACAATAGATTAATAACTTAAGCGCCTAATACAAATAGCGCGATCATAACAAACACATGCACACTAACGGCAACAGCTAATGCGTAGAATATTGAATACGCATAATATTTCCTGCTCGGACCGATTTTATAACTGTTATTAAGAACATTTTTGTTGTTCGCTTTCGCACGGAATTTCTACATTAACGCTTTCGGAAATGCAGCGCACCCGTGAATCCATACTAAGATCTATTGAACATGCAGCGTATGGAGTCATATAATTATTGCTCCAGCTAAAAACTTTTCAAAACGCTGACTTTTGCATACATAAAAAGGGGCGTCGAAATGAATCGGCGTGCGTGTTGGGTGCCCATAAATGTGCAGGCAAGCTGTGTTTCGTATGCAAAAATAGTCATCGATGCGCGCTTACACATACACACAAACAACGTTACTATACACAAATGCTAACGGATCACGTTTGCATCCTTTCGTACAAGGTGCTACATGGCAGATGCCGCTTCTCGGACGAGAAGGCGGGCGCATATGAGTCAGCTGCGGCCGACTATAGTGCATTTAATACAGAAACGGCGCGATTCTAATTCCGTCTCAGCTTGTTCGCACCGCAACTCGGAGGATATACGCCAAAATCTTTGCTTCAATCGGTAGCACTGGTTATTAGTTTGGGGAGTCATTCAGTTGTGCAGTTGGCATTTTGAGTGATTTGGATCCGAGATTTGGACGGTATCGCCCTTATACAGTTATCCGCATCGGTGCAGATCTCCATTCTTTTCAATTCCCATCCCCGCCAGATTAATCGGTAAGGTAGAACTGGCACGACCTTATCTCCGGATGCCGCTCAACAAGGCGATGCATATTCCACAACCGGCATTTTTAACGGATATTATTGTTAATATCGTAGAAAATGCCTTTCGTCCCAGCAGAACAGAACAAGTGCCCCAAGTGCGGCAAGAGCGTCTATCCCGCCGAAGAGCGAATTGCCGCCAGTGGAAAATGGCACAAGACCTGCTTCAAATGCGGTAAGCAATAGGACAAAAAATATTGTAATACATGCGCTGCGTACTACGACTCGCAGTAAATTTCCCTTATCATGCGTGCATTTTGTTATTGTTGAAAATCCGTGTTTTTACCGTTCAGGCGATTCATTTTAATGTCAGTCACCGTAATCAATAACCAAGAAATGCATTAGTGAACGATGTTTTAATACAAATAATACAATCGTTAAGATCGCTGTATTTGCTAGTTTGCTATATACTACAATGAATGCCCGCATCTTTTGTTGCAGTTTGTATAAATACAGTATAATTGTTCGTTTTATGATGCTCACTAGAGCTGTGACGTTCGGAATGCCGCTCAAACTGTAATTATGCGTTATAAAAGCGGCATTTTAATTACAGGACTCTGCAACAAATTGTTGGACTCTACCAACGTGACCGAACACCACGGAGAGCTGTTTTGCAAACAGTGCTATGGCCGCAAGTTCGGACCTAAGGGTGTCGGTTTCGGAGGCGGAGCTGGCGCACTGTCCATGGATGTCGGTGAACATCTCGGAAACCGAAACACCGAAATGACGTAAGTGTAGTGCACCTTTGTAATTTTTACGCTCCTTTAACGTCGTATCACAAAACCTATTTCATAAAACAAATAGCTGTGAACAGTAATAACGGCAAAATACCAAAGATACCCAGCTAATCGTAAGCAGCGCATGCCGGTCTAATGCATGCAGCAGTTAAAACTCTGCATGTTATTCAAATCCGACTGCCGCGTCATCCTGCCGCTCAGTTAATGACTGTAAAAACTTCTAAATTTAAATCCCCGTATCGTTGCACCGCTGAAAGCTGACGATTCTTCGTATCTGACATGATCTGAAACAGCTGCTATGTCGTCCGTTTCTCTTTCTGCTGCCGCTGCCAATTTGCTTACAAGGTGCCCGCTGTACGCTACGCTCCATAATTTCAGCTTGGCTGCTATGACGCATACACGCCCATTCGCAAAATATTTGGCATGGGATTCTTTTTCCTTTAGGATTTGTTAACTTTGGTGTTTTGCCGCAGCTGAAAAATTTCGATACAACGTCGCACTTCCTTTGCATAATTGAAACGAAGTGTGATGCTGCTCTTTCTCTGATGAGAGATCGCGGCAAATGCCTTATTTAATTAAGATATCAACCGAATCTGCTACGGTTTACTTACGACCGTGTTTAAACAACAACATTCTTCCGTTGCAGAAACGCTCACCACTCAAACCAGTTTTAAACTCCTGGATTTTGGATTCGTGTTGCGCATTTTATTAATCTTACATCAGCATAATCTATTTATACCTTCACTGTTTTGTTTTCTTCTGTGAACGGGATAAAATGGATTGTTATTTTTTATTTGAGTGCTATGCGATTTGTAGACGCTCAGTTGAACTGTTCATCCGATCAGCTAACTGTAATCAGTGTAATGACTAAATAAAAGTACTAATTAAATAGTACTTTATTAAAACGAAAATTTCCAGCCAGTCTCCTTTAATCGTTTAATACATAGTGAAAGCATAAATTACGTAATTTACGTCTCCATGTCTTGTATACAAGACATGGAGACAGGCACGTTTCGAAATAAATTGCGATAAATGGTTTAAACATTCAGAAAAAAGTGTTACAATTCATGTACAGATAAACAAAGCTTATTGATAGGTAGATCAGTAGCTGCTATCGTGGAAATTAAGGAAGTGGCAATTTTGGAAAGCGGATTAGGGTTACTTTATAACGCGAACTTCTTATGGTCATCAAAATTTATGTGTGATAATTTACTGTACATTTAATACAATGCCGTAACGGGCATGTGTAAGTTATTATAGAATAGAATGAGCTTTTATTAATTTTCTCAGTATATGTATAGGTTAGCTGCGCTCAGTACAAATTTGTAGAATCGAATGAATAGAATATTTCTATGCCGTTTGACTTTTTTCAGTTGCTGTAACATACAAAAAAGCATGTAAGTATAGTAAACTGATTACTGTATTTAGACTTTAGTATTGCACTTCAGTATTGTGCTTTTGACGGCGACCGCTCTCATCCGCTATCATCCTGGAGGTCAAGTTGCCTTCCCTTCGTGGACGATCTGTATTCTGTATAAGCATTAAACAGTAAAAAACATTGATTAATTAGATGAATACTGATCATCTGTGCCAGGACTTCGGCCCCTCTCCTTTTAATTATTACAGTTAGAATACTCTGATATTTTCGTACAAGGCTTCGAAAGCGATTAAGCGATTCTGTTGCTAATCTGCAACTACATGTAGTAATTATTTGTATCTTATTTCTTGAGCTATACGATAACGATAAGAGCCCTCCGAAACGCAACTGCGAGGTTATAGACCATCTATCATTAAGTACTAAATAGCGCCTCGATTTTAGACGCGGTACAAATACGTATTGTTAGTTGGCTGGTTGGTGATTTGAATTCTGGAATACTGCGGACCAAGACTCACGCAAAATGGCTCCGTACAAGTCGTTTGGGCCCATAAGAAGATCGCATGTGGCAAATACCCGACCGTTCGATTTTCTTTACGGTAAATCTTAGAGATATTTCCCTGCTGACGTTCGGATCACGTACAGTACTTCGTAATATCCCTAGTACTGATTTTGTGCTAATGAAACCCGAGAGGTCACGCAGTATTTTTTTGTTGTTACACTTCATAAATTGCAACTTATTCCTTAGATCCAACGAATCATTCCAGCAGTCTTAAGACGCACTACCACAATGCTGCAAAAGCGCGTTCGCAACCCAACGATTTGGTAATGTCTCGTTTCATGACTAACTTGTACTAATGGTGTACGAATTCTTCCTCATCATCGATTACCCTATCGAATCATTGCAGCAATACGTGGCCATTTATCCACATATATTCTCCGGGCTCCCGCGTACTCAGCGCGGACACTTTGAGTTCAAAGATGGTGCCCGATATCCCTATCACATGGACTTCGGTTATCCAAAGTGAGCAAGTGAGCGAAAACACTGTTTCACCATGAAACTAAATTACGCAAACCACCAATTCGAGTTTTGTGCAGACCACTGGGAAAAAATGCCACCAGCTTAGCAGCGACTGTGCGTGGGCGTGATCGCTGGGAAACTTATACACGGTAACCTGGCGAACATTCAACTTTAATGGTCTGCTGTTTTGTCACTGGCTATTTTACTCGTAATAATTCATTTTCATATGTAGCCCCAACATTCCTCACTTTGATGGGGACATCCAGTATTTAGATTACAACTATCCATTGTCCCGAGAAGTCAAAGATCATGCGCAGTTGTCAACAAATGCCGCCACAGACGGACTGAATTTCCAAGCCCAAAATTCGCGGCACATCGCTTGTCAAACGGACTACCGCGCCCAGTCTGCTCAGACCGACCCAGCGGAACTGGGCACCAAAATGAAGGAAGTCTATCATTACTTTGATACAGTGTATCCGAAAAACTATAAGCCGTTTACCAACAAGACAATGAACCTTGTCAAACGAGGACTGCGGCGAAAAGAGATGCAGAAGCTGTTTAAAGGTAGCGGTCAATACGATGCACCCGAAGAACAAATGAAACAGTTCGAACGACTGGAGCATGAAAAATGGGAATATCTTGGGAAAGAGATGCAAGAGTATGTTAAATATTTAACACACAATAGGCTTAGGAAGCTGAGATCTGCCGTGAAACTAAACACTTTATTATTTAAAACAGGCATATGGAGGACAAGAAGGAGGCCTTTATAGAGACTATCCAGCAAAGCCAACAGTATTTGGCACAAAGGATCGACGAAGCGAAGCAGTCATTGGAATCCAATCAGCAGCAGCGGTTTGATGCCGAAATGTCCGTTATTTGGTACGATGTTCATATCTGTGAGTTTTAACTGCAACGTTCTACGCTCTCATTGGTTAACCGGTACCGGATTCAGGGCGAAGATACTACAACTGGAAACACCGATTCATGGAGCGCACGATCTACAAATGGCAGACCAACCCAGCCGATGTGGATTTGATGAAGCAAGCTTCAGAAGCGTTTGGTCATGATGCCCGACGCTACTTTCCAAAAGCCAATCAGGGGGACATTGTGACAAATTTAACCTGGGACAACAAGCCAGATTACTACATGGATACCTGGCAGGGCTTCTCAGAAGTTCTGAAAGACATGGATCCTTCTAACATCCGCGCTGATATCTATCTTCCAAGAAAGGATAACATTTACGGACCCAAAGGTTATGTGAAGAGGAAGTTTAAGGAAGCGGCAAGGTTCGAAGCGATATCATTTGATCTAGCTGGTAAGATCGGCCTAACAGTAAATTTTCCTTAAAAAATAAGAATATAAAAAGAGCGGAGTACAGGGGGAAGTCTGGATGACTCTAATGTTGACCTGATCGACAAGAAGAAAAAACGTAAGCCCCCAGCTTTACTTCGCCCAAAAGCCGTTCCCGAAAAACCACGCCCCATGTTGTCCGTGCCGCCTTTGGATGTTGACCAGATTGAGACGTTCCGAGCCGCTGTAATTATACAGAAGCTGGTCAAAGGCAGAACTATGCAGAAAATGGTAAAAACACATAAAACAGTTTTTAAAGTGCACTACAATATATCAAGCTTACTGAAACAGATACAAACCGGAATACGACTACGAAAGGCTTTAATCGACGAAGTGCGCGGCAACGTAGCCCTGACCGACCGCGCCAAGATCGAGATGAAACAACGCTACGAAGAAATGCAGGAGCGGGGCCGTGCCATTATGTTCCATCGCTACAGAGTTTGAATAAACTTTGAAATCACAACTAAAAACATTTTCTGTGTAATACATAGTGTACTTCATTTGCAGATGCACTTTATTGAAAGTTTCTTGTCATCACTGGAAGCGCAAATTGGCACAGAAGTTTTGAGAGAAAAACACTACGAGCTGGTACGGCAGTTGGAGTTCAATGCCGTCGATCGGTGGAAACGTTTCGCGGAAACTCAGCGGCGAATGCGAGAGTCCCACGAAGCTGGACGAAGGCAACAGGATTACCGACGATACATGGAACAGGAAGCCACAGTTCAATTGGTCAGTAGCCGGTAGTAATGTTGTTTCACTTATTTGTTGCATCAGCTGATTGTCTCCACAGTTCCAACAAAACCATCATATACCGGCCGAAAGAGCAGTGTTAAGTGCTGTACACCGTGCTGAACAACATTTAGCCAAGGAAACCTTTATTAATAAACAGAAATCCACTTGGGAAAATATTGTCAGCGCAGAAGCGCATTTCACAAGAGCGTGAGTAAACTTGCATACCCAGTAACAGCTGACGATGTATATTCTGTCGTGACCTTGATATTTTTTGTTTGATGTCTAGGATGACTCAACAGGAGAAGGAAACCTTTATTGCTTCCATGGTTTACAGCGTTCTCATACCCGATGTTCACCGCCGTATTTTACGAGAACATCGTAAGTGCACACGGTTCCCAAAAGCTGCATAAACTATCTCATTATGATTTGTTATACAGAGAACTTGGCCATGGAAAGCCGACGGATGTCTATCCATGATACGTTGTTCGGAGCCATGTCGCAACTGACAACGACTATGCAACGCCAGTCGACAGAAACGCCAACCACGGAAACACCGAAAGATGCGAAATACCGTCTCCAACATCCAAAAATCTTGCCAACTATCACTCCTCCGATTCACCGTCTCGATAGGCACGGTAGAGCGTACCAGACGTACATCAAACGACGTCTGGGGATGATGCGTGCAATGGATGTCGAGTATAATTTCGCCCATGGTGTGGAAATATTCCATCCTTTGACGGATTATTTCCGAGCGAAATATCCTCGCGACCTGCGCAAACGCCAATGCCAAGTTGGGTTGCAAAGGCTGCAACATGCCGTCAATATCATTGTGGAAAAGCAAGCGCGCAGTTCAGGACTCAGAAGGAAGAGAATTCTGCGGAGGAAGCGACCTCGCTACCACCACCGATTCGATCGAATAGACAGAGCGCGTTTAATGGAAATTGCCGACGATCCTAATCCGCAGCTAAACGACACACAGCAAGCAGTCATCGAAGAAATGTTTGCAGAAGAAGCTCCAGAACTGAGTGAATCGCAACAAGAGTGCGTTGCTCAAGAGAAGCGCAAAAACGCACGTGAGAAAGCATCGGCACTGGTGGACCAGACGAACGACTGGTTGCAGGAGCAGGTCGACATCTATCGCCAAAATCAAGTTCGCCCTTACGATCTTCCGCCCCTGAGGTCGACGTTGCCGCAACCACCGGTGCATATCGAAGGCAACACCGTATCGCTGTATGACGTGGATATGGTCAGCAAACTGTCGGCTGTGACCTTAACGGCGCACACTACTGGAGAAAAGGAAAATGATCGGGATGATGTGGTGACACTCAAGGAAATTAATGTGGACGAGTTTATTCCCAAGGATCCAGCTGAGGATGAACATGTTCGAGCGCGAATCATCCAAGCTAAATTAAACCACTGATTCGAAATACCTATTTTAAGTTAACGTCTTTCGCACAGCGTCGTTGAAAAAAGTGTATGCTTATAACAGTATGGTCAAACGACACAATGCTTACGGTCAGGCAATACACTGCGGTACAATGATTTCGAACCATTTCTACGAAACGCAAGCGAGCGAAGCAAGCTTGCTTGACTATCCCGTCCCAGTATTGTCACCATCGAATACCTTGTGTTAGGAGCGTGGCTCTGTTCGTTAGGTTGCCGGCTGTACGGAGAATATCTTACGATATTCTGCTGTACGCCGATAGCCTAGTGGTGCCTCTCTCGGCCTTAGAGTACAGAGGACGCGGGTTCGATTCCCGCAATCGGCAGATTTTTTGCGAGTTATGTAGTCAGCAGCGGCCAGTCTGGCACTTGGTATAAAGTCGCGCAAAAATTGTTACTCGTTAGTATCATTTGCACAACGTTATGTCTTATGTATGTAGAAATGAATTAAAAAAATTGTCTTTTGGTATTGACTGAAATAGCAAAGATTTCCAAAGTGCTTTCTGCACAAAAGCATGCTATTTACTGTACAACCAGTTAATAACTTCAAAATCGCTAGCTGCGCGCCCAGCAATTTAGGCCGCGCATTCGGAACACAGAAGTTCAGAACTCTGATGGTAGATGCCAATCTATAATACTTAATAGAACATAATAACAGCTTTATAAAACATTTCCAGCAGCAGTTTACTAACGCGCAACGGAAACGTTCATTAATCTCGTATCAAGTTACCAAGCACTGGAAAGCACACAGGCCCGCTTTTCTATTGTTGGCCTGACCTCCAGAACCCTTTACATACTTCCGGTACTTTGTTTTCACCGTGATACTCTATCAATTTTGAAGCAAGTTCGTTCGACTTTGTGTTACTCCAAGCGAAGTATTTTTGGACATACCAGCACCATTCTCGAAGATTACAAACCATGCTCGTATTACTGACTACCAGATTATGAAGAATCCTGTTGCTGATTCTTGGCTTGAGTTGCACGAAAGTTTCTGTGTTTATCAAAAGCTGGTGCACTAAATATGAGATTTTTCTTGTGGTGTCTGGCAATTTTATCCTTAGCTGCGCCGAGTTTTGGTCAGTTTGATGCTCAAGTCGCTCAAGCAAAAAGCGTGGGGGTTCCTGCTGCTTCCATAATAACTCTGCCAGAGCCTGTAATTAGTGGGGACATAGGTTGGTGCAAGTTGGCTTAATTTCTCAAGTACTATTATTTTATAAATAGGGATGTCGTCCAACTTATCGTCGCTCACATCTCATCGGCCACTTCCTGACCGTAGTTTGAAACAGAACGATTTACTGCATAAAGCTCAATGCGGTTTAAAACAGTTATATCGTAAATTACATCTACTAAATAAAGTAATATTAAAGCAAGTTAAAAGAAAGGTTCCTTTGTAAGGAGACCACGAAAATTCACCACCAAAGCCATTGGAGTTGCTATTATTTCTAATATTTTCTATACAATGTTTCTAGATGACCGTGTTGTTGTATATGGAGCGGACTCCAATAAGCACAGTTCTTGTGCTGTAGCGGATGACAGATTTCAGTGGGAACGTTGGGGTTATTTAACGGTTTGTCAGTGTAGCAGAATCGAGTATAACAGTGCCGGCACGAACAGAACTCCGTGGGACTATGGTTCTGAGCTGGAAACGGACGACGGTATCACTGGAGGAGCACTGTATTTGGATGGAAATTACAACAATACCGGTCTGACCTACATCGAAGCAGGTGTATGCGTACCAGGACCATGCTGCGACCAGCAGCAGTTCAGAACAAAGGCGGCGACTCCACCAACATGGACCCGAGCACCAAGTACAGAGTGGCGTTAACAGTATACTGAGTAACACTTTTAAAATACTGTTAAAAGATTTTGCAATGAAAATTATTTGCTAGGTTGGTTTTACGAGATTGTTTTTACGAGAATTTAGCCATGATAGTTAAATTTTGTTGGTTAATCGCTTAGCTGAATCGACAACGACCATCACGACGACAACGCCGACCACGACATCCGCGGGCACAAGTACGACAACAACCACAACGTCCACCAGTACAACGACCGTTCCGACAACAACAACTACGTCTACGACTACCACATCGACTACAACAACGCCCACTACCACCACATCCACCACAACCGAACCTACTACCACAACGACACCCACGACAACGACCACGCCTACTACTACCACCACCGAATCAACTACTGCAACAACACCCACGACAACTACGACAACGACCACGCCTACTACTACCACTACCGAATCAACTACCACAACAACAGCACCCACGACGACAACGACCACGCCTACTACGACCACCACAGAACCAACAACCACAACACCGACTACGACCACCACAACGACAACGACCACAACTCCTACCACAACCACGGAGACTTCGACAACTACCGAACCAACAACCACAACACCGACCACGACTACTTCTACCAGTACAACAACAGAGCCGACAACAACCACGCCCACCACGACGACTACTCCAGAAACGACAACTACAGAAGAACCTACGACAACAGAAGAGCCAATTACCACTACGGAAGCCACTACAACCACAACACCGACAACCACAACTACACCAACGACGACTACAACAATGACAACGACAACGCCAACAACCACACCAAAAACGACCACAACACCCACTACCAGGACATCGACAACAACCTCCACAAGTACTACGAGAACAACGACACCAACAACTACGACGAAACCAACTACTACAACGCTGCGAACAACAACGCCAACGGTAATTTGTGTTACTTTCTCGTTAAACAAGGAAAGGAAAGCACAAACGAATAATCACCTTTCGTAAACGTATATAAAAATACATATAACCGTACAGTAAAGTGCAAGTCCTTGCAATTTTGTTAGTAACTGTTTGCCTTAATATTATTATGCGCAGTTTGCTAACAAGGTAACCACTTACTGGGAAAGAGCACGTTGTAGACAACAAGGACAACCAGAACAACAACCACAACGCTACCTCCAATGTGCGCGCAGCCATATACGTTCCCAATGAAACCAAATCCACCGCCTCCCACTAGTATTATGAACGCGGGCTGTTATATCTATCCGGATACGTATGCCAACCCACTTGACACTTGCAGACATTTAACAGCCGCCGACAAACCAGACAAAAGCTATTTCTGGTGGTGCTGTGCCAAGTGGTCTCAAAATCCTAATTGCCAAGGACCTCAGTATCCCCCTGCGAAACCATTAAAGACCGGATAACAGATTTTGTAGAATCCAAGGATGTCAATGCTACCTCGAGTTGAGAAAATAAATTCTCGAACCGGAAAACATTCACTACTATTAAATGCTACCAGAATATCCGCGAACAGTATACAGTGTTCCGATAGTTTCGACGTCCGACGACCCGTTATGTTGGCGGAGCACTGGAATTTGTCAACAAAAACTATTTGCCTACTCGTATAGTAAAATCCACATACGAAAGCATGATCTATCTACAAAAATTAATTACTGGGAATTTCAGTAATCGGTAGTTACTATGCGTCGATGAACTTGTCTGCAAATACATTGACTTCTAGAGCCGTTATTGTGGCCTGCGTTACCTTTAGTACCGCACTGCAGCGTATAACTGACAAAGAGTCACTGCCGGTAAGCGCATCAAAACAGCAATTTTCAACTCTCATTTTCAGCGATTTGGCAAACAAAAGTGAAAGAACAGTTCGGCTGAAATTGTATGCAGTCAAAAAGACTAATTACATATGTACAATACAGTAGGTCGATACAATATAATTTTCGGTGATCGGACACGTTAAAGTTCAACATAAACGCAACTGTTACCGGCACTGCCTTTTTCTCATCCCGCTACCATTCGGCACTATGGTTTATGCATGCAAAACCTGCATGGTGGTATCTACCGCATATCGTGACCTGCATAACGTAACATAACGGCATGCATAAGTCTTTTGTGATCCGAAATTAAGATTTCTGTGCGCAAAAACTCTAATGACGAATGTAAATTATTGAGTGAAAGGCGCAAGTATATATAGTACCGGAAAGGTCACAAAAAATGGACGAAAACGTGCATTGCTATTCAGGAGTACAGATACAAAGAAAAGAAAAAGGCACTCGTACCGCCGTGGTGCAAGATAATGTGATCATACTGACGTACTAAATGCCTAACAATGATTTACGTCAAGACTGCACTGAACGAAGGCTCAGATTTCGCTCATTACTACTGAGTGGGGCCCTGACCGAAGCGAAAGAAAAGAGATTAATTTCCTTTTGGTGAAATAAAAACATGAAAACTTTAAATCCGTGTTTATAAAATTTTGAACTTCCCTACCATACCTTCTACCTAACTAACTTCCCACCTAAGCAGAAACAAAAAATTAATGCCAAACAAATAATTTAGTCATTTCTTTAGCAACGCAAACCGTAAATACATATTGGCGTGCGTACTCTCCAAAACTTTCACACTTACCCATTGGATCCATCACTCTTTTTCTTAAGAGTTTAAGTTTACTTTACAAAAGTGTGAACTGTACCAACCTCATTCCCGTAAAGTTATCATGTGCAATAAAAAAGCCATCAGTGAGTTACTATTATCACCACCGCATGGATGCATGTGATACAAACGATATTTTTAATCTTTGTTCCCATGGAATTTTTATCCATGAATCCGCCTTCCGCGCACGCGGTACAGCCTTGTTTCGCTTGTTCCGCATACGTTCTAAGATGTTTACGTTTCTGGTTTGCATCAAAGTGTTAATATTTTAATTTTAGGACGAAACATTGTTCGGTTCGTTAACGGCAACAGGTTCAGCGAGAGGCAACACTAATTTTCTTTCTCAACATCGGTTTAAAAAATCTGCAGGAGCTTATGGTTATGATGACTTACAGCCATCAACACGCACCACCACAGATGAGCCCGTTACATGCCATGGGCGCTGCCTGGGAAGATGTATTGCTGGAGTTTGTTACAGATCGACCTTTCGGACTAACCCGTTTACGGATGCATCAGCCACTGAAACCGGAAGAATTACAGCATTATCAAGTTTGTTCAGAACCCTGACCACGACCTCCCTGGACAGTATATTAACCAGTGCAATATCGACGCCATCATCGGCTTTTGTTGAGGTGCCACCGAACGGTATTATTCGAAGGGAGTACCCTTCTCTTTGGATTACGCCACTCTAGGAACAACTGTTTACGCAGCGAGCGAGGCGGCTTTAGACAGTTCAGAAAGCGAATCAATTTTACCTGACCAGAGCGTTCCATATTCGATAAGTGCAGATAGTGTCAGTATTGTCGCCACTATTCACGTGTACACCACATGCAGTTGATATGCGCAATTACCTGTAGTCCCAAACATCGCTGCAGTTACATGAAAGGTTTTTTTTTCACAAAGAAAACCGACCTAAACTGGCTCGAGTGTTATAACGTCGTGCCCCCCCCCCCAGCTGACAAAGAAAATCAGTACTCAAATGAAAATGTTGTATTTTTTACTTTAGATCCAGTGGTCACAGCGACACCGCTATCAACAGAAGTACCCGATATCGTCATGACCCTAAATACACCACCAACCACTGAGCCAACTACCATAACACCGGTTATCATGAACATGGAGCCAACAACCATTGCACCGGTTCCGACGACCAGGGAGCCGACCAGAACGACACTGGTCACAACGACCCCGGAGCCGAGCACTACGATGCAGGTTACAACGACCACGCACAGGACATCTACGAGACCGCTTCCGACGACCACTACTGTGACCTCCGAACCGACCACAACGGCGCCGGTTACGACGACCACTGAGCCGACCACTACGACGACCTCCGAACCGTCAGCCACTACACTGGTTCCGACGACCACTGAGCCAACCGCAACGACACCGGTTACGACGACCACGGAGCCGAGCACAACGACGCCGGTTACGACGAGTATGGAGGCGACCACTGCGACGCCGGTTACGACGAGCATGGAGGCGACCACTACGACGCCGGTTACAACGACCACGGAGCAGACCACTACGACGACCTCCGAGCCGACAACCCCTACACCGGTTACGACAACCACGGAGCCCACCACTACTGCAACCTCCGAACCGACCACAGCGACGCCGTTTACGACGAGTATGGAGGCGACCACTGCGACGCCGGTTACGACGACCATGGAGCAGACCACTACGATGCCGGTTACAACGACCACGGAGCAGACCACTACGACGACCTCCGAGCCGACAACCCCTACACCGGTTACGACAACCACGGAGCCCACCACTACTGCAACCTCCGAACCGACCACAGCGACGCCGTTTACGACGAGTATGGAGGCGACCACTGCGACGCCGGTTACGACGACCATCGAGCAGACCACTACGATGCCGGTTACAACGACCACTGAGCCGACCACTACGACGACCTCCGAACCGTCAGCCACTACACTGGTTCCGACGACCACTGAGCCAACCGCAACGACACCGGTTACGACGACCACGGAGCCGAGCACAACGACGCCGGTTACGACGAGTATGGAGGCGACCACTGCGACGCCGGTTACGACGACCATGGAGCAGACCACTACGACGCCGGTTACAACGACCACGGAGCAGACCACTACGACGACCTTCGAGCCGACAACCCCTACACCGGTTACGACAACCACGGAGCCGACCACTACTGCAACCTCCGAACCGACCACAGCGACGCCGTTTACGACGAGTATGGAGGCGATTACTGCGACGCCGGTTACGACGACCATGGAGCAGACCACTACGATGCCGGTTACAACGACCACGGAGCAGACCACTACGACGACCTCCGAGCCGACAACCCCTACACCGGTTACGACAACCACGGAGCCCACCACTACTGCAACCTCCGAACCGACCACAGCGACGCCGGTTACGACGAGTATGGAGGCGACCACTGCGACGCCGGTTACGACGACCATGGAGCAGACCACTACGACGCCGGTTACAACGACCATGGAACCGACCACAACGACGCCGGTTACGACGACCTTGGAGCCGACTACTACTGTGACCTCCGAACCGACCACAACGACGCCGGTTACGACGACCATGGAGCCGACCACTACGATGACCTCCGAACCGACAACCACTACACCGGTTACCACGACCACGTTGCCCGCAACCATGTTGCCCACCACCATGGCAACGGTTTCAACGTCCACTAAGGCGACCGCAATGATACCGGCTACGACGACTACCCCAACTATCGCAACGACTACCATACCAATCACTTCAGCTATGACTGTGACAACAACCACAAGGCCGGCCACCACGAGACCTGCTTGGACGACTTCAGAACAATCCCCCATGGCATCGTTTACGGCTAGAACTAATTGGTCAATGGAAGCCACTCCAACCCCACCAGTCAACTCAGTTGTGGCTGTTATCCAGCCGAACAACAGCGCTACTACAAGCACTATAGTTCCTCGCTTCTTTACAGCGACTGTGTCAGTAAGTATCCCCACTGAAACCCCTGTCATGGTTAGTACGCCATTCGCGACAGCTGCTGCCACAGCATCAACGACTGACAGATACGCCGCACCCATTTCTACGCCCACGTCATCGGGTGCGGTTATGAATTCAGCGGGTGTGACGACTAGAAATGCGACAATACAACCAGTTGTCCTGCCAAGTCCCGCTACAGCTGTAGCCCCATCGACTGTAGTCAGCAACCGAGCCTTGCCTGTCATGACAGAAAAGTTGCAGTTGACAGCGGAATCTGCCAATTCCATGACTGCAAAAGCAGCCACTTCGATAACCTTCTCGATCCCTCCCGTTACCACTTCAACCATTAAATCCACCACAACGCCTACCACCACCTTGACGACTCATACCACAACTACAATAATACCTTTAACGACGGTAATTCAGATTTCGTTGCCTGCGAGCAGACCAGTTAGCAATCTACGAATGATGAAGTACTTACAAAAGGTTTTCGATCACCCTGTCGTATTTTTCACAGGCGGTCGTCTGTAAATATGAATTTGTTAATTAGAGGATCAGTAACTTAGTATACTAACCGTTAGAATTTTCTGTAGACGAGGACAACCCGCACAACCACAACAACTCTACCGCCACAATGTGCTCTTCCTTATCCTTTTCCAATGGTGCCGCATCCACCTCCTCCCACTAGTATTATGAATGCGAACTGCTACATCTATCCGGATATGTTTGACAGTCCAATCGACACATGTAGACATCTGACGGCCGCTGACAGAAAATCTCCCAGCTACTTTTGGTTCTGCTGTCCGAAGTGGCTCCAGAATCCGCTTTGCCAAGGGCCACAGTACCCACCATCGCGACCTCCACAAATAGGCTGAGTACGCCTATCACAATCAGTTTCGCACACATTCCGTTTTTAATCTGCTTGTAGGTTGACAGAATGCCGGTTTTTGGATGACCTCAATGCCGAAGCCTTTTGAGTCGGTTGACTATAAATCGGATTATGAGTATACCCAAATTAAAAACAGCCCCTTACTTTGCCAGTGATAAAAGGAGCTGCTTTCGAAAACGGCAACTGTCTAAGACAATGGCGAAGATGTAGTTGCTGTATCTTTTGTACAGCTTTAGCATTTGCAGTGTTGCTGTGTTGATTACGTTTTGAATCTGAACCGAGATTGATGCTCTCATTAGTGTTTTGGCTCTTGCGAGTTGCTGCTGCTCGTTGGTTAGTATGCTCATCTAGTTATTCTACGTAAGAAATGCTTTGTATATAAATTTGTGGCGTATTTCTTGTGCTCTGTTTTTTTGGCAAGTTTATCCTTTGAGCTTTGAATAGCGAATAAAATTACTTTTTAAGTGGCCAACCCGCATTTAATTTTCGTGGTTATTACAGCTGCAGGATATTCGGCATTTGTAGTCAAAGACTTACATTGTTAGAGTAACAGTCTACGTAATAATATTATTGCAGCTACAATTATTGCTGTACGAGCACGGCTCCGCCGCAACACAAAAAGAGAGAACAACAAATTACGACCGGAAGTACGTAGTAAGTTTAAACAACGATTGAAATTTGGCGCTAGTGTTCACCTTCGGTTTGCGGGAGGCCGGGAATTCTTCCTTCTAGAGTAAAAACGTTATGAAAGGATAACTATGTATGTAGTGTATTTGTATTTCGTTTCAGAACCTTGAAAAGCAAAAATGTGCTAAAACTCGCTGTACGGGCATGGGAAAAAAAAATGGTGAGCAAACTGTTTGCTCACTTTATTTACCGGAAAAACGTTTGCAGCTTATTTTCGGTGAAGTCAGTTTTCGGCAGAACCAAAGTTATCGGCCGACTGACAGAAACGTGTGTAAATTTTTATCAGCAAACACAGGTAATTTATTAGTAGGTAAATTATACAGATAAACTATACAGGTAAATTCATGTTTTAGATTTGATATTGCCGGACTAATACTTACCGGTAGATGCAAAATATTTACAAGTAGCCTCTTCATACAGATCATGTTACCTTGCAACTGAATGCACTAATATTATGTACAGAAATTCAAGATTTCTGAACTGTACGCAGCCCAGAAATTAAATACAGTAGCTAATGATGCGACTACAAGAACTGTTTTTATCGTTGGCCGAAACTTCAAACCCCCACCGCAGTTTTCGCCATATCTCTTGAATGTGAGGCTTTGGTGCCGCATGTTTATTTGGCGATCTGTGGGTTTGTATTGACAACTCACGATTTCACTGAGCAAGTCCGTGCCTCTGTGCACCAACTTTTTGGTGCAGTTTACTACCTATCCTCTACCAAACTGGACGATAAAAAACACTGCCTGGTTTGCGGGGACGCTAGCAGTGGTTATCATTATGGCGTTAATTCCTGTGAAGCTTGTAAAGCATTTTTCAAGCGGACCATCCAAGGCAGTATTGAGTACAAATGCGGAAAGAGCAGAAATTGCCCCATAAACAAAAGCCAACGAAAAGCCTGCCAAGCCTGTCGATATCGAAAATGTCTCTCTGTTGGGATGTTGAAGGAAGGTGTCAGACTCGACAGGGTTCGAGGCGGCCGTCAAAAATACAAACGAAATGTTCACGGCGAGCCGACTTCCACCGAGCCGACAACCTCCAGACCACTCCCTCCCAAAAATCCCTATAACACCAGAGGTGATAAAATTCATTACCGCGCACTGCAAAGTAGCGAAGAATGCAAGGCACTGTTTTTAAACCATATTTGTAGGAAATCCGACCGCAGAACTGGATGGACTTTTGTTTACTTTATTGTCTAATGAACCCGCACCTTTAGCGGCAGCAATATCCGAGCCATTGGATAACGGATCAAAAGTTCAGACAGCCATCCTGGATGCTGTTGATCGAGAATTAGTGGCCGTTATCAGCTGGGCCAAACTAGTACCGGGATTTCTGGAATTGCCGCTCAACGATCAGATGCATTTGCTGCAAACAACATGGTGTGAAATCGTGATCTTCAGTTTCGCCGCACGCTCCATGGAGAGCAGTTCTCCCAACTGCAAATCGCTGACCTTTGCGACCAACTTGATGCTCACATCAAATATGGCCACAGAGGCGTGCTTTGAGGATGTATATACAAAGACCATTCAGTTGGTAGAATATTTCAATGAATACAGGCTAACACGAGAAGAGTACGTCTTGATGAAATGCCTGGTGCTGCTCAACGGTGGGTGTCCACTGGAGAATCCCAACAATCGCAATTTACTCAGGGAGATGGTTATGCAAACTTTGTGTCAGTATGTCAATAATATCAGTAGAATCGGAAGTCTTTTGATGCTGTTGCCCCATTTGAGACAACTGGACGGTATGACCAGGCGGTTTTGGCTCATACTCAAAGAAGCTGGAAAGGTCACCGTGCCGAAGCTTTTGTTGGAGATGCTGGAATCAGCGCAGAAAACGCACTGGTGATCTGCGCATGTTCCTAATTGTGCCTGCATTTTCTTGACGCTTCACACCTCTGCGTGTGGTATTTGTGTTTTGAATCCTCAAGTTCTTTCAGTCTCTTTCATTCCAGTGGCCAAATCACTGTGATATGGTACCTATAAACTGTTTGGCCTGTCAATCAGGAGGTTTTATTGTTTAACATGTTGTTTTTCTGACTTCTGGATTTTAGAATCAATTTTTGCATATGAGAAATTACGCTTCCGTTCAGAATAAAAATGGGGAATCGCTGAGAAATGTATGTACTTGGCGGTCCTACAAATTAATATATCATTAGGATGCACCGCGCCTTAATAACGTACTAATTAAAAATGGAGAGGGCATACATAATTAGAGGTACTACTGTGTTGTCGACTTGTCGTTCATCCGGAATTAAACAAAAATTTAAGTCCTCAGGCTTGTTAAGAAAAAGTTAAGTTAACAGGATCAACTTCGTAAAAGACAAAGAAACGTATCAAGAGCCACCAACAATTTCGATGCAATAAAAACTAATGATAAGCAAATTACGCAGTTCTGCCAATTGTCACTGATAAAATAATTAAAAAGAAATGTGCGCTAGCAAATAAAACCTTGATCCTGGGCACATCAGTACCCGAGCGGCACTAGTTCACTTCTAAGCATCGATTCCTGCCAGGGAACTTCACATCCGGATCGAAGTACTCGCCCAAATCAGCATCCTTGAATCCCATCAACTCATCGCTAGCCACCGAGTGAACAATAGTCCTGACGATGCGCTTGCGCTCACATTCCGGTCGCTTATTGTCATAATAGCTCTCCGCAGTAAGCGCCGCCTCCAGCAATTCAATATCGAAATTGGCCCGAATGATGTTGCCGTCCATTTTCACTTTCGTAGCTACGCTGTCCAACCAGAGTTTCTGCAGCTGGTTGACCTTGTCGGCCTGCTCCACGGAGGTGGCTGCCACCCCGGAGACACGGCGCATGCCGGACATTGTGGACACCGCCGGTTTGGGTTTGAACATGTTTCTTAAATTGGCGCCGGGTTGTTCGCCTGCTGTGTGGATTTGATTATTCGGATCCACCAATGGCTCGAAATGCTCCATGAGTTCGGCAAGCTCGTGTTCTCCTGCAAAATAATAATCGCTTGTTTCAGGTTTATATATGTAGTGCGGTATTTCTGATCAAACGTCATTCAATTTCCTGATCTTCGGCCGTTTTAGTTCTAGCGCACCAAATGTCTTTGCAGAATATTTGAATTTTTTTAAGATGTCAATAAATTTTCGTAAAATCAGCTTTGTTTATGTCAAAAAACGGATGTTACAGACGTACAGGCTACAGTACACTACGCTGCAAAACTCACTAGTAAAAAAAATAAAGATCTGTCGCTGTATGACCTTATTATTTTAAGTAACTGTTATAATTTTGGTAAATATGGATCTATTTTGTCCGTAAATAAGTCCGTTTCGTCATTTAATTTACCTAGCGTCGTATTGAGCGAGTCCTCCAGGTTTCTGGCAATGACCGCCAGCTTCTCCTTTTCTTCGTTGAACAGGTCTATCGTTCGCTTCAGCTTGCCTGCTTCCTCCTTCAGTCCATTGTGTTGCTGGCGGGCACGGCGACAAATATTCAGCTTGCCCGCTTTCAATGTCCCCTTCCATTTCTTCTGCTCGTTCGTCAAATTCAGTATCGTGTGTTCATACTCGCGAATCTTCTTCCGCAGCTCCTTCACCTGGTGCTTGACATTGCGAGTGCACGCCGGACGCTTCTCCAGCTTACTCTTCATATCCTCGAAGAGGATGATTTCGCCCGCGCGCAACACCAGCAGCGCCGCATACATCTCAAAGATCTGATCACTCAGCTTAGCCAGATCCCCGGCGATGGCGGTCTCCTCGGCGACCGGTGGGAGTTTCGGCGCGGCCTGGTTCATGAGCAGCGCTGCCTCGCAGCTGTACTGCGTCGCCGTGTGCTGGTTCTCCTCCATCTTGATCTGCTTGTCATGAGCGGCCGCTTCCAGATGTCGTATTTCTTCCTCAAACACCTCCAAATGCTGGATGTGGTCGCTGCAGCGACGGGTCAGTTCCACTTTCAGGGCCTTTCCCTCGCGGATGGCGCAGTTGAGGCGCGAGTAGCGCTCCTGCAGCTCGTTGCAGCGCAGAAAGAGATCGCCATCCGATGCCTGACACAAGGTCTGACGGAACACATCGATATTAATATGATTTGGCCACCGTTGATTCACACTGAAATTGGCAAAGCGGGCGCCATTGTCCCCCATTTAGCAAGTTGTTGGACGAATAGGGAACGCAGAAACCGAGTACCGTGTGTGTGTAGGCCAAAGGTCAGTGGTCAAAACCAAAAAAGACTACCTTGAAAACAAAATGCGGTCAGTTTCTCTTACTCATGGTGGCGCATTCAACGCTGTTCGGTCAATAACATGATGATTAGTCACGCTTAGCAAGCAGTTAAAATAAATTTTGCCAACGTTTGAATTATCAAAACCCAACATTTGTTGTCAAGGTACTAAGGTTCTGGGAGGAGCCGACGGGAATTATTCTGTGTTGTTATTTTTATAAGGTATGTATCGTATCAATATTTTCTGTGAAGCGCGATCTTGAATGATTCATGGCGACAAAAAACATGCTTTCCAATTAAGAATTGCATCGTTATTCTGTATTGCGGTTTACGAAACGTAAAAATCGCTTATAAGCTTTCTTGATTAAAAGAACGATATTTCTAACTTGTGTCGGAGAGGAATTAGAGGACAACAAACAGTATACTGTGAATTAAGAATTCAAGATTCTGAAATACTATTGTGCTGAAAATACATACTTCCATCCGCTAGAATATTGATTTTTTGTTGGAGTGAATTGTTTTTATTACGTAGATAAATCCAAAGTTCCATAAGCCATATGCTTTCTTCCACTATATAACCATTACACTCTTCATCGCAGATGACGAAAGTAACCGTATTATAGTGTTAAGTACAATAACACATCGCTGCATTTTACGAATTGTATGCTGCCCAGCCATTCACTGGATTCGAAGGAGGAAGGAAATAGCAAATCGGTATGGACGACCCTTTCTCATTGCCGGTAACATATGCATCCCATTGCCTTCGAACATCCAATAACTGTCCAACGGTTCTTGACTGCAACGCGGAGAACGAGCGAAATGCATCTTCATCCATTCCAAAAAGTACAGCCGTGATTTCTGATCTCCACTGCTCTTCAAATGGTTCGCTAGGCAAAGGTATACTCGCGATATCCACATTTACATTCACACAATCGGGTTTCTTTGGTCTCTTTATTTTTTCCCTTAAATATTTCAACTTCTTCTCCATATCATCCAAGTTGGTCAAAAAGCCAGACTGGTCCACAGCTGCGGCAGCTCGTATATTATACAACTTGCGACAATTTTGCATCCGTTCATACAGCTGAGCAATCCGTTGCAGTCTCCGTTGCCGCCGTTTGGCTGATCTGCTTGTAGGCTGCTGTTCTGCCGCTTTGTTCACTTCTCTGCTGAGGTGGCTAAAACTTCCAGCAGGAACTTTTCGAATTATGGTACTGTCGATGGGAATCGACGAACACGATTCGACCTTTTTAGAGACAAATTTGCGCCGTTTGTTCCTTTTCTCCCGTAATATTTGCTGAATCCGTAGAATAACTTCTTTGCTGGCAAGTATGCCGGTCATAATTTCCAGATCTTCCTGCAAAAAACACGAGAAATCAAAGAAATGTATCGAATCTTCCGTGTAGATGCGCAAAAACTACTCATTATCACTTTATTCGCTCGTTATTAACTCGTGACCAGAGTAAGATCAGACAGCAAAGAAACCTGCGCAAGATACAGTAACAAGTTCAGGGGATTTCAAACAGCTTACAAACAATAAATACGATAAACGACAATAAACGACAATAAATTACAAACAATAAATTACGATAGAAAAAGTACATTCATATCGTTGAGGTAAACAGCGGCATTTCGTGGCACCAAGTGTGCACATTATACTAATGTGCACACTTGGTGCCACGAAATGCCGCTGTCTACCTCAACGATATGAATGTACTTTTTCTATCATTCAAACTTTTACTAGACATTTAATTTTACTTGATATGTTTCTGGTACCCAAATTAGCTTATATTTTAATTTAGTACCATTATACTGAAATTTCGGTACTGCATGAGAATTTCGGAAAGAAATGCAGTAATTACCGCTATACCGAATCCAGAAAATTACCTACGTAAACCCATTACACATCCAAGAGCTTTTGATACTATGTGCTTTTAGTTATCAACGATTATACATGCAATATGCATACAAAACTTCCCATGGTTTGCCGATACAGATACCTATGTACTTTAAAAAATTAATCGACCGGAGCCGCGCTGCCGGCCAGCTCAAAAATAAAAATAATTCGAGTGTTCGCGATAACAAACGTCCAAAACTGAAATTGCACCAAGTAGAATTAGTAAGTAAGTACACAAACAAACTCATCAGTCTCTGTAATTTTAAGCCTTCCCAAAGTACGAGGAGAAGCACTGTTTCTGCCTGGAAACCATGTTCGATTATAAATTCTACTGGGTGTACATCATTCACACATGTTTAAGGCCACACTTTTACGTATTTACGCACTCATCCAAATTTCTGTTGCTTTTACTGCTTTCTCTAAATTTTAATTATCCAAGTAAATATAATGGCGATTAGAAATTTAATCAAAATAGCTCGGGAAGTAGTTCTTAAATGTGCCGTGTGTATTTACATTTTAACGTTTCTTGCAATCATAATCCCCTCCCTGGCACTGGAATTCAACCTGCAAGTCAGCAAACCCCGATGCATACACGATGACGTTGTAGCCCACATATTTATCAACGGACTCTACAACGTGACACCAGCCACGGATAAAGGTCTCCCATACGTACCCACCTCCTTACGGGTAACCGATTCAAAGGGACAGATCGTCTACTGGAAGAGCGCTGTAACCAATGGGAAATTCGTGTTTGTCGTCGACAAAGACGACAGGTATTCAGTTTGTTTCGAAAGTACCCTACCCACCGAACCCGTAACCGTGCACGGGAGCAATCTGCGCGAAAAAACAGACAGGCGCATTAATCTGACCCTAACCAACACGCTCAGCTTTAATGCTCATCGCGATCAGCGCCAACGCGACTGGATGGCCTTCAATCTGACCACCGTGGAGAAAGAGCTGCTTATACTGCAAGAATTCTCACAAATCCTCTTTTTTTCCATGACGCACATGAACGAAGTGCAGTATAAGATGCGGTCGCACCGTCTGCAGACTGAGTCCATGTTTCTGTGGGTGTCCGTGATGGGAATGGGCATGCTGTGCGGCCTCACTGTATGGCAGCTATGGTATCTGCGCAATTTTTTTAAATCTAAAAAGATTATTGATTAGGGTAAGACGTCGATTAAGTTCTTTTATTGTGGTCTTTGATTGTCTTGATTGCAACATGGGATTCAATATGTTTGAAACTTTGGTGTAGATCTTCGCAACAAATAACTGATAAAAATTATTAATTTCTCACAAGGCTGGTGTCAACTGCTATAGAAGCGCGTATACAACCGCGACTGCTTGGAGCTGTAAATATTAATGCATTAAGAAAACTGCTACTGTCATTCGTCTGAAAACCACAATCCCCCACAAAAACCAAACAAAGCGATAGATTAATGATACTACAGTGACTATCTTTCACAAATCTCTTTGTATTATTATTACTGTACGAGTATTCTACGCACAATTTGCAAACTATCTGAAGATAAACCCGATCCAGTAAAACCAAAAAGCCACACCATTCCGCAAACATTAAATCTATACCACGTAGACGCAGAAATACAGGTACTAATGATTATGTACGACATCCCAAATATATTTCGCACGCGTCAGGGAATTTATTCACACTGTTTCTGTTTAACTGTTTATCAACCTCTGCGGCTTAGCCGCAATAAATACCACTGGACCGCATACCCCCGATTACCCCGCTGTACCGCCTGCCTGCACGAGATCTAAACAACTGAAATAATTCTGCGTTGCGCGTTTTGATTGTGAATTAGTGTGAACTATCGCGTGTTGAATTTTGCTGGCTACTCCCTATTAAAGAATTACTTATACGTTATGAAATACGTAGTGGAAGACATCCACGATAGGTGTTTGAAATGGCAGTCAGTTGACATTTCCGACTTACCAATTCACCGTTAATAGTGTTCAGAGAGGAACTGGCAGCTTCTTCGCCAGAATCTTCTCCAACACCACTTCTTCCCGCTTCGGCAGTTGTAATGTCGATTAAACGAGATTCAAGCGCTCGCAATCCGCGCATTGTCGACGCCAGCTTGTCAACGAAGTCCGATATCTGCAAGCAATCACATACTACTGATACTAGTACACGACAGTCAACTGCTTTGCAGTTTCGAAATTTTGCTGTCAAGACAAGAACTTGAGCTAAAGAATTAAATCGTGGAACAATGAACCTCGTCAGTTCTGGGTAAAATCAACAACGAACGACTGAACGAGTAAAAATACTGTCCACAAACTGAGTGACAAATGAAAATCTCACATTGTAGACCATTCAAAGATAAAACGGTTCTTGTTTAATTTACAGTACTATGTACTTCACAGTTTTTTTTACCTTGAGATCTTGAAACGTTCCCGACATAACTCTTGATTGCGCCAGATCATAAGTCATAAAAGCCCAAGTAACAAGTTATAAAACAAAACGGGATTTTACTTCCAAGCAGCCAGGCTGATACTCGTACTGTCGTGCAAGTTGATACTTAATTATATCAATCGTTAATCAGCAAACTGAGCAAAGTGATTAGCCCCTCCTGCGACATTATCCACCGAGTTACAATTACTCCGTGAGGTTATTGACTGGAAATCTATTACTTAACAGTTCTTATTACAATAGCAAATGCTGCAATTCGGAAATAATTATACACAACAATATTAAAGGGGAAAGGGAGATCCTTGCTTTTTGTTTTTAAAATCACGATTTTGTGACGTTTCGAAACCAGACTCAGCAAACCGAAGTTACCAAACTGAACCGGAAACGGAAATCAACGTCAAGCGGACGGTATTTCCAACCTACCACGAGCCGGCAGCCACATGCAAGAACTGTTGCAGGAGAGCGGGCTCATTCGAAACAGTGGAAAGTGGCAACTGGAAATCTGTTTTCGTTTCTACAGTCCGAAGAAAGCGAAGATCCATCTTTTCTATCTATATTCATTTTTTTGATATATCGAAATACAATACTGCGCTTATTATGCATATTTATCAGTAACAATTGTCTGCTGAAGAGAATCAAGAGATCGATCATTTGTTAATTCCATTTGTTTATTATCAGACGTGCAAAGTTAGTGTTTCTCTCGTGGATTCTCATCGTTTTAAACCGTCGTCAAACCTTACTGACGTTACTCACCGCCATGCCTAAACACGATTCCATTTCGCTGGGCGATTACGACTCGGAATCCGGGGAAGAAGACTATGCGTTTGCCAATTATGACAATGATCGTTTGGCTGATGAGATGGACGAACTGGAACGCGAGCGAGATGGCGAGACTTCGACAGCCAAAGATGCTGCTGCGAAGACCGACGATGGGAAAGATGGAAAGACAGAGGAAGCTGCGGAGAAGAAGCCTAAACGTGTCATGGGGCCGCGTGTTAAGTTGGACCCCGAACGACTGTGTGGACCGTCGGGACTGCCGGCGCTGGTGAAGGATTTCGAGAACATCAAGTGGCGTCCCAAGGGATGCGAGGTGCGAGCGTACGAGGAATGAACCAGTGAACAGGCGAAAAGTTGGATAGCCAACAGAATTCGTGATACGTACTTTACGGCACTTTTAGCGCATTGCTTGATTACGCTAGCTGGCTAGCAGCATCATTATCACGAATTATAAAAATTACAATTCTCTACAGGTTTGTTTGCCAGTGCAAAGCAAAGCAAAGCAAACCGTATGCAACAGCGTAGCTATCACATATAATTATTAAAATATACGTTATTAGATATTTCACTAGAATCTGAATTCTAACTTGCAGCAGTTGGTTTTGTACGAGACACGAGATCCATGTCGTGTGAATGTACAAAATTGTTACAATATTTCATGTGAATGTCCTTACAATTGTACGTTTGATCAACAAAATGGTATTGGCTTCGTATTATTATTAATTTGGAATAACACTTGATCACCGGTACTGGCTGTGCATTACTACTAAATCTATGGTTGCGGCAGTATGAGACAGTTACGTTTACCGGTTTACGTATTAAGAATTTACCTTTCTGTATATTTTGTAGAAAGAAAATCTGCAAATTTTGATGAGGAAAATGGAAGCGTGGGCGCACAGCATGTATCCCAAGGCTCGCTTTGATGACACGCTGGAAAAGATTAAGCATATTGGAAGTAAAGCCAAAGTGAAGGTGAGGTAGCTGTGCAGTGTTCACATTTTCAGGTAAAAGTAGGAAAACCCGATAGTAATGCAGCAGGTGAAAAGAAATCAAAATGACCGTGCAGTCCTTGCTCTTCTATCAATGAAATGCAAGCGACGAAAATTGGTCTGTTTGCTGCTATCGGTATTTGCTAGTAACATCACGATGGGTACGACCAGCCGACAGTCTTCTGTCGAACGAAAGACCTGCATGACCTCCGCTTGCATTAAACAATCTTACAGACGTGCGTCAAAAGGCTGGTTCTGGGACTTCCGGTGCTTCCCGAGGATTGCGTGGGGGTTGACTCCATCGAAACGGATGCTCCTAGCGAAAATACGGGAAACGTTGCCCCTAACCCCAGAACTTCTAATAATGCTGAAGAGGAGGATTTTGCGTGGTTTGAAGAAATGATGGCGGATCCTGGCGCACTGGCACAAGCACAAATGCCTTCCTCGCTAGCAAGCGCTACCACTCGTGGTCGTTCGCGCAGGTTGGTAATTGGGAGACTCTTCATTTATTTACGTGATTGTCGGTTTGCGTTAGCTTTGCAGTGTAAGATCGTATTCGCGCATATATTATGTGGCATTTATCTTGATGCGGTGCTGTTGATAGTTTGTCGCCAGTCGTTGTGAATCATTACTCGGATTCCAATCCAGAACTGAAAGGTCGGCGTGCGTTGAATAAACAAAACATCAATTACGGCCCGAAAAAAGGCGACTTTTCTTCTTTGATCAAACTAGGGTGAGTACAATGGCATACAATACATGTACAGAATACAGATACACTGTATACTGCGGTAGCTGAGATGTCGAGCGGGCTGTAACAGTAATCTTGGTGACAGATGAAAATTTAATATTACGAGCGTTTTCGTATTTATCTCGTCTAACTGAATTTACTCGGAAAGTATACCCGAGTGAAAGCTGGAATATGGTTGCAGAGAAAAGAAGAAACCAGCTAAGATCTCAATAATGGATAATTTTCTGGAGGATGATGATTTTGACGAGGAATTCAATGCCATGGAAAACATTCCGGAACATGGTAAAAACATGTGCAAAAATTGAAACATGTTTTGCAGCCATTTAGTTTTTTATTATAAAGAAAGATTACGGGTGTCAGACACGTGAACTGTGAACATTTTCCCAGCTTTTTCGTCTGGAATGCATCAAACTGCTGGCCAGCCGGCAAAACGGAAGTTCGTGATGCAGGAAGATGACGACGATATTGGGAGTCAGTCAGGAAAGCTCTTGATGGGAGTGGACAAAAGTGGTAAAGCCGCTCAGCCAGAAAGACGAAGGACTGTGATCAACGAAGACGAAGATGACAATGTTGTTAGCCGGCCGAATCACGTGGAGAGCGAAGACGACATTAATATTACTATCCCGGCGAGCCGACGAAAGGCTGTGATCGATGAAGACGACGACGACGACGATGTTGTTAGCCCGAATCATGTGCACACCAAAGACGACGGTGATGTTGCCATCCCGGCGGGCAGACGAAAGGATGTATTCAGTGAAGACAGCGACGACGATGCCGTCAGCCAGTCGAAACTTGTGGTCGCCGAAGCTGAGATCGATATCGCCATTCCGGCGAGCAAACCAAAAACTGGGTTCTTTGAAGACGATGACGATGATGACGACGATGTGTCTAGCCAAACGGGAAAGCTTGTAATTGTGGAAGACGATGACGACAACAATGTTGTCATCCAGCCGGCTAAACGAAAGCCTGTAGTCACCGAAGACGACGACGATATGGATAAGATGAACTTCGATGAGATGGACGCGCTGGCATTCATCAATGCGGATTAGTCGTTATTATTGCTCTCATAGCCCGGCTTTGTCATAAACTGATGACCATACCGATTTATGTCGCCATATTTTGCTGACGACTTGTTGTCTCTTCTTTGGATTGTGTACATTACCTGTTCATTTGTGCTGCAGGTACATCTACTGCGCTTGTCGTTGAAATTTTGAGTTTGTATTCCAGTGATGTGCATTACGTTTTTCTAGTTTCTTCCTCATTCCGAAAATTCAATTTAAAAACAGTATTGTGATTTATCAATGTTGAGGATCTGGCTTTATAGCATGGTGATTCGTCACTTTTTATCTTATCTGTCGGCTGAATTATCCGGTCGTACACTTGCTGTTCTTTCGGCGACACACACGCGGTTCAATTGTTGCGGATCTTGTGATTATGCTGTGGCACACGGTGCGTTGAGATAGCGAGCGTCATTCAACGGGATACTTGAAGTTCGCTGCGAATACCTTTGCACTTGGAGCATGCATCCTCATTTCCGGTGAGAATTGTGCAGCCACTTGACTGCTGCTCTCACCGTGTTTTGATTAGCGGTGGTCTCACTGCTTTGCCGCTCGGGCCTTTGTTGATCCAGCGCGTCGCGTACGATATCCACGGAATAGCCGCGCGCTAGCTGAGACATTGTGAGCTTCGATTTTCATTTTCCTTCGTTGTTGGTCACGAGCTTTTTGCTTGGACGGGCCCATGAAGTCGACCAAAAATCAGCGCAAAATGACTGATAATTTCGTCGTTTTACAGAAAACGGGATCGGCGGCGACGACTGTACCCGTCCAGTTTTTAAATCCGAATACGTTGTCCACCGAATCTGTTTCCGGGAACGCAGGAGGACAAGTGCGCACATTTTACGGATCACTGGGCCAGATTAGTGATACCGGAACGATGCCTGCATCGCGGAGGACGTCTGACATCAGCTTGAAGACTATGCGGATGAGGTAAGCTTTAATGTGCAATATATTTTTATCTTTACGTTTGTTCACTTCTGAACGTCGTTGGTTTTAAAATGATTGTACTGGTGTTGTCGAAAACTGGAATAAGGAAGTGAGAAGTCTGAGTAATCGTATTAAAGCCTATTAGAAATAAATTTTGGTAATAATTTTTTTAATCGATTTAGAAAGTTATATTTTTGTGTATCGCGAATAAGTAGAAGTTTGTCAACTACAGTAGTACTTGATAATTTGTTGAAATCATTACGTAATATTAATCATAAATTCGTAATTACGGCCTCCGTTCTATTACTGTTGCTAAGATACTCGTACCAGGGGATAAAATACGTAAGTACATTTATGTACAGGCATAATGAATAGTGCAGTTTTACTGTACTATAAATTTCCACAATTTTTGGAGTACTTCTCCCGATCTCATTCAGCATGTTGACCAGGCGCGGCTGTCGTGATTACGATTTCGACAGATTTCCGCTAAAATTTCTGGATGATTTTCTAACTCTTTTTTCCTATCGCGGAGTCGAATGGTGCATTATTAGGTCACCACGTGCAGTTTGTACATCTTTGTCCGTCGGCAGCCATGAAATCCTTAAAAACTTCCCGCGTTGCTACGTATAAAACCCTGAATGAGCTGAATTCAGACTATGCAGAGATACCGTCATGCAGTTCCGGGACGGATCCCCTCCTCGGTCCCAGTAGTTACGCCCATGATAATCCTTTTATAGAAACCATTGAATTCGACAGCGAGTCCTGTCTGTACGTCGTACGTATCATACAGGCGCGAAGTACAGTCAGTAAATAATACCTACTATATTTTCTTACTTGCAATGAATTTACGTAATTTTATTACTGTAATTATATTATCTGACTGACTGACTTTTATTTTAAAAGGAGTGTTACTGTCAAATTCTAGCGCAGTATTAATTAATTTTGGACTGTTGCATGGGATCATTGCAGTTACTTTGGATCTCATTCGATTCCCGACTTCTCAGGGAAAGTTAATTTGAAATATTTTGGTAGCAGTCAGCTTCACTATACTAGCCTTGCGAAAGTTTGAAAAAATACCATTTTAATTTTTCGGTTAGTGAATTCTGCTTCAGCCGAAAATAAACACCAATTTTATTTTTAGTGTGTTAGAGTGCTGTTGATCTGACGCTAAGCAATTTATATGAGTCATTTTTAAAAATTTTCCTGGTGCTTTTTGTTTGTTTGTAATTTGTGTCGATGACGGTTCCACGTGGGCGCATTGCGTTCGTTTGTAAAGCCGACAGTTGTAGTAGCAGGCGGTGCAAATGACGGAGATCATTTTGTGTACGAGTATCAACACCAGTACACAAGCCTTACTTAACGATTAATTTTTAGACTTTGTTATATTTTATTTTACATTCTATACGTCTCCGTAAAAGTACAGTTGGGTAACCAGTACGATTTCTCGCGTTACAAGCAATGATTCATATCGGTCAGATGAAACGCCGTGTTATGTCAGGTCCGCGTTTTTTTTCTCAATGACAAGATACGTCACTTTGCGTATCGTTGATCATTAGTGGAAACTGATTGGAAAGTGGCGCATTATATAGGGCTGTGATCGCCACTGATCGGTATCTGTTCGGTAGTGAAGTCAGTTTAGCCTATCCTGGACGAGTTAACTGCGTGTTTGTTTGCCGTTGTTACATCCTTGACCACTTGAAAGTGACCAATACCGCCGCCCAGATGTCGTATGTTGATAGGTGTATCCGTATCGGTTTTTACCATCGTTTAGCCGTATTCATTTAAAAGCGTTTGTCTCTCTCCAGCAGCATGCATAATAATTATTGTTTCGCTTTCGATACTCTAATCAGTCGCTTGTAACCTTGTTGCACTTTGCAGCAGCTGCAGCCAGACAGTCGATAAATCTATTGTGATTTAGTCTTTGCGCAGTTTTTGCGATCAGCGCTAATTGTGGACATTTGACAATCGGCAGTTGTATTTTATTTCAGTCGGAAAAAACGCATAACGATGGTGGCCGGAGTGTCCCTGTTGGTGTTGCTCCTCTCCACCGGCATTGTCGTGGGCACGTATTATGGCGTGAAAAATAATAATGTGCGGGAGGAGCACAAAGAATTCCCTGGCGCCGTGGATACGGATATTCCTCCGTCCAACTCCACCCTGGGTAAATTCTCCCAGCAGGCGGTGGCGGCGGATGCAGCGGAATGTTCTGTGATGGGAAAGTGAGTTGACTAGTTGGAATTTTATGGCATAATATACAGCATCATAAACTGGTTTGCTTTGTCATGTTTCGTATGTATGGTTTATGTACTGATTTATGATGGTGTGTTTTTTACAGTGATATTCTGAAGAGCGGCGGAAATGCCATTGAAGCGGCCATTACGACGGCCTTGTGCAGCGGCGTTTACCATCCACACAGTTGCGGCATTGGTGGCGGCTTTTTCATGGTGATTTATGACCGGCGATCGGGAAATTCGACGGCGATTGATGCGCGGGAAGTGGCACCGGCAGCGGCGACACAGTTAATGTTCGTGGAAAATAAGAATATATCCTCCATCAAAGGCTGGCATGCTGCTGGAGTTCCTGGTAATTAATTACAACATTGTGTTGCAACGATGCGGAATTAAGGTGTATTATAGCTTGGCTTAGCTCAGAAATTTGGAGTCTATTCGATTCCGGATTTTTTACGACTTCATGTTTAATTAATTTAATTTAAAACTTAATTTATTTGAACATTTGGTGATCAAATATCTTCTCATACCTTCGCTGTGCTGTACAAATCATTCAACAATTATCTGGTTCATTTCTCCGCCGTGTTATATAGCTCTAATCCGTTTCTCTTTCAGGTGAAATCGCCGGCTTGTGGGCAGCGTATGAGTATTCCAAATCAATCGGTGGCCGGTTGTCCTGGAGTGATTTGTTTCAACCAGTAATTAAAGTCTTGGAAGAGGGCGTCCGAATTAACCATATCCTGGCCAGCGCCATCCGAGACGCCAGTAAGGACATCCTGCAGTACGACGAAGGTCTGACTGAATTATTCAGCCGGAACGGAACTGTTTTCGTTGAGAACGATATGTACACAAACAAAGATTTGGCGGCTACGATGCGAAAAGTTGCCAATGATCCGCGCGGCGTTGAAGAGTTTTACCGCGGTGCGATCGCTCAGGATTTGGCAAAAGACATCGCAGAAGGAGGTAAGTATCCGAAACAACTCAGCAGATCTGAATGTATCGAGGAGCAAAAGGAATAAGCTTGTGTGAATATAGTTGTAGTTAACGGTGCCCTTTCCACATAATTATTATACATAACGTTTTGTAGGAGGTATAATCACTCTCCAGGATTTGAATTCGTACGTCGCCAACATCAAGCCGGCTCTGAAATCTGTTCTGAATGACGGTTCCTCCGTTCTCGGGGTGCCGCCACCCGCTGGCAGTCTGATCATGCAGTACATCGTCCAGTTGATGGACGGTTATTACGGGCTGAACGGAAACGCGACCATTGAGTGGAAAACGGCCGAACAATCGGAGCGCGATCTGTATAATCAGCGCTTCACCGAAGCCATGAAATTCGGTTATGCTCGCCGTACTGAAATGGGCGATGAGGACTTCGTACCGGACGTGGATAGAGTGAGTAAACCGGCATTACACTAAACAATGTCAAATAGCATCATAGTTTTTGTGGTGTAGATGAAGCAAGTCCTGCTTTCTCCGTGGTTTGCCAGCCTAACGCGTCGTCAGATCATGGAGGACAAGACATCCCAAGACCCCCGTACATATGGTATTCGCACCATGTCTCGAATCGGTAAACATGGGACATCGCATTTATCTGTGGTGGACAAAAACGGGAATGCGGTTTCGCTGACTACGACCATTAATACACAGTAAGCAATTAATGCCGCTATCCACTTATCCGGCAGTCGTTGTGAATTAACGTGTTCGTGCTGTCAACTTTTTTGTTAACATCTCGTTTCATAGCTTCGGCTCACGGCGCGTCTCCAGACAGACGGGCATCATCCTCAACAACGAAATGGATGACTTCAGTGTCAATCCGCATGAGCCGAACTACTATGGTCTGCCGCCGTCGCCATCCAACTTCATCGCGCCCGGTAAACGACCGCAGTCCAGCTGCTCACCCACCATCGTCACGGATCCCAGTGGCAACGTTAACGTTGTCATTGGCGCATCCGGTGGTTCTCGCATCATCTCTGCCACTGCTAATGTAAGTTGCAGTTTGAAAACATATGTTATAAAATAAATGTTCCAGCGTTCTCATCTGATCTGTAGGCTTTATCGAGAATTTTATACACCAAGCAGAATGTCAAAGAATCCATTGATGCTCCACGATTGCACCATCAGTTGCTTCCCATGCAAGTAGAGTACGAACCGGGAATGCGACAGGTACTTCTATGCATTTTTGCTTGGGTCATGTATTCCTCCGATTGTGTACGCTAAGCATCAGTTTTTAATTTATGTACAGGGATATGCATTCCGTCTTATGTATTTCTAATGATTAATGTTGGGTTTATAGGATGATCTGCGAACGCTATCCAATATCGGACATAAATTACGGATGGTTGAATTTCCTTACGCCGTAGTACAGGGCATTCATCGCCTGCCTGACGGGAGCTTGCAAGCAAACAGTGATCACCGCAAGGCAGGATCACCGGCTGGTGAATAAATACGACTGTTGTCACTGGATGGGGATTTTTTTGATTTTTTACCAAAGATGTGGGATGTTGGCGTGAGTCCGTCCGGGTGGCGACCGAAGATGTTCCTGATCTATTTTTCTGATGATGATGTGTTTCGGCAGCCATCCTTGTGATTGTTAAATTATTTCGTACTGCCTTGGGTTGTGGTAGTGGTTCTGTCGGAATGGCGCCAGTTTGTACTTGTTGTTCCTGTATCATGAACTCAAAGTATCTGTATTTGCTGTTTCAAAATAGGTGTTAAATATTGGTATGTAATTGTATTCTACATGTACAGAATAAAGGGTAAAACATGATTCGGTTGGCATTGGCTCTTACAGTCGCGTTTAAAGGTACCGCTCGAGTATGTCAATGACGTCAGATGTGTTTCTCGAAGTAGCTTTGCCTGACGTCAAAGGGAAATCTTTCCCCGTGTTAGAAAGGCGGGCGTAGTTTATTCCCTAACAGGCCTGTGCCCTGGGATATTTCCTTTTCTGATCAAACCTATTAAATCTGCATTCCAGTGTGAATCTATAAATTTGCATTTGCGCTTGTATATATGTGACGGGTTAATGAGAAGGATCAACCCAAATTTCAGGCTACGTATTTGCAAATTTAATGCAGGTGTACGCTCAGGCCAGGATTTTGCACTCATTAATAGTAGCAAAATTTAGAAGGATCGTATTATGGTAAAATGTGATATATTCAATATAATAATAATTATAATCGTGCATGATTCTGATTGAGTAACTGCCGGATGATACAGTTTTAGGTCAATCACTGCATACGGAATTAGGATTTGTAAGTAAATCCGTAAAGGTATCGTAAACATTCAAATGAAAGGGTTAGCTATCGATTTTTGTAACCGTCCGGTAGCTTCAAAGCGTTAGCTCAACGCATTCTTTCTTACGTTTCGGTTAATACAGTGTAAAAGTAAGATATATCCTGGCAGTTAATGCTTTGCAGCTGCTCTGTGCTCTACAAAAAAACTTTAATGAATATGTACTGGCTGCCTCCACATACCCTATAAGCATTACTTACATGATTCTATAGCAAGCACCCCACCAAAATTGTTGTACTAGTTTTAGAATAATATCGGCAGTCATGCCTTTTACAAAATATAACTACATCGCAACGTTAATTATTCACCCGAAGCTGCTCAACACCTGTAGAGATATAGTTTTCTACTTTCTACTGTATGCCGGTGATTAATTCATGCCCTACCAGTTTACTAGATCCTATTTTCAGTTCTACACATATAGTATACAGTGAGAATATCAGGCCTAAAATTAACTTCTTATTATGAAACTGAACAGTGTTAAAATCATAACGCTTGGAGCACATTACAAAATCAATTTTTTCGGCGCCGAAGCTAACGAGTGTAAACAGGATGGTCAGGAAGCTATCGTCTGACTCTGACGCTTCTTCTCATTTCACGTTGTTAAAGGCGGGGTTGCGTTTTCATGTAATATGTATCAACTTTTAACTTGTTTTCCGTATCAGGTATATGCAGCAACGAGCAGCTTGATTCTCCAGATGCCGATGCTGTTATCTGTAGGCGCAAAGATGACATTGTATGAGTATGTACTGTATAACACTTCAGGACGTCAATGTGGCGAATTATACGATTCTTTAGCGAAGATGCACAAGTGCGGCGAATTACCGGGATAACGTTGTAATCGGCGATATCATAGCTCAATTAACACTAAGGTGCCCAGAGAGTAAAACCCAGTTTCACCATTTCAGTGGTGTTGTTGTTTCGGATTTTCAATTAATACCTTCGTTGATTCGCATTCCAAGGTATTGCGCACACATACAGTATCTATGACGCACAAAAGACAGCGCTAATCCTTTTGCATCCACGGATCGAGCTTTGCTGCATATTCAGCATATATAAACTGCGTGCCAAGAGAAACAGGGTTTTTATATCAGTTTTACAAAAGCCTTGACTGCAGAAGCCGGGCCATACAATTACTTAACTCAGCAAGCTAAATAATATAAGCTTACGTATTTTATTCTAACAGTATTTTATACTGCCAATTAATTAAACTAAAGATCGTAAATTTTGTACAACAATTTCTTTTTTACCATTTTGTACACACGGTCTAAGAGCGCAGCTCAGATCTTGGGATTTCCGAGGTTAACAGCGAACTGACAGCGGTATTACGTGTCCAGGTAAGTGTACAGATATATGTGCCATGTTTTTGGTCGGGAGGTTAACTCTTCCATTCAACGGGATTATGCCGGTAGTATCACAACAGGATGCTGTTCATCATTGCCGCTAGACACCCTTAACAGCAACAAAGGAATCTGCGCACCAAGTGCCGGATCCAGGGCGCCGCCACAGAAAAAAAGCGGCGCGCTCCTTATTGATTTGTTCGCGTGTTACATTCATAAACGCGATAAAGATTGGGTGTACTGACCAGGTTCACACCAATTTTGAGCGAGTTCATTCTCCGGCAATTAAGATTTTTCGTCTTTTGTCGAGCTAATATTAACCACATAAAAGTGTTTATCCGGACCATTTTAGCCGAAGCCGCTCTCTCCATCCAGCATGTCCTGGTTGAGGTCGTTAAACTGATATTCCTCCTACATATAGTTTATCAATCCACACACAGGTGCCGATTGGAGTAGCGCTAGTTCCCTGGATAATAGGTGCGTAGTATCTGTAACGATCGGTCTGTAGTAGATTTGGATGGTCTCAAGCCCGCTTTAGTTGTGCGTGCAGCATTGGGCTGGCCCAGTATCCGAATAAATTGTATGGCACGCTGTGGTTGCTTTTTCGTATTGTAGTTTTCCTATCGGCAGTCTTGGATATGATTATATCTGTGCATATGCACTGATTATTCAAGACCTTTAGTTTAAAACATTTTCATTTCAATCTGCTGATTGCGAGCGAGCTATACTCACGTTCATTGTTGCAGAGATACCGGTTTCCCACACTCAACCAATCATGAGAAACTACTACAGCGTCGCAGAAATTGTTTTTATATCAACGGCTTTGGTACTGGTATCACTTCTTTCGGGGGTTTCCGAAGCGTGTGGACCTTCGCAGCTGACACGAGTGGAAAAGGTCAGTATATATGAAGGATATGTTATAAGTAAACGTATGTCACCGGTTCTGTCATTTTAGCAGACAGCATCGATTCAGGGATATCTTAAAAGTAGTTAATTCACACTAGTAGTATTTGCATAACATAAATTATTTAGCAATTACATACTTAAATGATTATGTAATTAATTAAACTTTTAATTACCACTTGTAAAAAGTTAAACACTGCGAGTAGTTGTCCGAAACATTGGATACAGTGTTATGTTACTAATTATTTTGGCCGATTGTGTACTTCTTTTATAAATTTTGTTCGAATTGTGGGCATTCAGTCAAAAATTGTGGCCAATGTCTATTAAAAAAGGAAGTGTATTAATCAAAAATTCCTGTAAACAATTTAATTAATTAATGTGTCACCGAGAATACATTCCGTATAATTATATGTTGGCACTGCAAGTTTTCTCCCTTTTGTTTTGTCTTGAGTTGATTTAGTAAGATGAACCATCTCAAATATTATTTGTCGGGGTTTGTAAAGGTCGTCAGTAATGTAATACCTTTCCGGTAGAATGCGGCCGCTGTTTATCGGAACATGTGTAATTGTATACACTCTTCATTCATCCATTTTATTTTATTTGACAACAATAACAATAGCTCCATTTTGACGTGCTATAGATGCTAAAGGGCAAGGACTTGTCGGCATAATAAGATTATGAATGTCGTACATATATGGTGCGGCATAATGTTTACGTGAAGAAGATTTAGTCGCTTCCGGTTGGCATCAGTATGAAAAACAGCTACACACCTTGTTCATTCATGAACAGGATAAGCAATTAAAATGCCGAACAAAGTAGGTGTATTTTTGTAAACGATATTTTAATCAGCAGCCTATTCCTATGGGACTTGGTAACGAAAATAAGCGTCTGGGTATGAAATACACACACGTCAATAACATAAATACACTTGTAACACCGACATATTTGATAGAAAGGGACGGGTGCTTTCGCCGGCATCCCAGAAGAATTCAAGCCCCACCAGAAGACGGATGGAACGTTAGGCGTCGGCAACACCCATAACATCCTCCTGGAAAACGCCTCAACAAACAGCGTGGAGTGCACAATCAATGTTTCACCGGTAAGACTAACCCAAAATGCAGCAGACCGTTACTAACAGCGACTCGGGAAAATATACGCCACTCCGCCCGCGTTGCGTTCTTACATATTGATGACTACACATCAACTATATTCAGCGGTTAGCCAATTTAACCTTTAAATATCACGTGCATAAGAGCCATAAACCTAAATTATGGAAAAGTTATTCAATGGAAGATTATTATAAAGATGAAAATAATCACTACTGAGTTGTTGTTTATATACCTTTTTCACAAATTATTCAGGCCTGAATTTCAAAATTTACAATTTTTTGTTAGAACCCTTGGTGTTCTCACCCACACCTTTGTTCTCATTTTTCTTAGGATAAACAAATAACCGGTCACTGCGTGAACAATCTGGTCTCGGGAATGCCCGGTTTATGCCAGAGTCCGGATGGAAAATACATCGACATCCACGCGCCCTGTGCGTCTGCCAAACCGCCGCCCATGAAGAAGCGCCTTCGACGTGCCAGTCAACAGTATCGCTAAAATGCAGCTGGCGGTGACCGTCACGTTGCACTGAAAACGTAGGGTAGTCCAAAACGCAGACTGCCGTTAAAGTTTGATCTTCGGTCGAGAAAATTAATTGTGTCCATAAGCAATCACGAAACTAAGCCTGCCTATTTGGTTAATTACAATCTAAATATGAAGCGATACTCGTACTGCAATCTGAATTTGCAATAGAAATTGACCAATAAATATCAGGTGCATCTGGTGTTTGGAATTGCGAGAGTGCGTCTAGATCTATTTGTTTCGTAATACGCGTAAGTGATTTATGTGACTATCCAGCTTATAAGCCACTACGCTACTTGATACGTTTTGTTTTTACTGCAAAGGTACTGCTACTTGTAATAAATAATAGAACAAAATGTACCGTAGTACAGCTGGATAGTGCCTACGGCATTATACCTATACTACAGATACACTCGTAACGTACCTGAATACTTATAACAGTTTAATCAAGCGACCTTGAAATGATGCCATTATCATTAATCAGAATGTCAGAAATCTTATCTAACTCTCATACAATTTAAGAAAAATATTATCATTTTCGCGGACATCCACGCTAAACAATAACGCCGGCATTATAACGGTTGCTGTGAACAGCGATTCCGGAAGTACTTAAATCACTAGGAGAAACATCGCGTGCTGTGGTCTGTCCTCATTGACTCTAATTACACCGGGTTGCACATCGCTACTCCAGAATGTGGTATCTTTTTACGGCTCTTCTCATCGGCAGTGCATCTGCTCGAAACATCAATCCAAATGTACAAAAATCGGAAGTTTGTTGCGCCGATTTGGGATGCTTCGCTAACGAGGGCCCGTTCTGGAGCTTACTCAACCGGTATATAGTTATGTTTTCATTTGTACAAACGCATCGCTAGGTGCAGATGAAAGGTTAAAGCGCTGTACATAAATTAGTATCGTTGTTTATTAATTGCTTGCAATGAAGTTAATGATCAGCTCTTCGAAAAATTTTATCTATTATGAAAAATTTACAATTCCTTTAAAACGCACTGAATCGGTCATAGGCGGCCTGTTTTAAGATGCTGAAATATTTTAAAAATTAATTTTTGGTTGTTAGGCCAATTAGCACAACCCCAGATTGTGATCTGATCTCCTCGATGAACTTGTTCCTCAACAGCCGTGTCGTTTTACAACCGGCTATGCAAACAATAGATCCGTACCAGCTGCGCAGCATTACCGAGTCGGACTTCCGCACTGACCGGGATACAAAGATTTTGATCCACGGATTCACTGATCACTATGACTGGCCTTGGTGGAGGGTACGTCATTAACAAGTTTTTCGAGCGACGGATTTATTTTGGTCGAGTTCTGCTTGCTCGCAAAAATGTATCATTCTCTAATTTATAACATTTATTTTGCCCAAGTAATATTATGCAATTAAATAAATTAATAGAAACACAGAGACCTGAATTGGGTAAGAATGTTAACTTGCTACAGTAATAATGGTTAAAGATAATGTGTTTAATTATTCTTTGAGAAAATAATGTAAGTTTTGCAGTAATTTCCTTAATTTCATATCCTTCAATTGAAGGACATGGTCGATAGTCTGCTGGGCGAAGGCGATTTCAACATTGTCCGCTTGGACTGGAGTAAGTGTGCAAAACATACAAAGAATTTTACGTCAGCTCCGTGAAACAATGTAATCGTAATTGTGTCATTTTGTTGTTGGCAGCAAGCGGTAACTGGCCGCCGTATACAACAGCAACTGGCAACACAAGAGTTGTCGGCGCATATCTGGCAAAGTTCATTTTGATACTGCAACGTGAACTTCAATATGATCCCTCTCGAATCCACATTATCGGGCACAGGTATACGATGTTATTAATGCGATTATATGCCACAACTTTAACGAAAGTGTACAAACAACCCAGAGGAAATATCTGTACAACAGATGCCGTTTATGCAAAAACCTGAACTATTCTTCAATAATAATGTTTTGTAAATTAGTTTGGGAGCCCACATTGCCGGCTACGCTGGAGAGCGTGTTAACAAAGTCGGAAGAATCTCCGGCATTGATCCTGCAGGTAATAAATATTGGCAAAACGACAGTAACTAAAATGTTACTGGAAGAAATTAAAGATAGCACAACGAGGATATACGCATTATGCAGGCCCATACTTCACTAGCATGGATCCTGTTGTGCGCTTGGATCCAACTGATGCCCAAGTAGTGGACACTTTGATCACTGACGGAGAGGTATATGGCAGTTTTCTTAATTCGTGGTTTACCTTCTATTGCAGTGGGCTTTAAATCTGATTAGAATAAAAATACCTTAAGTATTATAAACCACTTACTGGCACCTTTGCTTTATGGATTTATCTCTTGAGTGTTTCATCGTAGTCACTTTTAAGTCTTGGCTTCGGTTCTCCACAAGCGATGGGACACCTCAGTGAGTTCTTCGTATGTTGCGGTTTTTACGTTAATGGAAGCTTGAACGAAGTGCGCATTATATATTTGCAGACTTTTATGTCAATGGCGGAATTCAACAACCTGGCTGCAGTTCGCTGTAAGATTGTTCTGAAGACCGAAGCCTACTGATGTCCTGATCTATTGCTATAAATTTTTATCGTAGGTTGTCTCTTGGCTCCATCTTCCAGGGACCAACGTCTTTCAACACAAGTTCCTTTGGTAATTAAAATATGTCCTGCCTGCAAATATCACGGATAAGGTCACCCAGTTTTACTTTGGCAGACTGGTCAGCCACCGGTGTCCAGACCTTTTATCAAACAGTGGGATGCAACCACTGGCGAGCGTTGTCCGTTTATACCGGTTCGTTGCAGAATCCGTAATGCCCAAGATATACAATCAGAAGACTCAACCAAATGTTTTTACAGAAAGCATTCCCAGTTCAAAGTGTACCTTGAAAGCATTCTTATGTGGCTCTCACGAACAGGTAAGCTATACCTGACAAGAAAATATTTAAATATTACTTCCCCTCTTTATTCTAGCTTATGCTGTTATACGTACATACTCTAGTTTTTGAATTCGCAATGCTTTTCGTCGATTGATGGGCAATGGTCTTATGCCGGATATCACGCAAACATTGGACTAGCCGCACCAAATGTGGTTAAGTCATTTCAGACGGTCACCAGTGAGAGACCACCATTTTGTTGTAAGTTTGTGTAATTAATACGCGGGTATTAAAATTTTAAAATTCGGTGTCGAGTTTTATTCAAGATTGCTAAAATATGACTTAAGCTGCTGGTGCAGAGTAGACAATACAGCTGTGTAGCAAACGTGACTGACCCATTTGATATATAAAACAGTCGTGACTACATGGTTAAAACGGAAAACAGCCATAATCAGACAGGTGACGACTTGTATTAAAGAAATGTTTATTAACTCAGATTGTGAAATGCTCAACGGCACTATTTTTTATAGTAAGCAGTTATATGCTGAGCATAAAACTGCAGCCAAAAACGTCCGCAAACAACGCAAGAGAGGTATATACATTTATTGAAGCTAACTTTATACGAAATGCAAATTTAACATTTTCATTAAAATTATTTTTTCCCAGGAATCGGGTGTAATTTCTGCGACATTTTATGGAACGTCCTCGACTTCGAAAAAGATTGCCTTATCAGAAGAGTTCGTAAATTGTTGTACTCGTACCCAAGAAGCTCAGTGCTCACGCGTTAGCTATAATGTTGGCTGTTTTCGCAGTAACATCGATCTGAAACCGGGCGCGGTGTTAAATTTCCTTGTCCATCTGCCAAAATCACTTGGAAGAGTGCAAACTGTTGTTCTCAATTGGGAATCGGGATTCAGCATTCTGCCTACTGAATGGTTCCGCACAAAGTATCTTTACGTTGATGGAAATCCGACAGTGCACGACCAAAACGGATTAGCCACAACACTGCTGCCAAGCAGAGCCCAGATCGAGGAACAAAAAGACTGGGCTGCTTATGCTGTATAAATTTCGTAATTTGTTGTTTGTAATACGTAGATTGGGCCAATGCTTTTCAGAAACTACACAAATTCTAGTACTGGTACGCGCACTGCATGCACGTGTGAAATTTTGATAAGATACGTAGATGTATCCGTTCGAGCACGGTTAATGCGATCTGTATTGGGCACCCGGTTAGGTTGCACTAGTCGCAACTTGCAAGTATTGCAACCTGGTTTAAGTTGGCTTTTGCCAAAATCCCCAAAAAAAATGGCTGAAGTATTTATTACCTACTGATTATGAGATGTAATCTGTTAAATCAAAACAGGCAAGGCAAAAGTACGACATATAATTATTGCAGCTTCTTATTTGCGGAACTATTTCCTGATATTGCATTTAACTTCCAATATCACCATTCTGCTTTAATAAATGGTTAATCCCACGAAATACACGTCAGCTTCTGTTTGTTAATTTTCATTCAAATTTTGGTTTTTGAAGAATCCAAAATACATTGTATTCTATCATAATTTCTAAATTGTATGCTTAATTACCTGCACGAATATCAACCAATACAACTGCACCACCGCGCGAACTTTGACTGGTCAACAATAATTTCCAGCAGCGAAAGTGTACAACCTTACGACGCCTTCCGGTTTCTGTGGCTTCGATAAGCAAAAGATGCCGCTGTTAAGAAAAGATGCCTTTATCAGACAATACATAATTACCATTGCTGACTATCAGCTGTGTATTTACAGCCATGACCTTTCTGAATAGCACACTACCGGAGTTTGAAGTCTGAAGTTCTAAACCATAGTATAACGGTCAAATTATGACAAAATTCAGTCTTATAATTCAATCTTATAGAAAGTAGAATGGGTTCTCCAGGATGTCGTCACAAATACGAGCACAAAACTTTGCGATCGCACCAGGGTGTCTATGAAAGAAGAGGTAAAAACTTCATAAGGTAAATAAACGTGTAGATGCTTACAATTACTGTAGTATTTTGTGAATTCAGTACATGTCACTGGTATTAATGCCTTCAACTGCTACAGTAGAGTAGTAAAAGGCGTTGGCATGGCAGGTATTCAGGGAATTTGATTACTAATAAACTCCTTATTGTTTATCGCAGTGAAATGAAACCGCTTAATGATTTTTATACTTTCCAGGTACATTACAATAGGAACTGTAAACTACCCTAGTAATGACAAATTGACAATTAAACTTTCAGACGGCTTACATATACTTTCAGGTGCGGTTTAATGAACAACTATCCTTGTAATATCGCCGAGATTAAAAATTATACTGAAAATACCGGCGCAAAAAAAACAGAATTCTGTTGTTTCTAAAAGGTGAATTTCTACTCTTAGCCAGCTTGGCGGCACGAGATCTGGATCACGCGATCGCTGGCTTTACAATACCTGTAATTACAAAATGAGACTTTACTATGCCAGTCCTCGTCACAATGTTGACACTTTAGCGACCTTCGGTATTTAAGCACAAAGTTGACTGTAAGGCGTGCCTACGCTACGAAAATGCTCCAATCGTGCGAAGCTTACAGATTAATTTCGATAAGACCGGCTACACTTTGTGTATGACTAGCTGTGTAATAATGACTACTCATCTGCAATATCTAATTAGCGCTTGGCCGTAAATTTTGCAGACCACAAACTCTCAGAACCCCTCATTATACATTAATGCGTAGCTAGCCGTTAGGATATTCGCTCCAGATTTTCTTAAGGTAATCTAATCGGACCAACAAACTGCACTTTATCATTCACCTTACACATTAATCAACCGTAAATTTGCTTATAAAGAAGCGATAGAGAAACAATGGTTTATGGCTGGGGCTTTCTGCTAAAGGAAATATTAAGGTTACAATATAAATGGCGCGATAAAGAAACCCAGTTTGCAGTGTCGTTGAGCGGTGTGTTCATCCCATTTCGCATTAACGCCATTGCTAATCCATCCGTGGACCATTTCCAACTGGTACCATGACGCTTACTGTCGCGTTGTTAGCGGTCACCTGCGCTCTGGCCATCGGGGTTGCCATTGCGACACCCGTGCAATTTCAACGATCGCCATCGTCCAGGCTGTCGTTACCTAAACTGCCTAAGCTGCTGAAAAGTAACCTTTCGACAAACTGCACGATAAATGCTTCCTCAAACCGACTTTCTTCTTAGAAAACTAAATACATATAAGTGGTTTATGGCACTGCAACCAAGTCCATTTTCAGGTCAAGAAGCCTGCTGCGGCGATTTGGGATGTTTTAATTCTGGAGGCGCGTTTTTCGACCTGCTAAACAGGTAAGCCAAATATACAGAATACTTCCGTAATCATTGAATAAAACTTCTGGCAATCGGTCACTGGCTAGTATTTGTGATAAGCAGTACGAGTATATTTCGATTAATAGACCAATCAACTCTGTGCCAAATTGCAAGCTGACAGAGAAGCTGAAATTGTTCCTGAACACGCGAACCAATCCTGTGACGACACAACTGATTGACGCTTACGACACAGACACTATTGCCAACTCCAACTTCAACCCCAACCACAAAACCATCATTATTATCCACGGATTTCTCGATAACTATCAGTGGCCCTGGTGGAGAGTAAGCGGAATATTGATAAATTAGGACGTGAATGGCTTTCGTAAATTCTCATCCGGATATTTTATGTGCTTAGGAAACAGTCAAAGAAATTTTGTTTGATGGAGACTACAATGTCATCCGTTTGGATTGGTGTAAGCACAGCGATTCGTTACATTGACAAAAAATACCTAATATTCTATCTTGCAGCACACGGCAATACCCTTCCGTACCTGCAAGCTTCCGCTAATGTGCGATTGGTTGGGGTATTTGTTGCCCGATTCCTTATTCATCTTAATGAGCAGTATGGAGTCGATCCGGCTAACATGCATGTCGTTGGTCACAGGTACGTATTGATTACTGCCATGACAGTTTTAATTCGTTTCGGCACTCTGTGTAAAAAAATTAAAAAATACTGAAATGAGGCAAAAAATACTTTTCAGTTTGGGAGCCCATGGTGCCGGTTACGTTGGTGAAGCGATGAAAAAGCGGGCAAATTTGACGCTGGGTCATATTACCGGCTTGGACCCCGCTGGTCCGTACTTCACCAACTTAGCCACCGAAGTGCGTCTGGACCCTACGGATGCCGACTTTGTTGACACGGTAAGAAGGGACAAACGTCTGCGGAGAAAGTCGTTTGACTCCTGGTGCAAAACTGCAAAAAATTGAATGTTGTTTGTACTTCCAAGTTCCATTTAACAGTGGTTTTTTTCTAGATTGTTACGGATGGAGAAACCATTTTCGATATTGCGTTTGGCTCCCCTCAAGCAATGGGGCACGTTAGTAAGGATTTTTATTAGCATTTTTGTTGTGTCCAGTATCGGCCGTGTCCTTCAGTAACGATATTTGTTATCGTCTCTTTTCCTCGTAGATTTTTATCCCAATGGCGGACTCAATCAGCCGGGTTGCGAGAGCGGGTATTAAACAGAACACCCAGTTAATAATATCACATAAAAAACCCTGAATGTTTTTCACAATTAGGCTTTTGGCGACTATCTGGCACGGTCCAACAATGAACAGCACATCTTTCGGTAAGATCGCTCTTAACACAAGACACTCGTGTGATATAACAGAAACTGTAATTTTCCTGTTCTTTTTAGATTTCCTGGGAACTGTGGCCGCAACTGCTTTTGAGAGCGTTGCATGCAACCATGCCCGAGCCCCAGTTTTGTTTTATGGTACAATCAAACATTATCTTGTATTACAAACGTCTCAAATAGAGCAAAGCAAAAACCTTCATGTTGCAGAAAGTATTAACAACAAACCATGCTCAATGAAGTCGTTCGAGTGCTCCAACTATGAAAAGGTCAGTATTTGTACCTTAACATGTGACTTCCGCATCACGAATACGAATTTTTAGTTTTTGCAAGGAGAATGCTTCCAATGTGCCGGACAGAAGTGTGCCACTTTAGGATGGCATGTGGATAAATCCTTGGCACAACGTTTTCGCACCAAGAAGTATTACACGATGACGACGGAAAAGTCACCTTTCTGCAGTAACTGACAAATCCCAACACCCATAGAGTGATCATGAATGACCTTTTACCGTAAACTATTGTTTTCAGCATTCCCACATAAAATTACGTTTACCTTGCAAGAGAAAAACAACGAAAACGATGCAAAAACGGTAAGTTGCGCTTTCGCAATCCACAGCGCATGTTTATTGCCATTCAACATTAAATAATATTATTAATGAATGCTTCACAGAAACTGGGCCATGTTTATGTGACATTGATTGGTACACTGGCCACAAGTGAGAAACGCAGGCTGACCGCTGAGTAAGTGAAGCCGGCTATTTTGTAAGATCTGTATAGTGAAGGTATTCCGCACTGTTCACAGTAATGCACCGCAAAAGTGTCGAGAATAATTTTCGTTGCAGTCTGACCGAACTCATCCCAGGCCAAACCTACACATACTTTTTTGAAACTCGCAAAGAACTGGGGAAAGTTCAGTCCATAATTTTTTACTGGGAAAACAAATCCAACCTGCTGAATCCTTTGGACTGGATTCGCACGCATTACATTCATCTGGAGGGAAACCTTATTTTGACCGAAGTGAATGAGAATGTTTCGATCTTCCTGCCGTCTCGCAGCAAGGTTGAAGAGGAGAAAGACCTCCACGCCCCATTAATCAACTCTTCATTCTGAAGAGGTTGAGCAACGCAACACTGTAAAAAATCGGACGGAAATGCTTATTTTCTATCATCTACGCTTTGTTTTTTAATTGTGTCATATTAGATTTTCTGGAATGAAATGAAATAGAGAACTGAAAATACGCTATTTGTTTTCTAGATTAATGCCTGTCTCGAATTCGAAACCGAAAGTGTGGAAGGTGCAGTACTGTTTCCGCAAACGTAATAAATATTCCACAATATCAAGTCGCGCTTGATTACTATCTTAGAAAGAAGACTATAAATTATCACCTAAAGGCGGTCGAAGCCTAATGTCTCCGTTAAACTGTTTCATGACCAAAAGAAACCTGCATTCTCCATTAGCGCTGTAGACGTTCCTAGTAGGAAATGATTGATTTTGTTTAGCTACAGTCTTGTTTTACCTCATACACAGACAGACAAATGGCCCCCAAGGAAGAAAAATTTTGTGTCAAATTGCCACTCCATGGCCAGTCCGTACTGTCCATGCTACCGGCAAATTTCGAAGGCTTCCAAAGTTCCACAGTCTGTGTGCTTATGGAAAATATTTTTTCCGACATCTGCTCTACTTGTTTTTAGTATTTATGTTTTATTTTAGGATTTCTCGTACATTGTTAAGATTTATGCATACGTCAACATTACTGGTACTGATGAGTTCTTAGTACTTTAGGAGCTGAAAAGTGATTTCAAAAAACAAATTTAATGGCTTTGGTTTGTCGATTTTACGATCTTTACATTGCCACACTGGTCGCAATAAGGCTGCGAAATTCAGAAAAAGGTATTAAAATTTTTTAAGCTTAGCAAAAAAGCTCATAGCTACTTTTACGACGTTACTGCTGCACAAAGGTGGAATTTGAAAGTTGAAAATCTTTTGGTATGGTTACAACATTTATATGGTGACAAGTTAACAAATCTCATAATAATCTTTCAAACAGAAAAATGTTTGACGTGTCAAATGCCAACCAAATTGACAAACACACCAGAATACAAGAATGCCAAAAATTGTAACTTGAAAAATATCGGTAAGCGGATGCGCTAATGCACGATAAAGTCTCTTTGAGCACTGCAAATAATGTAAATGCAAACTGTCTTCCCCTTTCTAGCAGTTTCCAAGCCTCCTTGCTGCGCATAATTACGTGCGACGGTGTGTGGTTTTCTCAACGCTGAGCAGCATGGGCTCCGTCTGTTCCGCAGGCACCACTTTGCGTCCGGACAATTCCTTCCTCGCCAGCGCGAAGCTCACCAGAAACAGCATCCCATTGACAAAGGCCAGCAGACCCGCAATCAACCGCATCCACCATTCCCCAGTGTACATCAGCGGCCCCGTTATTGTCACGGTCCTCGGTAGTTCGCCCGGCCGCGAAGGCGGGAAAATTACTTCGTCGGTTTTGCTACCCCACCGCACGGTCATCACCAGTTGCACAATTCCCGCCACAATCAACAGCACCGCCAGCACCACATTCATCACCATGTCCAGCTTCGATGCCTTGGCGATGACCATCTGTGACGTCATGCTCATGAGGTACGTGATCAAGAAGATGAGGACGGTGACAATGACGGCGGTGTGGGCGCACATGAAGTACACTTCCCCCGCGAGAGACACCTGCTGAGCAAACTGGTAGCCAGGAAGTTGTTGGTTGAAGACCGTTATCTGGTGTCTGTACCGCGTCTCGTTCTGATAGCCCACTAGGATAGCGCACACCACAGCCAGGATTAGTTGGAGAAATTTCAGGATGGCGGGGATCTGTTTAACATAGTACAGGTTGAAACCGGGTGTGCTTGTCACCGTCGCGTGGACGATATTGCGGTTTGAGCCTTTTTCGATGACATAATCCAGCACTTTGGTCGTGGTGGTCACTTTCCCCATCTTGGCCGTGGAGCTTAAACTTCACCTAGAGAACAACTGGAAATGTGCTGCTGCGGCTTAATTGACACCCGCCGTTCCTGCGGCACACGTACATTTTTAAAGTCGTATACTTAGATGCTTATGCAACGCCACAATTGTCTTGCACGCGGCATATGTAATAAAAAACGCAAACTGGTTTCTTACCTCGATCGGTGTCGCGGCTGAACAAAGTAAAATTTTTATAGAATATCCAAATAATAATTAGTCGGTTTAAAGACCTCAATTGTGCAGTTGGTATTAAAACCGCGTAAAGTGGACTGCAGTGAAACACTTATACTAAATGCTCAATTCACATATTGTTACTGTACTGACCCGAAAGCCTACTGTTTAGACATCTGACCAGTTTATCAATGATAGAGAATGGAATTCTGTTTTTCTTAAGAGCCAAATAAAAGGTGGTACGAATTCCTTATGCGCTAGTATTACCGCTATTATGATAAGCTACTGGACGCGACAGGTGGTAATTTCTCCTAAGAAAAACCGGTTTTCGTTAGCGCCAATCTCTCTTCTAACCAACAATTCTATTGAGAAAATATAATTTGTTATTCTGGCTTCAGGGCAAATTTGTAACGGTCGAGAAAATGTTTTAAACCAGATAGTACTAAGCATCAGGATTGTGTGTACGACAATCTGTACGTATTACTCGTAACAATGAGCAATGATGTATTGTACAGTACTCTCTTTACTAAAAATGGTACCGGTATACTAATCTCTGCTTGCCGCCAGTATGCGCCACTTAATTGTTGAAGTCAAAAAAAAATTCTGCAAAGGCTTATCGTTATTAAGTCGATACACAGTATGTAGTATGTACTACTTACTTGTACACCGAGATCTACGTATATAACTATTGTATTATAAACCGTTTTCTGTTCGTGAGAATCGTGGGCGCTGATTAATGAAACTTTTAATTACATGTTCAGCATACGTATTGTACATCTAGTTCGGCTGCGGTAAACATCAAAACGGAAAAAGTACAGCAGCAACGGCACAGACACCTTATGTTAATGCTACCGCATCTGTTAACCAATGTTATTGGTGCTGGAATCACCTAGGGTAGATCTAACAATAAAAAGTAATCTTGATTAAATGCGTACTAACGCATATCCAGAGTACAAACGAGCATACGCAAATATGCGCATGCGGAGATAACTAACTGTAAAAGAATTCATGCTAAAAAAATAACACCATAATATTATCCTACAGCTTTCCCTATGAGATTCAGGAAAATAAGTAAAAACGCTGGAAATCTAGAAAATAAATGCATGGGTTCGAGCCGGAGGACCGGAGCTCGACAAATTCTTCATACGCAATCAAAAATACATGTACTATGTCAGTAGAAATTATAAGGGCGTAAAATGGTGCGACGTGGTTCAGTTCTCAAGTGCGGACTTCGTTTTCCCCACCAGTACTGCGCTGGCTTTTGCGAAGCAGCGAGCTATTCAACTGGGCCTTTTCCGGCTCCCTCCCGTACAGATCCCTTCGCGCAAAAGCGTAGCTCACGAAGAACAGCACGGCATTGACCAACGCCACCACACCGGCAATCATACGAATGGCGTACGGACCGCTCCACATCAGCGGCGGCCGTCGGCCAAAATCCGGATCATAACCCCAGTACACCGTCATTGCTAACTGCACAATCCCCGCAGCCAACAGCATCACCGCCACCAGCGCATCCATGACCATGTCTAGCTTGGAGGTCTTAGTGATGACCATGGCGGAGACGGTGCTGAAGAGATACGTTCCCAGGAAGATGATCAGGAGGGTCAGTGCGGCGGCGTGGGCGCACAGGTAATACACTTCTCCGTTGAGGAACGTATTGGCGGGACGCGGAAATGTCGGTGTCAAACCTAATTCCCGGGGAATGTATATGCTAGAGTCGTAATAGGGAGCAACAGCATACCCGTTGTCGATCGTCTGATAGCGTGATGCGATGAGACCCAGTCCGGTGACGGTCAGGCACAACTGCAGGATCTTGAGGATACCCTGGAGCTGGGTGAGATAGTTCATATTGAAGCCCGGTGTACTCGTCACGGTGGCGTTGACGGAGTTGAGTTTGGTACCCTTCTGGATGGTGTAGTTGACGACCTTTGTGGTAGTGACCATTGTTGCGGATATTCCAAAAGGCGAGTTCTCACAAACCAGTTATGCACACAACAGGCAAAAATGTAATTTCCACGACACTGTAGGAAATCAAGAATTCAGCTGTGTCGGCGATGTCTTTCGTTACAAGATCTTCTTATGTATGAGTAAAATTATCGGTCTAATTATAAAAAGACATTCCGCGAAACGACACAAAGGGCTGATGGCTTAATAAATTTGCAGCCACAGTGAGGGTGCAAAAATTCATAAAACCGAGGAAATTCAACAGAAAACTGAACAGAAGTAACACATGCTAAGTTGACGGCTATGTTACAAGCGCAGTATGTGCAGCAGGTCTTCCTGTGTCTGTGAAAGTGCGTAAACTACGTATAGATCTGTCCGGGTGAAACGTGCTTGTTGATTCCGTCTGGTGCATGAGGGAGCAGAGCGGACGTATGGAAGCCACTCATTCCATGAGTAACTGTTCTGCGGGTAGGTTAAATAGGAAGTAGTAGCTGGTGAGTGAATCAAAATTTAAAAGTGTACTGTAAGCATCTAAAACCGGTTTACCAAAGTATGGCAGGCTGTACAGTAATTTTCACTAACGCTAAAAGCATCTGCTTTTGCCGACTGATTATGCATATGAAGAAGGCGTAGTAATAAAACTGTACTGGAATTGTGCTGCGGATATCGTAATTCTATGGCGTTCATGGTTGAGTTCACAATCACGATAATAAGACTTAGTATAAATACTGTATTTTATAATAAGCGTATACAGTACCGTCTGTATACTTCTAGATTGTATACTTTATATCTTGCTACTGGTATTTGAAAGCACAAATCACAGGCCATAGCCCGCTGCCCAATACAGTATTGTGCAATCTGATTCTTTATTTTCTGAGCTCTTTGATTTATATTTACGTAAATCTAAATACGTTATTAATTGTTATTAACATTACGGAGCAATGTGAGCGCCGTAGCGATTATCCACCTTCATGCTTTTAGAACAATAATCTAACTGCTTATAAAAGTATTGTTGTTTTAACATTTTATTGAAATATGGGCCCGCTATGGTTAGCTCCGATCGCGAGCCATATTTTGTTTTAAAATTTTAGTCGCAGAACAACTGCTGTTAAATTTTGAGAAAAGAATATCATTTGAGTATTACAAGTTAGTTATTCTTATTGTTTATTGCATGATTGTGTATCGTGAAACAGGTGGACACTGGACAGAGAACAGATATACTGTACGACAGTATCGTCACCGATTAAAAAAAGCGGGAAAAGCTGTTTATTGTACTAATATCCAATACTTCGACTGCAGCGCCTGCATGGAACTCGTGATAAATAAGTGGAAATATGAATAAGTGGAAACACCTCAGTTATCAAACTGGAGCTAGATTCTGCTTCAGGATCTCTGGATACTTTCCGAAGGCTGCATGGCGCAAACTCAGCTTGCACCGGTCTTGTGATATCATTACACAAGCGGCACATACGTCATTGTATTAGTGTCTGAATTGCTTTCAACTAATTTGCTGGTGATCTTGAAACGATCTTTTGAGAAATTAACCATGGAGTTATGAGAGCTGCGTAAGATCCAGACCGCCGACGATGCGACTACATACCCCGACTAGCTGTATAGTAGTCTGCCTGGTGACGTGATTTCTGCTTTACATAATAATTATTCATGTCTGGTATCGTATATGCGGTTTAAAAAAACAATTTCGCAGTCTGTAAAGCTTACGCAAGCAGTGTAGCACATCAGTCAACAACTGGAAATATTCGTAATAATTGCGATCAAATGACCGCGCATCAGATAAGCGCTGGTTACTAATTTCTTAAATGGCTTAAGTAATTTATCCCTGGAGCCAGAGTATTGTACTTACTATTCTTATTTTACACCGGTTACATTACAGCACATATGTACACTGTTCTACAGGTATTTTAAAATGTTCTTGCTTGTATTTGAGAAAGCGTTCATGGTTTTTTCATGCCGGGAATTAATGAACGCCGAAAGGGTGCGACAAGCTGAAACATGCGTAGCTACAGTAGAGACACTCTGCGCGCATGCAAAGTTTATGTTGTAACGAGTTATATTTGAAGAAATTTCTTGTTTTCCTGCGCCGGGTTAGTAAATACTGTACAACAAGTATAAGTACATGAAGCAAGTGAAAATTCTTATTTTTTTCGTTTATACTGCATATAGTTTCGAAAACTGCAAGATCGTATGGTGGTGGTGCGCTATGTGTCGATCGATGCCTGTAAAGTGTCCTATAATTATTATTGCTGGATTTACATTCTGCACGAGTACTGTAACTGGCAATATTTGAATGTTGCCATTTCCCACTAAAAAAGTATGAACGATGATTACAAATTTTTACGACCATTCATAACACGGGCGTCGAAACTCTCTACTTTTTCGATCATTCGTTTTTAATTTGCAGTAACTGTAAATGATAAATACTCGAACCAAACGTTCTGCATGATTACTAACATAAAAACAAAGGATTGAGCTTTTTAACCATAAATGCCATTTCTGTTCATAAATGCAAGGCGCCGATTTAAATCCATTTGGTCGAATTAATATTTCTCCACTGGTAAGTACTTCGTTTTGGTAAATTCCAAGATATTTGCTCCACAGCGCGTAGATGAGTCAAATAATCGTAACTATTGAGCCTATTGAGCAGAGTGTCAAAACTCATCCGGTGAATGCCGGGTGACCGTGGTCGTGGCCAGTGCGGCCGACTGACTGCTGCGAACCGGCGCCGTCATACCGACCGGCTGAGCCGCCGGCGGGACGTATCCAGGTGGTACCACATGCTGTTCAGCGTAGTACTCTTTGCGTGAGAAGACAAAACTGACGATAAAGAGCAGCGCATTAACCAGCGCAATCACTCCCGCGGCAATCCGGATGCCCCAGTCGCGGGTGTACATTATGGGAGTATAGGGCCGCGGTGTGGATATCACCACCAGTTCCTGCACCACACGATGCGTTCCCTCGATGCGCCCGCGTGGCATCATCAGCGTGGCTTCGCGATCGTACGTCCACTGCACGGTCATCGTCAGCTCCACAATGGCCGCAATCAGCAACAACACGGCCACGACCAGGTTGAGCACCGCATCCAGCGTCGAGGTCTTAATGATGACGATCTCGGAGACCAGGCTGATAAAGTAGGTGATGATGAAGATCAGGAGGAGAATGAGTACGGCGTAGTGGACGCAGAGGAAGAACAGTTCACCGGCCAACACTGTTTCGCGTTCGTAGTCTTTGATGGGCAGGTCGAAGCCGTACACATCCTTCTTGAAGGCTCGGTGGATGGAGATTTGGAAGATGATCAGGCCGAGTGCCACCGCCGTGAGAATCAGCTGGAGTATTCTTAAAATGCCGGGTGGTTTGGTGAAATACCCGACGTTGACGCCCGGGGTGCTTGTTATGGTGGCGCTGACAATGTTCTTGCTCGGTCCACGTTCGATGGTGTAATTGAGCACTTTGGTCGTTGTGGTCACCATTTTCCACTGTAAAATGTTAAAGAATGCGATCACCAGATCGTTGTCATTAATTAGCCCATTGACCGCATAACAGAAATATACATATCTGAAGTCGGATATAATGAAATTACTTCTGTTGAGCATAAAGTACTGCGGATTTGTATAGATAGATACTCCCACAGCATCCAGACGGACCGCTATTGCTGCCTTCCTTTTTACGGTCACACTATTTATCCCGTGATTAATTACAATTCATGCTATTATGAATGCGCCATGGAAAACTTACAAACTTAAAACTTCGCTGTCAAAGCGGCTTAAAAGGGCTTCAGTATTGGTAACTTCTGCAAGAACCTGGCAAGACAATAAGACGCAATAAGACGTCTTGAATTCTACAAATACACACAATCATGGTGACAGAATTTAAAATACAGCGTTATCATTAAAAAAATTGGCTTCGGCAACATTTTGCTATATCGTTTACAGAAATTGGTTTATGTAGTTCACAACAATTTACAGAAAAGCGAAACTCAGGGGCACCTAAAATAAATATTTAATGAGAATTCTTCCTTTGTAAAGCAAAGCCGGCAGTGAAAATAAGGATACGGATCATCTTTCAAATTTGTAGATAAAAAGCTGATTTATGTTATTAGTGATGCATGTTTATGACTTTGAATCTACTATTTAAATAAATAATATTCCTGCATAATGGAAGCCTTATAGATATCGATATTTAATTATTTATCGAAAAGGAAAATTAATGGAAACGGCAATTGTAATTCGCTTACGGTGTTGTGATGACGAACATCCGATCTAATCCACTACAAGGGAACGCAGTAAACCGGAAGAACAGAAAAGGTGTCTTGGACCGGAGAAGTCAAGAGTTAAGGTATCAAGTGCAGCCGCAGTTTACAAGTAAACATCGCTCAACCAAACAGATTTGCTCGATCCCAGTAACCATCTTCTCATTCTCCATTGATGAAACCAGAAGAGGAAGACTAAACGATTGCAGATGGGGGAGCTAAGTTTAGCACACATGCATCTTCTTGACTTATGCAACAGTGATATTCTGTAACTGTGGCAGCGACAGGCGGAAACTATTTTGATTCCAGAATGAAAAGTGTCTGTTTGCTGCATCATCTCTAAGAAAATCTCTTACGGTGCACTATAGTGTACATAACAGTCGTAGCATGTACATATACCCATACACGCTAAAACATATGTCACAAAATTGCAACTGTTTTATTGATTTGTTCTTAATGTGTGCCGACCATAGGGAATTTAAACGCTATCCATAACAAAGTAAACGGTCCATCGCAATGGCACGTGGCCGGAAGAGGGCCCGCGCAGTTATACTGCAGCTGTCCCTTTGGACTCAATTGCCACATTGAAGCCGGTGAGGTGCTTATTACTCCAGAGATCTCCTATAATAATCTCCTCCGGAAATAGGCGTTGCATGCCAATAACGCACGTCCCACTTTTACCATAAAAGCTTTTACGCTTTACTGGCTTATTAATGCTGCTACAATTCAGCCGGAGACGGTGATGCTGAATAGATATCCGACTGATTTATCAGCCGGACAGACCACTAATCCAAAACTGACCAATGGCGTACAATGTTTACTTATATTTTCATTAGCAACAGCAGACAGTCACGAAACATGCCAGTTTCATTGATTGATAGAATTGTTCTAATAACATAACAACATTACCGCATTTACCGGTAAAGTACTGTATGTATCAACATAGGCACGACAAACTGCAGTTCATCCTTGCTGTATATTTCAAATCACCCTATTGTGACCTTTACGGTGCGGCACTATGATAGGGATGGGGAAAACGAAATTTTTTCCGGATATACCTATCGACACATTCAAAAATTTCGTTCGTTTGCAAGACCCTTATGAACATGCTCGTGATAAAGAAAGGCGCCAGCAGAATGAACCGTTTACCCAACCGCTGTATATTGGTACACCGGTATATGACCTTCATCCGGATGAACCCACCTTCCACAAAACGTCATCCAAAGAATTCCTGGCAGAGGCGACAAAGAGCTATGAAATCGTTAAACTGGATAGGTCAGCGCAGATTATTGCTGCTGAAGCCACACAAATGCAGCCGATCCCCGGCTCACTACGAAGCAGTGAAGAAAGACGGAGCTTTAACGAAAATAAAACACCGCATTGGGAAACGCTCCTACGTCGACAACGAATGGACAGGGTCAAACGGTCTGATGCGAAGAACCCGTTGGTGCCACGCTGCATCAACTGGACGGAAGAAGATGTTCTGCACTGGCTGAACAGCATTGGTATGGGAAAGTATGAGGTTTGTAGAAATGCGAGCGAGCGAGACACAACTAACCACCAGCAGAACGATACATATGATCACATAATGCTGCAAAAATATATCCTTAAATGCAAAACCAATCATACAATGGCATCGTGCTCGTACAACTGCGTCTGAATTCGCGTTGATTTAGAGAATAAGGTGCACACTCTGCTTTTAATTAGGAAACATTTATATACAACGGCATTGATGGAATTCGCCTTTGCATTCTGGAAACAAATCGCTTGGGACAAATGGGAATTCACGACTGGGACGATTTAAAGGTCAGGAGCAAACACAGTGTCTTTTTTTTTCGAAGCTTTACTAATCATTGTAGCCATGAATTAAAACAGAAAGAGAAATATACGTTTGCAGCTTGCAAGCACTGCAGGTTCTGGCGGCAGCAATACGTAATGAAACAAAGCGCCCAGTTTGTCCCGTTCCACACACTCGCAATGTAGCCAGAAAGCCTTTGGAAGATATTGATTCATATCTGGAGTTCAAGAATGTCCGGGGAGATCGATCTGATTTTACCAGCTTCAAAAAATTTACAAACGATCATGAAAATGTAATCTGGAACACCCAGGAGAAAACTCTGCAGTACCCGGGATGATTAATAGAGGAGTACACAAACCGCTATAAAAGACACATTTACACAGCTTTCCAGTTCGCTGTTTTACGCATTTGTACTTATAGCCGCTGCTCACCGGCGTTATTCGGTTGCTTAATAATATCGGCGAAGCTGCAAAAAACTGCAAAAATTATGATAGATAAGTTAAACCTTAAATTACGGAACTGCAGTCTATTGCAAAAACAAACAAAAAACGGTTTCAAATTTTATAAGATTACAATCTAACATACTTTTCACAAGCCGCTTTTTTATATGGGATTTCCATGCGTGCATGTACAAGACGAGAATAGTTCCTAGCCAGTTGAATTCGTAGAAGTCAACATTTGCGAAGAAAACATTTTTTCCGCTTTGAATTTCGTAGCCAGGCCGTATCGATTGCGATAATGCAGGAATTCTGCAACTACCGGTACAGTGTTGAGCCCATTGACCGGTTATATTCCGTCGTCCAGCAGATTTTGAATGCCCTACCCCAGGGTACTAATATGGGCAGTCCTTATATAGTGCTGAATAATTTTTTTAAGTATAGTACGTTTACTATGGTCGTAAACATATTAATTACCAACAGTGACGAAAACCTTGTGCTCCTGTATTCCAGTCCTGAACGATTAGAATTAACCTATAACCTGATATCGAAGAAATTTATTCAAATTGTGACCGGACGTTAACGATCAGTTTAGTCTTAATTAAATCCACAAAATTTATGCAGGTTACAGACATCTATAGTGCAAACGATTAAAACGTGCCAACGTCAAGTTCGGCAAAAGTGAAGACCTTCATAATCTTATCAAGGCTTAATTGGGAACAATGCACTGGCAGTTGAATTCACAGTATTTCGTGCAAGTCACAATACAACCGTATCATCCAGCTGCAACAGTGCAAGGAACTTGAACTTCAGCGGTGACTTCATGACGCGATGGACAATATTTTGCAATTAAACACCGGAAAATTTTGTTTGATAAGCATGTAAACAGCATTTTACTTCGTGATCACTGAGTGTTAATTATACCAATATGATTCGATCACTTCATTTTCGATGTTGCTGTCCAGCTATTACTGCTGTCATTTTAAAATAGTAAATCGTCCCACTGTCAGTTGTATTTAGCAGTCGTTGTAAAGTTCCGTTCTTCGTAAATCCTAAATAAGCATTTCGAAGATGAAGTATTTTGCTTCTAAACGAAAGTCTGTGGATATCTTATCCGACGATGAGATCTGGACGGTGCAGGGAAATTCAACTTTACTGGCAAAAACCAGAGCTTCGGTAGTCCTGCCAGGTAAATAATAAATTCGGAATGAAGGTAGTTATTACGCACTTTAGCAGAAATAAATTTTAGGCTCACTATCTACACATATATTTAGCTTAAACTATGTTTACCTTTTAAGAGAACTAAACAAATCCCTTTGTGCAAAGTCCATCCAGCACGCAGTATATATACCGTATACGCCAGTAACGCCACTAAGCCATGGTTTGACAATATATATGCTGTGATTTTAGTTCTTACGAAATTTAAAAAGAAAAAGTCGCCTCGCCGACCATCAACTGCAGAAGAGCTGGAACAAGCAGCATCCCGCCGAAATTGGATCCTGGGTTTAATTCTTCTATCGGCCTACATTGCGTTAGCCGTAGCGACCAGCCAGCTGACCAACGTGGTCTTCAGGGATGTTGATTTTCAAGCGCCATACTTATTCACTTTGTTAAAGATGGCTTGTCGGATTACCATGTTCCCGACCTATTTGGGCATAACCTTTCTTGTGCGAATCATGAAAGGGAAAAAAGTCCAGTTTGCAGAAACCTTACGGTAATTGGAAAGGTCAATCGCACATACGGCTTACTTAGTCCAGAAATTATTTGGTGCAGCCACTCATGCGTGATTTTCTTATTACAGGCATTGCGAATCCATTTACGGACCGGATGGTCTGACGGTTAAAATCCTCTTCCAGAAGCTGCTGCCTTGCACAGTTTCTCTAATTCTACATCAGATAGCGTACACTTTTGGGATAGCCAATTTATCAGCATCAATCACAACGTCATTCTTTGCTCTGGGAGTAGCTATAGCTTATATTCTTTCATGGTTCGTCCTCAAACAAAAGCTATTGCTTATAAAGGTTTGCTTAATCAAAAATATGCCATGCAAAACAGTATTACAAATAATACTGTATAAAAATTGAATGCAAGTGCTAAAATGATCAACATACGGAAATATGAACAGTAGAGTATGTAGATTGTGAATCAAATAGCGTTACTCAAAGTCTCTAAGAAATAATTCTCCAAAATTAATGAATTAAGTAAATCCTGCCGGTGTCTTATTTTGTTTGCCGCTGTTTATTTATACCCTCCAAGTTAAACTTTTGTTGCAGATGATTTTTGTAATGGTCGCTTTTGGTGGAGTTGCACTGATCAGTTATGCCAGCTTTTCGGAAAATGTTCCAAATGCAACGCTTGGAGTCATTAGCACACTAATTTCGGTTTTGTTGCTCGTATTTCATCAAGTAAGAATCGTGTAATTAATCGTTATTATCTATAAATTTGCTGAAAAACGTATGCGTGATAATAATGATGACGTTCAACTATTGATCCTGTAAATTACTACACGTACGTACGTTTGCAGTTTGCAATCAAGCTCTCGTTTCCTAAAGGGGATCTGGCTCAAGTCAGTCTCATGTTGTCCACTGTCACATTCCTTGTCAGTATCTTATTCTGGCCCATGCCCGTCATCACTAAAATAACCGGAATGGAGGAATACGACATTACAGCGATGCCGTACTGGTACCTTTTACCCGCTTGGTTCATGTCAGCCGGTGAGATTTTCCCAACAACGATCCTGAATATTGCGCATTTGCACTAAAGTTCTGGATGCAATATCTAAATTCTATTTTAGTGAGCTCTGTGGTTTACGGTTACGGAATCATTGTCTCAAGCCCGTTTTTCATGTCCATCGGCGAACTAGTAATTTTGGCAGCTAACAGCAGTAAGTGTCAACTGCAAAATTATGATGTTGTTGAAGTTGATCTTATGTATGAGCTGGACCAAAATTTAGTTCTTCTAACAAACATTTATGTTTACAGCGTTTTTAAAATTTGTTTTAGTTATTGATGGAACGCTGCGAGACTTTGAAATATCCATTGAGCAGATTATCGGCACCGTGTTAGTCGGCATTTCTTTTATCGTTATGATACTGCCCGACCAAAAAGTGTCGATACGTCTGCGCAAACCGAAACCGGTTTCCACTGAGCCGAGTCTTTTTATGGAGCCGGTGGATCTCGATATTGAAGCCGAGGAAAAAGAGCAGGAACAAGCGGAAGAAGCCTTAGAAATCATTCATTCTATGTTGCCTGATGCAGTGTCCATTTATGAAGGAAGTGCTCTGGAAGTGGAACTGCACAACGAGGAAGTGCCCGCTGAAAAGAATAACGACGATGAAACACGGTTCTAATTGAACACACTGCAATCTCTTCTACGTTACATATTTTATTTGTTATCGTAACAAAACAAATTGTTAACTAAGCCAACAATGAATGTGATTCATTTGCCTGCGATTGCTGCCACTGGTTGATACGTATACATAACTGTATACTTTTGCGTTGTTTTGATTTCCTGTGTTTTTTGTCGTGTGCACGATGAATGAAAGCTCCGCTGCTTAAGACGGTTGCCATTGATCGTGAAAGTATGCCGCGAGAATGTATATATGTTGACAATGTTGTTGCTGGAAGAGTAAACAGCCGACGTTTTCCGGATTCGGTGATGCGGTAACTGGTAATCCTTATGCAGCAGCAGCTGCATGTTAACATAATGATCGAGCAGTTCAAATTTCGGCACTCGGGTGATATTTTGCTACAAGGCATTCTTTTAGGACCTGTTCAAACGGCTGACTCCTGGCAAAAGAGGAAATCCGATCGCATTAGCATGTGCAAAAAGTTAACTTTCTGGACAATAAACAAAAAGGTAAGTTGCAAATGCAACATGGAGATTAACGGATTGACCGAAGATTTTTCCATGATTGTAGTGAATGAGCTTTACTTACTAACGCTTGCTCATTGTCAGATAATGTACAGTGTACATATATGCTGCTGATGCAGTACTTGGGTATTATATGCACATTACTGGGATGCAAAATATACCGGCATCCTGATCATGGTTGTGTCTAATAAGTGTTAGAGCAGCCAAAAACGGTTAATCAACGGAATGATTGTTTATTGATAACTATTATGCTAGAGATTGAACGAAACTTAAGTGTTGAACAAATAATATTGTATCCTTGTACACACTAAAATGGCTGCAGCTTCGATCAAAAGGCGTCTGGAAACGTTCGACCTTATTCGAAGATTTGGAAGCATCTCCCGATTTTCCGGAAAAATCTCTTTTGGGTCAGAAAGCAATCGTGGAACCCAAACGGAGGAGACTGTAAAGGGATTTTTAACAGGGAAAGAATATCATCAAGTTAATTCCGATGCAGACTCACCCTCGACGTAAGAGAATTCGTTGTGTTATCCGCTCACAAATTGCTAGAGAATTTTAAATTAATGCTGATTGTATGCATACTTCCATAACATGCATGTAGTGCATTAATAATATGCATTAATGTAATAATGTTGTAGATACGTGATACTCTATTGTATGTAGTTGCAACTCTAATAAGTCTATTGATTGCATTAGCGCTGTGAATTCCGAGGATGTGCTATGTATTAAATCTAATTTATTTTCGTCTGGTAAAAAAGACGTGTCATTGGTAATCACTTGTAAATTTGAATAGGGCTATGCTGTTCAACCGATATTTGCGTATTCAGAAAAGATACTTCACACGTGTTTCGACAAAGTGCAAGTTGGGTTAATTGTATGCAGCGTGGTTTCGATACTCTTGAGGTATTCAGAATTAATGTAAATGATACTCTTGTTTAGATTTTTCCAAAACATTCGAACAAGCATTCATTCTGCCTCAATGTGGTATTTTCCAACGGTATGCGCGTGGTATTACGTATTATAATACAAGGGCATTTGCGTGTGGTTTCAGGTCAACGCCGGTGACTCTTTCTAGTCCTGTGGATTCAAGTTCCATGTCCCTCCCTCCAGCGGACGGCAGTGACAATGGAATCCTCAGAACAAATAACTCGACATCAAACCATGCACCGGATGTTGTTACGGACCATATTTACCATTTCCCTAGGCCGGTATCTATTTTCCCGCTGACATCCAGGAAGCCACTGGAAGCCAAATTACTGGAACTGAAGACCGGCAAAACTGCAGCTGCAACAAACCAAAATGAAATACTTCTCGATACCTTTAAGGCGCCACACAATGACAATCATCACGAACATAACGACGCTTGGGAACATCACCAGATTCACCACGAAGACCATTCACATGGCATGGATCATCAACATGACCGGTAAATGACGCTATTCGAAACCTTCGTTTTTGCTGAAAAACAGTATGGACGCCTACAAAGTTGGTATAAGTTTTTATACTGTATCCCTGCATAATATTGTACATTACCATTTTTGCAAAGAAAAATGCTATTCCTGAACCGAATTAATGACGCGATTGTTGCAGGTCGGAAATTTCCACTCACATAAGCGCTCTATACGGAATGTTAATTGTAGTAGTCAGCTTTTGTCTTGGTACTGCATCACAGCTTACGAAAAACATCGACACCATGTACGCCAGGGTAGGTACCATAATTCCAGTGCAAGAAACAAATTTGAATATAATCTAATTTTGCAATATGCAGTGGCTCTTTTGTTTTAGTGGTTCGATTCTGCTTTATTGGCTATCAGTATCGTATGGATTCTTTTTGCATTTTGCTATCTCTTTCGAAGCAAAAAGCAAATCAGCCAAGACACTGACCAGCTGACCGACCATAAAAAATTGAAGCATTTGCGATTTATCCGCAACGATGTGGACAGTGGGAGTTTCTATTTGAAAATGGGGGCAACATTGTTCGCGGTTGGCTCAATGATTTATTCTTGCCTCCAGTTGGGTGTATTTATTGAAAATATATCGTGCTTCAACATCGTCATGGGTGTCAACCCGTGCCTCTTCATCTTGTTCATATTGCTCCAGTTGTATTTTATCTTCAAAAATTCGCAGGTGAGTGAAGAACAATCGCTTAAAATTCTCGCCATATACATGTATAACCATGAAATTTTCATTTTGTTTATTTCAGCTGAAAATCACGAAGTACCGGGCCATCAGTAGATTTGGTCTCATACATTTACTGGCCACCGATCTGTGCATGTGGATGCGCACACTATTGGATGAAACCATAATGGAATTTGGAGATATTGAAAAGTCGGAAAACAAGTCTGCACTGGAAGCTAATGAAGAGCCGCCTAAACCGACTATTCATTTTCGTCAGGGAGCATTTGGATACAACCCAATTTGCGTCAACGAGGAGTCATCCATGCTGAATATGCTCAACCAATCGGCAATGTTCTTGTTCCCATGTATCATCGAATACACTCTGATTTCTGCCGGTATCGTGTTTATCATGTGGCAAGTTGTCGGCAGCTCAGAGAATCTTCATCTACGACAATACCTCACCCGCAAAAATCCCAAAATCTTTTCCGTAGACTGCACTCATGCCGCGAATGGCTTATTTGCCGGCATATTGGTGATTATTCTGACCATCATTGGTCTAATTATGTATTTCATGTTCGAGAAGGACGAAGACGAAAAGAAGGCGGTACTGGCTGGTGACATTATGGATATCGCATTAAATATTCTTGGCGTGATATCCGTTGCGTATTGCGGGATAGTGTTTAGGAAAAATTTAAAGGTCATCAATATACATACGGCCAATATGGCGTTGGACGATGGATTATTGCTCCTAACAATGGTTAGTGCATAATGCTATAGGTAGGAAATACAAAGGATTTTACAGGAGTGTGCTTTGAATGCGCGTTGCAGATTGGAGTTTACGCTTTCACTGTAGTGTCAGTGTTGGGCAGTCTGGAAGGTTTCGATACCGATAATTTATTGGATATTGTGCAAGCCATTCTGGAGATAGTTCAGTCAACAATGCAAACGGCCTTCTTGTTCGATGCGAGCAAGAGAGTCATGGTTTTTCCGCCTCCCTCCCCGGAAGACGAGAATCGCAGAAAGAGCCCGGACAAACCAGGAAGAGAAATGGTCATGTTCCTGTTAACTAACAATTTTGCACAGTGGGCGTTAAACGTAAGTCTGGCGATCCAATCTTTCAACTTTAATTAACCATTAAAATTAAATCGCACAAATGAATTGTTTGTATTAAATTGCAATAATACTTAGACTGTTTGAACAGTGAATGCATTGTTTCCTTGAAGGTTCTTCTTACACTTCGCCCTGATGCAGCTCCGGGTCCAAAACACTTCTATGGTTCATATCAGTGAGAGCATTAAGATCTGCGAAAATATTTATGGAAGTTCGCAAACATTCTAATCGTTTTCCTCTTTGTAGATGGGCTGTTCTGCTGCACATTACAGTGCCCTTGGTCATCTTCTACAGGTATCTCTACAGTAAAAGCATATTTTGTAATTATGAACCTTGATCCACTTTTAAACATTATGGTACTACGTATATACTGGAACATCTTTATGCAGGTTCCACTCTACGGTTTGTTTGTTTGACATCTGGAAAAGGTCTTATAAAGTCCCGCGCGGAAGACATGATCACGAGCACCCCGTCCAACCTCCTACCAATCAGCCAAGACGGTTTTCATATTTTGCGATCACCCACAGTAATCATCCGCAGGCTTAAACAAAGACTTAAAAACAATTTCAAAAATGAATGCTATGTGTTAGTTTCGAGATTTTTTTCCACGTTTACGATAGTCTGTTAAATTAGTTTGGGCATCTAATGAAACAGATGTTAACCTCCTGCCGATTGTATCGGTATTTATTGCTAGATTGAGACGGATGTGATATAGAAATATTGACGGAGTTTTCATAAATTTTTTTATTGTTTTCAAATTCAGTTTTAATTAATAAAATGTTTTATGATGGCTAAACTGCGTCATACCCATGTATTGCACAGTAATTTTCTATTTCTCTTTGGATCTGCTTGCTGCTTGCCGGTCCGCGTGCCGCCAGCGACCGAAATTTTTTGGGATCAGACACGGTCGATTTCGACGTCAATGTCGCTGCCGTAGTTTTTGGATCTCGCCCCGTGGTTTTGATAGTGGCCGTAGTTGTTGTGGTTTTTGTTGCTACCACCGGTCCTGCGCTGACCTGCTTGATTAAAATGCGCTCAGCACTCCGCCCTCTCGACAACGGAACCGTCTCCACGGTGCGGCTGGTCGGTCGTACGGATGCGCGGGCTGTTGACGTTGTGGTCCCTGTTGCCCGAACAAAGGCAGGGCGGGCTGACGTCGTAGTGGTTGTTGTCGAGCGCTGTGTCGTTGGCTTGCTGCTGGCTGAAACCGATCCCGATCCAATGGAGCGCACAGATGAATGCGTCGACCTAGACGATACTGAACTGTGCATTCCAGAAATGTACGATAGGTATTCAGGAAGTTTTACTGACTCTTTGCTTATGTCCTGCAAAATGCCTTTTTTGAATTCCATAAAACCGATAAGATCCGATAAGGAGTGTAATAATTTTGGCATTAATGTGAACTTCTTGGAATCACTGATCTCAGGTTTGGATAAGAATGCCAGTATTTCTTCAGCAAGTTCCATTAGGTTTTCCATCCGTTTCGCGTCTTTGGGAAAATTAGATAAGAATACAACCGGTATCTGATTGTCATTGGTATCCGTGATGCCGAAAATATCAAAACGTTTTGCATCGCTAACACCGTTTGAGCTTAATAATATCCCAGAATCACAGTGCCTTTTAATAATCCCCTCCGTGAAGAAATTTCGAACGTGCTCTGGTGTCAGCGCTTTTGTCAGACAAGCATACTGTATAGATCTTCGCTGATCATCGGCTACCACGATAAACCTTCCAATGCCCGGAAATGGCGTGGTCTGTTCTATATCTGACCCTAAGTAGAGCAAATTCAGAATTTTATTCAGTTTTTTATGCTGCTCATTTTCACGTTTTACAGCAGAAATGTGGGAGTTTATGAGAGGTTTCCACAGGTTGGCTGGTGAAAGTGGAGATACCGGCGTGACGGGGCTGTCCAGAGGATCTTTTAGGGAGATTGCGACAATTTCAACGGCAAGCAGTTTGCTGATGTTATTGATTAACACTTGGTATTCCGGTGGGTACTCAGATAAATTCGGTATGGAGAATTCCAACCACTTGATAACCAGTTGAGCCGCATGGCGCTCCATATTGTATACATGAACATATATAGATATTCCAGAATTGGCCGTTAGAACACCATCAAGAAAGCGTTTTTAGCCAATTAGTAATGTTGATTTGTTGTTACTTCGAAACGATAAATTTCTCAAGTAGCTGCACTTGTGAATGGAAATCACTGTACGAACTACGGAGTAAAGCCATGCAGCGCCTTACCACGTGCACACCACGGTTAAGTGCTATCAGCGATAACGATACCGACCTTATCATCCATTTCCGATAATTCTCGTTAATTGTTCTGATTTACCCGAACGCTTGCTTTTGCCCTTTATTATTTCTTGACTTACAGACGTTAAAGTATACAAAATTACACACTAACTGCAGAACCCCGGACGATAACAATGGCGATAAGCCGGTAACTAACGCATAAATACGAGTACTTAATTCATCGTACTTAATTCTCGTACTTAATTCATCTAACTAATGTTTCTCTATACGGTTGTAAATTTTCATGCCCTGAATTCCTGATTATAAACAGAGAAGTACAGTATTATTAGTTATTACAATGGTGAAGTCATCTGGTAGCACAGAATGCATCGTATACTGTACCAGTACTTACGAGTTAGTACCGCCATGCTAGTACTTATTTGCGTGTATTAAATAAGGGTGCAGAGTACCTGATGGCTGAACCCATCACAGTGTGATGAAAAACTGTAAGAATATAGCATACTAGAGTAAAGCAACTCTACCTCTGTGAATGGAGAGACTCCGAGAGGGTGCCGCGATATTTAAGTTCCTGCCTTTAGTTTCCTTTTAATGATAGAATATTTCAGTACTTGTAGAGGTTATGCGTTTAGCGGGCGTTATTAATGCAGATTTTTCACGACATTGGATTTCAGAGATCTTTATGTCAATAATTGAAGAAACCCGTTATTATATGATTATGATACAGAGATATGATTCAACAAGTGTTAATATTATTATGTATACAAAATATTATATGGATACCACAGGTCACAGGAGAGCACAAATTGAAATAACTATACTGCCATCACAAGCAAAAGGTCACCCAAGTTAGTTCTTGCACGGCACCACCATCCCAGACAGACGCTGAGAAACTTTTTGATAACGTTTTTCAGAACGATTCGGAAACATAGCACATGGATACGTCCAGTTTCCATGCAGTTCTTCGGATTTTTCGTATTCAGTTTATCAAATGCACAGGGAGAACCGTGATCCCACTTATGATGTTGGTCCACCAGTGCCAGATTGTAGAGCTAGGCCGGTCGAGCGCGTTAGAAGCCAAGCAGCGGCATAAGCCGACAGAGCGATTTGCACAACGACCGGCCCAAGTAGTCAGCTTCGGTGCACTGAGTGCGCTGGTCCGAATAGATCATCTACTTGCTTCTGATAACGAGCCTCGTTCCGTTTCATGATGTCAATGCAAGGTCCCAACAGTCTTTCAAAAGCTTCCTTATCCAAAAATGCCAACTTTGTTTCGTAGTGAGTACCTGCGAATGGTTACCTCAGTTAATCAACTGCTGTACATTTTCTCAAAAGCTTACGTTAGAGTGTTTGTCGCTTATCAAAAAAATTATGTACTCGCTCCTGTGATGTTTTATTTTAATGGTAATTGATGGGATGCAGGAACCTTTAAGGCGGCACGCACCTACCGCAGCAAGTTCTATATAGTGGACAGTCCATGGCTGTATGGGAACCCACAAAGAAAGGCGCTGTTACGGAACGTTTTATGATTTAAAGTACGAGACTCTTTGAACACCGTCGAATGTCAAGACTCTTTGAACACCGTGCGTTGATTGTGCGGCAGCATGATTCTCTTAACAGCCACCCGTGTAAGGTTGCCCATCTACGTGCAACGTGACCGTCACCCGTGGATGAGTGCTATGATTGACAGTGGCCAAGTTAAATGTGAACTGCCAGCCTTCCGCAGTTCGCTGTTAAGTCAATCATGCTGTTGCACACTCAACGCACAGTGTTCAAAGAGTCTTGACATTCGAACGCGCTACCGAAGATGCTTTACTCCTCCTCGTATTTTTAATACCGAGACAAAATAGACTTTACTTACGAATACTGCAGGGTGTTTCTTGGACATAATAAAAAAGCCATTTAAGCATAAAATGATTACTCACAGATTGTGCAGATACGATATATAATTTGTGCACCAGCCACTGTTAACCAATCTTATTACAATTCAGCCACAGTTAAACAGCTTATTACAGTTGTTGGTTTCACATTTGGAAGAATCGCATTTAGAAAATGCTGTTTTACAACGGTACCCTTTTCGCGCACGCATTATACTGTAAGTTAAAGTCAACTACCGCCCTCCAGTTTTTTTTATAATCGAGTCATATGTGTCATATCAAGTCATCAAGTCATATGTTTAATTAACAATTTGACACCTATTGCGTGACTTTAAAACAGGATCAGGTAACCTCTGGATGATGTCGTGATTTGGTTTGGTTAGGTACCTTGCTCTTGGAAAGCAAAAATTTGCGGCTTCCACTTTACGAGAAGGACTATTGTGACATGGTAAAGTTGTACAACAAAATAAAATATTTATTTTGTTCGGATATTTGAAATTGATTTCCTGATTATGTTTTCTTACCTGACGCAAACACAGTGGCTGCTCGCGGCTGGTTGGTAATCAGAGCGCGCTCGCCAAAGTATCCACCCGGTCCAGTCCTTCCCAGTTCCTTCGTTTCGCCGTCGACCATTTTTTTCAGAACAACTTCACCGGATTCGACGAAGTACATCCCATCGGCCTGGTCCCCTGAATGATTATCACAGCGTGACAAAGTATTTTAACCGTACGCGAAAACATGCAAAAGTATGGATAGTCTAACACTGCTTATCTTCTAATTAATACGTATTCGGTATAATGAATTTGTTCCTGTATGTTGGTTATACTCATTGTCGTACTCGATACCTTGACTAATAATTTTTTGCCCCTTCTTGTACACCCGCGGCATTAGAGCATCCGCTAATTTCTGACGCTCATAGTTTTTCAGCTCTTGGAACAGATCGACTTGAGCTAGCATCTTCATGTATCCTTCGCGTTTTTGGAATGCCGTGTTCAAAACCAGTACACGAAACGTCTGCCGATCCTACACATCAACATCATTCCGATTATGAAAACCTTTAAATTCTCTGCTGCGATTTACCAGAGCCCACAGACGGCCGTCGGTCATCGCGGTGACGGTAGCCGCACGAGGCTGATTGTACATCAGTGCCAGTTCACCGAAGGCGCCTTCGTTGTTGTACACTTGTACTCTCCGTTTACCACCGCTCTGGTTCGTAACGAATGCTTCGAAGACACCTCTATCCACGATGTAAAAATCGTTGGCAACTTCATCGCCTTGTGTAATAATGTCTTGTTTTTCGAAGACATCGACCTACGACATTTTATGTTGTTAGACAGACCGTTGGCTTATGTACATAAAATGAGGATGCAAGATAATCGACCTGAATAACGAGCCTCGAGGCGTATGCTTATTAGCAAACTGTATCATTTTTAGAAATGTGTTTTTATTACCCTTTTCAAAGCATCAATAACTTTGCGCAGTGCATCGTGGTCCAGTGCTCTTAGCACAAAGATCTTGGGTGCCATTCGCATAAGGCGTTCGACTTCCTCGTTCGTCTTGGGATAGCTTGGCACGGTAATTGCCTGCGCTTTGGCTGGATCGTAGACTTCAGCTCGCACTGACTGGCGGCGCTGCTTAAGCGCGCCTGGATTCTGCACATCAGGAAACGGGTGCTCTTCCTCGGACGACGGGCTGTCGTGAAGGGGGATACTCTCGTCGTCATCCAGGTCGTATTCGATCTGGTCCTCCACGGCCGATAGCTTGCCGTATAGCCACCAACTTTCACGGGCCTTCTTTCTCTGTAAACAGAATGACTTATTCCTAGTTATTCAGACAGACTGGTAATTTCTAACTATTTCACAAATTAACAAGCAATCGATAACAATTTCCCTTCGAAAATGTCGATTAACAGACAGTCGATGTTCTTTGGTAATCTACTGTCTTTAGCCAATAGGTGACGAAAAGGTTACAATCAATGATTGATACCTTTTTCTTTGCTTCTGTAAAGAATTTGATTCCGAAATCGTACAGCTCATCATTACCGATGTTCTCTCTAGGAAACCCAAACAACAGTCGGTTATGCCACAGGACAAACAACAACGTATACGGCTAAGACAGTCACAGGAGCAACAATTAGCCATACTTTATTATTTCCAAAACAAATTTTACAAGGACATTTTTTAAGCTGGTCGGAACTGGCGGGTCGGGCGCCGGCGCCATGGATGTGGTGTTGGAACTATCTTTTTATGGGTTTTCCTTACTTCAGTGAGCATTACGGCAATGTACGACAAAACCACCACAAAATAATGGGCAGTGATCCCTATGGTAACGTTCCTGCTTCCATGGGAGTCCAATAAAAACCCCTAACGCTAACGCTTTCCGGCTCACAGCAGCGCATTCACAAACTACAAAAAATTTTGTGCCATTGCTTTTACGGCGCCTTGATTCCGCCTCGATCTCTTTCTTTCGCCTAAACTTCAAGCAAGCTTGCAGCTTTAACGCAAATGAGTTTTCATGGGAATAAACTGCTGAAAAGGTGTTCATACTGGCATTTATTAAGGAACAGCGTTTCTGCTAAAAACGCTTTTAATTACAAAAATTTAGTATTTTGAAATTTTGCTTTGAAATGCACTTTTTATGTTGTATGATTATATATATGCAATATATATTCTTCAGTAAGTTGATAATTAAAGTGTAGTATCAGTGCGAAGGTGCAAAGTGAACAACAAAAACTGCTATTTTTGCATTTTAACCGTAAGTTGCTTAAATTTAGGTAACAATACTTACAGCTTAGGACAAAATGGTCGCATACCCAACATCTCCACATTCAGTACGAATGCAGCGCAGTGCACTGTACGACTGAGTTCAAAATATCCGTTTCGTACAAGTGCACTGCACCGCTTGCGTACACAATGCTGGGTATGGGGCTATGCGACCATTTAGTCCTACACTGTATATTACGTACACTACTGGCCTTTAAGTACAGTACTTAATAATCATTGACTTGATCAGTGGTATCAGTGGCAGCACGCAAGCAGTAATAGAAAAACTCTTCATAGTTTGTTAGAGCAAGTCCGGCACGATTCAATTGAAAATAGGTTCTAAAATAACGAAAGCCGTCGTCAAATTTTGTTTTCGGAATATAGAATATGAACCTTCTACAAAGAATGTTCATATAACATGTTTTCACGTTTTAAGAAAACGGTTTATCAATCGATAACAATGATGAAAGCGAAGCGCTATGGAAACAATAGGGTTTATTATTAGCATTTCTGTTTTACTGACGTCCAAACTGACTCGACCGGAAACTACGAATACAACAGCAGAAGCGGATTACGTCATACTGGTATCTCAAAATACAACCAGCACCGTTCTTCGTGAGTTCTTGATCGGAAACGTTCTGGTGATACTTCCGTCATTAGTGTACTCAGCGCATTACTGATTACGGTGATACTACAATATTTTCCTTTTAAACCAATGCGTATTATGCACTCACAAACAATTTTGTTTTTATTGTTAGTCTGCATCTACGGTAAATTCTAGCACACTTATAAAGACAGGTAACTGCATTTTGCCTGGTCCCAATAAGTCCTGCTTTTGTTTTGATAGAATCCAGTAGCTTACAGTGCTATCAGTGCTCTGGAACAACCGTAGAATGCCAGATCGGTGGAGATCCAGCTGCATTGGTCAGGTCTTGTCAGGGAACGAATCCTCGATGCACTTCGTCGTATTCTGCTGGTATTATTAATTTTGCATGCTGTCCACAAAGACATTTATCGAATGCAGTAGCACAACTGCTCACTGATTACGTTTCCGTTTCTATAGCCGTTACTATAAATATTGTTATCCATATCTGTAGAAGTATAACACTTTATAATAGTTTATATGTAAACGCACTAATAACATTGAGTCCAACAAAATGTTTTACAATAGGTCACCTAACGTTACGCGCGTGCTATGATATGAAAGAAGGCGACGATCTCGGATGCAAGACGACACTGGATAGTACTGTCTGCATTTGCGATACCGACTCTTGTAACAGTCCTCAAGCATACGGTCCCACGTATGGGCCCATTGACCCCGCGGAAGCGCGTGCCTTGATCACCGGTCTCAGAGAAGCACCAGTGCCCGGCAACCTTACGAGTGGCAAAGCGGTCAACGGCACTACAAATGATTCACCATCCCACAACCTCCCGAATCATACCAAAACGTTTGGGATAGCATGGACCTGTTTTCTGTTTTGGCTGAGTTTCGTAAACTGTAATTTCCTGCAAAGGACAACGCGGTAGCCCAAATAATAACTGTTGGCGTTTTTAACGGCCTCTTTCGGTTCACCGGTGTTTCAAAAGTTTTATTTGCCGCTGTTATTGGAAATTCATTGGCTGAATTGATGCGTTCACATTTTCGGTACTTTTATGTAAGCGCGTAGCTAATCGCTGCTGAAAGTGCGGAAGCAGAATGATTTGCAACGAAACCATATTACCGTGCACTGTACGAGCAAATAAATCTAGAGCGCATTTCGTAACCTTCACGAAATTTTTTAGCTGTCGGCGTCGAAAATTTCAGGCACAATCACCGGTCAAAAATTTTGCTGTGTATACTCTAAAAGTCTGTCGCTAGATACCTGCAGTATGCGTATCAGTATCTGCATTGTGCGCAGAATCGCGTTGGGCTAGCTTACAGATAAATCAACAAGATACCTCGCGCGTAATAACAATCTCGTAAGCATCAGATTGCAGAATTAGCGTTCAACCCGTTCCTGGAGGCCTTTGCCCTACGCAACACCTGACACAGAATATTACAGCACTCATATAATATAATCCATTTTACGTTGCCCATGTTTACGGACTATTCCGAAGATCGAAAACAATGGCATAACAATGCGTCTTGGTTTTGTAAGAATTATGCAAGACACGTCAGCAGGCATAGACAAGTGAAACAAGCGCGCGCGATGCCGGCACGGTATCTAAGAAGAGAGCAGTTTGATTTATGGCAGCATTTGATTTTTTATTTATTAATTTTAGTTACAATCTTAAAGATTAATTCCCCACAAAGATTTGCTGCAGCCTAACAATCCGGTGTACCCAGCCGACAAGCTGACTGGCAATCATATATTAGAAAATGGCTGGCAATTGGCCATGGCGGACCCAGTCCATTCTGATGTTTCTTCTCTACATTCTCGGTTGTTTTGTGGTCCACGGTCATTCAGATAGTCACGCGCAACAAGACCCGCATCTGGCTGCAGTCAAGAGCGAGTTTCGCCAACGATCAAAAAGGTCAGTTTCCAGCTGTCTTGGTACATCTGAATCTCGTGTCCTCCAGAAGCGTGCAGCAGATCGGCGTCAGCAACTCTTCGAATCACTCCGTGCGGAACGTCTGCTGAAAGCAGGTAAAGAACAAAAGTTTCCTTGCTAGTTGCTGCAAACTGGTATCAGTGCCTAATGGACTTACCTTCTTGCGCAGGACGCACGGTAAGAGATACGGCGACAGCACTAGCCACTGACCATCAATCCAGCCAAATGTTTGGCAGCAACGTTTCCTGCTCATTAACACCAGAGGTCACTGTTGGGCCGTACTGGGCCAGTGGCGAGCTGGTCCGGAAAGATTTGCGGGAATCTCAACCAGGCGTTACTCTGTATTTAGACCTTCAGGTCATTGACGTCAAGACGTGCAAAGGCGTTCCAAACGTTTATCTGGATATCTGGCACTGCAACTCTACCGGAGTTTATTCGGGAGTAATAGCAGCCGGTAATGGAGACTCCAGCGTCACAAGCCTCCTGGTACAAGCTTCTGTAAAAATAATTTAAATAACTTAATGTTACTGTAAAGTCAAGCAGCATACGTATAGGTTAAAAAGAAAGTTACAGTGGAGCACGGTGCATTATTACTTAATGCTGGCAGAAAATCCAGAAATGTAAAGTGAATCCGTAAACAGTTTTTCCCAAAACAAGAGCAAATAGATATGTTTTTAGTATGCAGATAAAAATTAAATATTGGAAGTGTTTCGATATCGGATTATTTAGTTGTAAACTGAATAGTGAGTACGTGCTAGGCATCGCGGTCATCTGGTCCTGCTACAGAATGCGACATTCCTCCGGGGCCTGCAACCAACGAACAGCGACGGCGTGGCTCAGTTCACCACTATTTTCCCTGGGCATTATACCGGTCGCACAAATCACATCCACACCATGGCGCACATCAACGGCGCCGTGCTGGCCAATAATACATACTCCAGCGGTACCATTCCCCACATCGGACAGATCTTCTTCGACCAAAGCCTCATCACTGCTGTAGAACAGCTGGCACCGTACAAGCAGAACACCGTTCAAGTGACCGGCAACGCCAACGATGATATCTTCAAGCAGGAATCAGCGAGCACCTCCGATCCCGTTATGAACTGGTCTTTCTTGGGTGCCACTCTCCAGGATGGACTAATGGGCTGGGTAACCTTAGGCATTGATCTGACGTCGGACCAGACCAGTCAGGCCAGTGCGCATTCGACACTGACAGCCAACGGGGGCGTCGACAATGGGAATTCCATGGGTGGTCCGGGAGGACCGGGTGGCGGCTGTGGTGGTCCGGGTGGTAACGGAACCGGCGGACCCGGTCAGGGCGGCATGGGCCAGCCGCCACCCGGTGGAATGATGGGACAGCCACCGCCTGGTAATTTTACTGGCATGGGCATGCCAGGAGGGAACATGACAGGTTGCCCAACAAATAATCCCAATACGGGATCACCGTCGGTGACCCCTGTTGCCGGTAGCACTGCAGCACCCGTTACGCCGGGTTCTCAGCCGACCGGTACTCCCTCCGCCACTGGAAGTTCCTCTTCTCCAGGCGGGAACCCGTATTACGCTTCGGGATGAGTAGCCACGGAATCCTTTATACCGATCTATCACATAACTGGAAATGACACCCAAGGAGTTCTCTAATTTTTTGTTTTATACTTTTTCTACATGTTTAAGAATGGTTCCTCACTTCATTCATAAGCTGTACGCGTATTTCACAAGCCAAGCTCTTTACAGTTTTTCACTCTGATATACAGCTATAGGAAAACCAACGCACATGCACCTACAACCAACGCATTTGCACTTTGCACAATAGTATTTGCCCAGTAGCCATTCTACAGCGTATAGTCATTCTACATTCTACAATAGCCATTCTACAACGCATTTGCACAATAGCCATTCTACAGCAATTAGCTAACAAGTAAGTTTCTTTCGTCGCCATAGTAACAATAACCGGCGGTCCGGCATAAGCCACTGGATGTACGAGATGTCCACAATGTTGTATCGGTACTGACGTGCATCATTCTAATGACTGGGTGTGCACAGTGCATAGTCTGATTTATTTCGTGATGTTAACGTAATGCGTAGAATGCTGTAATTATTACAGTAATAAGCGCACAAGACAAACATGTTTTGTTTTAATACCGGGAATAAAATAATAATAATTATGATCACCGGCGATCATGAGACCTTTCGAAACCATTGGACAGAATTTACCTGTCCTAATCGCCCTGAGTTTAATTGGATTATCGCATAGTTTACCACTGAATTTTCGCTTTTCGCCCCGTTTCGACTATGCTGACCGCGAAACCAATAAGCATGCCAGAGCTGTAGCACAGCATTCCAAAAAGCATCATGCACACTCAGGCGCGGCGCACCGATATCCTGCCCATCGGCGGTATCCGCGGTCGGTGTCGGTTGAAGACAGACTTAAATTCCTTAAAGCCCGGTTAGCTGCCTTGAAAGATGAACTGGCATCCCGGCAATCAAAAACCGTGAATCAAGACATCGATTCTGGAATCATGTTCGACAAAGTACGTAAGTGCGCATTGCAGCTCACAAAGGTCATGCCACCTCGAACATAAGCCGGTTGCCTATTTCGTCCCATAACCCACTAACATCCAGTTTTAGCAAAGAAAATTATTTTATAAATTATTGTTTTTAAGAAAGCTATTTTGACTGATCTAGTATTTTTGATTTAGGAGGATCAACATGGAAAGGTCGACTGGCCAGCGAAACTCCACAATAAGCACATCTTCTCTCGAACCGTTCAAATTCTCGGAGCATTTCCGAAAGCCTTTCCAGAACCTCCCATCTACCAGGTGGCCGCCGCGAATGCTGCAAACGCAGCTGCCTTAGCCAGGAAAACCAATCAGGATTTAGGCGCAGTCAGCGCCGACAAGAAGATCATCGATGATCGTCGAAAACTGTTGGATCTGAAACGGAAGCAGCAAGAGGATTTAGAACGTCAGCAACAGCAAATGCAAGAAGAGCAGGAAATCCACGACAAGCAAGAGCGCATGAGATCGTTTGACCAACCGCGAACCCATATTGTGAGTGATGAAATGACAGATGAGAATGTCATGACCGCCGATACACCTTTCTAGTGATGTGTCACCCAGATGCAAAAAATATCTGTAAGGATAACTGTCATTCCTCTTACTGGAAAAGCAAAGTCTCCGGGACATGTAGCTGAAGTGGTATGAAGCTTTATATTGTATAATAACTGTGTATTAAAGGCTTTAAGTTACGGTACGACATATTGCCAACTATTTCTTGGATTTTTGATTGTTTGATTAAATCCTCCAAGCACATTTAGATTACAATGCGTATTTCTTCTCCTTCATTTCGTGCCATAATTTAAAATTTATCCATCATAACACTTGTACAGTGTACTGTATATATATTTCACAAATGATATGAAGCGCAATTTATTGTACATGGAAATTGTTCATCCAAACCTCATTGACACTGGCGACACATTACAACCACTTCCAGTCAACCAAATCACAGAATCAGCATAAAGGATATATCGTGGATCAGGATATTCGCGCAAATCATTGTACATTAGGTATACAGGAAGACACACGGATTCACCACCACACCACCGGATTAGCTTTCAACCATCCGACACTGTCCGGCCTTTGGGGCTTTAGGGCAACGTCATCATTGGTTCACTGTGACCTCGATCCAGCGATCAAGTTCACAGTGTCGTTGAAAGCGTCCAGTTTCGAATAAGATTTCTACGAAGATCAGGAAACCCGAATGATGGATTCTTCCGGTGGTCGCGCATCGTATTCAATTCTGCATTTTTTCGGTGGCCGAGAGCAGGATGGATTATCGCTTTTAGCATCATCATCCACATTAGTAACGTTTGCTTCCGGTCCCTCCACTGCTTCGTCAAATGCCGTAAAATCTGAGTACCGAATCGACTCATCAAACGGATCCTGCACAATTCAGAAAATCATTATGAAATCCCAACGACTTTACAATGAGTTTTTAACATCTGCAGCTTGCGTTATCTCAATTAATGATTTTCCGCTTATGTAATCAGTACCATTCTACAATAACCGGCAGCAAATACCGTTCGATGATAATCTGAAATCGCAATCGCAAAAAAAGAAAATCGTCTGTTTCAAACTAACCTGGAACGCTCGTAACACTCGTCGAACCTCTGAGTAATCTCCCTTCTCAGCAGCATCAATGGCGCCTTGCGCAATGAAATTCCGCAAGACGATTCTCGGATTGGTGCTGTTCATAATTTGCACTCGATTCCCATTGGGATCTTCCTGACCCACTCGATCAGCATACTTTCCCAGCCATTCCATCCACAACTTCCGGTCACTTTCTTTTTTCTTTTCTGGTGTTAATCCCTTCAGCTCCTCGGCTTTCTGGATCATTTCCATTTCCCGTTGCAGAGCATCCGCTTTTTTCCCCAACATTGCGAGCAGTTCTGGGTTAGACGATTGCAGGAGCAGCAACATTTGCAACTGCGTCGGGTCCATTTGGGGAGAAAAAGCTTTGCGATACTGGGCCGCAGAACAACACTGATTCAAAAGATACTCTAACAGCGCCAGAATATCTGCAGCGGACTGAAGTTTGCTAAGGATACGGAAACAGTTCGTGAAATCCGCTCCTGTACGGTACATTGTTTCGAGAAAACCATCCATTAATTCCCTAAAACAAATGGAAGTTCTTACGACTTAAAAGAGCAAACTACAATACATTTACCTGTCGTTGGGTATTTCTCGCAAAAATCCAAATTTCTTCCTCATAATGCCCCAATATTCCGCTTCAAAAGCCTCGTCATACTCCTTAAGAACCGGTGCGGATTTACTTAGCGGTAAAAGTGGCTGCAGCGCCTCCGCTAGTTTGCCACAATTCCAACGACAAATTTCAGGCTGTTTATTGTATGCATAGCGTCCTCCATCGTCGGAGGAATTACAGATGAAATCCGGATCATAACGATCCAGAAACCCGTATGGGCCGTAGTCGATCGTCACCCCAACTATGGACATATTATCGGTGTTCAGCACTCCATGGCAGAATCCAACGCACTGCCATTTGGCAACCAAGCGCGCCGTACGCAGGCACACTTCTCGGAAAAACGCAAGATACATCTGCTCCAGATCCGAGCTGTTTTCTTCCCAAATCTACAAATATTAACGTCATGCCATCAAGTAAAAAACGAAAATTCAAGAATGCATTAAGCACAAACAAAGCAGCTCACCTTAGGATAAAAAGTCTGAATAACGTAATCCGCTAGCTGAGGCAGCAGATCCGGCCTATTATTGCTGGGGCCTTTTCGACCGGTTTCTCTGTCAGTGCCTTTAAATATCTCAAATGATCCGAAACGGATGAAGGTGGGTGCAATTCGCGAAATGATGGTACATCGCTCTTGAATGTTGTTTCCGGTATAAAAAATATCTCGCGTCACGTAGGAATCGGAAGTCACACAGCTTCCCGATCTCGTTGTAGGCACACCCAAATTATGCATCACCTAGAAAAAAAAATTTAAATTCCACAATGCACATCTAAAGTACATACATAGATATAATTTTACAATCTGTATACAGCCTGCACCTACTTCGCTGCAAAGAAATTCCCGAATACTCGATCGCAGCACTTTCCGTCCGTCCGCTGAACGGCTGTATGGCGTCTTCCCGGCTCCTTTCAGCTGCAACTCCCATCGTTCGCCTTTATTATTTACCACCTCTCCCAAATACCTGCAACAAAGTGAAACTTGATGTCACCATACGAATTAGGGTTGCTAACTGGAAGAAAAACGTCAGTCGCAGATTCGATCTTAAGAAAAATGCCACCAGAAAATATCACATGATTAAAGTGGGATTCTCACTAATTTTAGACACAAATAAATCAAATACAGGTCACAAGAGTATGAAATCATAACATTTAATGATAAATCCCGTCAAAAATTAAAAATCTACTGAAAATCCAACAAAGTAAACAAATAATATCACAACTATTACCAGTAGCAATATTACAAAATTAATAATATTACAACTCTGCAAATTACGTTTGGTAAAACCATAAATCTTAAAAAAACATTCCTTTCTCTGCACAAACGCCAGCCGCTGCAATAAGACGCAAATAGTTGCCATTCTTAAAATTTTGTTAATTTATGGCTATTTAATGACTGATTGACTAACATTGCCGCACCGTCTCCGAGCTGGCCTGAAAAATATCCAAACTGATGTCCGCAATAGCAGTGTGCAGCGGATTCGGCTCCCGGAGGTAAAACATTTCCCGAGAAATATTTAGCGAAATCCCCTCTTCGGCATTCTTCGTCCGGTAAATCAAGCAGAGCCATCGCTCCACTAGAGTATGCCACCACTTTCGGGTTCTTGACGGGGGTGGGAGAAACTCGGGAAAAGCACGCACCATTCACCTGCCGTACGTAATTGTCACTCACTGGATCGATGGGCAATCTTTGTAGAGCAAGGTTATCAAAATTCAGGCTTTCTAGAGTCGCCATCGCCGTGCTGTGAAAGGACGAAAGAGCAGAAGCAATAAACTTTGGCAGCTTCTTTAGGATCGAAGCACGGACTGATAATGCTGAATTCATACAGAGCTCGGACAAACGTTAATTCACATGAATAAAATAGACTGTAAGAGCCGAAGTATCAAACTTATCATACAAAAATCTAGATACACAAATCACAACTGCACAAAGTTTGTTTGACCAAAACCGAAAGCCAAAATGGTACGATAAACCATAAACTGATAAAACGCACTCAAAAAATTAGACTAATTTCCAAAACACCACGCTAACAAGTAAGTCAGCGAGAGCGGAATTTTCTGTAAGTTGCAACAGCTGATTTCCGAGCATCGGCGCCGAGGCCATTAAGTATGACTTCAGGACCACGGACGTGCCTTCAACCGGAAGTTGGGTTGGCCGCTACCGGATACGGCGCAAAAACAATACAATACAGTGCCCGGAAGTCAAGAGTGCGCAATATATAGATACAAGAAACAGCCTCGGCTTCGCCTCCGCGTTTCTTGCGGTACCCAGTCTATGGCCGGTTTAGTCAAATGATTTCGATCAGCTATTTAGTTACCATCTTATTCCTTCAGCGAAACTAAGCTAAAATGCAGATAGGATAAAAAGTGAATTTATGGCTTTTGTGCACTTATGGTTAGACGCATTCACTTTCACACAGAAGGAATTTTGTAAACTTCTCCCTCCAGACCCCAAGTCTACCAGGTACTAAATTTGAAATTTCCACCGAAAGAATGCTTGCAATAGATTCTGGTCGTAGTTCGGTCACTCATTTTCCTAGCGGGCTTCTGGACAGTAATGGAAGTTCGGTCACTTGCTCACCCTGCGGGGATCCATGCTCTGTACAGCAGCGGTAGTTGGGTCACTCGTTTACTTAGCGGACTGGGTGCTCTGGACAGCAGAGGTATTTGGGTCACTCGTTCACTTAGCAGGCTGTGTTTTGGACAGTAGTGGTACTTCGGTCACTCGTTCACCTAGCGGGCTGGGTGCTCTAGACAATAGTGGTACTTCGGTCACCCGTTCACCTAGCGGGCTGTGTGTTCTGGACAGTAGTGGTACTTCGGTCACTCGTTCACCTAGCGGGCTGTGTGCTCTAGACATTAGTCGTACTTCGGTCACCCGTTCACCTAGCGGGCTGTGTGTTCTGGACAGTAGTGGTACTTCGGTCACTCGTTCACCTAGCGGGCTGGGTGCTGTAGACAATAGTGGTACTTCGGTCACCCGTTCACCTAGCGGGCTGTGTGTTCTGGACAGTAGTGGTACCTCGGTCACTCGTTCACCTAGCGGGCTGTGTGCTCTGGACAACAGCGGTAGTTCGGTCACTCGTTCACCTAGCGGGCTGTGTGCTCTAGACAGTAGTGGTAGTTCGGTCACAGCGGGGGCTCTGTGAAACTAAGACCGTCTGGCCGGGTTTTGGAATATGAGCACTCAGATTACGGAAATGGTTTTTGCTGTTGGAATATGAGCACTCAGATTACGGAAATGGTTTTTGCTGATTCCATACGGGAAAGCTGGGTTCGTGTATCCCTTTTTATTTTTTGTGGTAAAGATCTAGAATGTAGATACCGTATTATTCCGTATTATGCGGAATAATTTAAGGACTGTACATGCTGATAATTAATCCCTGTCCTTAGTTTTGCTCGGACTGCAGTGAAAGGTCAGCCCGTTTAAACGATTACTATGGTCAGTTTGGTTTGCAGCTGCCTTCAAATGGCTTTAAACGAGAGTTCTTATTCTTAAGGGAAGTGGGCCGGTACATGGTACCAAATTCGTGTACATGCACGAAACCTTACACTTTCGCGCACTCCCAAACACATTTTTGTTTCGGTTTATGACTTTCTGTAGCCCGAAGATTTGTATACACTGGCGTGAAAACCGTTTGTGCGCGCAACATCCGGTTCGGGAGTTATGGCTTTTCGAAAATTCCAAAAAGTTTAAATGCATTCAGGTGTACCAAAAGTCTCATTATGGACCGATCTCGCTCAAATTTTGCACGTAAATGCGCATGTCCAGGAAGTTCGTTTTTACACCAATCCAGGCTTCCATGATTTTTTTCAAATTTTAAAATGAATTTTAAACTTTTTGAAACTCATTTTAAAATTTGAAAAAATTGCTGGAACCATGGATCGGATCATCGGTGTAGAAATGTTCTTCGCGGTTATGTGCATTTACGTGCAAAATTTGAGGGAGATCGGTCGATAATGAGACTTTTACACCTGAATGCATTTAAACTTTTTACCATAACTCCCGAACCGGATGTTGGTACCATGTACCGGCCCACTTCCCTTAAGTCATGTTTTTGAGCGCTTTAAATTGTTAATGATTTATTTAAACAGAGTACCAGTTTAAATTTACTGGATTCGTGCTCCATGCAACAGGACTTTGAAATTGTTTTCAAAGTCACCTTGAGCTTTCAGCTCTACCGGCACCGGTGTCTCTGCACGGAAGCCGGAGCGGATAATTACCAAAACAAATGCATGTGACACAGTTTCCAGACATGCTGAATCGAATGGCGTTAGCAGTTTTTCGAATAATTTTTTGGTTTGTTCTGACCACATCGTACGGGGTTTTCCGTTGTAATATAGATCTTTACCTGGATACTGTACAGTCATAGACATCCAGCATTTACACTTATTTTACAGTACGAGGGAAATACACTGTAAGTTTTATCTTGTTATTGTTATTCTCGCTTTATTAACATCTGATTCTGTCATTCAACTTCTGAGCACAGAGAGAAGATACTGACGAGTGAGATCCAACATGACGAAAAATCCAGGAGCAACCATTAATAAAGCACTTTCAGAAATAGCTACATTACGGCAAATTTGTACAGTTTAAAGAGACCGTTACGGCTTGTTTACACTTTTACCGGGCCCACGCCGGAATTTAGATAAATCCACTGATTGAAGTAGGCAACATCGACGTACACACCGGGATGATCCGGTCCAGCACAGCCAAACCCCCACGACACCACGCCCATTAGAATGTGCACACCATCCACGATGGAGACGATCGGACCACCGCTATCTCCCTGGCAGCTGTCTTTCCCATTTCCAGCGGCACAAAACATGCCGCTAACAACCTGCCCACCGTATGACGCCGGTGCATTGCACGTCTTCGTATCGACAGCCTGAACTTCCACCGACAGTAGCACTTCGCTGGCTTGACCACCGGAAGTGGTGTGACCCCATCCGCTAACGGTCAAAGCGTCTCCGCCAACCGGTGACGCCTGGGTCATCCCAATGGGTTGGACATATTCAGTAAAGGCAATGGTTTCCACTTCCAGCAGCGCCACATCGTTGGCCATGGTGTCCGGGTTGAACTTGGGGTGTTCGATGACCTGCAGGACCTTGTAGTTTCGTGCGTGTGATTCCAGGAGAGATGAGTCGTGCTGACCGACGCGGACCAACATCTTCGACGGTTTCAATGTTCTAAACAATAAGCACAAAACCTGTATTTATGGATGTAAATCTAATTCTTATGGATGCTTTCGTGTATTCGTAGCAAACCGAAGCGAAACCACAACCATTTGCATAATTACGAGGCTGTTGTTTCCTGTTTTTATAAAACTGTCATCTATAATTATACATAATGCAACAAGAGATGACTCATTTATTTTTATTTAACTATTTTTTACAACATAAAAAGACTTACGTTCGCCCATCGTAATCTTTGATACAGTGGGCCGCTGTCAGAATCCATCGGTCACTAATGATAGATCCTCCACAACCAAACCGTGTCATCTCAAAGATGCCGAAAACGCTGAGGGTCATTTGCAAATGAATCTGGTATGGATGGTCACCCTTATTAACAGCGCTGCCTCCAACAATTTTGTGTGGCGTTGGGAACGCATCGGAAAGTCCCGCTGTATATTCAAAAGGTACATTTGATCATGCCGTTACAACAGCTGCTTAATTAATTAATCTTCTGAACCTACTTACCGAACAGCAAGACGGCGATCAGCAAAACAGGGTGCATGATTGTATCCATGATGGAAATTTTTGTAACTGACAAAATTTCCAAACAAGTGCAGCAGTTGCAAGATCAATTTGACAGAATGCGCTTCAATTGTTTAAATGTAAGTTTAAATGTAAGTACAACTGTAAGATGCGAAGTGATGAGATGTTAGTAAACTTTGTTGGATTTTATATTGTGATACCAGCGCGTTGCACTGTTTCGCTATCAGGACTTCCGTTGGCACGTGTGGTGTTATCACAACATATCTCCGACACCGCTCGTCACTGCGGCACGGTACCTGCTGTACTGTAATTATGGGAGTGATTATTACTTGCTTCTAGATAGCAAGACAATGTACGGAATGCTGAGATAGCGTATTTTGTCTCGTTTGATCGAGAACGGAAACAAAAACTTCCGCGGCCGATATTAGAAAAACAAAGGCCGACAGCCGTGTGTATGACGTTGCAAGTGGTCATTACCATGCTATTTGTGCGTTAAACAAGCAATGAATAATCACAGCTCGCGGTATCAGTTGCCGGCAATACTTAGTTTCCAAAGGTCACCATGCTTTCCAAGCCGACACGTGAGGCGACACGAGACCTTACAGATTTACAACGGGCACCCCAGAAATCAGATTCTGATTGCACTTTTGTATTTCGACGGAATCACCCAGCACAGTTTCATGTATTATCGAAATGAGAGTTATGGCTGTGTGTTACATAGCGATTACACGTTTTGCAAGATATATTATTATGCAACACCATCCATGTCTTTGGCTGCAGTGAGCATAAGTTACCAATAATATGCAGTGCATACCTTTGCTGAACCCTTCAGTTCAGCAGTGGTATGCACTGCAGTCCGTAATTTGGTAATCGAAAATGCAGGCACCATAAAGCATTGTCGACGTTGGTAGAATTTCCTGCAGATTTTTATTATACTTGATATCAATGCTCAAAATATCTATCAATGCCACCTAACCACCATCAGTGCAGTTTAGCAAGTATTGAAACAATAAGCAAAATATCTCCTTAGCGTTAGAAAATCCTCCGTTCCTTCTTCTTGTGGCGTTAGCGTTATTCTCCCGCCGGTCTTCCTCCTTTTCGAAAGTCGCTATTGGCCTCTAAACTGCCGTCGGCCAGCCTGTGAATTCCCTGCACAGCCGCATACGGCGCTTCCTGCATGTGGCTCGTGTCCACTTTGTGCCCTTTTTGCACGAGGCTTACGACGTCAGCCTAAACGAAACAAACCATTATCTGTAATACTGTTCAATTCCCAAATCCAGAAGGCCTGGCATTCTGTTTGCGGCACCGAACTACGTCTGATTATTATGCACATGACCACACGGTCCACACTCACTCGTCGCGTTCCTGGTTCGTACTCCAGGTGCATGGGCAACAGTTGGTGGTGCAATCGAGGATGATCGATAGCTTCCTTGATGTTCAGACCGAGGTACATTGCCCGCATGAGAACCTGTGAAGTGTAAAACTATCAGTAGAAATTAATCATTAATTAAGCAATAATTAGGCGTTTACGCTGGCCGTTGCGGAAATTATTCGCGATCCACCCGAGGCTCCAATTACATATGTGACGTCACCATGTCGATCAGCCACTATGGTTCCGGAAATGCTGGACTGTGGCCGCTTGTGAGGCGCCACATAATTGGCTTTGGATGGCGGTAAACCGTAAAAATTTGGTTCGTTCGGATTTACACTGAAGTCGTCCATCTCGTTGTTGAGAAGTATTCCGGTAGACTGCGACAAACGCCGCGACCCGAAGCTGTAAAAGAGAAACGCCGATAGCGTAACGATTGTTCCGTTTACAGTCAAAAGATGTACACGGCACTGCTGTTGGTGTTAATTTTTAAGCATTCATTCGCCTTATGCGTGCTCATTTTCACTAGTTACAAGTTACATTAAGCTTAATAGGCATTATTACAAGCATTATGTATTTAAATATATTATTGCTTAATTATATACATAAACCAACGATGAAATTAGTGCCATACAGCTAGAAGCGACTCACAATGTGTTGATTGTCGTAGTTAACGAGACGGCATTTCCATCTTTATCCAGAACACAGAGATGCGACGTTCCTGTTTTGCCAATTTTAGCAACAGTTTTAACACCGTAGGTGCTCGTATCATTAGAGGTCTTATTTTCCATAATGGATCGCCGTGTAAAATCGGCCAACCACGGATTGAGCAGTGCTTCTTCAATCTGAAAGTAAGTACGGTACAAATCATCGGATATCCCAAGCAGAACGCCTCGATAAGACAAGACCCAACAAGAAATAGATTACCGTCGGAGAGCGATAATCTATCAGGAATACAAAAATCTCAACTCAAGGGGTTTTTCTACATAAAGGTCACCTCCTGTACTTCCGCCTGAAAATCTTTGTCACCGAGTTCGGTTCTGCGGGCATAACCGTATTTCATGGTTTCCACCAGGCGTTGGTTGAACAAATCCCGGTCAGTCTGCTTTGCAGTGCGCCAATCGAGACTCACATTGCCGTAGTAGCCATCCATAACTTTCACCATATACTGCAGTATAAGCCCGCTTGAAGGCGGCGGAATGGTGTACAAAAGAGAATTATCTTGTAAAGTAGTGTGGATAGCCGGTTCTACAGCGGCCGTGTACTGTTGCATATCGTCCAGAGTAATTATACCACCTCAACAGCAAATGCGTTGGTGTCAGCAATAAATGTCAAATACGTTTGCGGCAAATAGCAGTAAATTAATGGGGATCCTATACATAGCAGATACTGTAGTTTACCTCCATTTTTTATGTCATTAACCAAGTTTTCGGCGATTCGGCCGGTGTAAAACTCTTTTATTCCTTCGGGGTCATCCGCAATCATCTGCATGGTATTGACCAATTTTTCGTTGGCATAGGTCTGATTTTCGACCAGTAGCCTGCCGCCTGGTGCGAACAACGTGGTCAAGCCCTTATCGTAGCCTCCCAAGATATCGTCCTTGGCAACCCGAATTGCGAAGGCAAGACGGTTATTAATGCGAATCCCTTGTTGCAGTGCTTTTATGACCGGTGCAAAAAGATCTTTCCACTGTAGTTTCCCGCCGACTGATTTAGAATACTGGTACGCTGCCCAGAGTCCAGCAAGTTCACCTAAAGCATTAAAAATGCATAAGTTTTGTCGTCATTTTTGCAAAGCACAGGCAATGTACAGAATAGTACACATTCGGCACAGTAGAGCACGCATGAAAGATGCATTCATAAAAGTCATTTTTATGTGTCATTACGTTGCAATTGAGTCCATACTTTTTGAATGCTTTTGAATTTATTGCGCTTGGTTTCACTGTTCCTGCTAAACATAACTAATCGAACTGCTATATGCCATGCTTTGCTTATTGTGAATAGTGTTTAAATATATGCAGTACACGACAATGCGTGAAAATTTACCTGGTACGCCGGCCGCATGCCATCCTTTGATGGAGGAAATGTTCTTGTTGTCCACATACATGAAGGTCGTAGACGCAGCTGGGGCCATTTCTCGTGCGTTGATTGTGGTGGCACTTTGGTTCTTCCGGTTGTATATCACCATGAAATGACCCCCGCCCAAACCGCAGCTTTGCGGGTCGTAAATACCGACACACAACGAGGTGGTGATGGCTGCTTCAATGGCATTTCCTCCTTTTTTCAGAACATCGCTATAAAAACTTTTTTATTAAGTTTTTGTACTTATCGCGACGACACTGTACTCACTTATTTTAGGCAATAACAAGTGGCGGTTTATTAAGCGATTCAGAGTTATGAAAATACCCATCCGTACTTTCCCATTTCCGAGCATTCGACCGAATCGGCGGCCACAGCCTGTTTGGCATATCTTCCCAAAACTGACTTCGAAGGTGGAAATTTATCTGCTACAGTCCCAGGGTATAAATCCTTTTTCGATTGGGCTGTTGTATTTTTCTCCAATTTGGGAATGGAGGCGGTGGAGGAACGCTCAACCCCAACGGTTGCTAATACCAGCAAGCTTAAGGTCACCCAGATCAGCGCCATCGCGATGCTCCGAAAACCTGTTGGCAATGTAGCCGAAAGCGGGAAACTAAACAAGTGCTAGTGGAGACAAAGTTTAATATACATAACATAACTGTGCATTTTTACGTCGGGTAGGAAAAGCCGCAATGCAAATGCATTACAGGTGAATGCGCACCTGCCAGTCATAAAAAATAATAATACCTTTGACAAATGGATATGACTTCGAGTTTTGCAAAATTGCCGCACTAAATATTATGCCATCTCACGCTAGTTTTTCATTTTGGAGCGTTAACAGGAAAATTTAATGCTGCGTGAGTGCATGTTGATTGTATAAACTGGTTAACGCGGAACTATTTAGCGGAATTCGTTGTCCATAGGATGGAGGGTGTACTCTCATGTTATACTTAATTTTCCAACTGCGTGTTTACTACTTTTTTACGAGCTGCTGGTAATTCTAACGCATTATCAGCCAAGCAAAAGTAAGAAAACGACTCCACATCTGGTGTTTTATAAAATTATTTTCGTAAAATACCGTCGTATGGAAAATTCCGCAATGAATTTAATCTTACGATTAGAGGACCTCAAAACTCTATGAATGAATGTCGGGAACATTTTATTGTGACAATTCAGCAATGTGCGACAAGTACTCGTAGTGAAAGTGATAATGCCCACAGCTGCTGTAAATCTTTACCATATTATAGCATGCAGTGATGGTCAACTATTGGCGAAGGTTGTAATTTGCACAGCAATCTAACAAAGCTGATATAACCACTACAATTTGTATCACCTTTACGCCAACAGATTTCATAAACACTTTAGGACACAAGCCCGTCACAAGTCGAAACAAGAATCAAGCTCCAGCAGGCTTTCCAGATTTGCGGTGGTCACTGTTCGCTTCCAGACTTCCATCGGCCAGTCGATGTATGCCTTGGACAACGGCATAGGGGGTCTCGTTTATGTGACTGGTATCGAGCGCATGACCTTTCTTAAACAAACTCATCAAATCAGCCTGCAATAAACAAACAAAAGTACGTCAAAATTCCTCGCAAAACAGGAAACAGATCTTAATTACCAGACGCGTTCCTGGCTCATATTCCAAATGCATAGGAAGAAGTTGATGATGCAGACGAGGATGATCAATAGCCTCCTTGATGTTAAGGTTCAAAAACAGTGTGCGTATTGTTGTCTAGAAAATGTGAATAGTCTTGCAAATGTGAAAACTGATGGTTATTATCGTCAACAATTATCGAAACCGTTTCATATGAAGCTTACGGTAGCGGTTGCCGAGATAATTCTAGATCCACCGGAGCCACCGATAACCAATTTGGCATCGCCATTGGGGTCAACAATAACGGTGCCGGAAATACTTGACTGGGGCCGTTTAGCAGGAGCCACATAATTAGCTTTAGATGGCGGTAAACCATAAAAGTTCGGTTCGTTGGGATTAACACTAAAGTCGTCCATCTCGTTATTCATCAGTATTCCCGTCGATCTGGACAGGCGTCGTGAGCCAAAACTGCCAAGTAAACGTTCTTTTAAAATACTGCTTATGCGTTACCAATCTGAAACAGCTTATAAAAATGCTGTCAGAATCATAGCAAGGCTGCAGTCGATGAAAAATGTACAACACGAAGCAGAAGTGGACTATACTTGAGTTATTGTAGCCACCGTAAAATTGTCATCTAATTTCCATAATACATTACGCATAGCGCTTCAAATGGGCAAATAAAAAACTCACTGGGTATTGATGGTTGTGGTCAAGGACACCGCATTGCCGTCTTTATCCAAAACACAAAGGTGAGACGTTCCTGTTTTGTCGATTTTCGTTGCGGTTTTCACGCCATAGGTGCTGGTATCGTTGGAAGTTCTCTTTTCATTTATCATTCGACGTGTCAAGTCAGTAAACCATGGAGTGAGAAGCACATTTTCAATCTGGGAAACGATGCGCATATGCTTATTATGTCACAGACGAAAGTAACCGTGAAAACACAATGACTTACTTCGTGCACTTCCGGTTGGAAATCTTCATCACCCAATTCACTGCGTCTTCCATATGCGAACTTCATTGTTTCCGCCAACCGCTGGTTGAACAGATCCCGTTCGACCTGTTTAGCCGTATGCCAGTCCAACGTCCGGTTGCCGTAGTAGCCATCCATCACTTTGACGATGTACTGCATAATGAGACCACCCGCCGGAGGCGGCACGGTGTACAGTGTAGAGTTGTCGGTTAACGTTGTATGAATCGCCGGTTTAATAACCACCTTGTAATTCTTTAGATCGTCCAGGGTAATTATACCACCTAACAGTGTAAATTAACATCAACAAAATTTTCCAACGGCTGTGTTTTCAGAGAAGCGCTCTAACATTCTAATAACTATCTTAATCCAAACTGAATGACTTACCACCCTCCTTAACATCCTTGGCGAGCTTCTGCGCGATTTTGCCGGAATAGAATTCTGCGGTTCCTTGAGGGTCATTGGCGATGATCTCCATCGTGTTGGCCAGTTCTTTGTTGGTGTACATGTCGCCCTCCACCATCAGCTTCTTATTCTTCACAAACAAGGCCGACAGTCCTTTGTCATACCCACCAAGAATGTCATCCTTGGCATCGCGTAGAGCATCAGCCAGACGATCATTTATGCGAATTCCTTCTCGTAAGACCTTTATAACCGGAGCAAATAAATCTCGCCAAGGCACCTTTCCACCGATACTCTGTGAATACTGGTATGCCGCCCACAATCCGGCCAGTTCACCTAAGAAATAAAAAGAGAAAAATAAAACGCATGTTTGCTTTTAACTGTTGATTGACAGTTTTGATTTTAAAAAATTATCACTTCTCACAAGACGAACAGAATGTTTGTACACATGTGAACAGTAAGAAGAACTGCCCGTAAGGTCTCACTTTTCATCGGCATTCACGAAAGTTTGGGTTTCAAAATCAGTGCTCGGAATCTGCGTTATTCTTACCGGGAACTCCTGGCGCATGCCATCCTTTGATAGATGAAAGGTTCCTGCTGTCGGCATACATCAAGATGGTCGACGCAGCGGGCGCCATTTCGCGAGCGTTGATCGCCGTGGCATTCTGCGCCTGTCGGTCGTAAATCACCATGAAATGACCACCGCCCAGACCACAACTGTGCGTGTCATATACTCCCACGCACAAGGATGTCGTAATAGCGGCTTCAATGGCGTTTCCTCCTTGGTTTAAGATGGCACTAAAAAAATCCAAAGAGGAAATGACTATATATAAAAATCTTAACCAAAAAAGCATTTTCCTAACAGGAATCTTTCAACAGTTCGAGTAATTTCACCTTGTAATAATTTCCGGTGATTCCACTTACTTTCCCATTTCCGAGCATTCGCCGGTATCAGCGGCCACCGCTTGTTTGGAGTACTTTCCCAGCACTGATTTAGAAGGCGGAAAGTCTTTGGTAACAGCTCCAATAAAAGTCACCGGCTTCGGCTTTGTTGGTGATGGCGGGCTGGCTACCGGACTGCCCAGCGTGGTTTCGCTGAGCACAACCGACAAAAACACCAAGAAAGGTACTGTCGACGCCATTGTCGTGCGCCCTTTTAACGCTGTCCCGCAATAATTTTCCAACTGCACCACTGCGCTCGTCAATGAAATTCGGTATTTATGGAAACATAAGTGTACCAACTGCCTCGTTAACGCTGTAGGCTAGAAAACGTACTATCCTGGAGTCCGAGTTTTACAGTTAAATGAGTCACTTTATCACAATACTGCAGCAAAACTCAATCCAGAGAAACATCGACCAGCAAGCCTCATTGTCAGTTTGCCAACACCCGGCAGCCATAGCCAGCAAGGTTGGACAAACTTCCAGTTTTGTAGTGTGTTCACCAAAAGTCACACATAAAAATGAGAAGTTAGCCTAACGGCTCTGGTTACCAATTACATTTTAAAATGACACAATGCACAATGCTCTTTGTGTCTGCTTTATTAAGCAGCAAATTCTCGGTGTGAAATATTAATTTAGCTACAGGATACCTTGACTGTCTTCTATGTTTTACAGGACAAATTATTTCATCAGTATTCACGCAGCTGCTCAGTTCACCCTCGGCGCATTCTAACGAACAGAATGCAAATGCGTAGTCAACACACTGTATTAGTTGGTCATAAAACAATTTTTTTAGAAATGCTACTCTGTACTCTTTGTACTGTACAATAAATGCATAAAGGTTACACAGCTACGTACGGTATGCAGAGAGAAAACACCAGCGAGCGTCACCACAACAATCATTAACAATGACAGCATCAACTTTTCTGCTCAGCATCCGTTTCAGTTTTATCCTTCCTTATGACATCAATGGGCAAATCGTAGCTCATAAACAATTTATAAACTTCGTTGTCGATAAATTCCTCCGGATTAATAAACAGCGGAATCTTCTTGTTCCCCTGCTTAACCGTTATCGTCGTGAAAGCTCCTCCGATAGGCGGCACTTCCACGTCTTCTCGCGGAAACGTCAGGTACTTCCACGAAGGAATAAACTTGGTCGTCACCGCCGTGAACAACTTCGTCGAGGGATCATAATATATCCGAAACACATAACGCTTGACAACGAGGTGGAACAGAATCGGGGTAATGTAGATGAAGAAGCCGAAAAAAGAGAACAAAATCGCCTTCACCCACGTTGGGAGAGAATCCACATTGCGCAAAATAATCGGCTGGCCCATGAAGCCCAACGCACTGCTACCGAAAGACAGCAACTTCACTAGCACCACTTGCTTGGAAATCGATCCCCGGTAGACCAGGTTGCCGAATCCTAGCTCAATGGGCGGCAGTTGTTTTCGTGCGGGGCTTATCTCTTGCCGCGAATCAGACACGGGAGCCCGAAGGCACGGATGCTGTGCGGTGTGGAAACCAGCGGAAGTGGTGGAACAAGCAGTGATGTTCGCCAGCAAGGGAGCGCTGCGCCTGCACACCAGTACTGGACTGATCCACGAACAAGCCAGACGAGCGTGGCAGCATAAGACGGAAGGATTTCGGAAGGCCATGACAGGCGTGCGTCCACAGATATTTCGCAAGCCAAACGCCGATTACTTCGCACTTCTGCGTAGACCGCAAATCGGTTGTATGTTCTAATCGCAAAGGTGTAAGTCAGTATTAAAGTGAAGTCCTGCGTTTCTGGTAAGTTCTCCAAAGCTAATCGGTGGCGGCGAGCCCGGCGACCAACGGATAATCGAAGGCGCAACCAAGCCAATCAAAAACCATTACGTACTCCATAAAACTCGGATCAAAGCAAGGAAATATCCTGTAATCCTGTTGTAACGTTTTCCAGAAGTGAAGATCAAAATTTGCAGTTGGACGTCAAGTTGTAAACGGATTTGTACGAGTATGACGGAGTATGTACTGTATACTTGGATCTTATGTTTATTACATGATGGACCGGAGGGGCTTCGAGTGTATAAAGTCAGGTAACCGGAAGTTTGGAATCCGGCGGTACATAATAAGCAAAATATTAGAATGGGTCCTGTGTAAGTACTTTTATGTTGTGCCACATATTAAACGGAAATTATGGAATAATAATTGTTGCTGTAAAATTACAAACTGTTTGTAATTTTCAATATTCACGTGAATCACGAGTTCACGACCCATACTGTCATACAAACACTGGGAGAAATGATCAGTTCTCCTTGGATGCATCAGTGTACTTCGACAGCTGATGTACTTATTTTGGGCCGATTTTGCGCAAGTGATGTTTGGTTTTCTTCATTTCTAAATCTGGGATCCTCTGACACTTCGCGATATTTTCGCATTTGCATTCACCGATTTGTAACGTAGTTTGTAAATTGTAAATTTTGAGTTGAGCGACGAAATTACGAGTTAATGTGTTACTTTGCGTAGCTGTGTGGTATTGTCACTATTGTGATTAGTGATTGTGTCCTGTCGCTGTCTTTGTGGTTCCGCGGATAGAAGGGCGAACAGCGAGAGCATAGCCAGCCCGAGCCTTTACCTCATTCTTTCTAATCAAGCAGTTCAGACGATTCTGAAGGAAACGAGTTGTTTGACATTTGCGGATGGAATTTGGTTGGTCTTCGCTCCGGGATCGATCAGATGTGGCAGCAGCAGCTCGGACGAGCTGTTGAGAGCAACTGGAGAACTCTTCTGAAAGGCGTCTTAGTTTACGGCGCGTATCGCAAATTTAAAACCTCCCCAGCCATGTTCCGCACACTGGTACGGGCGTTTTCTTTTGAATTTGCGCCGATTTTGCTTATAGAAATGTTTAGGTTGGTTTCGCTGCGGGACTGTACACCGGAGTTTATGCAGCGCAAAATTATGAGGTATGTCGTATGGTTGCAACAAGGTAGACTGGTAGAAGCTTCCCTGTCTTGTTGGTGTCTTATTTAGTCTTACGAGCTGTCTTTCTCTGATCGGAACAAATGCATTTATTGTGTGTAGTTTGAAATTATTCAGTTTAAATTAAATTCTTTGAGTTTTTAAGTGCATGATATGCTTCCTGCAGTTAGAAAACGAAAGCTTGGTTATTAAAGACACCATTGATTGCGATTCTGGCATTGTTTATGTACGTTTTGCTTTACCTAAAGTCTCAAGACGATGAAAAGTATTGTGCGTAAGTTAGATTTGTGGAAAATAACATCCTTTTAATTATGTGCTGCAATAAAATTTAAGTTGGCTTCTCTTACTCACCACACTTTCTATACGGGATACAGGGTAGAATTAAGATCCTAATTCATTTAATTGTAACTTGCATTGAATAACAGTATGTAATGGCTAACGTTTTTGTGACGATGGATTTTCACAAATTATTATTCGATTTTCAGGTACCTAAAGTGATGAGTCCCGCTGAAGGGTGGAACAAAGTGACTTCGTTAATCGAAGATAAGAAGACAACACCGCCGCCTCCAACAAAATAGGCCGCCTGGTTTCGGCTTTATGGTTTGCAACAACTTTGTATAATTACAGTGAATTCGTTTTTACTGGTCTATTCATGCTTTGCTCCGGTAAATTGGTGTGGTGGTTTGAAACTTTACAATACGACTGGTGACGGAATGACGGTTGCTGCATCTGTGATGGTGCACTTTATTGCATTTACAAGAATTATCAATTTCTGATGAATTACGCATCAGTAAATGCATAAGCACAAGTGGTCAGGGTGATATTGTTAATTTTATAGTTTAATCCAACGCAAAAAGGTTGCAAAACGTTTTTTTACATTTGCACGATAAGTACGAGCAAGGTATATAGGGTTAAACCCTATATACCTTGGTACGAGTATTAAAAAAACGGCATCATCATATTTACAATTATTCATAAAATACTCTGCAAGAGGACAAAAGATTCATGCGTCGGCAGCATTCAGTTCATCCAGTATTTCCAGACACGAACCACGGTATCTAAAATTTTAACTGTAGTTGCAAGAAATCTTATTCAAGTGTAGCAGTCTGAAACAATTAAAAAAACTTTCTCACCCAGATCCAAAATGGTTATAGTGGTTTAAGTAGTGAAACTGCAAAACGAAGAACGTACTCGCACATCATACACAAGTAGATATAGTAAAACGTCATATCAATAAGTAATCATTAAGGACGAACGAAGTGCGAACTGTCTCTTACCAAACGGTAAAGTTGCTGGCGACGCTCAAACCCGGGCGATTTCGGTATAACTTTATGATAAGAATTAAAGAATGCCTTCCCGAATCCGCCGAACATCGTGGCGATGGCCAAATCAAACTCGTGATGTCCGTACACCACTGCCGGATCAAAGATAACCGGCTCTCCGGTGCCCTCAGCTGATGCTGCGTTTCCTGACCACAAATCGCCATGCAGTAAGCTGGGAAAGATGTCGATGCCTCCGAAGAATCCGGGAATCCTCGGTTCCAATTTGCTCCATTTCTCCTTTAAAGCAGTATCTCTATGTTCCTTCACCGCCATTTCAATTTGAGGACACAGACGACAATTCGAGTAGAAAGTCTGCAAACAGTTCCAATGACCCGTTATTAATTCAAATTAAATTTACACGCAAGTATTCATATTATATTATCAATAAACAATAAATTTTTAGCAACAAATTAAAAGCACATCATAATAAGTATAAGCCCTGTATAACTTCAGTGAGTTCGCGAAACTTACGGGCCAGTCATCGTGCCACGTGTTGTCCTGGGGAATGTACCCGCAGCAAGTGCTGACATGGAAGCCAAACTTGGTAACCAGCTCACCAGATTCCGAATTGCCGTCGGTTTTCAACGAGGCATTATGCAAGTGCAACCTGAAATGCAGCAAGCAAATGATACAGAACGAGTAGCATAACGATACTTTGCAGTGTATCTACGACAAAAAGACTGGGAAAACGCAAAAATCCAAGGAAACGATATCCAGCAGATATCTGTCAACTGTCAAGCAACCAGTTGGAAGACGCAAATAAGTAAGCACCAACATTCCAACAACAAGTAACTCAACAGAAATAGAAATACCGATAGAATGATATTTGCACGATCGCAGTCATTCACCCATATACCTATTCTGAATACACAGTACATATTCTGAGTCCCCCAGCTGATATACTTAAATTCTCAGCACACCCGTATTAAAAGGCTAATTTCTATCGAACGATTAGCAAGCAGGCATACGCACCTGGCCAGTTGTTGGCCCAATTCCGCAGCCTGAGCGCCCAGTCCCCGCATCTCAATGTATTCCATCACACAGGCAGCTCCTCCACCTGGAAGATCAATCACCTAATCAAACCCAATCTTCTTGTCACACGTTAAGGAACCGTCTCAATGCCTAACTGACTAACACTGGCCATCTGAGAGCGTTTTCCTCGTACTGAGAAGCACTTGATCTTAATTGACAGATATTATAATATTGGCTTGCTAATATTTAGCCACTGAAACCAAGTGTTTTCAAAAATACGAGACGTATCGCTTTGCCACCATATTCCCATGCCCACAGTACGCGTCCCAGCTCAAGCGTCTAAACTCCAAAGACTTGAAGATTGCAATATTAATCATTTCAAACCTTACCAGCTCGGGCTTCAACTCGCAATTTGTGAACTTCAAAGCGTAAGCGCATGCGCGTAAAGTTTAGTAGGTTCATCATTCATGAGTTGCGCCTGCGCTTGTTGCACTTACTGAGTTACAGAGTAGACTTACTTTAATCGGCTTGGGCACACGAATACATCCCGTAGCATTTAGCGCTTTCAGCCCCTCGAATTCTCCTTCGAACATCAATCGAGCCTAAAATTAATACGCAAAATTTCTTCACCATAACAGTCTTGCAAGAGCTAAAGTCAATTTCAAGAGCGATATTCAACGGCATACCCCGGGTTTAGAGTTTTCCTTGACGAAGACAGATCCACTGTCAGTCAGATATCCCTGTCCGTGGTTGATGCATCCTCCGCCACCTTTGCCGAACTTCTGAATGTTAGCGGAACTCAATAGCTTCTTCAATATTTCTTCCATGCTGATCTGTTCAAGAGTATTCGTAGAGTCGCAAACTAAACTAGAGTTATTAGTTTCCACTTTCCAGCAGACTGCGAAGACGCCAGACGGCAAAAGGTGGAAGAGATGAAAACGAAAACGAGCTGAGAAAGCATAGTATGTAACTGCCACCTCGCGTAGTTCGCGCTGAATTTGCTAACTTTGCTTCAACTGTTAAAAGGCAGAAATTTATCGTTAATGTAAGTACTATAAATACTGTACGTTTGTAGTAACGTACTGTACAATAGTCAACACTTATCCTGAAAATTTTGCTACCTGCATATTAGAAAAGAGAAGATTTCTGGTTGCATAAAAAATTTTCGAAAAGCACAAAAAAAAAATCCCGGGGAGACGTCCGGAGTTAGACCGCACATTATTGCCTGATGTCTCCCGACTCGGATGTGCATAACAAGATGGTGCGGCCACATGCATGATGCGCGAGAAGGTCAGCATGTCAGGTGCCATCATGCGTTGACTGGTCTCCGATCCCACTCCCAGCGCACTACCAGGCTCAAAGCAACGCGGCGGGTATATTGCAGATTGTTGTTTATGGATTTTCATTGTCATATTATGAATTGTCTCACACTGACATATTATAAACAGTTTCAGAAAGTTGAGGGCACTAACGATTTATGTATACAATCTGTTAGCTTAGAATCGTGTACTAGGGGTTGCAGCTAGGACACTTGTACTGCGCATGGACCAGCAAATGCGCTGGACAGTAAATATCTACTATGTACCCAGACCGGAAGGCAGAAGAACGGTTAATCATGAAAGAGTTGCTTGTGCGCATACGGGTAATTTGAAATCTAAAGTGTACAGCCGCCGGTTCCGTCTCGGCCGTTCCCTCTAAGCCATGGAAATCCGCCCCCCGGATGGTATCGTTAGCCGCTGGATAGACATAAAATACGCCAGCAAAGCACACGTTTTCGCTAACAGTACATGACACTGTCTTCGTTCAACATACAAGCCCCTGATACTTCCGGTGTAGTACTTCCATCTCACCACCCACTACCTCACCCAAATACGCAGCTTAAAAACTTTATTGCTCGTCGAGACAATCAGTTTGTAGACATTTGATTTTTAATGCACCTTTGTGTAATAAAAAACGCGAAAACAACAACCAACAAGACAACCTTCGACAACTCCGTTAAGATAATTATATTAATTAATAATTTGATTTGCTGTACGATAGTTCTTATGCTCTTGAATTGCAATCACAACCATAACAGCTTAAATTCGAGATTTCTAACTGAATTAAAGGTATGCGATTGCATTCCAGCTTGTGCAGGTACTGAAAATTTAATTAACCCAACTTGTTGCCGCCGATTATATTCCACTTTTTTATCATTGCCTTCGATTGTGCCAGCTCTGCCGGCAGCCATATCGGGCAGGTCTAATCGCAAAAACTGTGCAGGCATATATATGAGCATACATAACATTCCCACGGATACAAATCGCATTTGATCAGTAACCAAATCGATCAACTTATTGCGCAATCTTACAATCGTTAACAGCCGACCACGGAAAAGAGCAGCCATATATTACACATTCGGAGTATCGGGTGAATTTCATCCGTTTTACTTTTCTGGTGTTCGTGCTTAACAATCGCTCTTGGGCCACGGCAAAAACGCCGGCCCGGGAATGCAGCCAATCAGATAATAATAAATATTCCCGAGCCATATGTGCGCGGCCTGCCAATATCGCCATCGTTTTTCGCTTTCTATTTACTTTTCCATCCTCTCCTATCTGCAACACACCGTCGGTACAATAATCGCACTGCTATGACCGTATGGACACAATCGGGTTGGCTGCTGCATTTAAATGGATTATCATGATTCGGTTAATCACTTTCTACTGGTAATGTTACCATTTCATAATCAACGCTGACATTCTGTCACCGCTTCAGCCTGATTAAGCGCCGCTACGCATTACAACACACGCCAGCTCCTCACGGCATCTCCACCTTTGTGTGGCCTGCAATATCCAAGGGAATATTCAATTATCTCATTTATCTGCAATTCTTTTCAGTCGACGTAATACTACTTACTAGGTAGGTGGTTGTTCCGTGGTTGTACTTCGCCGAAAATAATAACTGTGCTCTTTTCCATGATATACAGGTAATATTCCGTTGTAGTAAGCGCTTTGTACGTGATCATGACCTTAGAAATTCGTCAACAGCAAACTTATCGGCGTTCTGAATTCGCCGGCATTTCAGAAACCTGAGAATTTTCGAACTTTTCGAACTTTTCGTTTCGAATTCGCCGGCATTTCGGAAACCCGCATAAGATGTTTTTTTTTCTAAATTCTTTAGTACCAACTAGTATGTTTCGCTGCCCGAGTATTTAAAAATCCCGGAGATTTATAAGATTCTCTGGAGAAAACTTAGGTTAAGTTCACAGCACGCAGCTTAATTGACATTTTCAATTTTGACGTATACAGACTGTAACAATTTAAGCAGAATGTATGCACGGAGCAAATACATATACGTACACAACTATATAAGTTTTCTCAATTTAATTTATAATTTTTTGATAATTATTAATTTTAAGGTAACTTATTGCGAAACATTCATACAACGATAAAATACTCTGTAATAGTCTCATAAGTCTCGACACTAACCGGTAAGATATCGGAAAACCTAATAAAACAAATAGCCTTAAAAATCAGAATTCGAAATGGACAGCTTTCGAAGCAGTTTCGACAAAATAATACATATAATTTATATGGTCAGTAAAGTAAACCGTCTTTCAGTGAGTACTGCATTTCCAGCACTTCTTGTTTGTATAAATTACTGTGTTGTCGAGTACCATGTATCTAGGTATGCAGTTCAGTTTAACGATGCGATAGCACAACCAAGCCGGCACTGTAACAGCTAGTTTAGAATTTATGAAATTACTACACAAAATTAATACAATAGATACCAGTTAGTCGGTATATACTGTAATTAATTTTGTTGTTTGACTAACACGTAACTTTATCTGATTTATTTCTGCTCAAGGTAAATGATGGCAAAATAACATTTTAAATTGCTGGCGTCGATAACATTGTTCCAGCGATGCAATCTAATCAATTTGAAACGCTTCGAAACACTTGAAGTGTTTCGCGGCGTCGCGCACGCATAAGCCACAGTATAAGAATTCAAAACACAAATTCATCGTCATGTCGAACGGTTCGACATGTGTGAGTTAACTGCATGTGTCATTGCGAGATAAGGCTGCGCTCATAGATTGGATGCACGAAACCGTCAACACATGCCCACTTTAAGGCAACGTTGCATAAGTCTGCCGTATCGTAAACCTAGTCGCGACTAGATTTACGATTCGGCATCGTTGACTTATCCATGCAGTCTGCAGTTGTTTTAGGTCGTGTACAAAGTTTCATCTATGGAATATCTGAATTATTATTAAAAATAACCTCTGCCATTATTATGAATCTTCATTAATTAGTTCACCAGCAGAGCGACTTCTTTATTTTGGCAACAATTAAGTCTGAAATTTATTTAATTAGACAAATTGATTAATTTCAGTGCTAATTTGCATGAATATGTCATGTGGATATTCTGGCTACTGTGGTATCGCATAGTAAAGTGGAAAACGTTGTTCACCTGCCGTACAAATTAATTAAGTACTGTAGTAAATTTTTCTAATTTTCGTTTCGCGTTCCTTATACAGCGCTCACCATACCGTATGATACGTATAATTTACCGTAAGTTGGGGCGCTCAAATATCGCAGCTGCAACGGTTGCTTCGTTATCGCGTTATTGGATGTTTTTTCTATGCATCATTCGTGATTACTCATGGGTTGTTGCCGTATCGTACGGTTAACGTTCGATAAGTCGCCATAGTTGAATTCTTATAATATGGTGAATCGTATAGTTCCTAAGCACCGAGCATAAACATGTGGATGTAGTTTCCCTTGTTTGCTAATTTGCTTCCCAGCACGTACAACAACGCAGTACGATCAAAGGAATTCGAAATTTTTCAGCCGTTATGAAAGCATTTTTATTGTACGGTGTACCCCATCTCCTAACGTTCTCCTGCATACATTATAATTTCTTAACGCACTAACGTGTGTTTTCAAGACGTAGCGTTAGCCGTCATAAATCGCCTTATTAGAGCAAAAGTGGATTGTTATTTTGTCGTTTTTTAGCTCATGCGAATGTTGGGAAATTCCTTCGCTGTGGCAAATTCTATCCATGCATTCCTAACTGTTAGTGCGCTGCGGCAGGCTGCAGTCTTGCAATGAAATCACCGTCTCGTCGACGTCGCCGGCGGAATTAATTGCGGCAGGAAAAACAGCTGATGCGTGGGTGGATGAAAATTGATTGCGACAGACCAATGGGCACGCAGGGCATCTGCTTTATTTTCGCCGTGGTATAAAGTCGGTATTGTGGAAAAACCGGTATGAATTTGATAGGTTCAAGTGCACTCGCTACGTCAGAGATGCCGACTGTTTCAAGCAACTCTTTTCCGGGTCGCTCTCGTTTCTGCGGTACATGGCCGTACACGAGGAATGAGCAGCTAATAGACAACATCCACCAGCTGTCATGCACATGCGTAAACAATTATTTAAGGCTTTTTAACGAGTACTTTTTGCTACGTTTCCCCTGTTAAAGCTACTTTACAAGCTGAAATTAAAATACAACCCTGACATGAGGAACTTTATATTTATGTTTATACATTTTGGCGGCCACTAGTTTTCACTAAGGTGACCATACAATTTTAATTCATCACATTGTGACATTGGCGTGATGCGCGTAATGGCATTATAACCACCCGCACATGGATGTGCATTATTGATGTCGTGAAGGTCCAGCGCGTGAGCGCCGTGATCTACCGGCGGATCCTTCCCCGTAACCATTTGATTATTATCTCCGAAATCATCTCCGCTTTCCTCCAGACAACAATGGCCGGAAACACTGCTGTCCGCGCGTGTGCGCCCTAAATCAATACAATCTAATTGGCCGATATATCGCCGCCACGCAGCGTCCGCCTACGTTTGGGGATCGTTGTTCCCTGAGCGCGGTTGATATAGTACGCGCGACACAGCAGCGGTGTGTGTTGGCGGCACTCTTAAGCGCCTGTCCTTGAGGCATCTCGCACCATGAACGTACACACAACAAAACCATGTCATTCGACATTTTGTCTTTATGTACAGCAATTTAGAACATCCACACAGAGTGTTTTCCGCCACCCTTGACAAGTTCTGGCGTAAATGTGTAAAGTGTCAAACCCTATTCCGGTCAATGCGATGTGATCAGCAATTTCTCATTTTCTCGTATCACTGACACAGCGGAAAGGTTTATGTTGGCTGAGGTTATGCTAATGCCGCATATACTCCAGCTAAAGCCCACCGACTGGTTATAAATTTAATAACCGTCCATATCGTGCAGACCGCAGTCTTCTCAGTTTAATATTAATCTGATTGTAAATTTTGGATTTTTTCTTCCCTTGCGTCCGGCCTTGTACAAATTCGTAAAAATGGCGAAATTTCACAATAATAACGATTATGCTAACGATGACATCTCCCATCATCACAGGAAAGATTCGCACCATTCGCAAGTCTCCACCCATTCTGATTATCGGCTAAGTGATACGGATAGTATTGGCGGCTGCAAGATGCCCACCATACTGGAGAATGGACCGATTAATAATCGTTATCAGGCCTCCTCGCTCTATTATGGATTACGCCGCGGCCCGGTGGTGATGGGTTTGATTGAGATGCTCTTGGGGATCATCCTCTTGTTCCCCAGTTTGCTGGTCGGTAAGCGGCAGTTTGACGATAGAGCTAATATAAAAATAGTAAAATGTTAAGAGCTAAACGACAGATTTTGACAATGATGCATGGGCATGTAGGTGCCTTTGCGTGTGTAAATATAAACTTTTATTCTGATAATGTGATATCAACCAATATATTTCGGTTTTACGCGATCTTGCTGGTTCTAAAACGTTTGTTGCATGCAAAGCTTCTCAGCAAACGCGCAGAATTTTGTACGTACGGTAATCACGGAGAGATCATTCTCATAAACAATAACTAATACGCTGTGCAAAGTTGTGTGTCGCTCGCTAGTGGTAAATTTGTTTGTTTTCATTAGCCAAAGCTGGTTGAGCCAGTCAGATGCGATGAGTAGAAGTACTCCAGTTAAGCTGTTTATTTGTAAAAATACGCCGGTCCATGCGGCATTGCCGGTTCATAATTTTTTGAGTTGCATTGGTTGAGTTGCGCTGTTTTACTTCATTCCTTGAGGATTTAGGCACGTTCTGAGTCTGACAATATTAGGTAGTTTATGCCGTGTGATTAAACGTTTTTGCCGTCAATCGTCGTAGCAGCCGGCATTTTCGTCAGTGCACTCTGTTCGATTGCATGTTGTGTAAGTGCAGGAAATAATGGTCGGCGCGGCATTGATACAACCACATAATTCAAACGCGAATAAACTTCCTGTTTTCCACTTTGGCCTTGATAGTCTGTGTGTATTTACGTAGTTGAGCTCGTAATCACACGATCTTTGTGCTCCTCATAATCGTGAATCACATATACGAAATTCCATTCTGCTTTGTAAACATGAAACTTACGTTTCCATTGTAAAGCAACCGGCAGCGTATTAAAATTTAGATACCTACTGCGTACTGTACTAATTGGTTGCCTTAAGTAACATAATTATATTTAAGTAACAATGCTTGCCTTAAGTTATTTCAGTAATAATGCTAGCAAAGCAGCCAAAATAATTACTATGATTTTTATGCCGAATTTAGATATGCTGCCATAATTTGCACAGTAAAAAGTTGCAGTTATTTTTTCCCGTTTTGTTTGAAATAATGCAATCACCGCAAGTATCTTACAACTTGCAGTTTGTTGGTCACAAGCAATGTAACAAAGCAATTCTGAAGCGTGTCCGCACTTGAATTTTGGTCAATGTTATTGCTACATGCTCACAAATAAAATTCGAGTAACATTGTATGGCATAAAATACATAATATTGTTGCATCCCGCTGTGCTCTACGAAATGAATATTTGAAAGCGGGAATATTCCATGTCGTAAAACTAAAACGCAAAGGATGCGGAACTTAGAATTATGCGGAAATCCATATAAGCGTTTGCAGCTTTTTGTGGCACTAGTACACACACTGCATCGCTTGTTCGTGGAATAAATGGCTGGTACTTGACGATGGGGCGTAATGGAGCCAGACGATTGTAATTATATCGCCCTTTCCGATCTAATTTTGGCTGCACTGCTCCTGGAGGTTGCCTTTTTGGCCAGCTGCCGGAAGCAGTTTTGGCGAAGTGTTACTCACGTTTTCCGCGGCAGATGGGTGGCGTCACATATACCGTACTTCTCCTGCCTGTGTATATACGGCCTTATGTAACGGCGTGTTTATGCAACACGGGATCAACAGGGTCATATGCAAATTCCGGCCAAACCGCATTAACTAAACAAATTCAGGATGAGTGAGCAAGAATACAAAAGAGCACAATGATTAACTCATTAAAAATGCGTATTTGCTAACATCCTAATGGATCAGCGCTGATTGTATTACACAAATTTGCCGTACGCTTAGGGGCGTAATTCAGGGAACAAGGAGAACGCTGTCAACAATCCGAATGAAATTACGGCACACATGATCTTGTTGTCGCTTCGCATACCATCGTTTGTAATAAAACATTCGCTGGGGAATTGCGCTGCCAGAAATTTTATTTCCGGCGGAATGTTTTCTACATTTACGCGTGATATTTTCACTCGTTGGCCAAATCGACTGTGAACAGAAACACATATCTATATTTTTACAGTGCAGTACGATTAAGCTTTTCTCAATTATTATCTTGAATATCTTCATTTGTTGCAGGAAATTTGCCCACGTGCTATGCCACAATTGGTCTTACCATAGTAAGTGAAATGCTAACATTTGTACTACTAATTAACGAGACAGCCAGATCATAACGGCCATATAATTTCTGAAGCAAAACCATTGAATTATTGGTAGAGAATGCATAAAATAAGTAGTAATTTATTTGTAAACTGTTGAACATTTTACCTACAGATCTAAAAATATGGTTGTTTTCATTGTACAATAAATGCTGGCCTATTATTTGTGCAGTTTACGGGCATCGTGGGGATATCCCTGGGCTGCATCTGTATCCAGCCGCCTAATCCACTGGAGATTACCGAGCATGATGTGCAGTCATTATTGCCCATGCTGGAGTTGTATTTGGCCCTGTCCATCCTGGCGGTATGCTTATCATTAGCTTCCATAACCCACGGTGCAATCATCATTGCCCTCCATGCCATCCCGGAAAACCTCCTGGGCGTGGTCAGCACCACGATGGGGCTCTTTCTCCTCCTAATGAACACATTCCCCACCGTTATGGTTATACAACAACTGCACCGCTTAAAGAAACCCAACGTTATTCAGGTATACATACGTTGCACTGAAAACTGTTTTGTTTGGTACTCATAAGTTGCCAGCTTAACATCTGCATTTTCGGATTAATTAATTTCATTCCTCCCACCACCAAAATTTTCAAATTAACCATAAGTCAGCGTCACCGTTTGATTTGTACTACTAGCATAGCACAACTCTCCATTCGAAAATTTTCCAGTGCACAGTAAAAGTGTTGTCTTGACGTCGTAGAAGTATGTTTGGAAGAATATTTGGGAGAGTACACTAGCTAAATTCGATTCTGTGTACAGTACATCGTCAACTTCTTTTTTGTAAAACGTCGCACAAGTACTCAGTGCTTTCTATTAACTAAGGATACATTATCCATGTACTCGTCTTTCCGCAGGACATTTTATTAGACTAGGATGAAGCGGCGTATCGTATTTTAGATCGCTCTTCCTCGATGTAGACAGCAGAAATCATTTTATTTACTTTGATACGGCACGCATACTGTATATATATTTCCATCTCTACATCCCTTTGAATGTTCTACAGAATTTAACCGAGCAGCGGCGACGACCGCTCCTGTTGGGTGGCTACCATCCATCAGCATCCAGTTTCAATTTAAACACGATGGCCCACATCCAGACGGCCATGCGGCGCTCATCGTCCTCCAGTAACACACTGCACTTACTGCCTAACGTCATCAACGACAACCAGGCCAGTCTACTGCGCCGGCTGGATAATAATGGACCACCGGTAGTCCACGCCGGACGCGATGTCTTCAACACAGCCAGTGGACGGCAGATTAGCGTTACTGTGGATGAATACAAATGAACGGCGCACCTAGTCCGTAGCATATCAGTTGTCACAAAATCTCTATTGCCACAACAACGATAACCAGAGGAAATTATTTATTCAAGAGGAATACAAAAAAATCTATTTCTTGCAATGCTGTTTTGTACGGACCAATCGTATCCGGTGGAAGTGGTGCCGGTAAATGTCATACGATGCTCGTTGACATTTGGGACAATATTATGAAAATGCTTCTTATCCGATCCGGTGACCGAGAGTTAGTGGCGTCGGGGAATCCTGTTGCCGACTGTACAGAGTACAGACTATAGACCGTTGTAAACAGCTGATTATCCACTACCGCTTATTCACAGGAAGCCTGTCGTTGATTTCCGGTGTCCTTGAGATGGCTTCTCTTGGAAATGCAAATGGGCTCGTCCTACCGCTCACGTTTCGGAATGCTAACGACCTCATTTCCCGACGTACCACATGCTCGACGAGTGACAAGATAATATTATTGATTGTGATAAATGTGTACGGTGGCATTGCCGGAAATTTGTAAGTTAAATCGTTAAGCAGATTTTTGCAGTCTATTTTCGGGGCCAAATTGTGTAGCTGTCCACTGTAGACCTTTCTCTTTATTGTGATAGTATTTTTTCTACGGATTGATCTATTTAATCAATTGTTTATTTTCGGTCAGAATTGTTACTACGAAAAAGAAAACAAACCACTCGAAATTTGCGCGCGCAATAAAATGAATGTCAACCGGTGTATTTGCACGAATATATGATCAGTGATTCCACTGCAAATCTTTTGATATAGTACTGCCAATCCTTCGGCAACATGCGCATAAAAACTGGAACAATATGCCTAAAAACTGTGCTTGTCAGAAAGATGTACACGCCACAGTAAAAACCAAAATAACAGAACCCATTAATTTTACAAATCTATATTTGCAGACCGTTGTAAGTATTAAACGGCAATTGCAGCATGCCAGAAAAATATTAAAATACCAGGTAATTGTGTTGTGCGTGTTTTAACGCTGAAGAAGCTTGTGAAATTGGCTCAAACAGCATCTCTTATAATCTTCTTGTGCGTGACGTTTAATCAAACTGTTAGGTAAAAGCTGCAATCCATATTCCACCGGAAGTTGCCGCACTGCAGCCTGCAGCAACTAAACGTGACTGCTACACATATCCGGCAAGCAAAGCGTGTAAGCGATACAAACGTTATAATCCTCCTACGATTTCCTAACGATAATGCAGTTAGCAGGAAGCATGATTGTCGCACATTAATTCCAACAACGCGCTGTTAACATTTTAATCGTGTTGCTTCTGTGTAGTATTGCGTAGTGATGTATTGTACTCTGTATAATATACACTAAAGTACGAGTTCTCCATCTAGCATTCAAATGCCAACTGATAATCGGTAGCAATTTATATAGAAACAAAAATTAATGTGTCGCCAAACTGAAATCTGCAAAGCTTTGTTCTCTGCACAAACATTTCCATGATACATAATTACATATTGTACATCCCTTTAAACAAGGCTTGAATAACTAACAATGCTTTGGATTACACCAGGAAAGTATAAATTCAGCCGTGGCATACAAGTTCAAAAAAACATTTTGTGTGCAAATTCCAGAAATCGACATAGATGTTTTAAAGAAGCTTAAAGTTCGAGTTTTTTCATTCGTTGCTTAAATGCTTTTATCTCTTGTTTCTTCCTCTCCATGTCCGCTTGAACAATTTTTTGTCGTTTTTCGCAGTCATCATTATAATGATTTTCTTCTACAGTAAAAAACTTCTGCTGCCATGCTGTTCCATTCTTTAGAGCCCCTTCGAGATCATCGGTGAGAAGAATATTGTCAACAATAGTACCGGCATGCTGCTGCCATGATTCGATCCCGATATATGCAATATCTTTGAATAAATACAATTCCGGGTCTTCCTGGTAGTCGGGATTGTCAATTTCTTGCGGTGTCCAGACTCCTTTAAAAGCTGGGTTAGGAATAAGACGAGTTGGATTCCAAGAACCCTAGAAAAAAATGCAAAACATTAAGCGGTCACTGTAAAGTGATACTTAAATTTTCATCACAGTTGCCCACGCATAAGAACAATATCGTACAGTATAAGCATATAATATTAATATAAGCGCATTGCATGTTAGTCGGACTACATAACATATGATGTAAAATGCATCTGACGCTAAAATTCATGTACTCGTACTTGAACAAAAATGACGAAAAGCGCAAGGTTGGGAAGGTTCGTGAAATCTCAAAGACTACGAATATCGTACTTATACGTAGGTTATGCGCCAGTATTCGTGTAACACACCTTGTAATCAGGATTAGGAATAATTGGATGTTCCCATTCTCCATCAGCAACATCGTCCCACTCTTCTGGCTTGCTGGCAAACGGATCCGGAATGGTTTCCGGTTGATCCCAGTCACTTGGCTTTTCTTCGGTTGGATCAACAATAAACTCCCGCTCATCCCAGTCGTACGGGCGTTCCGTTTCCAGCTTGAGTTTTCTTGGAGGTAGCATTTCCCAAGCTCCTTCTATATTCCCGCTTTCTTCGATCTTTCCGTCAATGAGTTTTTGGTAGGTATTATCCGGGAAGATTGCAAAAGTGTACAGATGGGTAAACCCATCCTGTGGACACCACGGGAACGGGGAATAAACGAAAGGATCACCGTACGTACGACTCCACTGCTGACCTTTGAAGCAACCGCGAAACATAACAGTAAAGGCAAGGCAAGAAAATCAAGGATAAATGTTTTTTTAATAAAGCTTGATCGTACTCCAGCACCGACAATTATAGCGCTAACTTTTGATACACTACAAGACTACATCATAAGTTACGTATCGCAATTTTAAACTTATGTATGGACATAATCTTATCGTTACGCCGGTTACACGTAAAATAGGCATAAATTAAACAGGACCTTGTGGTCAATATGGTGTACTTTTAAATCCTAAAATTATATGACATTGAAAACATGGGCTAAGTACAGTAAACAGAAGAACAATCATACAGACGCAAACTTAAGTTACGTCAATTATACAGTATTTGTTTGTCAAAAGTGTCGTATGCATATACTTTTACTGTTCAAAATGCATTTGTTGTATAACATAACGTTAGCTTTTAAACATTACCCATATGTGAGTAGTATTTCCCTTTATAGAATAATTCCGCGTGCACCTTTCCACCAGCACTGCAGAAATCCGGTCCATATTTGATGTGAAACTTGGATTCGGCGTTGAGTCTCTTGGGGTTAAGTGAGGACGGAAATAATTTGAGCAACACAGCCGCAAATAATCGCAGATCCTCAGACTGATTTTTTACTTCATGCTTGACAGTTAACTGAATAACCAGTGTTTTATTCCGATTGGAAAATCGCGGGAGTTTGGCGGAAATGGCGTAATAACTCTCATCATCCATGCTGCGAATACCTTTATCACTTGGATCGGCACTTACTTTTCCTATTACACAACCATGAATAACTAATAGATATCAAATGGATATAAAATTTCTCTGTATGACATTCTGCTTGAGTACAAATTGAATATAAAAAACAAATATATTGACATACTGCCTACTAAAGTTCTCACAGAGTAGTTTTCTTCGAAACATAATTTTATATTACCGGATGACAATTCAAAATGCCCAAAAGGTTTTCCCATCCACTCCTTCTGTTCCGTTTGAATCCATCGCTCTTTCCAGCTGATATCGTCGAATGTTTCGGAAAACCATATTACCGCATTTGAAAAATTTACAAAAATATTTAGTCCAATAGTACAGATAAAAACAAACCATATTCGTACAGAAGCCATGTTGGAGACTGGCCAGTGTATGATAGTAACTTTTTTCATATAGAGCCTACATCTTTTCGGTCAAGCACAAAAGTTGAGCTTCTATAGCGTTCGACCCAGTTTTCTACAGTGTTACTTCAGTTACGAATTGCCGTGGGTGCCGCTGCGACATACTTACGCTACGGCATTAGTAGTATTTTATAAATTAATAATCTTTTATTGTGGCAGAAGCCATGATAATTTGTTTAAATAAGCAAAGGTACAGTGCGAATATGGAAGATCCGTGAATCACCCTTAAAATCAGCACTCGATCATATTAAAAATTTAAAATAAAGCGGTGCTCCGTTTGTCACATTGTATAAACCAAATGCTGAATGGTAAGGGTTTCCCGAATAGTTGAAAAATAAATTATTAATAAATTAATGGCTTGAAAAAATACTGGCTGTCACTGTCAGCTTACCGACAAAACAATCACAGAAAAGTATGATTATGCTGAAGTGACTTTTATTCTCCCGATTTGCTGCACTGCAGCTGCTCCGGCTCTTCGAGTTAATTCGATAAACCCACAAAACATAAATCTGACGCAAATATCCTCTCTGGACTTTGGTTAGCAAAAGTCAAAATTATTAGCAATTTAACCGTTTGCCAAAACACAGTTTGCGCACTCATTAGAACATTTCGAATCCGAAAAGAAAGTATGTTGCTTGTCGACGGGAATATTAATACAATCCGAATCTGAAACATAGAAAATTTTAGCAAGCTCTTCAATAAAGCTGTTCACTTCATAATATATTACAGTACTTATGTGAAATTATACTCCTAGCTGCGATTTACAAATGCAGTTATTTATTCATAGTGTTACACACATTTCAGTACTTAAATTAAATATCTTTGCAAAACTGATGCTGGCTTGTTTGTGCTGCTGATTTGACTATGCTTTTGTACATGGCCGCCAATTTTTAACGGTCCCGGCATCGCAACTAACATATCAGTTAAAAGGCATTAATGATTACAGTCAGGATGCACAACTGTTAACGCTAACTAGCGAATGATAATGTGCTGACCGGGAGTACATGAGTTATTTTAACATTCTTTCAACGTATTTAATTCCACACTAAATGCAGTGGGGCCGGGTACGCTACTCTCTAATAATTTTACTTGTAAACTTACTAGTGCAGTTATTTTTTATCCAGCACTCCGCCACCGTTCCTGTCGCTTCTCCACCTGAAATAATTGGAGATTACGTACGATCAAACACAAGTATGGATAGCTTTGCGCTGGTGTTGCTCCAATAAGTTCAACCATACTTTTATCACACTTGTGCTGAAAACTTCTTCGGTTTTCTTTATTGAAAACTATCCAAAGCTTTCTGTTAGATTGTCTACGTACGTACAGTATTATCTTATACTTAAATATATTTTAAGTGTTACGATGCGACGGAAAAAGTGCATGTCCGGCACAAACCTTTATGTTCTGGATCTGCAGCAGGTGCGGCAGCTGCTGTCGCATTACCAGCTGGAAGTGTCGCTCCCCTGCTCAAGGTTACGGTTAAGCCAATAAAGAGGAACATTACCGCAAGTTGTACATCCATGTTTAATACGCTTTATATGTTGTGACAAAGTAATCCGGTGCAACAAAGTTCGCTTTGAAATGCTACACTAAACTTGCGGGATCGATTATACGTATGCGCCGCTGCACTTTTATTATAAATAAACATCTCCGAAGCGTACAGGTATGAGACAAACTGAATTTTATATGTTGGGTAAAAAACACTGTTAAAAACTTGCGCAATCTTGATACCTAGTAGTGTGCCAGTTTTAGTATCGCTGCTGATGTTCTTTAGCTGCCAAAATCTGCCGGATGTAAAATTTTGGCATTTATCCTACTAAACAATCTGGTGGTAATACAAAATTTAATTCCGGAACGATGAAATAAATCAAAGACGATTTATAATGTGCTGCGAAAATAGTACCTTGGAGCGCCCCAGTAGGGAAAAAGACTGTTACGAAAAAGGGAATAAAATTTTCGAATGTTTAATTGGCGGTAAAACAGTGCACGCAAACACTATAGGCTAGCTGTAAATTTACTTCTGTGCAACGCCGAAATTTATCGTGTCAATACATTCTTGTTGTATTTTTACCAATAAATAAATCTACTCCTTGACGTGCACGGTGTTGGTTTATTGTACAACACATTTGTACTTGTATATGCAAATTAAGTTCGGTTGTTCTTTTATAAAGTGATATGGTGCAAGTGAAAAAAGCAATGACTCTCTTTTACAAACTTTTGCACTACGCACCCGGCCATCATTTTACAGTTAATTAACCACAGCGCAATAAGTCTGAGCTGTGTTGATTACTGATTCTCGTTGAGTGTGGGGTTTCTGTAGTCACCGGATGAATAATCTTCAACAACATTGTAATATTCTATGAAAACATTCGCCAATCTTAATGATGGATTTTAATCATTGTGTAAGCAAATGACCTTTACCTTTGCCTTGAAGCCATAATAACGGTGTTCATTGCCTTATTTAATGGTTGACCAACCCAACAAACGTCTGCAACGCGGAAAGACTTGATTGGTCCACATATGTATTCTGTGACGTTGGCCGGTTGAGTACTCGTGTACTTTTTTCTCACAACCATTGTATCGCGGTATCTAGTTCTAGATTTTATATCGCGAATACCGGTAACATGAATTAATAATTTCCTCGTCGCCTTTCTCTAGAGTATATCTAGCAAGACAAGATACTAACCTACTGGCGCTTCCCAGAATCATATACTTTAGAAAAGCGATTCGCTTTATTGTCTACAACTTGACCTGACGTGGACTCCATAAAGGGAGACTAGCACTACTTTTATGCTTCTTCTTTCGGTATCGTGATTTAAGTGGTCAAGCTTATTATTCTCTGCGCACTCAGGATTATTACAAAATAGTGAATCGTGACGCAAACCACAACAAGAAATTAACGCAACGGAGGCAATTCAGATTAAGCAAGCATTCACCGTGCTAAAGTCTAGACTAACGCTAACCATTCGGACGAAGTTACTGCTACAGAAAATCTTCAGGCAAGCAAGACAGTCAACATATTTTTATTTTCCAGGTTTTCTCTGTCTGTTCAGCACGGGATTACGGTCAGTCTATTTATAAATAAAACAATCAGAGAATAAACACAGAACAAAAAAGAAAGAAAAGTCGTGAAACGAAGAAAAACCAAGTAACAAACAACGCGTGGGTGGCACGTTCGAGATGGAATCCCAAACAAAAAAAACATCAGAAAGCTACGCGGACTGCAGGCAACTTGTCACTTTTGAACATTTTGGTGCTGGAAAGATCGCAAACAAATCCATTAAAAACCTGCAAATAAAATATCAAAACGTGAATGAGCATTCAACAGTGACAGTTCAGTCCTTATTGCCATAGAGTATAAAAAGAAACACTAAGAAAATTTAAACTCGAAACTGTTTAAGGTTTCATTATTTGTAACATGAACTGCTTTGTACTAAAAAACGAAAATTTCAACATGAATACCCGGCGATGGAAAATCTTATCGTGTACGTTTAGAAAATTTCGCTGTAAGTTTCGTAGTAGTTACTTACAAAGATATCCCGCATTTATAGCTCATCATGGTCATGATCATGATCGTGATCATGCTCATCCTTATCATCATCCTTCTTATCATCATCATCCTCATCGTCGTCTTTCTTATCAGCGGCGTTCTTCTTAGACTCTTCCTCGGCCTTCTTCCTCTCCTCTTCGTCTTGCTTCTCCTTGGCTTTCTTCTCCTCGTCCTTGGTGGCACCCCATGTGTCTTCGGCGTGCTTCGCGGCTTCCTCAATGTCATCGGTTATGATGACGTTGTCGAATATCGAGCCGGACTTCACCTGCCAGAGATCGAAGCCGATGGCGCCAATGTCCTTCAGCTTGTACAGACTGGTGTCGGGTGTGTATTCGGGATTGTCCACTTCCGGATGGATCCATTTACCCTTGTAGGCGGGGTTGGGAATATCTTTGGGTTTCCATTCTCCTGCAAACAGAAACACCGATTAATGCAGTGCAGTTTCAGCGATTTGAAAACGCATTCGAATACAACCATGAACTCATAATGCGGTCTTTAATAACCCACTAACAAATTAACCCAAAAAGCTTACATTATAATTCAGCAAACAATATACTAACACTTAAACGCCGTACTGCATTATGTATTTGAAAAAACGAATTAAAATAGATAAAAATATTTGAAAAAATCAAATTACTAAAAATAACATTAATATAAATTCCTAAAAATTTAAATCAAAGATAAAACTGAAGATAATACCTTTGTATTCAGGGTTTTCAATATTGGGAGGCTCCCATGTGCCGTCCATCTCTTCATCCCAGTCTTCGGGCTTCTTGGCCTCGGGATCAGGGATGTGCTGAGGCTTGTCCCAGTCTTCGGGCTTGGTGTCGGCCTCATCGGCAATGGTCTCGCGTTCGTCCCATTCGTCCTGCGAGGGCTTCTTGGCATTGGGATCCTTGATCTTCTTGGGCGGCAGCAGATCCCAGTCCTCCTCCAGCGTGCCCTTCTCCTCCTCCTTGTTGTCGATCTTGACGACGTATGTGCTGTCGGGGTTGATGATCAGCGTGTACACGTGGGTGTACTCGTCATCCTTGCAGCGGATGTTCTTCTTGATGAGATGATTCTGACCCTTGTAGTTGATGATCACGTGGACTTTCTTGGTGCCCGGTCCGCAGATGTCGGGCCCGAACATGAGCAGATAAGCCGATTCACCGTGCAGATCCTTCTGATCCAGATCCTTGCCGAAGACTTTCACATAGCCGCCGCCGCAGTCGATGTTCTGCTCGTGTTTGACGCTGAACTGCACGACGAGCGGCTTGTCGTCGTTGGAGAAGGCATCGAATTTGGAAGAGACGGCATAGAAGCGGGCATCCTGAGACGTCTGTATGCCCTGATTAATCTTCTCGTCACCGAAGAATTTACCGGCTGTCAGCTTGAATTTACCGAATTCCTTGCCCGCATGCTCGGACTGTACCCAGCGATCTTCCCACGATTTATCATTGAATTCCTCTTTAAAGTAGGTTTTTGCAAAGGAATACGAGGAGAGACATATTAAAAGGGATAAACTTAAGAGATGCATGGTTGTGTCTGTTCGTGTGTGCGGAAGTTCGCCACCGAAACGCTAGTTTCCTGAGAGGACGAAAGACCAAGGTTGAGTTTAGGCCGTATTAAGACAGAAACTAAACTCTCCGATCGCAGCACAAATTCACTGAAGGTAAATAGGGTCGACACCCTCACTGCGCCGCATATACAGTAGTGTAAAGCGTACAATGCGGTCAACGTGGCACACTTGGAGACGTGGTGCAGTGCGCGACGGAGAGCGGAGTTGCATCGAAACACGTACAATCGAGGATTTATCTAGGCGCAGGGAAACTTCGCGAACTCGTATGGCAGCGTTACACGTATTAGTGCAGGAGGAGGGCCCGGAAGGATATGGACACACCGATGGCGAAATACGTACTTGCACGGGCTCATCTTGCAGTGATGCGGCGAAAAGATACTGCATTGATTTTATGCCTCATGGCAAGTCAATTGCCGCAAAATTTTATTGTTGCAAAGTGAATCGACAAAGGCTTCCGACAACCGGCTTGCATTTGGCACGTTTTGATCGTTCGATAGCCCACGTAGCATATTTCGATTGGCTGCCGCATGGATCTCCAATGATTCAAGCTGACCCTGGATTTTTGACCTGGTTTGTGACGTAGCATGTTTACTGCAGTTATAGAGCAGTGGTTCATAACTTCAGAAAATATTATAAAGCGCCGGTGAAAGCAAACCGGTCGCTAACTTTTCTGAATCTCAAACTGAAGATCGGAATATCCACAACAGAAAATGTCAAATAATCCAGTGTGAATTATGTTTTAATAAAGTGCAAAGATAAAGATTTTTTTATTTCGCTTTCCAAAAAAATTATAGTCACGAATTAGGACAACTGGACAAGAATGCAATGCGGAACAAAAAATCACAAAAATTCCAATTGTAAGTTAATCCATTCATGGATTCCACTAACAATATCCAGAGAATTTTTAAAAGGCGCTGCCATAAACCTTACAAAACAATTCAGCTTAGAAATGCAAACGGGTATTACATCAAATCCCAACAAAGACCCAGCTGAGATTACTTAACACAAAAAACTGCTGAAAGACAAAGAGTAAAAAACACGATTCTCGGAACGCTAATGCCTTACAATAAATATTTCATGGGCACAGGCGCACAAGAAAGAGTTTTTAAAAGAATGAAAATTTTAAAAGCAATAGCTTTTAAAAGCAATATTTACTCCAAAGCCGGCGCCACCACTACATCAATTCCGGATATCTTTGCTATCACATCAACAACAACCATCTGCTGCAAAATGTCGGTTGGCTCCATGGACTCTTTCATTCCCGGGATGCCCACTTCGTTAAACCGCCGCTGTTGCGCAGTTAACAACTGATCGATTGCTGCCACAATCTTTCGATCCAATGAAAACAATTCCTCTTTCTGTCGAGCTAAAATCTGAAACAATGTTTTTCGCAAATATTAACTCTTGCTATCCCGAAAATTTCAACACATACAAAACAGCAATGCGATGAGTTACAACCTTCTCAGTTCTGAGCGGGGCATGAGTACGAACCATACAAAGGTATGTACTCGTACATGCAATAATTATGAGTTAAAGTACTAAATGCGGCCGATATGCACGTACATGTAGTAATTTTTGGTGCATTAAACTGCACAACATTGAATGATTATTTTTATGTTCGTCAGCATTCTGCATTCAAAAACAAGAATTTTAAAATCGACATACTTTATGCAATTCTTCGTCGTTCTGTTTGGCTATTATAGGTTTCCTGTGCGGTGTATTTTTGTGATCACAGTCAGTCAAAGCTTCCTGGTGAGTCTTTTGCAAAGTGTGGAGTTCTTTTTGCTGAGCATTTACCATATCTTCCCGCTTCTTATGAAATTCTGCCTCTTTTCTGTAAAAACAATAAGTAGTTAAATAATTCACTGCTGCTGCTGCTTAATTAGTGGGCTACTTACACGGAGATATCTATGAAAAAAGAAAATTACCGGACTTTTTAATACATAGTACGGCGGACTACGGATTAAAATTACTCATACTGAAACTGTAAGGATACTTCGCAAGCCAGTAAAAATACAAACGAAGCATCCGAAGAAAGTCAGAATGCTTCAGCAAAACTAAAGTCTGCAAAAATTGGACGCCTACTCCCCGGACGTACCGCTTTACAGTCAGTACGAGTACAGCATTTATACATATTAATTTTTTGACGAAGGAGCGCCGGACACATACAAAACCTATGCTCATATTTAAACAAAACTCAAATGTGATCGTACCTTATACTTTTTTTGTTTATGTTTCGAAACATAAAACTGACAAACCTAGTCTTGGAGAAAAGTTAGTAAAAAGTAAAAACAACTGACCAGACCAGTGCAGTTATGGAAAATTCACCCAGAGTTAGAGTTACTGTAGGACTTAGGAGTTATAGGTAGTTTGCGAGTTACGCTACGAGTTACGCTATTTAAGGAAGGAAACCGAGTTTCGAGTTATTCAGCGAGTTACGCTACCATAGACAGTACATACAATTTTTCTGCGAGTTACGTTAGAGTTAAGTTTTCGGGGAAGCGAGTTACGCTTCGGAGTTACGTTATAACTCGATAACTCAAAAATAACTCGCGTTACGTTGAATAGTTAAAAATAACTGCACAGGTTTGCAACTGACTTAACCTGAAAATTTACATGTGAGCGGTGAGTGTATGTATTATGTATGTACTGTACATTATTGTATGCAGTGTAAGTTGTAAAATGTAAGTATTGTGGGAAGCAGCTCATTATTTTTACGATTAATACCGGCTTGATTACCGTCATACTGTCACTGTGAAGAAGATGACCATTTACAGTACTGATTTACAGTTACTGTACCAGATATTAGACATTAAGTGCAATATATTTTAGTTTATGAAAACCTACAGCTTTAAGCATTAATTATTTACCTATTCTGATCCAGAATGCATTGTTTGATAACGTCCGGTTGATTGTGGTTAATAATCCAATTCGCCAAGGAAAAGAGAAAATCTTCGGGGAAAAGCAATCTAACGTCTCTGAAAATAAACAAACAACGTGAATCGGAGCCACATCCATAGCAAATATTTTATTTGTAAAATCAACCAGGATAGGGGTCGAACCGCCGAAGTTGCAATAGACTGATTAGAGCTGCGGCGGCTGGCGCGCTGGTCGTAAGTTCGTAATACTGTAAGAAACCACAATTAACAAACAGGCTGAAACAGCCCACCAACGCACTCGCCAACTGCATCCCAGTCCATGATGCTTTTCATCTGTGCCACGGTGGCCTCTTTTCGGTTCTTCTCGTCCAGCATCTTCTTCAGTGCGGCCGCCACGCCTGGCGTCAACTCTAGGCCCTGCAGGGAAATCGCAGGGGAAAGACCAGGAACTGCGGGGGACGAGGCAACCGGGAACGAAAGTGGACCTTGACAACGAAAAACAGATGTGGAACAATCGAGACTGACCGTAATGGAATCGCAAATTTCAGATGTCCATTATGATTTATACTCGTAGAGAGGAAATAATAAAACCTTGAGCTTTAGATTACGAAATAATTTCATTGTAATAATATTGGACAACAATTTGTTTCAATCACAGCTGAGTCCATTTAAAATACCTGTATGATCGGAAACCAGCATCTCCTCGTCTTCGGGTTCGCGCTTGGAACCATTAGGTTCCATTTCACTATGGCTAGCATTCGGTGTCGTTGCCAAGTTTGAATCCAACCCCTCTCCGAAGTCGATAACTATGTCAGGCTCTGGACTATCTGGTTGTCCGCGGCGTTCCATTTTGAAAGCAAATTACAGTGAAGATTCAAGTGAATCAAGTGTCAAGTCACTTGAAAAAAATTATTAAATCGTAAAAACCATCAGAAACGATCATGAGAGTCATGAGACGGCAAGAAAAGCGAAGACTACAGTATAGCAGAGCGGGAACTGTATCAACGATCGGGAACTCACAATGGTAAGAATATCCGTCTCTGGGATAAATATGACGATTCAATGGAGAACTACGCAGAACCTGAGAACCAACAAGAATCCCGACTAGGGCTGGATGGTAAATATTGGTAATGAATCTAATGATTAAATTTAGTTTGTTAGTTTTCCCAGAGTCTACCTATTAAATTTTAAACAACAATAAAGTCACTCGATATCGCTCGCTTGCATCGTCTCCCAATTAAATTGTAACACAAAAGTGACCAAGTCCCAAAAAAGGCCGGATACTGGATGATTTTCCAGGATTTTTCCGCTCGCGATTTCTGGCGCTCATCAGTTTCCGTGATTGTGTGTCACATTCCACCGCTGAGCGCTCCATTGATACCAATGGCCATGCCGCCACACGCAAAGACTGCCGCTACCGGAAATCCATTTCCATTGTTTCCAAATGGAATGGGCTGATGATTATTAGTGATGCGTAAAGAAAAACGTTTACTGTAGCCGCCCGCACAAGTTGCCCCACAGAGTGAGGTATACGGATATTTGGCTGCCAATGGAGCAACTTGTGCGGGCGGCTACAGTATCATCACTCATACAGTCATACCGCAGTCATCATGCGGTTTGTTGCACGCAGTCTGGAATCTTTTCGAAGTTGTTAAGTTTTAACGGCTTAGTTTATAAGGCAGATTTTATTTGTTGTTCTTTGGCAATAGCACCTGTAATTGAATTGTGTATTTCCGGAAGATGTGCGTACGGTTTTTGTGGAGCATGCAAGTCTCGGCTCGTGACTGTAGAAGCTCCAAATCTTAACTGTTGTTTCTAACGATATCTAGGCCGATCGACACATCATTTTATCAAGCGCCAGAGCAGGTATCTCCCGACTTTCATTCGGAAAATATTTGTGAACTGATGCTGATGCTGATTAAGGAAATCTTCCCTCGGAAGTGGCAACTCGACAAAACAGTGTCCTGTTTTCACCGAGGCTGTAATGCCTATCTGGCACTGACAGTGGCAGATTCACAAGATTCTCGAGTTAGGCGAGAGCTGGATTTCTTAAACGTTGCCAGTTGTGATTCATCTTGACTGCACTTGGCTAGCAGAGGAGTCATGCAGGAGAGCCAAATTCCTCGTTTCTTACATTATGGTGCATCCGTGCGGGTCGGTAATTTAGATCCTGTCCCAGTGATATCGGTTGTTCCCGAGATTTTTCTGTAATCGGTAATCTTGCTGATTAAATGGAACTGTGGACAGGAACAGCCGACGCTGTTCGTCGGAATCATCTCTTGTGCGCTACGTCTGCTCTGCTGTGCTTGCTGGCCTCATTCCCCGCATCAGTGACAGCTGCGAAGACTACACTAGTCACGCACTATCAGGTATCACTGGACCGTTGGTACTCTGGGACGGTTAAAGCGGATGCCAGCATTACCTTCACCTTCGACTATAAGTCGGTGGCCAATGAAACCAGAGCTCTCCGGCTGCAAGTGGCCAGCACCAACGCCACTTCCGCGCAGCCCATGATTGTGGTGGTGCGGGAGGCCAAACGGGTGACATCCTGGGAAATTCCCATGTATCTGGAGAAGACCTATCCCTACTGGGCTGTCAGGAGGACGCTTTGCCCGGGTACGGCGGTTAAAAAATGAAGTCATTAAAGTTGATTAATTTAAACAAATTTTACACGGTTGCGAAGATTATGAGAAAATTTTTACAGCTATTCGGAGAACATTTTGTAAATTTTATCTACACTGCGAAAATAAATTTAAAATTTGAGTTTCTGATTACATCTTGCCAGATTGTTTTATCATAGATTTCACTGAAAATTAATTTTAGTGACATGACACTTGTTGTTAGTATTGCTGCTTAATTAACTGCTCATTCTAAATAAAAAATATATATGTTGCATTTCATGTGATATTTAATTCGCATCCAGAGTTGTATCCTGTTTATGCTTAATCTTGCAGCCAAAGACTTCTTGGATTATGTGTTGGGTAAGTGTGGGCTGAGTTTTGGCATTTTAAGTGTTTATAAGATGGGAAGTGACGTAACCTCTATGGCATTCGGAAGTGGATCTCATTCAAGTTGATAAACACTTTTTATTTTCGTTCTTGTCGGAGTTATGTTACACTGCGCTGTCGCCGCATTCACCCAAACCGCAGACCTTGTTTGACTTTGATTTATGCTTTTCTATGTTTAGCCCTCTCGTTTAACTATGGATCCGCAGTGTAAAGTGTTATCTGCATACTTTCACTCCATGCATTATCAAATTTATTGCGTAGGATTCTTCGCTGTTGACCAATGAGTGCTGCTCATTTATGATAAACCCAGCTTCTTTCTCATTTTCAGTAGAATGCATTCACCAAATTCGAAAATGGGGAAAAAGTACGCAACAGTTTTGCAAACGATTTCCGCTTATGGTTGAATTGATTCGTTGTGCTAACCATTAACAATTTATAGCACTACGGGCCGTATGTTAGGGAATGCTGCATTACTTTGCCTTAAGAATGAAAACTGAGAAAAGCGTATTAGCATCCTGCGTTTTAGAGATTTGAGTTAATAGGACTTTTGTCGATTGCGTTTTAATGGCGTTTGGCGTGGCTACATGAGCTTTACGGAAGCTGGCTGCCAGGCGGCCCAGGCCTGAAGAAAAAAAAGCATTAGCACTGGATATGGTCATAGGATTAGCACTTGACTGGATAATGACTAATTTTAGTGACCATGTTTGCGTAATGGCATGGTAGCACATGTAGTCTGATGTAGACAAAGCAGTATTCAGAAAGGGGTAGACGAAATTTCAAGTACTTATTGTTGTTCTGTTCTTACCTGCAGGAACTGCTGGAAATGGTAGCGTACCGGTAAATCAGCAGCTCTCCGTGGATATTACTACGCAGTCGACGGTGCCCATCGAATATTACTTTAACATCTGGTTTGTTCCAGGTGGGTTGCAGTCTGCATAAGCCGACTGGCTCCGTTTGTGGTATCGTTTTACTGTCCGTGCTTGATTCATTTTTAATCGTTCTTTGATAGGTTTTATACTTAAAACCAACAAAGTCATTGAGTTCCGAATCTCGCCGTCGGCGCCGGCATTTTTCCAGTACCAGATGCCGGATGGAATTGATCGTGTGCTGGTGCGCACTTGGGCACCTAAAGCTGACACGGTATGCTCGTATCTGTCCGTTCAGCCGGCTTACTGCCCAATTGCGGATCTATCGGGCGAAATCACCGCTACGGGAGAGTATATGACGTTCACGACACGAGCGGGTGTTCTGATCAAACGGGAGGATGTGCAAAACGGCAAATTTGATGTGGCGCTCGTGGCTTTATCTGAAGACCACAAGTGTGTCAAGCAACAGGTTTGTGTGTTTTGCAGATAGTTCGTGCCTGTTAATTTTCTTGGAAGTCACTATATGAAAGAAAAGTATTTATATTCTTTAAGCTTTTTCAAATATTAGTTTGGTTACTTATTCGAATTTAATTCGTTTTTCCATAGGGGTGGGTACCGCAGCTGCAGAAAGACAATATTGATATTGCGATTGCGATCGAGCGCAATCTGACTGGTGAATGGGATGATACGACTTTATACCATCGTCGGGCCAAACGCGTGTACTTAGTGGTGGAAAATGTCTTGTCCGATACGCAGTACTGGGTGGCCGTTGGCGGTGTGGCGGGATTTTATGCCTTATTCTATCTGATTTTTCGAATTGCTTTGTTTTTTGGATTCCTGACAAAACGTACCGTTAATGTCCCCGAACGACCGGGTACGCCCGATGTGGAAAGTAGAGGAGGAGCCTTAGGGGAAGACGGGCATGAGATGTTGCCCCAGACCAGATCACGAACGGTCAGCTTTAAAGACGAGGAAGATGGAGCTGCTAAGCGGACGAAAGCGAAAGTAAGTTTATTCTGATCGCGATTTGTTCGATTTCGGATTTTGCATTGTGGGAGATGTGAGCTTCGTCGTTCTTCATTTTACCGACATCTGCGGCATGCGATAAATTTGTGAGCTGTGTTTGCATGATTGATACGCGCAACTCACTCCCTCCATTGTTTCAACGAAACATTTTTGCTCCAATTTCTATCTTTTGCTGCACTGGCAAAAGTGATACCTCTATGTTTCTATTCGAGCCTGATCTCAATTGGGTTTCCGCTACTCTGTTACATTCAACTTGCCGGTATTTATTGTTCGGCACTGCACGCACTGGGTTTCCCTTCCCACTAGCAATTTTTCGTCTTTACTTTTTAAACTTTTTGCTGATTTGTTTTCAGTTTTTCCTTTTTTTCCTACGTTTTTTCTGCATTTCGTTTTTCCATTGGTTCTTTTTTTGTTGCGCCTTATCTCTCGAAAAGTTTCTTATGGTTCAGCAAATCTTTTAAATAAAATTGATATCCAAATCGCATTCTTTACAGAATAAAATAGAACCAGAGGTCGAGCAGACTGATGATGGTACGAGCAGTCACGATATTAAAACCATAACGCCCAATGATGGTCACAAAAAAATCTTGCCCGAAAATAAGGATCAGAACGACGCCGGGCATGCGGAAGGGATAGATGCTGGCGTTGTAAGTTGTACTGTCGTTTTTAACATAACGTTAAGTGGTAGAATTTTTTTTCTAAAAATATGTGCTTAAATCTGTTTCAATAAAACTTTCTGTTGATGAGAGTCATGAGACACTACTTACAGTTATGTTAGATCAACCTTTAGATAAGGTAGATCGTATAGGTAAATTAGATCAGCTGCAAGTCGCTAGAGTTTTGCGGTATTTAACCGGTAGCCTGTCTACATAAAATTAGGAAACCTTCGTCGCTTACGTGCGCTTTCTGGTCACGGTTTATGTCCAACCTTAACAAGAAATCGACTGATGGTGATTGATTTTACCTTCTGTTATGTGTTCTAGCAAACATCGCGAGGTCTCTCTAACATTCATGACGGCAAAGGCGGAACCCGTTCAAACCCCGAACCATCCGATGACTCTTTGGTGAAAGAGAGGATGGACAAGGAAAAGGATGCGTCGACTGTAGAAGCGGAGGAGGAGGCTAAAGCCGTGGCCACTGCCGAAGGAGAACTGGCCGCGACCAACGAACATCGGGAATCACTCGCAACGAAAGCCGTTGTCACCGTCACGGAAATCTCGATGCGCCCTATGCGACGAATGCGACAACGGGATCGAGCGTACAACTGGACGCTGTTAATCATTGCGGTTTTCTACTCGCTTCCGGTAATTCAGTTGGTATTGACATATCAAAGGGTAATGGAAAGCACCGGAAATATGGACATGTGTTACTACAATTTTGAATGCTCCCATCCGACCGGTAAGTACTAGCGGCGCAAGCATGATTTTGATAAGAAATTTAAATAAGCAATAGCCACCCGAGTAAGTACAATGCACGTGCGGGCAATATATACTCGTAATACTCGATAACTAATTTTAAAAAATGTAGTGGTTTTTTTCCATATTTGTGCTTTTTCAGTTGAGCACTTTCTATTTTACGTGTTTCTTTTTCACAGGACGAATCAATGATTTCAACCATGTATACAGCAATATTGGCTACGTGGCGTTGGGTCTGTTGTTTTGTTTGATTGTATGGAAACGCCATAAATACCATTATCGCCATGAGCGGGAAATTTTAGAGGAAGACGAGGAACACGCAGTCGGTCTGCCGCCGCAGTATGGATTGTTCTACGCCATGGGAATATCCTTGGTGATGGAGGGTATAATGAGTGCCTGCTACCATATTTGTCCAAACTACACGAATTTCCAGTTTGACACATCTTTTATGTATCTGTTGGGAGGATTATTTTTGCTGAAGATCTACCAGTCACGTCACTCTGATATCAGTCCCCATGCGCAAGTGGCCTACGCGGTTTTCGCATTTTGGATCTTTATTGCCGTACTGGGCGTCGTAATCGATCGGCAGTGGTTTTGGACGTCTTTTGCGGTGATTTTGATTGTGCTGTCCGTGCCGGTTGGTGTACAGATTTATTATATGGGCACCTGGAAATTTGACCCCGGTAAATGCAACTGCAGACAAGAGCTTATCGTAAAGTTGTTTCTATTACTCACTGTTTGATCACTGTTATAACGAACAAGTATTTTGTCGTCAGCTACAAGTTGCAGTATTATTTGCGAGTTTTCTAATTGTTCATGTATTTCAGGAATGTTTTCCCGAACTTTGAAAATAATATGTCAGCGTGATCGAATGGGATTTGGATGCACGCGGCCAACAGCTTTGGATCGGTTCGCGTTGCTGATGATGATCTTTATAGTCAACTGGTTGTTTGCAATCGGTGGCGCCATATTTACGCCTAGTGATTTCTCCACGTTCCTTCTGACAATTGTACTGGCCAACGCATTTTTATATTTTGTATTTTATATCGTGATGAAAATTCGATCAGGAGAGTCCATTCCGCGGTTGTCGCAATTCTTCATGTTATTGGCGGGCGCGACATGGGCTGGTGCCATATACTTCTTCTTTTTCAGGTAAAAATAATTAATAACTTTTATAATATATATATTTTTTTCATGGCCCGCAAGTGCATTTGTTGTTATTGTGTTCGATGGTTATTGGCTTATTGCCTAACAAAGATTTACGAAATATGCATTAGCTTTGGTTGGTAGGCTTTCGATCTTTTACTGTACAGATACATGCTTGACCGTTTCGTTTTACTGGTTAGTTGAAGTTAACAGACTGGTTAGTTAAAGTTGTCTTCGTTTTTACAGATTGACAAACTGGGTACTGACACCAAGTGTGAGTCGACAAGGAAATAAGCGTTGCTTTTTCCTGGATTTCTACGATGAACATGATGTATGGCACATGATGTCAGCTTGCAGCATGTTCTTCAATTTCATGATTCTCTTCACCCTGGATGATGATCTCTTCTGCGTGCCCCGACGGGAAATTATCGTTTTTTGATGTTTTATTGTTGTGTGACACTGTGGCTGGCGTTAGTGGCGTATAGGTGTGCCATATCTTCCGCTGTGGTGTGCTGCGCGATGCTGCAGAATGGAAATGGCTGACATATGTATTATCGGGTGTGCGCTTCAGTGACCGCTACAGTTTTGTTTTTACTGAACTTTCTATGTAATTGTTTTGTAGATGTTTTTATGCTTGTGGTTCTAATCGGTGATTATGATCATGTGTATAAATTATCTGCGGCTAATAATTAGTCTTGGTTTTGTGAGTTATCCAGCACTTCGGAGTGAAACGGGGTGTTGTGGCGGTTTTCCTTTTTGTTGAAATGTACCGCAAAACAGTTTGCTCTTTTGTAATACATACTTGTACTTGACTTAAAGCAACTGAAAGAGAAGCCTACGTTTTTCTATCCCGAAGTAAATATTAAAGTGCACGCTATGACTTTACATACAAAATATATAGAACGGCAAGTATATTTATCTGGATCCTGAACAATAATCCGAAAATAAGTAATTATCAACATTCAGATTACTGTTTTTACTTGGACAAACAGGTCACTGTGCGGATAACAAAAGCATTTTTTGTACAAAAAGAAACAACAATTCTCTTAAACGGCAGTTAGAAACCAAAAGCAATTCGCCATCGTGTTCGCAGCACCACAAGCTACCTGCTGAAAGGGCCGCACTGAAAGAAGAATCCAAGTTATAAGAAACATCTTTGGTAATAACAATGCAACAAAACATCCAGGCGGAGCGATTTCCGGCGCAGATTAGTGAGTTGGGACCAGATCAAAAGCGGAATAAGGCAGTCACGGCGCTGTACTCGTGGGACGAAATCGCAGGCTTCAATGGACAATTTGGTGTAACGGATCCGCGCGAATACCGTCAAAATCCAACTGGGAGTCGAGTTCTTCGTCGATGTCTCCAACTACAGCACTACGAGTACAAACATGCACAATCTGAAATTTATCCATTATTCTTCCTTGTCTACTCCCGCTACAAATTCAGATGCAGAACAGCAATGAATATGAGCGTTATTAGCGTCAAAATAATGTTAAATGTCAATGTTCTGGAATAAGGCTTAAGTTTAGAAAATAAAAACAGAATTTCATAAGTCATGTTAAAGTTAAACTCTAATTCTTAAACGAGCGTAACCGAGTGCGCGATGCACTTCGGAGAGTACAATTTTACTGCCAACAAAATCGACTTACATGTTATCGCCCCGGATCATGTAAACTCCCAGGGCTACCGTTTCCACGGCCTTGTAGGAACTGAAGACCCTCTCACTGGCATCCGTCAGCACAACGTTAATGGTCTGATCGTAGCCCTGGAACGTACCCTGTCAACAACAACTCCCCGTTATAGACTGTTAGAACTCTGAGCGCCTTCAAGGACTGGATAATATCTAGCTGCACGCACCAGCAGTGTACGTCCATCGTTGGTAATAATGAGCACTCTTTTATTGAAGAAAGACTCCAGCGTTGATGTCATGATGGATAATCTGGACTGACACGGCTTCAGCCGGGCCAAGTGTCCTCTCACGCAGACAGTTGTGTTGTGGACTGAGCTCACAATCAGGTCTCAGCTGTAGCAAATAAGACTAAGAACCTTCAAGTTTCATACTTGGTTTATACTCTGACCGCATAATGTATGTCGAAACCGAAAAGCAGAAAGTCACCGAAAGTTCTAATCTTCAAGAAGAGCCAAAAAAAACAGCAAGAACTGGCGGTGAGTTTTGGTTTTCTAACCCGCAACTGCGCAGTGTCTCCGCACACATTTGCAGAGTAAATCGCGTAGACTGTAAACGCCGTCCCGGGTGGTATCCATAACATACATAATAATTCTTTGGTTTCCGCCCATCCCATGCCAGTTTGGCCACTACTCCCTACGAGTCCCTGCCATTAGGTCGTCACAGAATATCTTTTTGCTCGAAGCCTTTATTCTGCGTCACCAGTTTCAGAATAAAATGATCAATTCAGATCGTACAAGTTATCGTTGAGATGTATAATTTGAAGCAAGTTGGCAACAGTTCTGTTTTATGACAGCACGACTGCACGAGCATTAAGGTTAAATCGTTATGTTGTACAGGCGGCATTTGCTAATTGCTTGTATAAAAAATGCGCCATGCCCGATCCACTCACGATGTTCGATAAGTCGATGATATCCTTATCACTGTATCTCCACGACGTTTACACCATAACATTATACCCGTATAAAGAAACACAATAAGCAACACAATGTAATGAGAGGAGAACACTAGGCCAATGAAGTACAGACAGTATACAAGGAACACGACAAGGGTGACTGGACGCTTTCTAAAATTATTAAGAAATTCGCTCATTGAAATCCGTTTTTGACGGCTCACAACGTTAACAGCAGCACAAGTGATCAATAATATAAACTAAGCAACGTGTTTCGAAGTTTGGAGGGTAAATCGCATCCTTTTGGGCGGCATGATGTTAGCCTGCACTACACCAGCTGCTGGACCACCGCCGAAAGGATTACAACAATTGCATCGCGAATCTTGAAAAGAAAACCCTGGCAAGTTGGCAACGTTCCCTTTTTTGCGAGGGTTTCAGGAAGGTGTGCTCTTTACCAGACAGTCGTGCATTGCATCAAGCTCACCCTGCAGATCAATGTGAAACCAGAATTACGTTACCAAGTTACAGCAATAGGCGCGAATACGTAAGTATGTCAATTTTATAGATAGGTCAGTTTTATTTTTGTTACTAAACTCTGAAATTTCGGTAAAATGACCCACATCTCGACAACGCTGTGCCATAATTAAAATGTTTAGGTAAGTACAGTACACGTGCAGAACTAGCACATTAACTACTGCAACAGTGCAACATGTAGTTATCTCAGTAATATAGATATAACAGATGACCACTCTTAAACTATCTGATGTGTACAGTTTCACGCGCAAATATCCGTGTAGCAAAAAATTAAGGTGGCCCTTAGGGCAGCACGCATTAACAAAGGTCTTCGCCAGATCGGAGGCAGTAGGTACAACATGTACAGGCTACAGTACAGCTGCAAGGTGCAGAATCTATAAAGCCGTTTCACGGCATAGAATTTATTTTTTGCTAGTTATTTTAAACTTATTTTCATAGGTTAGCATAATTCTAGTTACTAGACGTTGACATTATTAATGTAGATATTCTGTCGTATTTAGGGAAGAAGCATTGTACAGTGATCGATGCGGTATGATAATGTTTCGACTTAAAGGTCACCGCAGAATCGCACAAACTAGCAGAATCCTACCTTGCACGCATGGTATACCGCCATCACTCTTGGAGCTTGCACAGATTCGCAGTTCCCCTTACCACCAGAAAGGGCAACGCCAGACCGTTTACCCCAGTTCGGCGAAAAGTTGAACTGTGCGTCGACCAAAGTCAACGTTCCGACCATAGAAATCACCAGGACAATAGCAAAGAAGCGGTTCATTTTTCTAGTGGGATTTTAACGTAAACTGCCTTAGAGCGGTATGAGGAGGTAGTAGGTACGGAATTAAGTTCGATTATAACTTTGAAGAAATGGCTGAATGTGATGCACAAATGAAGTGACTCACTGCCTTCTTTTATATCTGCTTCCTGCATTCCGGTCAGGAATACTTCACCTGGCTGGACAACACGGCATTTCCGACAAAACCGAGACTCCTTCCCGGTCTGTCTCACCGAATGCAGTACCTTGGGCAAAGCGTGCGCGTCTGGATATGAGGGTTTACGTAGGCTAATACGCACATACTGCAAGTAAAAATATCTACAAAGTATATACACATACAGGAAGCGCATCATTCTGGCAACGCAATGCCAAAAAATAAGTTTGACCATTATGCCGAACCGGCTACAAACGTATAAGTACAGTACAGTACTAATAAAACTATTTAGCGCGAGTGAGCTGATGAACTTTAACTACTTGTATTGACATTTGCCGTAGCATTGCATCTATATGTGTGATCATGCATTGGCGTACTTATATGTTTTGTATTGTGTTCATGCAATACATACCATTGCCTTACAATATTATTACTTCTAGTAAAAGCGCGTACGGTATTAGTGTAGAGCAATTTCTTAGTAAATTTTTTCATGGAAAAGGATAATATACAGTTGTTATGCCAGTGTTTATGGTTCAACTGCCTTGTAAATATTATAGATCCCACTTCATCTCACTGATGCATGTCGGCATACCGCCGTACCCTTATTATTTATGCAATACAGTAACAGATAGGCTGTCTATTACTGTATCAAATTAAAATAAATTAATAATAAGTTATTATTAAAGAAAAAAAATTGTGGCTTAATCGCAGTGTATTATCGCATTCGATAATCGCAATGTATTATGGAAGTGACTAGTTTGTAAATTGTAAATTCTAAAGTTGTAGTGTCCCGCATGAGTATCGTTTTTGTATGTTGAATGTGCTCGCGCGTTTTTTACACTTGTTGATGTTGCCGATACACAATGCCCTTATGCACGTCGTTTACAGTGCCTTTTCAATAACTTATAATAACCATAACAACCATGCAGAACTACGAAGCCATTAAATGCTTAAACTTAAAATTAGCATTAATTGTATCATATTTCCGGAGATATCGCATCTGTGATTATTTAATGCTGTCACACTATTGCTACCCTAGTAGTTTCAGCAGTTCAATTCAGCTATACCCGATCGAACTTTCCCGCCTGATCCCTGCAGATTCGCCCAATTTATCAGCTTGTGCTTTTAATTTCTTTAATTTCAGCCATTCTCTTACATCGCATTTGATTTTTTTAAATATTCTGATGTAAGCTGTAGGTTTCACGTAAATACTGTTCAGCTTACATGCGGTAATCGTCATGCACAATTTTGTGAGCGCTTTCGCTTCAATCACAGATTCAAGTCCACCTTTTAGCCTTATCGCAGCAGTTGGAGTCTGCGCGATTTTTGTTATATCACTATCATTTCTTGGTGCAATTATTTTTAAGCAGCTGCCTACTATTCAAATTATGGGAACGAAATCTCTCAATTTCGGGCAGGTCAGCCATTTATTGCAGCGGATAAGGAGGGTATTGATTCTGATCTTACACTGGATTAATCTGCGTGTTCTAATCATTTAAAACAGCTTAAACGTTAACCGTTAGATGCAAATCTGATATACAATACATAAATTATGTTACTGTTGTTTTAAAAAATATTAGTACGCGCATATAAAGGTATTGTTATTTTATAAATATTATTTCATCGCAACGGTTAAACTGTGCATAGTTTTGACTAGTCCAGTCAAAATTATACACAGTTTAACTAAACATAGGTCGCCTATGGATTGTTTCCAATTTGCACTATCCCATTTTCAAATACTTTTCTATTTAATATTTAAAAATACATTTAAAAGTACATATAAATAAATTTTTCAAAGGTATATACATACATTATACTCTGTATGTTTAATTAATCTCTTATGGTACAGGCGTTACTTCCTCAGTCCAGCTCTTTCCCCATTTTACTGCACGCAGTTCCAGACGATTCATTTACGACAATACCGCGCGCATATATAGCCATCGACGTCATAAAACAAACACTAACAACGCTCAGGAAGTTGGTTGATAATATGGATGCAGAACTGACTCACTACGTCGATAATCAGATGTCTTCTTTGCTGGGCATCGGAGCTATAAGCATTTTCCGGTTTATATTGTTTGTCAATAGGTTTCGGTTTCGATGTTCCGAAATTGTATTTGCTGCATCTGTATCGTTATTAATTCTTTTCGTCCTTCAAAATAAACGCTTCTTCACAGATACTATGCTCAGTGCATACTCTTTTTTCGAGCATATCTATCTGGTAAATTTCAAGCATTTCCAGCAAAACACGTTTTACGTTTCTGCAGTCCAGTTCGCTTAAGCACTAAGTAGTGTTATCGACTTACTACATCAGCGACTTACTGAAATACTACATCACAAAAAATGTACAAATAATACTTAATTAATTTACAAACATTAGGACAACAAATCTACAAAAAGAGCATGCTATACAGAATTGGCAGCCCCTCGATTTTCGTACGACATGAGCTCCTCCTCTACCGGCCGGCCTAATTGGCTACGCCTTCTGCTGTACAGGAAATATATAACAAACCCTGCAAAACGAAGAAATCGGTCAACATCGAATCAACAGATTATTTGGGTGCGTAAACGGTTCGTGTTACTCACCGGCACTAGACCACACAATCAACCGCAACCATGCCAACACCGAAAGATGGAACATCATTACCACCAAGCACGTAAATGCCAGCATCGGCAGAAAAGGCATACCGCCGACGGAATACACCAACGGCATCCCATTGGCTGGACCACGGAAAACGGCCAGTGAGCAACATACAGTTATGAAAATACAAGTCACCGACAAGATCACCCACAACCAGTCCCATTCGGAATCGACTACGCTATGACCGAATGCGATTGTAATGGCAAGGATAATCGAAGAAACCACGAAAATCCATAGTGCGCGAGTGATCCGGTTGTAGGATTGCAGACTGGGTAGACTGGCCACACTTTCAGCGGGGGAGATTGACGATGAAGGCGGTGAACTTGAACCATAAGGTCCGGTACTTGTGGCTTTATCCGCAGTTCCAGCCAGTAAAGTTGTCAATTCTTTTAGCCGCACACTTTCCTAGAAAACCCAACTGGTAAAAAACGTGGAAATCAAGATGGTTTTATGACGACACCGAGTTCTTCATTTACTGCGCTAAAACTGCGGCTTTACTGTACAGTACCGTACTCGTGATTGGCTGCTTTTTTGTGACATCCTGGACGTCGATGTAGACAGATCCGACTCATTAGACATTTGAGAACTGGCCCGGGATAATATAAAACTATCCGCCGATACAGTTTTTCTTAGCGGATTTCCTGCAGCGAGCCCAATCTGGCACGGATCATATCTGACGGATATCGTGGCTAAACACGTCACAGCAAATCCCATTATACTTCCGATGGAGACCGACTGCAGCAGCCAATCATATCGTATGGTCAAGGTGATAATGCATGCTGCCAGCGTGACACACAGTCGGCATGACCACGGAGTATTAGTCCCGTAACTCCATTTGTGGAACCATTGCGGAAGTAGCCCATCACGTGCCATACAAAACAACATCCGTTCCGCATAATTTAGTTGTGTATTTATGGCCAGTAGAAATCCGCATATGGCACCACCGCCGATGAAATACTTGGCATTTTTTACACGCAGAGTGTCAAATAGATCGAGGATTGGCGCGCTGTCACTCAGCGCGCTGGCATCAATACTGCAAATTTAAAACTGTCTACGGGTGCAACAACAACAACACATAACAACGATTCAGTTTTATTTGGGCATTGGGTGAAGACACTAGCACCGGAACACGGGACACCGGCGCAACCGGCCCCGCAGTCCTTGCTAAAACAACCCCCTTTCCCCTCGCAAAAGAGGGTGGGCGGGAGGGGAAGAACGACTTGTTAAATGCAAAACATCTTTACTCCAATACGACAGCAACTCAAATGCACTAACAGAAATGCACAATCACTACAAATGCAACGTCCACAACCGAAACTGCATTGCTTATACAGCATCGGGATCTGCCTCCCAGGACACACCCTAATGGTTTTCTTGGCTGGACACTGGTTAACCAAGTCGTCCAGCCTTGCGAATACCTCCGCTGCGTTAACCGGAATTAGCTTTGCTAATTCTATTTAACGCAGTCTACGGGTGCAACAACAACAACACATAACAACGATTCAGTTTTATTTGGGCATTGGGTGAAGACACTAGCACCGGAACACGGGACACCGGCGCAACCGGCCCCGCAGTCCTTGCTAAAACAACCCCCAAACCCCATCAAATTAGTACGGACGCAAGCCCTCGACAGTACGCGGTAAACGAACGTATCGGGCATACGCATCACTTTTCCACCGACCAGCTTTCATTATAGCCTCGGATGAGTAATTACGATCGGCAGCAACAGTCGCTGCGCCGATACGAAACGAATGTGGAGATAAATCTTTAAGTTCAGGATGATAACGCAACACTAATTTAAGCAAACTTGCAAATCGGCTGCGAGACAAGAAAGAACCGTCATCAAAGGTACAAAGGGAAGGGTACTAGAAACCGATCAGTACACAACAACAAAACCGTTTAACAGCCCGGTACGGGCATACTGACCGATGAGTGGGACGTAAATAAAGTTTATAGCCTCTTCCGACTTGATCGGTTTTGACCGTTTGATATTCAGAAGCACATAACGTTCTTTAATTAGAACATCACTTTGCAACAAAGTACGATGAGTGATAAACGAATGTCGATGTGAGGTAACAAACTCACTTGGTCGTAAAATCCGAAGAATGCGATAGTGCACGCTGCCCAAAGCAAACACTGTGCATAGGCAGACAATGCCGAATCAAGAATGCATTGTTTAATACATTTCATAACGGAAAGTGTCACGGGACATCGACGGTCTAGCACCGGTGGAATCAACCGGGCATAACCCTTTACTGCCTGTCTTACAGCACTACAATCTGTGTAGTCGGAATATCCGTGTTCCTTATACCAGTTAGATAAAGCCGCTAAATAGACTTTTAAAGTTGAATATGCAATATGTTTGTCAAAAAGATTAGCAATAAACAGTGCAACAGACGAAGTGCTGAATACATTTACACTCTTTACTTTACAAAAACGAAAATATGACGATACACCAGCTCTGTATGTACGACGAGTCGACGAAGATATGTGGTTACGTAACAGGCGCTTTAATGTGGTATTCATGACGAAAAAGAAGTAAAGAAATCAGCAGGCAACACGCATGGCGATGCATCAGCCAGCGGTGCTAATGACCGAAAGCGAACCCACTGTTGCCGAGATAACGCATCGGCAATCTTATTTGAACAACCCGGAATATGCGAAATTTTCAAATTAAAATTATACTTAGCCGCTAAGAAAAATATCTTACGCATCAAAATATTTACAGATAAAGAAGACGTGGAGAATTTGTTCCAAGCTTGGACAACTCCCAAATTGTCACAATGTAACAGCACTTTTCGCTGACAGAGATCAGGAACAAGCTCGCACCATTCAATTGAATAAAACGGCCGAGAACTTAGCTCAGACCACAAACAACTAAACCACTTCCCATTAAAATAACCACCAAAACCAATGGTACTGGAGGCATCAGTATAAAACTGCAGCACATCAGAACCCGACCAATCGACATCGAGGAAACAATTCGAGCCGTTCCAAATAGGGAGAAAATCTAACCACCACTGAATATCTTCCCGGATGTCTTGTTAAATGCAAAACGACTTGTTAAATGCCATGTTAAATGTTAAATGCTAACAGAACGACTTGTTAAATGCAAAACATCTTTACTCCAATACGACAGCAACTCAAATGCACTAACAGAAATGCACAATCACTACAAATGCAACGTCCACAACCGAAACTGCATTGCTTATACAGCATCGGGATCTGCCTCCCAGGACACACCCTAATGGGTTTTCTTGGCTGGACACTGGTTAACCAAGTCGTCCAGCCTTGCGAACACCTCCGCTGCGTTAACCGGAATTAGCTTTGCTAATTCTATTTTAAAACTGTTTTTATCCAAAATTGCGAACGCCAGATGATGATGGTGTCAGGCGCGTCCCAAACTGTTTCATACCTGAGCGTTATAAGGCACGAAAGAACGAACAATGTGACGGACGTGATCATCACAGTCAATGTATGGGTTAGGGGAATATTCCGGCTGGGCTTCCGCGTTTCCTCAGCGGCCATGGCAATACTTTTTATCCCGTTAGCGGACGATATTAGTAAGGCGGCAGCAGACATGATCTATAATGTAGTAACTTATTGTTCACGATGTGGAACAAGGCAGTATAGTTTCAACGTGCGACCGCTTGGCACAAATCGAATTGCTTCGTTTCACGCTGTCACTTGATGCGAAAATAATTTGGGCGACAGTCCGTCACAATTTCAATATCTTGTAACACGTAACGTAAATCGAGTTGTATTTCTGAATAGCCCGGTTTAATGTCATGATCCGTTTTTAATAAGTACTTATCGTTAGTAGAACTACACTTGGTTAAGCGGGATGAAGATAATCCGTGTAATTCGCACTTACTCCATGCGAACCCGGACGAAAGAATGTTTCATCACTTCCCCAATTATCACTGCTGACGTGGAACATGGCCAAGAAAGCTACAGCGATGATTACAAGAATGTGCAGTACAAAAAGGCACGAATGAATGGTAAGCGTCCCCTGCAATACAATCCGTGCGTGAGCAGGTCATTTACATAATCGAGAAAATTACAGTTTACTGAAATCAAAAAACCTCAATACGGACATTTTTATTCCGGCAGATCGCCGCCGAGGCCACGAGAGCAATTAATCCGACAGCGACAATTTGCGGCGGTTGATCGGGTTCCCAGGGGGTGCCGCCCATCAGCTGCCGGACGGCCGTGTTCATGCGACCGGATGAGAGCACGTTGAGATGCTGTGACAATGCTAAGCCCGCCAGGGCCACACTCATCACCGATTCCATGATTAGATTCCATCCCAGGATGAAGGCCATAATCTCACCGTAAACGACGTAGGCATACAGATATGATGAGCCCATCAGCGGCAGCCGACAGGCCAACTCCGAGTAACACGAACCTACATACGAGCGTTTGCCGCAAATCAATAATTATTTGTAGTTTCAATCGCCACCAATTAAGCAACAAGTCATCCAACTGGAATAACATAACTCTGTTACAAGCAATTACTGACTCGACAACATCAGTTTGTTCATGTCCCTGGACAAATTTCCGAATTTGTTGTTTAGGTATCTCACCATTGCAAAAGGCCGGCAACGTTATAATATCATGTCTCTCAACATATCTCGAGCAAAACAGCTTGTAAAACAAACGTTAGTCGAACGTGTAACTACCGTTAAGTAAAGGGATGTGTTCGAATTTTGGCCTTTAACTAACGTGTAGCTAAGGTTTTTTTTACAAACTGTTTTACTCGGGTATAATTATTGTGAACCGAAGGTTTGTTAGCTGCATTAAAATACACAAGTAAAATGTCAACTGTCACCTGTCTACACGTTTTGCCACGCAATACAGTTCGAGGGAAACATTTTGTTGATATTCGGAAAGGACTGCAATGAAACTTTAATATATAGGCTATCGGATGACAAAACACACATTATCGCTGTAGGGTTCTGAACTTGTGTTGATTTGGTGCGGTGTCAATTCCACCGCAATGATGATAAAGTCAAAAATAATGCAGTATCGGCAGCCGCACTTTGATGATACGAACGGCTCCAGATATACGCAGTAAACAGAAGTTGTTTAAAATTAAGACACTCAATTTTTTAGTTTGAACGAATAGTACCGCAACGGAAATTAAATCTGAATATTAATGTAAATGAAAGTTAGACTTAACATGAAATGTCACCCTGAACGAAGCAGAATCGTATAATTTGCCAACAAACCGGTACTGGTTAAAAATGTATCAGGTGTATTATTAGGGAACATGTACCTGTTATCCAGGTTACGACCGCCACTCCCAATGCGGACAATATTATTGCTGGACCGGCGAAATTCTTGGCCGAAACCGCGATGAACACGTACACCCCCAACGCATTTCCGGTGCCGATCCCTGTAACAATAATTATACAGGGGAGAAATAGAATTACGGCATACTGAGATTAATAAATCGACAATGTGGCGGTAAAGATACGATTTACCAAAGTTAACCACAGTATACCATTACGCTTGAGTTATTGAGAAAATATACCTTCTTTATTTTGTTGGAAATAACTAAACAAATTTGATGACCATAATAATTAATTATGTCGTTCATGTTGCCTGTATCATGATACTTTCATCACACACAGCTATCTGATTTACGGAGTGACTTGCATTGCTTGTTAACTGTAAACACACTGATATTACCAAATATATAAAAGCTGCTGTTTACAGTATGTAAAACTTTTTATGCTATATTTTACAAGTTAATAGCCGTGCTTATTCACGATGTTAAAGCTGAAGGCAGCGCTATTCGATATTCTATCCTTATAGTAATTGTACTTACAAAAACATCGAAAATTAATTATCGGTCGATGTACAAATATATGTAGTTACATATTAAGCATGTCTACTGAATAGAGTATATATGTAACTGTGCCATGCCAAAAGTTAAAACGTAATTTCTTTATACATCGTTAAATTTTATTTCAATATGTTGTAATTGCTTAAGAACATGGCGAACTGTAATTACTTGTTAGACCAGTGGAAAGGTAATAAGATTACAGTAACCGTACCGAATTCCCGTTCATTAGTGAACGCTACAAGACACACACACACCTTGAACAAGAAGATGCAGTAGCCCTTTATATCGAGGTGCGTATCGGCATCGGAAATACTCAAACTGAACCGTCTTAGTTCTGAACGTTGTCCGAATAAAGCGTCGGAAGGTTTCCATTACATTAAAATTGTAAATTTCTCCTCAGATTACAGGGAATTTCCAAACGATACAGATTTGGCGCATTTATTGCGGCATTCCACTACAGTTGGTTTCGAATGAAAACGATGCGCAGTAAAGTGCATGCATGCGGCATTTGCAAGGTGACGGTAACTTTGCCAGTACATTTCACTTCCATGGCCCGAGACAATTACTAACCAATAAAGCGTCCACTGATTGCTGAACGATTGTCAGTGAGCTTGTGAACAGTAAATTAGGCAAATGAAGGAAAACAAGTGGACCTCCCACGCCAGCGTTAGCAGCCGGGTGAAAAAGACGCGATCAACGCATCCAGTGTTCTCGCGAATACCGGCTTCGAGCCGGCTGATTTGCTCTGCCGGTTGCGGCACCGGAAACTGGTTCGTAAATTTCAAAATTTATCTTACTTCTTTTCCCGATGGCATTATTTACGCTTACCCACCACATCCAGTAATATGGATTTGGCAGTTCGCAACTTCTAAATTTTTGAATTTATAAAGCAATGCGATATGGTGGAAAATATATGCAGGATCATCCATATATCGATGTACTCGTACATCCGTTGCACTTAATGATGGCGTAAAATACCGACAACAAAAGCAGATACCAAGCAGCCCCTATAAACCAAATAAGATTTACGACACTTTCTGCAGATTAGTTAGTGTGTTGCGATTCTTCTTAAACCAGGACTTTCTACAAAGCTGAAAGTAACTGGAATACTTCCGGTTGTATCAAGTACGGGAGTATACTGCATCTTATTAATATGATCGATTCGAATCTGCGACCATGACTGGGACGGCATAGCCGACTGCCCTTCTGACGTTTAGTCGCTGAGTGCAGTAACAATCGCCTAGTTAAAACCGTGATTCCGTATCCCGAGAAAATGGAAATTTGCAAATATTTAACCGCAAATCTGATATACAAGTATAGTTCCCCATCTGGCCATGTATCTATCATTCAGCGCCATGACGGTCTTATGTCATTTGACAGCACAAATGCTTCTTGAAGCAAAAAGGACAAGTTGTTTTCTCACTGACATTATCTGCAGTTGAGTGCACAAAATGGGTATGTTCGCCAATACTTGAGGAAGACGACATTTCCGGGCGGAGCAGACGTGTGAGAACAGCACCGAGTGCCGTTTTTGTAGACAGCAACGTGTGTAGTATGTACACAGGGCATTTTGTCAAAAAGTGTTTTGATATTCGATGTATATTGTATAAATGTATGTCAACAAGGTTGACAAAAATCACTATGTAAATAATATTATACGTGTATGATCATGTCTCTGTTTACTGCATCGAATGACCTTTATTTCAACGAATTCTATGATAAGTGTTTTTGAAATACATTACTACTGCTGTTCTACACCAGCAATGGAGCTAAACAGAATTAAGTAGTATTCAGACGTGCAGTATTTTAGTTTTCGTAAGTTTTAAACTTTTGTGTACAACAGAAAATTATACGGTCTTGTCAAAGTGAGTCGGGGAATCAGCATAGTCCCAGACGAGAAAATCGAGACGTCCCCCATCATCTTTCCAACAGGAAGCAATTTACCATCCTTCAGGCCGGCTTTTCTATCGCACTTGCACTGAAGTGACATGCTTATTGTCCTTTGATGAGTTACGCCTTATGCTGCTGATTTTCCACAAGATTTAATTGACGTAACTTCTTGCCTGATCATCAGCTCACTAAAAATGACGTCTCCGTAAAAGCTGAGATTTATCCTATTTTATAAGAAAACTTATTTAATACAGAATAGCATAACGCGAAACATGATAATTACTTGATTAATCCCTCACAGTTGGGTTCAGGCAAAATGTTTATTAAATTTAAGCAATGAAAGTACCTGCAGGTACTCGTAAATACGTACTTGATATTTGTAACCTCTACTCGTAGCCGCTCATTAATGCATCCATTCATTCATATGGTAGAAGTACCGATATATTTGTCAGGAATACGTCGTACGTTTGCCGGTAATCAAGTGATGTACGGTTTCCGCTCCCAGGAGATGTTTCGTTTCTATCAGTTGCCGACGGTAATGAAGCTATTTAGATTATCCGATTACTGTCATCATAACAGTAGCGGAATGTCAACCGTCCCGATTCCGCAGATGAATAAATTTCTACTCTTCATAAGCCAAGTGAACCGCCGACAAAGCACCACACCGGATGCAAAGTCATAGTGTTATTTATCGATTTTCATTTTCATGTCAAAACTGTTTACTTTCGGACGCTCTGAAAGCAGACTATTCTGTATATGCTTCTATATAAACCGTTATGTGTTTGAACCATACAAAGGGTTTTGTACTGCACTTAGTGGCAACATGAATTCGGACCGGAAGTGCTGCAAGCACCAGAAGTACCCAGTGTGGTGAGTATCCTAAGCAATTTTCTCAGGCATGGGCAGAATGCTATAATTACGTTCCTCTGTGTAAGTTAAGTTTTTAACTAAGCCATATTTCTGGTAATCTGGTTTCTAAGCAAATGAACCAATTGCGGCCTAAAGTGCCGGCAAGGACTTCCTGAATTCATGAAATTTTAGCCGGTATTACTGAGACCTGCAGGGAACAGTCTGCAGAAGGAATTGCTTTCCCAAAAATTAACATCTCTGAAATGCAAAATTATGCTCGTACGTAGTGCGAGACAACAACAGGTTTTATAGTGGTAAACTGGTAATTCGAACTTTGAGCGGAACCTGGACAAGTACGGTACATACACAGGGAAATGTGTCGTTGCAAGAAACAGCGCTCGAACATCAGGTCATTTTAAAATTTGTATCTCTTATAATATGCACTACCCCTACATCCGCAGGCTTTAATTGCACATTGCGCCGTGCTTCAGCTTCACTGCAATCATGGGTTTTGTGGATAAAAGTCTAACAATAAGACTGAAACCAGAAATGTAGCGTATGGGATGATGTTCATAAAATATTACTCGTATAACCGTCCGCAACAATTCATTTTATTACACACACGATGTCACTGCCGCCAGAACTCAGTAATTTACTGGGTTCACAGCCTTCAGATCACATCGAAAAGTCTTGAATCAAACAAAATTAACATAAACCAGCAGCCAGTCTAAACTATTTTGGACTGCTCTCCAAAATGCTGCATTCCACATTAGCACACCTGCAACTCATGACCATATAAATAATTACGTATGCCCGTACTGGAGAAATGTATGCTCGTACTGAAGAAACATATCTGCCGATCATAACATCAAAAGTTCAAATGCACGCTCACAGTAACCAATAATTAGTCAACTACTGTTTCTTCGGTACAGCGGGCTTCGTGGACGTATCTTTCATCTCTTGATCACTAAATTGAGGAGGATGCGATTCCAGAGCCGAATGAACAGGCTGCGAGGGCTTCGGTAAGGAGACCTGTACAATAACGCCAATCTTTTACAAAACACGAAACAAGTATTGTAGGTACTCGTATCAAAATGAGTCAAGTAAATTACACGTCCAGATCGAAAAAAGATTCACGGCGTAATTTATGCCAATGTAACCGCAACAAGTTTTATGCAACAGTGAAACGGATTTTTGCACGAGAAGCAGTTGAAATGACCGGCTATCTATTCTGCATGGTTCATTTTCTAAATCAACCAATGGCTCATGGTTTCTAAAACCATGAAACCTACTGGTGACTACAAAAGAGCTCACGACAAGCAAAAAATACATGCGCTACTATAGGGTTTGCATGCAGCAGCTGCATTTTGAAAAGCTGCAATAAATACCGAAATCACTGCAGCGCACGAACCGTAGATGGCGACGGAGGAGCGGCGACCGGCTTCCTCCGCACCGGCCCCGCTTGATAAGGATTGTGAAAAGCATTCTGGCAGTTGCTATAGCTCATCCCGAAGCCCGCACCAGTCCCGAACAAGATTGGCCATGCCCTCCCTGTAGTGAATACCATTCCTTGCAAAATGGAAACTTATTAAATAAAAAATGCGACTTCCTTACTTTTGAAGAACAACAAGGAGAGAAGTCCTCCGATGGCCACACCACCTCCTGCAAATACACAACACACTATACTACGGTCTATGAGAACAGCAGCTTCTGTAATGTGGTAACTGATTTACCGAATGCCAACCGCTATCACATTCACAAGACAATTTTACGAGATTCAATGTTTTACCCTCTTAGAACAGTTTGAAAATTTTGCTATCAAAAATTAACAGTCAACACTGGAAAGCAACAGAAAAACTTGCAAAATCTTTTTGTAAATTTGCAAATACGCTGCACAAGCAGCAGCGGAATCCCTGTAACTGTCCATTACTTCTGAATGCAGCTTACAGTGAAATCAACAAGAACGCTTTTGACCCATTCGCTGGAGACTGACGAAATCATCGTCGCCCCTGCCACAAAGTATCGTTCTCAACGCGAGAATTTACTCGGAGGAACAATGCCACTTACCGACTTTGATAAGTCCATCAGAAAGACATCGGTCCCACTTCTTTCCGAGTTCGTCTTCGGATCGAACAATCTCCACTTGTTGGGGCATTTTCAATCTCTTGTGACTCTTAGTCTTGCCTTATTGCGTGCCTGCCTTGTAGTCAACGGCGATTCCAGCCAAGATTGTGTTGTAAGGGCGGTAGCTACCCACCGAAAACGATAGCTCCGACAATAGTTATAAAAACCTACTGAGAATTATTGTAATTCATAAAAACTCATGAAAGTCGGAGACTGACACGACAACGAGAAATCCTGCGGCTTCTTTTTTTCCGGAAAAGTCAGAAAAGCATCTGAAGCAGCAATGCCACCATCAGAGGTACACTGGTACACTAAACGTTCGGTCTGCACAAACTACCCTGCCGTTAGGGCGTTCGCCCGGAGAGGATGCTGATTTCGGTGGGTACCAAGTTACTGCACAACTTATCAGCTGTTGGTTAAACCTTCGCACGCGACGCCTAGTGTATGTATGCAACTGGTAAAAACGTTTTTGAAAAACTGAAAAAGAGGCTGTTTCGTACTTCGGGAGTTTTGTACTCGTATGGTAGATCTACTCTGTAAGATGTCTTTGCGCAGACGTCGCTTTATAGCCTAGTCTATCGAAATGTTTCAGTTTTTATGCCACCGGTGTAGTGTTCGTCTTTGTTGCAGTTCGTCGCTCTCGATAACTGCGCGAACGTCACGGCGGACATTGAACACGAAACAACCAAGCTGCCAATCCGTTGTAGCTCCAGCTCCTGAGGATGTACCCTCGGACAATGTCCGCACTGGTGCTCCTGCGAAGGGTATTACATCCTCATCCGCTTCGCCCACCTGCCGTTTTAACGTTGCTCAGATTCAGATGATACCAAACAATCTTCGGGATGTCTTGTTTGGAAAGCCTGTCGAGCAGTTGTCTGTTAACGATGCGGAGCGCTGTATCGAACATTTAAGATCTAAAGGACTCTGGGGCTTTCAACCTCAAGTGTTGACCGAGCCGAATCTCATTTTGCCTAATCTCTATGGTAAGAATATCGAGGAGCATCTGCGGAAAATTGCCAGCGACCAGATAAGGCCCTACGTTGCTGGGGTGGATGAATTGTTGATTGTTGATCCTCCAGCTTTTCCGAAAAAATGGGAATACTCAGCAGGTTTGAGAAGCTATAATTGCGGGAAAATCAAGATACTTTCCGCATAGTTCTGGAAAACGGAGAATCGATTTTTACTAATTTTGGCAAAAAATTAAGGTAAAATTTGACTGTTTTTTTACCTTTACCAAAGGACTAATTAGCTACTAAATTGTATGCTGCTACTAGCTGCTTAAAAATTTGCGATTGGAATATTAGGCTGTTTGGAATATTAGGCTGTATTTATATTTTCTCATCCGTGTTCTGACTTTAGCAATAAGCTTAGGTTTTTATTAATTATAGTTTTACAGTCGTTCAGTTTTTCATGGTCTTAGTTTTTTTTCGTGTACAGGTTGTACAGTTTTTTTTCGTGTACAGGTTGGACGAAGTACTGCGCGGACGGTACGCGCCATTCTGTTCCCTTTCCGGATGAGCCGGCATTAGTGTTTGACGTGGAAACCTGTCTTTCATCGGGAAAATATCCCACTTTAGCCGCAGCTGTCTCTGCCTCGTCGTGGTATACCTGGTGCAGCGAACAATTAGTAGATGATTCTCCAGCGGAGCTTACCGCTGATGGACGCCTGAAGCTGCAACATCTGATCCCTTTAGAGAGTCCCGGTGTTCATGGGATTAGCGGCACGAACTGGATACCACGGCTCGTAATCGGGCACAATGTCGCTTTCGACCGATCCTATATTATGGAGCAGTATTTGCAACACGGCAGTAAAATGCGCTTCCTGGACACCATGTCGCTGCACATCGCACTGGCCGGGTTTACGACAGCACAACGAGGCCTGTTTCTCAAGTACACGGCCACGGATAAGCGGGTGAAGACCGCAAAAGAAGTGGCCAGGCAGATTGCGATAGTAAGATTCCCTTTGCTAATTTCAAATTTAAAAAAGCTGCGCTGTGTTCTTTGAGTTAAGTGGTTGTTGCTTGGAGTTTTTTTAGGTAGCGCCAAAATTTTGTTTTCTAAACATCATTCCGGGAAATACGTATGTACCGGCATTGATGTGTCTTTTGTTTTCAGAAAAACAATAAAAAAAAATCCGGCACGGATACTAGTCCAGCGCGCCGGTGGATGGATGTAGGGTCGATGAATAATTTGGAGGATGTGTATCGTCTGCACTGTCAAGCGAAATTACCTTATGACAAGACGTTGAGTAATGTATTCGTTTCTGGCACATTGGACAATGTGCGCGAAGATTTCCAGTCGTTAATGACATACTGCGCCAGCGATGTCCGAGCTACACATCATTTGGCCCAGACTCTGCTTCCACTGTTCAGAGAAGCGCTACCGCACCCAGCTTCTTTTGGTGGAATGCTGGAGATGAGCGCGACGTGTCTCCCAGTAAACAAGAACTGGGAAGTTTACATCCAGCGGTCGAATGAAGCAACAAATAAAATCGAAGACGAACTGAAAATTGGTACGTGATGAATATATATTGGTAGTTTAGCTTAGATAATTATTTAGTTTAGATATACGGCGTATTTCGAACGGTACAACACATGGCATGTTAATTGGTACTTTTTATTTGCGGATTAATTTCTTGATTGCAAGGATGATCAGTGCTGTAAATGCCAGAGTGTAGCGCAATTTTTTCTTTTTAGGCTTGGCAGCATTGGCCAAAGAAGCTGTGTTATTGCAAAAAGATGACGCATGGCAGGACGACATGTGGTTGTGGGACTTGGATTGGACATCGCAGAAAGTCACCGCGCGTACCAAGAATCCCAAATATGCCGCACTGCCCGCATGGTACCGCGCTCTTTGCGACAACGATCCATCGGATAGCTCCGATATTCCGACGGCGACAGATATTAGTTTGAAAAAACGTGCTGTGCCGAAGCTGATGCGATTGACATGGAATGACTGGCCTTTGCATCATTCTCCCACCTATGGTTGGGGATGGCTAGAACCGCTTCCTGAAGGCGTTGTTATCCCGGAATCCAAGACTAAGGTGCAGGATCCCGATAAGAAGATTACCCCGGCAATGAAACGTCAAATGGAGGCGGTTTTTCCGTTGCACAAGCTGAAACAGCTAGCGGAACAGCTGAAACGTCCAGTGCGGCTTCCTGTAGGTGGCAACGTTGACTTGGCTAATGTGGCTTAATTAAATGTCGCTGTTCGTTTTTAGAAGATTACAGTCAACGAAGAACCGAAACAAAAATCAACAGCTTTGTCGGACGAAGAGTGGGACAGGATGGCCAACATGACGCCGGATGAGCAGCAGGCTTTGTTGTCGGGGAAATTGGAGGAAGCGGAAATGCCGCACCAGACACCGGCAACTATGTTTCCGACATCGTCGCTTGATGCTGCCGACGCGGAATCGGACTGGGAAATCATTGCGACCATACACGACCAACTGGAGCTGGAGGAAGCCAAGGAACGCTCAAAGCCCAAACCGAAGAAAACGGCAAAAGCGAAAGTAAGATTCACATTTATCGTGCGCTGTTTAGAAATATTCGAGAATGTTGGTAACATTTCTGAACTATAGAAAAATAAAGATCCCGCGGAAGAAAATGCGTATTATGACGTGGTACCGGGATGCATTTTTCGCCGTCTACCGCATACTAACGGCGCCGCATACAATGTTGGATCGCCGTTGTCTCGTGATTTTCTGCAGCATTTTGAGTCGGGTGTTCTGCGGGCATCATTTGGTAGCGCCAGCGAGATTATTAAAAGAAGCAAAATGGCGTCATATTGGCATAACAACAAAGACCGTGTGGAAAGTCAGTTGGTGGGCTCCTTAACGGAAGACGAGGAGAAGCGTGGGGTCATTCTTCCCCGTGTGGTGGTCATGGGCACGGTGACGCGGCGAGCGGTAGAAGCAACATGGATGACAGCCAGTAATATCAAACCGGATAGGATTGGCAGTGAATTGAAGGCTATGATCCAAGCGCCCAGGGGGTACAATATTGTCGGAGCGGATGTGGATTCCCAGGTAATTCCGTCGTTCTGATTCGCATTACACCGCTGTTTCTGAGGATATTTTCTCTGCTGAATTATAGCGTGACGTATTGTAGTTGAGGTTGTGCATGTCGCTCTCTCGTGATCGTGGCGATTAAACGTTTCTTATATTAACGTGTTTTAAAATGCGGACAAATAACTTGTGCAGAATGCGGACATCATGGTGTTCTTGTAGGAATTGTGGATTGCTGCTGTTCTGGGTGATGCGTATTGGTTGAAGCAGCACGGATGCACGGCATTCGGTTGGATGACACTGCAGGGCAACAAAGCCGACGGAACCGATCTGCACAGCAAGACTGCCGAGCAGGCCGGAATCTCACGTGATCACGCTAAGATTCTGAATTACGGTCGTATTTACGGTGCTGGACGGGAGTATGCTGCACTGCTTATGCGCAATTTCAACCGGGAGCTTACGGAGGCCGAGTCCGAGTCCAAAGCTAAAAAAATTTATAGCTTCGCCAAGGGCTCGCGGCTATACACGCTGAATGCAATGGGAAAGTTTCTCGGGGAACAGTGCGGATTTATGGATTCGGAGTTGGATATGCAGTTTAAATCGTCAGTTATCAGACAGATCTGGGAGCAGGCACATCGAAAGAAAGTCAGTTTCGATGACCGGAGCGAGTTTATCACTATCCTGAGGCAGATTACTGAGGATTCAAAGTGGACCGGTGGCAGTGAGTCGAATATGTTCAACAAACTGGAAAGTATTGCTAGGTATGCATACAGATGGTCAAACCTTGATGCCGGTATATCCCATGAGTTATTATTTTTTTTCTTAGGTCGCTGGAGCCTCGCACTCCTGTACTGGGATGTCGCGTTTCGCGGTGCCTTTTAAAAGAAAATGTCGAAGACGACTTCATGACCAGTCGCGTCAACTGGGTGGTCCAATCATCCGCTGTGGACTATCTGCACATTATGCTGGTACTAATGAGGTGGCTGATCGATACGTACAGCATTGATGCCCGTTTCTGTCTATCCATCCACGATGAAGTACGATACATTGTGGCGGAACGCGATCGGTACCGGTTGGCGCTGGCCCTACACATGACCAATCTCATGACCCGTGCCATGTTCGCCCACAAGCTGGGCTTCAATGATCTCCCGCAGAGTGTTGCGTATTTCTCAGCTGTTGATGTGGATAAAGTGATGCGGAAGGAAGTGAACACGGATTGTATGACGCCGTCCAATAGCGAGGGGCTGGAAAAAAATTACGGGGTGATGAAAGGCGAAACGGTCGATGTGTTCCAGGCACTGGAGAAAACGGGTGGTGCGCTTTGATGGGTTGACAGTTGACACGTGTCAGTTTTTTACTGTTTGAATTTCAGGTATTTTTGACTGTGAATTGTTCGGTGATGCATTTCCGTAAACGGAAAAATTGTACAGTTGTTGCGAATTGTTGGACCGAATTGTTGCTTGTTATTGCAACAAGAATTTTAATATCAAGCCAGTATCGCACGAAATCGTAGGGTAAAATAAACTTGCAACGGCACGGCTACAGTGCCTAAAATGATATTGAGCACACCGATGATAACTAGCCAGACTGTAACAGAATGGTATTCCGATTCTTCGGTGTTGTCCAGAATAAATCTGGCCACTTCCGGGGACAGAATTTTGGCGACACTGTATACGCCGTTCCAGAACATGGCAAAGGCCAGAAACGCCGCCATGGCCGCCATCACAGTAAACGTGGTTATGATGCATCGACCGATCTTCCCCAGTGCCACATTTCGACCATAATCCATGCTGGCTAATGTCGTGCGTGCCGAACCGGCCCAGAAGATAACGAACCCGCTTAGCCATTCCCATACGGAAAATCCCATGGCGGCGTAAGTGGTACCTGCAGGTGATCGCATCCGGTTAATTAACTTATTCGCTGACCTTATGGAGCGCGCAAATAAATATGACAATGTAAAGGAGAACATGCCGGGTTGACCCAGCAAACCAATAAATATGCAATGTGGCTCAGATATTCATGGCGAAACCCATGTAATGGCATGCCACATAAACATACTACTCTAGTATGCGATTATGGTTAAAGTGTGCGCAGGCAGATCATCATGTTACAAGATCATGTTGCAAGTAGCCCATAATTTTTTAATCAAAGACCTGTCGGTTCAAGGCTGCTTCGCATCGGTGCCATGTTCCAGTGCACAGGATGAATTACAAAATCGTTAAGCATGCAAAACCATATTCAGTACTTATTTACATACTTTACGTCAGAATTTCGTTTAGACTATATAAGTATTGTGCAATACGCACGTGCCGATATTATTCCGAACTGCCAAAGTCGACGTTAAAATATTTTGTGTTGATTTTATGCGCAAAATTAACAGCAGGTCTCGGTATTGGTAAACTGTAAACTGACTCACTTGCAGGATATACTGCCCGAAGATGTTCAACAGACTAACCGGAACTGCATATGTACCCGTCTCATTATCGATACTCGTTAATTAGGTGCCCTTAGAAAGTTATTATTCCAAGTCAAATTAAAGATGTTATTAGTCGAAGCAGCTGACAGTTGCAGTATACGAAAAAGTTGATATAATCTCCTTTATTCTTGTGAAATCCTAATACGCTCCAAAAGGAACCGATTTAAGCGACGGTAATAGAAACGCTACCTAGAAATTATGGAATGTAACAACCACATGAAGGATATATACCAGATATATATACCAGATACTTAGACTTTATATATACCAGATACTTAGACTGTCACTCAAAGCCGGAAGAGAGATTTTTTCGCAATAACCCACATCAGAAAAGATTTACAGGCGCATATACACACACTTCCGGTATCGATCTGGGATATATTTATTTCGTTATTGTGGTACATGCAGGGATACACAGGAAGTTAAAGAACAAACGCGCACACTTACCGACTGTGGCCCACTGGAGCGTGGACACCACGGCAAAGACCGTGTGGCAGGCGGCCATGCGCAGCAGCAGGCTCTGCAGATCATACGGCACCGTCATGCAGGAGCGGGATCGCGCCGGGTTGGTGGAGGTCGTGGTGTGGGAAGCGGGTCGGGAGATGGCGGGATGAACGGGCACCAGTGAGTCCTGGACGGTTGGCGTGGTGAGTGCGCTGCGTCCACGCGGCTGCAGCTGCAGTGAACTATAATCTTTACCATCCCCACCCGACAGTACAGCGGCGTCTTCGCCATACGGCGAGGATGAACGTCGGTTGGGTTCCATGGAATGGCAGCAGACAATCACATGCGATGCGTCGCTCTAATGACGGAAGTCTCTCCATCTCATGCAGAATTTCCGATTTACCAAGGATAGACAGCGGGAAAGGCGCATGATGCGCTTCGGGAATCAACTGTCAGAATTAGGATACAGTTCAGTAACCTTTCTGTATATGCCGGCAGAATAGCTTATAACAATTGGTAATATCATTAGTACACCGGCGGAATGCTGTGTCGAGGGTGGTACATATTCATTTACAATGAAAAACACTCCTGAAAATCGTTATACGGAAATTAAGACCCGAAACGGATGCCAGAGCTTACTGGGCGTTGAACAATAACGGCCGGGGAAAAGAAATCTGGTCAACTCGTGCACATCCGATGTATATGGCGCTGTGCTGTGCGCCGGCAAATGCACTACTGCTCACTGTTAATCGATCATTATGTCACGATACACTACTCTGTAGCTGCAATGGGAGCCATTTGACTGCTCGGCGCAGCAGCGCGTCCATTACATGCCGGTTTGATTTTGCGGCTGTGATTGTGTGTTAAGAGGTCGGGCTGCAAGAAGTTGTTGATGCCGTCTTATTAATGAGCGGATCGTGATCGTCTTCTGTTGATCCTGGTTAAAAACGGCAGCACTTCCTGGATTTGCACAATTAATTCAGGGAAGCGTATCCCGAAGAGATACTTGATGCCGAGCCTCCATCACTTACCGTGCCGCACCGCTCTGCCTCAGTATTCGGAAATCGTGTACTTCTACCCCGGTAGAAAATATATTTTTAATTGCTTTTACAATTGAATGCTGCGCTAGTAATTTACCGTATATAGACGACCAATATATGTCACAGATTAAAAGAGAAGTGCCGCATCGCACAAAAGACGAATTAATATGATTAACTCCAATATAAGAGTATTTGCGATTTATTAGATGTTGTTATTTCCGTTCTATCAATGTCTCTCCTTGTTTTCCTGGCATTTGAAATCTTCTTCGTGACCAATTTGTTTAAATTTGTTATGAAATTTTCACGTTAGTGTTGCTGACAAGTATTATATTAAAATACACGTATTTGTTTATAACAAGTACCATCGAGTACATAACGCTAGACTGATAATTTCACGCGTACATATCTCTTTTTTTAGAAAGGGAGTCGCTTACCTGGAATTAAAAAAAGCTGTTTCAGGCAGATCTGATAGCAAAGCACATCAGAGGTTTCGTAATACACAGTTCCGATTTAGCAACACACAAGCATGTCATTCCGATCTTGGATACGAACAGCAAATTGGGTTGTTCGTTGGAGCAATGATTAAATCAATCTGCATGCTGAACTGAGATTAAAAGTTAGAAAACAGAAATAACTCACCTTACTGCATTTTCGAAAGTACAGTGGTGCAGACGGCATTTTCGAACAGGATGCATTTATATGAAGAGATACATCCGTGCGCGATACCATACACTGGACGGAATCGCTACTAGTTTGCCCGTGGCAATCAATCCCAGCAAAGTGTGGATTTCGGAGTGAGTGGAGGTAATTGCTAATTCCGTGAGAAGCAGTAAACGCGTGTTATTCTGTCTACTGGAGCTGTTTGACCTTTAGGTTAACCCGGAAGTGTACGGCAAGACCGCCTGGCAGATGTTAGCCCGTGTTGGTAGTTTCAACGCGAGCATTTTCACAATCAGTACCTCATTCGCTACGCTTCGCGGAAAGGATTAAACGGAAATCAATCTTACTAATTATACGTCACATATGTACCAACAAATGTACTTCATTATCCCTAATTGAGGATCTTAGAAACACGAAGGCAGTATGCACGGTATCGTGCATCAGTCCATACGCTTTTCGGAATACCGCATCGAGTGCTCATTTTAAAATCGAAAGCTAAAAGCTTGGAAGTCAATAAATGATTATATCTAATTTAATTGGAAAACAATTACAGTATCCGTGTCGAAAAACGAGCATGCGTAGTGTCGTCCTATTGCGCCGAGCAAAGGTCAAGGCTGAAAAATAAATCCAGCGCAATGGGAATTCACTAAAAAATACGGTAAACATGGTATATTCTTTGTACAAATCCGTCTGTAGTGCTACCATTATAATTTTTAGCATTTATAATCTAGCGCAAGGGATAACCGTGCTTGGTGTCTAGGGGTTTATGTTTTAACAAACCTCAGCTAAACATAATTCGCGTTTGTTTTGATTATTAAATTTTTGGTAAAAAATGTTTCAAGGAAACTGATCCTAAACAACCACTGAAAAATTTTTCATAAATTATTTAGTGCAAAGTCATACATGTCATAGATCAATATAAGATATGACTACCAAACAAAAACTTCAGAAGCGCAAAACAATAGAGCAATGTGCGAGCGGACGTGCGAAAATTGTTCAGCGACTGTACTGTAATTAGTGTAAACTACAAATAATATCCGCACTGCCGCAGTTTTATCATGAAAGTTATACGTCTATGATGCCGGCGCAAGTACTGTTCAACAAGATTTTGCGTAAATCGTTCGAACAGCGCTCGTAATTTACGCATAATAATGCTTCCCGATCGAGAGCGGGCGGAACATTGTGTACAATCAAACTATATCGATAACGGTGTAGTTTTACACAACAAATGTAACCCTTGTTTATGATCAGTTATTTCGAAAGCAAGCTTACATTGTTAGTTTATTCAGCACTGTTATTGTTATTATTATTAGTGACGACCGCACAGTGTCAATAATAACCGCGAAAACAACGTTCTGAAATTTTTATTGAAATAGTTTTTGCAGTAAGGTTCTGAATTTGGGTTGTACCTACTGTACTATACGCACGATTACTGGTTACGATGCCTTACAGTTCAGCTTATTCTATTGTGAAGTAACTTAATGAAAACCAAAAATTCTTGTTTTCTTCAAAGTGCTTTGGCTGACAAAAGCGATCTTCAGAATTGTGATTCCAGTTTTACTACTTTGTTTTTCCCGGTAACCAGGCCCGTGCAATCCCTTTACTCGTGCATGCTGGTCAGCAAATGAACGGGCTTAATTACCGTGCTGCCGATAAAGCGGACGGGAAATTAACATATTCAGCGGACTTCTTTTTAGCCAGTTTTCAAAGAAGAATGTAAAAATCTACTAATATAAATTTAAAGCTGCGGTACAAGATGTTGGCGCTATACGGTACAAAAGTGCTGATTTTTTCTGGGTTTGCCATTTCTTGTGTTCTTCTTTTTGCTAACATCAGACACTTTCAGCCCTGGCAGCATACAGTTTTTGAAATTACTATGGACAATTTCAGTATTATGCATCCTTTGCCAGTTTTTGTTGCTAAAGGCTTTCTAGCACCTGCTGCCAGTGCAGCCCAACAGTCCCGGCGTGTCCGCTTTTTGAAGTGCTTCTTTGTTCGCTGTATGATCACCGAGAACGATCCGTGGAGAAATTATTCGGCTGCTTTTAATGCCAAGTTTCACAATGCATTTCAGTCTTTTTCCGTAAGTGCCTTGCAGATCCTTAACTTGTCACTGGTCAGCATGTGTACTTGTCAATAATATATGTGATTTAAGAGTATCCCAACGGTTGTTGTCATCTTGATCTGGCAGCATTAATCGCAAACACTAATACAGGCCGATCCGATTCTGTATCTCTTTGCGAATTAAATGGTTACGTAACACTTTGTATTGTAAATTTACTTATATATCACAATCATAATTTAATATGATTAGTCAATTTCGCAGCTATTTGAGCGCTTTCATTTGTTGTTCACAATATGGAGCCCATTTCCAAGATCAATTTACAGCCGCACCCTTCGTTTTAATTGTTGTAAACTTCCTGTCATAACTGCGGTGTAGTAATATAAATATATCCGCGAAACAAGGAAAATATTCGCTACCACTGCAATGTGCGTCATTTATCGTAGCACTCATGAGAAAGATATGCAATACCTTTGGCTTTGTTAAAACGAAGCATGTTCTAAAGTGGTTTGGAATGTTTTACTTTGTATTTGCAGGTAGAAGAATTTATGGCAAATTATACAGTAAATTGTCGTCCTGATCGTCCGTTGTATGCCGGCCTCCTCGGGCACTCGGCACGGGGATTTGGCTCCGTAATGAATAACGCACTGGGCGCGTACCAAGTCGCTGTTGCAGCTGGTCGCCGGTTCCAGCTTGTCTCTCACCACTGGGAATACGAATCTCTTGCAACATTCTTCGAAGACTTTGCAATTCACACCGCGTGTCCGTTGTTTGACGAGCTATCCGATCCAGAGGCCGATGCTTTATTAAAAAATCAGGACGCATATAGCGCATCATATACCAAAGGAACAGTGGCCGTTACGGGAAACTTTGATGTGGCTCCGCTGCATCTTACTCAGCGATTCCAAGACTTGCACGATATACTGCAGAAGCTGTACGACACGGATCGTGACGGCTCATTCTTGACGAAATCGTTGCTCACCAAAGCTATGTGGCAGTTGCGATCAGAGCTGCGTGATTTTGTCAAAGTATTATTGTATCCCATTATCACCGCTGGCGGGTTCATTGGTGTGCATATGCGGAGAACCGATAAGATTTCGCTTAAAGAAATGGGCGACATCCCCGTTCAACATTACGCCGATAAGGTCAACAGCATAGCCGAAAATAAGTCGTTGCCGAAAGTGGTGTATATCATGACCGACGAGCGATCAGCCTATGATGAACTGGAAAGGTCACTGGCCAATACTTCGTACAGTATTTATGGTTTTGAATCGTTGATCAAATTACGCAATTTTGAACCGACAGAAATATTTGACCGTCCAATGGAGCAGCTTAACCATAGTGTCTCGTACACGGACAGGGACTACTGGAGCAAACAAACGGGACAGTTAATAGTGGAGCTGACGATACTATCTTTAGCGGATGACGTTGTTTGTACGATGAGTTCGAACCTTTGTCGGTTTCTTGCCCTTTTACGAGGTGCCCGAGAAGGGACAATACATTCCTTAGATTCATGTTGGGGTCCTTTGTGAAAATTTTGTTCGTTAAACGAAATTTCAACCCTATCAAAGACATTCCGCAGTTGGCAAAAGGACGGGGGATTTACTGTTTGCACAATTATTATGAACTAATTTTGACGAACATAAAAAAAATTAAGGAAATAAAATAATTGTTGCTGTATGTGTATAAACTAGCACGCTCTTTCTCTCACAGGCAGGAAAGGGCAGTTACTCGTAATTATGATAATATTACTTAAGTCCGAAATTAAATTAGGAAGCACTGTGTTGTATTAAACGGACGTGGATGCATGCCCAGTGATTTACGTGATTATTACTTAATTAAATCTTTATATACAACGGAAAAAGCAGTACAGAGTAATACGTAACCAGGAAAGTGCACTCGCTTTTTGCGGGCACTGCATGACCGAAGCGTAGCAGGAATATGTGTCTAGATTACAATAGTTTGTGGTAAGCCTCTAATGGTAAGGCAATTTAAGCTATTTTCACAAGAGCAGCATTACCAAATCACCAATGAAATCGGGAAAGGCATTTAACAGAAAATCCGTCTACATACTGCTCTACCAACTGTGTTTTCGCAAGTTTTGTTTAAATGTACTTCTGCTACACCAAGCAGATGTCATGTTGTTTTACGTTAGAAATATTGTCTTCTCTGCTAAACAAACTTTTCTACTCGGGATCAGAGCTTTTTTACGGTTACTCCGAAAGAACAACCCCGTTTTGATTAATTCTGTGATGTTATCACTTTTGTTAGGCAGTAGCAGGAAGGGTCTAAAAGGTCACCCATTATCCCTTACTAAGGGGCAGTCATCTCAGTAATTTTAAATTTTAATTACATGCTGGCCAAGGGGGGGGGTCAGGTTTAGTGGCTCTGCCGGTAGGACTTCTTGTTTGACTAAATGGTCAACCTCTGTCAGTAGCGTTGAGGGGGCAACGTTGCCTTGACATTAAATAAAATCCTGGAAGAGCAAAATTTACTTACGGCGAATTGTTTCTGAACCGACGGATGCTTCTATCGGTTAAGCAAGCGGTATACTTCAACTGCAACTGATGGGAACGCTTTTAGTGGAGGCCCGAACTGACAAATTGAACTGGTCATTTCATCAGTTTGACTGGAGCTCCGCTCCTCCAGTGAAGTATACTACATGCTTTACAAGCGCATTGTCGGCTGTTGGGAGAGCAGATTCAAAATGTTTCCAACGCCTCGTTCACCACAATTTTCTAAGGTCCTAAGTGTACGGGGCTACGGTGCACCCTCGTTTTTCGATCAGATGGGGTGATCGACGAACGGACAACCCGAGTTACTCGAGGCGTGAGTATGTATATACGGCCACCTCGCATTGGGCATCTCTTCCTAATAAAACCGTGCATATGTGTATTTGGTCGCGGTGACGGTGTGACCGACGAACGGACATCGCCAGTTACATGGGGTGTGAGTATATTCGGCCACCGCGCTTGGTGCACCTCCTCCCAGTGCTACTGTGCATATGTGCATTTGGTGGCGGTGACCGACGAACGGACATCGCCAGTTACATGGGGTGTGAGTATATTCGGCCACCGCGCTTGGTGCACCTCCTCCCAATGCTACTGTGCATATGTGCATTTGGTGGCGGTGACCGACGAACGGATATCGTCAGTTATATGGGGTGTGAGTATATACGGCCACCGCGCTTGGTCCACCTCCTCCCAGTGCTACTGTGCATATATGCATTTGGTGGCGTTGACCGACGAACGGACATCGCCAGTTACATGGGGTGTGAGTATATTCGGCCACCGCGCTTGGTGCACCTCCTCCCAGTGCTACTGTGCATATGTGCATTTGGTGGCGGTGACCGACGAACGGACATCGCCAGTTACATGGGGTGTGAGTATATACGGCCACCGCGCTTGGTGCACCTCCTCCCAAAAATACTGTGCATATGTGCATTTGGTGGCGGTGACCGACGAACGGATATCGCCAGTTATATGGGGTGTGAGTATATACGGCCACCGCGCTTGGTGCACCTCCTCCCAGTGCTACTGTGCATATATGCATTTGGTGGCGGTGACCGACGAACGGACATCGCCAGTTACATGGGGTGTGAGTATATTCGGCCACCGCGCTTGGTGCACCTCCTCCCAGTGCTACTGTGCATATGTGCATTTGGTGGCGGTGACCGACGAACGGACATCGCCAGTTACATGGGGTGTGAGTATATTCGGCCACCGCGCTTGGTGCACCTCCTCCCAGTGCTACTGTGCATATGTGCATTTGGTGGCGGTGACCGACGAACGGATATCGCCAGTTATATGGGGTGTGAGTATATACGGCCACCGCGCTTGGTGCACCTCCTCCCAGTGCTACTGTGCATATATGCATTTGGTGGCGTTGACCGACGAACGGACATCGCCAGTTACATGGGGTGTGAGTATATTCGGCCACCGCGCTTTGTGCACCTCCTCCCAGTGCTACTGTGCATATGTGCATTTGGTGGCGGTGACCGACGAACGGACATCGCCAGTTACATGGGGTGTGAGTATATTCGTCCACCGCGCTTGGTGCACCTCCTCCCAGTGCTACTGTGCATATGTGCATTTGGTGGCGGTGACCGACGAACGGACATCGCCAGTTACATGGGGTGTGAGTATATACGGCCACCGCGCTTGGTGCACCTCCTCCCAAAAATACTGTGCATATGTGCATTTGGTGGCGGTGACCGACGAACGGATATCGCCAGTTATATGGGGTGTGAGTATATACGGCCACCGCGCTTGGTGCACCTCCTCCCAGTGCTACTGTGCATATATGCATTTGGTGGCGGTGACCGACGAACGGACATCGCCAGTTACATGGGGTGTGAGTATATTCGGCCACCGCGCTTGGTGCACCTCCTCCCAGTGCTACTGTGCATATGTGCATTTGGTGGCGGTGACCGACGAACGGACATCGCCAGTTACATGGGGTGTGAGTATATTCGGCCACCGCGCTTGGTGCACCTCCTCCCAGTGCTACTGTGCATATGTGCATTTGGTGGCGGTGACCGACGAACGGATATCGCCAGTTATATGGGGTGTGAGTATATACGGCCACCGCGCTTGGTGCACCTCCTCCCAGTGCTACTGTGCATATATGCATTTGGTGGCGTTGACCGACGAACGGACATCGCCAGTTACATGGGGTGTGAGTATATTCGGCCACCGCGCTTGGTGCACCTCCTCCCAGTGCTACTGTGCATATGTGCATTTGGTGGCGGTGACCGACGAACGGACATCGCCAGTTACATGGGGTGTGAGTATATTCGGCCACCGCGCTTGGTGCACCTCCTCCCAACGCTACTGTGCATATGTGCATTTGGTGGCGGTGACCGACGAACGGATATCGCCAGTTATATGGGGTGTGAGTATATACGGCCACCGCGCTTGGTGCACCTCCTCCCAGTGCTACTGTGCATATATGCATTTGGTGGCGTTGACCGACGAACGGACATCGCCAGTTACATGGGGTGTGAGTATATTCGGCCACCGCGCTTGTTGCACCTCCTCCCAGTGCTACTGTGCATATGTGCATTTGGTGGCGGTGACCGACGAACAGACATCGCCAGTTACATGGGGTGTGAGTATATTCGGCCACCGCGCTTGGTGCACCTCCTCCCAGTGCTACTGTGCATATGTGCATTTGGTGGCGGTGACCGACGAACGGACATCGCCAGTTACATGGGGTGTGAGTATATTCGGCCACCGCGCTTGGTGCACCTCCTCCCAGTGCTACTGTGCATATGTGCATTTGGTGGCGGTGACCGACGAACGGACATCGCCAGTTACATGGGGTGTGAGTATATTCGGCCACCGCGCTTGTTGCACCTCCTCCCAGTGCTACTGTGCATATGTGCATTTGGTGGTGGTGACCGACGAACAGACATCGCCAGTTACATGGGGTGTGAGTATATTCGGCCACCGCGCTTGGTGCACCTCCTCCCAGTGCTACTGTGCATATGTGCATTTGGTGGCGGTGACCGACGAACGGACATCGCCAGTTACATGGGGTGTGAGTATATTCGGCCACCGCGCTTGTTGCACCTCCTCCCAGTGCTACTGTGCATATGTGCATTTGGTGGCGGTGACCGACGAACAGACATCGCCAGTTATATGGGGTGTGAGTATATACGGCCACCGCGCTTGGTCCACCTCCTCCCAGTGCTACTGTGCATATATGCATTTGGCGGCGTTGACCGACGAACGGACATCGCCAGTTACATGGGGTGTGAGTATATTCGGCCACCGCGCTTTGTGCACCTCCTCCCAGTGCTACTGTGCATATGTGCATTTGGTGGCGGTGACCGACGAACGGACATCGCCAGTTACATGGGGTGTGAGTATATTCGGCCACCGCGCTTGGTGCACCTCCTCCCAGTGCTACTGTGCATATGTGCATTTGGTGGCGGTGACCGACGAACGGACATCGCCAGTTACATGGGGTGTGAGTATATACGGCCACCGCGCTTGGTGCACCTCCTCCCAACGCTACTGTGCATATGTGCATTTGGTGGCGGTGACCGACGAACGGACATCGCCAGTTACATGGGGTGTGAGTATATTCGGCCACCGCGCTTGGTGCACCTCCTCCCAACGCTACTGTGCATATGTGCATTTGGTGGCGGTGACCGACGAACGGATATCGCCAGTTATATGGGGTGTGAGTATATTCGGCCACCGCGCTTGTTGCACCTCCTCCCAGTGCTACTGTGCATATGTGCATTTGGTGGTGGTGACCGACGAACAGACATCGCCAGTTACATGGGGTGTGAGTATATTCGGCCACCGCGCTTGTTGCACCTCCTCCCAGTGCTACTGTGCATATGTGCATTTGGTGGTGGTGACCGACGAACAGACATCGCCAGTTACATGGGGTGTGAGTATATTCGGCCACCGCGCTTGGTGCACCTCCTCCCAGTGCTACTGTGCATATGTGCATTTGGTGGCGGTGACCGACGAACGGACATCGCCAGTTACATGGGGTGTGAGTATATTCGGCCACCGCGCTTGTTGCACCTCCTCCCAGTGCTACTGTGCATATGTGCATTTGGTGGCGGTGACCGACGAACGGACATCGCCAGTTACATGGGGTGTGAGTATATTCGGCCACCGCGCTTGTTGCACCTCCTCCCAGTGCTGCTGTGCATATGTGCATTTGGTGGCGGTGACTGACGAACAGACATCGCCAGTTACATGGGGTGTGAGTATATTCGGCCACCGCGCTTGTTGCACCTCCTCCCAGTGCTACTGTGCATATGTGCATTTGGTGGCGGTGACCGACGAACGGACATCGCCAGTTACATGGGGTGTGAGTATATACGGCCACCGCGCTTGGTGCACCTCCTCCCAGTGGTACTGTGCATATGTGCATTTGGTGGCGGTGACCGACGAACGGACATCACGCTTCCCATTTATTCTGAACATAGAGGACCTTCGCTACGCTTCGGTCGACAAAAGTACTGCACGATACATGTAATTTTGTACGGTGCAGCTTGCTTTAATCTTCACCTTTCCAGTGAGGAAGAAAATAGTCTTCTGAAACAACCATTTTCTGAAAATTACTTCCCGGCTTTGGCCAGTTTTTAAAATAAAAAACCTCTTTGGCCTGGCTCAAGTAGGAACCCCACCACCCGTAACTGCCCACACTCATAATCATTACATCCATAAAAGTCATAACCGCCATATCTACTTCCGCTGGTTTCTGACTAATAAACACAAAATTCTTCTCGCGAAAGAGTTTCCGACAATATCCTATGTCGTTGCTTAAAACGAAAAACACAACGTTCTTGTATTTAGTTTGAATGTGCAGGGCACTTCGTAATAAATATTCTTCAGATGCGGCAACATGGCCGTGTCTCTTCTGGTTTTCGTCCTGTACAATGTCTCCACGGCGTATGTGTATACCCGCTCGAACTGGTGAATTCGAGGCAGAAAACAGACCGAGAGCATACAGTGGTGATATTCCTTGCAAAATGGCAGCGATAGCTTCCTCCTGTATGGATTCTCTGAAGGTGTACATTGCCCGGATCTCGTTAGACGCATGATCAAAATATTTCCAGGACTGCCCGTAACCCGTGATGGCTACACTGTCGTTTGGGAAATATGTGTTCAGTTGGTGGAATTTGGGTGTAAACATGCCGGCACCGTTCTCACCTGTGGAATAACCTTATTTTTTTATCTGCTTATTACCGGTATACCGGTACACGGTAATGATTTTAAAAAGTATAGTTACCAACGGTTTTTGCATCAATTGTATTGAAGGGAAAGAGCGCAGTTTGTGCAATAAAACTCAGGTTCATCCCTTCAAAGTAACCCATTTTCGGTTCGTACGTGAAGAGAACTGGAATTCGGTTGTTCTTTGCGGCACAGCCAACCAGTGTTGCGAACTCGAACATGAAGTTTCCTAATCCGCCTTGTGGTGGCCGGTAGGTCAGGAAACGGCCACTCTGCCGGCTGCTGTTGAAATCCTGGTAAGCATCTTGGAACTTCTTTTGTTGCTGAATTCTGTATTGTCTGGCTGCTGCTAAGCGAGAAGACATTATTGTGCGCAGTTGCTCCCGCAGTTGCTTGACATCGTCGTGAAGGTTCACAAGACGGTCTGCGAAGGCATTGAAATGTGGAGAAACCGGCGTCATTGAAACCGGTATCACTGAAATCACCGTCACTGAAACTGGTGTCATTGTTGTTGTTGGTTGTGAAAACTGCGCTTCCTTACTGGCACTAATATTAAGCGCCGTATCGGTGACCTAAAATACGAGTACATACAGATGGATCGTTGCCAAAATAATTATATTTCCCTACGGGTACGGAAACATACAGTTAAATGAACGCCCTTAATACTAATATTGTAAACTATTATTACGGTATCTACACTTTACGTACAGTAAAAAGTTTGCGACCACCAAATACTGCTCAAATAAAAATATCTAAAGACAAAACTATACAAAAATTTTCTGCGCAGGCGGGCCTGTGGCCTATGAAGTAGTATACGTATGTATGCACTAAAAACTAGTAATAATGAACTATGGACATACAAATTGCGTATAAATTTAAATTAAACGCGGGCTAATACCTGATCGTAACCATTTTCCACAGCAGCAGAATGCATTCGGATGTAATATATGTCGCCATTTATCGTCAGATAGGTAATGAAAATTAAAGCCGAGAAAATTGGTGCGAGCCATCCAATTAATGTGCGCTCCATTACTTATACTTACAACACTGTAGCACTGACAAAAGTCAGGCTTAAAAAATTAATCATTTATAGCATTAAAAAAGCGACCAAAATAAAACCTTAACGTTATCAGATTCATCACTTTGATGGTAACAAGCAAGGAAAACACGGAATCCGATGCGTTTCCTGGATAAATTGCGGTGATTATATCATTGCCGCACCACCGATATGTAAATTCAACGGCTACTTCTTGTGCGTATGCGGTCGGAACAAAAAGCAGGCCACTGCTAAACAATATTTTCACGCTATTTACATCCTGACGAGCTTGAACTTTGGACATAAATATTGTCCTTTACGTACGTAACAACACAAACGTCGTATATAAAATCGGCGCCTACCGAACAGTTAAATGAATCGCTGCACACAAACAGCACCGGAAGTCTTCAAAATTTTTCGAGTTTATTGCTGGGATGAGGAATAAAATTAATAATAAGAGAGTCTCTGTTTACGTCAGTTATTACTCATGCAACGAGTTTTATCAAACAAGATGGTCAGCGTGATAGAATAAATTATATAAATTACTCCTGGAAGTAAAAAGATATAAAAAAACGAACCATCCATTCACGCAACCTAAATTACATAATACAAGTGTACCAGGAGCGTTTACGTATAATAATGAAATTTTAATATGTATGCTTGGAAATTTTAGTGCATGCATTTGTATGCTTGTTGTACCAAGAGTTGGGATTATATAATGAATTGCCGTACCAGATTCAACTTCCCAAACTGCAATTATGTGAGAGGGTTAAAGGTTTTATTTTAGACTTATAGCAGGGGAAAGCAGTTCCAAATTTATCTAATAATAAATTCAAGTTAATGTTATTAACTTTCATGTATTTATTCATCAGAAAGCGCGCATAGCGAGCTAAATTGCTAAATAAATGTTTTTTATAGCAGTAGCCTCCCGAATGAAATAGGTAACTGCAAGCGCAGATCACCACTTAATTACTAGCATAGAAGGTCGTAACCGCCCTTAGGGCGAGCGGGCGGCGGTGTTAAGCTTTTCATGTAGAAAGTAGAGGTCTTATTTTTGACGAGAGACGAGTTACGAATACGATAACGCAATATAATAATAACGCAATAAAATTAAAATGATAACGCAATATCAACCCAACCGATCTTACTCAACGACAGAGAATGAGCTGATAATTTTAATGTGGCATAACTAAATAGAATGTGCATACGCTACGATCTACGCGAAGCGAGTACACGATTGCATTCCGACGATATATTTTAATAGTAACTCCGAAACTGCCATACTCAGAATTAGAACGAACTGATGCTAAAAATACTGCAACCCTCGGACTTATATAGGCGCGAAACGCATCCGGTTAGCAAAGCCAAAAGTATTACCTCAAGCAAAAGAGAAATGCCAGAAAGTACAAATTAATATAGCCGTAAAGTACGAGCACCTCAGTACAGATATTATAGAAGTACGTACATTGCTGCTACCGTACAACATATTCCGTCATGTTAGAAAGGTAGAAACTTGCAATATCAAAGCTGCATATTCGTAACTTACAATCGTATGTGTTTGGCATTTTAATACGTTAAGTTATATATTTGTTTAGCTTTAAATTTTTGCCTTTCTGAATAAGCAGTTAAGCTGGAAACGGGTATTGTCACCCCTTTCACCCCCTTCGGCCACTGTCGCTCCGTTTTCAAAAACTTAGGGCACTACCCTAAGCTACTGTCACCTTTTTGATCATAGCAATTCTTCGGCCACTCCTCTTGATCAGTTGACCATTTAGCCCAAAGTAACATTGACGGAAAAGGAAAAAAAGGCCGGTATGAATTTAAATATAGCTCACAAAAGTTGCAGTTGCAACAAAACTATTGAATCAGGAAGGTTTTTCAGGCGTCGGTCCAAAAAAGGATTTGTAAAGCTCTTCTTGTCCCCTTTGCGAAATATACTTACTTTTGTGCAATCCCATTTATTCCGTTTACTGGGTAAACACCTTCGTCAGAATTTAGCAATTAGGTTGTGTTCGCAATCACAAAAACGCTTACGATATACGGTATGATATACGATAGGCTCTTGCACGTCTTCATGGCGAACCCTTATCGGACCGTCTGACGATACGACTGACGATAGAAAGCATAGATATCGTCAAGCTTACCCTACAGCTCTGCGAAATAGCAACCGCTCTCGTGGAGAATGCATCGATTAGAACGGCAGCAGTTACCAAATAACGAAACTTTTGAGGTATCAGAATAAGTTCGAATGGTTGTTGATTAGCAAGCGAAGTAAATCAGAATAAGTTTTTTGATACCAAGTGAGGAGAGTTTGTCCTAAAACAAACGGTTTTGCAACTATTTAAATTTAACATGCAAAGCTCACGGCGTCGTTGACGTACTCAGTGCGAACTTTTTACTCGAACTCCGTAGACGCCTGTTTTAACTCAAATGTTCATAACAACGCTCATTGGCGCTCAAATCTAGCAGCTTTGTTGTCAAAAAATAATTTATAATTTTAATTTTCATCGGCTTCGCAGCTAGAACCAATTTCGCACAAACAAAAGCGCCAAGGCTGATTGAAACATTTCACGTTTCATTTCAGAGGCAACTCTCGACCATATAGCGTTTATCGTTTGTCGGTTGTGATGAGAGCGAACACAATAAATCACCGGCGATATGATTACGGTGCGGCGTTCGATCGTGTCGTACAACGGACCGTCTATCGTTGGTGTGTCGCGAACACAACCTACTACATCAAGTTAACCGACTGCTCACCCCAAAGCAGCAACATGAGACAAATTATTATACATGGCTGAGTTACAATTTGCAGTCTGAAAAAGGGTATCTTAAGTTCTTGTTTTTTTCAAAATCCACCCAGTTTATCAAACAACAGATAAAAACGTTCAACATTTCTTTAGCCGTCCGGCATGTTGCTTATTCTGTGAGGATCATTGCCTTGTATCACTCGTGCAGTTTACCTTCTAAAGCAAAAAATCTGTTTCATAATTTTAGTACAACAGCAGCCAGAGGTGATCAAGTTGTAAAGCAGTAAATAAAGTAAGCAGAATACAATAAAGTATGTAGTATACATTCAGTGGAATAAACAAATGCGATGAGAACAAGTCTTTGCAAGAAACGTTTCGAAACAAACCTTTTCGTCCAAGCCAGACATTCAAGAAAACACTGGATGATAAAATTAAACAGGTCACTTGATTTTTAAACTGAAATAAGCAGCTCCTTGAACCTCCGCAACAAACAAATTACAAATTTTACTTTTACTTTCTACTAATATTAACATAAACGAAGTGTGCAACTTTGATACGCATTTCACTTCAAATAAAGGATGTAAAGTACAGTGAATTTAATTACTAAATAAGCAGTAGAATATAACGCAGGTATGTACAACTGAATTGCGCAAATTATTTCTTCGTTTGTTGCCGCTGTGATAGAAAGCAAACTCACTCACGAAACGGGAGCGTTAGACATTCAAAATCCGCTTATAATTTAACTAACCTTTTAAACCACTGAACAGTGGCTCTACATAAAGTCTGCTTTAAATCAAGCTTAAACTCGATATGTAGAACGCTAGCGTGCAACTCAAAGTTGTAGCGAAATCTGTGTTTGCGTTCGAGCAAAAGATATTCCACCGAAACGTATCAATAAAATTTCTTACTGAAATCAGGGAATCAGTGACCTTGGGGTACATATAGGCCTAAGGCTATAACACAGGGAGCTTATTTTGGGAAGGGCGCAATCTCGGAAGGTGTCATTGTTTCTTGAACGATATGTTTTGGGAGGGACACCGTAGTTTATAAGACTGCGCATTCTGTTCTAGCAAACGCGAACATAATAGTTGCCGGAACATGCAACCGCCTAATCGTGCCAGCAATATTGTCAGCATATATTTAGTTACGTAGAAATTCTGCAAAAGAATGTTCTTTGTTTGCTCACAACTGCAACAACTTTTATGAGGCAATTTGCAGCATTCTTATCATCCTGCAGGGCTTTATATTTATAAATGGCTCTTTAGGGCGTAATTTCGAGAGGAGGTGTTATTATTCAAACAGGCTTGGTGAGGTGCGCTTGATGCAGTGGGACTTATTTCCGGGAGCCAAAAAATGCGATAATTAATGTATTTATATGGAAGGTTTTCTTCTTGTAATGTTTTAACCATCTATTTTACAGTTATAAGTTTAATGAAGGGTATCAGGTAATTTACACGCTATCCACCAACCAGTGAAAGCAGGATGTTGCGCAAGAAATATGCTTTCCGTAAGCGTTCTATGACCTGTCATTGTAACCGTAAATTTTTGACGAGAGAAAACGTTACGCTTACGGTAATTTGCTTAGCACAGCGGTAAAACATTGCATAACAGTATCGTATCCTTTTATGGTTTCTTGAGATCACCGCTATAGTAGCAAATTACAACACACTAAACCGATTGCTGCTAGGACATTATTCTTTTAACGTTTCCGAATGCCTGCTAACGTAATGGGCTGGTACGGGAACTGCAGTTTTTAATGGGATAAGTCTGCAGATTTTGGCAGAAACGATATGTGGGTAGGCGTGTCGTTAGTGCGAATCCATTACGGTAACCCTAGACTTCCATGGTAGCGGTGACTGAGACCGTGGTTCATTATGCTGAGGAAGCCCGTAACAGTTACCATCGCTCGTTACAGCAACTAAAGCCAGTCACGAAAATAACAAAAATCAATCTGCCGCACTACAGATCGGTGCGATAGCTGTTATTCCCACGGTAATTTCGAATTATTACGTTAAAGTACGCAAATTTTGAGTTTGATTTTGTCCAGTTTGCCCCCAGTTATATGCGTGCTATCTTATTGTGTGCGTGAGGCGGCTTTGTACCGTTGCAGAAGGCATTAAATTCATTATTATCAAGCAACAAATGTCCCTGTAACGCAAATCCGTAACCTTAGTTAAGGCTCAATTTATTAGTGGTGGCCCATTACAACAAACCGCTGTGTTAACTACAACCAATTAAAGTAACGTCAGCCAGCTGCATTCGCGATAACCTCTTGCAGTTCGGGTGAGCCGAAGTAAAGCAGTCACGATTTTTGCTTTCATTGTTATAGCTAACAGTCACAATAACGCAAACTTAAGCCAGTTAAGGCAAAAAGCAGTGAAACACGGATAAATGCATTAAATGCAATAACTGCAGCTTTGTACGCTCACGTTATCTGTTGAGGTAACGTGATATCCCTCATGGTAAATAAATTGTAGCTTAATAGTTGTAGCACCGCCATTGTGTCACAGTACCCGCGGCTCGTTACGACAACATTGCGCCGTTACGCCTTAACGTGACATTATGGTCTTTAGTCGCCTGCATTAGGAGAAACGTCATGTTAAACGTTATCTCATAATATGCTAAAAAGAGCCCATCTTATTCAGAGATGACGCATAACGCTGATTACTGCAACACTAACGTGCACACCAAAAATCAAGAGGTATAGTTTGCTGTGTAAGCACGTAAGGTTGAGAAATTTAAGCTCGTAGAATCGCGGTTGTGTGGTTTCAGGAACTGTGAAGTCACTAAAGGTCACTCGGCGACCCAAAGGTCAGGGTCGCCGTGTCTTAGAACCGCAGTTTCGGGGTGTCGGGAACCTAAAGGTCACAAAGGTCACAGATGGTCACACGGCGACCCAAAGGTCAGGGTCGCCGTGTCTTAGAACCGCAGTTTCGGGGTCTCGGGAACCTAAAGGTCACAAAAGGTCACACGGCAACCCAAAGGTCAGGGTCGCCGTGTCTTAGAACCGCAGTTTCGGGGTCTCGGGAACCTAAAGGTCACAAAGGTCACTAAAGGTCACACGGCGACCCAAAGGTCAGGGTCGCCGTGTCTTAGAACCGCAGTTTCGGGGTGTGAGGAACCTGAAGGTCAAGGTCGCCGTGTCTTAAAACCTCAAAGTGCTTATATTGAAAAAAACGCGGGCTCGCTTCGCTCGCCCGCTCGATTAGGAGTAAATAGTATTATTTAACAAAAGTTTTTGCAGATAAAGCTGCAGTTCTCAAGCCAGAAAGGTTTAGGAACATTGACTGCCATCAAATTACACAGTTTTAGATTCAAAAATTCCTCGTACTAAGTACTTTTAGTCGTGATCATGCCTGTTTGTCGCGGTTATACTCGTACGTTGATAGAGTGAAAACAACTGGTTACAGTCAAAAAAGTAACAACATGCAAGCCATATCTGATTGCTTTGTATTGTAAAATGTTGCAAGTGGACCATCGACAGATCGGCCTTGAAAAGCTTCCCAAAACCACATGTACAGAGGGTTATTCAGCCAAGTGTGGACACTTTTTGGGAAATTTCTCCTTAGCCGTCGCACGCTCATTTTACTTTTTTAAAAATTTTATCAGGTAGCCACAACATCCAGTCATACTTTAAATTCAATCGAGTCACGATTTTCTCATCCTGTAGCTCAGGAAAAAATTAAGTTTGTCCCCCCCATGTTGGCAACAGTTGACCAGTTCAGCCATAGGAAATGGATTCCCTTTATTTAAAATTCATCTAAAATTTGGATTTTCGCCATAACCCGTTGAAAACCTGTCGGGGGTTTCGAGCAATCCTTTTTCTGAAGGAATTACTAGTTTTAGAGGATTGGGAAGCTGCATCCTTGTTTACTCAGCAGTGCTCCCGGGAGCACGTCTCGGGTTCTGGATGACTTCTTCTTCCCTGCCAGGCTTGATCCGTGGAGCGTCTTTCTCGACCAATGAACATTGTAAACGGTAGAGAAAGACCTGTTTTACAACTTTAGTTTATGGAGGGACGGAAAGGATAGCTATAGTTCCGTGCATAAGAGTTCGCGCAATGGGCATGGCTCCTGCGGGTCTCTTCCTGTTTTCGCGTTTTTTCCAACCGTCCTACCGCAAGAACGCGCAAGAATATGAAATCGTTCTTGCTATAAAAAATATTCGGATCGTCGTTTTTCGCAATTAAAACCATGCAGATTGGAAAAATTGACGATCCTTTTAAGGCCAGGTGACCGAAAGCCAAATTTTGACTGGTCAAGGGTTAGTAGTCTGAGACTTTTGGTTAACAGACAATATCGCGAGCATTTTTCGCTGGATTTTCACCAAAATTTGCAAAAAGCATTCAGATTAGTTAGTCGTCATATTGAGATGCTTATGGCATCATTTCTCTTAAAATGAAATTTCTAAGGAATTTTTTTTCGAAGTGTCCACACTTGGCTGAATAACCCTCTGTACTTGCACAATGGTGAATGTCGTCAATGTTTTCAGAAACTGATTCCGTACGTGCTTGCTTAAAGGAACTTGCTAAATTTTAACTACTATTAAAAGTTTGGAGACGATGCAAAATTCACTTTTGCTATCTCGTATATTGTATACAGTGCGTTCGCGCATTTTTAAGAGCAGTCAAAAATTACGATTCTTTTATTGTAATATTTTGCATACTCGTATAGATATAACGGATTACCTTTGCATACGTAATTCAAGGTGCGACTGCTTTAAAATACGTAGTAGCGATGTGGTTTCGTTATGGGTGGGCGTATACTTGTCATATGGACAATGCATTCAGCACTCACCAGTACTTACTTGTTGTATTTCTGTATTACGATAAATGATTATTATGCTTCAACGTGCAATGCGCCGCATGAAGAATTTTGGGTGTGATAATGGGACATCTGTTGCTTTAAAGAGAACTCCAAAGCAATGCAGTTGAGTCAAGCGATTAATTTTTTGATATCTAAGAATTCTTCAGTTTATGTTTTATGTCCTAGTGTGCCGTGAAAGCTTATTGATTTACAGTCAAAAGGTCGACTAGGGGACGGCTGCGTCAACCACATTCCAAACAAGGCATATGACATAAGCAGTTATACTCTGTCACTTCCTGTTATTCTACTGCCATTTACCACCGTCATTACGGAAGTCCGACCCAGCCCGAGTTAACCATGCCCTCAGATAAGGAGGCTTTCCGGCCGTCACCAGCCAGTCTGTTCTTTTGCAGCAGTCTTGCATTCGAGCTATAGGTACTCGTACCACAGTTGCGGTTGCGGCCACGTTGTTTAAGACGCTCATGGTTAAAATACGCTGGTGATGCTTGGTTGTTTACCATCGGCACGAGCACGGTACCGTGGCCCGAGTATATGTACACCGTAGACATATGACCTGGACACATATAGTACAGGTCACCTTTCCCATAGGGTGCACTGCGTAGCACGCAAGGACTCAGTTCGTTGGCAATATTCACTGCAGTATATCTTTTTTACTTTAATATCTTTTTTCCTTTTTGCAGTATTGCAGTATATTTTTGTTATTAATGTTGTAAAACGAGTTTGAAACCCACACCTCTAGAATGGTGTTCTGGCACTTGATTTTATTCGTCAGCCAGATCGTATAAGTGCATAAAAAAGCTCACGTAAACATGTACAATTTGGAAAACAAAAAATACCACCGTTCTGATCGAATAACCAAATACGTGTACAGCACTCACAAGCTTGTAAACGATCTGTCAGTATTCTTTTGCTCTTGAATATAAAACTGAAGTGCCGTTTGCCTGCTTAAAACTACATGCGCGCCAAAAGAAATTACTGCAACCGCTGTATTGAAAGCGCCCAAGAGAATTTCCCGGTTTTTCTCAAAAGTCTGATAAGTCTCTGATGGCTTTGGTGCTGTTCCCAGTTGAGCTCTGAAAATGGCAAAGACACCGTCGGCAATACCGCCCACTGCCAGTAACAGGGAAATGATTTTGATGATTAGTAGTCGAATTAAATTGCGCTTCAAGGTTAGGTTAGCCATTGGACAAAATGACTGGTTATGGAGAACTGGTGACAACACATAGCTTATGACGACTACGGTCAATGTCATCAGCCACTCCCACACAACCAAGGCTGCTCCAATATAAGTAGGCCCTGTAAACAAATACTGTAGATCGATTTGCGTGTGTTTGCATTCGCTTTAAAGATCAAGCTAATAACAAGAAACATAAAATAAAGAACAGACAGAAAATGCTATAACATTTGTTGCGCTGTAACCGCTTCCATTAATTGATACTCGTACCGATGGCTCGCCAAACAACGGATCCGAATATGGCCACGGTGAAATGCGTGGCAAGCATAACCCATAACAAAATATTCAGTGCCTTTGTATCTACCGGTACCAGTTCAAAAACAAATGATTTTGACCGACGGCGACTATCTGTACTGGCTGCGGGCTCCGGAATATCGAATGATTCGGGCGGTGCCTCTTCAATGTCAATATTGTCGGGATCTGCTGGATCAGCTGTTATGCTGATTTCCCGATTGAACAAGACCCTTCTCTCACGCTGACCGTAACTGGCTCCGGGAAATGACCTTTTGGAGAGATTCGATGGGCGATCTTTCGAAATGATTGGCACTACAGGAACACTTGGTGATCTGGTCAATGTACGAGAGTTGGACATGCTTGCACTGTCAGGCACAAACACGACAGGCGATACAATCGCAGAGGCTAACAGAGTTTCTGTATTCTAAAAGAGTTGTTAACTTGATACCAAGTTTCTCTGTAGTGTCAACCATAGACTGGGTTCGGTTTTCATAAGTTTCAAGATTATCTTCATGCTAAGATTACTGTTAAACCTTAAGTCAAAAATTGTTTACGCTGAGCATTCTCTAGCTATGACATAACGCCACTTATCATAAAATTATGACAGAGGTCTTTCAGAGTTTCTACCGCATGTGTTTCCTCGAACGCTTTGCGAATTGCTCGTCTCCTGTATACGATCCCGTGAGCTTATTTGTATTTCTTGTACTGTGAGTCTCTCCATCGATTTCAAAACACGTGCTTATATTAAACACCACGCGGAGCTCACTCTAAGAAGATCAAAAACGACAGCGCACTCCACTGTGATCATGCCTGCAAATACATGTGTTAAATGAGGAGCCTTGACCTTTCTAGCATAAACTAGTTAATGCACGTATGTATTTTACCTATATTGCACGCAAGTCGAAGCGTTTTTTCTTTAAACACTGGAAATGATCTAGAAGCAAAAACTTTGCATTTACAGAAAAAATGCCACTGGCTACCTCAGAAGCCGAAAAATGCGATCGTGCTGTACAGCCCAAACCGATCATCAAAGTTGTGGACTTTGATGAAAGAACGATAAAATCGACATCCTTCAACGAGGAAACATGCGTTCTGGTCGGGCCAACAAATTCACTTGTTCCACCGCGACCTGTGCGATATCCTGCGTGCAGGAAAATGCCCAGCCGTGTGGTTGTTCTGGATGAAGCATCGGTACAACGAAAAGCGGATTTCGAGACGCTCTTGTTGAACTTGATGCAGGGTCATTTTGCGTTAGCGCTTTTGGGCTCTATACTCTGGTGCATTTTTGGTAAGAAGTAACATCCATTACAAAGCATTTTTAAATTTGCAATTTTAGTTGTTCATTTTTATTTAAATGTGGTTAATCCATTGCGTTTTCCTAGGCGCATTCATTCCGATTGTAGCCATCAAAACATCCGCATCGTCATCACGTAGCCAATGGCTATACTGGTTGGTATCCGCTGCAGCCTACGTGGCCGTGGCACTGGTAGTGTGGCAGTGGATCTGCATGTTTGTCATTGGTTATTCTCGTTTCCGCTTCAGCAGAATAACAAAGAAACTGCTTCATCTAACCGGGAAAATCTCCTCGGCGGATATCAAGTATCTAAGAATCTTCAACTCCATGGCGACTGGAGTGTTTCTCCTTGCGCTCGGCACATCTTTCGAAGGAATGTTCAGTATCATTCGCATACACTCGGTGGAGTTCCAGACGGAAGAGAAGTCCAGCATGTTTCGTGTGGTATACATTTTCTGCACAACGAAAGTTGTCTATGGCCTTTTTGTAGCCGTAATCAATGCGCATGTGTTTTCCAAACAGATCACATACTTTCTACGGCGCCGTGAGTTAGCTGTCGCTCTGTCGCAACTGGCGTATAAACATTAGAACAAGGATGCGCATTCTGCTTGCCCAAAAATAGTGCAAGTAAATAAGCATCCGCGTGCCTTTTTTTAGGGATTTCGTGTTCGATTGATTTAAAGCAGCAGTGTCGTAATGTACGTAATTCCCTGACAGCCATACGGTTACTACTATTAACGGCTGTTCCTGCTTCCTAATAGCTTCTTGGATGTCTGATGTTTGCTAGATTGTCAAGCTGCGGTAATATTACATTGTACAATATTTTTAAACGCGGCATATGATTTGGCGGCACATCGAACAGTTATGATCCCGAAAGATACAGAACGAGCATGCACTTCCGTGGTTGTGACATCTGACAATAAACTACACTCCAACCCTGGTGGGCCATTCCGGTCGTCGTGGGCACTCTCCCTTGAGCAAGTCTCCGCTGAGAAGGCCCAGGCGTTCCAAAATCTGTTGCTACAAATAGCCATTGGCAACGCAGTCCTGTGGTTTTTCGGAGCCACTCTTCTCATTACTGTCGGTACGGTAAAATTAAGCTACAACTGCTTATGCAGCTGCACATTGCACAACGCATAAGCATTACTTACTGTATTTAGGGCGTACATGAATGCTGTATTTGCCAAATGTTTAATGATTCACCTGTGCAGGTTTCGAGCATGTGGAACTAGCGTTGGTTGGATGGGTTTCGCTGATTTGCTGCCTCACTTTCGTGGTCCGTAGCCGCAGTCAGACAACCAGGCAAGAGATATTGACCGTCACGCGCACGCATCACATCTTGTACACGGATGTTTTTGCGCTGAAACTATTGGCCGGAATGGTCATCACATCCGCCATGCTCGCACTGGCAACACTGTCGGTGAGGATAGCCGTCTTCACACAAACATTCTAGCAGCAATACGGACTGAGGCCCATAGACTCGTATGTTAAAATTTCCCGTAGACTTTGTATAGGACTGTTTGCCATAGACTGTATGTTATAACGATCCCGTAGACTTAGTGTAGGACTGTTTGCCATAGACTTGTGTGCAGGACTGCCTGCCATAGAAATCTATGGTTAAGGAAAAACGGAACCACTGCTGGGCGGGTGGCAGTTATATTTGACTTCCACCGTAAATACTCAAATTTAAAATTGCAATATGCAAAGTATGCGATGAGCTCGCCACTTGCGATTTTGTGTTGGTTCTCGGATTTTGGCTAGTGTGACAGTTTTGTTTGCTGATTTCTGTTCTTTGCCAGTCTGTTTCTGACCTCACGATATCAGCTGCAGTAGTTTTTGTGGAAACTGATTGTGTGTTTCCATTAGTTGTGCAGCTCGAAGCATTCTCCCATTTGGATACTCAGACGCAGACGGGATTACGCAGTTTCTGTCGTGAAACCTCATCGTGGAATCACCCGTGTTGACGGCCTGCATCGTTGTTTGTTTGTGCAGCAATATTGTTTGCTTTTAGGCAAATATTTCGCTGCCACCACCGTATTTTATCTGTGCTGTTGTTTTGCAGCATCGTTGTGATCGGTGCAGACGGTTAACTGCGCGGTCTCTCCTTCACACACGTTCCTCATCCTTCCCGAATTTCTCCTCGTCTTCCAAAAGCCACTCAACGAAAGGTAAGCCGCCTTGCTATGCATGTGGTTTGTGTTTAATTGTTTTTAACACTGATGGATTTGTGGCAAGTGCAAGTGGAGTGCTGTTGTTGCTTTTCGTATCTTTATCTTGTCTCATATTTAATATGTGTTCTCATGTTCTCTCATGTTTTCTTATTTTCTCTCATGTTTTCTTATTTTCTCTCATGTTTTCTTATGCTTTCTCATGTTATTTATGGTTTTGTTTTGCAGAAATGTTGACAGTCGAGGTAGCTGTTCCTTTCAAGAACTCCACCGTCACAATCGGGGTTGAAGGTTCCTACACGGTAATTCGTGAACCGAAACAATTCAATTTATTGTTTGACGCTGGTTTTCACGGTGTTGTGGCTTTTGTAGTTGGAGCAAATTCGGAACATGATCTCTGCAAAAATCCGTGCTCCTGTTGAGTCGATCGAGATTGGCGGTGAGAAAAAATCAAAAGTCAAAGTCGTACAAAGTAGTGTTAATTCTTTACATTTCTTGTAGGTGTAACACACTATAGGAACTGGACGACGACGAGGCTCAATAAGACTCAGTTTGCGCCGGGCATGGTCTTAATTGCCTTTGAGACGCCCTCTGGACGCCATAGCCCAACACATTTCTCTCCGGCGCCAGTCAGTCCTGCGCCATCGGCCTCCGTCTCGGCCCCTGCTCGGGTCTATCAGCTGGTCCATCCGTACCGCTCACCGTCACACGCCAGATCTTCGGCAGGGTCCATCCCGTTGGCACGCTCGCTTTTACCAGGAGCCCGAGCCACGTCCCGAGCCGTGTCTAACGCTGGTTCCACGGGGAGCCGGCCGAGCCGCCCTGCAAGCGTTATGGAGCCTCCGCCAGCACCGGCCCCGTCACGCAGCCGTTCACCGGCAGAGTCCGTAGCTAGCCGTACACGCAGCGCTCGTGGTGCCTCAGATGCCAATCGGTAAATAAGACATTTCTTCCGTTTTGTAGATGGCCCTACTTAATAACAAGTTGTTCTGTAGGTCCGCACCGGCGGCAAAGCCTGGAAAGCAGCTGATTTCACTGCGGAACAACACCGGCTCTTCTCGGACTCCCGTCACGGCACAGCCTGGTGCATCAGCGGCGTCGGCTGTGGGATCTGCTCGCGCTCTCGACGGTGATTATCCCGTCGACGTTATCCGGACCATTGTGGTCGAAAACAAACGTCTGCCGGTAGTCACGTTTACGGATTGCCTGATGGACTGGCCGGATATAAACACCGAAGAGGTGTTCTTCGAGGAGTCGACTGCCAAACTCGAAGACCTGGTCGATCTGCGTCGAGAAGGGACGGGATATGCTAAGGTAGTTTCCAGTGAACAATCAGCATGTACCCTATTTTAAACCCCCTCGGACGTGTCTGTGGCCAAGTCCACGGACCCGTCTCTGAATACCCCCTCACAAAACCCCTCGGACGTGTCTGCGGCCAAGTCAACGGACCCGTTTCTGAATACCCCCTCATAAACCCCCTCGGACGTGTCTGTGGCCAAGTCCACGGACCCGTCTCTGAATACCCCCTCACAAACCCCCTCGGACGTGTCTGTGGCCAAGTCCACGGACCCGTCTCTAAATACCCCCTCACAAACCCCCTCGGACGTGTCTGTGGCCAAGTCCACGGACCCGTCTCTAAATACCCCCTCATAAACCCCCTCGGACGTGTCTGTGGCCAAGTCCACGGAACCGTCCTGAATACCCCCTCATAAACCCCCTCGGACGTGTCTGTGGCCAAGTCCAATTCCTAACTAACTCTTTTTTGCAGATTGCCGAAGATACCGAGGCACGGAAAAGAGCGCATCAAGGCACAAAGTTCTTCCAGTGCCCGTTTTGCCTCCAGCTTCAAGGAACTCCGGGTCACCCGGACAACATGGTCCGACATGTGTTCGGAACGCAAGGACAATTTCCCTGCAAAGACTTCTGCAATGGTCCGTTCCGTTCGGACTATCTTCTCGGCAGAATTGCGTTGGAAGCACTGGAAGTGCCGTTCCCTTATGTCTACAAAGATGAAGACAATAACATCATCGACCGACAGTTTCGCGAGTGGCCGGAATCCACAGCAGACATTGTCTTGCGAATCCGGCCTGAAGATGAAGCCGATGCCGAGCGGGCGCGCCGGGACAACAATGTGGTTACGGATGATGAGGACGAGTCGGACGACGATGGCGGAGCGGACGAGATGGACCCAGCGGCCGGAGCGGACGAAGCGGACGCGGAGGAGAAATCGGATGGTGGCGTAGGACGGTCGGGAGGCCAGGGACGAGGCCCGCGCGGTGGACGACGAGGCCCGCGCGGTGGACGACGAGGGAGGGGCGGTCGTAATGCTCCACGTGCTCGACCTCAACGGAAGTGAAGAGCAGTTGGTTGCGTATTCGTGCAACAACTCTAGCCATGACTTTTTGTATATTCTTTTGTTTTGGTTCATCCCGTGTTTAAGGGAATGGTTATCACTGTATTACTTCTTTTTTGTAAAACATGTTATCGTTGTACAGTGTGACAAATGAACGGTCTGTTTTGTTTTCAAACCGAAGAAACTGCAACGTGCGAAACAATCACGGGTCGAACGGTTGTTATGGTTTTCAGTTCAACTGTAAAATTTGTACGTAAAATATCACCATAAAGAATTAAACGGTTCATATTTTATTAAAATAAATTCGGTAGCATTGGTATACGCACCTTGTTGGAATCCAAAGTAAGTACTTCGCTTTTACTATTATTTTGGTCACTTTAATTGCATGGTTCATCTTATTAAAAACTGAATGAAACATTAAATTTTAAGGAAAAACAAAATTACTAACAAAAACTCTGAACCAGGTGAGACGCCGAACACTAAGCCTTCTGTAAATAAATTTCTACAAATGAAATTTAATGTAAAAAGTGCGAGAGGAATGGAATTTCTCAGCGAACTGCACATTCGACAGGTGGCTAAAGGTATTGCAGTCAGCAGCTATTCATGCACTGCGCCACAAGTGCAGTTGCTTCAGCGATCGGTGACCGAAATATGAAATTATACAGTGAAAGTGACCGTAGTATAAAAAACAAAGCAGTCCTCAAAAAAAAAACCTCTGAAATAAACATTTTGATTATTTGGTAAATTATTAGAACAAATACTCAGCGAATCCAGCTGCCATGATGTTGTTCCCGCGCATTTAATCTTAAGTGCACCCGTCACTAATGTGACGTAACGAAACAATAGCAGAAGAGAAAAGGGGCGGAGCGAGCGCAACTCAGCTCCCACCACACATTATCTTGAGAACCAGAATTCGAATTTCGCTCAAGTTCTTCATTCTGAATTCATTGCAACCATGACCGGAACGATGGATGACTTTGAAATTCCTAATTTTTTTGATTTCGACTTCGACAGTGTTATTAGCGTACAACAGCCTGAACTTGGTAACAATCCTGTGGACGCTGATCAGCAATATGCATTTGATATGCAGCAGATGTTTGCGGAGCTGGCTGAAAATGCTGAGGATTCTCCAAGTACGAGCGATATGCCAGCAATTGTGGAAGTGTTGCAGACCGGGTTTGCCGCAGTAGCTGACGAAGTCGGTAGCGGAATGCAATGGGATCAGTTGTTTGCCATATTGGGACCAACTTCAAATGAAGCACCTGTTGCTGACGGTACGTAAACACATTTTGCTTGGTACCCTAAAGACAGCTCGATTTGTCAAGTTTTCTCGTCACAGTAGATTTATTACTACTCTAGTTCACTGATTTGTAGAGGGAGTGGGTGTTGCGGGTACTATGCTGTTTGGGAAGACCACGCTGCTGCATATCCTGAGAGACAACCGAAACGAAGCGCACACTGTACGCCTGGAAACGCCCAGAGATAACGTGGAGATCACCAGCGATCAATTCGTAGCGTTTTTGGAGTACATGCTGTCCTACAAGAGCAAATTCGATTCGCGAAATCCATCACCGAATCCCGTTCAGGAGAAGCGCCCATCTTCAGACTTTCAGTGGGACGTCCTCGGAAAACCTTTGCGCGGGGGCTTCAGAAAACAACTCTCCGGAAAGAAAGAAGTTACATTCCGCATCGAGATCGCTGCCACCTGCTTTCGCACTATCCGCATGGAAGTCTTCAAGAACTTTCGGTTTGCGACTCCCGACAAGCTTCTTATACTACTGAGCAGCTTTGTGTCGGTCATGAACCGCGGCTCGGCGGGTGAGTCATGTACCATTTTATTTATTGATTATCTCTATCTCGGTGGTTTTGCAGAATTGCCGATGTGGTTCTGGGACCAGTACATGGTCGAACTGAATTGCGAAATCCAGCTATTTCTGCCGGATTTTTTGAAGCAGGATCTACAACTCCGTGTGAAGGAACAGCTTCTTAAACAACTGCCTAATGGTTGTTACTATGGCATTTTGTTCAAGTATTCCAGTTTCTTGAGAGATTACAATTTGCAACAGTTATGTGATCTACGAACGACAGTATTGAAGCGATTTTTACATAAAGTTGACATGTGAATAAATCATGACAGTGTGCCGCTCATTTTATTTTTAACCAGCCGACCCCCTCGGGGACCCCCTCGGGTATTTTCCAAGTACAAGCATTCACAAACAGCTGATGAACTTAAACTACAAATCAGTTGCTTCCGGAGTGGTGTCGACTTTCACGTCCAGCCGTTATGCTGCAAAACGCACAGTCGGTAGTTTCTCTTAAAACAATTAACGGGTTTCAGCTTACCGCGGTTATATTGCGAACAGTCTGGTTCCAGTGGTCTGTCTGGAGCACTTTTCCAAATGCATCCAAAATTACGAAAAACGTAAACATCGCAAACAATAAAAAGTAGAAAACGGCGACAACAATTTTCTCCAGCCGCTTTTCACGGCGATTCATGTCCGGCATCATGGCTTGGAGGTTTGCCATCGCCGAAAATTTTTGTAAACACGATTGAACATGAGTGAGCTGTGGGGGTTGGCTTAAATGTATGGAAAAGAACATTTTCACAGGAGTAACGTGTGCAAAAAAGTTAAAATGCGTGGCACAGAGATGATATAAAGTCATTAAGCCGGGCACAGTGAATCTTCATTTTCGTATTCAGGTTTTTTTTGCAATGGAGTCTTACGGTACATGTTCCTATAGCACAGTCGAAAGCCGTCTTCTGACATATCCAGTTGAAAAGTTTAATTCTCACGTCCGTATTCCCCGTCGGTTGGCCGAAGCCGGTTACATCTACGTGCCCGACCAGGGTTGTTTCTGCGTCAAGTGTTTCTGTTGCGGTCACCGTCTGGCGTCCGCCGACTGGGGCGACGATTTCTGGAAGGAGCACGCGACATACAATCCGGACTGTCGGTACTTGCTAGCCCTGCGACCGGCTTACGCGGCAAAGCTTCGGGATCTAAATCAGTATTGGCAGGAGTACTAACTGAATGTGCGTTTTGATTATGTTTATCCCAACGGCAGTGCTTTGATGAACTTTGTTTTACAGTACAAATGGCTCCTTATAATCCTCGGATGGCTCACTACCTTGCCCGTCTAAACAGCTTTAACCATGTCAAGAACTGGCTATTTACTACGCAGACCAAGGAAGACATGGCGGCGGCCGGATTTTCCTACACCTGGTCCAACCTTATTCACTGCTACCACTGCGGACTGGGATTGAGGGATTTGCTGCCGTACGAACAGGTTGATGTTCACCATGCCCGCTACCGCCCTCATTGCCCAGTGGTTGTCAGTCGTCTTGGTCTGGAAGCCATTGAAGAGATACGCGACCTTGAAAAGAGAGCCAACGCTACCAGTTACCGTGTCAAAGATTTGTGGGACCGGCAAGGACCGAGCAACGGCTTTATTTGTTTCTGCTGCGAAGAAGACGCTCTACAACCTCCCAAAGACATGAAAACGACCAAGGAGCGCTTGGCATCCTATCCAGACAGCTGGAAATCCGAGATCGTCCATCCAGTGCGACTAGCTGCAGCTGGATTCCAGTATAATTGGGGGAACACGGCCGAGTGCGTGTATTGCGGACTGGTAGTGGACAACTGGGAAAAGGGCGACGATCCGGAGGAGGTCCACCGTTCCCGGCAGCCTGAGTGTAAAAGTTTGTGTTGTTTGTATTAAAGCACATTGGTTCTCTTTTCAGTTCATCAGAGTCATCATGTATAGTGTTTTAAAAGAACACCCGCGCTTTCAGGCGCCCTTTGGCATGTGTGTTTGTGGGCCCACAATGTCGGGTAAAACGCAGTTTGTGTTGTCTTTAATTAAAAACCGCGCGCAGATGATTTGTCCGCCTCCTGATCGAGTAGTGTACTGTTATGGTGAATGGCAAAAATCATTTGATGAAGTGCAGGATTCCGTTGATTTCATCAAAGGCATTGAGACCGTCTTTGAAACACCAAATTTTTTTGACCCTAATCTGCACACGTTGTTGATTATCGACGACCTGGCTAGTGATATTTGTACAGATGTACGCTGTTCAAACTTGTTCACGCGTGGCATCCATCATAAAAACGTTTCGGTTGTGTTGCTGTTGCAAAACCTTTATAAGCAGGGAAAGTCAATGAGAAACATCACGCTCAATTCCCAGTATCTCGTTTTATTCAAGAACGTGCGTGATATAAATCAGATTAAATTGCTCGCGCGCCAAACCGGACTCAATCAGCTGACTGAGGCGTACCGCAAAGTTACATCGGAGCCGTATGAACCGCTCATTATTGATATGCGCTCGATGTGCCCAGAGTATTTAAGGGTAAGATCACACTCACTTCCGACACAGTCTATGCGGATATTTGTGAAAGCCAATTCCAATGATATGCCGAAACCATGTCGGAACGCGTGAAAGCCCTTGCCCCATTTCTAATCACCTTGAAAGGCCTGAAGCCGAAACAGCGCCGCGTCTTGATGGGATTTGTCAACAAACCGCAGCTTAAAGCCTTGGAGGAAATTGCCGTCAACATCATCAAAAATACCGTCAGCCTCCCGCCCGCCGATCTTGACAAGTGCAAACGTCACCGCAAAGCATTAAAGCTGTTAGCGCTGCGACGGTATCCAATGAAAGCCAAAAAGCGGATTTTGCAGCAAGGCGGTTTCTTGGGTGCCATTCTACCTGTTATTGCCGGTGTACTGACCTCGTTAATTAGTAATGGATGAATACTTTATTGTTCCCCGCCGCGTCATGGAGGAGCGACTCCATGAAAAGATTCAAGTCAACCGCGAGCCTCCGGAAGCCAAAGCCGTTGTCTCATTGGACAAATTAGTGGCCGAAACCCTTCAGCGAAAAGATATAAGCGAATACGAAAAAGCCAGTCAACTATCTTGTATACTGGAACGCTTCCTTGCTCTAAAACAAAAAGCGATGCCCGATGAAAATCCTGTTGAACCACCCAAATACGAACCGCCAGTGCCTCCACTTCTACCGAAAAAACCTCGACCTAGCCGACCCAAGGAAAAACCCGATGAACCAGTACCCATTCCGCGCTTGCGTTCGCGTAAACAGCAAGGAGGCATGAAGCGCAAAGTTAACTGGATAACGCTGTCGTAATGTCTGGATTTTTGCCGTCAGTTATTCGGTTGTGCCGATTTTTCAAGATCAACTGTGTTTCTAATTGTTGCAACGATGGATCGCCTGATGAAGAGATACCTAGACCCCCGTCATCCCGGAAGTTTTGGCGGCGTCGAACGCTTTCGAAGAACACTAAAGACCAGAGCGAACAAACGGAAAGCCGAGGAGATGCTGCAAGAGATCGATGCATACACTGTCACCAAAGAAAGCCGGAAACGATTTCCACGCAATCCAGTGGTAGTTACCAATCTGCAGCAGCAGTACCAAGCTGATTTAGCCGATTTGTCCAAATACTTCAAGGAAAATGATGGCATCAAATATCTGTTGTTTGTTATTGACTGTTTCTCCAAAATGCTGAGCGTCCAAGCCTTGAAGACGAAGACCGGCAAAGAAACACGTGACGCTCTCCAAAAATCCTTTGAAGAATTGGGTCGACCAGAAAAGCTACAATACGACAAGGGTACCGAAGTGTTAAACGCAACTGTACGGGCGTATCTCAAAGAACACGACGTGCAATTCTTTACTTCACAAAACGAGGATGTGAAATGTGCCATGGCCGAACGAGTGATTCGAACGATTAAATCGCGGATTTTCCGGCTATTTCGCTACCGCGTTAGCACCCGGTACATTGACAAATTATCAGATTTTGTGCATTCGTACAATCACTCGGTGCACAGCGCTCATGGAATGCGGCCCATCGATGTCAAGCAGGAAAATTCGCTGCTGGTGTACAACAAGATGTACCCGGCTGTGAAAGTGAAAAAACCACGGTACAAAGTTGATGACGCAGTTCGTATTTCCATCCGGAAAGGCAAAGTGGAAAAGGGATACACGTACCGATTTAAGGAGGAGATATTTTTTATCAAGCAAGTTATTCCGCACCCAGTTCCGGTCTACCTTTTGAAAGACTATCAAGACAACACCATTGACGGAAAGTTTTACGAACCCGAGTTATCGCTGGTCCGCAACGTTCCTGAGAAAGATCATACTGTGGATTTCATTGTCAAACGCCGTGGAAAGAAAGTTCTAGTGCGTTGGTTAGGTTACGGACCGGAACACGATCAGTGGATTGATGAAAAATGTTTGAAGGTGCGCCATTCTACCTGACGCTGCCCAGTGATGTGGCTACCGATCCTGCTAACACGCCCTCTAATTGGACTACCAAGCTAAAACATCCAATCACATTGAAAGGGAAATGGGAAATGGCACTGGTGGAGCTGCAGTATCTCAATTCTTTTTATACTTTGCCCGTTGAACAAAAAATCCAGCTGGATGTTGTGCAAGAATTTTACGTGAAAAAAGATGGCGAATTTATTGGAACTCCAAGATATGTCAGTGTCCAAAAAAGCATTGTTGTGCCACCGGGTAATTACAAGAACGCGGAGTTGCTTCTGCAAACCATTAATTCTTTGGCTCCTGTCGTTAAATCTTACTTGCTGGATGGAAGAGTGACAGAGGACAAGAGTGCACTGCCCAACAACAAAATGTTCGAAGTGCAGTTTTTTACTCCAACCAATCACAAGGTCAAGCTGAGCATCGGAAATGACCGGGTATCCATATACTTTCCACCTGAATCCTTAACGCTGCAAAAGATTCTGGGTTTCGATCAGAGCACATTCGAACCCAATCTTGCTGCTGAAACTATTGACACCTCCCAGGGTCAAGCAAGAGCGAAATACTTGGCATTCTGGGACAAAGCTCCACCACCACAAGTAACGACGTTCATCTCCGACCGGCCTGTCAACACTTTGCTGGGAAACCAGAGCCTATTCGTTTACAGCGATGTGGCTGACTATAGTTTGATTGGAGACACGGCGGCGCAATTTCTGCGTGCCGTACCTATTAGAGGCGAAGTGAATCAGACTGTGGAAGCACGTTTCGACATTCCTCATTATGTTCCTGTTCTTCGGCAGCATTTCGAAACCATTAAACTCATTATTGCCAACGATCTCGGAGACGAAGCCAAGTTCCAGACCGGGAAATCACTTGTCAAGCTGCACTTCCGCCCGCAGCGGTTATATTGAAAATGCCTTTTGTACAATACGTGCCTGATCCTCGGCGCTACGACGACGTGTTCGTCAGCCAAACTGGAGGAAGCGCCCTCATTCGGTATCGCGGCACACTGCAGAACGGTTCCGGCCTCCCACAGATTCTCAAGAGTTTGTTCGCCAAAATATCATCATTCGCCAAGCCTATAATCCGTCGAGCCGCCCCGCATGCCAAAGCTGCGTTGGATGCTGCCACGCCCCATTTGCAAGAAGCCGCTACCGGGGCCATTAAAGAGGTTGCTGATAGAGCTAAAGAGAGCATCAGTAAACGCTTAGCACCCCAAGAGGGAAGTGGTATCCGTAAGAAACGCCGTGTTGTACGCAACCGACAACGCATTAAACGCATTCCTCCGACCAATATCCCGGATTACTTTTAACCATGGCCCTGCTGATGATGGAAAACTCCGAGCCGGCAATGCAGCTGGAGAATCAGCTCTTTGCGTTACCAGCCACGCTAACCGATCGGTGGCGCACCGAGCATGAAAAGTTGAACCCCACAACGATTCTTACGGACAATGGCTCGGCTGGCGATATCAATTTCTACATTCCGCCCAGCACAGCCGGCCTACTTAGCCTGGCAGATATGATTCTCGAATTGGAGGTTGGCATCAAGGTAAAGAAAGGAGCTGCTGATTGGGCCTTGATGACCAACAATGACAATGTGGCCCCTGTCAACAATTTTATGCACTCACTGTTTTCATCATGCCACCTTACCGTGGCGAATCGACTAATTTCGGATGCCGCGACATTTTACCCATATCGGGCGTACATGGACTCGACACTCTGCTATTCGGTGGATGCTCAAAAATGCCAGTTAACATCAGCCGCATTCTACCCCGACACCGCATCTAAGATGAATGACGACAAAGACAACAAAGGCGAAGTCAATCGCAAAGCCTTGTTTGCTGGCGGCAACTATGTGCAACTCTCTGGAAAAATCTTTGCGGACCTGTTTGACCAAAGCAAACCGCTATGTACCGGCGTGCCCATCAACATCCGCTTGGTAATGAGCCGGCCAGAATTTTGTTTGCGAGTGTGGGATACCGATGCCACCAAGCAGTTCAAACCGTTCATACGCAATGCGCGCTTATCGATCCGCCGCTACATTCCGGCGCCAGACTTTATGACGGCTGTGGCCGCGGAGATGCTGAAAAAGACTGTCAAGTATCACATTGAACGTGTGGTGATGCGGGTGTCGGATATTCCCCAAAAAACCCAAAGTACCGTGGTGAGCAACCTGCAAATCGGGCAGATTCCCAAAGTAGTGATTATCGGATTCCTGGAAAGCGATGATTTTCACGGCAGCCTTAAAACCAATCCCTTCAATTTTCAACATTTCAACATCACTCAGATCAGTGTGGAGGTGGACGGTCAGAGCTATCCCACAAAGCCTTACACTGCCGATTTCGGGCGGTCACAGTCACTGGAGTGCTATGACGGTTTGTTGGACACTTGTGGATACCGAACGCATCCGCACAACAGCCTCAATTTTAATCGGACCGCTTATAATAATGGCTACACATTCTTCGGCTTTGACCTGACACCGGGACATACCGGAAGAGGACCGCTCACTTTGGTGAAACAGGGCAATTTAAGCGTGTCGGTCAGCTTTGAGAAGCCTCTGGATAAAACGGTCATGATGGTCGCCATGTTGGTGTACGACAGTATTATTGAAATAAACCAGCATCGCCAGCTGATCGCGGACTTTTCAACATGAACACCGACCAGATTCTGAATGCACTGCAGTCGAATCCGGCTACAAAAACAGTGCTACGTGGAGTGTACGCCAGCAACGAAGTGCCTAGTGAGCTTTGGCCCTACCCTGGAGCGGCGGTGGTCAACATTGATTCAGCGGACCAAGACGGATCGCACTGGATTGCTTTCTATCAAGAAGAACATGGCCTTTTGGAAGTGTTCGATTCGTTTGGGAGGAAACTGGATTCGTATTCAAAAGACTTTGCTAATTTGATTTCGTCAAACCGGATAATAGAGCAATCCGAACAATTTCAATCTGAATATTCTACCGTGTGTGGACAGTATTGTTTGTTTTTTATTCTTCGGCGTGTCAGTGGCGAGTCTTATACCAATATTGTGCATTTGTTTACCGATAACCGAGCAAGCAACGACAAGATGGTCTGTCAGTATGTAAATTCTTTTTTTGACATACATACAAAAATAGTTGACGGTGCATTTATCCGTCAGATATGTAAACGCATTACAGAAATAAAATGAGAAAAAAAAATCAGACAGCGGTTGATTAAATAGGAAACAGCAGAAAGCCAAACAATACGGAAGAACATTATTAACAGCGGTTAAATAAGCTTAGCAAACATGGCACGAAACTCCAGAGCATTAAGTTCCAAATACCCTTTAACGTCCAATCCAATAGCTTGCCCAATGTCCACTTGATCAGCTTCCAGCAGAACAGCCTCCACATAGCGCGACTCCAAAATAGCTTTTTCAGCCGCAGCCCATTCGTCATCGTCGGCACTCCCGCACACCATCTTGCCGTTGCGTCCACGCATCTGGTAGATCAGCTCCGTGAATTCTTCAGCCACTTCCTGTACAAAACAATGCACATGGACTACTGCACATGAACAGGGAAATGAAACTCACTTCTTTCAACTTGTCGTAAGCCAGAGCGGACTTCAAGGTCTTTGGCACGTGGTTGGCTTCGTCCATCGCGAAGAGCTCTTTCAGCAACGTCATGTCCACCACCAGCTCCTTCAGTCCTTCGTAAGTCTTGAGTCCAAAGGTCACACCCGCTTTGGTCGGAATGAGGTCCCCGTTGTTCCCAAGTGTATAACGACGGACGGTGGCCGTGTTGACACGGTTGTAGCGCCCCCATCCAAAGTACAGTCCACTCTCCAAAGCATACAAGGGCGTCAACTTGCCGTCGGTACCGCTGCTGAGCTGGGAAATCTTGTCCAGGTCGGCCTTTCCGCTCATAATCAGGGCACACAGACGCATGAATCCGGGTTTCTTGACCGTGATGGACTTCTCCAGGGTTCGGCGGTAGGTGTCGTCGCTCTGTTTCTTCCATTCACCAATGACGATGGCGGAGACTCCGTCCTGGAAGCGGGCGTAGACATACTTCTCGAAACCAATCTTGTACACGTTGGAACCTTCATGGGTAAATGCAAGGCGGGGATGCTTGGTGACCTCTGCTTCTTTGAACTTTTTGGCCAGGTTTAGCTTGGCGTCGTCCATCTCCGGAGCGCGGCGCTTGGCAAAGGTACGTGGCTTCAGCGGCGTAGCAGGAATCTCACGGGCGGCTCCGCTGGTTGATGGCTTCGGGGACATGGTGCGCTCGGACGAAATAAAATCGGGAATAAACTCCATGGCGTTGATGCAGAGAAAACTGTTAAAGAAAACTGAAAATGTACTGAACAACTAACGTAGCAATCTATACTCGCTAGAGCTTTTTATGGGTTGCCCGTCATCCGCAAAGTTCGTAAGAAGGTTTTTTCACAGCACCTTGCTGTGAGTTTCAGGGAAACTTTGCACTCGTACGTGCGCATTAAGGATTTTTCACCGGTTTTTCATAGCGTTTTGCTACGCGTTTTAGGGAAAGTTTGTACCGGAACGTACGTGAAAAGACTTTTTTCACCCCGTTTTTCGTAGCATTCAGCTACGCATTTATCAAAACTTGGACCCACGCCAAAGTATAAAAGAGCACGGCTTTTAAGTTCAGTTGGTTCAGTTCAAAAATGGCTCTGAGGTGTGTTCTTGATGCTGATTGGTTTGTGATTAACCAACAAACGTTCTTGAAACAGCTATCGTTCTTTTGCCTTGAAAAAGGAGAAGTGGGACTTTATACTTTTACGCTACCGCGCGGTGCTTCCCATTGCGCAAGAGATTTGGAAAAGCAAGCACGCCATTCTCATGGGCTTGTTTGGCACACCTACGGTGACTATCGCCACAATCAGACGGCGGTAGTCTTTGAAGATATTTTTGAAAGAACTGGACGTCCAGCTGACGTTACTTTCTACGCTAAAGGGTTGGAAAAGTGTCGCCTCCTGGAAAAGTACTTGCCGGAAGTCATCAATTTAGAAGATTATCACTGTCCAACGTTTCGACGACTGACTTCTGCGGCTCAAACCACCCAGCGGAAGGCACTCATCTTTGGAATGTGGTTGCATAAGAATGGTACGGATCACCAATGTTGTGGCCACCGCGAAGTTGAACTGCCATCTGAACTTGAATGACATTGAAAAACGCTTGCCTTTGGCTCAATACACCCCTCGTTCGTTTTCTGGGCTCCTCCTTCGTCGCATAATGCCGCCTAAGGCACATTGTCAGCTGTATGTCAACGGTAAAGTGACCGTGAACGGCGGAAAGAATTTGGACGAATCGCGTTCTCTTTTAGAATATTTTGTACGGTTGTTGTCTAAAATCGGATACTCATGTTGTGTCACTGATTTTAAGGTGGTCAACATTGTGGGCACACATGACTTTGGTCAGCGGTTCGATCTCGATGCTGTCAGTAAAAAGCTTAATGTTCCATATTTTGCTGATCGTTTTTTGGGTTTACGTATTAAGATGCCGGAATGTACGGCTATTTTGTTCGCCAGTGGTCGATGTAACTTTCTAGGTGCTAAGACAGAAGTCGATTTGACATGGGCTATGATCGATCTGGTGTTAATGTTACCAATAAAATAACGACGGCCTTCTTCGGACTTTATTTAACCCAGACTTTTGATTTACTGGGAGGTGTACCCGTAAGGCAGAGTATTCCAATTTGCATTAACAATCCGACGTTTATCATAAGTGAAACTCAACCGTTTAGCAAGATCGACTTGTTTTAAAGTCATAGATTTCTTAACACGTTGGATGCTGTCAGGGTACTCCGCAACAAGAAAATCCGTTTTCTTCTCCAACACGTCCACCATTTTCTCAAAGGTGATGATCTCGCTGGTGTGCCCGTTCAGCGTGAAGCCTTTCACCTTTACAACACTCTTTCCATCGTTGGTCTTGTACGAGTACGTCTTTGGTCCCAGGCTGACGAACTGACTAATGAATTGACAAGGCTGCAGCTCATCCGTAAGGTCGCCGAGGAACTTTCCAGTCGGCGGCGTTGGTGATCCAGGTTTATCCACGAAAATTATGGAATCTGTAAACCGATATCATATTCACATGTTTGTAGAACTGGTCTTTCAGGTCTTACCAGTGTCAAAGTACAGCAGTCTGTCCTGCACTTGTTCCATATAACCGTAGAGGTGCAACCGCGCCCAGCAGGTTGTAAACCTGATAAAATATGAAAATTCATGCCACAAGTGCAACAACAAATGGACCAACACTTACGCAGCCAAAACGACGTTGGTATGCGGATTTTGCTCGACAAACAGGGTCTCCTTCGTATACGCCAATTGTAGAACGTCGTCACTGAACATGTCCCACGACTGAATGTGGTATTCTCCAGAAAGAAGCATCCTGTAGAATTCTTCTGGAGAGGAAATGTACTTGGTGTTCGGCTTATTATCCTGCATACCGAGGCGTCCCCAAAAGCTGCAAGCAATAATACTGACTAATGTTCAATGAAGTCAAATAAATAATAAAATACCTGTTAAGACACAGTTTGGCAAGCGCCCGCATGCCCGGGTTACTTTCCATTTTGTCGCGGTCTAATTCAATTCCCTCGTGCTCATGGAAATCCCGCAAGTACTGGTCCTTTTGTTGGTCTGTGACAACATCAGTTGGCCATCCACTTGCTTCAGTCTTGATTTTAAGAAAACGGTCAATGTATTCGGCGAACAATCTCTCTTCGGTCTGATCAAAGTGCCAAACTTCAAAAACTTTTGTCACAACGTAGCCGCGATCAATGGCTGCATGTATCTCCGGTGTGCCTGCAAGAAACATTTACCGAGGGGGTTCCGAGGGGGTTTGAATTCTACTTACACCATGTCCCAGAGAGTGCCCTTTCGTTCTCGGTGTGTCCGCACGGAGCATTCTGTTGTGTCTCCGCACAAGTCCGACAAAGAGGAAAGACCAATTTTCCATTACTACGGTATGGAAGAACTGGAAGATACAGGTCGGCCGGAGGAACGACTTCACAGCGGATAATCCCAAAATAATCCGTCACTGCATCGAAGTCTTTAACGATAATGTTCGGATGGCCGATGGGATACCGCTTGTTCTTATTTACATAAGGATACTCGCTGCAGACGTCGAAATACCGGATTTTTTCTTCTTTTGTTACACTGTGGAAGAGCTTTGTGGCGTTCGTCCGGCCGCCATAGAACGCGTCGCGGGGGTTAATAGGTTGGCACACGGTAATTTCCTCAATGTAAGCTGCGAACCATGGCACTTCTTTGACAAGGCCATCGAAGTCATGCTCCCATATCACGTGCAGTCTGTATCCCCGGCTTTGGATGTAGTCATCCCGCTGCAGGGTTTCTTCGTAAATCTTGCTCATTGCAAGATTTCTAAATGGATGGATCGTGTCAGGAGCAGTGCATTCAGGACAACCATGAAACCAGCAGCCGTGAAATTCAAAAACTGTATTCGTTGCGGCAGAGTAACCATCCACGAAGTACTGACCAATCTTGAACTCTGCCCCCGACGCTCTTGTCTGAATTTGGCAGTTTTCTTCCAACTCCATCCATTGTAGCCACTTCAGCGCTTTGACGGACTGGTTACGGTTGGAATGGTATCCCTGTGGTGGAATCAATCCGATCTGGTTAGCTTTGAGGATGTTGCTGCGCCAGTACAGACCGCATAGTCCCGCAATGGTCAGCGTAGAGGAAAATGGGCAGATTCCATTGCTTATTCCCAAAAACAGGTTCCGGAACTGAAGACAGCATTTGCGGAGGACAGTAACGTCATTGCTGCAGTAATCCACGAACTCTTTTCGGAAATCAAAAGTATTGTGCTTGGCGGCGATTTCATCTTTGTACCACTGTTCAAAGGCCTCACGGTCTTTCTTGCTCATGAACTGGTGTCCGTATTCCATCATAGAAGGGAACTCCGTAACCTGATCCCAGTTCTCTGGTCGGTTAAAGCGGTGCGGGAACAGACCTTTAGAGGCGTCTTCAATCCCAAATGTCGCTGGCCACTTGGAAAGGCTCTGTGGATTATAATTGATGCTGTCCCGGAAGCGAATATTCAGTTGAACCACGTCAAGCTGCATGATCTTGCCGCCATTCATAATCACTCGGGGGATGATGCCATTCTTCAGCAGCCAGTTGGTAATAAAGTAGCCATCAAAAGCCTACAGAATTTCTACCAGTTAAAAGTCGGCGGGAAAAATTCTTAAAAACGATTTACCTTGAAATTATGAGCTATAACAATGTGGTCGCGATGATCTTCACTGAACAGAAATCGGCAAAGTGAGTCGGTAATGTCGCTTAGTGGTTCTCCCTCTGGCGGGAAGATCCATTCCTCGCCTTCATCATTCTGTACGACCTGCATCAACAGTACGATTCCGAGGGGGTCCCCGAGGGGGTATATCTTACTTCAGCAAAATTGTCATTCAGACTTACCGCAAGGTTCGGGTACAGTCGTCCATCATCAGCAACGTACGTTTCAAAATCAAAAAACAGAAACTGGGCATCCGCGTACTGCATCTTCTGAAACGGGCCCAGCTTGTGTGGTTTCATGTAGCAGCGATGGTCGCCCACAACGTGCTCCCGGCAGGTCTTACAGAAAATTTCTCCGCACCGGTGAACGGCTCCTGGTTTTCTTTTAAGCAGGGAATAAATGGAGCCACACAGTAGGCAAAGTTTCACCGTACTGCATATGCTGCGTCGGTTGTGGAACAGCTTATCAGCGCTGGGACCCAGTTTGTGGTGATCAAAACACGACTGCCCATTAAATTTCCGACTGCAGTCACCGCACGCCAACACATTAGATGTGTCCATGGAGCAGTTGGAACGGAGACACTGATTACATTGGCCAGTGCAACGATGGTTTCGTCGGTCGTTATATCCTTTATTGCACCCAAAGCACCAGTAGCCACGATTAAAAAAAGCCGGCATGGAGGTCAACACGTCAAAGTGACGGTTGTGGAGTAGCAGGCAAATATGCTTCTCTTCATGCTTTCCGCTGTACACGATGCTGTTGGCTTGCATGGTACTAACAACTACGACCTGGTAACCACGAAGCACATTCTCGAAAGCTGGAATGTCCGCCAGAGAATATTCACGCATGGGCAGACCGGCTTTTTTAATAAGGTCCTTCGACAATGCAAGAATTTCCCTTTTACCCTTGGCAATGTGCCTGGCATACTCCTTGTGACCATCCGCAAACGCTCTGCCAATTACTAGGGCACGGGCCATGCAGATCTCGTCGTCGTTGTTGACCAAGATGACTGACGTCATTTTCTTGAGCTTCTGGTACAGCATTGGAGGGACGTCCCGGGCACACCGACCCGAAGGAATTTCCGTATGCTCCAGCAAAACTTCGAAAGATCCATCTATGACAAACTCTTGATGGGAATTCAAGACTTTGGATATCTCTGCCATCCACCGCTGTACGGTCAACTGGGATCGCAGTGTTGGTGGCGTCCAAATAGGGAACGACAGGTGAGCCGAGTCCACTGACACGCGAACGTACTGATGACGAGCTACTCCAGCCAACACAGTGTCAAGGATGTATTCCAACACAGCCACGATTACTGCCGGAGCATCAATAAAGCTTATACCATCCAGATCATGGACACTTATTTGAAACAACTTAAAATGCATACTGTGGGTCTTGGAAAACCGGTGGCCCCTGGGCTCTACTGCGACATGTTCAGCTGCACGAAAATCATTCGGCATACCCGCTCCCGCCTGAGGCTCGTCGGCGACCCAGTCATCCATGCCAGCCAACTCGGCAGCATCAAGCATATCATGATCAGTTAAGCCGTCATCAAAGACCCAATCATCTAGTGCCGCCAAGGCAGCGGCGTCAATAAGGTCATCATCTGTTAGATTGTAATCCATTTTGCAAAGGTCAAGAACTTGCAGATGTAAAATTTTGATGAATATTATTTAACCAAAAGCGATTTCTAGAGGCCGCAAAAATATCAGAAGTGAAATTCAGACTACCGATATTTTACTCTGAGTAATTTTTGTGCGGTCGTATTTTATATTTTTTGCAAAACCGAAATTTCACAGCAACGTCTCCTACGCATTTTGCTTTTTCTTAACACGTACGAGTGCAACGTACTACCCACAACATAAAGACAAAAAAACATGAGCAACGACAATTAAAAATATACGTAACACCGTTTACGGTTTCCGAGGGGGTGTCCGAGGGGGTGTCCGAACAGTAACAGAACAATAAACCATGAGATAGTTAACCACAAATAAAATGAATACATAACACCCGTTATATGGTTACCGAGGGGGTCTCCGAGGGGGTGAAAACAGAAAAAAACGCACAAAGACAACTAACTAATTAAGCATAATCACGTCGTCGTCGCTGTCTTGGCGGTCGCCGTCAGGTTCCGAGGCCGAGTCCGGGATCTTATCCGCGTCCTTATCCGAGGCCGATTCATCTACGTCCGAGGCGGAGTCGGAAATGTGGTCCACATCATCGTCCGACAGCAACCAAGTACGGTCTGCAAGTGTTCGCGAGAAACTCTAAGAAGGTCACACAAACCGTAACGAAGCAAATGACAAATAAATACCTGAGCCAGCCATTGACGCATCGTCATCCTCATCGTCCTCGCCATGGTCCGACTCGGGTTCTATGTACATGAAATTTCCTAATCAAAGTTCGGCAGAACACTGTCAACCTCTAGTATCATGCAAGCAAGAAAAAATGCTACTCACCATTCATCTCTTCATCGCTCTCGCTTTCGACGTCTCCATCCTCTCCAGTCCATCGCATAACCTGTGGGATAACACGGATCAATTCACTGGAATGGGTCCGGTTCACACTGTTGCGGAACAGGTCCACGGTATGGAGTGCCGGTAGGTTTTTCAAAGGCTCCAAGAAATCCACGGTGCTGATGCCGTTGTGGGCCAAAGTCAGTCGCTTCAAGTTAGGTGTCGCCGTCGCCAGGATCTCAAAATGGGGATTGGTGGAGTACCCCAGCAGGTTGTCGTTGAGTTGCAGATACGTCAGGTTGGGTAACGGTGTCAAACCAAGCAGAGAAGACACTCCACAAGCATTCGCGGACAAACACTGGAGATCGGTGAAGCGAGTGAGAGGTATGTCGCGAAAATCTGCAAGCGGGAACTCATCCAAAATAATCGTCTTCGTATCGGCAGGCTGGTCCCACAGGTAGCCATACATATTGATGGTAGTATAAACAGGTGTACGAAACATTATAAAAATTATTACAAAAAAGACCAAAGTAAATAAACACACAGGTTGTATGTGCAACACAAAAAAAAACTGCGGTGATCTACAGTGTATAATTGTTCATACCATTTTGTAGTGGATCCTACACTACGGCAATCTTGAGAACGAAGATTTCACAGCAGCCGTTAGTGAAAACTCATATCAGTCTGCTGTGAAAATGTGCAATAGTTTGTAACTGCGTACCCAATGGTGGTTGGATGTCAGTGCAGTGTTATACAGGCGTGCTGTGAATTTGGGTAATGCGGTAGTAAGTAACTGTGTACTCATGGTGGTTGACTGCTTAACGTAATTGCCACCCGCCCAGCAGTGGTTCCGTTTTTCCTTAACCATAGATTTCTATGGCAAACAGTCCTGCACACAAGTCTATGGCAAACAGTCCTACACTAAGTCTACGGGATCGTTATAACATACAGTCTATGGCAAACAGTCCTATACAAAGTCTACGGGAAATTTTAACATACGAGTCTATGGGCCTCAGTCCGTATTGCTGCTCATTCTATCGTCCAGAAAAGATCTTGACAACGGTGTCAGTGGAAAAGAGTCTCGCTGTCGGCATGCTCCACTGCATATTTGCCATTAGCACAATCGGTAGCACTGTCTTTTTCTGCATTATGATACGAAATTTCTTACCAAAGTAGCGCTACGATTACAAATGCTGTTAATAAAGTTTAACCCAATTGCAAGTACTTTGCGTCGTTAATTCGCTATATATATATATCTGTGCTTGCTTAAATGTGGTTTAAACGTGGGCTGACGCCTGACAGTTTTTAGAAAGGGTTAATATCTAGCTGGCTTCAGTTTCGAATTGGACAAGATGATTCTTAAGATTGTAAGATCTTAAAAGGAAAAATTTTATTGCGAGTAACACCTTCTCACTGCTTGCATAATTACAAAACGAATAGGCACAATCTGGAAAGTTTCTACATCAAAATATCCACACTGAGAAAGTACACGAGTCCAATCAACCGCACATAAAAGCGCGTTTTAGGCTAAACGACAGTCGCAAAGCAAAATGTGCCGCTATCGTCAGCAGAAATTGTCCACGCGGTCGTAAGTACATGAAAACATCTATTTACGTTTCTGTACGTTGACCTCGAAAACATTTAGACAAAACAAAAGAGAAAAGAATCCAATATATCAGTCATAAGACAAATTTTTGGTATTCAATTAACCGGAACCGAAGTCTGACAAGCAGACTTCATCATTGAGCAATCGGTGGCACAGCAACCGAAACAACCTTATACCATCGCAAACCTACAAAACGCCATCATTTCAGTTAATGTTACCAACGTCGCGGCAAACTGGACAAACGGCCCCGACAAATCACACTGTTACGTACCTGGGACATAACGAATTATTTTCCATTTCCATTGTACTGTGATGCCTGGTATTGTGAGGGATCTGCATAGTTATTGTACATGTAATTTGTTGTTTGTCCGTTGCTTCCTTGGTTCGATCCATACTGTGCCTGGCCACCGTTGCCTGTTGTCGTACCATACGAAGCGCCGTTGTTGCTGTTGTAGTTCTGTTGTGTCCCGCTGTTCTGCATGTAGTTATTCTGCTGGCTGTTGTAGTTCTGACCCGAATAAGCCGGTTGGGCGTTCTGCTGGTACGTCGGTGAAACCGTTGCGGCGTAGGCGGTGGGATAGGAAGACGCGGAGTTGTAGTTGTTCTGCCCGGATATCATGGCGTTGGCCGCTGTGTACGACCCTCCGGCCTGTGTAGCGCCGTATCCGGTTGTTTGAACATTGCCTCCGTATCCATTGTTGTTAGCATAGTTGGGATTGTAGCCACCGGCTTGCTGAGCGTTGGAGTTGCCGTTACTGGAATAAATTGACTGCGCTGCCGATGCTCCCGCTCCTTGGTCTAACGCTACTGCGGCCATCTGATCCGCTCTAAAGATTTACAATAGAAATGTTCAGACTGCTGGACATATACATTTTTTATCAAATCTGAATTTTTGTATAAAGAATTCTGAAGATTTCGAAGTTTTTCTCTTTCGACTTTCGAACAACAGATTTGTAGCTACTTACTCGGGATCAGAGCCCCATCCATCTTTGACCTTTCCGAAACCAAAATAAGGTGGGTAATCAACATAGATCCCATAACCTAAATAATACGCCGTTTAAGTCTAATTTCATACTTAAAGTCAAGCTTGTAATTATAATATTCACTGGACAATGCATTTATAAATGCAAGTAATAATGCAAACTGTATCTGTACGGTATCTATACAATTCAAGCAGGCTATGGCTATATGTAATGCCGCGGATAGTTTCTTAAACTGTGCATGTTTACCGGCTAATAAGAAGACTGTTAATGTTATTAGGGGAGTATGTATATTCAGTTTTTAAGCTTTAAAAACATATTAAAAAAGACAAGATTTTATCTGCTAGACAAGAATTAACTGATTTATAGCGTCAGACGTCAGCAAATTATTGTTTTACGGTCTTACCATAGAATGGACCGCGACGATATCCATAACGGCGCTTGTACCCGACAAGAGGAAAATATCCGGTTGGTAATCTATGAAAGTGGAAGTTCGTCACTGTTTGTGCAGAAAGTAACAAAGCGTCCTTTGTAGTAAATATAAATTGTTTATTGCGTTATTGATCTATCAATAAACACCACGATTATTGCAGCGGCATGTTGCCCCAACGCCCAACGGTCAATAACGCAAACCTGACGCGTATAGTTACAAGTCTTTTAAGTTCTTTCTGCTATAAATTTAGTTGCACGCACGGTACGATACTTAATATTGACAAACTTCATAAAACCATTAAAAAGCTGGTATTAGTTGTCAAGTGTCAGCTTAATTTAATCGCAAACCAGGTTAGAGTGTTCAGCATTATAAATGTATAAGTCCAACATTGAAGGTCAGCCGCAATATCTTCGTGAGGTCGATTAATTCCTTTTAGCCCAACAATAATAATAATACACTATTTTTGCATTCACAAATTCTGCCACTTGTCAGTATTGTCTCCAAGACCCGATTTAATATATCCGAAAATTAAAAACAGAATCCAGATTTGTCACTCCTTGAACTACGGTAATAATCACTGTGCCAGCTACAAAAAGTGATACTTCGTTTTTGAAAGTCATTCTTAGTGTGCGTGCTCGCCGGCAAGGGGAGGCGCACATTACTAACTGTAGGCATTTATTCAATATACAGTAACAGTATCTTAACAGCATAAATACCGTAAATATTGCACTGTTTCAGAGTGTTTCCAGCCAAAAAATGCGTTTTCCGTTACTTCTTCCAAAAACTTTATGGGTGCTTTTAGTGGAAGGATTATGCGGAAATGCAACATGGTGAGCAATGTAACATGGTTAAACCGAACTTGAACGGAAATGCCTGAGCGGGTGATTACTGCCGCCTTTTGAACACCAGCAACTGTATTAAATCAAATGCCTCTAGTTCTTCGTTTTTTTCAAAAAAATGTAAAGAAAATCATGGCAGCAAGTGTAATCTTATGGGACAATGATCGCGCGACGGCTCTCTCGAGTCACGCCCAGACCCTAACGCTTACTTGTATTAATTTGTTTTATTCGGGACATGGTAAAAACGTTTCGAAAAACTTCTACGTACGTCTTCTATCTTATGATTCTGGTTTTCGCTTTGGTATGGACGAAATACATATAGAGGACACTTAGGTAGTTATATCTGTACATGTACTGTGTTGTCGAGTCAACTTGGCACCTTTTAGTATATATGAGTCAAATTACATGGTATAAAATCTTCAACCTTTCGTAATGGAGCGCTGGGCGCTGTGGATATTTTCAAAACTTGGCTAGAGTTTGAAAAAGAAGAATCCTTTGTTAATAATTTCTATGGTTTCGGGCAAAACAATAACGAAAGGAAAAAAGGGCGTTACTTTGTAATTGGCATTACAACTCCAGGATTCGCTCTCCCCGCTCCCGTATCAGAAATTAATCCATAATATTGCTAACACTGATATTTGGTAGTCACTCAGTACTAGTTAGTGCCTAAACAACAGGCAGACGACTTCACGCTTCAAGCAAGTGCAAGTCTGTTGCACGTGTCGAAGATGTCGTTCAGATTACAATAAGGTAAACGACCTAAATAACCTATCGCTTATGATTTTTGATTAATTTTCAAATTCGTGCTACTCAAAAAAGTAAGCTTCCAGTTGTAGATCGACTTACACGGATTGTTCCCCTTGATCGTATCCATATTCAACGGGGTAATACAGATAAAAAGGATAAAGCGACGCCGCCGAGAACGATCCGAAACCGTAATTCTTATTCGTTGCGCCATAATATGACGGATAAGAATTGGTTCCATAACCAGGATTATACACCGAACCAGATGCCACATTGGGGCTATTCTGCGCATAACCATCTTGTCCGTAGCCGGTGGCGCGGGCATAGCTCTGCGCCGGGCCATTGTACGTCGCACCTTGCGGTGTATTACTGGCCGCATAATTATTTCCAATCCCGTTATTGTACTCGGTTGTGCCGGTCTGGAAGGTCGTGCGGGCGCTTAGCCCGGTGTCCACCAGCTGATTCAGTAGTTGTCCCACATTCTCCCGATTCCGCTGCACATTGGGGGCGCTGAAGCCGGTGGGCGGATTGGGCAGGGCGAAGCTGATCTTTTTGGTCTGGTCGCCGTCGGCCGGGTCGTCGGGTTCGGCCGGGTCGGAGCTGCGATAAGATAAGTCATAGTTGGCTATGTTAGTCTGATAGGGGAGCGACTGCAGGGTGACGGGGGTGGGCGTCGACTGCTTGTACGTGTTCGAATAAGCATTATTAGAGAGATAATTATTAGTGCTGCCGTACGGGGAAAATGATCGCGGACTGGCTTGTAGCGCCGATGCAGCGACGACGGGGGCGGTATTGACGGCGCCGCTCGGCTGACTGTACGAGGCAGACGGATACGCTGCATACGAATTGGGGTTGCTGTAAGTGAGAAAAAAACGTATGAATGAGTGTTCTGGGTCAAGTGAAAGTGTCGCAACGTACAACCGGAAAAATAAATAGGTACGAAAACATAATTCGTAAGCATAAAGATGTGGTTAAAGTGCTCAGTTTATAGCGTCACAAGACTCACAACTCACTAGATTTGCAATTATAATTATGGGTCATCCGTTTAATACCAGTTTTTATCACCGAATGCTCTTCTACTCTACTTACAGTTTTTAATGCTTACTTTTCGGTACAGTAATGCATAAGTAAAACAGCAAACTCAGCGGAGAATAAAACTCGGTTCACTTATCGATGATAATTTATATGTATTACCAAAAGCTACAGACCGTCAATGGGAAAAATATTCGTGCGAACAACAGTAAAAACTTTCAATTTCATTTCTCTAATTATACTCTTAATCAGCAGCGTAAAATTTGCCTGTCATCAACAAATCCATCAAGTCATCAAGGAATCAATGAAGGAATTCTAACATATTCTATATAAAACAATGATTACAACCATTTTCGACCGTCTTTATTGCATTATTGAACGTATTTCGTTTAGAAATTGGATTTATGCGGATAAATCCTACAAGCTTATAATTTTCAAATTCCTGGGAATCATTGCGAACGCTTACGAGGATTACTGAACAGAAAATCTACGAAGCGAATTGGTTCCATCTTACGCATGCATAATTTTTCTTTGTTGGACATTACCTGTAGCTGTAACTGTTGCCTGTGTAACTCCTCCCTAAGGATACGGCCCCGCTTGGAACAGAATAACCTGCGTTTGGTGCATAAGAGCTAGGATACACAGGATAACCGACATAAGAGGGATAGGAAGTGCGACTGATACCATTTGACGAGTACGCAAATGGCACTGGTGAATTCTGATTGGCTATCGACGACGATATCGATACGAGTACTGGATTGGGGGCGCTGAGAGATTCTGCGCCGCCATTGGCAGATGTGTCATATGTTCTGGATTGTTGAGGGTACTGTGATTGGGAAAGACTTGATAAGAAGGAAGAAGACGTTGCATCTGCAAATCAGGATAATTGTTGTCAACAATGTGCACCATAAGGGAAAATAAGATATTTGTAAATACTTAACATTTCTTGTGCTGTGTAACTGTGTTTGGTGAAAATAAAATGAAAACCTTTACACCTACAGACATGCATAGTTAGGACTGTGCGGTAGCGTATATTAGTTCGTGAAAATGATGCAGAAGTTTAAACGAAACCCTAACTATTTTTACCTCGAAATTATCTGTATATTACGTTAGTACTGCTTTTAATTAACACATAAAGTGCATATTATTGATTTCCGACAAGCTGACCTTAGGATATGAGATTTGCATGCAATATTTTTATCCAGACTAAAAAAGGCTGTATTGTAATACCATCTATAGAGTACTATTAGATATCAGCAGTTAACTTTATGTTCTCAAAAGACTCGTCACCACTTCAGTGCAGATTAGTCTGTGGCATTTTGAAGTGCACCAGTTGTTTGGATCGGCAGCTTAACGAACTGTTCCAAGCATTAAAAAAAGGCAGTTTACTAAATACTATATTTTAGTTCAATGTGTTTTGGTTTTATACTGTACTTTTGTTCATTACTTTTATCACAAAACATGACACCGCTGCATTAATGTTAGCAACAATTATGTTTAAAAAATGAATTTTTAAAACATCTGGTACATTTATTTGAATGTTTTAAGAAAGATTTCTAGTTAGCTCGCGGTCAGGTTACATTTAACTTGGCACGCATGATCCGCCTCTTTATGATCATCGAGTGTTTACGGAAAACATGCTATAGCCTATAAACCATAAACCACGCATTTAACCAAAATGTTTGCCGGCAATGAACTGACCTGCAGCTGCTAACGTCCTGGTTATTTCCATGAAAAAGGTCACAACACAGATATTGAGTAATCCCCAACAACCAGAACTCCCCATGCTGGATGCTGATTCTACATATAAAACAGTGATTTAAATTCCGGCAATTATTGCTGGCTTCTTAATCCATGTTCACGTCAATATAATGTTATTTCCACAGAACATATGACGCCAAGAATTCCTCCAGTATGTGCACCATGCAGGAACACCATCCCATTATGTTAATCATGCGCTTTACAATGCAGATTATAACGTGTATGCTGCTTTAAATCTTTGTGGAAATAGATAAATACCAGATCCAGCAAGAAAATATGAATATTCCGTTATACAGTTATGCGATGATAACCATCGAGACGCAACATACACAGCAGAACAGTCTAGCCTATGCAGACAATCTTTACTGTAGTCGGCCTCACTGACTGATCAACCAGAAACTCACTTCCGCGTTAATATGTTACAGGTGAAAATGATCAAGTATTCCGACAAAAAAACTTACTCATTCGCATCCACCGCAGCATCTCCGCCAAATGCTCTTTCTCTCTCGTCCGATCGCCCCGAGGGCCGACTTTGATAAATCTACATTACAATCCGTACAGTCTGCACAATACACATAATAAAACCATCCGCCTTTTTCTACACTTACCGTCAGTAAAACGAATCTCGCGTGCGTGCGATAATCAGCGACAATTTTTTATAGCAGAGCTGCAAGAGAGTTGGAGATATGTAGCATCGACTTTTATTACACCTACCGTTTCGACGTGGTTGTATCCCGTGCTTGTGTGACCTGCTACTTTGCAATAATAAAACAGTAAATCGAAGTATGCAAAATCGCATCAAATATTAATTTTCTTGAAAGATTTACATCCGGTTCGTTTGGCGAGAGTGGCCGGGCATCGGTGTTTAGCTTCTTAGTTGTTTATCATTAGCGACTACGAGAAATGGATTACAAAATTGTAAAGTCAAGGGATCTGGGTTAAGTCAGCCATTCGTGAAACCGAAAGGACCAAAGTTTCGGACGGACGGGCGATAAAGGTCAATGGCTCTCATTAGCAATAATGCGGTGTTTCGCCGCTATTGTCCGAGACTCCGCGTCCATCGTGTAACCGTTGGGTGTCGACGAACTTCGCTACACTCACGATTTCTTTGGCGTATAAAATTTTCAAAGTACCGTAATGCTGTTGAAGTTGAAGTATAACGATCTGTCATGGAGTTAATATCTTTGCGATGGAATCCGAAGCGTGAGCTTGTGCGGTTTATGCCATAAATTAGCAAAGAAATATGGTGAATACGCTTTGATGATACCACCAAAAGTGTGATTAATTAGCGAAAGCGGTACATTAAATTTTCTGTTTGACTGCGGAGGTATTAACAACCGCATTTTGCATTGTTTCAAAGATATCGTGGTAAACATTAACAAGGTAATCATGATCAGTCGTACATATAGTCTGTAAAATATTATTTTATCAAACGGAACCATTTTATGCATCACTGTAGAGTGTAGACAGCTGACCGTAGAGGGATCGTTTGACGTAAAACACAATTAAATGAAGCTCCAATCCGAAATGCAGTAGCATTAAACATTCAAAATCTGTTAAAAGATAATATTCCAGAAGTATTTTCAAATTTCACGAGTTAGTTATGATCAGTCTTATACGGGTATCTCCGGAAGTCAAACATCCAAAATTGTAATGCTTTTTATTGATCGGATTGCTGAAAACTACTCTGTATGTGTCTCTTGCATCAAGTTTTACTTTTAGTCAAATATATATACTTCTATGCCAGTTGACCTGTTGACACTATTGGTAAGTTAACTTCATACTACTTTTAACATGGACCGATAAAAAAAATATGGTCCATGTGTACGATGCCTTTTACGTACAATACATCTATATAGGTATTGTGTAGGCAGAACTGCGGCATATGTACTGTGCAAGATAAAATCCGCATAACACTTCCAGAATACTGCCAGTGTGACAGTGTTCAACTCCCAAGACGTAATCAAAACCAAAAAAAAGAAACAACTGCATTGGAAGAGTGTATTATATTATTACGGTATACAGAGCATACATATATTGCGTACTGTTGTAAGTATACTACGTTTTTGATTATCGCATATTATTCCAATACCACTTGACAAAGACGATCTGGTCTATATTTCTCCTAACTGAAATGAGCATAATCAAGCGAGCGAGCGAAGCGAGCGAGCGTTTTTAAGTTGTAGTGCGTCACGCGAAGAGCTGGGTCCCCGGGGTCCAGGGGCGAAGCCCCTGGCCGGGGTTTGGGGCGGAGCCCCAATAAGCAGGGGGTGCGGGGGGCGCAGCCCCCCGCTGAAACAATTGAGAAGGTACCACAAAATTTATCAGTACTTACCGACCCAGGTGGAGTGTTTTGGAAGAATCGTCACACGGAGAACCACCCGGGCATTTTTGACGAACCCGCCGTACTAAAGTATGGCAGCTCCGTAAATTTTGACCCGGTCGGAAAATTTTGACCGGCCCAGGTGGCGTATTTTGGAAGAACCGTCACACGGAGAACCACCAAGGCATTATTGACGAACCCGCTGTACTAAAGTATGGAGGGGCCGTAAATTTTGACCCGGACCGGAAATTTTGACCGGCCCAGGTGGCGTGTTTTGGAAGAACCGTCACACGGAGAACCACCCGGGCATTATTGACGAACCCGCCGTACTAAAGTATGGAGGGGCCGTAAATTTTGACCCGGTCCGAAAATTTTGACCGGCCCAGGTGGCGTATTTTGGAAGAACCGTCACACGGAGAACCACCCAGGCATTATTGACGAACCCGCCGTACTGATGTATGGCGGGGGCGTAAATTTGGACCCGGTCCGGAAGGGGGCGTGTTTTGTAAGAACCGTCACGCGGAGAACCACCCGGGCATTATTGACGAACCCGCCGTACTAATGTAAGGCGGAGGCGTAAATTTGGACCCGGTCCGGAAATTGCGACCGGTCCAGGTGGCGTGTTTTGGAAGAACCGTCACGCAGAGAATCACCCGGGCATTATTGACGAACCCGCCGTACTAATGTATGGCGGGCGTAAATTTGGACCCGGTCCGGAAATTTTGACCGCTCCAGGTGGCGTGTTTTGCAAGAACCGTCACGCAGTGAACCACCCGGGCATTATTGACGAACCCGCTGTACTAAAGTATGGCAGAGCCGTAAATTTTGACCCAGTCCAAAAATTTTGACCGGGCCAGGTGGCGTGTTTTGGAACAACCGTCACACGGAAAACCATTTGGGCATTATAAGCGAACCCGCCGTACTTATGTAAAGTGAAATTGTATATTTTAACCAAGTCCGAGAATTTTGACGGGTTTAGGTGGTGTGTTGGGTGAGTCGTTAACCGTCACGCGTAGAACCACCTGGTCAATATAGACGAAGCCACCGTTCTATTGTATGGGGGCGTAAATTTGGACCTGCCCCGGAAAGTTCGTTTTCGGTCCGGAACTTAATTTCACGACGGAAAAATAAATCCAGGGAACAACGTTTAACAAAACTGAAGAACTTTTGATATATCAAAACGGCGTTGAGCATTGTAAAAGGGAGAAGATTCAACTTTAAAAATGTTTTTTGCGGCAAACTTTCAGTAGGCACTTGCTTGGTTCCCAAAATGCAGAAAGACCAAGCAGGCATAAACCTCGGCTGTATTTTAGAATCCAGCCGGCCCAATCGAGGCCAATCTACCTATTGCTGAAACTTCTACGGCTGTGCCGTCGCCATCTCGAGACTGCTACTCACTGATGGGTCGAGACTCCGAAAAAACTGATAGTACTTGCGTGTCACGGACCAGAATATAAAGCAATTTTTATTTGTTTTGTTATTAAAATGAAAGACAGGTGCAACATTTTTGATGCATCTGGCGACGTCCGAATCGTTGCCAGCTGCAACAAGAATGTGACCAAACGCATCACGTTCACAAGCAAACCCGATGTCGCTATCACAAGGTATACAAGAACCTGAATTGGCGGTTTAATCTTGATCGGTAGTTCACCCACCACTAGAATCCGCAGCTCGACAGTTTCAACAGTTCAAGCAGGTTTCCGATTTATTGCGCCTTTGGAGGCGGGCTTCAAACAAATTTGTGGCTGCCGCTATGAAACTTACTTAAAGCCATTTATCACAATCACAGGATACCGTCACTAAAGATTAAAGGTAAATATTGCAACGTAGTATCCAATAATGCATCGTCCAAATTATGCAACGTAGAATCAAGCGATTGCAAACTCAATCGTTTAATTGACTCCGATTAAGTTTATCTGGAGTTTCTGAGCGAAATCAACTCCGTCCTTACCGACGAGTCGCCAGAATGGCATCATACCAAATTGTTGTGCAGAATTGAAGTGTGGATCGGCAGTCGATCCTTAATCTGGGTCCAGCCTTGACAAGCCCTTCGTAAAATTTTTTTGGTCATTTTAACAGATATTTACCGGCCATTTGATCTTGCTTTCACCGCTTTTCGGCAGGATCGGTTAACCAACTTAAAGATATTGAGGCACCACTGAACCACCAGTAAATTCGCGTCAGTGAGTATCTAAAGATTCGACCAGACAAAATTTGGAGCGATCCGTCAACAATTTTTGGAAGTACCCGTATCGTTTTAGTATCGAGCCGCAGGATGCAGATCCCTGCCAAGTTCCTCGGGCCAGAACTAAACTCTAGCAAAAGCTACACTCCGTTGAAAGGCCTATGGTGGTTGCTGTAGCTGTACAACATAATTACCTCACTCAAGAAAACGTGGTCGCAGCTCATAGCAGCAAAAACCCGCCCGTCGGAAAGTGCAAAACCTGGGTAACTGTGATACGACATTGAGAGACGGCTCTTAAGTCCCGCATGAAGACTCGAGTTGAAGCAGACCAGCTACAAATAACTGCAGACAAATGCCTTTAATAACTGGTAGATCAGTGATTCGAGAAGTTGTTTTCCTAAACTCCACCGGAGTAGACAAAAATCATCCGAGCATTGACACATGAAATCTACAAATGGCCGACGCCAACAACCGCAATAATTTACATGGAGCTGAAACCTCCACACAGACAAAACCGCAAACAGAAAGAATGGCTTGCAAACCGAACCAGCTGCACCTATGGGGTGCCCCAGCCTATCCCGATACCAAAACCCCAGAGGCAATGGAGAAAAAACGAAGTTGAAGCAGATCACACGGCTATCTCTGCTCCCCCCCCCAACACCCTAAAAGGAAGAAGCTATCAGGCGGGAAGACAGGCAATAGTCCTCCACATGGAGTTTATGGAGTATGAGATCCCTGTACCACATGGCTTTGAAATTCCGCGCTTAGATTTAAACATGCCCACCTGCCGGTCCATGGAATACCCGCACCCATCTGGAAAACAAGATACCAGCATTGTGCAGAACATGTGGCAAAGAGCATCTCATGAAAACGAGGGCCCTAAAAAAATTTGCCATCAATGACGAGCCCTTATGCGCGGAAATTACAGTTCAACAGCCGGAATGAGGGGAAAGAAATAAATGCCACCCCCTTGGACGGCTCCGACTATCCTTGCTTAACGGTAGATTGCCAGATTTGGCACTGCGATACGGATATCGTTCAAAGCATCCGTTACCTGAAGTGACGGCAAGTCGTCGTTCCCATTCCCACGGACAAGGTAGAAAAGAACAAGGCCTACTCGGGAGACCCTTGGTATGCTAACCAGGATATTTACCTAAGTCTACAGCCTGCTGGCTAAGGGTGGGTAACCGACACTATCGGCGATTGATTACGGGTTGCGAAGCCACTGTGCCACCGAATAGGGTACGAAAAAACCACCGCAGCCAGATAGCCCAGCCACAAAACGCAAAAAATTGATTGTCAAATATTCACTATATGCTTTGTCAAATGCAAACCGCCATTTTCAAACAAATTCTCGCGTAGCTGCTCCTGCTTTTATTCATCACTGGAACCGAATTTCGTTGTTTCAAATCTTCCGCATGCCACTATGCGCAAGAAAATCAAGAGCCACTGTTGTTTAACTGCAGTGGCTCTGACATCCCAAAAATCATGGACTCGAATGGGTTTGGGAAAAGTTGGCTTTGCATTCATTTATTCGTTGTTTAACTGCCAGTTACTTTATCGTTTTCCGTCGTAAGTAGTACCTTATGGGTTATTACCATAATTACTATATCATTTTCCGCCACCACTTACCCTTGTTTTTTCGCTTTTACTTGATTAACCACTTTTTGTTACTTGAATCATACTTTTACATTCAACTGCCTTAAGACTGCGCTTTCCGCGAAGTGAAGGCCAACTACTCTCCTTATCTCTTGCAGTCACAGCAGAAATGCATCCCACTGAGTGGAATAGTGTTTCTTCTGTATTGTATTTGAAATAAGGATATGTTTTATTCTCGTTTCATTTTTTCGCTTCGCGACTCTTTTTGCTCTTTCGGGACCATCCCTTACGCCGCCAGGTGTAGCATTGTTTATTGGCTGGTTGCGGCCGTCAAGTTGAAGAGCTGCCTCAAAATCTTAAAACATGCCGGTCAGCACTCCCTGTGACCAGGATGCTTTTGGCTGCTATCCTAAGGCCGGCTTGCGCTAAGCCAGCTGTGCTTAACGATTTTTCTCTGTGCTCCGACTGTCCACTACCCCTTTGGAGCTAAGCGCGTTATGTCAGACTGCCAACCCGCTCTCGACTGCCTACTCTTTTCTGCGTGCAAAAACCGGCTTTGCTATTCTCCAAAACATTCCATTCGGCTGACCGCAATCAGAAACAAAATCTCAATGTTATAAGTCCCGTCGCCGCTAAGTTACCTGTCAGTACTGGTGGTCGTGTCCGTGGACGTCAATGTCGTGTCAGTGGGCTGACCTCACTAAGCCGGCTATAACCCGGTGTGACCCGGTAGCCTGAACATGTTTAATTTGAAAAATAATTAACGCTACTTCTGCACAGACAGACATCTGTTTAATAATCGCTTTTTGTCTATAACAAACAGACAAGTTTGCGGGTTGCCAGAATTGTATGAGATCATTTATCGGGTTTTGCTGTGGGTTCTTATTAAAAATTTACAGCAGACTTCATTACCCAATAAAAGGATGTACCCTTCTATACCCTATTTATACCCAATAAAAGGATGTACAAACAAATACGGTCGTCTTATTCTGAAAGTCGGTGCCAGGACCGACATAGTATAGGACGTCTGACGTAAAAGCTTACCGATATGTCCCAGCATATGATGCAGCTGGGAACGGTAAGACAGACCCCCGCATGTTTACTGTTGTTGGTGTTTTATCCAAAGAAGTTTTTGCACAAAAAAGTCTTACACGCTCGCTCGCTTGCGCTAAGGGCGGTTACGACCTTCTATACTAGTAAGAAAACAGGAAGCGTCCATGCAATACAAAACAAGTGCGCCAAGGAATCCACAGCAAACCGTGATTTATTGTAGCAACGTACAAGCCTAATGCCGGCATTGCAAGCATGTACAGTATGCACTTGTGCAACTGCTGAACTGCATTAACGATTTTTTTCGGTCCCTTGTTTTGCAGTTTTTTAAAGAAGTGTTGGCGTACATTGCATAATTCGCACTTTAAACCATTTTTTTACATCGATCGAAGCTTTGCAAGCCCAGATTTGCCACTCAAGCACAACAAACTGCCAATAAATTCTTCGCAGTTGATTAGCTGACAACGGCTAATTACATTTCCTTCCCGTTCTTAACTATCCTTAACCACTGTGTAATGAAGCACGAAATTCAGGCCATGTCTTTTTCCATCCTGAAATCTAATTACTGCGTACTGACCACTGCTGGAATGAGCTTAACGCGAACTGTAAAGCGGATGATCGGAGCGGTCGCTGCGTCTCCAGCAATTTCTCAGCCCCATCCATCACAATTCTTCAACTGACTCTACACGGCTCTGTCAACAATACGAAGTCATCGGAAAGCGAAAATGCAGTTAATTCCAGTTTAAAAGTGTCTGCAACTTTTGATAATAGTATCCAGTTAATCGATGAATACGCACATGCGAAAAGTAGGTTACACCGCTGGCATCTTCACTTATCACTTCATTAAGAAACCTTCTGACTCATCCGCTGTGTTTTCTTCGGCCAGTATCGTCGCCAAAGAAAAATACATATTTTCCGGCTGTAAACCATGAAAACTTAGTGGAATGTTGTGCGCAGAGGGCAATTTGTATGCATAGCATGTGCCGTAGTGATATTTGCACCGATGTATCATTCGCAACAGACCGGAAATGTGATCGAATCTCCCTTGCTTCTTGTCAGGCGTGTTATTACAATTCAAAACCATGCAGACAAATTCGAAATGCTGTCGGTAAAACCGTTAAAGGATTTTGCAACTAAAACCGGCTGTAATTCCACAATGCCACTCAAACCAGATATGCATATATTTTCTCCTTATAAACACAGCCAAGAGAAAACACGATAGGTTCAGAATGGTTATCCGGTTTGTACTCAATTACTCTAACACTAAGATTCCAATGCAACATTTTGATGATTTTGTAATTGTTCACAATATAGTAATGCCAATTATTGCAATGAAGTAGAATAATTAAAGTGCAGTAAAGCAATGATCAAGTAAGGTTTGCAGTTCTTTACCGATGTAGGTAGAGACACAATAATATTTACCATAAAAAGTGAAAATGTTTATCATGACTTTTACGACGTTTAAGACGTTTCACAAATTTTGGGCTAATTTATACTCTACGTAAGCAGTAATTATTGTGCATATGGATGCAACTTTCATAGATGTACTGGATAACCTATGGTAGTATTTTCATGATAAAGAGGTGTTTGATTTTAGTAACACTGGCGCGCACGTTTAATTAATTTTCACATAACGTATTTGAGGAAATGTCATACAAACATTAATACGACTATAAAAATCGGCACTGCAGGCATTCGATTATTTTTGTCTATCGCATAAACGTACGTGTCCAGTTTCCCATTTTCATTTTGGTAATCTCAGTTATGGACGGTAATCAAAAAGTGCTATGCTTACACATTACGCCGCTTATTTGTATAGCAGATAGGGAAAAAGTTTTGAACTTTAAACATTTATGGTTTTATTGCCGTTCGAGCTTCCGTTCGTGGTTGCCACAGTTCATGGTGAAGCTCCACAACGATATACTCAACCAGTACACCCACAGAATTGTAGGCTATTGCAAAAGTTGATAATTCGCCAGTTGTGCGGGCCGAAAGATTCCATTACACGATTAGAGCTTAAACTACCAAACAGCCCATCGCGACGGTTATCCTTGTTAATCACTGGGCTACAAGTCTCAAGTCTCAACCCGCGTTTAAAACCATCTGATCCAGTCTGGCGCGCACACAGGGATGTAACTGGCCATTTCAACATTTCAGCTGACCAGCGCGATCGCATGCCGATCGTGCTCCATATAATCCGCATCATTGCCGTATAAATACCGGCATAAATACATACTTGTATTCCATTAATCTGCTGGATACATTTTCCCGTATGTACTGGTCATTTTGATGCTCATCATCGTAAACATGTCTTCTTTTTTCCCACCGTCACATGCAACAGCACGTCTCTGCATAAATGGAATTTAAAGCCAAACTAATGGATCTCAGCTGTTATTGTTGTCTTCCATAACACATCAGACAGGAACATTGCGCCATCATGCATCGCTTCGTGTTTTTCGAATATTTTCGTGAAAAGTGTCGTTTATCGAAACAGTTTGGCTAGTATGTGTCGCCGCGTCGGCGATTTTAACCGTTCCCAATTTAGCAATCCGAATTCGTTTTTCTTTGCACCATTAGCGCTGTATATATAACTGTGCCATCACTGCCATGGATCGTCGGAATTTTCTTTACGCTTTCTTCACCGCATTTGTTTTACCGGTTGGGAGCTACGTGTCTCCGTATGCTGTCGCTGACCCACCATGCCCGGCCGTACCTATCATTAATGGGAGAGTGTCTTACAAAACCGAAGAGAAGAGGGCATTGTTTACGTGCGATCCCGGTTTTCGATTGTTTGGTCAACCAACCATTCGCTGTCGCGGTGGAACATGGGATCAACCTGCACCGCTCTGTTATAATACAGGTACGCCTAGTGCGACATCAGACCTGTGCTGCATAGTGTGCAGAAACTTAACTCTGCCGCATATCACCGTTCCGCGAATTTTCAATTTTTATCCGCTGTACAATAATTTTATAGGTGTGCACTGTACAGTTAGGTTGCAAATAAGATACGATGTGGTACTGTATATAGTATTCGTATCTTCGTAGTACGGAAATCTGAAAAGGGTTTTGCTAAACTTACAACATAAATGCATTTAATTGTGCCGGTATACAGTATAACCGTCTTTCGTGGTCAAGTACAGTGCCAAACACAGTTACAGATACATGGACAAAGTGCCGCAAGTTGGTAATTCCAACAAAGTTATTTTTATGGACAGCGATTAAAAACCATTTAAATAAGAATTATTTCGAAGTATAGTTGGTTTCGCTGTTCTGCGGCCAGCTTTATCAGTGGGTGAGCTGGATGTTTGTGTTTACCGAGTTAAGGAGTTAGAGTGCACTGGAAATAGCTTGATCAATGAGGTTGCAGATGAGGTTTTGTTTATTATGATAATGCGGGTCCCAGGATAATACGCGATAGTATCAGTTGAATGTGGACTAATCTCTGCCATCTGTGCTATACCGTAATTTATGCTTAATTGATGCACTTCGGAATTGGTTCATGCGATACAGAAATAATAGGTATGAGTCAGTCTGAGAAAATCTGATCAATCTACTAGGCGCAGCTTTATTTAATGTTTGTATACTGTTTTAGAATGTTTATACTGCGTTACACTAATACACTAGCTAAATGGAACGGATATATAAAACTGAGCTCATTTCTTTGGTAAAGCGTTTAAAATCGTTTCTTCCCTGACAGTTCAAATTAAAATTACTGACAGTACTTAGTTGAATAATGTGCAAAATCGTGTCTCCGTATGCATTCAAAGAATCGAAACTTTAGTTTCCAGCAGTGCTTCTGTTTTTATTGTTAGCACACTCACACTAAGTACGTACATGCAGCAATGTCATCAACAATATGGAACCATAATGTTGTTATACTGAATTACTAATAATTATTAGAAACGACAAAAACAATCTGTGTCCGTTATGTTCAATTATTATACTGTATTTAATCAATATTGACAGTTCTAGATACTTTAAATAAAAGAGATATACTTAATTACCATAATTGTATATTATAAATTTTACCAATAAAGGAATAAAGCATACGTGTCTGTACTAACCAGACGAAGGTACTTATCGTTAAGTGATTCACATACGAAGGCAATGTATTAAAGGGCAACATGCAGATTGAACATGTTGTTATCCAGAAACACTATGTACACAAGTCGCGTTAAACTGGTGCTAGCAGCAAAACCAATACGAAACCGTAAAGGAAAATTTTCTTTTCGGTGAATTAGTTATCTTAACGTGGGTCCACTATGCATATAAGTAACGACAAAGAATTTCTTACTCTAATTGTAGAGCCAGGATGTCCACCACTACGGAGTATGCCGAATGGCTATCTCGTCTTTCAGGGTTCGGGAAAGGGTGTCGCATTTGCGAATTGTCACACAGGATTTGAACGCTTGGGACCAAATGTTTTGTATTGCAATGGAACGCACTGGAATGGATCACTTCCTGTGTGCAGATGTAAGCGAACATTTCCTCTTACCGCTAATGCACAAATTTTAATTTTACTCGTATTATAGCTCACAGTCGTAGTGTGTTTAATTTGGTATCCGAAGATATAGTCAGTATGAATTTTACACAAAAAATGTTTTCACTGAAAAAGAGATAATCTCAAAACTTGTATTAATATTTTTGCATCATCTATAGTTTGCATTTTCAGCGAAACCGGCAACCAAGATAAAAGCCTTAAACGTGGACAGTATGCGCAATAATTCACCTCCCTTGCCCGTAGAATCTAATCAAAACGGATTTGACTGTGATTTTGAGAAATTTGATATTGGAAAACCCTGCATTTGGGTTCAGAATTCCGATGCAATCTACAGGTGGACTGTACACAACGGACTAGACCACAGTGGACCACCCAAAGCTGTTAGCGGAAGCTGTAAGTCACTGCGTGTAGAACATAGAAGCGTAGAAGTACAGCTACATACTACTAACTACTGCTCAATCATCAGTATCATCATCCTTATCAATTTGTTCCTTTCTACCGGTAGCGGTTGTATTATCAATTATACTTGAAATCAGCTTGTTGTAAGTGTTAATTAAGTACTTAATATAACTTCGAACCTCGATAATTAAAAGCCATTCCAAACTTTCGAACTAAACAGTAGACTATATAAATCTCATCCATCGATTTATGTTTAATGTAGCTAATTTGCATATTTATATCGTACGGTACGAGTTACAATAATGCTGTTCTACCTGGCAGATTATCTGTATGCAAGACCGTCGTCTTATGGAGAGCCAAGCGATACTGCCAGTTTGATTTCTCCAGCCCTACCAAGTGATAAAGGAAACTCATGCCTGTTATTTCGATATTACATGCATGGCATCCGAATAAGTAAGAAACAAATTATCTAAAAATGAATTATCAAATATTTACATATTTCGATGTGCCAAAACGTAACCTAAACTATACCGGATAGCAATTTAAATTTTTACTTTACTTATATGGAATTTCTGTGCCACAGAAATCAAACTCTGATTTGGTATATTTAGGAAATTTAACCGTTAGAGGACAGGAACAATCCGGTGTCGCACCTATATGGGAAAGTGATTTCCTATTTCGTGTCAACAGTACCAACAGTGATGAATGGATGATGGCTCAAGTCCCGTTGCCTTCCAAAATTATACGGGTACTAGTGTCCAGCCGAAACATCTTACCATCTCTCGCTAGATTATTCAGGCACTTACATTTATTCTACGTCTTGTTCTTGTGCAGTCAACATGTTGTAAGTACCTCTACGGTGGCTCTACGATTGCCTGCTTCGTCAAAACTAATCTTCGTAGTTCTTTATTGAAGATGCACTACTCTAGATATATAATGCATTTTTGGTTTTATGCAGGTAGCCATTGAGGTGCAGAAAGGAATTCCATATTCTGCAGATGTCGGTAGGTCCCGTTATTAAACAATTTTGTGAATGAGCATATCCGTCGATCAAAATTAATTAGATCTTAGGGCGCCATTGGTATGCGGTATTACTGGTATCATTAGTTGTGATAGATTTACGAACAAAATATTCAAAAAAATATAAATCAGCCACTTATTTTATTTGTCAATTGAAATAAGTCTGTCCTCGCATGGCTCGAAATTTTACTGCAGTCTCCCGGAAGCTGAACTGATTTTTGGTTGCAGCCATCGACAACCTTCGAATTATACAGTCCACCAATTGTCCTCCGATCAATGCTGACCTTATAGACGTAGCACCTCCTGATGCTGGAAACACAACCAAGACAACGAAATCATCTCCCACAGTCCCTGCGGCAATCCCCACTCCCCGCCAGCTCGGTGACCTTTCGACGACCTTCAACAATCTATCAACAATTCCGCCATCGTCCGGTGAGGTCAACATCGACATCTACGAAGTTGGCAATCGGTCCTTCGTGGATGAGCCATCGAAATTCACCCTGCAAGTTGTACAGCTGCACAGTGCCACGATTAATCCATCGGACATGGATAATCGGGGCTATCTTGGCTATCTGCAGGCCAATCGTTCGGCACGAGTGGTCATTGATGCTCAGCCAAGCAAAACGGACAGCACGGATGAGCAGCCAGTGCGCAATGTATCGCTTATCACCGGTGTAACAATTGGAGCGGCGGCGTTGACCATGATATTGATCGCCACGGCGTTTATGATCATGCTGAGACGGCGTAGTCAATGTAAACAAAAACCTATTACCGAAGAGACGGAATTTCAGTATTTTTCCTATAGTAATGATGGATTTAGGGAGATTGGTGCAACACTGCCGGCAGATCAAGTTAATAAACGATAAACATGTCCGTAACGGGAGATATGAATAATGCACATTCCGGTAAAAATATATAAAAATATCAAAAGTAAAGTAAAAGTAAGTAATTTATTTTAGTACAAAATTGCATATGTATTCTTTGAAAATTATTAGCATTCGCCGACCGAAGGAGATTTTTATAATTAAGGAGATTGTCGTGATGTCTGTGATGGTCAGCCATATCAAAACTTCACGAAAGATTTAATTATGAATGTCTCTGCTAGACAAAACTGCGCAAACAAATACAATCACCAACAAATACAACCCGAATTTAAGTGTATCAAATATCTTCGTCAGTATGGATCAGTTAAACTCATCGCGACGCCGACTTATCAATCCAAAAAATCAAGAATTACAAATTTATGAATTTTGAAAGGGAAAGACAAAACACGTAGAGGTATGTAAGTATTATTTGCCACCGGTCTGTGCAGAGCTGCTTGCGCTAATTATAAAAACGGCAGGCGTATGCAGCGATGCTTCGTAGCTCGGCGGTGGTTCACTGGTCAACACCACCACCTGATCCGGACTGATAGCATAAGCCGGCGGCGGCGAATTACTGGCCACTGAATGGAGATCATGTCCGCTGCCGGTAGCGTGTGCTCCGGTTAATTCCGCATCCCCGGCCGACACCGTATATCGGGGCGGTCCTCCCACAACCTGGACGGTGGTCCCCGCGGCGTTGTTGCGTGCTGCTGTGGTCTGCGCTTTCTGCCAGGTAAGGTGCATTTTACGCAGCAGTACCCCATTTCCGGCGGCCCCGCCCAATCCGGCCACCAGGTTGGACACGCCCAGGATGATGTACCATATGGCCATATGGTCGGCGTCCACGTAGTCAGCCATGCGGGGAACGGCTAACTGCGAGGCGGCCGACAGGATAACAATGCCGTGGACACAGGTGCCAATGGAGATCAGAACAGCGATGGCCGTCATACACGAATACAGTCGCAGCCATGTTGTTGTGGGAAAGACTGGGCGCGAGTCGGAGGTGGTGGTGGGCGGACGCTCTAGGCACAGAGCGCTAAAGCCGATAATACCGCAAAACAACTGCCATACCGCCAAAAGGGCTTCCGTCACGGTTGTGCCTAATTATAAGCAACAGCATTAGAATTTGTCATTTTTATTGGCCAGTTAACATGACGTTCAGTTCACTATATGTGCGAGCCTTTTGCCGGTCAGGAGTAATTGTAAAATTACATTAATACGGGTGTAATTAATGTAATTTTACGACATAATATGATCACATAACTGCTTTAGTCTGCTTATGCACTGCGCAGCGTATAAAATGTTTATTTCCGCAGTTCATTCATCTATGGACTATCGGCAAGGTAAACTCCATTTTCGCAAAAAAATTAGTACTACCTTCAGTTTCTTAAATAATTTATAAAAAAAGGTGTGTATCAAGTGTAGACAGTATTATGAGATTCGGCGTCGCAATTGTATGTAGAGCGTGCTTAACAACTGCAATGGACATATTGTGTTGAAATTGCCAACACACTGAACAATGGTCATCGCCTTCCGGCAGCGCACTGAAGCGTGCAACACTCGCAGCTGCCGTAACTGAAAATCTTCGCCCAACAAGTTACTGGTTCACAACTTAGGAGGGTCTTAACTTCCTGATTAACCGGTAACAACTGTATTACATTGCAGGGTCAAGCTGCTGCACCAGATAAACTTTTCTCATTCTCTTTGTCACCGTCCGTCAGAATAAAAAACGTTAAGCACTTGTTGACACTGAAAATTCAGTCTTGGATGCTTCTGTGCACATAATTACGGCGAAAATTGATATCTGCTGTGCGCACTGGCGCATAAAATGATGTGATCTTTAGATTCTATTATGACATTTATTACTAACGTTGTAGTACCAAATGAATATATTTTTATGAGCGAAGTGCAACTTTGTATTATAGAATCGATTGCTTGGTTACGTTAACTAATTAGTTAACGGGCAACCCATCGCTAGATCAGCGGTGCAGTTGTTCCACGTATTAACATTAATTGTAAATTTTTGCATTCAACTAGAAGTGATTACACTCTTTTCACGTTCAATAAATCCAGTAAATTTTATGGTTTTAGAACTATATTCAAGCAATGAACTTTCAAATGTCTACTAAAAGCTAAAGTTATTTCTTTTGCAGTTTTTTGCTTACTAAAAATCATCAATTTTAAGTGCCAAAGTGCACGCACAAACTGAAAGCAGCGCAGCACACGTTTTTACCCTTGTAGTATACGCTTGTCTTCTACTATATTATGTCACTGCAGTATTCCAGTGTTATATATACGAGTATCGTATCTATATTACGTATATTTCGTTACATCATAGTGCAATGTAATTCCGAATATACGATACTGTATTTGGTTCAATATCATTCTGAATATAATATCAGGTACTTAAGTGCTGACCGTGCCGGCGTAGCAGAAAATAAATCATACCTAACATTACGGATAGTAACACCGTAATAATTCCCATTCCAGTATGAACTAGCGCTGAATGGAGAAATAACCGTTTCACATAAACATCATCCGCTGTGTTTCCTTCACGGATAGAGAATAACGCCGGAAATGAAAATGTGTTAGACCGGGCTTGTGCAGGCAGAGATCGAGAGCTTGCCGCGAATGATGCTGCAGTCTGGGATCCTGGAACGTCTGGCGTAGACTGCAGTGCGGCATTGAAGGATGGATGATACCTTACTAATCGATCCGATGTAAATTTGGGAAAAGCCATTCGAAAAACTGAAGGCGAAGATTTGACCCGACCATATGTTCACGTTGTACCGGTATTTGTCGAGCTAATCAACGATAATAATAATCCACAGGGAACAATTTAATGGTGGTCAATTCAGCGCTCTCACACAACCGTAATGCTGGGAAAATATAACCCCGGTGAGCCTTCGTTAATAAGGAACGTGCTCGTGCTTAGGTAAACTCTGGCAAACCATCTGTTTGGCAAGAAAACGACAACACGGATTAAGCAGTGTTATAAAAACATAACTTTACACTAGGAAATAGGTGACGGATTGGGCCAAGTTGCCGTTTAGCCGAGTAGGTGTGAGTTATGCGGATGAAGCGTTCTTGTCAAAAATTCGGCATACGTTGAGAAAAAACTACCGTTGATCAAGTGCGGTTAGTGGTGTCTCAAGCGATTTTATGATGAATCAGTTGCAGGCTACTAAATTGTAAGGTAAAGGTAAAGGCAAAGCGTAACCCGACTTTAAAAGCAATCTGCTATCCACATCGTCGCAGGGTGATCAGCCGCAGCGAGCCGGTAAGCACAAAAACGGTGGATGTACATGTGAGTACCTGCGCAGTGATCGTTCTAATGCATTAATGCGGTAAGACTTTCACATCCGTACACATATGCCGCTTACAAAAGTCATGACGCGATATTATAATTTGGACGTGCAAGATTTGTGCTGAGTAACCGGGCCAATTCAAAATCGATAGTCCTGCGGATCAATAATTTGTGTGCAGTAATATAATCAACGCTAATGGTGAAAATGGGTGGAGTAGCCGTCGAATATTTGCATAGTATACGATGCCAATCGGCCAAAATTAAAACCGATGGTATGACAGGGATAATGAATGACAGAAATTCATTAACAATTCATGACTTGTTTTTTAATACGTACGCGCTATTATGATGACACTCAGAAGTTTTGCATTCACGTGATACTTACTGTACATGCTTTGAAAACTATCACTCTATTCAAGTTTTTTACATTAACCGCGCACACTTTCCAAATGTGTTGCAACTTCGGCATGACTTGCTCGGCCTGGAACAGCGTTTAACAAAAATCGAAAACAAATTATCTGTACAGCACACTACATGAGTTAATTATCTGCATTAAACACGGCATGTTAATTAATCGTTTTCTTCCTTCAGCCTTTTTAAAATTCCCAAACTTAACCTAACAAACCGTAAGTCACACGGTAAACGCGTTTAAAATAAATTAAGTACGGGTCAGCATGTAGCCTGTAGGTAACCGTAATTTACATTTTCAGTGCCGACTGCAGAGTATACAAAAAAGTTGTTGCTTACGTACAATCATGATATTATCAAAATCATTATATTATACTGCTGTGCGCTCAAATAAGTAAGTGATACGAGCGTCCTTTTGTCTCTTATCTGAAAGGCATGATTAATAATTCATTATGTGAAATAAATAATTTTTAAAAATTATGTAATTTTTTCCTGACCGCACATACACTATTTATCAGTAGGTCACTGTATGTTGTTTTACTGATGACGCGACTACGTTTATTTTGACTGTTCCTAGGGTTAGTGTCCCAAAATGCGAACTAACAAAATTTAAATTCTTCAGACACGCGCGAACTTCTAATTTTGAATACAATGCAAGCAGAAACTCTGCGCTCTTTTTTGGAGTGGAGAATTTTTAGGATACGAATACGTACAATCGATTCCATTTAAATTCAGGGTCTCCTGTGGGTACGTGCTTAACTTGATGTAAGCAGCGCCCTTGTAAAGAATAAACTATGCGTGAGTCTATAAAATGATGTACTGTACTATTTCCGATAAAATCACATCTACAGAGCAGAACCAACAATTTGATTTGCACAGACAAAAGTTTAATAAATAAGAATAACAACGCTAATGTAAAAAACAAAGCGGTGAAAACTAAAACTCAATACCGTGATACTGTCAATTGCTAACCACATCTTTGCTACTGCATCAGTAGACATGAACAAGGCCATACAAAAACGTCCAAAACAGAATGTATGTCAGCAAACTCCCGAAGAGTCCATGGGAAAATATTAAATAAAGCTGCTTGAAGTAGGGTCGATACTGTGCACTGTACTTCTGCAGTACGAAGGCTCCAGCCAGTCCGTTGGCCAGGAAGAAAAACAAGAACCCATACAGTCCCGTCAGGCCGAGAATTCCCGCTGTGGAACCGCCGAGCAGAGCCGTGAATATCCGACAGTAGTCCACTGCAGCCATGTTGTGCATTACGGCCATTTCATTGTAGACAGGCAGCGACAGATCAGGCTCTCCGCGATCTGCAGGCATTCTGACGGGGCTCCGAGGGGAATGAAATATTTAGTGGAAATAGGCGTAGATCACTGCGTCCTCCGGCCTTGAGGATTCGAGGGAAGAATGCCTACTAAAGTAGTCCAAAAAACGAGGGTGGCACTGGTAAATCACAATCACGGTAAAGGTGGAATCAGTTGTGCACGAGGCACAAGCGCAACAACTGAAAAAATCCAGAAGAATCTTCCAGATCTTCCAATTTTAAGAGACGTCACCGATTTTTACAATTTTACTGTTCCAACTGCAAACTAACTTTAATCCATCGTAAGTGAATAAAGCGAAGAATAAAAACTGATTACCATGTAACTGTGGACGGCGTACAAAATTTTGTAAAGCAATAAATCTACTTTGGGTACTGGATCAAGAAATTCGACTTAAAATTTTTGATGTGAATTTTACTTCTGCTTGATTTTTGCGGCATGTGGAAAGTTTTTTCCCTTTGGTCCAAGTAGCACTTTCCGATTTCCGGGGTGTGGTCTTGCCTCATCCGGATTGGTCGGTTTAAATTCGTAATAAATAAGCGTAAACAGTGGAAAGAAAGCGGAAAACAGTTTGATAAGGCATATAAGGGCCGGGTGTTTGTATTTTTTTAGTCTGTTAATCAAGCGAGCGAGCGAAGCGAGCGAAGCGTTTTTAATTTAAAATGTGTGACGTGACGAACCGAAGAGCCGGGTTCCCGGGGTCCAGGGGCGAAGCCCCTGGCCGGGGTTTGGGGCGGAGCCCCAATAAGCAGGGGGTGCGGGGGGCCCAGCCCCCCGCTGAAGCAATTGAGAAGGTAGTTTAAAATCGTAAACCTAACCGGGTTATAATTGACGGACCCAATGGGGAAATGTGTGTTCGACCGTAAATTTGGACCCAGCGCAAACGCGTAGACCGGGTCGGGTGGAGCGGTTTTGGGGACCCGTGACGCAAATTATAACCCGGTCATTATTGACGAACCCGCCGTAGTAATGTACGGGAGGTCCGGAAATTTGGACCCGGGCCGGATTTTTTTAGCGGCCCCCGGGTGGAGCGGTTTTGGGGAACCGTGACGTAAATTATAACCCGGTCATTATTGACGAACCCGCCGTACTAATATACGATGGGTCCGGAAATTTGGACCCGGGCCGGATTTTTTTAGCGGCCCCCGGGTGGAGCGGTTTTGGGGAACCGTGACGTAAATTAAAACCCGGTCATTATTGACGAACCCGCCGTACTAATATACGGGGGGTCCGGAAATTTGGACCCGGGCCGGATTTTTTTAGCGGCCCCCGGGTGGAGCGGTTTTGGGGAACCGTGACGTAAATTATAACCCGGTCATTATTGACGAACCCGCCGTACTAATATACGGGGGGTCCGGAAATTCGGACCCGGGCCGGATTTTTTTAGCGGCCCCCGGGTGGAGCGGTTTTGGGGAACCGTGACGTAAATTATAACCCGGTCATTTATTGACGAACCCGCCGTAGTAATGTACGGGGGGTCCAGGAATTTGGACCCGGGCCGGATTTCTTTAGCGGCCCCGGGGTGGAGCGGTTTTGGGGAACCGTGACGTAAATTATAACCCGGTCATTATTGACGAACCCGCCGTACTAATATACGATGGGTCCGGAAATTTGGACCCGGGCCGGATTATTTTTGCGGCCCCCGGGTGGAGCGGTTTTGGGGAACCGTGACGTAAATTATAACCCGGTCATTATTGACGAACCCGCCGTAGTAATGTACGGGGGGTCCGGAAATTTGGACCCGGGCCGGATTTTTTTAGCGACCCCCAGGTGGAGCGGTTTTGGGGAACCGTGACGTAAATTATAACCCAGTCATTATTGACGAACCCGCCGTAGTAATATACGGGGGGTCCGGAAATTCGGACCCGGTCCGAATTTTTTCAGCGGCCCCGGGTGGTGCAGTTTTGGGGAACCGTAACGTAAATCATAACCGGGTCATTTTTGACGAACCGGAATGTAATATACGGGGACCCAGTCCAAATTCTTTTAGGCTAGGAACAGTTTTCGGGAACCGCAACGTTAAATATAACTGGGTCAGTGTTGACGAACCCAGTGATATACGCGTGGTAAAATTTGTACCCGGGAATGATTTTTTTGCGGCATTGTTTGGTTGGCGTTTTGGGAACGTTTTGGGAACCTTTTATCGTGAAAGTTCCTGCAACCATTTCTAAATTTTATCAATAAAATTACCGTACCCGCAATACGTTACTTTAGCAGGGGATTACTGTTACCATAACAGATTACGTTTTATGCAACGGATAATTATTTTCTTTAACGTATTACTATGGCGGAATACTGTTAGTGCTACCGTTACCGTAATAGATTACCGTGCATATTTTTTTCATCGTTTCGGGTCACCGTAACCGTTATTGCTCACTTTTAGCATCGGCAGTTGTCCCAATGGGTTGCTGTTACTTTAATAATTGACCGCTTCAATAAGAAAGATGATGGCGACGCCAGGCTGCACCGCGAACAACCAAATGATTATTGCTTCAAAAAAAGGATGTAAAAATCTTAAAAAAAGCTTACCTGAATTAAATTTAGAATTACTAACACTGGTATTAATCAAGAATTAACAACGGAAATTCGCGATCACGAAGGTTGTGAGTTATAACATTATTTGAAGGGGTACGCTTAAAAAGCGCACATTCAAGAATTTGTAAATTTTTAAACAAAATCCAAAGGATTCTGAGGCTTTTGAGCAGTTGTTTAAAATATGTTTTAAAACGTTGCCATAGCAAAACACCTCTTTAATAACGTCAGCATTAAGCAAGCGCAGTGCAGCATGAGAGAAGCAAGTAAAACGAGGGGATTCTATTGCCTTTTTTTTCTGAAGCAATTCTTACAGTTCCGCTTGAACTTTTCGTTACCGGTGTTGATACGGTAGCGGAAACTGAAGGCGGAGCCAAAGTCGACGCCAAGCTGCGGACCAAGCGAGCGCAGCGCAGGAAGTAAAACAAGGGTATTCTATTGCTCTTTTATTCTAGACAAATTCTTACAGTTCCACTTGAACTTTCCGTTACCGTGTTGATGCGGTAGCGGAGACCGAAGGCGGAGCCAAAGGCGACGCCGAGCTGCAGCGCGAGCAAGCGCAGCGCAGCGAGCGGAGCACTAAGTAAAACAAGAGGATTCTATTGCTCTTTTATTCTAAAGAAATTCTTACAATTCCGCTTGAACTTTTCGTTACCGTGTTGATACGGCAGCGGAAACCGAAGGCGGAGCCAAAGGCGACGCCGAGCTGCGGCGCGAGCAAGCGCAGCGCAGCGAGCGGAGCAGCAGGCAAAACGAGAGGATTCTATTGTCCTATTATTCTCAAAAGATTCTTCTTACAGTTCCGCTTGAACTTTTTGTTATTGTGATGATACGGCAGCGTGCTATCGTCTCTACGAAAACCGAATACGAAGTCGAAGGCGACGCAAATCTGCGCCGAGACAAACGCTCTGAAGCGAGCGGACCAGCAAGTAAAACAAGAGCATTCCGTTGTTCTTTTTATTAAAAAGGTAACTTTAACGGACAAACTTTTCGTTAACATTATCATATTCGGTAGCGAACTATCGTTGCGAGGAAAACCGAGGGCTAAGCAAAGCGGGTGCGCAATTGAAGCATCAAGTAGAACGAAACATTTACTTTTTTCACTTCAAACTTTTTTCAATAAATATTACAAAACCTTAATAAATTCTGCATGAAATTTCAGATATCAGTTCTCCAAATGAAAAAGAAATTATTTGACTGCTGGAAGAAAGTTTCTCGGCCTGGGCTGCAACTCCCTATTTCAAACTTTAAAACAGGCTCATTTCTGAAGGTTTATATAAATCTGAAAACAAAAGAACAAAAACAATAAACGTCAGCGTTTAACGTTCATGTTTTTTTGCGGAGAAAAAGAAAGGAGATCTACCTCAAAGGTCTTTACAATTACATACACCACTGTTCACAGAAATTTAATCACGTAGCCTTGCCCTCACGAGCATTGCGTATGTTGGACAAGGTTCAACGTAGTAAGTAAAGCGGTGAAATTTCCTGATTTTGAAACGACTTTTAACAAAATTCTTAAATTTTTAAAGACTTTCGAGGAAATTGTTGTAGAAATTTTTTGAAGATAATCACGCGATCCATGAACTCTATTATAAACCGAAGATTCTGGTAAGCTTATTCAAATCAATACCAAAACACTAAAACTTTATCGCGCCAGGTCACGTTGAGTTAGTACGATGAGACCAAAAACGACCGTGGATTACCAGCCATACTCATATGCGGGAAACGGGCACTTGGTGTTCAAAACCATGGTAAGTATGAGTTACTCGACCGCTGTTTTGCTTCAGAATTAAATCAACCGAATAAAACTAAAAACCATAGAAAAGCATGGTATCCTTTACCCAAGAAAGTTATCCATTTAGTAACCGCTACTGCGTTATTGTTACGTTGCCGCTGCCAACAGACATCGGATGAGGTGTTGAACCGATAAATCGTTTGCGCAATAAATTAAGGCAAACCACGCTTTGCGAAAACTTCGACCTCTAAAATAGAAATGTGTGCCGGCGCTTCTCGGATCCTGTGTGGTTAAATCGGCATATGCGATTTGTATAAGTCAGTGTGTTAATTCATCTACAGCAAAACAATCTTTCCGTGAATTTGAAAATACTAGGATTTAAATGGCTAAAACTTCTATGCTTCTAGCAACCAACTGAATAAATTAAAACAAAGAGTTTTTTTGGGTTGTTGACTACCGGCGGAGAATCATTAATTCGGTTGAAAACTAGGAGGCGAGCAGTTGCGGAATAGTGACTGCATAGTCAGATATTTGCGCCAAAACGGGCTTTTCTGCCAATAAACGAAACGATGCGGCAGCTTTCCATGTAAGCAATGGCATCGAGTTCTGGCCAACTGCCAATCTAGCGAAAATTTAAAAATCTGAAGCGGAACATATTTTCTGCTTTTCCATGGACCACCAGCACGAAAAGTAATATTTCTAAGTTTTTAATTTACCACCAACAATTGGTTTGATAGACCGTCACGAACTGTTAGAGTATTTTGCAGAGAATCACTGATTCACGGTTAGTCATCGACTGCGGTGCAGCGTGAATGGCGAATCAAGGCCGCCAGAAGTGTAGTGACGTGGACCATGTTTAGTACAGCCGTCTGTTTAGTGAACTGAGCTGCCAAAGCATTTTGCATAGTTCGCTCTTAACTGCGGTTGCGTTGGGAAATCTCTTCAATTAGCAGGTTACGTTTGGTTTTTTTCTCTGCAAGCGGTAGTTTTGAAAATTCAGCCTGTGCAAGCGATTGTACTTGACGGGTAACGGCCTGTGTTGCGCTTGTTGAACAGGCTGTAAGTCCTTCGGTCCAATATAAGCGTACAAGTTGAACGTACCTATTGAATCGGCTCTGTTGGCGATTTTCATAAAGTTTTTTACAAATCTAGAGCAACGACCAGTATCCTAAAATAAAGAATCGGGTGCGAAATGGACGGCTATGGGCGATAGGGTATTTATATTAGTAGTGCCCGAGTCGCATTGGCTTGCGTGGGCACATCTGATCGTGTTGCAGTGCTTCTGTGTGACCCGCTGGGTCGTTATTATCATTTAGATCAGCATTATCATCCATATTACGGAATAAGATGTCGCGTGCGGGAGCACGGAGAAACTTAGACAGACTGGTGGATAGCGGTAAACTCATGCCAGTCAATCACGCCGACTGTTGACTCACAATCGGCTCTACAATGGCGAGCGTAACCGCAAAAAATATTTCGGCCAACACACAAATCTGAATTGCCTTTTGCTTGGTTAGCTCAAGCGTCTCAACCTCCCCCCCCCTCCTGCGTAGTGCCCAAAAATTTTAATTTTTAATTTTTAGAATTAAGATTTACGTGAAAAGTTAATTAGAAGAAATTTACGCGTTGTAAAAATACATCTTTTATCTTTTTACACGCAATTTTCTGCCAACCAGAAACCATTTCATCTTACGAAATTCATAATTTAGTTTCTTGGAACGCATGCATCAGTACGAAGATCAAAGAATATTATACTTTTTTTAACGGAATCAAAAATGAAAAACATTCAAAAATAACATATTGTATTGGCATAATTCCGCAAACGGCATAAAAATAATGATATCATATCGGCATCGTAGCGGTGGTAAAAACTGATATCTGAGCAGCTCTAATGAGAAGCCTTCCACAGCATATGCAACAGCTACAAAAAAGAGTAAACTCAACTACTCCTGTTCCAGTGACGCAGTCTTACCCAACCGAGTTTTTTACAACAAGAAAAATTTACACGCTTGCTCGCTTGCAACTAAGGGCGGTTACGACCTTTATACTAGTAAATGTTTTACGAAAATTCCGGAAGGAAAAATTAGCCTTGGTTCTTCATAAATTCCTTGTGGAAATTCAAAGTCGCTTTTGTATGGAAACCTATAATCCAGACGCCAATCGGAAAGTGGCGTGATATTCGCCAGTCGCAAGCTGCAACATGTATGGACCTCGTGTCCACGATCTGCCTTGAATCGCTATCGTTTGTTTTATCTTGGCTCGCTTCCCTGCTAAAAGGCCAATGTTCGCGTATAAGTTTTGATCAGGGAAATGCTGTGGCGACAGGTTTTTCGTAGTCCATTTGCAGTTCCCTCACCTCGAAGAACAGTATCCAGCCCCTCAGTCGACGCTTGCACGCCATCGCTGGCAAGACGGTACGGTTTTACTTTTGGTGCGCTGATTTATTTTGATATACTCAGATACTGAGCAATATTACACTGTAGCAGTTTGAATGTATGAAGGGTTTAGTGATTTGATTCTGCTGAAATCCGGAATGTAGGTTTGCTTCGATGTAGGTTTGCTTCTACCCATCTTTTGGCGAGTTCGTTGAAGATGGTTGTGCCAAAGAGCAATAACATGCCGGAAACGCTGGATCCTGTTCAGGAAGCTTTGCTCAACGAAGTCTGCATTCTGGTCGATCAGAATGACCAAAACATAGGTGCGGCTACGAAAAAGGATTGCCATTTACTGGAAAATGGAATCTGTAAGTAGTTGTGAACAGTGGTCAGGAAGATTTTGATTTATGTAAACCTGTCAGTTCTCCTAATTTTATAATTCTGCAGTGTTCTACGATGTTTCTGAATCTACGTACATAAGTTGAATAAGTACTAGTACAGTCTGATCAGATACAGTAATTGGCACAATTGTAATGCATAAATAACATGCCGTAAAATCAGGTTGGCACTGTTAAATGCTGCATATGTCCCCTACTTTGTGCCGTATCTTAAAAGATTTATTAACCAGAATTTTCAGATGAATTCTTATGTAATATAAAGATTTATATAACTTCACGCGTTAAGTTAGTGATTATTGTGCGACTGTAGGCCGTCTTCACCGCGCATTTAGCGTGTTTCTGTTCAACAAACGCGGGGAACTGCTGTTACAACAGCGTTCTGATGCCAAAATCACTTTTCCGGGGATGTTCACCAACACCTGCTGCAGTCATCCGTTGGCTGTCAACCGCGAAATGGACGAAACAGAAGCGCGCGGTGTGAAGAAAGCTGCTCAGCGGAAACTGGAGCAGGAACTGGGCATTCCTCTGGAGCAGGTGCCCTGGGAAGAGTTCCACTATCTTACGCGCATTCACTACCAGGCCGCATCCGATGGAAAGTGGGGCGAACACGAGATTGACTACATTCTGTTCCTGCAGAAGGATGTCGATCTGGTGCCCAATCCCAATGAAGTCAAGTCGGTGCGATACGTCACACCGGAAGCGCTCAAAAACATGATGGGTAGGTATTGTGAGTAGCCGTTTTCCGTGTTTGTTTCGAGTAATGGTGCATTTTTTAGAGGAAGACAAAGCCGGTAAAATTCACCTGACACCTTGGTTCCGCTTAATATGCCAAAGTCAGCTGTTTGAATGGTGGGAAAATCTGCACAATTTGCGCAAGTTTGATGAGCACGCCGTGATACATCGTTTGTCGTAACTTTTCATTGTTTATTGATTGGTTTTATAGTTTTTACTTGTTAGCTCCAAGTTTGCTGACAAAAGCAGATGGTCCATAAAGCATACTATATATGCACCGTTTTGAATATGAACGAAGAACGCTCGTGTTTTGTAGAAATAATTGTGATAGTAAACTCCTGCATTGAGTGTATTCATTGCGTAGAAATATTTAGAAACTCTTTTCCATCAGTAGTTTTCCGTTCTAATTCCTCATTACACTACCGGAAGCACTTCGTGTGATCCTTGCGCGCGTGTCTTCTGCGGCATTCTGCATTTGCAGAGCATGGGCCAGTTGCGTAAAGGTTTTTTCCACAACTGCCTGTCCTTTGTTCCCCACCTGTTGCACAAAACGGATGGCTGCGACAGTCTTGTCCAGCAGCAGTTTCTGGCTCTGACTTCGCTTGGGAATCGTTTTTGAGAGTTTCCTTGCCTCCAGAATTGGACCGACCACTTTCTGCGTGGAATTAAATTGGGCCAATCCTTTTCCAGCGACGCCCAGTGTTCTCGGGCGCACGGCAGCATTTTGCGATCTTGATAGGGGAATGCTGTTGTGGAGGCGAATTTGAGGCTTGAAAGCACTGCTCGTCAGTACGAAATCGCTTGACTGCATCGGCGACAGATACTGTTGGTCACTGACGTGCTGGAGCGATAGCCCTTGCAGACAGTCGACAAAATCTGTCTTCGATGGCTCGGGAATAGTTATTCGGGGATCGAGTGAATCCGATTTCGAAGTTGGGATGGTTTTGTTTTTTCGCCACGGAACGCAACGATTGGGAATCGGCGCGCTGGCACCGAAATGCCCGCGACAATACGGACACCGGTCTTTGGTATCGGCATCGCCGTTGCGTTTCCAAAGGTCACGACAGGGAATGTGAACGTAATTCTTGCAGGTTCTGCATCCAACGAATATATTAGTAATGATCAACATTTCCTTATTTTGGAGTTATTAGGCCCAGATTGACTTACTGGCACTGCGTGACTCCCTTCGAAGACTGGAAGAACTTGTCGAAACAGATCGGACACTCATCGTCACGTGTTAGAACCCTTAAACCTGTATTCCCATGGGTTGATTTTCGAGGTGCTTTCTCCACAAGAGTGTTCGATTTCCCTTGGGATACATAGTCCTTATTGAACAAGGAGCGTAGGCTTGTCTCGCTTAGACCACTCTGAAATAGCACTACAATAAACGTTTTTTGTTAATGGAGTTTGATTACCGGCATAGGCTACTTGCTTTCGTCTTTAGGGTGGACCTTGAACTTCTTGATGAGAATCCAACAAATATGCTCACAAGATTCATGCGGCATGGTTTTGTAGGTTTTGCAAGTGCAGTGATTCCTTTCGCCGATTGTGACCTCACAAGAACACGTATTCCGTTACTGCGCTCTTAATGTTGCTGCGTTGAGTGCGTTCAACGTTGTTCAATAATAAAAATGTGACTGATTAGTGATTATATCACACCAAAATGGTATGTGTGTATTTCAAGTATTGTACAGTCCGCGCGACTCAGAAATACGGAAAATAAAATAATGGTCTAACAGCAAGTGACATCTACTCCTATGTACCTTTTCCTCCTCATTAAGGGTCACATCATGCACCACAAAAGACAATGGTCCCAAAGCCTTGACTATAAGAAAAGAAGACTGATCCGCAACTGCGACATTTCTTGCCACTGTATCAGTGATTTTCGTAGCCATTGCAGGTTTTGACCACATCGATCGATTTGTGAACCGAGGATGCTCAAATGAGTACGCCGCGCACTTCCGGTACGTATTAAAACTCACTGCGATATCTTATGCTTCTCCCAAATACTAGTGCCATTTAGTACTAACAGGAAAATGAAAACAAATTCGTTCCAAGTGAGGCTTTGCGTGCAGCAAAACTTTCTTTAAGCTATACTTTGGAAAGCCCGTTATTATCGTTATGGTAACCCGGCCATTCTGAACTTCTCATTAATTGTTGTTAAGTACTTCTTTTGGCTTCGAACCGGCATTCCGAAAAACAGTAAAACGGTACAAGCAGCTAACTGTTTCCAAAGAGAAGCGCGCAGCCGCGTTTACAATCCAAACTGTTGATTTCCAAAATTTAAATTTAACTAATACAGTACAACATGTAAAAACAGTTATCACAGATGAAGAATTTCATGAAGGTGCGATGCAATCAGTTTCCGTCTTCCTACTGTCCTAATCAGGATATCGAACTGTGCCAAGTTTTTTCATGGCAGCCTCGTACAACGCTCTCAGCTTGGCATTTTCAGGAATATCAGCCATTTTTTTGCCCTTAATCTTATTTTTTCTCTCGGACGTCGAAATTTGCTGATAATAAACGTAGCGGCTGAAGTCTTTCCAAAAGTCAGGGTGAAAATCGCGTTTTAGAATTTCCACATCATTAGCCTCTTTCCAGCGTCCCACTCTACAAATACTGGCTGGACATGTGGATTTCGCAACCCGGACATGGTAGAAATAAGAAATCAGAACATCATCCTCGCCAGTTTCATCAACGTAATCATACTGTGGGATCCGCTTGATCGCAATCTCCGTGGCAGACTGCAGTAAAGCCTGCACAGATTCGCGGACAACGCTAAGGGATTTTTCCGAAGATGCAGCCATCTACAAAATAAGGCTAATTTTTTTGGAATGATCTGCGTGATTTGTATGCCACAAAACTTACATCAGAAGGAATGGGCACGTGCAATAAGCGCACTCGGTCGAAGCCGTTCCCAAAATTCGTAGAGTTATCCCAAGGAAAAAAGTATGACGGCGTTTCCGGGTCTTCCACAATACAAATCCCACGATGCAGTCGCTTCTTCGGATTCTGACAGGGATAAGCGGTTACTCCGGAAATACTAGCGGATCCCTTTGTAATCCGGCTATCCGGAACCACTGAGCACAAAAGACACTCTTTACCGTCTTGACAGGTCTTCTCCAGGGAGAACATCAGGTACTGCGGTGCCCGAACGAACAGAGACAGAAAGGATGCTTGCGAAACGTACTGCTTGTACGCATTGCATATCGACTTGAGTGGGCAGTCGGCGCACGACGGCTCCGTTTCTGTGCAGATTTTGGTGGCCACGGTCCGGACTCCGTCTTCGATATCAGCAATACGCGTAGGATCTAAAAATAAGACGCGACTGCTAATGAAACAGTATGATAACTGGAAGTCAAGTTGATGGGCCTAAGTCCGTCCAAGTCCGGTAACAAAAAGAAGAAATTAGCTAAATCATTCCACGGCCTTGTAAAGTGTAACGGTCTGTAAGACAAGGACTGCCTTCATAATTTTCTTGATCTAAACAATTTTAATTTATTTTAAACAATTTTTTTAAATTTTCTCAGCTCAAGAAAAAATTTTAAAGAGTGCTTAAACCCATAAACGAACCTTGAGATTTCAAGGATTCCAGAGTCGTTTCGAAATATTCCCTCACTGGCAGTGACTTAACATCCGCGGTGATTCGACCAATTCTAGACAACATACGAATAACATTCCAATCTTCTAGTAAGATCTGCGGCGCTACGAGATCCATCGCAAACTTCTGAGCAGAATTCGTAGGGTTTCGCGAAGTATCAGAGCGCATTTCGTCGATGGGCAGAATTTCCCACGACAACCGGTTGAGATCTTTCATCACCCCCAAATACCTCGCAAATTCATCTTCCGACCTCGAAAGCAGGGGAATCCGTAAAAGTTGTTCTTTTATTGCTTGGTCCCCGTCTGCTGCGGTGGAATCGAACCGGCGGATACTGTCCACATCGGGAAAATGACAGATCCATTCCGTAAAATGGAAACCGATATCGTCAGCGATCTCCGGGAGAGCAGCTCGGAGCAGTCGATACACAGCCGCACAATAAATGAATTTGCGGTCACATTCCGGAGTGTTTCCTTGCGCACTAAGTTTTCCATACAGCGGATTAAGGTAAAAGGGAATTCTGGAATTCAGCTGGCGCTTTTCACTGGAGACGATCCAGTCTACAAGGTGCTTGACAGCCTTCTTCACCACCGCGTCGCCACTCAGCTGAGCATCATCAAACACGATCGCGTGGCGGTTTTTGGGATGGCGGACGAGAAGGCGCATCGCATTGTCGATGGAATGGATGTCCGCCGGCGTTATGCATGCGCGCAACTTGGTCCGACAAGGACGATAGACATACGGAGATTTTGGTTTGCTCGGACTCGTATCCGAATTTGAACTGCTCTCCATAACTGCGATCCAAGCACACAGGTTTATGGATAAATGGTTATTAATCTCAATAGGATCTTACGATAAATTGCATGATCCGTCAAAACGCATCGAGCTTTCCGATTAGTAAGCTCTTTTAACTTTTAAGCTGAACAAACAGAAAAATTAAAATACTAACAGATATTTGAAATCAAAACATCTAATAAGTACTGTACTTACTTTTTAATAAGAGACACTCACCAGTCAGCGTCGGCTGCGTAGCGGCCGTAGCCGAGCAGACAGTTATACGGAGCAGCCGCCATGGGGCGGTACTGCTATCTGTAGAGGCCATAGGTTAATTGCTGTAAAATTTGAACAAGCTGTTTAGCTGCTGATCACAGCGCGTTTGCACAGACAGACCATGGCGTTTGTTTTCCAAACATGCGGCACAAACTGACTTGCCTCGATTGTCACTTTGTCATGTGTGCTAGTTTCGGAAACAGCGTGGAACGTTATACCATCTGCGCTTTGTTTTTCGAGGAATGATAACTTTGATTAATTAAGATCTCCGATTTATCGAGTTCTGTAGCCAATGTTGCGATGACTGAACAAAATGTATTATCAACCAGCTGGTTAGCGTCTTGTGAGTTGTGACATGTGAGGAATTTGTGGATTTGGTGCCATTGGTGCGCAGAGTAGATCCGGAAACCTGTTGCTGTATTCAGTTTATAGTGATGTTGCACGCATTACTGCATGGCGTGCATTCCATAGCTTTCCTTTCGAATGGAAAAAGTTGTCAGCATTCTGGTAACTCTAAAAATAAGTGTCATTTATTGCGTTAGGACGCCTTTTACATTTTTCATTGTGAGGCGTAATTATTATGAATGCTATGATAATCGTCAAATGTCGGTTATGTCGTTGCAGCGCGCCGAACGTTTGCATGATTTGGATTCAGATTGCAGCAAGCTGTTGGGACACCTAGATCAAATTCGCAATGGCCACAGATTCTACAAATTCGCTGTTGACTTTCAAGACCATTGCCGAAGTATGTACTGTACATCACAGAGTCAAACAGCGTGTTTACTGGCGCACTTTGAACTGTTACCATAATTTAATTCATTTGGTTGCAGTTGTGATTGTTATATAACAGTGGTGGTATGTTCGTTTTTTTTGCAGATTCCCGCATTAACGCAATCGAAATGGATGAGCGGCAAGTGCGTAACAATGACATCCGACCGATACATCACGGTGTGCGATCAGGGCGGTCTGTGGTCAAGCCCCTCGGTGACCTATATCGATCTGGCTGGCGGCAAGGGATCGCAAGTCTTCACGGTCGTGTACAAGCGGCACGGAATGGACGGACGCATCGTCAGCGCCACTCGCAGTCCCAACGGGAAATTATGCATAATGCAGAGTGAGATAATTGTTAAAAACACCTAAAAATACTAAATATTTATGACCCAGGGCTTATAATTCGATAATTACGGTATTCGGAGTTCGGATGTTGTCTAACGGTGGATTAATTTGCACGTGATCCACATTGATCAGTTTCGGTGACTTGTGTATGACATACCACGATACCAGTCTGCACTCTGCAGACGCATTAATTAACCTTGAAACTTGAAAATGTGCTGTGTTAAACGACGCAATCGCGTGTTGTTGATAAGTATGTTGATAGGTCATTGATAGCTCGTCCGATATGATAAGTTTATACGGTAATGTTGTACTTAAGCTTATCGTTAGTTTTATGAGGTATTTCTGCAGATGCCGGCAATGTGGTATGGATAACGGGTGCCGCTGGTTTTGATGCGGGAAACGATCTGACGGTCAGCAATGGGCGGTGGCCGATACAGTTCACGGGATGGCTGGACGATAATCGTATTGTAGTCATCCCCGGGCGGGAAATCTTCCACGTGGATATGACAGGAAAGGCCAGCGCCAAATTACAGTTGTCGGAGACTTTTGTGAAAAATCATACGATAACTGATTACCAGCAGAGCCAGGCAAGGAACTGGTCTTTTGTGGCCGCCGTCCAGCTGGATGTAAGGAATGAGGAGAAAACATGTGCGATGGTACATACGAGTACTTTTGGATTTTTAGGTCGATCACGCCAAAGGCTCATTGGAAGTGTTCAACGTGAAACAATCAGTTTCCGGCAAAGTCAGCGGATTTGCTGGTGCTTTTGTAAATGAAGCCAGCCGTTTGCAGCAGATACTTGTTGCCGATACGAGTGTGGATATGACATGTATCCTTTTAAAATGCGTTGAAGTGGACTGCGTAGAACAACCCGCTGCTGCTGTGAAATGTAATATTAGGAATTTCGCCGAATTGAAATATCCTGTTGACGAAAATGGGATTGAAAAAGATTTCCCAGTTGCTGTGAAGGTTAGAACTTGAAGATGTCGATGTTTTTGGTTTCTTACTCTTACACTGCTTGATTTTCGTTACAGATAAGTAGTCACGCTAGCGAAACTTTAGCGTTTGTAGTCACTAAAAGGGGATACGTCCATATATTTGATTTCCGGGGCATGTGCCATCTGAAGTCTGTGAAACTTAATGATTCTGCTACTGACTGCATTTTGGATGTGGTACGATCGAAAAGAGGAGTTACTGTTGTGAATAACGAGGGACAGGTGAGAAATTAAATGGTTTATAATATTATTCACTTTCTACCTGAAAAGAGGGTTTACAGGTGATGAATTTGAATTATATCTTAGGTTATCCAGATAACTGCAACCTATTCTAGTATCATTCCCCTCTTGTTGGAGAAGAATATGCCAGATGCAGCAGTGCGATACGCTTTGGCGCATAGTAGCTCATTACCGAACGATGTGTTTATGTCTGTATTTTTGGCTATTCTGCGTTCCGGCTCCAGTTTGGATAGGCTTCTTCCATTTTGCCAGTTAAATATGGACCATCTGTCCGCCGCACAGGCACTTGAAGTTCTTAGGGAATGCATAGTACGGCTACATGGCTTACCACACCTTCCTTTGAGCCATTTTGCTGCAAAAGTTGGCGAAAAGGTCGGCGTTGATAAGGTTGTTACAATTTTTGAGCAACATTCGGACGAGAAAAGTGAGTACTTAATTGTTTTGATTGTGAAGTGGTTTGAGTGCAGTACTTAAAGTGATAATACTGCCGTGTTGTTAGAATGTATTGCCACCTGATAAAAATATTTTATTTTTTATTGAACCTTTACAGGAGTGTTTCTATTTTTAAACACACTTTCGCCGGGCAAGATGTCTGAAAGTGCTGTGAGCAGATATGTCAAGGTATTGAACCACATCTTCGTTTTTTCTTGATTTATTTGGACTGTATTGCAGCCATAAACCATACAATGCATACGAAAACATTTATTATCTAGGCTGGATTGAAAACTGATCAGCTGAAGGCTTTGACACATTTTGTTTCCAACATAAAAACTCCTTATCCGAAAATTGTACTGGATTGCTTGCTCATGGAAAACGCTCCGCCGGCTGTTATTGATCCGCTTTTGGAGACGTTTTGCATTAAGAACTCTTCGCTCATTCAATTGGTCATCTACCGGCTGAAGAATCGGCTTCCAGTGCGACTTCGGCCACTGTTAAGAGAGCTCCCTGGAGAGGTGGGTTTTCTGTTTTTTGGCCAAATTTTTCTTTGGCTGTAATATTTATGGGACAGTTGAATTTGTTTTATAAGTTCTAATAACTGTGTTCCTTGGTTTTCAAGGAAATCATCGCGCAGCTTGAGTCAGTTTTGAAATATTTACTGGGCTTAAACGATGATTTAACGATATTGGACGTGAATTTCGATATTGGATTGACCGCCGGCATGCTCCAAACCGTTCAGGATAGCATTTTGAAGGAACTGGAGCAGGACCAAAGCCAGTAAATATCGTAAAAAATAGTTTAGATTTTTAGCGTACGTGTTTTGACGCTTGGATTTTTTGCAGAATTGCTGCTTTGCGAAAGTTTTTAGAATTCCTAGTTGCAAAGGGTGTCACAGACCCAGCTGTACATTCTCGTTTGGCCAAGCTTTACATCGAACGGAAACACCTTGAAAAGTTATATCCGTTCCTCAGGTCTGAAACCATAATATTGAAGTCCTGTTTTAGGATAATTTTAAGCAAAAGTTACTGTGTGGAAGAGTGATGTATACACAGAACATGTGCTGTCATTGTTGAAAGATTTCTCCATTTTAGAAATAATAAATTATATGATGCGGTTGCCATCGGTCAGTGGTGTGAGGAACAGAATGATTTCTCCATAGCCCTGACAATTTATGAAGAGCGGAATCTCAGTGAACACTTCATCCGAGTATGAGTTACTTGTCCAGCTGCGTCTGCGATCCAGTTGTAACTTTCCGTTGGTTTAGGTTAGTGGCCAGTTGGGTTCGTACCGCCGTCAATTGAGTCACCTTTTAAAGTCACGCAGTGAAAATTTGTGGGACAAGGTTTTAAGCGCCGATAATCGATTCCGGTTGGACCTTCTGACCACAATGTTAGAAATGACCGAGGGAGACGAAAACGCAATCTACGATGTTTTCGAAGATGTTTCCGTACTTGTCCCAGTTATTGGCAAAACTGAGCTGATATCGGAAACACAAGCATTAATCCGGAAACTGTTCAGAAAACACTATGCCCCGGAGCAAGTTCAGTGAGTAACATCCTTGCATAAGAGCGTCGCATTTCTAAATTGTCGCTTGATGGTTTCTAGGTTTTTGCAATTGTGGTCGCTCAGATCGCTTTTGAATGGAGAATTATCGGAAGAACAGATGGAGATAATGTACGGTGAACAATTATATTCATACGATCCCGGTGTAGTGGGTTCGGTCCTTCAAGAAGCAGGGATGCTGCGAATTGCAAAGAAGGTTTTTATCAGAGGAAAGTGTTGGAATCAGGCAGCACAGGTTGGACTGCTAAAGACGACTGTGGGTGTTAGAAAGCTGTGTGTTCGTAAAATGTTTCATTGCAGTTGTTGTCGTCTCAAAAAGACATGGATTTAGGCACGATGAAAGAGTTGGCGGATTTGAGTCGAGATCCGAAAATGTTAGCTGCAGTTGGCCTAACATATATGAAAAACGGCGAACTAGTGTATGCCTTGCGCTATTTTGTGGATGCCGGTTGTTTTACGGACTACAACTGGGTTTGTTCCATGGTGCATTCCGACGATGCTTTCGGTAATCAAGTGCAGTGTGAAAAAATTTGCGAAAATTTAAGGTTACGTATTTAGCTGAGTGGGAATTACTAATCCAGTTCCTTGAGGGTGCACGCTCCATTGCGAAGGATTCATGTATTACTGTGACCTTGGCTCTTGCGTACGGGAAGACAAGCCGTATCCAGGATCTGGACAGACTTAGTAAGATTCATGCACAATGTTTGTTTTTCGACTGTTTGAGTGATTTGCTTTGTGCGTGTTTAGTGTCGGGTGATCTGGAGATGAGCGTCCCTCGTGATGCTAATGCCTGCCGAATCTGTGAAGATCTTCCTAAGAATATCACATTCGTTCCGTGTGGTCACATGGTTGCTTGTGAAGGGTGCGCGAAAAATCTGAAAGCATGCCCAATCTGCCGCAGCGTTATTGAGCTTAAAGTTAAAACATATAGCGCCTAGTTTTTTGTTGCCTTTTTTATGGTCTGCTTTTTTCTGTTAACATTCCATCTTTAAAGGCTGTGTTTCAGTTCTCGGGTTGTTCAGCTTTGCCCTACGCTGCTTAATGCAAACTTGTATATTTTCTGAAAATTGTGTAGTTCATTGCAGAAGGTATCATTAGATCCAGCCTAAGTTTTTATGGAAGCGAGAAGTGAATGAAGATTACGGTAATAGCATGCACAAAAGTCACCCTAGCACAAACAGATCAACAGGAGGATATTAATGTTGATTTTCACACACACATTTTCTACACGTTTATTACAAGACTGCATTAAGCATGCATTTTAAATTCTTGTTTTTCTAAAAATTGTCCGTAGTACGAAATTTTTTAGGAACTCTCAACACAGACATCGCATTCAAAAGAAATAGGAAAATTAAATAATTATCAGCGCTCAAATAATCCCAGCTGCATGGCCGCAATCAGCGGAGCCGGCTGTCCCATGACGCCCGACGACATTGGTTGTACTGCGCCCTCCAACGGCGATTCCGTCATCGTCGAGCCCACCTTGTACATCGGTCGTAGTGGACTGGTATTTTCTGATCCAGCGTTCATTCCCGGATTCAGACGTCGCTGGGGCTGCGCTGGAGTACCTTCCGGTTGCGCTGCCTGACTGGATTTCGCCACAGGGACCCGCCCTGTCTTCGGCGTCGGTTCCGATAGCGCGCCTCCAAACAAGCTAAAGGGCAGCATACCTAGTGCCCCTAACCCTTCCAGCCCAAACCCGTTAGACTGGTAATTGGGGAAGTAACTGCTGCGCTGCATACCACCCATATGCATCCCGCCAAAAGATCGCGCTTGCGGCATCATCCCGTATGCTGGCGGCATCATCGGTGACGGCCGACCCATATAGTGCAACGCCCCCAACAATTGGGTCAACGCCGGTCCGCGTCCCTCTTCCAGAACATCAACTACCGCTTCAAAGGGAAACGGATCCTTCGTCGGGGCCGGTTTATCGGTGGTGGTTGTCGGCTGTGGATTGCTGGCTGCGCCGGTAAAGATCGGATTGGACCACGGATTGGACATAGTCGGATACTGAAAGTGATGATTTTGTGAGCCGAACATGGAGTTATAATGGGCCAAGGGTTGGCCGGTTTGTGATGGAGAACCGCTTTCTGCCGCTACCATGCGACCTATGGGGGACTTCGCTGTGGCGGTATCCATCGAGCCGTTGGGGAACACTATCGCCACGGTTGGAACTGGCGTTGTAATGAACCCCATTTTCGTGTTCTCCACTAACTTGGCCGCCATGGGACGATTTGGACTCTGCATCATAGCAGCTGCCAGCGCCAGGGCACCGTCACCGGTTCCGCCTTCCGCCAGTTCCTCCATGGCATCCTGCGCAGCAACGGCCGCAGCCAGACGATTGACCGGATTGCCAAGTTGTGGTTGAGGTTGCGGCGGCGCCCCCGCCAACTGCCCGCCAATGGACGGCCCCGGAGGGCCACCGCCACCGCCTAACATGGCGGCCATCCCTGCTAATCCCGCTAAATCCCCGCCGCCCAACGGCTTCAATTCTATCTCCGGCATCATGCCAAAGCCTTTGAACTCCACTTCGGTCATGAACGGCAGGAGGGGACCACCGGGCCCACCCAGCCCCGGCATCATGGGCGGCAGCAGTTGACCGGCGGATTTCGGCCGGTTGGGACGAGGCATTGATCCGAACGTCACCACCTGGAAATCAGGTGGCAGTGTAACGTTAGCCAGTTGACTGGAGTCTGCCGCCGCCAGTAGATCAAGTTCAGTGCTGCTCGCTGTATCGTTGCTGCTGCTGGTCACATTGGCGGCGGTTGCATTGATCAGCGGTAATCCGGCCGCCGGCTGACCTTGTGGTGCGATGAAATCCGAACTGGTCGTCTCGGTCGAGTTCAAGGTAGCGTTCGCAGCCATCTCCGCATCGGAAAGCAACAGGGATTTGGCACTGCGCGCTGCTGCGGATGTCTCGCCGAGCGGGACTCGGAAGAAATTGACACTGAACAGTTTGTACGACAAGTCATCGGCTAAAAAGCCCGCATCCGCTGAACTCATAGAGTATGCGGCGTCGGTGTGATGACGCGTTAAATTTCCCGTGAGACCCAAGGCGCCGCGATTGAAATTCGTTGGGGATTTCCAAAAGGACGAGCCAGAAAGAACGTCTGCTGTGGTATTTTCAGCAGACAAATTGGACACAGTTTTACCATCCGCGTGGCCGGTTGTTATCGAAATTGCTGCGATGGTATCGCTCTCAAGATTCTTGGTGCTCGTGTTCACAGTACTGCAAAAACAACAAGATTCACGGTTAGACATATTACCAGTTTAGCTAAATTTAACTAAAATCATGCTTCAAATACAAATGCTAAAGTGAAAGAAAATTTTGCGAATCATTGTTCGAATTCGTCAAACAAATCGTGTAGCAAATCCTTTGCATATCTGGAGTCACTCGTGTATGGTATACGATATTAGAGATACTTATTCTCCTTAGTCTGTCTTATTATGCTACCGGTTCGTCCTATCATACACTCGAAGACCATAAACAATTGATAATCCATCTAAACAGACACCTGATATACATCGCAGAGCAACATACAACCGACTTACCTAGTTGTGCTTTCACTTGAACTTGACACCGCCGGCAAAGTGGTCATCCCAGTCGTGGACGATTCGACATCCTCCACCGTCGAGTGACCGCTTCCCTTGTCATTCTTCTCCGCTATCTCCGTGGTGGCTGCATCCGTTCGATGGCTAGGCGGGGGCGTCGTTGTGACCGTCGAGGTGCTTAGCGATACTTCGGGAGTCGGTGTCGATGCCACCGTTGTCCATATTTTATTCATGACTTCCGGTGAACTGCGAGTCGTATCGGTTATCAGCGCCGACACATCGTAGCGCAGTATGTCCGGACTATCGCTCACCGGGGGCGTCGTTCGGGTAATTTTCTCGGCGACTTTTTGGAAGACACGCAGCAACGGATCCTGCGTGGTTTTTGTCTCCGGCTGCGGCGGTGAAGGATTCTTCACCGTGCCATTCACCTCCGCAACTTCACCTTTGACAGTAACAAACACCCCCGATGAATTACGCCCACTTTTCGGAACCACTTCAATTCCCCCGATAGGAATGGATATCAAGCGCATATTCTTCTCCACCGGGCGCTTCGAAGTTTCCGTCGTCATTTCCACCGTTGTGGTGTCCCGCGTTGTAGTCACTGTGGCAGTTGGTACAATTTCCACCTTTTCCGTTGTCGGCGGTGGCATATCGTCCGATCGTCCCAGCGGTCCCGTTGTATTACTGACCAGTGGTAGCCCGTACGGCAGAATATCGTACTGATCACGACCGCCGTCGATATACCGCTGTGCGGCATTGATGGACGTGGAAGCGTACTGCTTGATGGGAGCCTCCAGATTCTGATGGTACTTCATTCCAGCACCACTTTTAACGGCACTCCCCGGACAATCGTAGTCAACAGGACAACAGTCATCACCACGATAAATGGCACGGCATTTATCCGAAAATTTATACGGTAATTTGCAGGCGACCGGCTGACAGCTGCTGACACCGGTCGACTTTGAACACGAGCAGGCTGAGCAGCGTGCAACGCTCCGGGGACCTGTGCTGAGGAGTGTCTCATTGAATATTGTGCACTCTGCAAATAAGAAAAGGTCACACAAGTTGTACATGCATGTTGAGGACCAACAATCTTAAGCAAGTTAACAAAGCTATACAGAAGATAGGAATAGGAAGGAACTACCTGCCGAGCCTTTTTTTACTCTCTAAAAAGAACCATTAGAAAAAGTTTACTTACTGCACAGATAGTCCGAGGGGCAGCATTCCTTGCCCGAATATACCGGCGTGCAATCATTCCCACCCAGTTCAGCAATCCACGCAGGCCTCCCACAGTGGGCTGCAGCCTCACAAATGACCTTTCCATTGGATCCACAACGGCAATCCTGGCATTTCTCGTTCCCGTTTTTCATTGAATCGCCTGCCCTGTATACCGCTCCTCCGACTAGGCAAATCGCTAAACCTGCATTAAAAGGCATTTCTTTACATGATTCCAAAGGCTGAGAACACCCAGTAGGCTGACTCGCATGTGCAGGACGTTGCGTATATGTTACCGACTTTGATTTTTTGTTGTACTGTTACCAAAAGCAAAAAGATCTCAAAAATCACAACTACTCGCAAAACAGCAAATCGATACCAAATTTGTACAAAAATGTTACTGAACGACAGTTTTGCAAGAATTTTCGCTACACATTTAATTTTCCACAGATGAGACAAATCATCAATGTCATCCAATTTTACGTCATTGTGACATCGTATAAATTTCCAGTGTCGCGCTTGCGTTCTTCTCCATTACTACATTATGTAATCGACCATCGGTCACATTACAGATCAATTTTATCAGAACAGACAGCAACGCTGCACTCACGGTCGCAAGCGAAACTCCGTTCGCAGCAGACATGTCCGCTAATATTGCGGCACGGAGCATCCGGTGGGGGTCGGCATTCTGTGATTTTGTTCAAGGATTCGCATAAGATGTTCCCTTTGGCACCGCACACGCACTGGCGGCAGGGATGATGCAGCGGCACAACGGCGCCCGGGGAATAAACGTTGCCGGCAGAGTCCACGCATGGCGTTGGCTGATTACCAGTGTCCGGTAAATTTTGAGCAGATACTAGAAAATCATTTTTCAATGGGCAGCATGTTAGTTTTACAAACTTTCCATTAATGTTATCATGCCTTTAATATACAACACGAAATTTAAGACTATAATAACAGGCACATCCAGTATTTTTCGGTACACATCTCCATTAACTGCCACAGATGACGCCAACCTAGCTGATGACCTTTTACGTGCACTAGATGCACACCAGAGAAGTATAATGTATGAGCTTGCGCATATCTATCTATATTTTAAAACAATAATAGTTTAAGTGATGCAGCTAATACATAAGTCGGAAATGTTGAAGGCCAAACAACACTAAGCCGCAGAGAACATAAAAAACAACCAGCTTTATAAATAACGTCGAACAATCAAATACACTGCGACAGAAATTAATGAAAAGTATTGCAAATCTCGTTTCCATAACCATCTCGTTTCTCGTTTCCATCACGTTAATACGTTTAATATTACCTGAATTTGAGCAAAAGGATAATAAGACACAACAACATGAAAACAAAAAGATTGATTCTCGCATTATGGCGAAGAGTGTCACCGGTTAATTGGCGAACATAGATGATGCGGCACCGGATCCTCCCAACCAATTAAGCCGCATTGGGCTACAGAAATAACGTAATCCAGCCGCAGCATACAACGCATTACGCCACAAGCAAACTTTGATTATCCAAGTATCATCAACGATAAATATCAATATTTACACTGCTCTTAAAACATATTTGTATTCGACACCTTTATAATGACTATCAACGGCTTGTCAGCTGGACATGAGCAGTTTTTCAAAGCAAAAACACTTTCACCCAACAATAACCATGTACCCATCCACTGAACTCAGCATACAAACAGCCGCGGTAATACTGAATACCTGTTGAATGAAACAGACTCGACCGACCCGGCTGCTCACCAACTGCTGCCACATCCGCTCATAACGCGTATTATTAAAATGGCAGATGAGTGAGAGGGAACCCCATCATTTACCGGAAACGGCCCATTCACTCGTTGGTATGCGTCAATGTACGATCTCGGCTGTCTTCGTGATCCTACCATTGTACAGTACCGCCACGAGAAATGCTCTAACAAGCCCCTATCCTTGCCATCCTCCATATCAAATTTTCGTACTTAAAACTATAACCCGGGAACAATACACACAATTCTATGATTTCTATCCATTTCCGTTAATGGCAGTCCGCTGCGTGGTTCATTCGTTCACAAGCTCAAGCATTTTTCATCGAGCAACTCATATTTATCGGTACAGTACTGCTTGAAAGCTCAAACGAAATGGAAAGCGATATGTCACAGTAAATAATAATTTACGGCATGTTAATATTGTCAAGATAATAATACAGTACTGCTCATTTCCACCGCTGATGGTCAATGATCTGGTAAATGGTAGGCGGAGGTATCGTATGCTAATTAAAATGCAGTCATGCAATTGTTGTATCTGCCGCTCCGTTACTACGTACTCGAAATGTCGTTAAACAAACGTGATTTAAGGGTTGCCATAATAAAATTTTTAATTCACCACTATACATAAAAATTTTAAAACTACCGGGCATGCATTAGAGGCGCATTAGGCAGGCATGTACAGGCATGCTTTGAATGTAGGGTCGTACATTTTGACTTACGTTATTTGAGAGCGGTGACTCAACATGCACGAGCATTTCGCCACAATCACAGTCCACAGATGGTCTTAAAGGGTCGTTACAGGTAAAGGGTCGTTACAGATGCTTTCGCATGTAATGTACGGTTCCTTTCGTATTTTGCGCGGCTGTCCGAGGTGGCGGACCGGGTGGCGGAGGGGGCGGTGGTGGTCCATTCAGCGGCGGCTCCGGTACAGACTCCACGAGTGCATGATTTACATTATCTCCGTTATCCCCCAAAAGGGAAACAATGTTCTGATTGGCCGTGGCAATTCCGGACAGGAGCTTTTCCATCTGCAACAACCAAACAATCCAAAGTCAACGAATCAACGATAAACCATACGCAGTTGTAATATCGGTCTTACCAGTGAACTGTTATACCAGCTCGCAAATAATCCCGCAGTGGCCACAGTAGCAACGGGAGAGCAGTATTCATATCCTAATTTCTGAAAGCGTTACGTTGAAATTTATTACAGTTTACAACAATGCGTAAGAGGTTTAAAACAAAAAGAAATCCCGAAACAGCTACCTCATAAAAAGTTCGTGCGTCCTGGGCAGACAAATACATCTCGGAAAAGCCTTTCCTGCAATTTAACAAATATCAAAAAAATATTTTCGTCCAAGCATTAAACAACACAATATGGTTACTTGACTACTGAACCACAAAATCCACAATTTCACACTAAAGCAACAGCTTGCAACGAGTACACAGTACAAGCCACCACACCACACTCATCCGTAAAGTAAGTGTGGAAACAAATTGTTGCAGTCTCATGTCCAACGTATAAAATCTCATTATCTTAGTCGAAATAAGTATCAAATCCTCATTGTCAGCCTCCATACCTTCTCGCGTGATTTTCCGCTCCTTCCATTAGCAGACGCCCATATCCTTTGCCACGACAAGCTTTATCGATAACAACTGAAAAAGGATAACATTTTAAAATCCTCGTTCGGCAAAAAATAACAGGTACGCGTATAGCGCGTGCTGTTCACTAGTAAAGCTAAATTAGCTATTAGCCGAATTTATTACTTTAAAAAAAACGGAGAAAGCTGCACAGCTCGAAAATGAAATATTGATGACCGGAGGAAAACCGTGTGGTCAGTGGTGATCGCACTTGCCTGCTTCGAGGAAGCATCCTTCCGGTCTGCCGGGTACGGACAACAATCTGGCATGGCCCACCACACGAACAAGCGTCCCGTCACTCGCTTTCTCCACCAGTATTATCGATAGCGGTAAATTGTCCGAACTTTTTTCAAGCATCTCAATTCTGCAATGAAACAGTCTGATTCTGGACAGCAATGTAGAGTTCGGGGTAATACAAGGCAGCGCGCGATCGGAAATTAAACGCACCTAGTTTGAAGACTTTTCTTCCATTCGTCATTCAGAAGGAGTGCGCAAGGTTCAACGAATTCGGGATGATTGTGCAAGGGAACAACCAAAAGGTGCTCCACTTCGCCACTCTCCATTGCTGGAAAAAAGATATTTCATTTCAAATCCCTGTTGCATATGCAAATCTGGAAAGCGGCTGCAAGTTCTTACTTACAGAGACTCAACAGTAAAAAGCAAAGGTTCACCTAAAACTACTTCAAACTGCAAAGCTGCAAGCAACAAGCACAAAATTTTAAGAAATAAAAACAAAAACAAGGTAAAGTCAGCCTTTTAATAAGTTTACGATTTTCCGACTTACGAGTCTTGTAAAGTGGCACAACCGCCTTGGGGGCCGCCTAGTTGTACCTTTGAACGTCAAAACTCACTAAAACTTTTGTGCTTTTCGTTTTGATTTTTCTGATAAATTTCTTTTTTGTTTATGATCCGGAGCTGCACTCCACTAAATCTTTTTTTGATACGATTCAAAGGAATAAGCAGGAGAATAATTTTTTCCATCTCGTATTTTAAAGGCACAATAACTAGATAAGGCACTGTACAAAATGCCAAACACTGGCCTGACTCATCTTTTATTACCGCTATTTCGGCTATGATGCAATCGTACTCATATTCATGAAGATCGTGCAGTATGGCGATTATTTCTGGAAAAATTCACCACATCACCCAGAGGAACTGCTTTGTCAATCTCCCAGCTGGATGGATGGCCAATACACAGCGAACTCTGGTGAGACAGTTTGTATTCGTTTGTCACACAACATGCGTGAACTGTTGAGATGGAACAACCCTTCCGAACCTCCGCAAATCTTCGTAAACGAGAAACGCTGCAGTATTTTTTTCTTGCAGTCCGGAGATATTGTTGTACTGCGAGTCAGTTCCCTCGTGAACAGTGCCAACGAAGTATTCCTAGGATGGTCTGGCAACTCGTCGTTCTCCTTTGGCAGTGGAGAACATTTGGTGGAAATAGATGGGAGTTTTGCTGGACTGCATGGACTGCGGAACGGTGACGAGGTTGGCCAACGAGCCCGTGTGTAATCAACGTTGCGCGAAGAGTTAGAGCCGCTGCGTTCGATCTGTTGCAGAATAGACGATTCTGAGCAGTTGTGTTTTTATTCCAGGTTTACGCGGAGTTTGTTGCGGGTGCGAATGCGGCATGTGTGCGAATTGTTTTGACGCTGGATGACGCGTCTTCATGGACGGAAATTGTAAACATTTTACTGCACCCCTCTCTCGAAAATTTAAATTTCGCAGTATAAAAAATATGATAATTTTGGTGCTGATTTTTTTAATGTAAAAAATTGACAGCATTGTGAGCATTTTAGTGCGCGTCTTTGCACTGGCTCGAAAAATTAAATTTTCGATGAATAAAACGATGTAAATTTTTGCGCTAATTGTTTTACTGTTAACATAGTTTATGTATCTATCTGTATGTATGTACTTACATGTCATGTATGTACATGTTCATGTATGTTCATGTATGTATTTATTGAAAGCCATTTCCGGTGTTTTGCAGTCAAAGCATGGAGAATTCATTGAACAGCATCTGTTGGATGTTATCAGAGTGGTGTCATTGGGCATCAAATTTCCCATCTGGCTGCCCAATTCATCTACCAAATCTCACGTTTTTTGCGTGGTGAAAATGGAACCCGAAATGCCTTTTACAATTTTAATGCCGGAAACCGTTGTTGAGATCCTTCCGCATAACAGTGCGAACGGTACCGTTAGCCCTTTCATCAACAATTCCACTCCGCCTCGTCCTTTTTCGGCACTCCGCCCGGAACAGGCGTCTTTTCCTTTGACATCCATGATTTGGGATTTGTTTATCAAACGGGCCAGTCCCGTGTCTCCGGCAGCGGTGATTCAACGCGACCAAACAGAGACGACGGATCAGTCATCAGAAATATTTCGGAAAAATTTGGAGATTCCATTATTTTCTGAACGGTATTTACGAGGCTTGCCAAAACTTGTTGTGTTCAATTTATGGCAACTGTTTGTGCAGAAACATGTAAATTTTCGAAGGACCAGAAAATTTAGTGTACCTAATGCATGTGTAACAGCTGACATTGTGTAATCGTTAAGAGCATTTTTTTGAATACGAGTTTCTTTCCAAACTCATTTTCCTGGAAACGAGACCGCAAGCCATTTGGCTGGGCCTATACATGTTTTTGCCAGTAGGAAAGAGGAGAAAATTGAGGCTAACAAGGAATATTCCGCTCTTCTCCGGGTACAGGAAATTTTTCCGCTGGATCGCATTGCGGAACCTAATGAAGAAATGGAAAACGTAGCGCTGGCCTATTCTTGTGCCTTTGATCATGATATTGGATTGCATTGTGATCGTATTGTCAACGGCTCACTGCGCGTTATTGCGGTTCCACACCCCTCAAGCCAGTCTGATGCACAAAAAGAAAAACCGGCGCCGTCCTTTGAAATCTCGATAAGGTTAATTTGTGACGACAATAACGAAGCGGTCATCAAACGGAAACATATCGGATTATCTAGACCGTTGATACAGCGTCTCAGCTTGTTGCGGTTCTCCGTCATCCTGGTGACGTTTTCTGAAAACTCTCTCAAAGCAGCCGAAGAGGCAGCGTATTCTGTGGAAGATGTTTTCACCAATTCATTCCGCAAATATAGTATTTCTTTGGCAGCGGCTGTATTTCCAAAACTTTGTCAGCATATTATCGGTTATGCCGACTTGGCATTGTCCTTAACGAATTTTTCTACACACTTCCATCCTCCGCATTATTTCGTGTTTTCCGGTTTACTACTTCTTGGTGGTATCGGAACGGGGAAAACCACGATCATAATGGATATCGCGGAAAAACTGACAGCTGCTCCGTATTTTGTCCATGTGGAAACCATACAATGCAAACTAATTCGCGGTACTGCTTTTATTTTAATACTTTGAGCGGCTAGTTTTACATTTACCTAACCTGTGTTCAAGCTTTTTATGCCTATAGGGAAACGCCCAGATACGCTACGGAAAGTATTGGAAACACTTTTTGAAGAAGCAGTCCATAAACAGCCATCGGTACTGCTTTTCGATGACATTGAATATTTGGCGGCCAACATTACCAACGACAATGACACTGAAGTCGAGTACGCGTACCGCGTTGCGCATATTTTGGTGGATATGCTGAATTTGCTGCGGCAGCGGCGCGATCGGGTACTGTTTTTCGGTACCTCGACATCTCGTGAAGGAGTGAATGAGTTGCTGGTTAAGCGGGGATCTAGTTCTGTGTTTCACCGATTTGTCGATGTGCCGACATTACATGGGGAACAACGCAAGGTCATGCTTGAGATGTTGTTCGAAGATGAAGATGATCTTTGCGACGGGGGTGTGGATTTCGCCAAAATTTCTGATAAAACTGAAGGGTTTATAATGAGGGATTTTCGGGTATTCATGAAGAAAATCCGAAACGGCAGTATTTTGTCCGATATTAAATCGAAAGGTGAGGTAGTTATACAGCAGTTTCTGTGGAAATATCTGGAAATTTTACTTTTCAGATGGGCGTCTTAGCGTTCCGCTTGAAATCATTGACTCTGCACTAGAATCCACGATTCCTGCATCCATGCAGAAGGTAACAACATCGCGTCAATTGGACTTATCGGCCGGATGGGAGGATGTAGGGGGCCTACAGTCTGTGAAGGAGACATTAAAAGAAATTTTCATTCACCCTGTAAAATACCCCACATTGTATGCCAAATGTCCGCTGCGCTTACCGCGTGGTATCTTACTTCACGGTCTTCCGGGAACAGGAAAGACGTTTGTTGCGGGTGTCACTGCAAAAGAAATGGGGATAGGCATGATATATGTCCGAGGGCCGGAGCTGCTGTCCAAGTACATAGGCGCGAGTGAATCGAAGGTACGGAAAAGAGTGACGGTCGTTCGTTGCTTCTGAGATTTGGACGTAGATGTTGAAGGTCTTTCAGGTTAATTAAATTTTCCAGGTACGGGATGTTTTTGAGCGTGCACGGTCTGCCAAACCCTGTTTAATACTATTTGACGAATTCGATGCGATCGCTCCGCGGCGTGGTCATGATTCGACGGGCGTCACGGATCGCGTGGTAAATCAGTTATTAACAGAAATGGATGGGATAGAGAGTCTGGATGGAGTGTTTATTATAGCAGCAACTAGCCGACCGGAACTGATTGATCCTGCGGTAATACGATTAATTTTGTATTGTATTTGTTATGGCTGCCGCGCGATGCCGTCTAGAAACTTCACAGCATGCTTAAGCAGCAATTGCTCCTCTGAGCACTATACTGTGCTCAAAGGTAGCCAATTGATCAATTTTTATTTGAAAATTTGATTTCGTGTCAGGGAGGGTTAATTTCTCATTACCATTGTAAACAGTCAAAATGGTCTTTCCACTGGCAGATTCTGCGACCCGGAAGAATTGATAAATGCTTGTACTGTCCGTGCCCCACCCGCGGCGAACGGTTGGAGATCTTGGGGATTCTGGCTCGAAAAGTGCTTTTGAATGATGACGTGGATCTGAGCGAACTGGCCGATCAGACCGATGGTTTTACCGGTGCAGACTTGAAATCTGTGATCACCGATGCTCAGCTGTATGCCATTGAGAAGCGTGTTTACCACGACTTGTCTCCGGAATCGGTAATGGGCCCTGGGAGTAATCCTGATCGGATGTCCGAAGTATCCCGTGATAACACTTCAGATAACAACATGATCAGCGCAAATGCATCTCCATCGAAAATAATAGTAAAGGTTGCAAAAGCAGACATCCTGCAGGCAATGAAAGAACGGCAACCATCGGTTTCGGTTGAAGAACGGATTCGTTACGAATCTCTGTAAGTGAAATTTCCCCACCAAATACGGAGATTTTTGATTGCTTTTTTGTGTTATCTCTTGCTTGTTTTCTTGCCTTTGCGCTGAGAAACGCAGTTTCAACAAAGGCATGGTTTTTTTAGAGTGGCCAGTTTACGGAGCAATGGAGCATCCGCTTTGCACCGGTTCGCTAAACGTGGAGTTTATGCCACCCTAGCTTAACGTGATAAATTGGTTTAATAGCTTTTGAATGATGAGTTTCTGTGATGCTGATTGTGATCGTCTTTTCTTACTTGGTCTGATGTTTTAAAAATCAGTTGTTGCGTTGCCTGGTTGCTTCTAGGCTGCGAAAACTAGTAAAATAGGATAACGGTCCGATAACTATATAAGGAACCAGATAAATCTTTTACGAATGTGTAATCCGGGTGTCGTTGTGTCGTTCTGAGATTGTCATGTGAAACGACATTCAGTTACGTATACGAAAAATCAAAAATGTTATGATCCTCAGTCATATTACACAAACTAATGCTACATTTAAAATTTCAACAGCTTCAGATCACTGGAAGCATTTTTCAAAAAAAATTAAAATAAAATATTTCAAAACCATTATTTGAAAGTCATGATCACTGAACGGTAATGACCATCTGCCGAATTGGTCTGCCGGAAGCCGGAGATTATTGCTAAGCATGAAACTGACAAATATTGGCGCTGGTGTTATCGGGTATTTACCGCATCGAGCACCTGCACGTGCGGACAATTGCATTAAAGCGTGTGGTTTCCTGTGACGTCAGTGGGGAACGCGCATTTGGGGAGGAGACAGTGATCAGCAGTCTCCTGCCGCGTTTGCCCATTTATTTAACATAGAGTAGTCATCGGATAGCATCATGCCTACACGTACTGGATTCTAAATCTTTGTTAATCAAATTACATCGACATGTGATCCCGAATCTCGAGCGGTATATATATAAGACCAATATTTGATGCATCATGAAGCAATAATTTGTATAGAAGTTTTGGACCGTAAGGAAATTTAGCTAACATGTACGAAAAGGGTTCAACCGACGTTCCATACACGGCAGGTGCCGGCAACAACACAACCGCCGTCGAGGAAGATGAGTTTGGGGCGCCACCATTTCGGCGATTTCGTTTTATTTATTTCATTCTTCTCAGTGTTTTAGCCACCTGCGGAAGCGTTTATCTTTTCCTTGCTTTGTTGAGGAAGGGTTTCTTTAAAATACATTTCTACTTATTTGTTGGGCATCTCTCTATTATCTATTTCATTTTTGGAATCTTTATTATACCTTTCTACATTGCAATGTAAGTGACCTTTACATATTCGCACAAGTGCCTTGTTTCATATTACCGGCATAGTGCAGATACTATTTGGGATAGACCTAACTCACCATCAGTAACTGTTATAGAATCAGTGCGTTAACCGAAGGACATAATAATTGTGCCGGGTTTTGTCGCTTGCTGTAGGTTCACGCTAGAGGGATACTGGCCTTTCGGCGTGGGTCTTTGCATCACGTTTAACATTGTGCACAATGTATGCGTGTATGAAATGTTAGCAACAGTCGTTCTAATAGCTGCAGACCGGTGAGTTACCCTAAAAGTAAAATTTACTAATACGCAGCGATATCGAATTATACATCACATTTTTCTAAAATGCTTTACGCGTTTGCTAAAGAAACGGAAACAAACATAGATAAACCACTTGATTCACAATTAATCACCTGTACGATCACTCGTGCACAAAATTAGACAAAATACTCTCTACATAGTATATGTAGAAATATTTGTAGTATTAAAAATTAAAAACGTCTGTATAAGACTCTGCATAATGTTGTTTCGTGGATTCACATGCAGGCTGTGGGCGATGCAATGGCCGCACCATTATCGGGCAAAACGCACTTTTGGAAACATGGTTGTTACACTGGGCTTGTCTTGGATATATTGTTGCTTTACAGGTAAATCTGCGTCTCGTTTGCATCTGAATGTCTTAACAATAGTACTATTAACTGTTTTTATCATTACCAATTAACACTATTGACGGTACACCGGTAATATTGTTTTGACGGTACACAGTATTAGTGATGTTACCATAATATATGCTAAGCCTCTAAAAAGCGGTAGCATTTTTTCTGATAACATTTTCTAGAACGCCCCACGAATCACGCATAATCTATGCAGTACAAGCAATAATTAAGTGTACTGTGGTTCTGCTAACTGTATATAATTGTTTTGTTGCTTTCGAACAAACGTCCGAAGTATGTTGAATCAAAAACAGAACTAAAGCCTAAGTAAATATTTATATGTCATATGTAACGTAAATATTGGGCAGCTACCCACGCTTTGCTTATGAATAACACAGACTATTATATATTGATACAGTTTCTGATTTCTAATTTACATGCAAACCTGATATGCTTCAGTTTTCCCCACCGTAATTCACGATCGAATCACACAATCGTACGCAGCGACCGTGTGCGACATTGCAATTACTCCCAATTTCCAGTACTGGACAGCTACGATCACAATGGGATTTCTCATACCATCCGTGCTGGCGTTGTGCATCTATGGCACTATTTTCTACATCGCTCTTGTCCGTATCTTCAGAAAGCGATCCAAAGTGTTTACAGTGGCAACAACAACGAATCCAACTAGCCAAGTCACGTCTCATTACGGTAGCTAAGCTAAATTAGTTCTTCATCCGCGTAGTGTTTTCTCATAGTTAAATAAGTACTGCAAAACCATATCTTAGATTATGTATGCCTATGAAAATGTAGATTATGTATGCCTTAATACTATGCAGATAACAATGAACCAGAGCTCAAAGAAGCTGCGGATTCACGTAATAAGAGGAAAGGGTCAAGGACACCACCGCATCCTGGCATCGTGTCAGGGGCCACTTCGCGCAAACCCGGAGATTACTCTACAGAAAAAACTGCCGGCGGCACATTGGTTCGGCAAAACACAGAACGCGAGCAGCGAGTTCTGTTCGTAATGTTGGTGGTGATGGTCAATTTTATTGTGTGCTTACTGCCCTATGCTACCTACTGTGTCCTGTGGTTCTACAACTTAATGGTAAGTTACAGCACTCCTCTTTATTATATTCTTTGCAACATAAAACTACTTCGCTATATTGATTAGTTATTTTAATTATAACCATGTATGTCATATGATTAAAAATTCTTTTGCGAACGCTTAGTGAGAGCGGATGACGATCGCGATTTTCTGGTTAAGACAGCACTTTCCGGTTAGCTAAAGGTGCTTAACCGAATGCATTGGTTTTGATTGCAGGCACCAAATCGGTATTTTTTCACCGTTGGCCATTTGCTGCTTTTCAGCCATCCTGTTCTAGACACATTCGCATTTATTTTTACGAACAAAGAACTGCGCCAGCCACTTCGTTTTTGGAAATGATCATGGCATGCTCTAGAGTACGTACGTACTGGAATGAGAATTATTCGTAGTGGAAGATGATCTATATGCTTCGTACAATTCTGCTTTCTATGCTTTGTACAATGCTTTGTTCATATGCTTTGTATGCTTTATTTTCATATGCTTTGTCCAATTAACACCTTTCTACAGTTATATACGTAACGTAGTTATATAAAAATATTTACATACAGTACTTATATAAAAATCTGTCGCACTTGGAAGTCTACGTATACTGCGCATATCATCCTTGCAACACTTGGAAACGTAATTACTAGCCCGGCCGGTACCAACGGTAACCAGCTTAATCATTACTATTATGCCGGCCAGTAACTGCCACTGACACTCCGAATTCCTGCAGATCTAGATAGGTTAATCTTTCCAAAGGGTAACGTAATTTTGCTGTTCACTTTATTTTTACTTTTTAGTGAAATGCCGGTTATCTAATTAACTGGACGATCCCTTGTATAATGATAGTGCACTGCCCGCACTAATAGCCCCTTGCCAATCCCCTTGACGCGCTGTGCATTTTGCATGCATGCAGATTTTGGAATTCGCTTTTCCGTTTTCTGCATTATGGTCCTTATATTTAGCTACTTACACTAATGACTTTTACGCTATCATTAAGAGATCTGCAAACAATTTCGTGATTGGACGGATATGCCGCTTGTTGGGCATGCAAAACACTTCCCGGAATCCTGCTGCAAAACTGGACGCTGCACGCTACTCCAACATTTGCATGCAAAAGCATAATAGTAATCGGCGTGTACGTTCTTTGTAATCGGCGTTTCATATTTGCCAACGTCTGTACCTGGATTGATATTAAACATACTTTATCATCATGCTTGAGCGTTACTGTAACACGTCAAATGTTTTGTTTTCAGAATTATTCAAACGTATGTAAAATGTATGTTCAATATATTAAATATTAATGCGTATATGACTTATAATTATGCATAACTTTTCCCATAAATAGACTGAGAGTTTGGGAAGTTATTATGATTAGCATAAATTGTCTGCATCTTTATCCACAAACGTTCAGAAATCAAACAGACATAATTTTGCGCATTCCATAATTATTTAATTCCAAATACTAATGTGCAGAACAGCTGCAACTACATTTGGCTGTAGTGCAAAATGTACCCAGTGTCAAAAGGGCTGATTGCTCCCATGATTGTATATAAATTAAAGCCGATTTTAACAATGTACTCGGGACTTAATTTCAGTATCCTACCTTGGACAAGGTTACTTTTTCTACTAAGAAAAATACCACGGTTGCATTGAGCATGCAGGTGCCTGGGAACTCAAGTGGGAATGCGTACCAGCTCGACGCAATTCAACAGCTGCAACTTCATATTTCGGTCGCATTAGGTAAATCTGATCATCTTAACTTGCAGAACTGTCGAGGGTTGGCATGCTGTAAACTCTTTAAACAACCATTTCCTCATGCCATTTTTTAGACCGAGAACAAAATTAAAGGTCATTCACAGAGAAGTGTAATGTATGCCGTATGCATATGTCATATTTATGAGCTATGGTGTAGCAACTATGATACATCGAAATTTTACAATTTATTGGGGACTGCTTACATGCAGTCTGTGCATGAAAACTTTTTAAAGGGTAAGGTGGGAAATTAAAATATCGAAGGTATTTAAGGGTGCGAATTAAACAAGAAATTTGGGGAGGAAGGATGGGAAAGAAGGGCTTTTGGTTTTCCGAGGGGAAATAAAGCGGGCAACATTCCATACGATATCTTGCAAGTCTGCGCACTGCAAAACAGACACAACCCCAGTCAATTAAAAACCATTCTTCAAAGCTAGAGCTTGCAATTTTTGTAATTTCGGAATGGTTACCCTTCTAACAGTCAACATATCCTTAAAAACCGGGTGATCGATTCCGTGCGTAACGGTCAATATCCGCTCGGCTTCCTCCAGAGATTTCTTTGCTTCTTCAAATTTCCTTGCTCCCACTTGATAGCCGCCCTGAAGAACAAGGCGGATACCCAGAAAGGACGAAAAACCATGGTAGTACCGATAGGCATTGGTTTCTTCGAGATAAAGTTTCCATCCCTGTTCAGTTTCTTGATCCGTCAGATGCACAATGAGCTTAACGTAGAAAATATTTAACGGGAAAAGAGTCTTCTTGGCTGTGGTGTACAATAATGAAAGGTCATTGCGAGCACTGCTTAGCTGGCGTTGGTCTGCCGTGCTGTTTCCTGTATCTTCAAAAAGAGCAGTGTATGCATCAACGGAATCTTTGACCTTTGACATCAGATCTATAGACTTTTTAACAAAAGGGTCGTTTTTCGGTATCAGATGTCCACACTTTGTGCAAGGTTTCGGTGTGAAGATTTCCGTCATAGGAATTGCTCCGTCACAGAAAGCTTGTGGGCAGCGCACACTTCGCATCATATTGTCGCGGTGTTCGTCTAAACAGTATTCACATTGGCAGAGAAAATAATAGTGTTCCTGAAACCAAAAACATTAAATTGATTAGTGTATAAAGAAAGTACTCGTACGTTAAATTTAAATGCACAAATTTAACGTGATTCACTTGTAGTAATGTTTGCCGTTGCCGGGTCATGTCCATACAGTTACAATAGCAGATTCGGACATCCTCGATGGACGCTATATCTTCCAGGGCCCGTATAACAATTTCACATCCATTCGTCGTACAAATCATGTAATCAGCGTTTGGTTTGCATGCATGGTCAAAGCGTGTGGCACCCAGTGGGAGCGCTGCACCAATGCCGTAGGGTCGCGCTCCGTCGTATAAGGTCATGGCGTTGACAATCAGTTTACTATACGCGTCTTTTATTGTCTCCTTGTCATCTGGCATGTTTTCTTGACCAAGGAATGCCACAAGTTTTTCTATCGTCATTGTAAAGGCAGTTATTTGCAGAATCGATGACTGAATCTGCAATTGCGAAGATTTTTTTACATAAAAACATAACTCAAGGCTATTATAACTGCAGCAATTATAATTTCTACTGTCTCACCTTATCCGCATGTGTGCACAGGGAATCGTAAGTTCGATCACACGATGGCCAACAAGCATCCGGAGGATCAGAGCGCTCTCCACGAGACACCTTGCTAATAATCCGGGCTAATAATCGGATATTGGCTTCAGGAACTTCGGCGCCTTGCTTCCGGCCTAATAACAACCTCTTACATTCCGTCTTGTGATCCTTCCACGCAGCTTTTGCGCATTTTTGGTCGCAAAACTGTGCAAATTGGCATTGAGTGCAACGTTTTAGTGGCGTGCTTTCACCTTCGATCGGTCTGCACATAGCCGAACAAAATTAATAACTGTGTATAACATTTTAGCTTTGATATGAAAGTCTGCATGCTGAATTCAGGGCAATTAAATCACACACAAATATAGTCGCTAGATGCTTTGATATGGTGTTGAATGCGATCTAAGGCTGTTAATTTTGTAGTACTGCAGATGCATCAATCATGAATTTGAACTTTGAAAGAGCTTTTTGAGATGCTTCTTTAAAAAATGCATATACGTACGTTTTATGTATGAATCGTTTGGAAACACTTACTACTGCATACTCAAAAGTATGCGTTGCCGCAATGAAAGGGTGCTGGGTTTACATGCGTATTTTGCTGCAAAACAGCTGGCGCATACCGGGCGAAATTGCCGGTAATGTTAGAGGACAATTACGAGTAAAATAAGTCAATTAAAAATCGATTGAATTTACCTCCTGAAACAGTAGTGACAGTACGATGAGGCATGTTTTTCGTCCAAGACGTAAACCCAAGGTTTGTTGCGCATGATAACATCTCCCTGTTTATACGGCATTATGTCCACTACGAATTGATCCAACTAACCCAAACTTGTTCTACCAAGTTTTTCTAACAATATGCGTTACTAGCTGTAATTAAGAATAGTTCTATACATTTATGCTTAAAGAAATTTCTGAATCAACGCGATAACTTCAGAAATATAACAGTTTTATCCGCATCATCCGATTGCCTTGGCGAACTGCATCGTGTGGATGTAGTTTCGAAGCATGCGTGCGGCAAGCATGGAGTGTATTTTTAGAAACTGATTTACTACAGTAAGTTGTATGTTGCCGTTTTTCGGCGTGTATACGGTTAAAGTACTTATCTAGAAGCAGAACTATAGGTAATTCTTGTACTTCGTATAAATGTAAAAACTCGTTCATGAAACTTTGGATCCGCAATTTGTGAATTTAAAAAAACGAGTATAAACCAGAAATTTTGTACTTTGGGGCAGTTTAGGAGTATCAGCTTGAAGTCTGTAACGAAAAATATATGCATATGTGCTTAATTTTATGTGTACATAATAGTACATCATAATTATGATATGATACATAATAAGTGTGTTCTTATTTTAAGTATTTTGTGTCTAATTTACAACATACTAGCAATACGATTTAGAAGCAAATAATACGACTAGGATTAGGATTAACTACAGTAGTATATTTAAGGACTACCAACTGTAAGCTTTTAAAAAATCGGACGCGCCACACTTTGTTGTGGACTAATTTGCTATTCAGCTTTGTTATCACGATTAATCTACCCGAAAAGCTAGTTTATTTTGACTTGTTGCGGATAGAGCCATGGTTCTACAAAGTAAATTAGCGACGAAAATGCATTTAAAATTTTTCTGAAACAAAATTGTCCATAAACATAAATTGGCAATATTGCGCTACAAAAGAGCCGGGTGAATGTATTGTACAACGTACGTATACATTATACATACTTGACCGCATTATTCTTCGATTTACAGTGCAACAAGCTCACCACACGTTCTTAACAAATTTTTCTTGTCTAAATACAAAGTGTAGCGGAGAAATTCTCACTTTTCCTTGATAATAACGCTGCGTTGGAATATCTCTGGTCACGTAATTTACGGTCGTAATTGGCACTTCCTGTAACGTCATGCAACAAGATAACAATTCCGCATTTTTTGTTTACAGATTGCCGCAAACCTGATAAACCCACTGCAGCCGTACAGGAAATGCAATTTTAATAGTTTAAAATATCAACGTAGCAGGATTATCAACAAACAACTTACTGCTCAAACACCTTTCCGCTTATCACAACACAAACGACCAGCAGCCTTATCACGCCAGTCTAATTTGCAATGCCATGCGCGTCTCGTCTTGGGCCTCTTGGCACACCGCGCAACAATTCGCTGATGCAGCACATATTCCGATAAAGGCAAGATATTGTACTGGTGTAAGCACCTGTTTGCTGCCATACCTTAACAAACGAATACAGTATAAAAAGTCAGATGCCTTTTCAACATGTCTGTTGAGGAGAACGAACTACAGGCCGAACTAGCCAACCTCTCCGCGACCATCCATTCCCGCCAGTACATTCCCAATGACCAGAGCTATCAGGAGACATGGCGCAATCCGGCCACCACCGTCAGCCGTGTACAGCTGCACAAACGACGAACCCTCAAGGGACATTTAGCCAAAGTGTACGCGCTGCAGTGGGGCTCGGATTCCTACCAGTTAGTGTCGGCTTCGCAGGACGGGAAGCTGCTGGTGTGGAATGCCTACACGAATAAGAAAGCCGGCGCGGTCTCCCTGAAATGCAGCTGGGTGATGGCCTGTGCGTATTCCCCTTCGCAGCGTTTGGTGGCCAGTGGCGGCCTGGATAATATATGCTCAGTGTACAAACTAAAGGACGAGAAGCAGACGTCCACGGCGGTACAAGAGAAAGTGTGGCGGGAACTGTCCGGGCACACGGGATTCATCAGCTGCTGCCGGTTTCTGACCGATGAGCAGATTTTAACCAGTTCCGGTGATAAGACGTGCGCGCTGTGGGATGTGGAAACCGGTCAGACGACGACGGCGTTTGCTAACCATGTCGGCGATGTTATGCACGTGTCCGTTTCCCGAGATAATCGAACTTTTGTTTCCGGTACGAAGCGGCTGATTATATTTCTTAGTATGATCTGCATAGCGTACAGTTCTAATATCTATATGTAGTGATATGCAACGCCAGTAGTGATATGCCTATGCACGATTCCTATATATACTCCATAGAATATCTTAATGCTGCGCAATTTTCTGGTAAGAATATTGCCAGATTTTTTGAAGTACTCTATTTTAATTCAGTTAACTATATTCTGAGTACAAAAATTTTAACGCAAACCCATTGTAAAATATCATCGTTCACGAATCTCGATTAATAGGCTTAAAATAAACGAACACACCCTCGCTCTCAACATATATTATCCAGCTGAACGCCGGAAAATAAATTTATTATTTTCCAGGATCCTGTGATTCAACCAGTAAACTATGGGATATTCGGGATGGATTGTGTCATCAGACGTTTTTCGGTCACGAAAATGACGTGAACGGCGTAGATTATCATCCCAGCGGATACGCCTTCGTCACGGCGTCCGAGGACGGTACCTGTCGTCTCTTCGATATTCGGGCTGACCGCCAGGCGGCCGTGTATAAGCACGAGAACATGGACCGGGCAGCGGCTACCTGCGTAGCCACTTCCAAATCCGGAAGACTGATCTTTGCCGGTTATGACGATGCCATTTGCAATATTTGGGACACTGTGACCGGTACGCGGGTTGGAGTTTTGTTAGGCGATGAGAATCGCGTCAGTACTGTGGGTGTGGCGCCGGACGGAAGGGCAGTTGCCACCGGCACATGGGAATGTTATGTGCACGTTTGGGCCTGAAAGCTATACCCTCAAAAAATCGAGTTTTCCCTTTTTTTGGTCACTGCTCGAAACGTGTCCGTTACACTTCGATTCTTTGTGAGTTGCAAATTCGCACCGTGAAGTTCCATAATTGCTACTCGTAAACTGAGTATAAAATTTTTGTCGATAACTTTTTTCTTATTGGCATTTGCAATTGTGACGCCTGCTGAACGAAGAGATAAAAATGAAGTTTGGATGTCCATGAAAATTCGCCTCAAAACTGCAGGCGGGACTACCGGCAGCGTAAAGCTGGGATGCAGTGTTCTTCCGGTGACAGTTGCAGATGCAGTCGACGCAGAATATATATCGTACAACGACGATTTACCTCTAGACTACAATAAAATTTAATATGTAATACGTAACCTCATGTAGAGTATAGAATAGACTTAATGAGCCGGAGGCCCGGAATTAGTGTGTAAATTCAAAAGCAGAACAAATTATACCGTATAATTTGTTCTGCTTTTCTGATTCAAACGTGTAACAATTTTGTACTTCAATAGAATGTGCAGTATTGTACATATAGTTCTGCTACAGATAAGTGATAAAATACAATATGACTGACATCTATATGTAAGTAAAAGCATTAGCAATCTTGACTACTACTACTACAGTGAAACCTGTCTTTTACATACACCGGTAAATACATACACCTGGAAATCACATACGCGGAAATTTCAACCGGCGCGTCCCGTAGACTGTAATATAACGCTGTGCAGGACCTACTATATACAGTACTAAGGTCCTGCTCTGTGTAATACATACATACACCTGGATAGTACATACGGTTTTGCTTTAACCGAAGGTGTATTTAGTAAACAGGTTTCACTGTATCGTTAACTTTATGGCTTCGTTATTATCATGATCAATAGTTTTGAAGATAAATAGATATGCTCATCTTAATTTTATGGTTAGAAACTTAGAAGTGCTCGTACTAATGGAAAAGGGCAGCCACAAATGCAATACTAGAGTACTGTACTCGTATAACGCCACATTATATTTAGCATACTGTACTCGTACATTAATAAATTTTTTTCATAAGTTTCGAAAATTTCTTGACATGCATAAAATTTTCATTCGGTTTATAAATTCGCTTATTAATTGAAAAAAAGCTGATAATAGACTAGCGTTCTGGACTCGTTGAAACGCTGACTTGAAGCGTCTGGACTCTGTATATGAAAATTGATGATTCATACGCGTGTGCGATGTGATGTCAACACATTCTGCAGTACACGTGCACGGTACATACACTGACTGTTTTCTATTTCCTGTTTTTCTTATTTCTGGATTAGCGAGTGTACTTTATGTGTAGATCGTAGAAGAAAGTTGGTTTGCGTCGTGCTGTTTGAGAAACAATAAACATCTGTTTAGGTAATTGTGTTTATGGAGGATTTGTGATCCTTTGTTGAAAGTACTTCGAAGCCCTATAGCCTACCTTACAAGTTATTCCACTCTACGAACAAGGTCTCTTAGTCCTGTGTTGCAGTTGCTCATTTCGCCCGCACTAGAGATCGGGCGAGCGTTCCCTGATTGGATTTTGGATTTTCGGGAGGATTGTCGCGGGGTTGTATTCCAACTTGTTCTGTTCCGCTCGGTTAAAGCTTGTCTGTCGGGGACACTTTTCAAGGAGCGACTACCCCATAATTATCCGTCAGCGCCATGGAGGCAGCACCCAAGTATGTTGCGAACCTGTTGTGTGCCCGTACCGTCAGTTTTTGGTGCTCTTAAATCAGTTCATTAAATACGTAACGTGTGAAGGCTGAATGCATGAAATTTGATTGCAGGCTGGCGATGCTATCGTTGGATCTGAAAGAAAGTCGGAATAATCCAAACTTTCGAACTGTGTTTCGCCAGGTAATTCATATGCTTGCATTCCTCTGAATGATTCGCTGCATTTGTTTTTTAAATCATGAGTGATGAGATTCGTTAGATTGCTACAGTTTTCGATGAAGAGCTTAGTTTTGCATTCATTTATAAATGTAATATTGCTGTGTTGTATTTACCTTCCATCTCATTACGAAATTGCTGTGATTTCTGTGCTTTTAGTTTATATCTGCTAATTATGGTGAATCAGGAGCTGCATACGACAGGGAATTGGTGGAACTGGAAGGCCTGCGCAATGTTCGTATAAACTCGATTTATGACGCTGTATGCGTACCGCATTTGTTATAGTAATTTTTTATTTTACATTTCTTATAGAGTGCGGTTAAAGCTACCCGGGATATCAGTGGATGTAATGTTTTGAAGCGGTATTTCTGCCAATTAAAAATGCTCTATCCTCGATTTCCGATGAAGGAAACGGAGGACGCCGCGGTGGAATATTCTTGGTAATTTCGAGTGCACGATATACGGTGTCTAGCATGGCTTGCGAAGCGAACGAAATGCATCTTTCAATTATAGGCAAGATAATTTTACTGCCAAAACTGTGGATTCCAAGGATCCAAAGTTCGAAGAGGCCAATATATTGTACAACATTGGAGCACTGCACTCCATTTTGGGCGCTATCGATCGCCGTGGTGATTCCGACGTAAGAATCGCGAATGCGAAATAATTTCTCGGCAACTTTTTTTTTCATGTGATAGTTCAGTATTTAATTGACATTCATTGTCCGTACTTCAACGTCAGCAGGAGAACGCTTTTTTGCGTGGTTTGAGTTACTTTGGGGTTTTTTTAATGGTTGTGATTTTGGAAGCAATGTGAATTGCATTTTTGGTTTTTATGACGTTTACCTTTTTGGGTCTAGGCGATGAAAGTCTCGTGCACACATTTCCAGTGCGCTGCATGGGCGTTTGAGCATCTCCGAGACAAATATCCCCGTATGCCGACGTTTGATTTATCCTTCGATGTCCTTTCCTTTTATATCACACTGATGCTGGTAAGTTACTTTTATCAGTTAAGCATTATTCTGTCAACGTATTTGTATAATATTTTAACTGACTGTGAGAATTTTCAATGGTAACTTTTTGTACTCAATGCAGGCACAAGCTCAAGAATGTATATTGGAGAAATCGTTACTGGACAATCGCAAAAGTTCCATTATTGCCAGAGTAGCAGCTCAAGTTGTGGAATATTATAAGGAATGCTTGAAAACGTTGGACAGCGAGACTACAACACGAATGCCTGGCATGGATAACTTCAAGGTTACTGGGTTGCTAGAAAGTTTTGTGACAAAGGTTTTAAGAGTTTATGGGTCGAAGGATTTTATTCCTCGTCAACTGTTGGAGTTGAAAGTGCAGTACTACCAGTGCATTATGAATTTCCAACTGGGATGTCAGGCCGAAGAATCACAAAAATGGGGCGAAAGGATCGCATATTTGGATGCAGCCGCGAAAGAGTTAACCGGTTGTTCGAAATTAATTAAAGTAGGTGTAGTCGAAATTGATTAAAGTCGTTTGCAGTATTATCACATTCTTCTGTGTTTACGGAAATGGGTTAATGCTTTGCTTATTCTTTTGCAGAACTGTGGCGATGACGATAACTGCCGAGAAGCGGTCAAGTTCGTGGGCGATATTGTTCAACAGAAGTATGCAGCAAGCATGTTTGTTTAATTTTTGTAGCCTTTTGTGTGATTTTTGTGTATTTTTTATTGAATTACAGATCCGCTGCGGCAAAGAAAGACAACGATTTCATTTATCACGAGCGAATTCCAGATGTTCTAACTTTACCACCTACAAAAGGTAAAAAACATTTACTGACTCACCTGTTTGCCTACGTAGTGAAAGTGGTTCAATAATTTATCGGCTTTTTGCAGGGGCTTCCTTGGTAAAAGGCATTCCATTGAATGAGACGGACTTCGCGTCGCAAGATATCTTTTCGAGATTGGTCCCAATATCTGCGCACGAGAAGGCATCGTTATACAGGTTGGTGAAAGCTTGGTTCCAAGGAAGTGTTCTTTCGTATGTTGCCGGTATTAGTGTTTATCTGTGCTTTGATTGTTTTAGTGAAAAAAAGGCTAGCTTATTGAGGGAAATCACCGAAAAAGTCGAGAATAAGGATGTGGAGTTAATGTATGTTAAACGTATTCATGCTGGAATGTATTCTATGGCTTAAGAACTTTACATTAGGTCGATCGTGTCTGCCTTACGCTTGGAGCAGTTACTAATTCCGGCTTCCTTCACGGCGATCCCGCAGAGCCTTTTAGACACGATGGCGTCGCTGCGCGGCGAGGGAGATGTTTCGCGTAACATCTCTCGTCAAGCTGAGACACTGAACGATGCTACCGAAGATGTTCGGAGGTTGAACGAAGACATCGGAAGACTTCTGGAGGAGTTAAAAAAGGTGCGCTGTGACCTCTTATTGAAGCTGCTGTCTTCTTCCTTTGGTGCCGTTCGAAGCTGAAATAGCTGTGCTAATGAAATTTTTCTTAGAGCGCTCTGGATGATGCTCAACGATCTCAAATGGCGCAGTTGGATAGCGAATTTTCTCGATATTCTGGCGCTCTGGCGGCTGCAGTGTCGTCTAGCGACGATCTGCAACATTATATGGACTCTTCTAGTGCTGTACTGCATTTACTGAGCGGACCGGTAGAAACCATGAAAAATAGTTTGCCAGCCATCGATATGGAAAAAAGTACAGTTTTCAAATGAATTTAGCGTTCTTTACTCATTATTCTCTTTATCTGATTATTTTCTAATGCTGCAGTGACCAATGAAAAGGATGATTTGAAAGAACTGGAGCGTTTGAGGGGCAAAGTAGACGAAATGAAGCGTCAGCGACAAGAGTTTTTGCAAGAACTGCGGGCTAGCCTACAGAACGACGATATTACGGGGAAAGTGTTAGCTGTGGCCGATGAGAATCTGGATAGCTTTTTCGAAAAGGAGCTGGGAAAACATTCATCCATCACCACCTTACTCGAACAGAACATAAGCGCTCAGGAGAATATTATTGCCGCAACGACCGCGGTTGTGGAGCGCCTGGCGGATCTGCGAGCCAAATTGGTTACAACCAGTATGCGGTAAATGCAGTGCTGTCTTGTCCAGAACTACTTTGGCGGAAATATTGATTTGTGCAAATTTTTTTCAGGCGTGAAGAAGAATTGAAGAAATACGAATCTGCTTATCGTTCGTACCAAGTATTTTCGGAAAAAGTGGCAGAAGGACTGGAATTTTATCGATCTTTCAAAGATATGCTTAGCAAACTGAAAACCAAAGTCGAACTGCTACTGAAGCAAGCCGCTCCGATTGTGCCGAAAATAACGCGTCCTCCAGCCCCTGTATTACCACCAACAGCTACACCATCTGCGTCCAGCGTGCAAGGCCCGACATTGCGTGATTACCTGAACAGAAAAAATTCCCAGTCGAATGAACCAATCCACTCGGCTGTTCCCACCCACCACGATGTTTCTATGCCGTTCTCTCCTCTCTCTGCTCCATTTATGCCACCACCACCATCTGCTAATTCTGCGTTATCTATGCCTAAGCCCACACTGCGAGATTATTTGGAAGCGAAGAAAATGAGCCCTCTAGTTGCTAATTACCATAATCAGAATGTACAGCACTTGTTAAAATTTTTTGTATGTGATCATATAATGTTTTTTCATAACAGAATATGGGGATGTATGCGCCAGTTCCTTCGTATTACGGCGCTGCGATGACGGAACCACCACAAATGCCGCATTACCAGCCGCAAATGCACCAGCCATATCCCCCTCAGCCGATGAACTATCTCGAGCGTCAACCTTCTGCTGCTCCCGCTGCTCAGCCACTTCGTCCGCCCAGTGTCCGCATGCCTCCTCCTCCTGCCACGAATCAACCGGCGCTGTATTCAGCAACTCGAGATGGACAGTAAGTTCGCTTCGCCCTTCTGAGTATGTCTTTATGGTGATTTGAAAATACACTGGTTTACAAGCTGTCGGTCATGTGAGACAAACCTCAAACACTTAACTTATGGTTTATAAATATTGCTCGTAATTACTGGTTTGTGCCCTATGAATAATTAGAACAATGCTGAATGTACTGCATTTATTATACGACTTTTTCCCGCCTTCAGCATGCCTTACCCGACCATGTCAACGACCCCGAATCCGCCAGCGCAGACAGGATCTCCCGGAGCGATGACTATGCCCTCGCAGTCTAACTTGAATCAGTTTCATCCGCAACATTCCGTAAACCCGAATTCGGCCTATCAGGGCGGCGCTACAAGCATGTCCGGTCATGGACCTGTGAGACCGAGCTTTCATCATGACAACAACCAGTTTTCCAACCAGCCTTACTCGCCCACCCCGTATCAGCCAGTCTCCCAACCGGCAGCTTCGCAGCAGTTTTCTGCTGCTGGTGCATCGTACGGCATTTCTCAAGCTCCTGCTAATTTCGACATGAGCTCCTTTCCTCAGCAGACACAACAGTGGAATTCGCCGCACACTTCGAGTGTCTCTTCTGCGATCGCTCATTCGAACGGCCAGTTCGCTCAAACTGCAGGCCACCAGCATTCCCAGCCACAATCTCAATTAGCAGCACAGCAGCAGCCTGCATACCATTCAGCCCCTGCGACTTACAGTGCCGGTTCGCCTACAACATATCCACAATTCCAGTCGATGCCAACGTCATCTCATGGGTTCTCCGGGAATATCCAGCCACAGCCGCCGGTTTCTGAATACTCATCGCAAAACGGCGTCCTTGCACCAACCGTTGCGAATACCTTTCCTGATGTTACGGTGAATACGAAAGGACCTGCTGTTGGTCACCCTAATACGCAAAATCTTGGCAATTGGGGCAACACACCGTCCCAAACAGAATATGCGCAGAATCATGGTCACCCTACGCAGCAACCAGAACAGAACAAACCGAGCACAACGCTGCAGGTGATACAACAAAATGGAAACAAAAGCATTCCCCCGCAACCGTCATCTCCACATCCTCCGGTCGCCATTCCAAAGAAAACCGTTTCTCCGTTGGATGATATCGATACACCCTTGCCGGAAGCTTCTGTTCTAACGCCGCGTCGAGCACCGTTCAAATCCCAGGTTTCAGCTGATGACTTGTTGACAGTTTTTGCTTCGCCAGCCATTAAGGAAGACGTCAGGATTTTACAGCCGGAAGTTTTGACGGTGGATGATATAAAGCGGCTTAAGGAGCAGCAAGACCATGTTGCCCCGAAAGACCCATTAACTGATCCCGTGGTCTTGGAAAGAGTTGCTAGCGAGCTGCGGGAATTCCAAAAGAATGCGGAAGAAGCCGTTAGTAGTCCTGATACTCTGGAACGGATATGGAAGGTGAGAATGTGAAAACGGCGGGAGAGAAATGTTGCAAGACAGCTTTATCGATGTAAAACAAGCATTTCGAAACATTTTAAAATTTACTTTTTTTATTTTGTAGCAACTGCGAGATATTCAAGATCGTGATTCGAGAAAGCATCCGATTGGTGTTGCCAGGTGTTATCCCACCAAAAACCGCGATGTTCGAGTTATGCCATGTACGAAATTCTTTAAACTTGCTGAAGGCACATTCGCTAAGCGTCACACTAACTTCTTTGTAGACGATTCGACTAGGGTTGTTCTCCAAGGAACGGGTGATGATTACATCAACGCATCCTTGATTGATGTACGAATGTGACGGAATGTCTACAGATAGCTTTCCGTCGTTTCTTTCTAATTTTTTCTTATGAATGATGACATTTAGTTTGTACATTTTAGGGGGTTAGCGACCATTGCCCGAAGGTGATTGCCACGCAAACGCCCATGTCCAACACAGTACAGGATTTCTGGATGATGGTACTGGAACAAGGGGTGGAAGTAATTGCAGCGATCATGACAGAGTTTGAGGTTGGTCTGATTCTTTTTCTGTTGCTGCGGCTACGTGAGCTAATATTAATTGGATGCTTTAGGTTAAAGAATACTCCTACTGGCCATCACAAAGGCAGACGGCATCGAATGTTGGACCAATAACTGTCGTTCTTCAGAAGGAGCCAACTGAGACTGCGAATTTTACCTTGCGAATGTTAGCTGTCACTAATCAAGTGGTATGAATTTCGATTCCTCAAATATCACATATACCTTTTTAAATACATAAATTGGTATGATTTTAGACAAAGGTTACACGCAACATTGTGCATCTGCTGTTTAAATCTTGGCCGGCTGAGTATGACATTTCAGGGTGAACACTTGACGTATCAGACTTACAGTCTTTTCGTTTTGCAGCGGCGTTCCGCAGGCAAGTCTTGAATTGGTGAGCTTTCTTAAAGAGGTCCGTGGTTATCACAAGAGTCAGAGAATTCCCGGCAAACCGCTGATAGTGCACTGCAAGTACGTTGCGAAGAACACATTGCCCGTGGAACACTTATTCGTGTGCATAAATATGGTTTATTCGTTCGTAGCTTGGGCGTCGGTCCGACTGGAATATTTTGTGCTGCGATGGTGTTTTACTCATCCCTGGTATGCGGGTCAGCTGCAGTGGATATCACTGAGACAATTTGCAAATTACGAAATCGCCGAAAATTTCTGGTGGACCACAAGGAACAGCTGAAGTTCTTGTATAGCGTTTGCATAACACTCAGCCGACAAGTTTTACATCGTTGTAAGTCAGTGTTTCCAGTATTCAGGTATCACACATTACCTATAAGCTGTAGAAATTTGTTGTTCAGATGGTTTGTTACCGGATTATATCGAAACTACAGCGGTACCGCCGCGAACTGCATCACCGGCTAAATCCCGGCCACCACAATCCGTGACACCACTTCCCGACGTACTGAACGATATCCGCCAGGAGCTGCAACGAACCAGCACTACACCACCTCTGCTATCTGAAAAAGTTGTTGTAGCAGTTGAACTGGAGGCGGACGAGAAGGTGGTTGAGAAAATTGATAAAACCGGCATTTTGGATCAGTTGCCGCCGAGATTAACGGATCTGAATCTGCAGCTGGATACGATGGTGTCAGACCGCAAGAAGCGCATTACGAAGGAGAATTTCGTTAATCCCAGCGGTGGACTAACCGGGAAAAAGAATGAGGATGCTAGCGATCCCTTCGCTGACTTCGATCCACTATGGTCAATGAAAAAATAATGCACAGGTTTTTTCAGCATTGCTGTTTGGGCTTTCAGTTTTTACCGCTTTCGATTGTCTGGTTTTATTTATATTTGGTGCTGGACTGTTTTATTTCTTTAATATAAAGTATTTCTGTGGCATAGTCTATCAGATTTGTAAGATTATGATTGAGTTATCGGCTGCGTTAAATTGCCTCTCCTTTTGCATTGCCGTGTTTGGCGTATTATCTGCCTTAATTCTGTTTAAATTATATTCCCAAGCTAAATACTGGACGAGTACTTTGAATCTCGCATCATTATTATACAAAACCGATAACAGGGAGATAGTGCAGTGCATCACCAGTGCCTACAACCTCATATAGAACAATAACTATTCTATAGAAATGATAATACAAATAATTCGATTCTATACAATAATTAAAGATTTACTTTGGTACGTATTCGTTCGGGTAAGTTGCAACAAAAGGTTGCCTTCTCTGTATTTAATAATTACACTACGTACTCGTGTTTGTACGAGTACAAGTTCGTATGGAATCAAGACGGTTATGTAAACGGCGAAACCGAAGTTCGCCGATAAGACAAGACAAGATAAGATAACAAATTTTCTTTCAGATACGGCCCATACGGGAACTTGAGATTAATACTGACAGCAGATAGCACTTGTTGCGTGTAGAAAATACAGGTAGCGTACGTAGTGAGTGCCTTTGACGGATACTGCAATTTGCCGCTGTTTTTCCCTGTAACTTTAATTTGCTGTATGCATAGTGTGTGGCTGCTTCTCGTCTGCTTTTTCGGAAAAATTAAGCAAATTGCATTCTCCTGTATTTGTTTTTGTGGATGCGATAAAAGTTGAAGATCTTAAATTTCACATCTGGTGGTGCAAATCGATCCCGAAATATCCGTGAAACGACTCACTGAATCTTTTTGGGACAATTATCGTTGAAGTTGCGCAAGAGCTTATCGACCATGGGATTTACATTCTGTCCCTGTCGCAAATGTTGGGGATCAAAGCTCGACCCGGAAGCACAAAGGATCCACGATGCCGTTAAAAAACAGCTAACCCGGGACAGAGAAATCTACCGCAATAAAATGAAAATTCTTTTGCTGGGCGCCGGCGAAGCAGGGAAATCCACCATTCTCAAGCAAATCCAGATGATTCACGGCAGACAGTACTCGGACGGCGAGCGGAGACAGTTTGTCGTACTCATCCGTCGCAACCTGCTGGATGCCATCCAAACGCTGATACATGCCATGGACCAGCTGAACATCCAGTATCAAGACGACGCCAATGCTTCCCTTGCCCAAAAAATCCGGTCGCTGTCTCCCACTGACAGCGTGTTCGATCAGGACACAGCCAACAAAACAGAACAACTGTGGCGCGACGAGGGCATCCAGCAAGCGTACGACCGCCGTCGGGAGTTCGTTCTGAGTGACTCGGCGAAATTCTTCCTTGACCAAGCGGCCGCCATCGGGACGGATGATTTCCTTCCCGATGATCACTGCATCATGCGGATGCGCGTGGCCACAACGGGGATCGTGGAATATCCGGCGCATTACAGAGGCATGGATTTGCTCTTTGTCGACGTGGGCGGACAACGGACGGAGCGACGCAAATGGATTCATGCGTTTGACAACGTCAGCTCTCTGTTCTTTGTGGCCTCGTTATCGGACTACGACCAGATGGTGGTGGAAGCAGCGGGCAAGAATCGTATGGAGGAAAGCGTGAATTTATTCGATACGGTGCTTCGCACACCGTACTTTCGTTCGTCGACTATCATCCTGTTCCTGAACAAAATGGATCTTTTGGAAGAGAAAATTCCCCACAGTCGTTTGGAGGAGCACTTTCCGGAGTACAAGCCTAATTTACCGGGCTCTGGCGAAAGCGACTACGAACGCGCTAGGAAGTTTATTAAAAGTCTCTATACCGACGTTTTCGCCGGCGCCCGATTAGCGGGAAGGGATGAGGATTCGAGCTTGTATTCACACTTTACGTGTGCTACGGATCGCAGTTGTGTCGAACGCGTCTATTACAATATTCGTGATGACATTTTAAACAGGGCGCTAGGCGATTATGCTGTAGGCTAGTAACAACGTGCCTTTCGCAGTTTTTCTGTAAAATTTCCTTCCTTTCTTTAGTTTCTTGATGTTTGTATATGTATCGCATATCCTTGCTTATCTGTATAACAACCAACAGTGATTATGTGATGCTTTTGATTAACAGCAATTACGGACCTGATTGGTACATAAAGAGAATAAGGAAATTTGTGCAGGCTAAATCTTTGTAAGCGGTAAATAACGGTTTCACAACACACTTCCAGTACTTGCATATTATATGTTTGTGTATTATACCCGTACAAAAATACTCGTAGATATTTTCACTGAATTAGGTTGGTCAAAAATTCAGGGATCTCCGCTGGTACATAAGCACAGTTAGCTTTTTTACCTGGGAACTTTCGTGCATCAATAGAACCAGGGAAAACAGCAAATGTTGGTGCTGTTTACTATAATACGACCCGGTGCAGCTTCAGAAGGTGTTGTGAAAAAACGTTTTCCTGTTCTCAGTGCTCTGCAGTTTTTAATGAACCGCGAAAGCAAATTCTTTGCAAGAATAAACAACGGTTTGAACGTACTAATTGTTTTCAAATTTGAAGCAAATATGCACATTGCACTTTTCTATCGATAACGTGATGATAACACTGATAACACAGTAGCAATGGCTAATGCAGTGCGAGAGCTCATCACGAAGCGTCTGTATCGTTCTTTACCGAAACAGCGTGAGCTTATGGCTGAGACAATATTGGAATATTCGGTATTGTGCTATGGATTGCAGCTTTTCGTGTTGTAACTTGAAAACGTTACGATCTCCATAAACAGTCAAAATGAGTAATTTATGTTGCCATTCGTGCGACAATGAAATCGACAGGTTGGAGCGGGAAATCAATAGAGCCATCGAGCGGGAACGCAAAAAGATGCGCCGTCAGATCAAAGTACTGTTTCTGGGGACCGGAGAAGCCGGAAAGTCGACCATTGTCAAGCAGATGAAAATCATTCATGGCGACGGCTATGCCAATCAGGAGCGGATGAGTTACGTGCGGCACATTCATTCCAATCTACTGGAATCCATCCAGCTTCTGGTTGGAGCGATGCGCGTCAAGGAAATCGCTTTCCAAGATCCGAGTAACGAACACCTGTACAACACGTTCTTGCGAGATCTCGACTTCAACCATCTGCAACAAGATCTCCGTGCCGAAATACTCCTGGCAATACGCACACTCTGGCTAGATGACGGCGTGCAACAAGCCTTCCAACTCCGCAGAGAGTTTCACCTAAGCGATTCCACGGAATATTTTATGGAGCGAATTACAAACCGGCCACCAACACCGCCGCCTCTTGACCTCGGTAAAATTATTGACCCTTCTAATAATTCTCACTATGTAAAACTACAAAACAACAGTAATAGTGTACCCTTAAAACTCCATAACACGGCCTGTTAAAAATCTTTCAATCATAATATTATGTACTCGTATGCTTAATTTACTAATCTTACAATGTATTGATGTATCACAGACTTGTGCCGGTAACACTACTTAAGTATTTACCGCCAGTGGTCATTGGTCACATTGCTTCGCTTTTATGCCATCGCTGTAATTATTGTACTTACTACACGTACCAAAGTTCCAGAAAACTGCAACAGTTACGACGAGTCAATTTCGTACTCTAAAGACTTCGGTGTATAATACAGTTTACACACTACTCATAAAATGTCATAGTTGTATTTACATAATAATATGGAAAAACACTCGTAGCTGAAGTACTCGTACTTCTCTACATACTGGTGTACGTAAAGGCTTTAGAGTACGAGTATGATTGCTCGAATCTAACTGGCTTGTAGTCTTGTACCTATCTGTAGATGACCAAATACCAGGTACTGCTACACCGCGTCAAGACACACGAGAAAGGCTTCCAATTGTCGACCCTAACTATATTCCACGAAACAGCGACATTGTTCGCGTTCGTGTACGCACACGCAAAATCGAGGAGTACTCCTTTAGGATTGGTAGAGCCGAGTTTCTCTTGGTGGACGTTGGCGGTCAGAGCACAGAGCGCCGGAAGTGGATCCACTGTTTCGAAAATGTGACCCTAATTATGTTCATTGCCAGTTTGTCGGAGTATGACCAGACCATGTTCGAAAGACCGGGTGTCAACCGCATGCGGGAAAGTTTGGCCCTGTTTGACGTCATACTGAATTATCGAGAATACTTGGGAAAGGATTCTTATGGCATCTGGTTCCTGGATGTGCCGGTTGTGTTGTTTCTCAATAAAGCTGACATTTTCGACCGAAAAATTGCAAATAGCGATTTATCTGCTCATTTTCCCGAGTACACCGGGCCATCTGGGAATGTGGAAGAAGGAAGGGAATACATTCTAACACAATACATCGACACTAGAACTGATCCAAGGAGAGACATTTTTACACATTTTACAACGGCAACCGATACAAGACAAATGGAGTTTCTTTTCAATGTCGGGCGCCACAGTATCTTGCAGAGAGCGCTCACAGATTTCAACCCCTTTTGATTAATGTTTATTACAAGCACAAAGGTAACGCCGTAACGGTACTGTACTGGGGAAAGATCACAGCTGACGATAGCTGATATGCTTAATTACTGATACGCGTCCGTTCATTTGTCATTAACTAATATTTCGCAAATTAAGGTTGAGTAGCATTTTCCTGGACACTATTTATGCTTTTGGCGAAAGTGTGGAAATGAGTGTTAGTTATTTGGGCTGCTGCTGTACAATATACCAGATATTATCGATAATAAATTTTTACTTTTATGGACTGCGATATACCCCATTCCTAATTTGGTGTGTATTCCCAAAATGCGGTAAATATTGCAGCAGTGTAATCTACGTGACAATGATGACCCTGAATTCGATTTTAAATTGTTGAATTTTATTTCGTGATTCGCTGGTTGTGGCATGTTTTGCATTTCATAAAAAAAGTTCAAGCGCATTGTACTGCGTCAGTGAAAGAAAAGCTGAACTGCAGAAACAGCCAAATGTATTAATAAAATATGTAGAGTGCGAATTTTTCCCGTGAGGATCAACTCAACGGTCACTGGAAATCCCGCAATCGGCAATATTACGTAACAACGTAAGCATCAAAAACGCTGTCGCGTTCGTCGAGTATTGACTACATACATTGAGTCACACAATGCTTTTAAATAGGGATGGATGCATCACTGGCAATGCCGCAAATATTTTTACCACGGGCTATGTAGATGTATCCTTTCTCCCCCCAGTCGGCTCCTGAAAAGTTGAAAAGTATTAACCATAAGGCATTTGAAAAGACTGCGAGGAAAAGGCATTTTGAAAAGAGTGCGCTGCTTTTGAAAAGAGATGCGCTGTAGGTACGGTAGTTCTGTTCTTGCCGCTGTGCAACTGTACATACGCTGGGTAGTTGCCATTAATGTGTAGTTGCCATTAACGCATTTCAACATGATTCAGCCATCTCACCCCAGCTGTTTTTGCAGATCCAGACATCCTGTCCTTCCAGCTGGCCATATCCCACGACCAAGAGCGCATGATCCAGCATGGTGGGGTCACAGCTGGTATCGTCATATACGCCAGACTGATACGTCTGGAACGATATGGAGGCCGCGTTGAGAATCACGGCAGCCGGATTGGCATACACCGCTGCTTTCAGATCAGTTTCGTTCATTGGTTTCACGGAGTATCCACCTTTGATCTGCACAAAAACAAGCGATATCTAATGAAAAGCCTTATCACAATACATTACGATAAATGGTTGATCCCGTCAGATTCTCCCACACGCATCTTGTGATGTTCCGGCGTGATGTGATAACTGCTCGTGTGATCAGTACGGTACGTAGCACTCCCAAATTAATATAATTATTGTATTTTATGTTCACAATTAGTACGTCCATCCCGTTCGGCTTATAACACGAGCATTGCGCACTAATTTTCGCATTATATAGTGACAATTGATTGGTAAAATAAATTGCAGTATTCGTCATCAAACGACTTTAATCGGTGATCGATAATTAAAACTTATTAGTAATGGTTGAAATGAATTGAAAAAAAATCCAGGCTTAAAAACCTTATGTATTTGCATTGCTGTGTAAGTCATCCGGACGTCACCGTTTCCCTTCCACAGTGCGGACAAGCATTATTGTAGGCACTTATATCCTGTTCTGTCGATTGTTCGAACATGCGCACAGAAAAGAAGTAAGAAATAGTCAAACTATGGTATGTTCTGCTCATGCTTCGGTATTTTCTTCTCATTACATCTGAATAATATTATATTTATAAAATTATAATTAACAACTGTGGGAAGCAAATTACGCACCACAATTTCCGGCGCACACTTATCGGCCATGCAGGCTTCTGGGTTGATGACCGGTGGATAATCAGCGCCCCAACAGAGACCATGCAGTCCCACAATGCAGTCGTAAACGTCGTCCGCCTGCGCCGATTTGTGAGTCAGCTGGGGAGTTGTGCCATTAAAACAGCAGTCCAACAATTCCTGCGTACTGGCCTTAACCAGCTTGCCGCTTTTGATAAATCCGTATGCAGAAACCGCCTCGGCGACAACGATAGCCAAGCTGTTCCCGGACTCTCCTTGGTCAATGACCGGAAGTACTGCTCCCTTGTCGCGCCAGTCCCACGCATCGGGTATGGGATCGGATACCGTTCCAACTGTAAATTAAAAATAAAACTCCGTGTTGTGTTATGAGTCCATGTCATTTCGTAATAAACAAGTCGCAAGTTAGTATTCAGCACGGATGTTCTTTTCTTTTTGAGAACACAATAATTATTTTGTTGCGTTTACAGCTGTTACAGACATATGTAGTAGTACAAGTACTTTATTTTTTTGCTTTAGCATTGCATGCGCCTTATTTATCAAAATTTTTTACCGAGAGTGTGATTTCTAAGATGAATGCGATCAGCCCGATTTATACGCGCACAAGACTTACAATTAGTGAAGGTACAAAACTTACAATTAGTGTCACCGTTTGTACAAACTTCGTTTTATTTATACACCATTTGTACGTACTCCGTTTTATTTATACTAATTATTTGGTAGGATGAAAACATTAAATTTTATTATCACACCCGTGATACTAATGGTAACCCAACAACATGCATGTTTTTGCCATTGTCATACCTTTATGCTTCCGATGCTTGAGGCGACGTAGAGCATCCGCACTTCCTGAAGCGGTCATAATCACCACAATTCCTACGCACAACGCTGTAAAAATGGTCCAGGATGTTGTCATTGTGGAGCCGGTGTTAGACTGGTAAACCGTGCAAGAAGAGTCGAAATCGAACACTGCAATATCATTAATAGTGTCTGATTTCTTTAGTGTACTGACATTTATATTTTCGTTGGCTCCAAAATCTACATCGTCTTATCTATGCCTAAAAGTGGCATTTGTAAGGGCTTCATCCAAAACAGATACAGTACAACCACGCGCTCACGAGATAAAGCTGTACAATTTGACCAAATTAAATACGAAATTACACACAGTAATCAGCAACCTTAAACCCGCTATCCATATGTAGTTAAAAAACTGATCTTACATCTTTCAAAATTTTGAATAGCCATATTTTCCTTAAATATTGCGATTTTGCTGGTGCCATTTTTTTCGCTTAGGGGTGTCATAATATTTTTTCGATGTGAAATTTTATTTGGTTTTGTTAATGCCGCTAACCAACAATGCCATACAGTTTCATACCGAATGCAGTAAGAGTAGAATTTATGCAACAGCCTGACTCGGCCACACACCGGTGACAGCGCAGAACACTAGTTAATATTACAAGGATGAACTGTGTTTCATATGACACAAAACAAAGTTACTTGTCCGAGCATTATTAACTGACTATATAATATATGGATCACTGCAGATGGAAATCCATCAGGGATATCCGTAAGTTATAATCCTCCACGGCGGTAGTAACAAATCGCATCCCTTCGGTATCTGTCGCACACGTCAAATGCGAGTACAACAACTTATCCGGATCGTCCGCCTCATAATCCCGCTTCTTTCTTTCGCCCGCCTCTTTTTCGGCAATTTCCGCGTTATGCAACAGGTATGATTTGACATAGGCCAAGAACATCTGCAACACAAACTCCTTTGCCATATCCCCCTCGCTCTTCGATTTGGCCGATCTATGCTTGGATTTGTATTCGTTATACTCCGGTATGTATTTGCCCATATCGCGGACTTTGATCTTGTCATCAAAAATATCGGTTTTATTCAAGAATAATATTATGGCCGCTTCTTGTAGGAACCGCTCATGGATGATCACATTGAACAGAGCTAAACTCTCTTGCAACCGATTGACGCCCTCCTGTCCCTGGGCATCCACTTCCAGTACCATTTGATCGTAATCCGACAGTGCGGAGACGAAGATGATGGAGGTCACTTTCTCAAAGCAGTGGATCCATTTGCGCCGTTCCGTCCGCTGTCCACCCACGTCCACCACACGGAAGTACACCTGTCGCACTTTGAAGCTGTACTCTTTGACGCCCGTTGAACTCTTTCTCACCCGGAGAATATCGTCTTGTGTGGGAACGTAGTTCGGCTTAGCGATCGCATCCAACCGTTGCAAAAAGTACTTGGTTGAATCGCTCAGGTACACGAAAGTGTATTCGTTGCGTCTGTGGTAGGCTTCTTGAACACCGGAATCTTCCCATAATTTCTTGGTGGCTTGCATGAGGGAATTCAGCGCTTCTTGATCTTCCACGCCCTTATCTGTTCGGCAGTATGTTTTGCCTTGCTTTCTAACCAGTTGGGCATGTTTCTGGTTGCCCTCGTGCTCCAAGGGAATATCAAACTGGTCCATGGCGTTGAGCATGATAATCATGGCCTCAAAGATATTCTCCCGAATGGATTGGACGAATTCAATGCGTTTTCTCTCGTCCGCGAATTCTTGACCGTGGATGATCTGCATCTGCTTTAGTACGGTGGATTTACCCGCTTCACCAGTTCCCAGTAGAAGCATTTTCAGTTCTTTGCGGGAAAACTTTTTATGGACATCCATTTCACGGTCGATTCCACGGCTAACTGCATTGCGCATACGCGACTCTTCGCTCAGCAGACACGGACAGCATTTGGCTACTGGATCCATAAAAGCGAATGCTTCACACTTTATATCAGAAATATCGTAATTTATAATTACATAAAGGAAAGCCAGCCAGCATATTATAAATATTCTAAGAATTATCAGAACATTTGCTTTCAATGAAGAAATCTATAATGTACAGATGAGCAACTTCCGATTATCACAACGCATATCTCTATTAACACGGAATGCCAGCACACCTCGAAAGTTTTTTCTCAAAAACCCTCGACTATGTTGTTCAAGTTCATGACTCGGAGCAGTGAATGGCTGCATGCGAGATCCACTTGTAATTTCGTAACTTTTGCGCACTTTTCCTTAAACGTGAAAGACTATTGTCCTATACTTAAAGCTTCTAACTGTAAGTTCCAATGTACTGTACCTGACAGTAAGCGCCAGCTGCACTTGCCGGTGGTATGTCAACCGTCTTGAATCGCTAACTAACGATAAGTATACAAGTGTGTTGCCCAAAGAAATCTTGTAAACGATCTGTTGTGCGCTTAGCACGTATTGTACGTTACAGTCTAGGTAAAGTCAGATATTATTAAGTGTGTGACAGTATTTGTGTTACCTTAAAAAAATGGTTAGAAGTGTAAGAACTACTGCTGCGCTGTTTGCCTGGCAGTGACCTTCTAAACGTCAGTGGTTAGTCAGCGACAAGCTGAGCAACAGTTGCCGGTTTGACGGTTTCCATTTTCGTCACAACCTCGGCAACATCAACCCAGGAACGTTCAAACTCTACAACTGTCTGTTGGTTATATGTTAAATAGAAATTAACATAAATGAATAAAAATGTTCAGTTTAATGCACCAAAGCTTTGTAATTATGACATGCGAGCGCAAAACAGATCCCTGTACATTAACAAAAATTCTACCAGATACCACATAGCTCAATACGAAGGGAATGGTCAAGGATGGAGAATTAATCTCAGCTTCCCATGCTTCACCATTTGCGCAATTATTCTTGCGGCGTTTGGAACATTTGTTTTAATTAGTCAAATTTGCTTACTGGTTAGCTAATTAATTAAACCATTGCTGTTGTTTAGAAAATGCAATTTCAACTTTGCACAGAAGCGGCAATGTTAAAATAATTGAGTATTCTGTGATTTGGCACTTTTCTGTTGTACAATAAATACTGTAAAGTTGTATATAGATGGTATGTGCGTACTTTATCTATAGATAACTTTACCGGGTACAACTGTATCTGCCCGCTCAGTGACACAATGCGAGCAAATGAATGCTACAATATTGAATTTTCCCAGTGGTTCATAAGCGTAGGTAAAATTATCTTATGGACAATGCCGGCTTAAGCTTGTTTATGTTGGCGCTGCTGGCAGCATATATCTATATATCTTGCGAAGATAACTTTTAGTTTTTTGTGATTTGCGCGTTATTTCTTTGTACAGGTGAATCAGCGAATGTAGTATTCTCATTATAATTAGTTAATGCAATTCTGACTCCCCATTTGTTACCAGTACTTTTCTGATGATTTTAGAGGTAGAAGTATACGTAAATCTCTCGTTGCGTCGGTACACTCGACGACTGTTGTAATGAACTGCACAGTAAAGCTTCTACGTAGCTGTTTTCGCTCGTACCTTTATCTGCAGCAGCATAAACCAGCCATAATTACAAGCAAAGGTGCAAGCATCTGTTTCGAAACGATTAAATTTTTTATTACCCTGTAAAACGTGCGGAGGCATCTATCAGCTGATCATACGTGTTAATACGTACATAAACACGTATAACGTGTGATAAGAAATCTGATAAGCAAAGGTTAAGGTGGCTCTCATGCCTGGGCAGCAGCTGTGTACTGGAATTATAGTGCAACCGATTGCATGTTGGTGGTTACTGTAAGCACTTACAAAACTCCAAGTCATGAGCTGCAGCATTGTCTGCAAAGTGCAAACCAAAGCATCGCTCATTACTGATACTTTCCATTCCTTAAGGAATAGAAATACAGTAGTACAGTGCTTAAAATTGCAGATGTTATTGGCGAGTTTGGGTAAGCAAGTAAGCTTATAACTGATTAATCATTTTGTTGAAGGTGCAAAAGTTATGTACAAACACAGGTAGTCTTTCCGTCAACATGTTCAACATTCTCTTATCGTAAACTTTGCATAGCTGCGGGAAATTCAGTTCATTTTTAGTTGTTTCGTCTGACCAATCAACTGGAAAATGCCCGTGCAATTCAAACATTCGGGAATTTGTGTGGGGACGCTTACTCCTATGAAGGAAAATGGGTACGTCTTACTGTTTCTTCTTAAGCAAAAGCTAGTACATAGCAAGTTACAGTACATCTCGGACGATCGCCATCCTTGAGATTATGCCGTCAAAAAAACTAATAAAACTTGGACGTGGAGACATATATGCTTCTGCATTTTTTGTGAATCCTTTTACGTTAGCATGCATTTTGGATCCTGATCTTCTTGATGAATTTCCAGAGACATAAATTTGGATGTAATTCCGCAGTATGCGGAATATCTCATCAATGCAAAAGTTAATGCTGTTTTCGGTGAGCTCACAGTATGAACTGAACATGCATACCGACTCTGCTAAAGTACTCGTAGTTACTGTCATGAGCCTACAATCACGAGCTAGCCAATACAATTATATTCACTTAAAAAATGCTGTTTTTGGAGCTTCCATTATTTCTACCCGTAGTGAATGGGACAACCAGCGAAGGTCTATCACTTTCCAATGAAGAGCGTAAACAGCTGGCCGAAAAGTGGATACAAACCGCCAAAGGAAAATTGAAGGTCATCGTCCATTGCGGCGCTGTCGCACTGCGAGATGCGCAAGAACTGGTAAGTCACATTGCGCAGAAATCTGCAAGATTGTATTGATATTGTATATCTTTCCGTGCCGGACAATATGACCGGCGAATCCGGTAGAGAAATTTAAATGCTCTTTTTGGATCTGGTTATTCTCTAGCGTAGTAGAACAGCATTTCGTTAAATTTATATTGTTTTGTGATTAGGCAAAGCACGCAGAAAAATGCGGTGCGGATGCGATTGCTTCAATCCCTTCCTTTTATTTCCCACCCCGTACTGTCCGTAAGATCAGAGCTTTAATTTTGGTTTGCCTAAATAGACCTTACAACTTACAAACTTGTTTTGCAGAAGAACTAGTTCGGTCGGTCGCCGAAATCGCGTCTTCGGCTCCAGATATTCCTTTTATTTATTATCATTCGCCTCGCACCCATGTCGATTGTATGTGCAACAAATTTGTAGCATAATTATTACAAATAACTTGCAACCGACCCCTTGTGTTTAAGACAATGGAGATGCAAGTCACAATTTTCGCTGTATAATACTTTTGCTGTTGTCCCTTCTAAAGCGTTACATCGGTTGCACTATATTTCCAATACCTACTCGTACAAACTGACAATTTTTAAAAACTGTTTATGATAATTTAAAAAGAAAACATGGTTTAACGAAAGCAACATAACTGCATCTAATAAGCTGTAATACAATGATTATGTTGCAGTGGACATTGCATCGTTTATGCTGTTGGCAAAAGAAAAGATTCCAAACTTTGCCGGTATCAAGTGGGCGACGTCCAATGCTGCTGACGCATATAAATGTGTGACAAAAATTAATAACGATGATGTTACTGTGATGTGGGCAGAAGATGACGTAAGAAAACAAATTTATTTCCATATTGCACCAAATGTGCCATACATGCATATCTTATGCATACTGCATACTGTACATGCATACTGCAAGCCGACTGATATCAGTACATATTGGCTACCTACAGACTGTAGGCTACAGTCTGTAAATCAAGTATAATTTATATAGTATACGAATTATAATTTTTTACGTACTGTAATTTTCTACCAGCGTGTACTTCGTATTGATAATTTTAACTGCTATTTTTTCCGTTCTTCAGACTATTCTTGGAGCATTAAGTATGGGAATTAGTTCCTTCAACGGGAGTTCCTACAGCATTACGGCACCCTATGCGCACAAGATTATCGAAGCGTACGAGAAGAATGATGGGAAATCCGCCGATATCAGCCAGATCAAAATGAAGCAGATTGTCGATCTGCTGGAGAAGAACGGAAACTGGCTACAAAGAACAAAGGCGGCCGTCAGTATGATTGGTCTGCCTATGGGTCCGACCCGACTTCCGGTGCAAATGCTGGATGCGAGTGAACACAAAGAACTGGAGCAGGAACTGAGAGATATGGGTCTTCTCCACAGTTGTCGTTAAAAAAAGTGACAAAACATGCTTGCTATTGATACAGCGTATTCTTTCCCACAATGTACTTCGCATTTTCAACTAATAAAAAGAGATAAAACGATCTCAGTTAAACGGCTTGCAATTTGGTAATCAACAATCTTCGACAAAATGTTTTACATTTATTGCAGTTATAGAGCTGGCTAGTCCTGGCAGACATGGGTACCTTGTTGCAATATTAAAGAGACAATAGGTAAATCATTGACAAAATAAAACCGCCAGCGAAAGCGGCGAGATCAACCAGAAGTTCCAGCTCTCAAGACATAACAATACGATCACGTTCCCGCCCAGTACTATCACGCCTCCGTGAATTGCTTTCCACCTTCTCCAGATCTCGTTGAATATTTTCCATCTTCATATCGAAAAGCTGGTTCAGGTCTCTCCAGGCAGAATACTACAGAAAAAAGTTTAATTACATCATTAAATACTGTAAATAAGGCAAATAAGAGAACATTGGCATCCCCGTAAAACAGGAAAGAAGGAGTATCCCCTCAAATACTCCATGGTCACCGTATTCGCATTTAGGACAAGTAAGTGTTACCTGATGATTATTCTCAGCACGAGATATCTTCAGATTCTCTTGTTGCTGCTGTAATTCAGCTAATTTTGATGTTTCCGAATCAATGCTTGCTTGTAGCATTTTGCTGCAATTACACCATAAAACTGTTGGTACGTGATACTTCCAACACTCAGTAAGGACATACGCAAATACATAGTGATAGTACCTGGTTTTTTCCGTCTTTTTATTTTCTTCTGCTCGTTTCAGCAGAATATCGCTGTACTGTAACTCGTACTGCTTTTTAAATAGCTTGTCTTCCAGATCACCGACTTCAGTGTGAAGCTGCGTGCTGTCCTAAAAACAAAGGTCAAAAAATAAATCCTTTACTTGAAAATGCAATGTAAGAGCCAGTTTATTACTTTTTCTAGCTTCTCCAACGGTCCAGAATATCGTTTCATCTCAGCTCGGAATTTATCTCGCTGTGCGTTCGCCTGCTCTTGCTGCGCTTTACTGGCTTCTCGTATTGGCTGCAATTCCGTCAGCAGTGCCGATATGTCGTTCTTTTTACTGGCGATCCGTCGTTCCAGTTCCCGTATGTTGTTTGTTAGCGATCCAGCATCTAGTTTAATAGTGGTCTTACTTTCGACTGATGTCTCTTTAAAAGGAGATTGTCCAGTGCGTTTTTCCCATTCTCCCTACGAAACCGCAAGTGCTGATTTAAATATTTATTGACTGCTTATTTAAACGTTTATCGATCGCAAGTGCCTATTTAAATGTTAAACGAAGCTTAGGATCACATAAGTACAACATTAGGTATCCGAAATTCAGACACAAAGCACGGCATTTGATAATACTCGTAGCTTCAACATCAGATAATCAGCTTACCAGAACAGCTTCGATGCGATCATTTTCTGCATTAAGAATCGCCTTCGTTCGCGCCATGATGCCAATTTCCGCTTGAAGCGCCTGGATAGTTTGCGTCTTCCGGTCATAGTCGTCCATGCTGCGCGCGATACTAAGCGACAAGGCAGTCACATCCACATCGTCGCCTTCTCCCATCCGATGCTGTTTGGCTCGCTTCTCCAGCTCGCGCACCTCTTTATACAAAGTATCATTCCGTTTAGCCAGATCGTGTTTTTTGTGCTCGGCCGCTTCCGATTGGCTACGGTAAAGATTTAATTGGGCCTGCAGGGCTGAATTCTGGTTGACACTGCGTAACTTGTCGGAAAGGTTGAACACTTCCGTCTGGAGCATTTGCGCTTTTATCTAAAGCAGAGCAGACCATTTTAGTTAATATCCTCATATACGGTATTTGCAATCAGCGACTGTAGAATAATTACCCGTAATTCGTTGAGATTTCTGTCGGTAAAATCCGTTTGGTCCAGCAGCTCTGCTAACTCGGTAACGATGGTTTTCTCCTGCTCAATAGCTTTAGGCAACACATCGTGCACAGCTCTGCGCTGAATCGCTAGCCTATCTTCCAGTCGTTTGAATAATTCTGCAAAAATATTTATTCACATTGCTTGATTTTTCCGGTTGCGCAAGCGTCATTTGAATGTACAAGTACGTACTTTCCGGTGTCATGTCCAGCCAATCATCCGTGATCTTGTTCGTATACTCTTGCAACCGACTGATCTGTTCCGTTTGAATCGGCGCCAGATGTATCAGTTCGGTTCGCTTATTGGCCAACTGGACGGCAATATCCCGTTCTTCCCGGAGAGTTCGAGCCAGAGACATTCGAGTCTCCTTTTCATCCACTTTCCCCGGCATTTCGCGCACTCGCACGAGCAGTTCGGCTACGCGCTTCTCCGCTTGCTCCTTCTGTGCGCGAAGGTCACGGATCTCCTTGCGTATACGCTCCACCTCGTCGGCGTTAGCTTTCAAATGAGCGTACTGCTTATGAACAGCGGCAAACTGGGTGATGGCATTCTCTTGCTGTAAATATGCAAAACGTAGATACTAAATATTCCTTCTAAACAGTAATTGGTAACAACTTAAAAGTGACCCTAAGCAGGTGTTCAGTGTCAACTCTCATGGTCACTGTAGACAGTAAACTCATTACTACTTTAATGCAAACTTTACCTAGACGCACTTATGTAATTACTGAGCGATTATGGACAATAAAGCCGTGCAACTTTCGTAATTACAAATTGCGATCCATAGTTAATTTCACACCTCTTCGTACAATGCGTTGATTTCTGAATCAGTGCGAATTTCATTTGGAACATCCACCCGCGTCAGGAATTTTGCCAAGTACAAGCGCTGCTGTATTGTGGGAACGTTTTGAACAATCCACAAGAGAATAGGCAAAACTGTGCGACGACGGCCTTCTATCACTTCCTGTCTCCAAACTGACCTGAAACATATTATCACAAGATGATATCCACAGGCAGGAAAATACTAAAAACTCTTGATATTCTCATGGTCCCTTACCTTTCCTCAGCAGTTTCAGGTGAAGGGTAACGAATCATCCGCAGAAAGGTGAAGATCCGAATTGCACTTTCCTGTGGTGACTCATCCTCAATGGATCTTTTTTGCTATAAACAATCAACCCGCCATAAAATGGACTTCCCTGCCAATTCGACATAATTTTAAATTAATGTAAAGTATATTCATATCTAGAATACTATTTCTCTGGCGCAAAAAGTTTCGTGAACGGGGGCAGTAGTGCAATCTCTGAATTTTCTAGAAAGCTAAAGAATTTAAACTAAAACGGAAAATTGTAAATTCGTAAGCTTTCGAAAATTTAATTACTTTTAAAAGAAATTGCTTACATTCTCATACAGGTGATTAGTCTGACTACGATCTAATTTTATTCACCTTATGTAGCCTATAGGGTTAGAGGTACTGCCGAGAAATGTTGCCTTTAAGAAAACTTACATGCCAGAAAGGTCACTAATAGGTAAAGTATTTTATGCACATACTGTAAAGTATTGTAATATAATGCAGCAGTCATATTAAAACTGTTAACTACTTACACTGGCGTCCAGTTCGGCGAAAATATCATTGAGAAAATTAACGGCTGTCGCTCCGTCGAGGGAATCCAAATCCAGAATTGACACCTTCCTGTTGAAAGGCTCCTTGGCCAATCGAGAGGCCAATATTTGGAAATCTTGAGCCATTCCTCTTTACGCAAGCGGCAGACCCACAAGGCTCAAAAAAGGTCCCAAAAGAACGAATATTTAACTACTGTCTCTGTTTAAACTTTGTTCAGTTTTGGATAGTGCTTTACAACCCACGTATAAGCAAGGTTGCTGACAAAAAATTACATTCAACTCGTGTTAGTTCTTTTTTAATGAAGCACATGAATGATAAACCTACTTTAACAATTTTACAACATAAAGTCGCAAAGGTGCAAGTCAAGCAGTACCGTAAGTTGGTATTCCCGTGTTTCTGTCCTGCACCTGATATCGAATATGATCGGCCGGATGCTGTACGGTCTCTATCGAACTCCGTTTACCTGTACCGATTGCATGCTTAATTTGCTTATCCCTTCGCGGCTACGCTCCTACACGTGAGAGAAATCGATCCCGATTTCTAACCAAGTGCTACTCGGAGTGTCAGTAATTCTATTACTTACCATGCAGTGCATGGCACATGCACTCATTAGCTAGTTTTGCTCTAGGATCCCTCATATGAATACGAAGGTCCTGCAGTAGTAAATAATAGCAACTTCAACATTTTACAGTGACCAACGTCCGTCCAGTTCATTAATGTTTTGAATGGATTTACAGTAGGTAGCAAGTATTTTCTGTCTGACATGCTACTAAAAAACCTTACACACTGCTTCGTCACTGCAACACTAAATTCGCCGCAATTTAGCATTAACGGTAATTCTAATTTTAACGGTAATTCTAATTTTAGTTTTAGAATTCGTTTTAGAATTTTCGTTTTAGTTTAGCATGCTAGAAGATTAACCAATATTATGCCGACACAGTCGCTAAATTTTGCATTCTTCCTCAATGGTCTTCACATCCCAGATTACTAATGAGAGGGTGGAGTAAATCTGGAGTGAGGGTAGACACGTGTGGTGGAGTGATGTGGCAGCGAACACCCCACACGATTTACGTAAAAAGGTACAGTAATATCTAAATTCGGGTTTCTCAATTAATGTACTTCCTAAGAACCTGTGAGCGGAGAAGCGGCTCACGTACAGCGATAAAGTCTTTCAAAGGATTTCAACGTATTTGCGCCGTGGTGCAGTGGTACTGCCTACGCGGATCTAACGACGTAGCCGGGGTTCGATTCCCCCATCGGCGCCTTTTTCAGCCGTTTCTCGGTTTCCCTCGGATTGCGCCCTGCTTAGAAACCTAAGAATCGAAACCGTAAGCATGCACCGAAGGTGACTATACACGCTGAAGTAACTTTAATCAGTCTAACATCAAAGAAGTAAAAAACATTTGTTATTCGCAAATTTGAAAGGCGCGATCGGTGTGTGTAAAACAAAAACCGGATGAGAATAACAGCTAAAAACTGCATGTTATAACTAGCAACTGCCTGCTGTCCACATCAACAGTAGCTTTACCAGCGTATATTACGCACGAAACTTTGTGCAGCGTTTTGTAAAAACGAACAGTTTTAAGAGGTCAACAGTAAAGTAAAATGAAATTCGGAACGTTAACGGTGATTTCGACAATCAGACATACTTCTTTGCATTAACTACTTCGCTCCGGCGGCTGCGGCAGGCTTCTTCGGAACTTTCGGTTCCAAAGGTGACCCTTTATCCTGCAAAATGCACAACGTATCACTTGGAGAACGGATACGTTCAAGGGCAATTTAGGAGCAAACCGCTCGGACCAACGATAATGTTGTACACGCTTGCGAAGAGTCACAATTCATTTAATGCGTACGTATTTGCAGTTTATTTCTACCGTTCATAAGCATTTTATTTTATGGTTAATTTCAAATGAGCGTAACAAAATGAAAGCCTTCTCAGGCCCTACTGTCATTCCAGCACCACACCCCGCAACAAGGCTCAACAACACTTCATACCTTTCCACGCAGCTTAACTTCCAGAAGTCTTTCCAGTTTGTTCATAACCTGGTTGTTTGGAATGGCTTTACCCGCTTCATACCTATGTAAGAATTTTAAATTTAATAGTCAGTCGGTCATGACATCAGTTCTCAAAATCAATTAAAGCGCAGTACGCCAGCATTAAATAAGATGTAGCGCAGTAGTAAGCGCTTTAATAGGCCAGGTAGTTCGGTCTTTAGTCTCGTACCACACATTTGTACTGCAACTAACTTTGAGAAGATAAACCATCTTCAGCGACGGCTCGCAAATTTCTGCTTGTGTGGTTCATTAAAGAAAATCGAGTGTTAATTAAAAAACCAAAACCTCGATGTCAACAAATCAAAAAAAGTTATAAAGCACCAAAAGCAAAATGAAGTTAATGAACCAATTAGCAGGCAACAATAATGAGCCAGTAAACCAGCTACATAAGTAGATTATACATGGTTCTTGTTAATTCTAACTACGGAGCCATACGCATATTTGTTTTGGGTGCATATTATGTCATATTAGAAACCTGCACATACTCGTTGATAACTTGCTGTTTTTCGTTGGCCCGGGTGGCGAGATCCTTCTGCGTCCAGCCCTTGGCGTTGCGCGCTTGTTGGATGATTCGACCAACCTGATCAGCAAAAAGCACTTTATTGTTTTCATAGAACAACAACTTTGTTTACTAGAAACTATATTGTAGCATCAGTGAGTAACGTGTTTATCTTGCACATACGTCGATCCCAATCGTGTCGTGATGGAGATCCTCGGTTTCTGCATCCAGTTTTGCGGTGTTTTTAGCGGTCTGGTGCTGTCTGTTTGAGCCCGCTGCGACTGCAAACCAAGAGGAATGTGGCAATTGTCAGACGTAACTGTCGAGGTACGTTCTTGCTTCTCGTTTATCTTCATTTTTTCAATCATGCTGTAACTCACACTTCTTCGTGGTATCAACTTGTCCACCTGATCGCATAGCCTGGTTCACCGCCTGTGAAGGATAAAATCCGCTACATAGGGGCAGCAGGAAACTAGAAAAAAATAGACAATTCCGGCGGCCGTCTGATCTCGTACCTGCGCGGTCCGCAGTTCGCTTGGCTTGGGTGCTTTCTTACGGAGAACTGTCACGGTGTCCCAGTCGGTGTCAGATTGCGGGTTCACTGACATTTTTGGTCCTGAGTAAGCGAAGCCAACACAAATTAAAACAGAATCAATAATAACACAGTCAGCGCGTGTACTACCAAATGACTATCGAGTAATAATTGGCGATATCAAAATTAATGCGCTAAATGTTCATTTGAAAAATTTTATGCAAAATTATGTCAGCAGTGTTATTAGTGTGTCGTGTTTACGTCTTCCGAGGCGCCACTGCGCTGGATGGGTAGCGTAGCGCAGCGAGCGTCCTTGTCTAGGGTAGGTGGAATTTTAACGTAGAAACAGGCAAACAGCTGATCGAAAGTTGGAAATGTCACACAACAACAACTCACATTTTCTTTTCCGCCTGTCTTTTGGAGTGTCGAATTATTACTCGAATATGAGAATTATATGTTAATTCATAACATTACAAAAACATGTTCCTCGAGGGATATAGAGACCGGCTGTATACATCTCTTTCCTGAAAAACTCTGGCTCATTATTCGTGGGCTGATGCAACGGGAATCACATGTTTCGGTGTGCGCTCGCACTTGCAGTAACATCGCCACTTTATCGCCTTTGTGAAATCAGCGCGGATTATCCCGATTTTGTATCCCATTGGGTCGAGCTATTGGGTTTCGTTTTTTGGATCTTTGGAGCGTTGCATCTGTTTTGCTGCGCTGTTTCGGTTGCAAAACCAAATTCGGCTGTAAAACGCTACGTCAGTACGATGGGGCCTCTGCTGCCTGACGTCCAGAGGGACGATCTGATATTTCCACCTCTGGCGCTGCCCAACCAGTGCTCCTTAATGCGAAGCGTGTCCAAAATCAACCACATCTTCTTCAGTGAATTTGATAACGTTGCTGGACCAAAGATAGTATTCGAAGTAAGCATGGATTTCCTGCAAATGATTTCCTAGAGAATACTTTCTGTATTCTGTAGTGTTGAGACGCATAGCACAAGCATGCTCTGTAGATTACGCACCTAAATTACGTTAATTATTGATAAGCGTAGAAGTATGATTAATTGTAAGAGCAAGGCTACATAACGTTAAAATTGCATGGCTTTCATCTTATTTCTGACTTTTGTAGGTTCCTGAAAATAAATTTACCACCACGGGGATTTTCGACGATCAGATTTCTTCTTTTATAATTACCAAACCGGAACTAACGTCGAGCGTGCTGACAATGTAAACGACATGCAGTAACATACTATGACATGTACTGTATCTGTATGTTGTACTGTACTCTAGCTATTGGAAGAAGTTTTCCTGGCGTGAAACATTTCACTGCATTAGTTGGTACATGAAATAAAGAACTCTCTTGTGAAATCTGTCATTACTGAATTGCATTCGTATTTTTTATCGTTACAGAACTGCCGGCGACTACAAAATCCTTGGCTATCCTGTTCTGATTGAAAATACGAAATATCAGCGTAATGCCCTGATATTTAATTTGTGCTTTGTCTATGACTGTGAGGACGATATCCGGCCATACGAATCGATCGTCAAGAAGCTTGGCGAATATCTCCGCACTGTCGAAGTAAGTAAGCGGTAGCGTTTCATGGCTTAGAGCTTTTCTGTCCCGCTGTTTCAAATTTACTTTGCATTATTGCCGTTCCAGGTCGAAACGAATTTTTTATCAAAACCGGAATCAAAACGAACCCTCCCGCAGCTGATGGAAAAACTCTTGCATGAACTGAATTCACTTGGGCGGTGTTCGATTGCGATAAGTACGGTCAACGGCCTATATTCCTGGCTTACAGTACTTTGTTAATATTGCATGGTACTGTAGTAGTTTATTCCTGTGTTTTCCAGATAAGTCTAACACGTTGTTCCTGAAAGTTGTCCCGCCCGACCGGAATTCAGACATTGTCGTGCATGACTATGACGTCCCGGTGCTGGTGTCGGATATGAAAGGACTGATTGCTCTGGAGAAGGATTTAACCACAAAGCAGATTGTACCACTGATTGATGGAACGCGGAGTGTCCATCAGATTTCGGACGAGGTGGATGCCGATGGAGATCTGGTGAAATCTTGCGTCCAGAATATGATGTGAGTTTTTTTGATTTGGTATTTGATACACAGTGCACACTAGGCATATATTAAAGCACATAAGACAAGCAAAACATTTTGGTTTTTATTAAAGCGAAATATGTCCTCCTGTGGATGCTTTCATGCTGTTGACGTGTAATGAACTGTGCGCCGTATAAGATTCTCATTTACTGTGAGCAGAGAATTGGACATTCGCTAAAATGAATTGCAGCGTTATTCCAGGTTCTACGGTGTGGCGAGGGTTGTGCCGGCGTTTAATTTATCCAATGTGTATCGCGTTACTCCTGCCATTCGGAAATTTCTCTGTGATGCTGAATTATGTGAAAAATGTATCCAGTTTGTTGCACGCGATAGTAAGTTTTTAACTGTTGGAAAGAAAGCAAACTATAAAGGGTAGTAATTTGGATGAAAAAATATCTATATTTATTTACCAATAAATAAACTAAATTTATAGAGAATGATCCGCCTGGAATTCGTGATATTATGACTATTTTGGGGGACATGCAACATGGTGTTGCGGTTGCTGACTGGTCAGCCAGGCACAGTAACATCATTCAGAAACTGGACCAAAAGTAAGTAAATCGGTTATGCTTGATCATTCTTTTCGTCTCATTGTTGACTCACATGATTGCTTCGCGAGGGCAGTGAAAAATTACGTTTCCTTTTGTTCGTACAGGAAACTTTGTGATTTCGGGATTCTGCAAGGATTTATACGACGAATGTACAAGTATCCGGTCAACATTCGATTCAATCATATCAGTTCCCGGTCAAGAACCATTCAGCGCTTTTTTAATGGCACCACGCACACCGACGAAATAAGAACGAAACCTGAAAGTTTAGCCGATCAGAAAGATCTGGATGACAAACTCGATGCCGATGCCTCAATCAGGATTTGCTGGAAATGATCGAGAAAATGTCAGTGCAGCTCACAAGTCCGTGATCAGCACAGTTATGCTGCAAAGTGTGAACAGAAAATTACGTAAATCAAAGGACGTACTCTTTGAGAAACTACGTAACCTACGGTAGGGTTTATGCCTGCCAGACTGTATCTTTTTATGCATGGTACAGATAAATTGGCCGGTGTCGGTGATTCTCATATTGAGAACTTTGTGTAAAGACATAAGAAGATCTTTATTCGGTGTTTCGGTGTAGACCGTTGATTTGATTGTGATTATTGAAACCAAAACGATAGTGCAAATTCTATACGCTGGGTTACACTTCACTATGCAATGTGCAGACTTGCATACTTGCATTACTAACTGCATTACTAACACGACATTAATTCTTACAAGCATCAAGTGCATAATGATAATATAGGACCACCAGGAGTACTTTTTACAGTCCTTATTCGTTAGTACAGAACACTTGGTACAGTCAACCCGACAGATTCGTAAAACTGAACACTTATGCAGAAATGCTGTAATAAGTGCATAGGTATATATACGATGCATCATGCAAGTAAACGAGGATTACCTTTACGTGAAAAAGTTTCAGAAGCGCTTTATAAACTTCTGAAGTTGTTGAACAAAATTACAAAAAAACAAGGCTATAACAAGACAAATACTCGCCATTGAATGTTGTGAATGAATTACAGGGTGGAGTTCGCGTAGTACATATAGTACATATCTGGGTCATCTAGAATACTGCGCTGCCAGTCTCCACGGGTCACTGAAAAGATAATATTACAATTCATTAACCACGGCAAACGCAAAATTCGAACCTTCATTACATCTACGATTTGTACTTGGAATTAATAGCTACCTCTGGTAATGAAAATCTCCGCCATCACGAAAAACTCATCTGGATATTGAAACGAGCGGATGACAATCGCGTAGCGACCCGGAATGTGGATTACGATGTCCTTGAAGATCGCTATGGACGGCATCGTATGGCCGCAAGACTGAAGCCGGATCAAGTGGGGACCATCGTACCGCTGTCGGTCGATTATAATCCACTTGTCAACATCGCAGGATTCGTCATCCACCTCCGGAATGCCATATAAAGCCAGTTCTAAGAAGGCGGTACACTGCGGATTAAACGCGTGGACGGCGAATGCGGGAAGAGTCTCATGCGCATAGGCGGTCTGCACTGGAGCCATCCACCACTGCAGGCCGGTCAGCTCGGTCATGGGAGCTACAGCAAAAACGCTTGTTTTCGCAACCTTACGGAATGATTGATCCAGCGAAACAGGATATAGTCTTACTGTCACTCAGTACATGTTATATATTTAATGTTATAATTACATGTTCTATACTTAATAATAATTAAGGTCTCCCTATTTCGCAAACCGCAAAATTTTAGTACCGGGTGGCTTTTTCCAGACTGGATGATTGTAGTAATCGACAGGAAGGCGTTGCCGGCGTTTTGGTGGCAGCGGCGGTACCGGTGCACCGGCATAGCTGTTGTAGTGGCAGTTCTCTTGGCCGCCTTCCTGCCACGCCGACAGTGAAGCAAAATAGTCGTCCTGAGGCGCGTGTGGTCCTTCCAAGACTGTACGTGGGTCACTAATTTTAAAACGCGTTATGGACCGAAAGCTTTCAGCGTAATGCAAGCAGAATTACGGTCCTGTATAACAGTACATGTACTGTACGTACGGATTTATATAATAATATTAAAGTAATATGATCTATCACAACAGAAGCATTACAGCAAGTCAGTTTATCTGTGTCGTGGGATAAAACATTTAGATGCAACAGGAATGTGTAATAGTTGCTCATTTTTCCATTCCGTTTCGAAAAATCATGCTAAATTATACCGAAACGCAAGTGCAGATGTTTCTTACCGTTTTTCTCGGTTGACCAGCTTGGACAATTTGGCAAACGGCTGCCCAAAAAGCCTTTTCAGTTTGCTGCTGATTCGACCACCGTTACGCCCAAGTTTTGCGTATGACCTTTGGTTGCGTTCTTGGTGGCCGCCCTTTTTAAAATAAAAAAATGGGATTCGCTAAGACTGATTACAAAACCGCAAAAATTAACTGGCGATAACGCCCACAACAAATTGCTAAAACTCCACAGCTTGTGGGCAGTTATCAGCAACGACAGCCTTTTCGGCAACAGCCTAATTAAACTTCGCTTACCCCATCAGCACAATCAGTCGAGTCACTGGACAATGAGTGCAAGGAGCCGTTAACGCTACCGCGTTTTGGCAAGAGAACTTGCCTCTCCATACCCCCTATTCTGTACATGGCCAGGTTTGAAAATATAATAAATGGTAAAAAATACAATTATTCCAGCAAAGAAATGTCTCCGCACCGATATCGTCAAGAAGAAGTCGCTACAAGCAGGATGCAACTATCTATTTCGATGTAACCATTTAGATGTAGCTATTTAGATGAAACTATATGCTGATGCTCGTATTTCTTCTTTTATAATAAATTTCTTTGCTTTGAGATGAAGCATTTTTCTGGCGGTTTTCTGGTCTTTTCTACAGGTTGCATTTGACGCGACGTCGTCCAATCAAACTGCACATACCGCTCGCTGCATGCTCAAGTAGTTAGTTAGTCCAATCCCAGTCCATTTGGGCAAACGTAGGAAGGGACAACGGTCAAACCTAAACTGTTTTTCGATCTTGGTGTTCCCGATGACGGCTGCCTGGTGGTGCTTATTGATACATCATTTGCTTAATGCATAAACATGTCCCCCACCGTGCGGTGATTGGGGTGCGCCAATGGAAGCTATTAACAACTGTATATGAACCGATAAGCTTTTGCCGTTTGCCGCGCCGACACTTTCTTGTCACTGCACCGCCATCTCTTTATTGTCGCTGTCTCGCTGATCTTTAACAATAAAGTCTGCAGGCACTCGAAAGGTTTTTCGGGGAAGATGAGCTGTTCTAGCTTGCCGAAAACAAAATATAGCCGACGAAAGTTGTATGTGCTGAAACCGAACACCTTTGAGTGCTAGTAGCCGACTAATATCATTAGTACCCTTCCTATTCATCTTTTTTGTCTTTGGGTTTTGGAAATCATTGGTAAAGTTTATAGGTAATGATTGAGTTTTGCTGGGTTTTTTAATTTTCGACCTTCTTCATTTTTTCTCGGTTTTACTGCTCGGGTTACTGCTCGGTATACAGCCGGAGTTTGTTTGAACAGGTAAACGTAATCCAAAACATACCGGTATTGCGATATATAAGTACTGCAAACACAGTATCGTGGTGCAAGTGCCACTGAATGATCGGAATCATCGGATCTATGGTTAAAATGTTATTAATCCGCTGTTAACGCTGTATCATATTGTTAGAGAATATAGTCAATTATACACCTGTTTGGGTGCTTTTGCTTTGTGCGACGATACAATATTATTGTACGCTTTGTTTTAATTTTATTAAAACTGCAAAAACTGGCACAGTCTACAGTGGTCATAATCATAATGTGGACCACAATCTACAGTGGACCACCGTGGTGGGAATTGCAGCATTAATTACTACTTGTAGTACTGCAACATATGTGTGAGTGTGATATCCCCAGTGCCATGCGCAACGAACAATAAACCGACTAATTTGGAAATTAAACAAAGAGTATAAAACTTGAAATATAATAGTTCCAATAAATACTTTTAAATTCGTACAGCATAAACAAATGAGTAAACTGTTGCACTCATAATCCTTGAGTTCCCAAAATGCCGCAGTACCACTTGCTGAATGAAATACTTGGAGTCATCGCTGCATCAATGGACGCGCTGGATGTGGTCGAACTGGTATAGTCAGCGTCGTCACTACCGGACATCCTTCGCGTCCATTCCTTGTGAGTTTCTGCAAAATTCCGACCATCAAGTACTTAAAAAAGGCAGTTTTTGAATAATCTCTTCTTTACCTATGGTAACGGGAATGTCGTAAATCAATGAGAACCGATCTGGATGTCGTACGGAGCGGATTTCAATCGCGTATTGACCGGGAATGTGCAAGGCAATGTCGGCGAATACCGCGACGGACGGCTTCTCGCAGCCTTGGGATCGGAGTCTAACGAAGCGTGCTCCGTCAAAGTGGCGAGCGGCGACGATCCGGGTGGTGATGTCACCGACACAGTTGGCACTGGACAATTGATGGACAACAAGTTCCAAGCAGCCGGTGCACTGTGGATTTGCTTGTACAGCGAAGGCCGCAATGGTCTGGTGGGCGATGCCGGTGCGAACAGGAAAGGTCAACCAGGCCAAGCTCGTTAGTTCTACAGGTTCTATGGATGATCAAGAAATAAAGAGGGATATTTACTCTAGGGGGGCTTTTTTTAGGGGGGGGGGGGCTACTGTATTTGCTCCTGTGTTGTAACACTGTGTTACAACACAGGAGCAAATACAGTAGCCTTTAAGTACAAAGTTACTGTAACAAATAAGTACAGTACTCGTAGATTGTGTTGCATTACTGATCATAATCACACTAGTACGTTATTACCGAAGTAGGGGTACCTTGTTTTTAACCGCCGGTAAATTTATGATAAGATATCGAAAAATATTAACACAGTATTAAACCCGTAGTGTAATTTCGACAAAATGGGTTACCCGATGCAGATTCCGACAATGGCGGGTTGTATAGGGGATTGTCATAATGTCCGCAGACATTCCGCGAAAGGTCGCATGGCGTTAACATCGCTGTTGGCTTGTCGAACTGGACGGCTTCTGGACTCACGCTACATTTCCGCCATGAAGCAACATAAGCCTGGGGAGACTCGTCAGACGTAAATGAATGCCCCGCCACCTCGGTCGCGCTCCTACGGATACATATTACATGTATCCGGACACCGGTTCTGTACGTATAATAATAATAGTTATTTAGATAACAGCGTTATTAAATTTCCACTGCAGCGGATCCGGAAGATAATATTATTATATATGACTAAATGTACTGTTACACTAACAAGTGGCAGGCCAAGAATTAAGGCCCAGAACCAGTGAACATACTTATGTTCGCGTTTTGTCAGCTCAGCTAGTTTTCCAAATGGATGTGCCAAAAGATTCTTGATTCGGTTGTTGACTCGGCTATTCGTTTTTTCAGATGTTGCACATGACCTTTGATTCCCACTTTTCCGGTTTCCTTGTACATAATCCGGTTTAATGAAGGCCTATCAAAAAGGAAAACACTCACAGTAAAGGTTGCAACGCCAATACATCATTTCGTGAATAAGCTTTCCAAGGCATAAAGCATACTCGTAATTATATAAGTCAATTTTTTCCGGCTAGAACTTTTTTATGTAAAAGCATGTACAGTACGCGCTCTGTTTACCTTATCAATACAGTAAGTAATATTACTGCATAACTTACCGACGTTACCGTAGCATCGTAATTAATTGGATGACATCCGTTATAACGCTTTGGTAACAGCGGCGCTTTTTCCATATTTGCAACTGCTCGAAGTCTGGTAGACTCAAAGTTTTAGCCGTTTATATATCCCGGATAAAACTGTCAAAATTCCAGCAACGTCAGAAAGAATTGCGCTAATACATTAAATAACATCAGCAGCAAGTAGCTAACACCCAAAAGAGGAAACCAGAGAAGCAGTCCAAATATCGGCCTCATGTTACGTCGCCGTTACGGTGGTACTTCCGTACTTAAAACTAATAAGAGATATGAAATTACGAAAGATAGTGTAAAATTACAAATGCAATTGCGTACTTGAGCGTTGCACTACTGATAACAAACCATTGATAAAACCACTTTCAACGAGGTAAAATCGAGCACAATGTTTTGTAGTGGTGCCACTGTCCAAGGTCTATATGTAGCGGCTGTTTGACCAGTGGTATTACGACTGCTGTTGTAACTTTGCACGTTAACAAAACCATGCCCCCTTGCTACCCTTATCTCCCGGTGTCCATCCCTTCTTCGTAAGTAAATACATGTAGTAGGCCAGTCTGGCCAGTATGGTCGATCAGATTTCGCCGACACTCGGTTGTGACCAGCGCCATCATGTTACCAAAAAGCACTTGAGAGGTGTGATAAGAACTTTGTATCATTCTTCTCCAAAGGAGACCTCATTCGTAATTTCGTGGAACGTCGGCCATAATCGACAAGCTTTGCTAGTGCCATCTTCGCCTAAAGAATATGCTGCACTCATTACTCAAGTGCAACGCTTTTGCAATGTGCAGTGCGTCCAAAATGTCGCTTTCGCAATATGTCTAAAATGATAATAATGAAATGAATTACCAGATGTTGTACCATTATAGTGTCAAAACAAAATCTGAAAGTTAATAGGATCTTTATTTAATTCGTATTATTGGAATTTGTCAATTGTATTATATAAAGCAAACTTACCAGCATTGCAAGTACAAATTTTGTGCGGCAGCTGAACAGTAGATTGATTAAATTAAAGAGGTGGTGTGGCGAGTGCACAAAGGTTAATCCTGCAATATAGAGTGACATGTGGTCACAAAGCATCTAATATTTCTTACAAATAATAATTATTAGTAATGCAAGGGGTTTGCCATAATAATTACAACAAGGGACATGGTTCCGGCCAGTAAAGAAAACGCGCCAAAAGTGATGAATACAGGCTTGCGATTAAAAATCCTTTGCATTCTTATCTGCATTATGTTGCAAGCGGTTTTATAAAAAATACGGCATGAGAATATGAAACTGCATAACTTATACAGTTATATTTTTGCACAAACGACCAGACGAAAACCAACGATTGGTACCATTAAATAAGTATTTCGAAACACGGGCAACCCTGTCAATTGTGAACAACAGAAACAAGCAATGATACAGTGGCAGAATGTAAAACACAAAAAGAAGCGGCGACAAAATACCGAGTCAGCAATGTAAAGTGCACAAACCGACATACAAGAAGAATGGTAAACTTAACACGACTGGCAAATTAATTAAGTAACCATCAAAAGTTATTTGTTATTTATCGTGGTTCCACGGAAGACGACCTTGCGAAACAGGAAACCCCGTGTCGCTGTTATTGGGCGATTTCGAAAGGCTACGAGCACGTGTACGAGAAGGTTCTTGACGGGGCATTTGCGGCTTGTGGGCCGGTTGAGGCGCTTGATTTTGCGTTGCTGCCTGAAAGATTCACAGGTTAATGTTGTCAAGTTGTTTTCGCTATAGATACAATCGCCAGATATAGAATAACGATGCAATCGAAGCATACGCCGCGAAGAGAAGCGGAAATTTATTTTATAAAGCATCGATACTTGTTTCGCGCCCGCGCCACGAAAGGATTGTCTGACTTTACACTGCTACTCATTGTACGCAGATAGATATTCATGGTAACAAAAACACACAAACATTACCTAATAAGTCTCGACTCAAGCCGAATAATGCATTATTTGCTAATTTTCCCGAAGCTAAATGCATTTAAGCAGCGGTTTTACTTTGATTTTATGGCTTGTACCAACAATTTCAGATTATCTGAGGATTCGTACCTGGTACTGCAGCTGATAAGCCAAGGGATGAATCTTGAACCCAAATAAACTGGAAAGAACAAATCATACACGGTTTAAGGAACATGGCATGTTACGTCAATGCACCGTAATCAAATAATCAACCACAACCAGCAACCAAAAAAGGAGAAAGCATGCCTTAAAAGAGGGAATGAAAATAATCACAAAGGACGGTCAGGGACGCGACTACCAGGCGTCATTACGGCCATGCAATGTCACAGGTTGGCCATTATTTGAGCGGGGAGCGGATGAAGCCGCTCTCCATTGCTGTTCGTATGCCTTTTCGTGGATCTTGAAGCCGTACAGCCTATGCAAAATAAAACAAAAGCCGGAAACAGTAGGGCATGCTCGGTTATTGTTTCAATGAACAAAGCAAAACAACCAGAAACCGTTAGCCACTGAAAGCGCTGTACAGATTACCATAACTGTACTACAATACTGTACTGTGCAATCCCTACGAGTACAGTCTGCTTCACGTCAGTTCAAGGCTACAAGATCCACAACAATGTCCCATACAAACAGCTGGAAAGTGCCGAAAACATTTATCAAAACTTGACGAAGAAGCGTATTTGTCTTTGAATCGAACAAGTTAAACAAGTCACTGACGAAAGTGGAGTTAGCAACTAAAGACTAAAGTCAATTCAAAAAACTTCCAAAGCAAAACATTCCAAGTAGTTTCCAAATTCTCGGATTCTTGAATCCCGATATGATTGACGGATGAATCGCAAAACGAAGCAAAATGATCACGAAAGCATCGCTCAAACTTATGTAACACTTGTGAGTTTTCGAAAGAATCACAACCCTCTATAAAACCAGATTTGCACGAGGCAAAATATTGTGCATCGACAGAACCAGCCCAACGATCGAAAGTATGCAAGAAAGATTCATAACGCAATCAAGAACAAATACTTTCACTGCTTACCGAGCAACAAATTGATTTTGCGGACGCTTCGGTCGCAGCTCCGGATGCACCATATACACCATATGCGGAAACCCCGTGCCGAAATACGCTCCGTCCGTATGGTGATGACGCGAAGACTTTGGTGTGTAAACATCCATACAGCGCGGACAGTACAGCTTCACCATGCTTTCGCCTGATGCGCAAAAAACGACAATTTATTGCATCTGAATTTCCATGCAGAAGCATTCGCAAAACCGATCATCCCTGCATTCGCACCTGGAACATCTGACAGTCCGATCGGGAGAACTGGTTGGTTCTCGCAATAAACACGCGGACAATACCCGAAATCTCCGTTTTGATACTTGTCAACCTACAAACAGCAGCGGAAAAAAACAACCCATGACTTTTCCCACTCGAGCAGCGCGCGATGAGAGATGCATACCATTTGTGCGATGCCGCGGTTAGTGAGGATGTATCGAGAGTGAATCAGTCCATAAAGCTATCGACGACAGATGAATACATCAGAATATTCGATCGAAACATTAGGCAAAACACTTACCATTTCAGCAGCTTGTTCTATCAAATCGCTTTGATTGGGATTATCTTCCAGTTCTTCTTCTATGAACGAACAAACAGACCGTGCCAAATATGCAGCAGTGGATGCAAGCATACAACGCATGAAACGGCTATCGACAACAACATCCATGCATGGTCAGAAATCCAGAAAGATATTCAAACTAACCTGGTTCCAAGTCCAGAATCATATCCAACGCCTGTCGATAATGCGGGATCTGTTCGTTCAGTCCCGTTAGATTAAACTTATCCTGAATGTAATCTTCATCAACCTGAAGAATCAAAGCAGTTAATTTAGCTGCTTCAAGGCAGAACAATCACTTCTGCGAGGGACCATACCTCGCAAAAGAACTCATTGCCTCGGAGACCACAAAACCACGATATCCATGACACTTCTTCTGAGCTGCTCATGATGACGATGTGCACGCTTATCCAACTAGCCTTGACTTTCGTCGGTCAAGATCTTCAGATCAGCAAGTCTAAAAGATAAATTTACTACAAAAAATGTGCTAAATTCAAAAATCATCAAGAAATTGGATCTTCTGGATGCCAAAAGAATAAACCGTGTTATTACGATATGAACGCAATATGAAATCAGTCAGTCTGGAATGCGACTCCTAAGCAAAGCTCAATAACCACAGTTAATTCACCCAAATCAAACATGGGATTTCAAACAAAAATCAGGAAAATAATTCCAGGTTTCGATTGTCAAATCCGATCCAAAACTAACAAGAATAACTCGCGTTTCAGTTCAAAAAAATCAGTTTTCTGCCTGCGACTGCAGCGAAAGCAAGTCATCACGCATCGCTATGGCTACTACCTCCCATCAGATAAAACAGAGTACTCCTGATAAAACATACCATGCTCGAGATCAATATCATGTCAACACATTAAACAATCAATCTCTGCCATTTATAAAACGCAGAGCGAAAAATCGTGCCCGATTTACGCAGCGGGACTTCGAAAGAGAAAACATTTACAACACGGTAAACAGGCTGAACTGCTTGAAGAGCGTTTCGTCTACACTTACCAATTGACCCCGGACGATCATCGATACCGTTTCAACTTGAAGGGGAAGGGAACAGGGGGAGAAACTCTATCACAGTACTGGATGATGATAATCTCAATCGCTATGAAAAATTGAAATGCTGATGATCCGATCGGATGCAAGTTGTCGTGTCGTCGACCTACTAACTAAACGTGTGTACGGTGACGTCACAGACCATTCATATAGACTAGAGTACTTACGGCACGATTCACAGCCGTAGCCGTCGTCTCGTGGAATCACGCCGGCGCCGGCTCTACCCATGCACGATCAATCATTGGACCAATAAAAAAATTATTATAGTAAATCAAGCCCTAACGGACCTAAAAAATTTGCATCGAGATTCCAGAATTGTTCTCCGACATCTCTGGTTTGGTAAAACAGTAACACTTTACGGTTGAGGCGAGCAATATGACGTACCAGGATCATAGAAATGTCGGTAGTGGTTAGTAAGACAAAATTACAGAATCTGGGGGCGGTTGCATTATCAGCACCAAAGATTTGACCGGAAATGACCCTCCAGGCTGCAGCTAGAACTGTAGATTATTGTAGAAACAACAAAAAATTCTAAAAAAAAACAATATCAGCCAAACATCGTGAAAGTGACCTGCAGCAAATGGTTGAAAGTGATGCAAGTGATTTGTAGCAATTTTCCGGGCTTCATTTCTCGGCTACCTACCAGGCTCCAGCTGGCCCGCTTTTGCCGATCCGTGTTTCGTTCACAAGGGAGGAGTGTCACATAAATAACACACCCATGGGCCATGGTAGAATTAGAAAGTATAAAAAATTGTAATAGCCTGTTATTTTCGGAACAGGTTTTCGATTTCGTAAACTGAAACGCAGATAATAGTTGTTGCTTGGTTCCTTCGACCTTGTTCTGCCGTATTTTGGCGACGAACTTGAACAGTCTACCATTGGCATTTGTCAGCCTGAACTTGGAGTTATTTCCCACACGGTAATCAGAAGTGTGCTGTCAATGGACCAGGAAAACACTACCCACGAGAACGACGCAACGGCGACTCATGTGCGTGATGATCATGATCAGGATACCTCTGTTGGGGATCACGAGCAAGGCGATGTGTCCAAGCAGGGTACAGGCGACGCAGAGGAGAGAATCGAAGATGATCCGGTGCTGCAGGACCTGCAGGAGCCTAGCAGTGGCGAATCAGGCGACACCGTCATCCGCAACGATAATCCTCGCTCACGTTCTCCCGGTTCTCCCCGCTTTCAGACGCCTGCTAAGGGCGAGCAGCATCCGGAATGCACTGAAGCCGATGAAACCCCGCAGTCTCCGGAATATCACACTGGCACCACGGTGCGTGATGATCCCAGTTTTGACGATTCGGCGTTCACTTCGCCAGTCTCCGATGAATCCTTGGCTGATAGCGGTCGCACTGAGGATTTCTTTTCGCCCGTGATGAAGGACGAGTTGGAGGAAGCTGAGGTGCACGGGGACGGATATCGCGTAACCGATAATTATGGAAGTAAGTAAGCTGGCTCTTGCATTGCGTCAGCTTTTCGAGTATAGCAGCTTTTACTTCGCCTATCGCGTGTTCTGTATTCCAGTATTGTCATTGTGTAAACAGTAAAAACTTTTTAGTTTCTTCTTGAACTATTTTTGGAGTAACATAAGAATTTTACTTTTGAGGAATACAACTAGGTATATGAATACGCAAAGAGTTTTTTAATATTCTTGCAGTAGCGATTAGTGCGTGTAGAGGTTTCAACATTATTACAAACTTTCTCGCTAGACGCTAGATAATGGAAATACTTCAAACTTTAAAGCTTTAAAGATGTTTATGATCTCAGTTTTGTATGAATGCCCATCCTAGATATAAGGCACGAGGAATTCTGTTACTGAAGAATATTTTGAAGCTTTGAGTAGATTTTTCGAATACGACGATAGTTACGCCCCTGCTTTTTTGTCTTGATGTTGCGATTAAATTACGAAGGTTGATAAGTAAGTGTTATTATGCTGTTGCATTTTTTATACCATTTACGAGGAAGTAGGAACTTGTACGTTACCGTTTTTTATATTATTTTAAATCATTTTACATCATTGAAGTTGGTGTTTTTGGTGATGGGTAACAATCAGCCATCAGTCAACCGCAAAACGCACTTTGTGATGATTGCAGACGCGGAACTTTTACGCACAATTTCCGGTGGCGATGCGCATACAGAAAATGTGGAAGGCGTCTCGGAATCGTGTCCCGTCCCGTACGTGCCTGACTTGAAACCCGCTGAAGTGGCCCGCGAAACCACAACCGTGATCAGGGATACGGATGTTGCACTGGCCACCGCTAAGGCTGAGGAGAAACTAGCTGAAGCCGAAAGTGAGTGGCAGGATCTTGTCGGCAATGGACAGCTAATGAAAAAGGTCAGTATGGGGATAGCAGTTAAGCAGTACTTTCATCGGTTGAGAATCTGTTGTTTGTTATGCAGATACTTCGCCAAGGAAAGCCAGACAGTCGGCCAGAGCGCGGCGATGAGGCATCCGTGCAATGCAGTGCCAGGGTTGTGGATAACGCCTTCGATACGTCAATTGTCGCAACAATTGTGGATAAATATGACAAGTTGGATTTTGTCGTGGGCGATCAGGAGGTGATTCCCGGTCTCGATTTGGCTGTACAGCTGATGAACATTGGAGAAGTTGCTGAAGTAAAGATGCAACCGCGCTTTGGATATGGCGAAATGGGATAGTACGTGAATTGTAGGGCTGTGTTGCCATTAACATTAACGTCTTTGAAATGTTTAATTAACCCCGTGAACGGCGCAACTGGATATTATCACGCAGATAATACCGTTTATAACTGTCATGGTATCTAAGGGTCACACGGAACATCTACTCTAGGAATCTTAATTTAGTGTAAAATTTTCTTCGTTTTTAACAGTTCTTCAGCGGCTTCGTGTAAATGTGCATACATTAATACTGTATATTGAAAAATAAATGGAAACTTGTTAAGTGGTTTTTTTTAAGTGGTCAAAATCATTTTCAAATTTTCGAAGTTTGAAATATTTTGTATCATTAAAAACGTATCTGCATTCTGAACCTGAACGTGCTGTTTGTTTTCGCAGTCCGGAAAGCGGGATTCCCTCTGATGCAACCTTATTGTACACGGTGGAACTGCTAAGTGCCAAACGGCTTCCTGATGCGGAGCATCTTCCTCTAGCTGATCGACTTCGAATGGCGTATGTGGATGTTTACCAGAGCTAATTACTTATTTAATGCATTTATATTTGTCGACGAGAGCCTAAGTGTGCGGCATCGTCGTCCGTATCAATCACAGTGATCGATTTTCGGAAGTGGATAATGTTCCTTTTGCGTAATAAGAAGCGATATGACATATTTCAGTTATGATCGCATGTGTATACAGCTTTACATTTAAGCAGTTCTATAAGAAGCATCGAAGAATCGTCTCTTCTGCAATCGATACATTGTGGTGCTAATTTTCAGAAACAACAAGGTCGATCGCGGCAACTTCTGGTATTTACGGAAGGAAACTACATCGGCTCTGGGGCTTTACCAGAAAGCTGTGCATCTACTGGAAGCACCTGTCGGCACTTACATGACACCGGAAGATGTGGCTCAGATGGGTTCGGCGAAGGCGAGAGCGTACGGGAACTTATCGTCGGCACAAGTTGAAGTAAGCTTTATGCTAGCACGCGATAGATCTAGTAGTAGTGGGAATTGTTTCTGTTTACGCATAATTAATTATGTCTGGCGGCTATTCCTTTGGCGTAGGTGCTGAAGTTTTTCTTTTGCAGGAAAAAATCTGGGATCAGAGCTTGCAGTCGGTCAATAATGCCCTTAAATACGATCCCAATAATGGTAAGATTTTATGTCGCAAAATCCGGATTTACCGGGAGAAAGGCGATTACGACCTGGCCTGTGAAGCTTGTGAAGATGTGTTCCAGAAGGGTGCTTTAGTGGGCGAGTCTTTCTCCAAGGTACGAACATATATTTAGGAATATGTGTTTATTGATTATTCCACTAGATTAGTCGTGTTGCTGCAGGTTGTACTCGCTAATCAGTGCTCAAAAATCAAGCGTGACCGCAAATAAATGCCAATTGATCCATGAATTACAGAAAATAACTTATGCCTTCTCGTGAATAGCGTTAGATTTTAAGTGCGGTGTAGAATCGTGTTGGTGACCTCTACAGTACGATGTCCTCTAGTGGTATGATAGCGTTCAAAGCAGGATTACTTCTGCAGAAAGCGCGCGAAGAATACGCTACTCTAAGAAAGAAGAAGCAAAAGTCCGACGCTGACCAGAAAGCCATGTACCAGCGGATGCTGGGTGGGGCGGCAAAGCAGTCGAACGGCTCAAATCGTTCATCGCGGGCAGCTTCCAGCTCACCTCCACCAGTGAACTCCGCGTCACCCCGGACGTGGATGATTGTAGCCGGTGCCACCGCCGTTGCCGTGCTGGGAGTGGCCATCTGGTATCGATATTACCAGCATCATTAGGTGCGTTACAGATGGCTTGGTAGCAGAGGTCCTTTATCTGCCACTAAATTGGGTTTGTTCATGACAGGCGGACGGAAACGGGCGCGTATGCGTAATCCGCCTTCGAGCACCTTTGAGCTTGCCGACAGGATCATTGGCAGTGTGCTTCTGTCTGTGTGATTTTTGGGTGTGTTTCATTGCTTTTAATGGTGAGTCTGATGCGCATGGAGGTTGAAAGGTGGGGTTTAGCGGTTAGAGGGGATTTTGAGTGATGTGTGTTTTCTGGAGCGATTTGAACTTCTTGCATGTCGCAGTGATGCTGTTAATTTAATGCTGTATGTCTTAGGCTACGAGTACGTTGAAATGTGCCTTTTATTTAACGGTTCGACCGGTTAATAAAATCTTCGTTTACAGTAAATGTAAAGCTGTACATTGCAGTTCGTCACTATGAACATCAACAAAACTAGCTCGCTGATTGTAGCACAGGTTTTTCTTTCGACAGTTCAGTATGGCAAAAAATAATGAGTACGTTTTTGAACTGTGTAAATAATTTGACGAAGCTCGTCATTCTACTACTGTACTGCCATCCACAATCTACGGTAGCTTCTGCTTTTTGCGCAAGCCCCATTTTTTTCAGATAGAGTTTAACTTGATGTAAAAATTTTAAAACATGAAAGTAGTGTTTTCTTGCTGCCTAATGCGTACTTTATATGTATGATACCGCTGACGTTGTCCTCGAAGTGGCCACACCTCCTCATCAGAATGGGTGTGCTGGTATTCTGGACTCAGAGGAATAATCGTGTCTCGTGATAAGAGTTCTGGTGCATTGCCACATTACATATGCAGATGTGGGGTAATAATTGGGGATCACTGGATTCTAGGAGAACATTAGATTTTAGCATACAAGATGAATTGATGCCTTTGTTGGCCTGTGCCGATCAATTGATTGCTGGGAAAAATCGTTATTCGTAATGGCTATAATTTAGTCAGATTGACATAGACGGAGAAAGAGAGCATTTTTCATATCGTCAATAGTTGCCGGCGCTTGCCGCTCATGGCACTGAATTGCACTCCCATAACTGTAGTGTCCCAATAGTGAGCCAAAGAAATGATTTTACACAATTGCCATAATGGAACATGCATCTCGAACCGGTCTTTTGCTCCGTATCACGCAGCTTTCGGCCTGTTTATCCCATTTACTATGCGGCGTGTTATGGATGTTGAGGAGTCATTGAGCACGCTGGAATACATGGGAGAGTATGGACTATTACAGTAAATCTAACCAAATTGTCAGTGACATTTGCCTCTAATTTTCATGGCCGTGCTCTGATCTAACAGTTTATATACGGTGTGTGCAGACTCACGGACTTCCTCCCAGAGAAACCCGTAATTCAGTCCGTGTTGTTTTGCATACCATCATTTCACAGGTTTAAAGACCGCTTAACAGTTTTTTACTCGATCATTAGATAGACAGGCGTGACCTTTAGGACAACTCACAGAAACCAGCGCAAGTACTTCAGGTGCTACTATCACATTGCATGAATAGGATGAAATTTAAAACAGAAGATGGTTTCAATTTCATTCGCTTGTGATTATCCTCGCCACGCTATAGACTCACCAAAAAAATATGAACAAGGTAATTCGGAATTTTTTTACAAATAGAAAATTACTTATTATATAATACCACAAGTTGTAATCAACTGGGTTTTGTGCTAATCAAATGACGATGAGTGGAGATCGCTGTTGCTTTTCGGACAGAGGCTAATTTTATAGGCGGCAGTTACTCGCTGGTAAGCAGTGTTGCGTCCTACACCGTGACAGCTGCGGGCTTTCTCCGACACCAGAGACTTCTCCGACGACGTGGAATTGGCCGAAAACGAATACTGCTGCACATGACTGTGGGCCTTTTCGGACTTGTTGCGGCGTTTGGACAGCTTCCGCTGCTTCGCATCAATGTGGTCAACGGATCTAGACAGACCAGGATAGCCGCATGCGAAGGCGCGTGACTTGTCCGCGCGACTGTTGCTGGTGTTGCTGGTGCACTGGCCAATACTGCAGTAGAGGGGGTGGGCTTTGTGGCCATTCGGAAGAGCGTGCTGCTGATTGGTCGTCGCATTGGAGAACGCGTGCTGCTGCTGCTGGTAAGGGTGATAGGGCATATTGTGGATATTGTGGACGGGTGACTTGACCAAGGGAACGTACATAGGTTCCGGCTGTGGCTGCTCCTTGACGTCCCTGTACATGTCCGAGGAACTGCCGCCATAATCGTTTTTTTGCATGAAACAATTACGCACTGCCCGACACAGAAGACTGTTGCTGATCTCGTTACGGAGACTCTTGGAGTAGATGCCATAAAGATAGGGGTTGATGATGGAGTTGCTGACAGCGAACAAGAAGAGAATCTCCTGAATGATCACCGCCACCAATTCGGCGGATGCCTTATCGATCTGGTACCAGAAGAACATGACGGTGTAGGGAGTATTGAATGTTACGAAGCACAGTACGATGAGGATGGTGAGTTTGAGTGTGCGGCTGCGAGCGCGTTCAATTTTGGATAAATCGGCCATGCGATTTGCCGCGTTGGCCGTTGTTGTTGATCCCGTGCCGGGCAGCCGTTGGCTGTAATTGCGGATTACATTAGCGCTGGCACTGCGGTTAACGCTGGTGTGCAGTTGCACGTGGCGGGCGGCGGGGGTGGCCGCGTTGTTGAGCCCGTTGCAATTGCTGGTTAAGCCGGAATTCTCATCGGCCGTACATGTCATTCCGGGCTGCTGTTGCGGCGTTTGTAGGGCCTGCGTTAGGAATGATGATTCGCCCACGCCGGAACCTTCAAAGACAAACAACATCTTTCATTGAGGGACCCACAGAGCATCCGTCACAAGACCAGCCGTGCGAATTGGGTGCGGATCAAGTTGACAGTGCCAAAAATGGGAATTTGGGACATGACAGCGCATTAGCTAGGCATTACGTCGCAATCCCAACCGAATTAACCAAAAATAAATTAAGCACTATTCAATTTGAGTCTATCGAAGCGGTGAGGCGTGCAGCCGGAACAAAGGTCACTGTACTGTCACTAGCGCAAGAAACTTCGCACTGTGCATTTTTATACCAATCAAAGCATAACTAAACGTTTCGAAGAAATTCGCCTAGCCTATGGTGAATTAATAATCAGCTAAAAATTCCTTGCATGCGAGTAAAATATTTAGGTGCTGCCTTATCTTATTTAAGCTGTTTCCATTATTCCGAATATTTTGGTAGCCTGTGGATAGCGTCGTTAATCAGAGGAAATACTTATCTACTTAATATTTTCCTGGAATCCTACAAAATTGCTTCACAGCTGTTTAACTAGGAAAATGTATGCCTGAACAATATCCCGTATGGTATTTCACCCTGTAAGTACATGCGATTATCGATCCAACGGTAACATAAGTAACGGTTACTTAGGCAAATGCGGTAGCAGCGCGTGCTGTTTACAGTTTTCATAAGTCGATCAGCCGGCAACGTCAGTCAGCATCAGGAAGGTGTATTATATTACCCGTAATTGAAAAATTGTGCTAAACGCTGTTCTCATTATTCGGGCCGTAATCAATAATAATATTGTCCATAGAGGAAAGCTGAGAAGTTGCGTTTAATGGGCAGATTACGGTAGCTCAGCCCGATTTACGGACCGCGAGTGCGGCGGCATCTCCGCGCGTCAACGATGCGGCTGCAGTTGCACAGTGCATGCGGCAAGTGAAATGTGTTTTCCGCTGACTACTTGGGATCAGTTTACACTTTGTCAAGGGGATTAAATGAGCAGTGAGCAGATTTATTTTGACACTTCTCCAAAGTGGGCATTTGCATGAAAGACTGCGTAGCCGGTTGTGCGGTGGGCGCGTACGACTTTAATGAGCAATTTATTGCTGCATTCTATCAGCGGACCGGAAACCTTCTGATTCATGAGAATAGGCGAACTGCGAATCACTGGGCTCCTTCTCCACACTAGAATGGGTCTTCTGTTTATAAACCGTACAAAGGCGCTTATAAATCTCGCCTTTCAACAAGCCGAACAATAAACCACGCGCCGACCACTTGAGATTTCATTTGTTATGATTGACAATAATAAAATATACAAGCGACGATAGCGCAATTATTGATCCACGAAATGCTTTGAAATAACCTTTGCAATACTACTCTTCTATAACAGCAGATTTTTGTAATCAGATTCCTGTGCTCACAAGCGTACGAGCACATCAAAACATTTAGTTAAACTTAAACAACGGCTGTACCCAACAATCCTTGCGAATACGTTTACTAAACGAGTGTGCGTCTGTTATGCATAAAAATGCATGATGCTGTACAATCAAGGTCTACGACTCTACATATATTTATGATGAAAACGCCGGTCAAGTAGTTTTCATTAAAAGGGTGCAACTGATGGTGAATAATTTGTGAAACATGTGCTGGTGCGAATATTACACGTGGGGCGTTTTGTGGGGTGCAGTGGGAACCAGAGATGACTATGTACAAGCATACCTTGCAGACTGCTGTGTTGCCCCATGTATAATAGCGCTAAAAAACACCACGATTGTTAAAAATAGCAGCTACGTCACATGTCAGATTTGATTAATTGTAAAGAATAATATGTATAATGCTTAATTACCGTGACAGAAACAGATCAGCAAGCGCAGATTACTGCAGTCGTGTCTACTACGTACTATATATACCAGTTACCAACAGTTTCTTACTCACAATTAGTGAATATAAGAGTCTTTTACTTTTATGTATTTCCTGCTTTTCCTGACGCTGGCTGCTTATTTCAGTATTTCAGTTCTCCGTGTTTAAAAACTACACGATATAAAACCTTGGAAAATTGGTTCGCACGTATTGCTGCAGAGCATAGCACTGTACGCGTATCTCGTTCCGATTCCAAGTCCAGGGTGCAGTTAAACCAAACGATTTTCTAGTGTAACTCCATATATACGCGCTCAGATTCCTATTATATTAATTTAGTAATTTTTCTATTTAATTTCGTATACCGTACTCGTATATGTCTTTGGAATTCATGGGAAATAATTTAATTCTGGTTAACAAACAACAACAGCCGCAATAAGAGCCGACCCGAAAAATTAACCTTTTTGATCGCCCAGCGGAAACAGTGTTTACTGTATGTAGTAGAGCTCTAAACGGATACATGTATCTCCTCTCTAGTCACCGGTGTGGGGGACGCGCGTGACTAAGTTAATTTCCTACACGTTGGCGGCGCAGGTGGTTTAATTAGTTGTTTACCTTCAGTCTGACTTGTCGCCTTCAGTCGCCGGGTTATGGAGATTTCCCATAATATCCTGGTGTAAGCGGCCACAGTCACAGCCAACGGGAGCACGTACATGACACACACGGAAAAAATACTGTACAAATCATATCCTTCGTATTCGAAAATACCTAAATATAACCAAAGACGCATCATAACACTGAAAGCACCATATCTAATAACAGTTTTATTTATTGAAATACGCATTAAGGATAATATCAATCAGCAAGGGGTATGTTCAGTGTTTTTTTGCATCGGCAGTCGATGACTGCAGCTATTTCGAAGCTCATTTCATATAACATTAAGTAGTACCACGGTGTAAAATTGCAATAAACACACTCAGCAAGTACTTTCATTACATCATGATGGCAGTAATAATAACCTGTTGAAAGGCAGTCGGTAAATGCGATATCCGGCCAGTCCTGCAATCGAACTAATTCGCCCCGGAAAACGATCACCTGCAATTAAACAAAAGCAAACATTTGAAGTAATGTTATTACAGTACATTGTGTTAGCGTTTTCCGGTTTAGTGTTATGTTATAAATGCAACAAAATAGCGTGCAAACAAATTAATTTGCTTTCAACAGTGTTTGCACAGATTTCATTTAGTTTTTATTAATTCAAAAGTTCTTGGTATTCTCATAAAACAATGATTAGTATCTGTATATTTTTTGTATTGTTCATGAACGAAACGGCAATTAAGCGCCAGAGCAATATTTTATTTTTTAGTGATGTTTGACGTTGATCACAACCCCCCTCTCTGGAAGTGAATGCTGCTGCTGATATAATCACTCAGTTCTAAGAAAATTTCTCTAGAAAAGAGGATCAGTTTTCAGTAAAATAAAACTACAGACTTCGACAATAGTATTTTTATGCACTATGCATATTGTATATTTGTCGCGGAAAAATACACTTTTTCACAAGCACAAGAGACGATCTGCCTTTTGTCTGATCTACAGGTATACCGTTTATTACAGTTATTTATTTAGCTGTAGATGACATTAGAAGCCCTCGAGAAAGGCTCTTGGCTTAAGGAGCACGATAGCGCTAAAAATATAGTTTTAATAAGAACTGAGAGGTTTTTGTCGCCTTTTATTTATGAGACTGCACCGATCCCATTTTTGCGGCATAGTACGTATACAAAGTGCTGCGCATCTATGTCTTTTTTCACGTGTGCTCGTACACGAAATGGGAGCGCACATATTATATAGATATTCCATACACGTGGGCTTACACGCCACTGCAGTTTGCACATGATCGACTCGGAACGGAAAATGCAGTAGGTACGGTACATACGCAATTTCAGCATAATAAGATACAAATACTTGAGTGGTGAACAAAATAGCATCACAAAACAAATTTAACAACCTAGAATTTTTGCGAGATACATAAATACTATTAATCTGAGCACTGTGGTTCTGCAGGAAACACTTTCCAGTATCTGCGTTATGCTGTAAACAGAGGTTACACAAGCTAACTATATTGTCTGGCGGTTTACTAATTTGTTTGGATTTTAACGATTAGACGAATTTGCGGGTTCGAGGTGATGGGTACAGTCAACTATGGCTTACAAGTACATTAATCCATCACAATGATGCGTGCCATCGATACAGTCTGTGTGCGTATCTTTTTTGGCGCTCGACAAAAGCCGCAATCGATTAAACGAGATCGGTTAGAGTTTTTTGACTGGCCACCATAACTGTCACAAGCAATTGCCGAACCTCTTGCTCATAAAGAAATATATTTCCAATCTATCGATTTTGTTGCTCCCTCTGCGGACGTTCGGCATTTCTATCTGTATAGTGGGCATGATGGGGTTCTGCGGAAATGTTATCCCCGCTGTAATCAGTCAAGCGATAACGAAGTGCATCAAGAGTTACGAGTATGCCGACAAAAATGCGCGAAACATGCGATCTAAGCACAAACACATTGGCAGAGAAAATGATGGGGATAATGTGCATCCTAGCAATGGGCAATCCTGCTGACGGCAGGATAACTTCCGGTTAGCACAGGAACACTTCCTGTCGAAGAGTTGCAGCCAACCAAAAAAATCCAACCGCTCATTCACTGACAGATTCAAAAAAATACACATACATTTGAGCGTGTTTGCGATCACTTGCATTGCAGCATAGTGACACCAAAATTCAGATTTAACTGAATGCACACTTCTCAAGATCTATGTAGTTAATTATTGGTGTACATGTGTACGGTGACCTTTTTAAGTGGTGCAGTTTCAGTGTCTGTTAATAATACGCGCATGATCTGAAATTAACGGCAATACAATTCCTGATCTATTTGTTTACGAAAGCAACATGGTTTAATTTAACTCTAATTCAAATTTTGCATAAAATTACTCTATAGTGATCTGAGAACGCGTGTATGCGTTTCTTTGATTCGCTGTTTTTGATAAGTAACTGCAAACATGCAACAGTAAACCAGTGCTGACACGCACTACTTTCTTATATCTATAAAATTAAGATATTTAAAGAAAGCTATTTATATCTCGGTTTTGTGGAAGACAGTTCTTTTGGTGACAGCTATTTGAGCCGAGTAGACATTAGACATTTAAAAGAATCTGAATCGATTTCTTCGCGACATGATGAAACAAACGCGACCACTCATGTACTGTATGAATACATGCAGTCCAAAGTTAAACTTGTCATTAATTATGATCCCTGTCAATCGACAGTTGGCTGCAAAAAAAGCGAAACCTTTCACTTCCGGCATTATTTTAGCCTCTCTTCTAAATTAAGGCCCTGTTAACGCTGCGGACATTGCATAAGGGTAGGGATTCCTTTTCGCTCTATCTATTAACCGAACGGAAATGGAAAGATTTTCCCTTGATGCACTGTTGGGCGCTGTGCCGGCTCATGCCATCTCTATCCACTTGGACCCAATTAGCATTATAAATAAGCGCCTCTGGCGCAACCGGCTTGGCTGGACCATCGCGCTACGCTTCGCTTGCGGTATAAACGATTTCAGGGCAGTTTTTTACATAAAAAAATATTAAAGGTACAGATCCGGTACCCTCACCTAAACACGTGTATACTCGCTTTTAATTACTTGTCAGAACAGTGAATCAGGACTGTCACGAGAAAAACCAAATTTACAGAGGTAAGTAATTGTCGGTTCGGACTGCATAATTAAAGTCTACTGCACCATGTTTAATTTTTACAGCGAATGGTATATTATCCACGTTTGGCGTTCCCCCGACGAAACTCAGCGAAGAATATGCACGAGATTTCTTGCAAGTTAGGAGTTGCAAGCATTAGTTGTAGCCTGTTTATCGCCGGTCACACATGTGCAGTGTTACTACGTACCGTACCGTATTACGTATGTTACTACCGTATGTTAGTACGTACCGTACCGTATTAGTATTGTATCCCTATGTACTGTAATCTTTTTAAATTTGTTGGAAAAAGCGAACAATCGTGAAACAAAAAACATTTGCAAAAAACCAGCGGTGTACAATACATACCGGCATTTGATCAGCCAGTGTGTATTGTAACGATAGAAAATGGAGTATTGTACACATAAGAATCTGTATTTAATGTAGCTAATATCACGGGAAAAAGCGTAAAAATTATAAACTCAAAAACAAAGTAAAGCATAATTATAAACCAGTCGCAAAATACTAGGTGTTCAAACATTCAAAAGCGGATTACAAATTTTGGTATCTAGATTGCTATCCCGGCTTCCCTTCATATAAGACAACCAGTAAATGTGAAGAGCGGAAGTCATCCTCGTAAATCCTAACAGCATACATGCATGGATGGTACTGATTTAGCGGAACGCAGATGTTTACATAACCAAATTTAACCCTTACTCGGGATCATTTAGCAATAAGCTTGTGTCATTATTATCATACAAAGTGTGCAAATGGTCCACTGCTTCGCCCTGGAAATATCCAAGAATAAATGCCGCTGCTATTATGAAAACTGGAAATCAGTTATCATGGACTAACTGAGAACAACAAAGCCCTGTATGGCCTGGCCATGGCATTACATAGATGCAAAGTACGTCCATGTAAAGATTATAGAATTTTCAGTAACAATTAAGCCAATTATTATTTACAAGTTGTTCGTGATATCGATGCAGTTTACAGAACCGTTTGGCGGATCACTTTGTACAACTTGATAGTGACGCCATCAAATAATACGAATGATTATAAACAAGGCCGGGAGATCATGATATTTATTACACAATAGTGTTATACATGCTAATTGTAAGCATTACTGGGTGATATTATGGATTTTGGTTGCATGACGTAGGTTATCGAGCCCTTTACTGAGCGCATGCCGGCTCATTTTCTGATTGATTCTTCAGCGAGTAAATTACTAGTTTGATTGCGCTAAATGCTAAATATTGCGAAATTGCAAACGTTCGCTCATGCGATACAGTAGAATCCCTGTTCTGTTAATATGAATTAATTTCTCGGCATGTCCTGACTAACTTCCTTGACCCATATATTACGGGAAAACGTGTGTCACTGCAAGCATCATGTGGCAACATTTGGAAGAAACTTCCCTAAATTGGGTTCGTAAGACCGGCTGCAGGCGTAACGAATCTCGTCAAGCCGATTGGAACACCAGTAAGAGGAGAGCGCTGCCTACAATTTCATTTAATTATCTAGCCACTTAAAATTTAATGTTGGCAAACAGACTGTCGTAAGTTAGATTACACGCAGCGCCACCTGATGCTTTACTGCACATCTAACGGCAACGAAAATCCATTTTGCTAGGAAATCACCTGAGAACGATAAACACAAGCGATATCAGGAAGTCATGAACTTTTGCGATCACTGGAAAGCTTATCCATACGGATATGCAGTGTTACAACTCTCCCGGCGAATACACAATACTTTGTATATATTCGATCTACCGGAAGTGTTCATTTGAATTCTCGGATCTATAGATTTTCCGCACACACAAAAACTTGTAAATGAATGTATGCTTCCATAAATACATTATATACAAGTCGCCGGCGCACAAAAATATGTACAGATTAATACTGCGCAATACTCAAGTTTTATTTACTTTTTCTAAAAAATTTCGAATTTTCTGAATTACTGTAAGTATTAACGGCGCTGCGCATCTATATGAACTATGTAGTTCTGTTTCGAAGTGATATTATTTACTGGTTTGTTGCAGCTAGTTAATGGTAATTAACGTTTGTGATTGTTTTCATGGCGCGATTGATTGAATTATCGATTTCTAGTCTGCGGCGGCAGAAAGGACATGCACTCACTTGCGGCGCACTGCAGATCACGGCGAATATCCACGCCGCAGCGAGCATGATCCGTCCGCGCCGGCGGGCATCGGCCAATTTCAGCGGCTGGACAATGGCAAAGTAGCGATCGAGAGAGATGCAGATAATGGTATTGGAGGAGAGATACAGTCCGAAGGGACGAAAGAACTGAAAGATCCGGCATCCCACATCCCCGGCCTCCCATGTGACCGTTATCCTCGAGCCAATCTCGATGGGAATGGTGAAGCAGCATACAATCAGATCGGCGATGGCCAGATGCAAAATTAGTTTGTTCACGCGAGAGGACTTCCGGTAGCGACTTTTCAGCAGTGTCGAGAAGACCACTAAGTTGCCGATTAAACCAAAAAACAGTAGCACTGAGTAGACGGATATGGTGAGAATCGATGAGGGCTGTGAGCGCGTCAATTCCTTGAAATCGTTCAATGTAAAGTTGATAGCGGTGGCATTATTGTTTGCAGCGGCGACGACGGTAGCCGCCGTAGCACTGGTTGTCTTATTGATTACCAGCGAATAATTGGGCCAGTTTATCAGCCCATCATGATCCATTACCGTTATTACCGCACAATACACAAATATCCGCACACACTAACAGATGGACAAGTGTTGCCTGCTGCGATCACCGGCGCCGGTCTCTTCATGGAGGGTTTACTCCGCGCCGCTCCCGGCCGGCTAATACAAAAAACAAACATTTTCATATGGAGATGAGCAAATGGATGAGACGGTGGAGCGGCACTGGTGGCACTCGCGCAACGGCCCAGTGGACATGTGATTAATACCGCGTTCTGTTAGCTTAACTACTGCATCGAACCGGGATACTGCAGGCAAAAAAAGACGTCGGGACAAGGTTTACTTTTTGCATGAAAGAATGCCGGGCTCAAGCTGTCTATCACTTTGGTTGCAGCGGTTCTGACTCAAGTAGCCGGCATTGTGAGCACATACATATCGATTCCCATTGGCCAAACACATCGATCAGGGCGCGCCTGTCGTCCGCCGCGTAACCGTGACGTAAACCACGGCAAATTTATAGTAATGACTGGGGACCTTTGTGCATAATTACAGATTTCGGTGTATGCCGTACGTGTCTAGCCGGGCCTTCCTATTATTAAAATAAATAGGCAATTCTAATTTTCTTATTATTATTTTAAAATGTCACTAGTTTATTGCACTTACTCAAATCATTATGATTGTTGTAGTTTAACCAGATTAGTAATCAGACATGCGTGGCTAATCCACGTAATGCGACGCAAGATGGATTTGCTCACGCGAACAAAACACAATTAGCAGCTGCTACAGCAGCTGAACATAAACTGCTCTCGAAGACTACATTTGGATTAAATGTTAAATAAATATCAATAATAATACTTGATAATGTATCGTTGCCCACAGACTTCCCGTCGTTCATCCGGTCGAATCTCGGAGAATTCGCGTGGGTTTTGTATGTCAGTTTTACAAAATTTATGTCAATTCGAGTTCAATATCCTGTTCGTGCAGTCACACTTATGAATAGCGCAGAATTTTCCAAAACCGTGCTTTTAAGTATTCTGGAATGTGTGTTGTTTTCCTCAAAGCTGCACAATGACGCACTTCCGGCTGGAAATCGGGGCTGCGCACCCCGCTTGCATGAGGATCCGCTTTTGTCGTCGCTCCTACTTGACATGTGCGATTCACCTAATCTCCATCAGGGATGTTGCCCACTGCCGTCAGATTAAAGAGGAGCGTTCAATGGTTGTCATTAAGTGAGCCTGGCATGTTTATCTGACACCTCCGAACTGACTTCCGTTAGGTGCGAACACTGCCTATTATATGGAAGATTAAGCGCTCCACGCATATCACCCGTTCTCAAGTAGCGGTGACATTTTTTAATTTGAAGATAGCAGGTTATCTGCGTTGCTAACCTCTCCCAAATCAAGTGAACGTTCTCAATCAAGCGCTACGTACCGATCAACTAGATACTTTAGGTACTTATATAATTACTCTGCCAGTTACAGTGGATTGGAGCGGGGCACTTGTTGTTAAGGTTAATATACCGATAATTTTAAATTGTACCGCATATGCAGTACAAAATTTGATTAAGTACCACATATCTATAGTTAATGCTACTTTATACTAATCCTTTATGATAGGACCCAAAGTACTTGTACATGATTCTTTCAATCTTAACATAATACATAGTATTTTCGCATTCCAATCGGAACTGAACTGATACGAGTGACATCAAGCGAGCAGAATTTTACGATTTGAAGCGTCCCGGTTCGATGCAGGGTACCACACAATCTGTAAGGCGTAGAGATATCAGTGTGAAATAGCATTTCAACGTTTCAAAACAATGAAATCAGTACATGTAACTGATGCAAGTAGGTGGAAATACTATTTAAATACTGTAAGTTTACGCCTTAGCGGTACTGTTTCTTGCCGACTAACTTCCAGGTCCATGGCGACTTGACAAAAATATTTCCACAATTGTAGGCGGAAATTATTGACACACACCCTGTTATACCGTGTTTCTTTGATTGTGTTGCACCCAAAACGTTTTTTTCCACCGTGTTTTTTTATTTCATTCCATGAGATGGTGATTGTTGTTCATATCTGTACAAATGTGATGCAGCAAAAAGTATCTGGACCATAATTCTCCCTTTGTGAGACAGTAAGTAACTGAAATTTCTGCCTCGCTCAGATTACACAGATTTAATTAATTATAGCCTTTCTATCGAGTACACAGACCGCACCGAAAGTTACTCAAGCACGCATTCGGGACAGTTTTGCCCAGTTGGGAATGCCCTAAAGTAAATTAATCTGCAGTACTCAATCACAAATTAGTCCAATAATCTGAACGTAAGATGGGCTTCAACTAGCAGATCCTTTCAATTAGGCATTAGGGCATTTTTAAGTTGGCTGTTCCCATTCTTTCTATTTAATCACAGCTGCTGGAAAGGGGCGCCCCGAAACGCACCGCTCTCACGCTAGACGTGCGGTATAATACTGGTCCAGTAATGCGTGACCTCTCAATCTCATGCAAGGTCATAGTGTGGGATGGAAGTAAGCCATTATTAACAAAGAATCCAATTGAAACCTACGCATGAGACGCCGAAATCCCCATTAAAATTAACACTGCCAGCGCGGTTGGAACGTGATTCATCAAGTCACTGCAGGAAGTTTAAACAATGTCCCCGTGGGAATCACAGGGATCGAAAATCAGAACATCGAAACTGGTGGATTTTTCACTGGAAGAAGCCAGACAATAGTCTGGTAACAAAACACGTGCAAAATAAAATTAGAATAAAACAATGAATTATGTATAAAAGACGGTGCAGCGAGGCCATAACGCGCAAACACCCGCAGCTTATTTCCGCTTGCTTTTCACTTGCGCCTGGGCCGAGGTGACGTTTCCATATGCCGTACCGGACATTTTGTTTAGGTAGTACAGCGAAACGAATGAAAACAGCAAACTGCAAAGTAAGAAAAAGCTAGGCATTAATTAATGTATTCATTTCTTTTTCAGATACAGTCCATAAGCTATAACTATTTGAGTATTCAATACTTAATTGACTACCTAGAGTAGGTATAGAATTATATAACACACCATTAATAAAAGTTTTTATGAGTCGAAGTTACAGTAGTTTCATATTAATTTAATCCACCGAAGTACTCGCAGTTTGTACCCTGAATTGTAAAATAGTCATATATTATTGTTAAATAGACTGTCTTTTCGTGAAATCTATTATCATCAAAACTTTTGTGGAGCTGTACTGATAGTAGCTCAAAATAAAAATATGCGAAAATAGCGACTACAGATGTGATTCGGCAAATCCCGTCAGAGAGAGACCAGCCATTAGCTCGCTTATTAATTTTCATAATGGAAAAATAGCTTGTATGACGCTGCGCCGCTGTCGCGTATTAAAAACTGCAGAAAAATAAACAATTGTCGATGTTGTGTAAAGATGCAGCCAGAAAATTAAAGTACTGTAACATGCTCTGAGTCTGCTGTACGCATCCAGTACAGGCGAGCCAGGATGCAAAAACATAGTCAAAAAAGCGGCTAGCTGCCTTATTGATTTTCTTCCATCTCGAATAACATACGGAAAACAGTTTTGCTAATCGTAATATTCAGCTATTCTAATATCCGTTAAAATTATGGACCTCCTAGCGAATGTTACAGGGTGAATTAAGTAAGGATAACGACCCATGTAATTTCACACCACTGTAAGAAAAATGCTTACCAGGTCGTTACGCAGACACGATGCACCGATCCCGCAACAAAGAGAGCGATCAGCAATGTAGACACAACTGCAAAACCCATCATTTATTCGCAATTCTCCAAAGATCGAACAACACCAGCTGCTTACTTTCCGGGAACACTCTGGCCTGGAAGCCAGGTCCGAAAGCGCTCATCTCAAAATTAGACACAGCCTGCAAAGCAACACCATCACATCGGCATACATACATATACCTTTATGCGCGCAGATGCAGTTATCACTTACGGTTAATAAAAGGACGAATAACTGCGAGCCCAGGAATCCTCCGAGAACGGTGCCAGGCTGCGAGTTGCTCAGAGGCGCTTTGAAGAGCTGCATCGCTCCAATGAGCAGAATGCTGGATGCTACTGCGATTAAACCGGAGGTACCCGCAGAAACGGCTGTCACACCGAAAACAATCTCATGAAGAAACTCATCCCGTCACACAAACGATAAATCGGAATGCACTTACCCATTTTCAGCTTGAAAATTAAACAAGATGCGCCAACAGCCAGAGATACACCTTACAGCTTCCGTAAACGGTAAACTACTGCAGGATTTTGGAGAGATTTAATTTCTTATAAAAAAATACTGTACTATTAGTTCAATACGGGTGAAAATAACATGATCCGAATTTTTTATAAGTTCCAATGTTAAAACTGCTTGACGTGGCCGAAAAAAAAGTTCGTCACAAAAATGGAAAGGGGGCATCCATAAATTACGTACGCAGAAAACCATGGTTTCTTCACCCCTCCCTCCCCCTTCGTAGCGGTCCGTCACGTTTGCTTGACCCCTCCCCCCTGGTTCGCTCAATCATAACACATGGAGCTGACCACCCCCTCCCCCCTGGGTTCGCCGGGGCCGTCACAGCTTGTCACGTTTTTCGGACCCGTCCCTCCCTGGTTCGCTGCGTACGTAATTTATGGATCCCCCCAAATCCATAAACTGCATGTACAGTACTGTACGTGTTGGTTACACGAATTCCATTTCCAAAGCTGCCATGTAACTCACATCCGGCGGCGATTTTCTATGGAAACGCGATGCGAGCCAGCAGCGCAGGGTTTAGCTGCCTGGGACGGCATCCCGGCGACCTTAAAAAAGCATGGTTTTAACACTCTTCCTCCGTTTGACGTCGAAAATTGTATCTAAACATAAATTAATAGATTTTACAGGCCCATATTCCTTCTTTGTCAGTTAGTCTATGCCAAATCTTATATGGAAGTTTTGGGCTCGCACTTTATTTCCAAGGAAATCTTCGCGCAAGTCTGCAGTGCACAAAGATGCAGAAGAGACTTCACCATCCGTGCCACCCCCAAAGGGAGCGCAGTCACAAGCACGGAAGTCCATTTTGTCGTGGACGACGATATATCCGGCCATTACAGAATACCGGGATAAAACCGGATGTGTAGTTTTCGATGATTTAGATTCTGATGATCACTGGTACGGCATTTTGTTTTCAAGTATGAATAAAGTAATCGTTAAAATTACTAGTTATTAACACCAATACTGATTATCTCGATAAATTTCTTCCAGAAATAGTCAATTAAGACTCAAAACAGATACTATCTCGGGAGGTGGTCCTTGTAGGCGTCGTAATTTTACTTTTCTAGTTTAATTTATTCGGATTTCCAAAGCTGATAGTTTTTACCTATTAGCCTACAGAAGAAGATTACGACAGTTAAAGCGACTTCCAAATGGTGAATGGATGTGGAGAGCAGATGTGCTACTGCTTGGAAGATTTCATACTTGGTCACCGGCTATCTTGCATATTGATAGCAGAAAATTGCTGATAATTGAAAACGTACGGACTTCGTAATTTATAATACGTATCCGTATTTTTGCAGGGTTTCCCAAAACCGGTTTTTTTCGTCAAATTGGCGTGGTATCAGATTTTAATAGGTGCATATTTTTATATTATTGAATCGTTTAGTAATTTTGGGCCGGGGTAGCACGGTGCATGGCCTGAAAACCCCATATCATTACAGTAATATTGTAGGCTATTAGGCATGCAGCTGTAGCCGGCAGATAAATTGGCCTGTTTCCTGTTGGCGAGCCCGGCAGGAAAGTGGTTTTGCTCCCATAAATCTGCCGAAATGCGCCCACATTTCTGCCGACCCAACGCTATGCATTGTCTATAGGAACTCCAATATATCAGTCGAACCGGCGCAGGTGAAATTTGTAACTTTTGCTAAGCGCGAGCCGCCAATAGCACGGCCGGGCTGCAGCATCAGATATAGCTACCTAGGCATATTGACCCGGTGCTAATCAGAAAATAGTGTTAAATGTAGATTTACTTTAAATGTAAGTTCAATCAGTTACCTATTATAATCTGCAACTTTTTCTCCTGCATAATCTCACAGACTATGCATATTACCGGCCATTTTCTGAGAATTACAAAAAACTTGTACAAAAACTTTTTTCGAAAAAAACGGCTTTGTAATGCTGAAATAAAGAATCTAGTCGCTGTTTCTTTACATCAAAGCGAATTGGGCATCAGACCTTTTGCCACGAGTGTTCAGCTGCATACATCAGGCACTACACAAAACGTTTAAATCCCCACTTTTTCAAACCTCTTTTTATCCCCTAGGAAATAACAACCGAATTTCAGTAAATGTGTTCTGTGTATAATCAACTTTTTGAATGTGCAACATTCATAAATGTGAAACCTGTTGAGGTGCAACAATATCCCCGCTGGTACAATATCCCTATCATCAGTATGTTAAGCTGCAGCACTTCCGGACAGTGGAAGCCGGCATGCACTCATCAAGGATATCGAGTTGCACTGTTGTGCCCGTTCGGCAGATATATTGGAGTTCCCATAAGCAATGCATAGGGTCGGGTCGGCAGGAATATTGGCGCAGCTCGGCAGATCTAGGGCCGTTGTTTGAAAATTACTTTTCAATTTTGGGTGCATTTTTGCATGACATCACCAGTTAAACTGACAGTATGTTGCCATATGTTGACAATATTTCAGTAATACGTTTTATTAGACTTTTTGTTTTCGTTTACAGTTACATCAAGCGCAGGCAAATAGAATTAGTTTATGGAGTGGGTAACATTAACGATTTTGGTTTTTTCAATGTTTAAATCAGTTATTTTAACTATTGTCCAGCGCGCAGGCATTTTTTGTTATGTAGGGGATATTGCCGAATAAGGGATGTGGGAATTTTTATGTAAGGCTGTCTAAGGGTAACGTACATCATCCACAGTTTGTAGGTGTAAGCAGAATAGTTGTTTGGAAAAACATCGATCTATTAAATCTAATAAATTTACTATTTTTTGCGATGGTATCTGTGCACTGTGCAGTGTGCATGAACCCACAAAGCAGAAGGCTTCTCTGTAAGAATTAGACACGGCGCAAGGGATAGCGCGCGCATCTATCTGTTTAGCGCCGGTACAATATGCTTAGGCGGCTGTATGGTGGACATGATGCAGCCCGGCCGTGCTGTTACCGATTCGCACTCAACAAAAGTATCAAATTTCACTGTTGCGCCGGTTCGGCTGATATATTGGAGTTCCCATAGGCAATGCATAGGGTCGGGTCGGCAGAATTGTGGGCGCATTTCGGCAGATTTATGGGAGCAAAACCACTTTCCTGCCGGGCTCGCCAACAGGAAACAGGCCAATATATCTGCCGGCTACATGCGTCCTAAACTGGTAAAACGGTCGCACAGTTTTCTATAACAAAGACTAAATGCTAAAATAACTTATAAGAAACTTTTCAAGGTTTTGCCATCCTTACAGAAACATGTGGCTGTTATAATACCAATCCTGGAAGTAAAACAGAAATACCGCATTCTTGCTGGCCCGAAATCTCAGATAACTGCCGACTGTGGATCATTTCCCATAGAAGTACGCTTGCACTTAAATCGGCGGCTTGGAGAACCGTCGCTCGTTTCGAAATTAAATTGGACAGCAGCACTCAAAGATGCCGAATTCGCCAAATGATTTCTCAGTTCCGCAGTCTGTCAAGATTCACTGTACAACTAACATTTTGATTCTCGCTGATGAAATCAATAATTAAAAAATTTTAATAAAAGTGATTGCTCTATTAAAAGTGTACAGTACTGTACTGCACTCAGTGTTCTGCTACCCTGCACTTCAGTGTCCATTTAAATTTTATTTTGCAGTGCCGGCGGACGTACAGTACGTTGTATGAGCCCATTCAGCTCACTGTTCACGATTCACATACGCGACCTGCAACTGCGTACAGTACTTGGTGAAAAGGTGCATAAAAACAGAAATGACTTGTATATAGAAGTACTTGTAGCAGACTTAAAAAATATTGAACTGTTTTGGTCACTTCTGAGTTCCACCCCACCCCAAACACCCCTTTCTTTGATTTGTTATGGCCGTTTTAGGGCCTTCCGAATCCACAGACCGATGCGATGGAAGTCGACTTCCAAGTACAGTACTAGAATCGTCCATCATGATGCGAGAGAGGTCGACCTCAAAATATCATGATGAGCCACATAACCATATCAGCGATTCAGCAGCATATGTCGGAGCTCCGAAAAATGCAAAGAGGTCGTCCTCTAAAAACGTATTACCCAGTTCAAAATCCCGGCACGATATCGACAACATGTCTCGGAGCTCCGGGTGACAATGTGTCGACACGTTTGAGCGAAGAAGCGATCTCGTGGGCACCCGACCAGGGCAGTTGGCAGGCCGGGGCAGAGTTTAATGAGCTTCTTCACGCCGCATAGTTCTGCCGAACGGTTTCCGCGAACTCTAAAGTTTCCAGAACTTCCGTCCAGTTTCCGGTCGTCGGCGTAACTTACGATGTACTCTTGGCGCAAAAAACACAAACACTTTTGGTTTATGGTTTTATCAAATTCTATTAACCGAAACTATTTATCAAACGCACTGTCAAAACCATGATTTATGTCTTGCAAAATATTTACTAATTTACCGTGTGGTCAGTAGTTGTCGTTTAACGGTACACGGTACGGTACTCTACTTTGTAGTTTGTACTACGAGTACACTAGTTACGAGTAGCCACCAGCTTCTGAATGAGTTTTTTATTAAAAATGTAATAAATGATGATTGGGGGATTGTGGGAGTATTGATTGTTTTACCGTAGAAGCAATTTTTAATCTTGTAATTGCGTCATAGTAGGTAAATGGAGTGCACTTTTGTTTGGTTTAACTTCAAACTTTTATAATAATATTTTTTAACAAACTGAAGATATGCCGCGTCAGCCCGGCCAGGAACAGACTAGGATCTCATCGGAGCGCCGAAGTAAGCATGGATGACTCCATGATATAAGTGGGATCTGGGATTTCGCTTCGCTGTTTCGCTTCTCCAGGACCCCATAGTAAGTGCGGTTGGCTGCTTACACACATGATCCCAAACTGGATAATGCATGATTGCCTGCGCTCAGCGAATACGACGTCACGGCAGAGGATACAGAAACCGGAAACGCTTAACCGGTGTCTGGAATGGCGTTTCCAATTCGCAACACCTTGATCACATCATCTTTATTGGAGAGCACTTGCCTTGTACTTCGAATTGACGTCGGATGGTGTTGGCCAGTAATTCGAATTTTTCTCCTCTTGGCCTGGGCCGGCGAATTCGGCTCATGTTCTCTTATGGAACCTCCTTTCCCCTGCCATTCCGATGTCATCACATCATCAGTTATTTGTTCAACTGCAGATCAGCTGTTATTGTTGCTGGATTTTGGGATGGTATTGTCATATCGTGGAAGTGATTTTTTTCGTATGCTCTTGTTATTTGGATTACCATTAGGCATTAGAAGCAAAACAGGGTTTTATTTAATTTTACTTATTTCTACAGCTTTTACGTACATGTGTCGCTCACGTTGCGGCAAATAAGAGATCAAAATTAATTATTATGCAGTTGTGAATTTCACTATAAGTAAGTACAAGTATACAAAATTAAAACATGAAATTTTAGCGTTAACTTGCGCATTTTGAATAGAATTAATTTTGCGCGGAATCAGAGGAATAACAGCGGCAGTACATAATTTAAGGATGAACTAGTGACACAAGAATATCTTTTCACGTGTAGTTTGGAACTTGCTCCCTGCTTGTGTCAGAAAATCATAATCTCACTGGTAAAAAAATGGCCGCGTTGGCTGCTGATTTGGATACCCAGGAGTTTGAGGATAAGCAGATGACTGCGGCTGCATTGGATAACCCATGAATGCCGGCTCCTGGGCTCTCCATTGAGGAGCGTAGGGAGCCGAAACTGGATTTTGCAGTGCCGGGGGTGGAAAGTGTGTCTGACCGGCATAGGGCATCTGACCAACTGGAACGTTCACGTTGTGTGTGTATCCGCCAGTCCCGCCTGGTGCATATCCAGGTTGAGGTTGGACCAGATGGTTAGCACCAATATTGTTATTAGCTGCAGTGTACGGCCACTGTGGATTAGTGTACTGGAAGGGTTGCGGTTGGTCTGCTGTAGCCGGCCCGGGCGGTATTTCCCCGAGAAGCTGATTAGGACCTGCATCATGAGTAAACTCTATAATGAACGAAGTTGCCGTTGAAAGATTATGGTTGAGTATGCTGCATGATTACCCTCGTTTCTGGGCGGGTGATGCTGGGCAGAGCGTTTAGTGGGAGGTAAGGAATCTTTTTTGGAAGATGCGCTGTCAATGGTACGCGTGGTCTCTGAGCCTGTTCCGCTTTCCTCGTTTTGGCTGACCACAAGTGATGGAGTAACACTGGTAGGCTCGGTCGACTGAGTCAACTCCGATTCGCCAGTATCCGGTATTATGGATAATTTTTTGCTTGATCGCTGCCATGAATTGCGATTGCCGCTTCTGTTCAACAATTTTACGTTAGACAAAAGCAGCGTTAATTTTTATACGATACAGTTTTTTTATATTGCTCCCTTCTCGAATACAGTATGTGTTTGCTTATCATAACAGAGATATCTGTAAACAGCAAAGTGAAAGTATAGATTTTGTTACGGACTGCCAAATATTTAGTGATTATTTTAAGCTGCCTAAAATATTGTTTTCGCATTTTAAATCGTGTTTATACGCAAATGCAGGATCCACGCCCGTAAATGCAGCATACAGCTTAAGTTAATTTTTTTAATTTTTAGATCAAATAAATCAGTGTTAAAGTAATAAGCATCATAAAATAATTACAGTAGTTATATTAATTATAAATACTGCGTCTATTTGCACTGAACGCCCTCAAGCTTACCGTGACCCTACAGGCAAAAACGCATCCGGATTTTTGCGCACATGGTCTGGCACTCGCATCGATATCCTCGTGCTGCGCCTGTACGGTTCAGTTACCGGAGGCGGAAAAAATGTTCCTTCTGACTGCTGTCTGGCAATCGGCGTTTCGTAGTCGGAATCAGGATCATACGCCAGCAGGTTATTGTCTTCCGCTTGTAATGGCGTATTCTCCGCCAGTGCGTCCGTTACCGGGGGCGGTATAAACTCGTTAACGGATTGCTGCAAGCTAGGTCGAGAGGTTCGACTTCCCCGCGGAGCATCAGCCATCGTTGAAGGTGGATTAACGCTCTGACGTCCAAACCCGCGCGGAAACTCGGAAGACGCTTGAATGGACTTCTGTTGCATAGTTAAAACCCTGTGAATTTCCTCCGGGTTGTATATTCCGCTTTTCTTCAGGCTGGTTGAATGGCGGCGAAGAAAGTCTTTTCGGTGACCTTCGGTGAACCAGCTAGGTAAATGCCGAATAATGGCGTTGTAAGATGGAAATCTGGAAAATAATATTATTGATGTATAAAGTTAAATCTGGAAAATAATATAATATTTGTGGAAATCTGGAAAATAATATAATATTGTGTGTAACGTTATGAATAAATAAATTAATACACAGTTTTAGGTACCTTCTCAAACATCCTAATTTCAGCAGAACAAGGAGAGCTATTATAACAAATAAGCAGAGTCCTAGAACAATGGCTAGAACTGCAGTCTCCGCAACCTCCACGATATCAGTTTCTGGAAACGTAAAAACGTTGAAAAAGTACAAAGGAAATCAAATTCGCCATCGTTACTATACTCACCATTTGCGTCATCAAAACTGACACCAAAGACATGAGTCAATATTTCATGATGATCAGTGCGAAGTAAACATCCATAAAATCCGTCCTTCGTATTGGCTTCTATGCTGCGGACGGACATTTTTGAAGAATGTTTCATCCCAGGCACCTACTTACAATAATGGTTCTCTGCATTCTACAAATTAGTGTCCCGGGATTACTAGTAAGGCCTGAAGGGGACTAAACTGCGGGTATTTAATTAATCAAGTGTGAGCCGGTTTTGAAAAGTATTTGTATGACATACCTTTTGAATCTCGATCCCGGTAAAATTCTGAATAATCTCTGACTCTTTCAGCCAGAACAAATACGCTTGCTGGCCATCCAGAAGATCCACGTAATCGGAAAGGTCACAAATGAATTCCAAATCGGTCACAGGCGGTTCATGGTATTCGTCGTACCTGGCTAAAAAATTAATAGGTTACCATACGTATCATGCAACTTCGCACAGCAGTATAAACACAGGTAGAGAGTTTTATTCACATACTAGGTACACACCTGCCACACTTGTAGTTTCAGAACTAACCAAGCGCCCAGTTTCTCGCATCCCAACATTATTCCTGACATCGTAGACCTTTTTGTTGATCTTCAAGCTAAAAAGAATGCCTTCGAAACCTCGTGTTTGACGAGTCATCATGTAAATTGTTGACCACAACTCCTGTTCTCCCCCAGCAAAATGTAAAAATGATCGTGCAACAAACTGATGACCATCCGCCACCAATATTTGGGCTCGCTCATGATTCAGTCTGAGTTTTATCTGGATACCGGAAAGGGCAAAACTAATGGCGAGCCATTCGTTTTTCTGCAAAAAAGAAGTATATGCACAAAAATTACTTTCTTAAGCGTGGGACATTTAATTCCTAAGTAATTAATCAATTACCTAGGCTAGCAAGACGTAGAAACTAATAAAGTGTAGACAGATGAGTAGCAAAACATACCGGTACGACTTCGGTCGACGTGCATCTTTTCTTGAGCCCCATATTCATACACAGAAAGATCGAACCTTTCCTGAAATACAGCGCGACAAATGAACCAGGCTCCTCTCCGTAACTGATCCAAATCAGTCCATTGTCCGTCTGGAAAGGCTTAATCACAATCTCCACTTCCAAGTTCGGTTTACCATGGCAGTCTTTGCACAGAAACGTAATATAGTCGTCACCGTTGAAAATTGGATACAACTGATCGGAATCCATCTCGGTCAACTCTACGTCATGAGAGAAACTTGGGCGATTGGATTCCTCACTGACAGCAAGGCCTGTATGAGGCTCAATAAAGTAGTCTTCATAATTAATTCGAACTGTTGCCACATGGCCGATGAAACCTACAAATTAAGCATACTAAATGAAAAGCATTTTCGAAAACTGCACGCGTTATCAAATTACTTGCATTACAGTTCACAATTTTATCGATTGAGCGATATCACAACGTTGACCTTTAGATATTTTGCTTTTCTTTACGACGTACCTGGATAGGAGATCTTCGTCTTCAGAACAAATGGCGGACTGAGTCCTCCGACAAACATGTGCTGATCAAGATCAACGTTCTCCACTTCCAGATTGGGAAATGAGTAGTCGATCGGGTGTCCGTTGTCTACACGCATGGCAACCTTGGCGCCAGCAAAGGTGACGAACACATCATGCCATTGTTTCATTGTGAGCGGAAATGGAACGGTCAACCACTGGGAGATCCCTCCGAACTGAATAAACAAATCCACCATTCCGCTCTCCAGTCGCAGAATAATGGTGTCGTTGCGTGTTCTAGACGTATCGTTCCCATGATGTCGGTAGATGATGACTCCATCCTGCTGGTCTGGACGGAATTTCACATACATGGTCAGCATGCGTTTCAGCACCATCGTTTTCGGATAAAGCAGAAAGGAGTTTCCATTAAAAACGCCAACCGATGTTGTCTCATCTAAAAATATGAATGTGCACGTGCTGCTAATAATGAGACGCATCTGCTGTACAGTCTGTACTCCTAATATACTGAAATTACAAATTAATGTACCTAAACAGGGCTTTTCAAAACAGTGTGCCACTCGTGTTCCGGCACCATGACAAGCCGGACCACCGTTGGAAGGCGGTGGATCCTCACATGTCCGGTCCTGATATCGTACTCCTGGACCGCAGTTTGACGAACACGAACTCCATTCACCCCAAGCGCTCCAGCCGCCAGTAGCTATCGATAAGGCACTTTTTAGCGTACAGATATCTAAGTGTTTGCTTTTTTTCGTTCTGTGAGAGCAATAACGTAACCGTTGTATGAACTTGTATCCCGTTCTTGACCAAACGTGCTACTTACGCTGATCAAGAGTCGCAATATTTTTAAGATTTAAGGCGTATGTATAAATATGGTAGTAACAAGTTACAAAAATAGTTATATGAATAGTTACAAAAATAGTTATATGAATACTGATTATCTGTGCCAGGACTTCGGCCCCTGTCCTTTGAGGCAAAGGATCTCGGCTTCTACTTCACCAATTTTGTTGCTTTAAAGTACATCAAAATTCTCTAGGTGTAGCGGTGGATCCAAGATTGTTGACTTTTGCAAAAATCATTTGTCTAGGTCCAGTGGTCAATCATAAGCTTGTTACCATGGACGCGATAAGAAATGCACACTGTTCTAACACAACTTGGCCCAGAACAGTAGAAAATTAGTATCTGAGCTGCTACTTAACAATAAGTACGAGTACGACTCACTGTACGAGTACAATATCGTACAAAGTAAAAAATTCATGTACTGTACTGTAACTTAACACGTTAGTCGTCATTGCAAGTTATATGCAGTACTGGATGTCCAAGTAGACAGTCCGTGTTTCGATTAACTTATGCAAAATGCATCATAATGTAGATATTACTAAACATACGTACGGGTTCATTAATATTATGACAGTTTGTAAGCGACCGCAAAGCAACACATCCTTGAAAACACTGTACTTATTTTTAATAGTCAATCGGCCAATATTCATCCGTGCTGGGCTTGTACAATACTATTCATACCTTTACAAGCGTGTGTATTACAGAGTTTCACTTCCTTATTGCCGCCACTGCAAACTCCTTGAGTTGACAAGCAAGAGCGAGTGCGACTCATGGTTCCAATTCCGCAACGCCGAGTGCACGGAGCCCATTCGCTCCATACGCTCCAAATTCCCACATCTAACAATCAACAAACTGAAAAAATTTTAAAATTTGGTACAACTAGATGTATGTCTGACCAAAAGCACCGGTAGGCGGTAGTCCCCATAACTATTTTTCAACATTTTGCAGAACGGTGTCACATACTGGGGCAGGTTTTCAGTTGACATTTTTCGGTTTCTGTGACTGTCCCATTGCATACAGCGTGCAAAGGGTAACATGCACGATAACGTTGGCGGATTCCTGGACCGCATGTTGCGTCACATGGAGACCATTGATCCCATGGGGTAAAACACCAATGAGTTGTGCAACTGCAAGAAACGATTATGTCAGAAAATAACTGTCCTGGACTCTTGGCAATGGAATTATGGAATTAATGGAAGCATAAGTACCGTGGTTTTAAGTAAGTACTTGTACTGTATCAAAATCTGTGTAGTAGCTCAACGTTCAGAAAAATGTTCAAACAATATCAGCAAGACTTACGGATGCAGTTTACTAATCCTAAACACGAAATACAGGATCGCAACCATGTCTGTACAGAAGGACCCATGCCACTTCAAGAATTGTTTTGCGTTGTATATAAGTAAGGTCACCACAACATGTTGGCGTTTAAGTCTCAGAATCTGAAAGAAGAATTGAAACAATCATTATTATTTTCAACTGATTTTATGCCATA